AAATTCGAAGAAGCTGAGACTTTGAAACGACGAGTATTGGAGGCTCATGAGAAGGATTTGGGGCCACGACACCCTCATACACTGACGAGTATAAGCCTCCTGGCATCAGTGCTAGCAAGCCGGGGGAAGTACTCGGAGGCGGAGAAGCTGAACCGGCGAGCGGTGGAAGGGATGGAGAAGGAGCTGGGTGTACAGCACCCAGATACGCTGACGAGCGTGGACAACCTGGCGGGCGCGCTGCAAGGTCAGGGGAAGTACTCGGAGGCGGAGAAGCTTCACCGGAGAGCGCTGGAAGGAAGGGAGAAAGAGCTGGGTATACAGCACCCAGATACGCAGATCAGCATAGGCAATTTGTCTACTGTGCTAGAGTGCCGAGGGAAATTCGAAGAAGCTGAGATTTTGAAACGACGACTATTGGAGGCTCATGAGAAGGATTTGGGGCCACGACACCCTCATACACTGACGAGTATAAGCCTCCTGGCATCAGTACTAGCAAGCCAGGGGAAGTACTCGGAGGCGGAGGGGCTTCACCGGCGAGCGCTGGAAGAGAGGGAGAAGGAGCTTGGAATGGACCATCCTGATACACTAACTTCCGTCTACTGCCTTGCCTATCTTTTACACAAGCGCAGCCGATATAAGGAGGCGTCCGAGCTCTACCAGAGAGCATCCAACGGCTACAAGCAGAAGCTCGGTTCTCAGCACCCGACAACTATTGCGTGTCTGAATCACTTTACAGCTATGCAACAAGAGGCAAAGGAGAAAAGACAAGGACCAAGCAGGACAGCAGTTGACAATGATAATGAGGAGCTTAGAGAGATACCCACCGAGGGTGCTAGTACTCTGCGTAGCAGCGAGGCTATGCCTGAGCAAGCCAGCAGCGGCTTGAAGAGCAAAAGAGACTCAATTTACACGCGCTTGAAAGGGAGGATGCATAGAAAAGATCTATAGAATAGAGATATGACTCTGTTCTATTACTGATATAGTTTCCTAAGTGACATGCTGTACTGTGAAGAATAAATCATATGATTTGGATGGGTCTAAGGCAGCAGCCGCGCAGTTGAAATGATGGATTATGTAGTTTAGAAGGTGGGATTAATTACAGATTTACATTGTTATCCCTGCAATGCGCTAAGACAAAGTAGGAAATTCTCTAGTTAGGAGGACCGCGTCGTGAGAACAAATCAAAACTGGAAACCAATTCTGCTGGCGACTGTACCGAGACAAGTTGACCGCACTCCCGTATCACATTGTAAATAACGTACCCGGCTAAAGATTACATTTTGGCCTTGCGTTTTGGCTTCGGTGCCGCATTCCATCCGAAATTCGGTATCGCGTCCTTCCCGGACTCTATGATGACGTTGATCACCACCACCTTGTCCGACTTAAACCCAGCGACCGTCGCCTCCCGCAATTCCTCCGGCGTGTTGACAAAGAACCCGAGTCCCCCGCATGCCTCCGCTAGCTTCTCGTACCGCACCGCATACGTCAAGCTCGAGCTCCTCAGCGAGCCAAGCAGATCCCATTTCCCCTCCAACGTGCTGGCCTGCTTTTGCGCGTACTCCTCGCTAGAGTCGGCCACGCCCGAGTAGATCCCGCCATTGTTGATCACGTAGATCAGAACGTCCATCTTGTTCCGCGCCATCGTTTCGATCTCCATGGCGCTGAACCCGATCGCGCTGTCGCCTTCGAGGCACACGATCTTCTTTCGCTGCGACGCGGAGACGTTGGCATTGTAGACATCATGAGCCGCGATGGCGTAGCCGAGACCGGCGCCCATGGTACCGTTCGATCCCGCGTCGAGCCGCTGTCTAGGACTCTGGATGGGGAACGCAGTCCGGCTGATATCCATCGTGTTGCTTCCTTCTGAGACAAGGACAACGCGGGACTCGTCTGGCGGGGATAATGAGTCGATCGTGGACCGGATGACTTTGTAGGCTTGTAAGTATGATAGCGGGAGTCCGGTTTTGGATTCCAACGTCTGGATTTGCGCCTCGTTCTTCAGCTTCGATGCCTCAAGCTGTTTCACGAACTGCCCGGCGTATTTGAAATTGTGTAGCTCAGCAAGCAGCTGTGGAACGACCAGGTTGATATCCCCTAGGATGCTCAGCTCTGGATCGCCTTGATTTCGGCCTACCTCTTCCGCAGCAAGGTCGACTTGAATGATTTTTGCGGTAGGACTCCATTTCGGTACTGAGCCGAATGCGAACATCCAGTTCAACCGCGCTCCGAGAACCAGCACTACATCTGCGTTCTTCAGAGCTGCCGATCGAGCCGATGAGATGTTGAGTGGATGGGAGTCGGGAACCACACCTTTGCCCATGGGGCTGGGAAGGAAGGGGATACCAGTCCGCCCCACGAGCTCACGAATGGCCAGTTCGGCTCTTCCATACGCCGCCCCCTTCCCAAATATGACGAGCGGGTTATTCGCTCCCCGCAAGAGCTCCGCCGCCCTCTTCACCCTCCTGGAATCGCCTTCGCTCCTCGGCGGCGCCGGAACGACCCTGTTTTTCAGCGCCTCCATCTCTTCCTCCTCCAGGTTTTCCTGGATCAAATCCGCCGGCAGATCCACGAACCCCACTCCCGGTCGACCATACCACGCCGCTCGATACGCGTTCCGTACGCACCCCGGAATCTCCTCCACGCACCCGGGCCGCGTTGCCAACTTGACCCCCAACTCCCGCGCCCCCAGCAACCCTACATGGTCCATCTCCTGAAACGCCCCCTTCCCCACCAGATACCGCTCACTCGACCCCGCCAACAGCAGCAGCGGCCAATTGTTCTCTGACGCATTGGACACGCCCGCCAGCGCGTGCACGACGCCCGGCCCGCCGACGACCAGACACACGCCCGGCGCCCCCGTCAGATACCCATGTACCGACGCTGCGTAGCTGGCCGATTGCTCGTTGCGCATGCCAATGAACCGGATCCCCGCGGCCATGCATGCCTCACCGACCTCGCCGATGGGGACGCCCACGAGGCCAAAGACGGTGCGGATGCCAAGGGAGTGGAGGGATTGGGCGATGACGGCGGCGCCGGTGGGAGGGAAGTTGGACATTGTGGAAGGGTTGGAGACGGAATGAAACAGATGGGTGGATTACGGAAACATGCGATGACTTAGGACGCAATGCAAAAAACAGTTAGGTCCACATCAACCATCGGAAAGGCAGGAACGCGCGCTTTCTCATTATGATATTGATCGCAACTTCGGCTATGTCGGCCGTCGGGCGTTGAACGCGTGAGCTCTGGTGACTCGTGCGGGGAAAGGGAGTGAGGGTCGGTATCAAATGCCAGAATCCGAGGACTAAGGAAGCTCGAGCATCAGTTACCTACCAGAAAATAATACATATATGACCTTAGATAATGATGTTACCTGAATCGCTGCGTTTGTGTGGATTTAATGCTCAAAACTGGTCGTGATAAAGGAATGAGGATTGACCAGGAATGGGTGGTTTGGTTGCTCTACCCCTGTCGATACGTCATTGCTGGATGGTTCGCAGACGACTGCATGGAGGCAGAATTGATATCGGCACAATCAACATTCTCTTCATTGCTTGTCTGTGATTTCAAAGCTTATGGCGGAGTCTAAAACGCGTCCATACATACTGATTGTTGTCTGATCTAGCTAGGGTTTCTGAGGCAATGTATATACACAATGAAGTAAAAAGCTGAAGTCTATTGCGCCGCAAAGATAGCAACAGGAAATCACACAGATCCTGCGGACTCGGGCCCGGTCGGTCCGCCGGATGCCAAATGCTCGCCAACAAAAGGACTACCGGTATGCCCATCCAAATGTATACGTGTAGCCACATTTAATGAGGGGTGTTTTTAAATCATCATTCATTTCCCACCGACCTTGGCCTTGGCGGCGGTCTCTGCGAGCTTCTTCAGTTGCTCTTGGCGGATTTTGGCGACGTTGTTGAAGAGGACGAGGAAAAGGAGCTCCACTCTGCGGGGGGCGTCAGTACACTCTGCAAGACAGACGATGAGGGGAAACGGTAGATTTACCTCTCCTTGGTCATCATCAGGAAACCTTGCACGAGAAGGCCCTTCACGATCTGGGGTCCAATGCCCTTGAACAAGCCCAACAGGCCTTCGTGCTCAACGATGTAAGCCATGACCTCGACAAAACCTTTGAAATGTTTGCCCCGTCGTGATGGCGGCGGTCGAGATTGGAGGCCGACCTTGGCCACGATGAGAGGTTGTGTTGCGATGGTGGCCATCATCTTGGACAAGGCGCCCAACACTAGTAATTCACATGTCAGTCATAACATCATCCAACGATTTCCCCAATCCACGCCATAGGCTCACACCGGCCGTTCTCGGTAAAATGTTCACACGGTGGGAATGGGAAAGTACCTACAGAATGCCTCGCCCGCTTTCAACTGCTTCTTATCATCGAACATCATCTCTCTTAACCGCTGATAGGCACCGTATGTGATGGCAGGGTTGACGACCAACACCAGACTGGCCTTAAGCCCTCTCCACAACCCTCTCCACCCATCCTCGCCCTCGATCACCTCCATCGCGGTCTCGAAGAACCCCTTCCGGTCCTTCTTCGGCTGCGTCTGTTGCCTCGTCGTGGTCACCGCCACGGGGATTGTAAACAGCTGCGCGAGCGCGCCGGCCACCGCCCCCAGGCCCAGCTCGATCGCCGTCCCCGGGTGCTGGCTGCTTTTCGAGTACTTGAAGTAAAATGTGCGGACAATCGTGTACCAGTAGAAGTAGGCGAAGTTCGTGGACGCCACGCCGAGGAGGGAGCCGGCCATGCCAGCGTAGAGTCCGGAGACGCCCTCGTCCCCGACGATCTTGTGGATGGCGTCCATAGCGGAGTGGTAATGTGGGTGGTGGTCATGTTCGTGATGGTCGTCTTCGGCGGCAACGATGGTACCGTTGGAATTCGAATGATCGTCCTTGGTGACCTTCTTCTTGACCTGGACTTGTAGACGGGTTTTCACGCTGTTCTCATAGGAAGATTCAGTCACTGCTACTTCAAGGTGATCCCTCATGCCAAGGGTTTAATCGGATTCATCTTACATGTCAAGAGGGTAGACGAGGGCATTCGCAATCACGGCACCGGTTGCGCCTGCTACGGCACTGCCCCATGGTGGAAGACGCTCGATCTTCGATGCTCCAGCCATTTCGAAGATTGTCGCAGGTGAGTATCACAAGGGCTCGTCCGCTCGGTTTGGCCGAGGGTGTTCGACGTTGGGTGGCCTCGAGTATGACGACTGCGGCTTCTGGTGGGGGGGGACGCTTTCGGGAAGGTAGGGAAGCCGGTTTGGAGGTTTGAACGGCAATGTTATCTCATACTTTTGGGGAGGGATTGGAAAAAAGAAGATAAATCAATCCCCGAAAATGTCCCAAGAAATGGCCCGGAAGTAAGCAATAAGAGACAGGCGGCTCAAGCAAGCACGAGAAAGAGGCGGGTGGGATTAAAGGTCATAGATATTGCGACCACGGGCCCATGTGGCCTTGGTTCGCAGTCCTGCGCTTGGGGGGGAATAAGTGGGAGGAAAATGGCGGAAGGGATGTCAATGTCCGATTTGACCTCGGTCCATCCGCGCCGATGGCGAATGCTAATCACCGCGTCTTTGGTTCCGCCGATTGAACCGAGTATGACGGGATATGGGCAGTTTCCATTCTTCGATAAATGGCGTGCACCAACCACCAATGTATCTCACCCACGTCTTTAAAATTATGGACGCTCGGATGTTGGAAAGACGCGAGACTCGCTTTTCATCTTGCGGATGGTGGAATGACATCGTGGATTGCTACCGAACATGAGTGGCACTGCCGATGAGTCTCCTGACAGTTCGGATTTATGGGATTCAATCATGTGGTCCATGTGAGAAGCTGACTCTTATCGAGTGCCGACAGTTTCAAACCGTTCTGTCAGTCGGATCGATCTTACGCCCGTGAAAGCGATGGTAATTTGGCAATCGTCTGTCTATATATATTTACATGCCAACCCAGTTATTCGAGACCTGTCCACCGTTCTAGAAAATACCATCAAGTTTAATGCCAACTTTATGATACAGTTTCCAAAACAAGGCTATCCCTCTTGCCACTGCTCCTATATCTAGCCAGGGCCGCCGATAAGAAGAAGCTCTAAATAAAAGCACGAGAGAGATCATAAGTAAGAGGCGTAGAAATCTCAATAGCAGAAGCATCGATTCGAAGGACTGGGTTTCCAGATGCATAAATCCTTAGAACGCGGCCACCCCATCGTGGAGCCAGTTAGGGTCCAGCTGGGTGGTGCATCCTCATTTGATCAAATATGTGTGCAGCATCTGTCGGCCATGGTGCAGAGCCTCATCCGGCCGATAAAATACCGTTCCAACGGTGCCAGTTTCGAACTCCGAATAATGTAGCATAGCAAGTGCCTCCGGAGTCATTGGGTATCAGTTCCTTGCGTAACGGAGAGTTTCCCCGGTAGGATATCAATAAAGATGAGACCTCAATCGCTACTTGTAGGTCTCCTGGCATCAGAAGAAGGTGCAGCGCAGACTGGTCTCTCACTGTATGTAGAGCATGTCAGGATCATGTCTATCCGTATCGTACAGTGGCTTTCGGAGGCTCTCCAGCCTTCCTCGCGGGAGGCGGACTCGTCCGTGTGTGGTAATGTAGTATGTGTATGGGGTTCATAGCACCAAAGCGGCCGCTCAAAGCCTCTTCTGATCTCGAGTTCCGTCTCTGATCTGGCGCTTCACCTCATCGGCGAAATGGTTCAAGAACGATGGTCCTGAGAATGTATACGTCAACCGGGGAACCGAATCCATCCATCCAAGCGAGAACACATACGGTCGATATTTGTGCCACCCATTTCTTCCATCGGTTTGCCGTGGATGACTCGTCGGATACCTTTGTGCACGCTTCCGACGGCGCGATGGAACGTCGGGCTTCTTAGGAGCTGGATGTCGGGTTAATCGAATGGTCGCGATCGCAATGAGATTCAGAGGATCGACGTACGCGGGTAACAGCCCAGGCCTGGATAGAGTTAGTTTACGGCGTGTACTCCCACTGAGGGCGGCCATCTCACCTCGAAGACTTGCACCCAGATGTGGCGCATCGCGATGGACCGGGCTGGGCGGAAAAGCAAGCCAAGGATGGATTGTGGGTATGATTCGTGTTTACGGAGCGACAAGTTCGGGGTCACTAAGGACGAACAAATGTAGCGTGTGATGTGATTGTTGGATGTTGAGGAGCAATCGGGATGATTGTTTGGAGTTGAATGGTCACGACGACGGTGGAGCTTTGAAGATGAATAATGCGCTGCACAAGTGTATCAAGGAGTCGCCTTCAATATTATTACGGTACAGTGGAGTATTTTGGCCACGTTATTTTACTACGTAGAGGCTCTTATTTTAGTTGACCGGAGAATGATGACTTCTCAATTCTCTATGATTAAAGGAGTCCATCTCACCATTTCATATTCCCATACATACTGACATCCTGTATATACAACCAACCTCCTACCCACCTATTTATTAACCGGTACTTATTTACCACCTTCCTTGAGTTTGTATTCCTGTACTTTGTAGCCACCTGCATCGAATCCGAAAACCATCTGCCCCGCCAAACCAGAACCCTCGACGGTCGCCCACCAAATCGACCGAACACGCCAGGCCACCTCCAATCCCTGCTACACTGCAGCCATCTCGATCATCATCGATTGCCTCTGCGGCGGGAAGTTTTTTGTTGCGAGAATCGGATTCATCGCTCTAGGCAGCAAAGAATCCTGTGTTACGTTCCTTCGCCGACTTATAAACCGCCTAGCCCCGATACCACAGTTCCTTATCAGGCGTCCCGACTACATTCATTCCACTAGCCAACCTGTAGTGTTAGGGTGACCAGGTGATAGTGGCATCTCACATTCTCTGCCTCCGATATCGACACCTCGGACCTCGACTCCCATCCACTTTTCCTTTCTCCGTCCGTCAACTCTCCAAACCATTCGCCGTGGCGTCCTTCAGATCACGTCGCGCCCCTCCGAAACTCTCCTTTCTCGAACCGCCCGCGAAGAGCAACACCTCCGATCCGAAGCTTCCACGATCACCACTTTCGCCTCGGCACGCCGTCCCGGGCCAGCCGCCCACCAACATTACCAAAGCCTCGCGATTCCACCGGATCCGCACCCTCACCCGGAAGAGCTCGAATGTCGCCAAAATGTCGGGTGGGAGCCCGATTGGGGCCGTAGCGTCCCGGAGCCCGTCCCGGTCACGAAGAACGCCGAGTCCAGGTAGTGCGACATCCAGCGTGGAGGGTCAGCGATCGAGGATATCCACGCCGAGTGTGTCGCGGGTTGGAACGGTGCAGGTATCGGAACAGGATGAGGCGACCGCAAGGGAGATGGCGGAAGTCGAGGCGGCACTCCCTAGCTTCCTGAAGCAATCAAGATCAGGCAGGTAACATCCGGACGGAGCAGTTCGCCTATCGCTCTGTGGCATGCGGCCGAAGCTAACCGTCTATGTAACAGATATCCACAGCAAGTTCGTCGATCTCGAATGGCAGCAGCGAAATCGCCTGGCACAAGGCCTCCGGCCTCCCACACCTGGCGTTGAGAATCCCTCGCAATGGGTGCGCATGAGCGGAGAGGATGTCATCCAGCGAAACCGATACGTGAACGTGGACCCGTTTGTCAACAACCGTGTGAGGTTAAAGGTTCCTGAGGGCACCAGTGATTATATCAACGCAAGTCCAATCGCGCTGGAGACCACGAAGTCGCACAAGGACATGCGATGGATCGCCACACAGGTATGGTTCACCTCTGCGCGAAATGAACGTGCTGTGGCCGGAAGCTGATGATGTATAATAGGGACCGAAAGAGCATTCTTCGCACCATCTCTGGCGCATGATCGCCGAAGAATCCGACCCTTCCGCTGGCCCTACCGTGATTGTGATGCTCACGCAAACGTACGAGTCAGGCCGGGAGAAATGTTTTCCTTATTTTCCCGATTCCATGGAAAATCCGTTAATACAAATCAACGAATACGACGAGTTCGGCGACGGCTGGGGCGGAACCGTTCGGTTACTGAACATCGATGAGAATCCGGTCACCAAGTCGACGATCCGAGAACTCGAATTCGAAATCGTCCAGACGACTCCTTCATCAAGCGATTCCTCATCCGCCGACCCGGCGGATCCAGGAACCGAACCATTACGACGGAAATTGAAAGTATGGCACCTTCTGTTCGCCGCATGGCCCGACTTCCTTGTCCCTGAAGGCGACGACCGTGCCGCACTCGTCCGTCTCGTCGCCATGTCGCGGCTCAAAGCGCACCTGTCCCCAAGTCTCCAACCACCGCTATCCATCGACGAAGCCGCCGCGCTCTCCCCCCTCGACACCCGGAACCTGATCCCCGATTTCTTCAAGAACGCGAAGTCCAAGGAAACCGCGCACCCCACCCCCAACCCCCGCATCGTGCACTGCTCCGCCGGAGTCGGCCGCTCGGGCACCTTCATCGCGCTTGACTACCTCCTCACGGAGCTGGACGACGGCGTCCTGGACAGCGTGGCGGACGAACAGGACCCGATCGTGGACACGGTGGACCGGCTGCGGCAGCAGCGCATGATGATGGTGCAAGGGGAGGCGCAATTCGCGTTCCTATACGCGGTGCTGCGGGAACTGTGGGTCGAGCGGTGGAGACGGGCGACCAGGAAGGGGCGGCAGGGGTCGGCTGCCAGCGTGGGGGCGGGTTTGGCGGAGGGGGTGGGCGGGATCGGGTTGGTGAGTCCGGGTGGACTCGCGTCGCGTGACGGGGAGGGAGGGGAGGAGGCGAAGGAGAGGAGGATCCGGGAGTATCGCGCGTTGCTGGAGGAGGAGATGAGAGACAATGCTGAGAAGATGTGAGGGTTTTAGGTTTGGGATTGGGGCGTTGGTACGTTTCATGAATGATGTATGCATGCTATGGGGTGTATGGCTGGTTACATGACTGGTCGGCAGGTTGGGGCGGTTCGATAGATAGCATTCGGAGGTGCATGAGATAGATGGGTCTGGTGGGATGCATTCACGCTCAGTATCTTCAATGTATGTATATCGGTGAACGCCGAAGAACGCATCGGGCTGCTCATCACCCTTCATTCCGTCCCGCGTCCTATCCGTGGGATATCGACGTTTCGATATTCGTACATGCGCCCCAATGACCCCAAACGCTCAAATCGTCGAGAATCGTGCATGCTATCCCGCACCACCATATCGAAATAAACGCCGTTCAGATATCAAACTCCATCCCCCACCTCGGGACTCCCTACTTCTTCCCATATTTCTCCTCCAGCGTCCGAACATACGCCTCGGTCCTCTGTACCGCGCTCTGCAACGCCTGCGCCTCGCATTAGCATCTCCGCAAGGTCTTTGAATTTCAATTCATCACGTACGTAGATATCTTGGGTCAACAGGCTGTTCGACACCCGGTATTCTTCCATCACGTAGTAGTACATTCCGCTGCCGGCGAGGACGGAGCCGAGGAGGAAGCCTAGCAGACTGCTCGTAGAGAAACGACATGTATCAGCATGTCTCTGACGGCAGATAGCGATTTCAAAATGCATGGCATCTTCATTTCGTAACATTTTTTGCCATCGCATGCAGGCGAATGCCCATCTGGTTGTCCACGCAAATCCACATCCCCTCTTCCCAAAAAGCACGACCAATCAGCATATCAGCAGACAACTCACCCTCCTCTAAAAGCCCCCACCGGCCTCTTCGGAGCAGCCTCCGCCACCTGAGCCAGACGCGCTGTGCTCTGGAAGCTTCGCGTGCTGCGGAACGCGGTCGATATGGCTGGTTGCCGGAGCGCGAGGGCTCGTGATGCGAGTCGGGCGGACATCGTCGGAGCTTGGAAGGAGCGATAAGGGAGAAGACGGCGATCTCAGATGGTCACGACGGAATGGATGGGTTGTTCTGGAAATCGGGTCCCTAGATTGATTGGGATTTGTTCAGATCTGGATGGATTGTTTAGGTTGACTTCGTGAAAGTGACGTGAGGTTGGAGCCGTTTGCTTGGCATAATTTGGCTGTCATCTACGTATTCTGTCAAGGGTCCAATAACACGAAGTCAGGTGTATCACGACTGGAGTTCACAACGTCGACTAGAATGTCAATTGTCAACTTGATCAGTACTCTCGGTGCTCGTCGCTCATGGTACCTACAGTATTGCTCAATTCTTAAAGTTCAAATCTGCTTCCTCATAATGCAGCTTAGTACTACGTCATCTCTGAGGATCCAATCTGTCGAACTAATCCTTTCATTGTTGGATGCTCCCCCAGGCTACAGCCCACCATAACTCTCCGAGCATTTGCATGCATTATTCGGGGATTCTAAACTATAAGAAAACTTCAATGGCTACGTTTGCTTTCTTTCACAGGGACTTCTTTGCGAGGTCTCTAGGATGCTAGTCTCATTGGTCTTCTTTCTCCGACCTGCATGATCCCCAATGGAAGTGTCGGGTTTGCTGAATCCCGCTGCTGAACCGGACGGAATATGCGGTCCGACAGTTGCACCTCCAAACAAGTTGACATGCAGACCTGCGAGTCAAGTATTTTTTTTGACAGCTGCAGAAACAGGCGTTGCATGCAGAAGCGAACCATGAAAAACATAACAATCCAATCGGCAACTCCAGACTCCAGCACACTGGCGACGTCAGGCCTAGCTTCAAACCTAAATCGCAACGTACACGCGCGCTCGTGACTATACTCTACTATATTATACTTCTTTAGTTGCTCTACAACGGCAAAGTATTTTCGAAGAGTCGAAAGTTGACACCAATCCTTTTATCATGGGCCTGAATTGGATAACATATCACCGAGCCAAGGGTCGACTGTCTAATAACTCCGTCTGACGATGTTGATTCCGTCTTCCGGCCCTCGAACACTTCGGTCTTTGCATCGTATAGGGGCAGATCTATGAAAAATGGAACCAAATAATGGTCATGAACTCGCATCTCGATACCCTCCGTCCCCGGGAGGCTGGAGTCCTGGTCCGATGCAAGTTGCAACAACTTTGACAATTGACATGCGGAGTTGTCAAACCGTTCCCCGCATCATGGCGGTCCAATGCAGCATTGCAGCTATGCAGGAGGGGTCCAGGATGCACGGAATGGAGCCATGGATGATGAACAGCTTGGACTTGGACCAATCCCAGCGCTATTACGCCATACGGTGATCCTGATCGATGGGAATAAGGTTCGATGTTTGGCAAAAGGGAGATCTTACTGAAATAAGTGAAACGAATTTATCAACTCTATTGCAATCTCGCACTCATTACTGCCACGTTGGTTGTCTTACGCCCGGAACCGCGTTTGAACTTTGAAGCTGGGTATGGTGTGGGTGGACACCCCGGTCCCGAGACCTCCATCCAGCCCTCCACAAGTCCACATCGCTTCCTCAAAGGCCAAAAGTCGCAGCAAGCCGACAACAGGAGGGAGGGAGAACGAACTGAAAGATAGCTCAAGCACCTATACTCTCTACCACCCGTCGCAGCATCGCGCATTCAGAGCCTGGGAATCGGCGGGGTCCGCATCTTAAATCTGCGATACTCCCACCGTCCCACGAGATCTCTGAACGCTTGGGCCTTCCGCACTTTCATACCCAGAGATAGATCTCCCTGCCCGCCAATAGCATCTTGTCGATTCGACCTGTCAGCCACGATTTTGACCTCACCAATTACCTGTCCCGCATCTGCGGTCGAATCCTATCAGAAAGGCGGGGGTTTCATCGTCTGCTTCCATGAACTGCCAAGTTCATACCATGCCTTACGCTGGAGAAAGCGGGAGCAAAGCCGTCAATGTAGAAATGAAACGCTGGATATCATTGAGCAAACGTTATTTGCTAACGCGCCAAATGCCAGGGTCTTGGCCGTGACCCTGTGACCCGCTTTCCTCCGCCGTTTCGGTCATGTTCCGCTACCGTACCAGGAACAAAGAGGCAAAAAAGAAAATCGGAAAACGAGCATCTGATTTCTGAATGCGTCGGTCTAGCGTCTGCATCCGATGTAGGGGCCGCGCCGCTTATCTTTTCTGCGCTTCCCTCGGGCCTATGGCCATATGGCGCAAACGGGGTACCCACCTGCGATAACCTTTACACATTTCTGTCGCATCTGATCGCGCAGACCCAGAAAAGGTTAAATACAACACGATCCCCCCCACCGACGTCAATTCGGATAGACGTTGGCTTCTAGACCATCTCTGACCATTGCTCCTTGTCCTACGGGCGTTTGGCCTGTTCTTATATATCTATCATTGCGATCCTAGCGTTGCGCAAAAGCTAGGAAACTTTTCCTTGAATACCTTGGTTCATGCGATTTTGAGACGGAATGGGTTGGGTTCACAATACCAACCTTAGGGTTGCCCGGTCTCCGGTAGGGCGGTATTTCCGCCTGGAGAACTCGGGTCACGTATGTTCACTCATTTCCTGAAAAGCTTTCCTGAATCTGAAGCTAACCATGCTGCGAAAATCTAGCCTAAGGAGCGCAAAGGCTCGTACTTCTTCACCGAGCTGCGCGCCGGTCTTGCGACTTTCTTCGCCATGGCCTACATCATCTCCGTCAATTCGAATATCGTCTCTCAATCCGGCGGAACCTGCGTTTGCTCGCCCGACAGCCCAGACCTGTGTGACTCCGACCCGGAATATATGCTCTGCGTTCAAGAGATCAACCGGGATATAGTCACCGCCACCGCAGCGATTGCAGCACTGACTAGTTTCATGATGGGACTACTTGCGAATATGCCCATTGCGCTGGCGCCTGGTATGGGGCTCAATGCCTACTTTGCGGTAAGTGCACATCCTCGACGTTGGGAGGATTATAAAGATCTGACTCTTGGTTAGTATACTGTCGTGGGATATCACGGTTCCGGACTCGTCCCTTATCGAATTGCCCTGACTGCTGTATTCGTGGAAGGTTTCGTTTTCGTCGGACTTACGCTCATTGGGATGCGTCAATGGCTTGCTCGCGCCATTCCCCATTCCATCAAGCTCGCCACAGGTGTTGGTATCGGCCTCTACCTCACCCTCATCGGTCTTACCTATAGTGCCGGTATTGGCGCGATCACTGGATACAATGCGACCCCCATCGAGCTTGCTGGGTGCCGTCCAGAAGTAAAGGATGAGGATGGCTTCTGCCCTAGCTATGACAAGATGCGGAATCCGACGATGTGGATTGGGATCTTCTGCGGTGGGATCTTGACGGTCCTTTTGATGACGTATCGCGTCAAGGGTGCCATCATCCTGGGTATCTTGCTCGTTTCGATCATCTCCTGGCCGCGTCCTACGTCCGTTACCTATTTCCCCCACACTGTACTCGGCGACAACATGTTCGACTTCTTCAAGAAAGTCGTCACTTTCCATCCCATCGGGAAGACTCTCAATGTCCTGGATTTCGATATCGCCGGCCACGGCGGTCAATTTGGCTTGGCTTTCATCACATTCCTTTACGTGGACATCCTCGACTGCACGGGTACTATGTACTCCATGGCTCGCTTCTGCGGTGCCATCGATGAGAGGACTCAGGATTTCGAGAACTCCGCCATCGCCTATACCGTGGACGCCTTTGGTATATCCATTGGCGCGCTCTTCGGCTCTCCACCGTGCACTGCTTACATCGAGTCGGGTGCTGGTATCTCTGAAGGAGGCGCCACCGGTCTAACAGCCATGTTCACTGGAATTTGCTTCTTCATCTCCATTTTCTTCGCTCCCATCTTCGCGTCCATCCCACCCTGGGCGACCGGATGCACCCTCGTCATCGTCGGTTCACTCATGGCGAAAGCCGCCGCCGATATCAACTGGCGATACTACGGCGACGCCATCCCCGCGTTCATCACCATCGCCATCATGCCCTTCACCTACTCCATCGCGTACGGTCTGATCGGTGGCATCATGTCTTACATCATCATCAACGGCACCGTCTGGATCATCGAGAAGGCGTCGTTTGGCAGGATCGTCCCGCCGAACAAGCACGAGAAGGATCCGTGGACCTGGAAGATCCCCGGTGGTTTCTTCCCGCCGTGGATCAGCCGTGTGGCGAGGGGGAAGAAGGACTTCTGGCGCGAGGACGTTGAGGAACACATCCGTGTGGTCCCGATAGAGGCGGATAAGGCGAGCGAGAACTCGAACTCCGAGGCTACGAGGACGGTCGAGCTCGAGTCGAAGGGAGTCGAGGTGGAGAAGAAGGGATAGGTGCAAATGAGATTGTGGTGATATGTCCCCTGGCGCCCGAAACGTTCGTTTAAACTATAAGCTCGTCAAAATAATAGCGTCTTTAGGGGGGTTAGGGGAGAGGCATCAGTTCAGATATTGATATCCAAATTTTCAAATTTAACTCTTGTATATGATCAACTCTGACATTGTCAGCGCTTTCGGTGTCGTCAAACAAATCCATGCAGAAACTCCCTTCGTCGGTAGGACGCTGCCGTCCCTCCCATCAGTGACCAGATTTGAATCCACAGTCATTGCAGGAATTCAGCCCAGCAATTGCTATGGTCCATAAATATTACATTATCCATGAAGCTAGGTCAGATTCGGCCTTTTGTTGCCACGGATTCCCTCGGAAATGCTCACAACAACCGCCAAAAATTTGATATTCATGGCACGATGGCCGAGTTGGTTATGGCGCTAGGTTAAGGTCACCTTAATATCTGTGCCCCACAGTCTCCTAGTTCGGAAACGTACCTGGGTTCAAATCCCAGTCGTGTCATTATTTTTTGTTTTTTTTCCCTATCTTTTTGGATATGGAGATGTTGGAGAGGAGCAGTTCAAGGGGTTGGTCGGTGGTAATTGGGAGGGGCGCGGAGGGGGGATTTTCGCGGAGTCGTGGCGCAAGGAATTTGAGGCGTGCGTAGGGAAACGTCACGTGTGACGTGTGTCATTGGTCACACTAGAGGCCAAGTCGGCCAATCAGAATGGCCATGGGCGCTGGAGCTTGTTTGAGTAGGTCGACTAAAGGAAATATCTGGAATACTATACTGTGAATTGCAATTTCAATGGTCTTTCATCGCGATGGAGAAAGGTATATATATATGAGTGGTAAGCATCAAGTGATTGCAGGGTTGTACCTTTTTGTTAAGATATGTCATTTTTGGGGATGCAAACCACCATTTCTCACCCTAGAAGGCCCCAGTCCAGTCCGATAGCTGCGATGAAGTCCATACCTTTGAGACTTTCCAATGCTTCTCACCTTACATCCTTACTTCTTATGGTCTACAATATAAAATATTTAGTTTATCATTACACGCATTGATCAGTTTGGTGTTTCGTATGAACTATCCAATGAAAGAAGAGTACTGGCGAATGGAAAGATGCATTACCAGGAAGTTTGGCAACCAGCCGATGGCGACATGGAAGGGAGGATGCCGTTCAAAGCCGACAAAAAGCATTCAAACGGCTGGCAAGGGATAGTGACACAAGCATATTAATACTAGTCAATTGAGTGCTCTATCTGGGTCTCCTCGTATCACAATGTTGGCCTAATGCTGACCTCTGGCTGTCATAGACAGTACGAGCAGGTCTTAACATCCTATGCCCGGAAAAACCACATGTCTCATGATATGTATGAAGACCGTATCTATGAACATTGAACAGTCATCATCTGAACTACTGGAGCAGCTTAACCAAGCAGATTCCCCCATCTAAAACAGTCCAATTCAAGCCCTGATACACAATCGATCAGTCGACCATCCATCCAATCACAGCCTCCCAATTGTGGCCGCCTGTAAAGAAACCATTTCAAAACAGGATCCGGAATTGCCTACCAACCCCCCTAATTCGCGTCGGACGCGCCGGTGTCGCGTGGTGGGGCAGCCAATGACCACCGATTGGATCGAAGCAAAAGCTGTTTGCGGCGTTGCTCGGGGCGCGTTGCCGTCGCGTCGGTTAGAGTACCCAACCTTTTCGTGTTTGCAATTGCAATTGCACCATCGATGCGTCTATTCCATCGCGATTTTATCGATCGGATCGGAAATTCCTCCATAAAAGACTGTCGAAACTCGATGCAAGTATCCCCCAAAGTAGCATCAACCGCGAGCTGTCACTTATATACTGGTTGAGGCGGTCCACGTTGCACCATTCCTGAGCTGACCCAGCATGCATCGTCAAACCTTGTCCACCTGGAAAGTGAAAACCTACAACAAAAGTCACCGATATGAAGGTCGCAGGTTGGTCCATGTCGGTTCCCGATTATTCCGTCGCTCCATGCAACCAATGACGCTTGTTCGTCGTAAGGACTGTGCTTTTCTAGGCTTTGTAGTAAGTGGGAAGTGGGAAGATAGCTCCGGTCACTCATATAGCTCCGGTCACTCCATCTCCCGCTGAGGGGTTTCGGTTATTCTTAGGTGCCATGCTGTGGGGAGTGGATTGCATCATGATCGGAGAGGAGATCGGTGATACAGATCTTGGGTTCTAGAAGTCTACACGGGTACGTGGTGAAAATTGTTATCAAAGGCGATACTTCTGGGCGATATAGGCACGGAATCTCTATGTAATGGTTCATTAATTCCTACAGCTAATTGCTATGCTAAATGGCATGATATGCCATGATTGTGTAAACGCGATGGACGCTAGAAATGGGACATAATCCGAAAGCAATGGGATGTATGAGCAGGTGGCAGGTTATTACGACCAAAATACTATCTGTCACTGCCCAAAGATGATGCCCCTCTAAGCATATAAACAGGTCGTTCCTTGTGACCTCGCCCCACGGATCTTGACCGCCCAGCGGTTCTCTCCATATCACACAAGTCATTCCTCGTGACCCTCATGATTCATTTCGACGTCGGCAGCTCCCCTCCTAGCTCCATCCCCAACCCCTTCGGTCTCTCCTTCCCCTCGTCCATCGTCCGGTGGTCGAAGTTGACCCGCCGCCTCCCCGGTGTCTTCCCGCTGGGGGTCTTCCACGCCGCCTGGGCGGGACTCGGCGTGAAATGGAGGAAGTCCTCGAAGTTCACGGCGTTGGGGGTTTGGCTTCCGAAACCGAGGAAGCTGGCGGGGTTGCCTCCAGGAGTGGACATCATGGTGGATGGCAACGGGGTTTGTTTCGGCGGGGGTGTGGACGGGGCGTTGACTCGTGGTGTGCGGATGTTCGAGGTACTGTGGTTCGGTTGTGCCGGGGACGGAGACGCGGCAAGGTACATGAGGAGGTCCGCGGCGTCCTGTTGCGGAGCTCGTGGCTCGGTGAACGGTCGGCTGTGAAGACGCGAGGAGCGAGAGAAGCCGGGCGGAGGGGTGCGTGGGCTGCGGGCGGGCGGGGAGGAGCGGATTTGAAGTTTCGGGACACGGGGACCGCCCGCGGAGCCGGCATTGAATGAGAGGACGGGGAGGTCCTCGTCGTCGGTTTCGGAGGAGCAGACGGAGGTGGGCGTGGCGTCACGCGGCATGGAAGCAAATGAGATGTTGCTTCGGACAGGTTGGGTGGGGAAGGAGGAGTGTCGGTTGGGAAGAGATGGAGAGGATTGGGCAAGCTGGTAGGAGGACTTCCACGTCGACACTTTGGTGTGGCCAGCGCGGACTTTGGTTCGGGTATGGGAGCTCGAGACGGGACGGCGGAGTTGGTCTGGATTGTAGAACTTCTTCCGTTTGTTCGAGCCGTTGATGGTGCTACCGGAGCGAGGGAGGTCGTCGGAGAACATGGGCCCTCCAAGGGGAGAAGAGTCCAGCATCCCAACAGGATAATACCGGTCGGAGATGCTGGACGAGCAATCGGACATGACGTCTCGAGACGACGCCGGTCGTTTGCGTTTCAATTCCAAGTCGACCTTGGGTTCTATGGAATCGAGGCTCATGTTCTGCCATCCGTGCTGGATCTTGACGTTGGCAAGTGCCAATCGATTTTGCAGAGCTCTCGTCATCTACCGAGAATCCGGTAAGCGCTGGAGGTTTAAAGAAGCATTTCGGACATTGGGGCCTCACCTTTGATACTTGAGCTCTCCGTAACACCTTGTTAGCCACTTCGGCTGGTTGTTCTAAGCGCTCTGAAGAAGCCATGGCGGCCATTGTGAGAGATTTGACCACGCTGTTGCTATGGTCAAGGAAGAGGTGGAGACTGGAGAGGGGATGAAGGATTCGAATGGGCGCTCGGGTTGGAGTGTTTCAACAAGCCAACTTCAAGGAGTCCACGTGAGGTGTAAGAGAAGTGACAGTAGGTGCAAGGACGATTTGTGTGAGACGGAATCTGACAAGCGGACACCACGGATGGTGGACAGTGAGTTTGTAACTTTGTGAGGCTGGAAAGGGAGGGAGCTGGTGCAAAGTGCAAGCCTGCAAGATGGTGGATGACTGACTTTGACTGGTCGCTGGTTGCTCGGAATGTAGGCCCTGTGGGCCAGGACTCAGGATATCGTGAAGGGAGGTTTAGTGTTAGTAAATAGAAGGAATTTCCAGGTTGGGTCTAGCACTGATTACATAACAGCTATCAATTAATGGCACGTGAGTTGGCGTTTCTAAGCACATGACTTTTTATTCTCCCCTGTTGAGTGTTGACCAGAATATTTCAACTCCTCCAGCCATCCCTTTTTGTTGCCTGTTCACCATTCACACAGGGAATTTTCTGTGGTGCAGCCTTTTAGTCAGATCCCATGCTCACTATGAACCTATGAAATAGGTACCATAGGTTCATCCGACACAAAAGACACTCTGTAGTCAAACCAGTCCTGTATCAAACTGACGCTGCGAAGAGACAGGTTCATAGAAAATGTCAATCACGGGACTGGACAAATGACTTGGCTGTCCTCTATATCTAAACCAAATATTGGACTCTGTCATGGCTGTTAATTTAATGCTAATGTATGAAGCCTCAGAAGATATTGTCATCCCGTTATCGATTGAATTGTGTAGGGAGAATGGAATCATCTACTGATAATATCCCCTCCAGTACTCCTTATCGCACTTCACATCCCAATTTACACTCTTAACATGAATAGGCGCTGGAACTATTTATGCAACATTCGGTTGAGAAACCCAGGTCGCCATACCCCGTAACCCTCACCGAAGGCCTGGTCGCAAGCCTGCAAACCACAAACGAGCTCTTCCGCAGCACCCGCCCCCACCAATTGTCCGAATGGCAACGTCACTGGACCATGAACTGCCGTCGTACTGTGTATGCAGTGGAGGCGTTGGATCAAGTTGTGCATCGGCAATTGTGGCGTCCAGAGTCATTTCGCATTGATCTTTCCCCTATCTTGGCTTGAGATATGGGCACCTGGGTAGTCGAACATCCATTATATAGAAATTGGAAGGATACCAATTACAGCAGAACTCATGAGAAACAAGGCTGTTTAATCACTACGAAACAAACCGAATCTGTGGAGACAGACACCAGAATCACGATAGGTATGATCAATGTCTTCAATGATGACATGGATCTTGGCTCTTCGTTCTGGGCGTTTCACTGTTTCACTGTTTCACATGAGCAGTGAGCACCGACATGCACAGCATATCTGGCGGCATATGGGATACATCATACATGCTGAAATCTACTGATTAGAACACGCCTTGTTGATCAATCAGAAAGAGTCAAAAAGATATGTCCAGTACGGGTAATACCTTCATTAAAGCATGTGCATCCGCCTATATCATTCCAACTGCACTCACATACCTAGGCAATCAAACAAGATCGGACCTGATTAATGATTGCTTACTTTGCTCAGCCGGCAGGCTTTCCAGCCTGCTTTTAAGATCGGCACTAGTGCTAGGTAACTCCATTAATACATATCGATAACTATCCAAGGCCGATACGCATTTAGATTTTCAAACTTTACCCGGCGGCCCAACAAAGCACTTACGCACCACCCGCATCGGACTATTTCCACTTCCCCATGTCCTGTTCGGCCGTGTTCGTGTTGCGGTGTTGCCACCAGATAATCTCAGATAATCCTAGATTTCCTTCCTGGCCATTCTCACCTCCGGTGTATTACCTATGCTCCTTTTGCGGGTCAGCGAGCCGCTCAATCGCTGTCGATATCTGCCCTTGAATCTTGATACCGTCCACATCACATCATTTCCTAATTCCTGTTTCTTCCTCTCATGCCTCTCCACTCCTGCCCTTCGTTAGGACCTAAGCTATTGCCATAGACCTTGTCCATTCGTTTCCACTTCGTCCCCGCCACCTTCGTCATAGGATCATTAGTGCTACCAGAAGCTTGTATTTCCTGGCGCCTGCAAAGCCTGCAATCAACCTGCGGCTCGCGATTGCTACGCTGTGGACAGAATAACGTCTGTGCCAAGGCGAGAGCCAGTTCCCTCGTTTACCTTTAGAAGATTGATAATATCGCGATTTCAACAACACCATCGACGCGACGCCAGACGACACCCGGTTAACACATCCCGATCGCTGCCTTGCCAGCCCGGGGAGCACCTTCTCCATCATGCCTTCAATCCTCAAATCCGTCCGCGATCTGCGGAGGAGATCTCGAGCCAACCTGAACCGCTCCACCACCTCTTTGAACGAATACGACACTCCCGACAATTCCTCAGGTAATTCTTCCAACGACTCTTCGAACACGCCCCGCCCTGCTGCCGCTGGAGACCTACATCAATCCTCTTCCTCAAGTCTGAGCTTAATGACGACTCCTACATCTGCAACGCCGAGTGAATCGGGTAGCATCACAATTCGACCAAACGACGACTCAATTCCTCCCCTTCCTTCGAAGCCAACACTCTCCTCGAATCGGAATAGCGTGATTGTGAGTTCTCCGGGATACAGACATATTAGACATATAGACGTTAACATCATATAGGGTTCTGTCGCTGGTGGTCCTCCTCCGGGAGAGAGAATGGCCGCAGCGAGTGGGCCTTTCGCGCCCAGAATCAGCTCACCCCGACCTGGCGAGCAGGTTTACCAGAAGGTGCTCCTCATCAATGGACAGATTGGCCAGAACCCAAACGAACTATCCGCGAGACCCCAAGGAGGACAACTGAAAGTTACACATCACCAGGATTCGTTTCCTGCAACACAATGGAAGGTGCAGGACTCCCAGTTCAAGGCACTGGTCCATCTCACACCGGGACCAAACAAGATCACTCTCCTCTTTGAGCCTACCCGTCATTCTCATGGCTCGCACCCTTCTCTAGGTTCTAGCCGAACAACAAAAGGGCACGAATCTTGGTTCATGATCTACTACGTTCCTCCGGAATCCCCTCCTCTACAGCTGGTGATGCTCCTGGGAAGCGATTCTCCGGGAACGTACGATGCCATTCCAGCGCGAGTGTCGGGCGAAGGCAATAATCTGGATGTTGCAATTCGCAAATACCGGATGGCGGCATACATGTGGCAAGCATTTACGGCCGAGCAGATGCACCGGCATGGATTTGGACGGCGAACATTCCAATTCGAGGAGAGTTGGCTACACAGCAGCCTTTCCCTGCAGGAATACGAGACGGGCGTCATGCGCAGCCAGGCTACGGTGCATGTCATTCGTGTGGACAAAACCGTTGCAGAGCTCCGTGATCTGGAATATGCACAGCAGTATGCCAAGGCGACCAAGAAGTCAGAGCTGTTTAACATTGCAGCCGATGCGGTTCGGGAATATTTTCGCCCTCGAAACGGCCAGAAGATCTACGTGTCGTGCATGTACCTCGATTCTCACTGGGATCCGCAGGTCAAGACGATCCGCGCCCATGCGGCTCTCGGAGGATGTTCTGGGGATGTCAACCTCGCCATCTTCGGCTCGCATTGTCTGCAAAGTTACCCGTCCTCGATCGAAGAAGTCCCGAATGCGCTCGTGGACTGCACGCGAACCGATACCGCTCATGTCGCCAACGACGCAGGGGAAGCAGGCAGCAGCTGGGAAGCGGCGAATATTGGCATCGGCGCTCACATGCACGAGGTCGGTCACCTCTTCGGTTGCCCGCATCAGGAGTCCGGCGTCATGCAGCGCGACTATACCCGACTTCATCGGACATTCCTAACCCGCGAAGCCTTCTCGACCCGCACCAAGCAGCAGGGCATGTACATCTGCAAACCATCTGATGAGTGCGGATGGCACCGTCTTGACGCCCTTCGATTCCGATATCATCCAAGCTTCCGGCTTCCGAAAGACCCTCCCATGGCGAATGCCGATTCCGGGATTCAAACGTTCTGTATCAAAGAAGGCGAGGCGCTCATTATGGCAACCTCAGGCATTTGTTTCATCGAGATCCGGACCGAGAGCGACGACATCTGCCATCATTGGTTGGATTTTACGGACGTGCAGAGAACCGACTACCTTCCCAAATCCTACCACCTTACGGATGACGCACTCCGCAAATTGCTCCCCTCCCGCAGGCGCAAGTCGAAACTCAAAGTGTCCATCCACTCCATTGCGCTGAACGAGCACACCATCGACTGGGATAACTTTGCTTCCAAGAGCTCTCGTGTTGAACTGATGAAGGGCAGTCCGACGAAGAGCAATCTTCTCAGCAACCTCACGCGCCACGCAACATCGCACGGCTTCCGCGGCAGCAAGCTCGGCCACTCGCAGCTCCCCGATTCCGAGGCCGGGGAGATCGTCTTCAACTCGGTGATCCCCCCCAATCGGTTCATGACGTCGATCAAGATCTACCACGGCAACTCCGTCGATGGCATCGAGTTCTGCTACGAGGATTCCACGAGCCAGCTGCTCGGAAAGCGCGGCGGCAAGCCCGGTGGTTCGGAGTTCAAGTTCGATACTCGGTCCGCCGAGCAGCTCTTCGGGTTCTATGTGAGGGCGGGCGCGTGGATCGACGGGATCCAGATCCTCGCCACGTCGGGCCGAAAGAGTGAGATCTTTGGGAACGCGACTGGTGGGAGTGGGTATGTTTACGAATCGTCCTGCCGAGACTCATATCGCTATGATGCTAACAACTTGTACAGGCATCGACTCGTCCCCCCTGCCAACTTTCAGATCTCTGGCGTCTATGGCTCCTGTGGGGCTTGGATGGATGGGTTCGGTGTAATCATCTCCCATTAAGACCACTCGCCCTGCGTTTCTGCCGACATTCTTTTGTGAAGCTCCTCGTACACCCAGTGTGCTCTTTCTCAGCCGAGACGTCCCGAGCCTCTGAATTAAGGACCCCGCTTCTTCGAACCAAGCTGTTTCCGCTCGGATCCCAATACCATCGACCATCGAACCGCCCTTTCATACCGGCCGTTGTTCCTACCTGTTGTTGCGAGTCGAAATACCCTCCAACCCTATACATTATTCCCTCCCGCCATCACCAATCCCTTCGGTTCTGAGCGGCTCACCTTTGATTTTTATCGGTCTTCAGACATCCCGGCGTTCCGCATCAATAGACAGCTTAAAACGGGGTTTTACGGTACATATGAAAGCCGTAACCAGCGAGCGGCTTTCTCTTCGCGCGAGCGGCATACAACTTTCATCGGCGTTTCGTTTCGTTCCGTTTCGTTCCATTCCGCTTCGTTTCGTTCCGCTTCGTTTCGTTCCGCTTCGTTTCGTTTTTCGGATCCGCGGGGTTTTCGCGGTGTCAACATTCGTCCTCGCTTCGTTTCTATTCGAATGGGAGCATGGTGGGCGCAACTTCTCGCATCACCTTGGGTCTTAGCTTGGCGAGTCACTTCTTGTTGCCCGTCCCTGTTCTATCTTCGCGGAAAAAGGATGGGACTACTGTATGGGCATGGAATTGAATCGGTTTTCGAGCGTGGCAGCGCTTCGATAATGGTAGGGTATGGCAGCTAGGAATCGGCAATAATAAGGGGTACGGCGTGGAAATATCTGAACCGGTTATGGATGAAGGCTGCTACAGGGAAATCAATTCAATCGTCGGACATGGGATGGAGCATTGCATGTGTGTTCCAGTAATGATTATACATAATATCGATATACCGCCCGGGAGAGTGGTGATGATGGAGATGGACCAAATACAAACTACGTCCAATGAGTGGCGTACTTATGGTTGAATTTCTTGCAATGCTTCAAGTAACGGGGAGTTCTGTCAGAACGGCACGTAAGAAGTAGTGAGACGACAGTAGATTGCTCTATGACGATTGATGTCGGATCCATGAGGGAATATACAAACGAACTGATAAAACGATCCACGTGGATCATAGGAAAAGGCCCTATGATGCGTTTGGATCAATCCTCCACTTCAAACAATTGCTCTCCAAAATCCCCCCTGATTCTTGTTCTCCCCGTTCGTGTCGCATCCATCCGTCACAACCCGTAACTGCTGACTGAATTTGGATCCTAAGGCGCGGGCATATGTATCTTAAGGCCTACGGAAGTCGTATGCCATAAAGCCCAGCTAGTCGACATAGTTTTGCATCGTGCCTGGCTTGAACCCTCTCAAATACCAATAGTCAGGGGCCAGCGTAGGGCTTAGACAAAAACGACCGGCGAATGCGGCGAATAGGAACCTACCAGTGACACGGTTGGTCATGACAGAAACCATCTCGAGAAACGAAGGTATCCGTATTGCAACTGAACTTCATCGCTCTCGCTAGTATTCGTCGCACGGGAAAGGTCTGGAAGAAAGATTATTGCAAACAAGGGACCTACTCAAAATAGACAATGTATTGGATATTTGGCCTGTAGAGAACATTTCAGGACTATTCTATGAAATTGAGGTTATCCTGCAGAGTCCGACGAGCGGGAGAGATTCACAGCCACTAGGGTATACCAGAAACAGTGTTCAAACTGTTCCCAGAACCGGGAAGATGTGATGAACCGAACGCATGCCCAGGCTGTTGGTAGCGGAGTGCTTGTCCACGATCCTGATGTCCAGGGGGAGCGAACCAGGTCGTCAGTTGAAGATCGATATCGGCAAGAGCCTAAAGGTGAATCGCACGTATGGAGGTCCCCGCGACCCAAACCAGACTCATTTGGGTAGTTGAATGGAAGGCTTGGAAGGCTGATAAAACGAAAGAAGCACACGACTTGCATGGACAGAGGGGTAGACAGGAGGATGAGAAAACGCGATGAGGCACTGGACGAAAATATCAAGGGGGTACGACGGTACGAGATCTCGACTCTAAGAGACTCTAGACATTTTGTAGTGCTAGCGACAACTAGATCAAGGATCGAATACCGTGTCGTTCCCAAACTACCGCAGGGCCATTTTGCGTAGATGTGCCCTATCGTTGAGTTCGCCACAAAGGCATCTGACCGCTCTGATGTCGTTGGTCTGAGCCGTTAAAAAGGGGCGCAAGGATACTACCTCACGTTGCCTCTAGATCCCGATGATAATACGTGATGGCCAACGGTGAAGCTATAGTGAGCCAGGTGTATCGATTCGCGGGCCGACCAGCGATAACCACACTCTGGTTCTCACTTCATTCAGGTTACTGCGGTGGACACCCTTTCCAACCTGAGCAAGAGGCAATTTGGCAGGACCCGGAGACGCGAGCGCGGGTGGTGAACGAAGTGCGGGCGACGGGCTGGCGGTCGAATATCGAGCGGCCGCCGAACAAGAGACAATCCGCCCGGGTGGCCGACGTCGATGTCTGACGAGATGGAAACTGAGGCGCAGCGACGATATCTGATGGGCGAGATCGAGTTGGGTGAACTGTAGGGTGTGGCATCGATTCCCGGGGACGGACTTCTCTCAGCTGCAATTCATGCGAGGGGTATACCCAATCCCTGGGGGCGCGCCGACGAAAATGCAGCAAGACATTGATAAGAATAATAGGTTCATGGACGAAGTCTTGAACCCACTGAGCCTCTGCATCCAAGATCCGTCGGGAAGCAAGGCACCGATGGGGAAGAGAGATTGAAGGGATGTAGAGGCCAACATTGTGGCGCTGTGCCGTACATACTACGTAGCAAGGGCTTTCTGATGCTGGGATCGACTCAGGTCAACCAGAAGGATATGACAGTTGTTATACTCATATTTCGTGAATCTTTCCTTGAGTCCTGAGTCCTGGTGTCCATTTAGATATTCCTTAATGTATTCCTTAAGGTAAGGAAGTTGTCTGGTGGCTGGTGCTGGTAATGCGGAGGTACCGTACCGTCCTACGCAGTAATTTATACTTACCCGGTATAATACCAAGACCCCTGAAAACGCGCTTCCCTGGTACGGTGCCGAGGACGCCATCCCTGTGGTCTATTTACTGTCTTAGACTGAAGGAGAGGACGTCGGACTTCATGTAACTTTCTCCTGCAGCGTACATGTAGTACACCATTCGAATCTCTTTTGTGTGCTGACAGCAGGTAAATATTGTCTCGTCCCCCACCGACCCTTCGAAACCTTCCTTGGGTTTCAGATCTGCTATCGTTTCTTACTTTTGACGACTGCTGGCGGACGATGATCGCAACTGGCAAACTTGCATCCCGAACTGGTCCACGAGACACCCAAACAATCGAACTCAACACATAGACCGACCAGCAACCACCCGCGTCGAGCATGGCTACGGCCACTGCCAGGGCGCAAGGAGTAGGCGATTCTTTGGGAGATTGGGATAGCCACTTGGAAGATGATGCGCACGCGTTGGAAGGTGATGCGCATGCCATAGAAGAAGACCAAATCGAAGCATCTGGGACCAAGGGACATGCGCGGAACTCTTCACATCGGTCGGCATTGTCGCAGTCGGCGAATGCACCGGCAGAGGATCTTGCGAAATCAGACCCCGACTTCGACTTCTCAGAACTGGAACTCCCTCCCCTACCTACCACCTCCGATGAAGACTTGCAGCATGTTGAAGACAGTATCCTTGACCCGAAGTCGGGCGGAAGTGAGGTGGATATGAGCGCGACAGTCGAGCGCGACATGAAGAGACAGCTAATGGATATTGAATCAAGCTTCTTGCCAGACCCTGCACCCCCGGCGGAAGACGAAGTGGAAGGACCAGGCAAGGATGACACCTATCTCTTTGGAATGGCAACAGAGCCGGAAATGCCATCAAGTGCTGCCGATGACACGGCTGGCGATGATATCATGCAAGAACTGCGTGAGGAAACCGGCGGTTTAGATGAGGGCGATACTCGCCCTACCGCGCTAGGAGAAGAAGAAACGTCAACATTGGATCTGAGTCAATTGACTTCTTCACCAGCTGCCGCTGCTGCGAAACGATCACACTCGCGCGGACCCTTTGCGACAGATTCATATGACAATCGAAGACCGCCCACCTCACACCCGCGACAAACACAATCTCCTTCACATGACAACGATCCTTCAGGGGACCCGGACAATGGAAGCTCGCGCATTCTTGCCGACACAACGAACGCCTCGAATCCGCAAATCATTCAGACAGCACCGACACCAGCGAAAATGTCCTCGACAGATTCACTTACAGCCTCCCGTCCTTCCTTCTTCCGCTCGCGCCAAGATTCTCAACGCTCCTCTACATCCTCTATTGCCCACTCCGACCTCTCTGGCGATGCCCCCAGCGAGGCAACACTCAGTGCCGACTATGCCTTACAATCCGGCGGTGCAGTGTCTTCCAGCAGCGCAATCCGCCCAACCGATCTGTCTCGCCATCCCAGCATGGGCAGTGTAGTGTCTGGGATCTCCAGCGTCAGCGGATACAGCGATTCGCCTGGTCCTGGAGGGTTCCACCGCAACATCAGCGGCCTAAGCGCACTTTCTGAACTATCTAGTGCACGTGATGGCGTCCTTGAGCCGCTGGACGAAGAGCGGGAGACATCTAGGTCGCCGTCTGCCACACCCCCTTTGACACCACGACCTGGCACTGCGGTGAATGATGGTGCCGGGATCACAGACACGGTCATTGCGCAACATGTCAGCAACATCACGGTCCCTGAAACAGTGGCCCGCGAATTCCGTGAGCGGCATGCACGAGAAGACCCACCGCGTCCTGGGACCTCTGGCAAGATGAGCACGACTAGCGGAGGTACGGGGCTTCGACACACTCTAACCCTCAAGGAGCAGAACTCCAAGATCGACAAGTTGTCCAAAGAGAACTTCGACCTGAAGTTGAAAATCCATTTTCTCGATCAAGCGCTCCAGCGACGAAGCGACGAAGGCGTGCGGGAGCTGGTGCAGGAAAATGTCAAGCTGCATACCGACCTTACGAACGAGAAGAAGGAGAGTCTGGCGCAGCGGAAACGGGCGAGAGAAGCTGAGCGACGCGCGAGGAACCTGGAGGATGAGGTTAGAGAGTTAAAGGCGGCGGTGAAGGCAGCGAATCAAGGAAAGGAGGACCGGAAGGCCGAGGAAAGTACCGAGACGGCCATTCTGGAGGACGAGATCACGTACCTCAGAGAATGTTTGGAGCATTCGGAGATCACGACAGAGAAGTTGAGGGAAGATGTTATGGCGAAGGAAGTGGAGAAGAGGAGGATGGCGGACTATATCAAGAACGTACAAGCTGCGGATGCTGCTGGAAGAGAGCGCGACGGCAAGGGGGTGGAAGAAGCCATGGTAATTTACTCCAGTTCGTTGATAAGGATAGCATATGCTGACTCTATATTACAGGAGATGTGGAAAGACCTTCTGGAAGCCGAGACCGCCCGCCGCGAACAAGCAGATGAGGACACCCAGAAGCTCCGCGACGAACTGCGCCGTTTGAGGGCCGACACCCAAAACACGACCAACAACCACAACGTTCGCACCACCTACAACATCCGCAACCACAAGCACGTCTCCACCACTTCCAACCACCCCTCCGAACCGGTCGACGGCGAAACCCTCGTACCCAACGGCCAAGACTTTAATGGCTCCGTCGCCACCTCATCGACTCTCGTCGAGAAACTCCAGCACGAAAACGCCGAACTGCGCCGTGACCTCGGCGCCCAAACCTCCATGCTCACCTCGCGCAACCGCGAACGCGAACGCCTGCAAGCCGAGATTGAAGATCTCAAGCTCGCCGCCCGTCGCGTGACCGACGGGTCCGCCATCCACGGCGGCCGCAGCGTGGCCGGCGACAGCATCTTCGAGCGATCCGTGTCTCGCGCCGGCAACGCGATGCACGGGGCCGGGCACGAGCGATCCGGCGCGGGGATGCCACGATCCGCGAGCCGAGCCAGCGGCGCGACGCGGCTGACGGAGGTGAGCGATAACGAGCGGGAGCGCGAGGAGTGGGAGCGGAAGCTGTCGCACGCGCGCGACGACGCGGCGAAGACGAAGATGCTGAACCAGGAGCTGGAGAGGGAGCTCAATGCGCATCTGGACTTCCTGTCGCAGGCGGAGCGGGACAACGCGGCGCTGCTGCAGGAGAAGGAGGAGTTGAGTGAGGATGTGCAGGCGCTGTCGGTGGAGCGGGATGAGTTGCTGACGGCGTTAGAGGCAAAAGAGGGGGAGTGCGAGGCGTTGCGGGACGAGGCGGTGCAGACGATCGATCGTCTGGAGGAGGATCTCGATCACAAGGAGCAGGAGGCACAGAGGGTGTTGCAGGAGCTGGAGGGCAGGAACGAAGATTTTGCCGGGCTCGAGCGCGAGATGAAGAATGTTACCGAGTCGCTCATTCAGCTAGAGGACGATCGAGCAGCCGCGCGAAGGAGGATCCAGAGCCTTGAGGCAGAGGTCGAAGAGGCGAATCGCGAGCTAGAGACGCTCGATAAACGACTACGGGAGGTCAATGGAAAGAATGAGCGGCTGGAAGTCCAGATTGAGTCGAATCAAGGCGAGATCAGCTTCCTTCGGGAAGAGCAAGAGGGTGACAAGATCAAGATTGGCGAGTTGGAGGCTGCCATTACTGCTGCGCACGCAAACATCGTGGAAGAGAAAGACCGCTTCCGAGAGCTTGAAGAGCGCCTGCGCGAAGAGAGAAAGCAAAGGGAGATCCTTGATAGCCAGGAGAAACAGGAGGTGCAGAAGGTCTTAAGCGACTTGAATTCCCAACTTGCGAAGAGCAAGGAGGAAGTGAGGAAGCTTAGAAAGAGCCTCAGTACCAAGGAAGTTGAGGCCAGCACCTGGAAGGAAAAGCTGGAGGAGCTAGAGCGCAATTTACGAGAAGCTCTAGGCGACTTGGACGGTACCAGGACGAGTTTGCTTCAGGTTTGTTTTTCACCATTTCTTTCCATGCAGTGTACCTCTAACGCCGAACTTACAGGACGTACACAACCTTCAAATCGATCTCGAAACGGCCGTCGCCGAGCTAGACAAAGCTCGCAGCGATCTCGCAGAAAAAGAACGGCTTCTTCGCAACCGAGATGTGCTCCTCGAAAGCACTGGGTTGGAAGGCAGAAGGCTGGCTGATCTACTGGAGAAGGAGAGGCAGGCGAGAAGACAGGATCGCCAGCACTTCGAACAAGTCCAGAGAAGTCAGGCGACTATGTCTCGTACCATGCATGCCCACGAGACGCGGATGCTGGAGTTGGAGACTACCCGCAGCCAAGATAAGAAGCGGATCAACACTCTGGAGAAGCAGCTTCACGATCAGCTCCTCGACCGGAACAACTTGTTGCTCGCTTTATGGAACCGCCTCTCCACCCTCTGTGGGACAGACTGGGCACAGAAATACAGCCTCATCGACGGGCAAGCCCTACCTTCTGTCGAGCAGATCAACCGGAACCTCCCGGGGTTCAACAAAAATATCATCCTCGCGGTCAAGACCGTCGAAGGCATCGTCGGCGGCTTCCGCCAACGCATCCGCACCATCGAGAAAGACCTCTGGCGCGACTACCAAACCCTCGAACACACCCTCGATGTCCGCGTCAAGCGACTCGACCAACTCGAACGGACTATCCAAGTCCAAACCGCCACCACGCGCCAGACTCGCACCGGGTCCCGAGGCAGCACGCAAAGCGAGCACGCCGAGATCTTCAAGCTCAAAGGCGAGAACAAGCAGCTGCGCGCGGACCTGCAGTTCCAAAAAGAGCAGGCGCAGCAGCACAACTCCTACGCGCCACGGTCGCCGCCGTCGCGCGACACGTCCCGCGCCAGCATGGCGAACACGCTCCTCCGCGCACATTCTGCCAACGCCGCGGACGCGCTGTCATTCGACCCGACCAGCACAGTACCGGGCCATTCGCGGCAGGGGTCCGGGGGGCAGGCGTACTCAGTCAACTCGGCGTTGCAGCCGTCGGAGCAGCGGTGGATTCATCGGTTGAAGGAGCTGGAGCGGCGGCTGAAGGGGGAGCGGGAGGCGCGGTTGTTGGATCGGAGTGGGGCGCGGAAGCGGTTGGAGGAGGGAAAGGCGGAGAATGAGGAGTTGCGGAGCATGTTGGAGCGGGAGCGGGAGCGGAGGCAGTTTTTGGGGGAGGAGGAAGAGTTGGTGGAGGCAGAGTCTTGAGTCTTTAAGGTTGGATGGGTTGATTCGTTTCTTGGCGATGGAGTTGCGTTCACTGTCTTTCTACCCTGGGTGCTCCGATGACGACGGGTTCGGAGCATCGCATGTACTACTATTCAGATATATTGGGATACGGGCGTTGGCGGTCACTGGACTGACGGTTGACGTCGAAGGCTTGCCTGGCGGTCAGGCCTAATTGTTGGCTGTAGCGAATTACAAGCGCATTTGTCTCCTTCGGACCATGTTTAATTGAACAAAACCAACAAACCCTCGATGAACGACTCTGGACTCCGGTTGGCTCGTACGGAATATCAAATGATAATCCGAGAATCCGATGCGCGACGGACGCCGACTTCGCACGACAGCGTGACAGGGATGACCCGCAAAGCGAATTTTTTCGAAATGGCGGGGGGCTTGTGTCCTGGTGTCATACAAAAGGTTTCCATAAGCCCTCCCCATCCTTCTGTAGAGTCCATCATTGCCCAATCCGCAGCTACATTTTCGATATACAGAATCGATTGGCAAGGTTGAGAATCACACATCTTCAATTAAAAAGGAAGATCTCGAGAACATCGCAATGTCTACTTACGTGCTCTCAAAGTCCCATCAGGAGGTAAGAGACGTTTGAGAGGTACCATTCATGAAAGGACATTGCTAACGTTGATGAAGCTGATGGAGAAGTCGCTCGTCGACTTGGATCCTGATGTTGCTGAGATTATGGTCAGTATCTTCTGGAGCTCCCAATGCGCCCGGGAAAATTTCGCTAACCCATTCCACAGAGGAAGGAGATCAAGCGCCAGCGAGAGTCCATCCTCCTCATCGCCTCCGAGAACGTCACCTCCCGCGCCGTCTACGATGCCCTTGGTTCGCCCATGTCGAACAAGTACTCCGAGGGCTACCCCGGCGCTCGGTACTATGGTGGCAACGAGCACATCGATGAGATCGAACTGCTGTGCCAGGCTCGCGCTCTCAAGGCCTTTGGCGTCGAGTCAGACAAGTGGGGAGTCAACGTTCAGTCTCTGTCCGGCAGCCCTGCCAACTTGCAGGTCTACCAGGCCATCATGAGGCCGCATGATCGGTTGATGGGCTTGGATCTGCCGCATGGTGGGCATTTGAGCCACGGCTACCAAACCCCTCAGCGGAAGTGCGTTCTCTCTTCTACTTTATTATCTCTTCGGCTAGCTTACAAGGCTTAGGATCTCCGCTGTCTCCACCTACTTCGAAACTTTCCCCTACCGCGTCAACCCTGAGACGGGCATCATCGACTATGATCGCCTGGAGGAGAACGCGCTTATGTACCGCCCTAAGGTCCTCGTCGCGGGTACTTCCGCGTACTGCCGCACCATCGACTGGAAGCGCATGAGGGAAATCGCCGACAAGGTCGGCTGCTACCTGGTGGTTGACATGGCCCACATCTCCGGCCTGATCGCCGCCGGCGTCCACGACTCCCCCTTCCCGTACGCTGACATCGTCACCACCACGACCCACAAGTCGCTCCGTGGCCCCCGCGGCGCCATGATCTTCTTCCGCAAGGGTGTCCGCAGCACCGACAAGTCCGGCAAGCAGATCATGTACGACCTGGAGGGCCCGATCAACTTCTCCGTCTTCCCCGGCCACCAGGGCGGTCCGCATAACCACACCATCACGGCGCTCGCCGTCGCCCTGAAGCAGGCGGCCACCCCAGAGTTCCGCCAATACCAGGAGCAGGTCGTCAAGAACGCCAAGGCCCTCGAACACGAGTTCAAGAGACTCGGCTACGTCCTCGTCACCGACGGTACGGACAACCACATGGTTCTCCTGGACCTCAAGCCCGTCCATCTCGACGGCGCGGGCGCGCGCGTCGAGGCCGTCCTCGACCAGGTCAACATCGCCTGCAACAAGAACACCACCCCCGGCGACAAGTCCGCCATCACACCCATGGGGCTCCGCATCGGCGCGCCCGCCATGTCCAGCCGCGGCATGGGAGAGGCGGACTTCGTTCGCATCGCCGGGTATATCGATACCTGCATCAAGCTGGCGCAGAAGGTGCAGGCCGAGCTACCAAAGGGGCAGAACAAGCTGAAGGATTTCAAGGAGAAGGTGGCGAGCGGTGAGGTACCGGAGCTGGCGCAGCTGAAGACAGAGATCGCAGGGTGGGCCGGATCGTTCCCGCTGCCAGTGTAAGTCTGTCTCTTCTCGACTCTCCCGCGATGCGTGGCCGATACGAGGGATCGGACGGAGTTCTTAGTTTGGGGGGAGTTTCAGCATTTCTAGTCTAGTCGACACGGGGCTTTGGATCATTTCAACGGATCCAAGGCGCGTTTGGCCGGTCTCAAAAAGCATTCAACATCGTTGGAGGCAACTCCACTTCATGCACAGGAGAAAGTCCGGTTTTTGCCAGTGGAAAGAACCGGAGTTTTGGAACGGGTTAATGGGTATATGAGATACTAGTGTCAACCACGATATGATATTTACGGATGACGCCGTAACTGCTTAACCAGCTAATCAGATAGCAAATAACTGGAAGCGTAATGCTCAACAGCTTCTGATGACAGCGTCTGTAAACCTCCAGCCAGTTCTCTGTGATCGCACCATCATGGTTGCGCATCCACCAGGACTTGACGCGTTGACTATGCTTTCCTCTCCGAATGTATCTCATACGCATATCTTCTTCAGGACTCGAGGGTTTCTCCTCTTCATGATCCAAGTGTTCCATGTGTTCCGTGTATTCCATCATCCTCTTCCCAATCCTCACACTCCTTCCCTCACCTCCACCGACGTAACCACCACCCCTTCCATCCCGTCCTCCGCTCCAGTCTCCCCTACCCCCGCTAACGCCTTCCGCCTCAACTCCTCCAACACCCCTCTCAGATCCCTCACCCGCGCCTCTAACTCCCCAATCTCCCCCTCCTGCTCCTCCACGCTCCGCTCCACGTCCGGCAACGCCCTTACAGCCGCCCGCGCCCGCTGCAGCCGCACCTTCAACTCCGATGTCGCGGCCGCCAACTGATGGATCTCCAACGTCTCTCCCGCGGACGCGTCGGCGGTGGGCTGTGACCCTGTGGTTTGTGATGTCGCGTGTTGGGTTTGGCTTTGCGTGGCTAGCTGGGTTTGTGGGGTTGGGGCGGTCGTGGATGTGGCTGGCGCGGTTGTCGAGGGGTCTTTTGGGGGAGCGAGGCCGGAGGGGGTGGGGAGGATGCGGGCGAGGAGGGTGTGAAGAGATGGGATGATGTCGAAGAGGGCGGGATTGGGGAGGGAGGAGATGGGGTCGGGGGTGGATGGGTTGGGGGGGATGGAGAGGGGGGAGTCTTGGTGAGAGGTCGTCATGTTGGAGGATGCGCCTCGTTGTGAGAGGCCAGTGGCTCAATGGAAAATGAGTACGGAGTATGATAAATTGGATTAGTCTCGTGTGGAGGAAAGGCTCAGTTGATGCTGATGTTTACTTTTTTCGTGGCTGGACAACCTGTAAAAATGACGTGGGGTTGATAGTTGTTGAGTCGGTGGTGGACGGTGGTGGGGTGTCACCGTGTCAATGGTGCAGATATCTTTCGTCAATTGATGAGAGAGAAGCAATCTCAATCCCCGATTCTGTCCGATTGAGCGGAATTTCCAAGGTATTCTTCTGCTGTCAACCCGGTGGATTTCCGATTTCGTGTCAAAATCATTGGTCGTCTTGACATTTTTTCGTCATCAAGTCATACAGAAGCTTCATCTGCTGCGCAAGCTTACCTCAACAATGGCTAAAGTTGATCAGAAAGCGGTTTTGAGTACGTTCAAGGATCCAATTGCTCGATATCCACCTCCGTATGTCGAAGGAACTTAGTGGCTGATTTCACTCTTAGTCGTCATCGATGGCTGGGGCGTACCCGTCGAATCCTCCCCTCCGGAGGGCGATGCGATTGCTGCCGCCGAAACCCCATATATGGACGATTTCGCCAAAGACGGCTCCAAAACCGCGCAAGGATATACTACGTTGGAGGCGTCTTCGAATGCTGTTGGTCTTCCGGAAGGTCTTATGGGCAACAGCGAGGTCGGCCATCTGAACATTGGCGCAGGACGAGTGGTGTGGCAGGATGTGCGTACGCGATATATGGATGCGTATTGAGCAGCAACTGACACTTCTCAGGTCGTTCGAATTGATATGACCATCAAGAAGGGCTTGATGAACAAGGTCGATAACATCGTCAAGTCGTTCCAGCGTGCCAAGGATGGCAATGGTAGACTACATCTTCTTGGTCTGGTCTCGGATGGCGGAGTGGTATGCACCGGTCCTCGATATACGAACTGAACATGAGATTGACAGGGAACAGCACTCGCACATCAACCACCTCATCGCATTGCTTAAGGTAGCCAAAGAGATTGGCATTCCTAAAGTGTTCATCCACTTCTTCGGGGATGGCCGTGACACTGACCCCAAGTCCGGCGCTGGGCACATGAAGGACTTGATCGCGAAGACCAAAGAGATCGGCCTTGGTGATATCGCGACTGTCGTTGGCCGCTACTACGTCATGGACCGTGACAAGCGATGGGACCGCGTGGAAGTTGGTATGAAGGGCATCGTTGTTGGCGAAGGAGAGCCGTCCGACGATCCTCTGAAGACGATTCAGGATCGATATGCCAAGGGTGAGACGGATGAGTTCTTGACGCCCATCATTGTTGGTGGGGCTGAGCGAAGAGTGCAAGGCAAGTAACTATGATCAAGATCTGGCATGACTGTTACTGATCCTCATTCAGATGACGATACTCTCTTCTTCTTCAACTACCGCTCCGACCGCGTTCGTGAAGTCACGCAACTCCTCGGCGACTTCGACCGCTCGCCGAAGCCGGATTTCCCCTACCCCAAAAACACCCAAGTCACGACCATGACGCAGTACAACGTCCGCTACAGCTTCCCCGTGGCTTTCCCACCGCAGCGCATGGACAACGTCCTGGCCGAGTGGCTCGCCAAACAGAACCTCAAGCAGTGCCACGTCGCCGAAACGGAGAAGTACGCCCACGTCACCTTCTTCTTCAACGGAGGCGTCGAGAAGCAGTTCGACGCCGAGGAGCGCGAGATGATCCCCAGCCCGAAGGTCGCGACCTACGATAAGCAGCCGAAGATGAGCGCCATGGCCGTCGCAGAGAAGCTCTGCGAGCGGATCGCGGAGGGCAAGTTCGAGTTCCTGATGAACAACTTCGCGCCGCCGGATATGGTGGGCCATACCGGTGTGTACGAGGCCGCCATCGTGGCCTGCGCGGAGACGGACAAGGCGATTGGGAAGATTTACGACCAGTGCAAGAAGTCCGGATATGTCCTGTTCATCACCTCGGACCATGGGTAAGTTCTGCTGTATACTCTGTCCTGGATCCTCACTGACCTTTTGCAGTAACGCGGAGGAAATGATCAACGAGAAAGGCACGCCGAAGACGTCTCACACCACGAACGAGGTGCCCTTCGTCATGGCCAACGCTCCCGAAGGGTGGAGCTTGAAGAAAACCGACGGCGTACTAGGCGATGTTGCGCCGACCCTCTTGGAATGTATGGGACTGGACACGCCCGCCGAGATGGACGGACATAGCTTGCTTGTGAAACAATAGACGAGCCGTTTCGGATAGCTGGTGAGCGATGACTGCGCTGCAAGGGTGAAATAGACCGCGCGGTACCGATAAGTGAAAAGCAATTCATCTTATAGACATACATATGATTGGACGAGACAATGAAAGCTCAAGATCCATAGATTCGAGAAGTTTGCATCCCAGTGTCCTACCCCTTCTCTCGTTGTTCTAATGTTGACGAAGACCTCCGTTTCTCTCCGTCGCGCCGAAGAGCAACAGCACGTCTTTCCTGATGCCTCCATCTGGACATTCCCTGAAGGCTCAAGCGCGCGGGACAAAGTTCCGATCCAAATTTCTAACGTGCCAGCGCCATGATTAACCGTCATAGGCATAGAGGTTCCACAGTTAGATAAACGCCGCAGTGTGGCTAGCAATCAAAGTTAGGTGAACATCTGGTCGAATTAATCCAGCTATTTGACATTAATCATCAGTCCATCACGTCTCCCACGAGACGATGGTTCTACATCGGCATCGTATCTATTCTCGCCTTGGATCCTTGCGGCTCATTGGATCGCTTCCTTGAGCGCCCTTGTTTCCCCCCATCGGAATTTCTGTACCCCTTGCTCGTCTTCTTTCCCTTCCAGTTGCTCTTGCCTTTTGAACCCCTGCCCTTGGAAACGATTCGGGGTCGCGAGGTCACGCTGGATACTTTCCGTCCCTGCCCACGCGCGGCTCCTCCACCCCCGGTGAACTCGGCCTGCTTCTTTGGAAGCGGGCGAGATGGGCCGGCGGTTTCGGTGTGGAAGAAACGAGAAAGCGACGGCTCGACGGAATCGTTCGTCTCTGTGACGCTGGCTTCGTCATCGGTGTTTACGGGACGCAGATCGTCCAAGTCCATGTCTCCCCACTCTCCGGGGTCATAAGGATCATCGTGATCGTGAGGGTCATGAGAGTCATGAGAGTCATCCAGATCATCGGAGACGAGATCTATCACGTGCCGATGGTTCGGATCGAAGACCTCGTCATCCTCCCCAGCGGTATGCGGATCGCTCATGGCCTCTTCGTAGCTCCGTTTCGCGCGAGTAATCAAGGCCAGGAACCGCTCTCCAAACCGCTCGACCATTCGTGGTTCAATTCCGGGAATGCGAAGAAGGTCGTCCTGGGATCGGGGGAATCGGATCGCCATGTGTCGAAGCACGGTGTCCGAGAACGGAACCACACGCAAGTCTTTCTCGATCACCAGATTCCTACAGAGTTTTCCTGCCTCCTCAACGAACTCGTCCGCGTATAGGCGGTGGATGTCGTTGAGCCGGCCCATCTGGTCGTCTGCGGTGATCGGATCGCCCAAGCGAGGTTCGACTGCATACTCTTGTCTTCCGGCCACACGGATGGGCTCGAAACCGTCCGAATCTTGGTCCTCTTCGGTATCTTCATCGCCCACCACGAAAGAGTTCCGCGCGTAACCGTTGGGATGGAAGCTCATGTCGTCATCGGAGTCCTCCCTCTCCGCCGCTTTTGGTGCCTTGCGCTTTGGCTTCGGCCGAACGGGGGAAGAAACGTTGGTTGATGCTGGCACACCCCGTACTCCGGTAGCAAGGGACTTTGGTGCTGTGGCTTCGGACCCCTTGGGCATTGTCGAGACTTCAACGTCGAGAAGAACGCGTTGGTTGCCGCTGACGATATCGTGATACTTGGGGCCAGGCTGTGATACCGTAAGCACATGCACATATGTTAGAACGAATCTGTACGTACCTCTATGTACTGCAGCACAATTTTGCCCTTGCGAGGGATCTTGACCGTCTTTTGCTTGTCCTCAATGGCATCCATAATGCGAAGTCTCTGTACAAGCCGCTCTCCCACAGTTCGAACCAAGTCTTTACCCGCACCGAAGCCCTGGATCTGATCCCATCCGTTTGACTTGACCTTGGGGGTCGCTTTGCCTTGAAACACATCTAGACATTGCACCAATGTCAGGTTGTCTTCAGCGCCTCGACTGACTATCATCAACGCAGCTTTCGCATACTCAGTCAAGTCTCGCGATTCTCGCTTTGTTTTTCTTCGGCAATTGTCGCAAGACCTATTGCAGAGCTCTGCATGGAAAACCTCATCGAAATACCGCAACACATCGACGCGACGGCAGTCTATGATGTTTTCACAGTACTGTACCACTGCACGTAGTTTTTCAAGCTGAAGCTGCTTCTGTTCATAAGACCCAGAATCGCCGTCCTTGATCATCATTGCTAAAGTCGGCGCATCTTGATAACCGTAATAGAGATAGCAGCCTGACTTGCGATTGTCTCGTCCAGCGCGACCCGTCTCCTGGTAATAGCCTTCAAGACTCTTGGGAATGGAGTGATGGATGACAAATCGTACATCTGGTTTGTCTATGCCCATACCGAAGGCAATGGTCGCGACGATGACCTTGTACCGGCCCGATTGCCACGCCATTTGGACCCGTCTTCGGTCGGAACTGTCCATACCGGCATGGTAATGAGTCGCTGCGATGTTATACGGCCGCGATGCCAGGCTTTTCGCAAGGGATTCGCAATTCTTCCGGGACAGGCAGTACACTATCCCGCATTTGCCGGGGTATGTGACACAGATGAGTTCAGCAATGCTCTCCAGCGCTGCTGGGAGGGATGTCTTCTTCCGCACCTCGTACGACAGATTCGGCCGGTTGAAGCTCTGTCTGAACGTCTCGCAACTTTCCATTGACAAATGGATCTTTACGTCCGCCTCAACTTGCTTGGTAGCGGTGGCAGTGAGAGCCATTAATGGGACACCTGGAAAGTTTTCTCGAGTCTGGCCAAGCGACTTATAGTCCGGCCGAAAGTCATGACCCCATTGACTGACGCAGTGGGCCTCGTCAATGACAATCCGTGCAAGGCACTTCCGACTATGCATCGATTTCACTGTACTGATGAATCCCTGGTTGAGACTCACCATTTCCGGCGTGACATAAAGAATTTGAATATCCTTCGCCGGGTTCGGGCCTGACAAGGACGCATAGATCTGTCTCTTTTCATCTTTCGTTTTGTCGCTCGAGAGGAGATCCGCTTTGATTTTGCGTGCTTTCAGGTGCATGACCTGATCCTCCATTAAACTCAGAAGGGGCGAGACCACGAGGGTCACTCCTCGGGTAGCGCCGCTGGCGATGATTGCGGGTAATTGATAACACAGAGATTTTCCGCCTCCGGTGGGCATCAAGACGAACACATCTTTCCCAGCAAGGGTGGAATTGATTGCTTCCAGTTGATTCGGTCGAAACCCGGTAAGCCCGAATATTTCGAACATCGCATGTTTTACGTCCTCCGACCACGGATAGTTCATTCCCTGCAGGTCCTGGCGTTTAGAAGAACTCGGGGATTTGACCTTGGCTTTCCCTTTCGAACCTCTGTCGGTAGAAGGCGGTGGTTCAAGGCGATTCCCAGATGTATCACCAAACACCTCTCGGCCTCCTTGATACTCCCCTTCATTGGGTTGATAGCGACCGTCGTTGTCTAAGTTCGGAGCCCCTCCATCGAAAGCATTAAAGTATGACCCATCTCCGTCGTGTCTCATCGGGGGACTTGCCATATTACTTTGGAAGTTCGTGTTCCGGGCTGATGGAATGCGTTTTTCTTGTTCGAGTCTTTCGAAATTGAGGTCGTCATCGTCCCAATCCATATCCTCGTCCACTTCGGCTATTGGGGCCGAGTGACGTTGCTCTTGAGAGCCTCGTATAGCAAGCTCCATTGACTGTCCTCGATATTGGGTCTGGTCCACCCGTTCTGAGAATGACCTCTGAAATGTGGGTACTGGATTCGTAGGGACTGGGACTGGTGCTTGGGTGGATGCAACCACGACTTTCGATGGGGGAGTATCCGAGATTGGTACCTGGAGTCCTGCTTTTACCTGATCATACAACTCTGTTACATGGAGTAAATGGAGGATCTCGTTTTTCTGGGCGAGAATCGACGTCGTAACGCATTCATTCTCATCGAGCAATGAGAAGAACATGGACTTCTCTTGCCCTCGGTCCACAGCTTGCATGATGCTCGCCTTGAGTTCCGCTTTCTTGTGTAGACCCTCCGTAATTTCTTTCCGTAGGCGATTCAGCCTTGCCCACGGCGCTTTCTTCTGGTTAGCAACGTTCAATCGCTGCCGTAGCACGAGCGGGATTTCCGTGGCGGCTTCATTTCCCTCGAAGTGGCCCATTATTTCTAAACGAATAGCGTCTGTATTCGCAGAAGCTGCGGTGATAATCGGATCCAGCTTCTCCTGAGGCCATTTCAAGAACGCCTTGACGACACTACCGTCTATATCAGACATCGGGATCCGGTCCTGAGGAACATCGGACTGCGGGAGTGGGTGGGATGACCCTGGCTCTCGAAAGTATTGCGATAGGCTGGGTTGAGCATGCTGAACCTGGGACCTGATTACAGGACTTGTGGATGGAACCATTGCAGGGTTTGGCTCAGGTTCGCCACGCGATTGAAATCCGTCATCATTCTCCGGTGTTTGTTCCCGCCGCTTTCGTATCGGGGAGCCGCCCTCTACATCTGGCGTGTGTGGTCGAGGAGAACGACAACGGGCCTGAGTGTGTGGTATCCTCGACGACATATTTGGAAGGCGAAAGGCTGGTCCATTGCTCTGAAGGCGAGGTTTTTCACCCTGTTGGTTCTGAGGCTCCAAGTCGGACCGAGACCCCGAATAGCCCGAATCCTCCCCAGCATCGAGGAGGTCTTCAATCGGAGCAAATTTTTCATCAGAGCGCTTCACCAGCACCCTTGTGGAGGCCGGAATGAGATCTTGGGATGTGCGAGCCTTCTTCACGATCAAATCACTTCCGCTATCGCTCTTTCGCTTGTTTCCCGTTGACGGTCTCTTCGTCTCCGTATCCTTATCCCCAGTAAGATCGATCGACTGGATATCGGAAGAAAGGGTCTTGAACGGTGTGTTGTAGTTTGAACCGCCCAAGTCCGGGTATTTGACAGACTGTTCTGGGTTGCGAGGTGTGGGAGAAGGTTGTGCATGGGGTCTCTCCTCGGAGTGGCCCAGCGTATGTTGGACTAGCAGCTTCGGTTTCGGAGTCAAATTCGGGTCGTATCTCAATCTCGCCATTTCCTGTCCGGTCTCTTCGACAGCTTGATTCGCTGTTGGTCCGACGGGCTCGAGAATAGCATCCTCACCCTGGTTAACCGGTACCAAATTGGAGAGCGGTGTTCTAGAAGGCTCAAACGGAGCTCCTGATAAGACGGAAGCGGGTTCTTGGGAGTTGCTCGTCGACCCAGTCGTCGTCTCAGCAAGTGGCAAGTCGAGATGGCGGGGAGAGTAGGGCTTTGCTCGGAGTAACCAAGAGAGATGTTCTTGAAGGTTATTGCGAGACATCGACGCAAAGCATATTTAGACGATGTATCCGGGGGGGTTCCTCATCGTTGGCAATGTCTCTCTGGAGTTAGTTATCGTCATGGATGCCTTGAGAAATGCTCTGACTGTTGTGTAAAACAGCCTGGAGGAACTGAGGTCGCTCGGCCGTGGCGCGACACGAGGCGCGTCCAGGCGATGGGCCAATCAGCGACTCGGAACAGCTCGGTGTAACAACTAGTCCTATTATGGACTAGCTGATAACAGAAATATTGACCCCTGGGTCATGCGATGCATTTGCAAAACAGCAACATAAACCAATAAAGTCCATTAAATTCAGATTTAGTACAACAATACCTGTTTTACTAAGTCGATGCTGCTCCCAGTGGCTATTGGCCTCGAAGCTAATTGAAACACTGGGATAGGCATTAATATTAGTAAGCAGTCGTAATCGCCTTTCGCCCTTGTCGATCGACGATGATCATGGACGAAGTAATTATGCAATATTACGCAGTCTTAAAGTCAATCTGAATAAGGGGGTATTTTTCGTCTTATATACTGGTACCAAAACCAGTACTATCAACAAGATATCTTATCACCCACCGCTATGAACAGAGAATGCGTATTCCATGATCTAGATCCTAGATGACCAATTCCCTCCATATATCCAATAAACCTACGTATCACTTCTTCCTCACCATATCTTCCACCGCAACATATGCAAACGTCATCGCCGGCCCCAACGTGCTTCCCGCCCCCGCATACTCCCTTCCCATCACCGACGCCGAGCTATTCCCCACCGCGTACAGACCCTCAATCACACCCCCATCATCCCTCAACGCCCGCGCCCACTCGTCCGTCAACACCCCTCCCTTCGTCCCCAGATCGCCCGGGTGGATCTTCACCGCGCTGAACGGTCCCTTCTCGATGGTCCCAAGGTTCGGGTTCGGCTTCACAGCCGGATCGCCGAAAAACCGATTGTATGCGCTACCACCGCGCTCGTAGTCTTCGTCGACGCCGGCGACCGCCATGGTGTTGAAGTGCTTGACGGTATCGAGGAGGCCGGCGGCGTCGATGTCGAGTTTCTTCGCGAGGGATTCCAAGGTGTCCGCTTGCGTAACGAACCCGGACTCTAGGGTTTCCTCGGAGAGCTTCCCCGGAGATATTCCGGCGAGGATATAACGTTTCCGGAAGCGCGCGTCCACGATCATGTAGGCAGGGATAGCTGGGGTGGTACGGTTGCGCTCGTACATGTCATGGCAGAAGGTGGTGTATGATTGCGCTTCGTTGGTGAAGCGCCTCCCCCCTTTATCGACGATGATGGAGTAGGGGAGTGCGCGCTCGTATTGTGTCCAGTTGGACTGGCCGGTCATCGGGTTGACAATCACGGGGCCCCACCAGGAGTCGTCCATGAGTGCTGTCGCGGCTCCGATATCGATCGCGGCGGTGATGGCGTCGCCCATGTCGTTGTTGGGAGGCACTACGGTCCAGTCAGCGGTGATGGGGGCTTCTTGGTATTTCTGTCGCATCTTTGCGTTGCGGGCGAAGCCTCCCGCGGCGAGGATGACCCCTTTCTTTGCTTTGACGTGGACTAGGGCTCCGTCGTGCTCGACCGTGGCGCCGGTTACCTTGCCATTTTCAACGGTCAGCCTTTTCATGGGGGAGTCAGTCCAGATCGGTGTGTTTTTCTCCAGGTTTATATGCAAAAGCTGTCCGGCTAGGGTGCCTCCCATAGTTACAATAGCACGACCAAGCAGCTTGGAGCTTAGTCGCCGCCAACCGAAGATTTTCAGTGCCATCAGCATCCCCTCCAGAGAGCTTAACGCGCGAAACAACGTTTTAGCCTCAAACGTGTGCAAAGGCATGGTCGCCATCCTCGGGTTGGAACTCAGCTTCCCCTTCCAGGATCCCAGCTTATTCAAATCGAACCGATCCCCTTCGATACTTCTCCCACCCGCCATCCCGCCAGGCAAATTTGGATAATAGTCCGGATACCCCGTCGTCGGGACCCAACGAAAACCTTCTCCGGCCAAGAACCCGATCATCTTCGGGCCGTTCTCCAGAAACGCCAACTTCCGTTCTCGCGTGGACGCCGGCCCGGCATCGCCGATTAACGCCTCCATGTATTTCAGCGCTTCTTCGATGCTATCCTGCACACCTGGATGGAGACCTGAGTTCGGGATCCAGAGTCCGCCGCCGGAGTACCCGGTGGTACCGCCGATTCGGGAGGCTTTCTCGACGATGAGCGGGGAGAGTCCATGGTGCTTCGCGCGGAGAGCAGCGGTCATGGCGGCGCCGCCGGAGCCGATGATGAGGAGGTCGGTCTCGACATTCTTGCCTGCGGGAGGGGTCGCGACGGAGGCGAAGGGCCTTGGGTGGGATATCTCACTGGTTGGAGTGAGCCTTCCATGACCAATGGAACCAACGATAGACCAATGAGTGGTAGATGTCGGTATGTAACTTAAAGGATTATACCTCCTCCACCTGGTACTATTGAAGAAATGGGAGTACTAAAGGAGATAGACTCGAGAGGACAACATGAAGAAAGCACGAGTATTTAATACAGAATCTTGATACATCCGTGCCATAAATAATGATCTTGAACACCTACCCTTTCGCCCCCAACACCCGTACCCTCTTACATGTCGAAGCAGGCCTGATAGTATATAGGGTCCTCCCGAATTTATTTGAAGTCGCACAGCCAAGACAAGTGACGCGCCGAATCAATAAAGCCATGGTGACAAGAAAAGAATGTAGAGACTCCCAATAGCGAAACACAACTGACTCAAAGGAAAGAATAGCAGAACCGAAGGGAAAAGTCTAATCATGATCATCTAGAGACGCCACCACCTCTTAAGGGATTCCGCCCCTATGAATGAGATGAAGGAGCATACTCGGCAGGAGGAACGGTTGTGCCAGCGCATTGGTGAGGCCGTGAGGGGTACCTATGAAGCTTAGCATCGATTTGTGCTCACCTCCCTTACCTTGTTGTTTGTTGGTCCTGGCTGCTATTACACAGATGTCGAATATGCATAAATTCCCGTCGTCTCGGATGCGAGGTTCCAATGCCGGCCTACCCCCTGTTGGACTGGTGAAGTTCATTAATGTTATTGGTAGTGGAAAGGGTTGGCGATATGGTCAATGCATGAGACACATGTGATGAACTGATGACTGATAACAGCTGAACCAGGGTCTGTAACCACGATGCCGAACAGAACAGAACAGACCTGATGACGATGTGCGACAAGCAAAATCACGTGCAGCAGCACTAAACCAGCCACCTCCAGCCACCTCCTCCTTCCCCGGGCTCTGCTGTCCCGCGCTCTCTCACTGTACTGTTGCCAGGAATCCGGAACACCCAAGAGACCAACGAGCCAACGGGCAAACAAACGTCACCGTCACCTTCTACGTCAACCGCCCAACCTCTGCGGAGCGATCGTATATCGATCACTTTCAATCGTCTTATTTCTTGTTCTCTTCACTCTCCCTCCTCAGCAGGAAGAAGTAATTCCACTCGCTCACTTTACCACTTCCTACTACCTCCCCCCTCGTCATCGCCCTGCCAACCACTCACCCACCCCACGACGTCTGTGTCCCGCACTTCCGAGCCGCCCACTGACGTGTCGCACCCGGATTTATCATTTTCTTCGAGTCGCAACCCACCGCATCCCCTCGCGCAACCGCTGGAATTCGCCCACGATATCACTTCCGCCTTGTCGCGTCGTCCTGCACCTAGCAACCTACGCGGCACCGTTCCTGGCACAAGGAGGGATCGAATTGAACGCAGTGACGTCGAGGTGCATGAGAGGGTGACACGAAGGGAGTCGGGATTGGTTATTTCTAGTGTGAGAGTTGGCGTTGCACGACATCCTGTGGCGTTTTCGGCGATTGGGTCGCAGATATATAAGAGTGTCGTGAACCGCGATCTGGGGACGCGATCTTGCGGATGCGGTAATTCGGGGAGGGAAGAAAGCATCAGAAAAAGATTGTGGGAATATGCGACGACCTTCGACTTTACACGAGCAACCCACTTTCGTTTCGAGACATTGTTGAACATCCAACAGCCGCAACGAACGCTTTGAACGCGACGAGATAAAGACTCCTCGACATCCCCTTTCCACCCCATCTCAACTTCCAAACGAACCCCCAATCCACCCACCATGGCGCGCTCCTACGTCTCCACCGTCATCTACCGCGATCCCGGCCAAAAATATATCTGGCCCGCCCACCAGCTCAACTTCTGGAACGTCACCATGCTCGTCGGCGCCGCCACCATCCTCGGCATCTTCGCCCAGTTCATCGACATCCAGCAGACCTTGGGCCTCCCCATCCCCTGGCTGTTCCCTTACGGCGTCAGCGTCGGCGCCCTCGCCGTCTTCTTCATCCTCTACGAGATCTGGCTATCGCTGAACCACCGCCTCGTCCCCGGCGTCATGCTGATCGCGAGCTTCGTGTTCGTCGTGCTGTGGATCACCGGGATCATCGGGACGGCGATTCAGCTGTTTGGTCCGCAGGGGAACGTGTCGGCGAATTGTCAGACGTATGTGAATGCGAGGAAGGCGGGTGGGGTGAGTTTGAATACCTTGGCTTGGCTACAGCAGCGGAGTATATGTAAGTGCAAGTTTGGTTTCCGCTGGTTTCATGTCGCTATCTCGCGATATTTCATGGTCAGAGACTAATTTAGAGGGTTATAGGTTCGTCCTGGTATGCTACCTTCGCCTTTTGGCTCATTGGCACCATCTGGTGGGTCTGGATGATGGTCATGGCTGCGCAGGTTAGTAAGGACATCTACACCACTGATTGAGCGATGCCTTCCAGCACTGGTTTCAACGAGTCTTTCGTTTCTTCGGGATATACAGGTTACCTCCATATTTCGTATGGGAAGGGTGGGGAAGAGTTATGTACCGTGCGACGCTCTTCAAATTGAAGGGTTCTGAGAGAACGATACCAGAAGATCGTTCTGTCCGGCAGTATGGATCAAACATGGTTGGAACCGAATAGCAACGCGCCGATTTGGAGGCAGGGGTACCAGCTGCGGCGTTTAGGAGAAGATGGAATACGCTTTGTGTACATGATAAGCAATGTGTGGGATACCAGATAGACTCATTCGGACGATACCGGATTGAATGCAAAAATAGTTGATATATCTTCTTGCTCCTGCTGTCATGGCATATACTGCTCGCAAGATCCGTCGTACGGATAATGTATAAGATGTATGGCAATGAACTCAGCGGGACGGCCATTGGGTCGTGTCGGTCTCTAGTTGAGGGATCTCAAGGCTTCATCCTATCTCGATTCAGGGTATACATGTGCGGCTTTGCGTCTATCCTAAAGTACAAGTCCTCAACATGGCAAGGTCAGACTGTCCAAGGACATGTCGTATCGTAGCTGTAATGAAGCTATCCACTACTCTTCTCCTTCGACTTCTTCGACTTCTTGACCTTTGCATCTGACTGTTGACTCGATGCCATGTCCTCGGCCGCATCGTCTTCGAGCGCCTTTTTCTTCTTTTTCCTTTCCTTCTTATGTCCTTCGTCCTTGGAGCCCGTGTCGTCGCGGCTATCGGATGAGGGAAGGTGATCGCTCTTCTTTGACTTCTCCTTGTCCTGCTTCTTGGTCTTCTTCTTTTCTGACCCCTTTTCCTCCTCTACGTGACCGGCCTCTGCTTTGTCCCCTTTCTTGGACTTCTTCTTCTTCTCTGGAGATGGTGCAACTGCCTCATGCTCTTGTTCCGCTTTTCGCTTCTTGGAGACTCCATTGACGGACGTGCTCTTACTCGGGCTTGGCGCATCCGGCGCAGGTGGTGCTCTGAACTTCGGAGCAACGTCTCCTCGCTTCTTTGGCGACTTCGATACGAATTCAATGTCCTCGTCGCTATCCGACGGACAGATCCGACCCATATCGTCATTTCCAATGCCTGCTGGCCGATACCGCATTTTTAAGCCTGTCCGTTGCTGAATCTTTGGCTTTACCTTCAGATACTGGTGTTGGACATTAGATGTTTCGGCGTCAGCCGTGGGAGTGGTTTCCTGTCTCGCGGTACCAATAATAGGCTGGAGATGAAGGGTTCGAGAGATCTTTGCACCAACTATAATCAATCAGCGGGAAGGCTCATGTATACGGGAAAGGTGCCATACCTATTGAGTAGTCACTGTTCTGGGGAAGAAGCAGTGTGGGGTTCCCCTCTGAATCTCCTTCTGCGAAAGCGTACTTGGTGTTGTCATGCTCGAGAACATCTTTCCCGCTTGCGATATCATCAAGTAGCAGATCTTTCAACTCTGTCAGGGACACTGACGAAGGGGCCGTGATGTGCCAGAACGTTTTCGTCGAGCTCCGTTCCGAGTCGAACAACTGCTGAAGCTCCTTTCCGCGACGGCTCGAAATCGAAATCGACTCAAATCCTTCCGGCGGCTTGTACGAAGTAGTGGTGTCGTCCTGCTGTATCACCGGGACATCCGCGGATGCCTCGGATTCAGCTTCAGATTCTCCTGCCTCGGCTTCGTCGTTCTCTGGAGCGTCTTCCATTTCCTCGTCCTCGTCCGCCGTGTCCTCGTCCTCCGAAGTTGCAGCAACAGCGCTCTCCTCTTCTTCCGATGAACTTTCTTCTGAAGCAGATTCATCTTCGCCGCTCACAACCTTTTTCGCCTCCATAGCCTCTTCTTCGTCCCCAGAGCTTGTATCCTCCTCGCTAGTGTCACTGGACTCCTCCTCTGACTTCTCATCTTTAGCCGTCGCGGTCGATTGGTTTCCTTTCTGTGGTTTTGGGGCTTCCTCTTCCTCGGAACTGGAAGAAGACTCGCTCTCGTCGTCTGAACTGGATGTGTCCGACTCGTCGGAATCGTGACGGGGTAAAGGAACGCCAATGTTGGAAGAGGATTTTCGAGGGTCTCGCCCTTTTAGACTTTTGGGTGCATCCTTTGCCTTTGTCTCTTTCGAAAACTGGACCTTCTTCTCGGAAGACTTTGGTGGTGCGGTGGGCGAAGATGTCGGCCGTTCAGCAGTGGAGGGACGTGTGGGTGTGCTTTTGAGAATGGGCGCTGGCGTAGATGTGGCCTTCACCGACCGTGCGGTTGCTGCCACAGTCCTTTCCGACTTCTTGTTCTCGAATGCAACCTTCTTAGACTTGGCCTCTTTTGAAGAGCTCTTCTTGGATTTGACGACGGATGGCGAGGTTTTCGAGATAGGAACGGTGGTCCCATTGGTCCCATTAGGAGTACTGGTGGCCTGCTTCCTCTTCTTGGTCACCGCAGTTTTCGCCGGGCGAGCCTCATGTTCGGAGCCGTCGCTAGAGTCTATAAACTCTTCACTGAGATAGGATTTCTTAGACGACATGGTGCAAAAGGGACCGGCTCAACAATGATTCGGGATTTTCAAGGTTGCGGTCAGATTCCGGCAGTTATGGATACCTAGTTGGTAAACATTGTTGCAATTGGAGAGTTCTTTAATCTCCAGGTATCCGAAAGCAATTGTGGAGTCCTGTGGGAGATTTTGCTTCAACTGGACCCTTAAAGTTGAAGCAAACTCATAAAAATTTCGAGATGCGTAAGGGTCACGTGCTAGCGCGTCACTCGTCGAAGCTTAATTTTACGTGGGTACCAAAATTTCCAAGTACATATAATTCTCTCTCCCTAGTATTTCAAGCAGGAAATGGTTGGGTGAGTGTGAAATAATGCAGATTCTGCTCCAACCCGACCATCAGGCAATTGGCTCAGTGTTTTGTCCCTTTAACGAGAGCCCTGGATCTCTATTGGCGTTGTGAAGCTTGTGTTGCAGTCATCTCGAAAGGAGCCAAATTCGGGTTATCATCCTGGATTCCACATCTGGTAATCATCCAAAGTAACAATAACCGTAACGGATCTGATAATGGCTACTTATGTTTTGATTTAGCCGGCAGAATCGCCAGTCTAAGCCCAAGCTCCGAAGTCACTACTTGATCAGGTTCACGTTCGTTGTTTGCTTTACTGCATTCGAGATACGGTCTCGAAGAAGCAGCTCTCATTCTCCTGGTTACGAAATAAGAGTCTCGACATTGATTTACGAGACTGGAAAAGGAAAAACGAACCTACCTCTTCCAACGTTCGTTTCTTCTAACGTCAACCATATCGATACCTGTATCTTAGGTTGGTCGTTTTGAACCAAGACGTTCATTTTCATCATTACCCTCAACGAACTACAGTTTTTGCGAAATCACAGTATCGAAATAGGAGGGATCATGACGCAACAACTAAGTGCTGTTGCTGCAGCCAAGGCACGGCAGGCTCAATATCGAGAACAGACCTACGAGTCCGACAGCAACGATGAAGCCTTACCAGAGTCAGAAAACGAAGATGGCCAATTCATCCCCAAAGACCGGCGACTGTCTCAGTCCGACCTAAATCAGACCATGGCTGATATTACGGCAATGGAAGAAAGCGACGAGGAGGGCGCAGATGCAGAGGTACCAATCGGGCCAAGACTCGCGGGTCCAGATCTCGAGCTTTCCATACTGGACCCAGCACACGCGACCTTCCAGAGCAAAGTCACTACCAACTTGGCCCGCAAGGAAGTCCATGTATATCCTTCGGATCGCATAGCGTATCTGGGTGTGTACGATTTTCGGGTCATGGCCGGGGTAGTTGCGATCTGCGGTGCAGCACTTGCCTCCAATCCTACCCGATGGTTCAGGGTGCATGCATTTGCCTCTCACTCTCTTCCGGTTATGTCATTAATGGCGGGCGGATCACGGGGATACGCCATTGTGGAGTTCGCGTGCCCAATCGACGCCTTCCCAGACGACGCCTGTCCTCGCAAGCAAGTGACTATGAGAATATTGCAGAAGGTTTCCTCAAACTTTGTCAACCTCTGGATTCCGAGTAGCATGGCCAAGGTTGGGAAAAACCAACCTCCAATCACCTTCGGCTACGTAAGTTCATATATAAAACACTGAACGGCAACCTCTAACGTCCACCAGCTCCATAAATCCATTGACGACCCTTTAAATCGGCGACCCACGGCATTCGATATCTCGAAGCCTTGGGCTACTATCGCCGAAAATCTCACGCGCTCTCTTGGAAACGCACGCTATCCAGTCGTCTTAATCTGCGGAGGGCAGCTGGGTCAGAACTCGCTGTTCGCTCAGATTCTAACTAACAACATACTCTCTCGACAAGAAGATGAAGATCGAGTGGTCATGTTCCTCGACCTGGACCCAATTCATCCAGACTATGGACCTCCAGGCCAGGTGTCTCTGGTCATGGTTCGGTCAATGAATTTCGGACCTCCTTTTATCCACGCACATCCAGGAGTAGGCGACCAAAATACCGTCATATACTCCCATGCCATACCGAAATATGCCGCTCGAGATGACCCCGACCAGCTTCTTTCATGTGCGAAGCATCTATATAAAATGTATGTCGCACTAAAAGATGGATCAGAGTCGACCTGGGGCCCGTCCAAACCCTCCATACTACCTTTGGTCATTAAAACCCCGACATGCTTCCGAGCCTACGGCGAGCAAGCTCTCACCTCCCTCCTTCTACACTTCAGCCCCGTGCTCACACACTGGTATTCCGTCGGCCCGTTCCCCTACTTCGATGACTATAAACCGGCCCTCAAAATCCCGGAGGTGAAGCTCGACGGCCTTACTTTCGCCAACGGGCTTCTTCTTACCTCTGAAACACTCTTTGAAATGCAACAACAGGCGTATTTTCATGCGGAGCAAACCCTCTCTGCGCATAAGAAGTGGAACTGCGAGCCCTTGAGTTTGGCCGCGCCATATACCGTGCCATACACAGGCAATCAGCCCGGCTTCCTCGCCATCCACCTATCCGGCGACTTCCGCTGGCCCCACCGACTCCACGACATCCTCAATGGCGCCATCGTCGCCATCACCATCATCCAAGATCTCGAGAAATTCCCGACCGCCCGAATCAAGTCGTCCGAGCCATCCGGCATCCCCTACCTCGCCCCTGACTCCCTCGGCATCCACCCCCCCCTCGACCCCCACAACTCCTCCACCATTGGATTCGGCTATGTCCAATCCGTGCGACACGCAGAGTGCGCGTTGGACATCGTCACGCCGATCGCAAGAGACATCATGGAGAAGCTTCCGCATGATAGGATTGTGCTGCAGGTCGGTCTTGTCCCCGCGCCCGGATGGGCGTATCTGGAAGCGGCGACACTGGCGGGGACGGTGAGCGTGCCGGAGGATGAGGAGGGGGAGATCATGGAGACGGATAAGATGCCGCAGGCGTGGGTGAGGGAGCGGGGGAGGGGGGGGACGACGGTGCTAAATTCGTGGTTGGGGCAGTCGGCGAAGAAGGCGAGGGCGCCTTGAGTGTTGGAAATGGCAAGGGGGCAATGGATCGGTGTTGAATAGCGGGGAAAGATGCGAAGACAATGTTATTGGGGGTGTTATCGTCCACAATGTGCACAATATCCAGTTTTCCGGAACGGAGTTGTCAGCTCCGAAACAGGTGTACAGGTAGCGCGTGAAACTAGCCTGGAATCCTCTCTACTGTTGTTCTGCCAGGTATTATTCCCAACTATCAGTCGGAAACGCTGCTATTGGATCAATGGTTGTCAATGCTTCGTTGGCTAGAAAGAGACCAAACCAGGGAGAATCAGCTATTACAAGCAACCAATCAACTGAAGGGAGCTCAGTTTTTCGAACTGTGAATCATCGACTGGCTTTGATGTAATTATGTTGTTTCTTTGGGTCCCTTGGTGAGTACTAGGGACAGTTGTCGTGTGTGTTCACTGAGGTGCCCTAATTACCCCCTTCTGGTGGTTCCTGATAGAAATATGGTTTAGTATAGGCATTAGCCATCCAAGATCGCTGCATAGTATAAGTATAGAAAATAAACACTCAATCGCTCATTTTCATCCACTATTCTCCTCTTCATCCTCCTCATCCACCATCCTAATCCTCCCATCCTCCCCATCCTCCCCATCCTCCTCACCCCCCTCCTCCACCACCCTTCTCCGCCGCCCCACTACCTCTTTCCCCTCTACCTCCCCCGCCACCTCCCACGCCCTCCTCCTCCCCCTCTCCACATCCACCGCCCACCACATCGGCAACGGCGCCGCCACCAACACCGCCAAAAACACAAACGCCGGCCGTATCCCCCCAAACCGATCCGTCACCGCCCCCACCACCAACGGCCCCAGCACGGACGACCCCTTATCCGTGATCGCATACAGCGCGAAAAACGCGGCCTCGCTCCCTGGCGGGATCAACTCCGCGTACAGCGCTCGCGTGTGCGTGCTAATGCCCCCCAGCTGCAGCCCGTACACGCACGCTAGCGCGAATACCTCGCCCGCCGACTGCAGGCCCAGCCCCGCGTTTCGGACGAACGGCACGTAGTACGAGAGACCGTAGAGCGGGATGAGGAGGAAGATGGCGTTGCAGATGATCAGCGTCGTGGTGGGGGAGAGGTCGAGGCGGCGCGCGAGGAAGGGCCAGAACGCGGCGCCGAAGATCCCGCAGAGCGTCGAGAGGATCGAGATGAGTGCGATCTGCGACGCAGGAAGGTCGAGGGTCGTTTTGGCGAAGAGGATGGCGGTGCCGGAGGTGGTGGCGATGCTGTCGGAGAGGAGGAACCAGGCGAAGAGGAAGAGAAGGAGGTCGAAGAGCGCGCGGGCGCGGAGGAGGGTGGCGAAGAGAGATTTCCAGGAGAGGGTGACGTAGGTCCACACGAGGCGGACGCGTCGGCGGAAGCGTGTGAAGGCGTTCGTGGGGTCGTGGTGGGTACGGAAGGGGAGGTGGAGGGGGGGCCCGGGCCGCGGGCGCAGGAGGAGGGCGGAGGGGATGGTGAAGAGGAACCACCAGGCGCCGATGAGGAAGAGGGCGAGGCGGAGGGCGAGGAGGGGAGGGGCGACACGGGCGACGAGGAGGATGCAGAGGGTTTGGACGAGGATGGCGGCGGTGTAGCCGATACCAATGCCGAGGGCGGAGATGTGGGTGCCGATGTTGAGTTCGAGAGAGGTTTTGGAGCGGTCGGAGGTCGTTGGGGGGGATGTGGTGGAAGGGAGGAGGGCGGCAGTTGAGGTGTCGGCGGCCTCGTCTTCGGCTTCTTCGACTTCTTCGTCTTCTACATGTACGAGGGGACGTGTAGTTTCGTCTTGTTCTCTAGCCTGTTGTTCCGCCTCGTTTGCGGCGTGGATGTCGGGGTGATGGCGGACGAGCAAGGGGAGAAAGGAGTTCAGCAGAACCCAGCTCGCTCCAAAACATGTGTTCGACAGGATGGCGAGGAGTGCGGCAATGAGAATCATCGACGACCCAACCGGCAGAAATAGCATCGTCGCGATCGCCCCTGCAAACCCAAATCCAAGCAAGAAGCTCTTGCGAAACCGTCCATGATCCGCGGCGCCGGACACGCTCACAATGAGGATGGCCTGTACAGCGACGGATATGCTGAAGACGTAGAGAGCGAAACTGGCGGTATTGACCTCTGTCCCTAATATTCGGACGACGCATTGGTCGACGTCAGGGGTTGCTCGGCGGGCGAAGAGCTCAAGGAATGGAGAGCTGTTGGCGCTGGACTCGGGCACTGCAGGAGGGGTCATGGATGGCTCGCAAGGAGTCTGGCCATCAGATAGGAGGACGCCGCGCGATCGGGCGAGTTGTTCGAGGGTGATGGGAACAAACGAGCCTATATTGTCTGGTCAGTGGACGGTTTGTATAGCTTCAGGCAGGGTCGTGAGGTACCCATCCCACAGACGACAAAGACTTCCGCAGCCCAGCCGTAGAGGTAGAAGCCAGCCAACTCTTTCTTGCTCGTTGGCCTGGTGTCTTCCCCGGGATATTGAGGAGGATCCATTCCGGTTCGGCTTTCCGCGACCATGATGGGCACACGGAGGTGTCCGGGAACGGAATTGGGGGGGGGGACGAAGGGACACTCAATACATATATTGAGAAATAACAGCAAACGAGCAGAAGGTCACCTTCGTATTCTACCGGATTCAAAGAGCGACATTCTGATCAACCGTGAGTTGCAATCCAGGCTTCAGCACCGTGTTTACCGACAAAGACAGTCTGAGTCTGGACTCTGGTTGGCACTCAGCACGAGATGTTGTCTAGTCAGCCCTGCCTTAGGCGGTTAGGCCTCTCCGCGCCACATGAGTCAAGTCGTGCCAGGAAATTACCGGTAGGTACGGTACGCTCCCGATATGCATGTCATTACCCCCCGCCGCGAAACGAAGTTGTAGGGGAATTATGTTCCCCGCTGGCGGCTCCTGTGTACTAGATGCGCTGTGTCGTGTTGATGAGTTATCGGAGTTGCTTCCGCTGACTAGCACAAAGTGTAGATCAGTAGGGACTGAATTACTCATGTCTAGCGCTATCAAGTTCTCCTTCATACCTTGACGGATCGTTATGGAATATTAGTAAGGACTTTAATAGGTTATATCTATGCCTTGGTAAGTAGGGGGTGGGAAGGCCGGTAATATTGGGCTTGTGGTCTGGCTTACTCAGGCTAGCTATGATCGGTTTCATTGGAACGTGGACGGTGCAACGGTGGAAGGCCCGACCGAAGGACGGGGGGATTTGTTCGGTCGTCACTTCCGCTTTCACCTTTCGCGTTCGGAGCGTTCCTGCCTCACCCTCCTCATAGGCGTCTCACTCTGAAATCACTTTCCCTCAAACTGGCCGTCACTTTCGACAATTCTTATCTTCTTCCCTCACCATAATCTACCACCTATCTTCACGTACACCACGCGATTCGACATCACCAATTTTCCCAAGTTCATTCATAAACACTGCCAACCACTATTCCTTCGTCTTCACGCTCTAATGTGGCTGGAGATATGATCCAATCCAGACTCTCAACAACCACACCCATGAGCTCATATCGTTAGCGCGAAATCCGCGCCGTTGTCAAACTTCCTCTCTCAACCTCCTTCTTGTCTCTACGCACCTCACCTCCCACTTCCTCCTCGCATACCACCATCTTCCCCGAACAATCCACAATCATCAGCCTTCTGTGAGGAAGCCGATCCGCCGTGACGCATTCCGACCTCAATATCGATCCCACTTCCGACCCTGCCTTGGCGATCCTGGTCACATCACTTTCTCGCGCCGATACAGACTTCGTCGGACCCGCCGCTGCGCGAAATTTCCTCTACGTTACCTTCGACCTTCGCATCGACACTCCCCGGACATCGATCCAAGATACAGTCTGTATCGCCAACTCGCGAAGACGGGCTGGCGACGGGTGGAGGGCAGGAGCGCGTGGCCGGTGGAGGAGCTGAAGCAACGAGGGAGTCGGTCGAGGAACTACCTGGGGTCGCGGACGGTGTGAATGAAACGAGCATGCCGGGGCGATTGATCAACATGGACAATCAACCGAACAAACCGCCTTTCACGAACGGTGGTTCGGTGCACGCGCTTCCGGAATCGAGCTCACGCCAGAGGGATTCTCCGCAAGATTCGGGAAAGGCATCCAACGCGGTGCAGCTGGATTCGTCGGCGAACGCAAGTGCGCGGAATGGTCCATCGTCATCCGACCTTCAGGAACATGAGCCTTCAATGTCGGAGTTGCCTCCGGAGCTCCAGCACATCACTTTCACCATGCAGCCATTGGGCAAGTTGGTCGCTCGGGTTGCTCAAATCGCCTCTAATGAACTGCATGAGGCGCTGGATAAAATGGCCGAACTACCGCCCGTCGCAACCCCTTCTTCGACTCCGAATGGCACCAACGGGCTTGCCAATGGCATGGCACCCTCTTCACACCAACCCGAGAACAATTCCCCCGCGAACCAGCAACGAAAAGAGATCATGTTCGAGTACGCCGAGAAGACACGAAATCGGTTCATCCAACTGTTGGTGCTCAGCGTTTGGTCGCGGAGTTCGGCGGATGTTTCCAAGATGATCGACGTAGTCAATTTTCTTCGAACTCAGGAAGCTGCCCAGGAACAAGCGTCTTTCGCTCTCGGGCAACTCAAGCTCGATATCCACCCATTCAAATTACCCGCCCCCGACATTCAAACCGCCCTCGAGACACTGACTACCGGCACGACGATCAAGACCAACAAGTTGGACAAGGCTTACCTCCCACCTCCGGAACTGTCAGCCGAATACATTCTCAAAACCTTACGAAACCTCAACGTGTTGCTACACGAACGAATATTAGTCGGCATAGGTCTAGCAAACCTCCCCCCGATGCTACAGAAATGGCGAATACGAAATGGACGAGTCACTTTTATCGTTCCCGGCGAATTCGAGCTTGATGTGGGCGTTGCGGAAGAGGAACCAGATCCGGTCAAAGCACGATGGTGGTTCGTTGATGTGAGATGGAATTTCCAACCTTCTGCCTCGGTACCGCAGGCAGCGCGAGGGACGATCGAGGCCAAGATCAATCAAGAACTTGGCATTGCGTGGAATGCGCTGGTCGAGCGGGAAGAGGCTGTCAAGAAAGCGCAGGAAAGTCAGCTAGAGGGGGAAGACAAGGTGGCCGCCGATCCCACATCGATACTGGAAGTCGACCGGAGTTGTCTGAAACGCGCATACGATTTTCTCCATAATTTCATCTTGACGCACAAGGTATCTGTCCTCCGAAAACAAGCGTTCGACCTGGTCATGTCTTCCTGGGCGGGCACCCTCCGAGTTGAGATGGCGCATCGGAACCTCATTTTGCAGTACTGGACGCAAGTTCCCGGACCGAAGAGCTGGTTGGAAATCGCCCTACATAGCAAGAGGCAAAGACGGAAAGACCCCAAGACGGGCGCAACCCTGCTGTTTTGGGATTGGAGAGGTCCTCAGCCTTCGACGATCGGAATCCGGTGGATGCGACTGGGAAAAGAGATGGATGTCAAAGATCTGGCAAAGAAGGCGGGATGGAACCGCAAACAAATCGAAGAGCGCAACATCGAGGCAGAGATTTGCGGTTTCGGGGATCTACGAACCTTGGACGTCGAGAATGCGCTCAATCGTACCGTCAGCATGCATGCGCTCTGGATTTTCGAATCGATACGAGACAAATTGCTCGAGTCGCAGGACGGCTCCCGCATGTTGTCCGTGGAGATGTCAGTTGAAACTATGCCGGAAAAGCCAGGCGCAGCATCCTCTCGATTGGAGAAATCCAAGAACCCCCTCATCCGGCCAAAGCTAACTTTGCGTCTTGGTCCCTCTTCACCAACCTGTCGCCTCCAAATGGACACGATCTCAGGTACCCTCCTTCTCACACCTCGTGTGAATCCGCGAATTCAGTTCACTCTATCCACACTCCCCTCAAACCAGATTCCGATCGTTTCCCATACGCATTTACGCCGACATGCCGCCCTCGCCCTTCTATCACATCTTGGATTGAAAGCCTCACACGCTGGGTGGATTAAGGAAAGGAATTTCCGTGCTAGCCGCGAAAGCGTGAAAACCCAGATCAACCTTGCGCGTCAAAATGAGCGAAAGCGCTGGGATAAGCATGGCATCCCTCTAGCCGCCATTTGGGCATCGGAAAGTCAACAGCCACAAGGCAATATTGCTCCCGGTGCTCCTCCGGCGGCTCTCCAAACCCTGAAAGGGCCCGATTTCTTGTATTCAACCTTGGTCCGGCCACCACAGTGGGGGCGCACCAACTGGGCTGTCTTGATGACCGTAACTATCGAAGAAGCCGAACGATTCTGGGCGGTTGAGCTTACCAATCCGGTACTTGCGGAGGATGTCAAGTACGCAGTGCCGCTATACCCGATTCAGGACCCAGACATCGAGCGGCTTGGGAAGTCGTTCTGGAGGTATCTCGAGAAAGTCGCGCTAGGCGCCATCGGGAGCGTCGTGCTTGGCCGACAACTGAGCGAAAGAAGCGTCCGGTTCAATTGGTTCCCGGAGGGCATCCCGGATCGAGCGGCGATGGGGAGCAATTCAGGGAAATCCGTGTCAACGCCAGATACAAGCGGATTGACGCCCCTCCAAAAAGCAAGCGTCCCGATGCTTTTCGTCTGTTTCCAGGATCTGCTATTTAGGGACAAGTTACCATTCGAGTCGGAAGACCAAGGCCGTGTGGCAGCGTCTCCTGAAGCACGGAAAGAGAGAAAAGCAGCAAGAAGACGAGACAGTGTTGGCAGTCGAAAAGGCTCGCTGGGCTCAACCAGCCGTAAACCACCAACCTCGTCTAGTATGTGGGCAATCAGTGCTCTGCGATTCCAGTTCCTCGATCTTGCGATATCCGGATCGAGACAACCCATGCCAGTCTACGCGGTCACAGGCATGTTCTCACGAGACAATCCAGTCGCTGCAGTGTTGAGCCACCCCAAATATCGAGCATCTGTCCCGGATATCCACACGGCGCTCGACGTGAACCCGGCCGAGCTTCCCACCATCCACGTTACGCCGAAAGGGACCTTCGCGTTGTACCTGCGTACTAAGTTCGGCGAGTCTCCCTTCGGCATGCTCGTCAACCGCATCAACTCGCTCGCCCTTCTTCGCGACTTCGTCACAACTCTCGATCGCAAGGGTCTCGGCTCGCAAATTCGGTCGATCGACCTTGATTCCATTAGCTTCGCCTACGGTGAGCTCATCCGACGACGACAATCACAGGAGGCACCCATCCAGGAAGCAAACGAAACAAACGGCGCGTCGGGATCGGCACCTGGGAGAGGACAGCTCACACCCAAGGAACTCTCCGAATTCTCCGTATCCCTACGCTTCGACGATCCATCTGAGCCCATGGTCCTCGAATTCGACGGCACCAACCCCCACCGTCGTCTTCGCTCTCAGCTTTCTCACCTCCTCCACAGCGCAGGCCCTGGGGCTTTTAGCACGTTCATCAACGCGCTCGCACGCACCGGCCCGCTCATGGCCGCCGCCGCAAAAATGGAAAACAACGCCATGGTCTCCTCGGCCCACTCCTCTTCCTCATCCGCTTCCACCGCGCCACCAAACCCCACCAACGGCACCCCATCAACCACCGTTTCTCCCTACCTCACGATCCACACCCGCAGTGTCGACAATGTCCGCTTCTCGTACACCGCGCCCCGCTGCCTCCTCGACGCGCGGCTCCGCACCCGCCGCGGCTCGCTCGAATGGGTCTTCGAGAAAGTGGGGACGCGCGCGCCGCCGCGCCCGCAATCGTCGGCCGCGGGCGCGCAGCGGATGCAACCTGCGGCGCCGAGCGAGGAGGAGCTGCGGGTGACGAGGAGCCTCGATCCGGTGTTCTCGGGTCGTGGGTCGGGGTGGCAGGGGATGCGGACGGCGGTGGTGGCGGAGTTGGAAGGGGTGGGGGAGGTGGTGGAACGGTTAGATGAGTGTGTGCGAGTTGCGGGAAGCGGGAAGAGGGAGGGGGAGAAGAGCGGTGGTGGGGGGAAGGGGGGAAAGGCGGTGATGGAGGCGAAGAAAAGTAAGGGGAAGCCGCAGGAGGTGATTGAGTTGGATTGAGGGTTGAGGGGTCTCACGCAGATCCGGTCGCGTGAAGGAATCAGAATCAGCGGGAAGCAGAGACGGTTTGCTTTTATGATTTGCGGGTTGGCGTCTTATACCACTAGTGACATTGCTGCACGACCGGAACCCACACGGCTCCGATATTGGATGGGCGGCAATGATCCGAAACAATGAGTTAGGTGTAGATCTCTTCTAAGACCGGCCGGTTCTATCTGGTTGATGGAGATGGGAATGGAAGCGAGTTTGAATACTCCGTGGTTCCTTGATCCCTTTTGCTTCTGTGCTCGGCGGGATTCCAATCACTAGAATCACTGCCAATTGGTAAGCATCCTGGCCCGTCCTGGTTCCGTGAGGTGTGTCGTGGATCGCCAGGTATCTCCAGAGCCCAGACAGAGCAACGCTCGATCGCCGATGTTGTACCTTCTCTGCCATTTCCACAGCAGCTCCATGAAGGAACACTTGTCCCAGTAATATACTATCCATACTTTCCTCAAGCGCTCATCCATCCTGAGTAGGATCTTCCCACTTCCCATAAAACACACACAGCCCCTATCATCACCGTCAGCATCACCCCACCCAAATCAACCCCTCACCCTTCTCACCTTACTAAACCCTGTCATACAATAATGCCTCACCAACACCCTCCCCTCCCCTTCTCCCACCACCCCCGCCAACTGATTCAAATTTGCCGTCCTCGGCAAAAACAACACCACCTGCCCCCCTCGCCCTCCAAACCCTCCATACAGCTCTCCCAACCCATACGGCTCCATCCCCTCTACATCAAATATCTTCCTTCCCACATACTCTGGGCCTCCCCACGGCGGACTCGCAAACAGCACCGCCTCCCCGCACACCTCCGCCAGCTGCTCTTCAATCACCTTGAAGCAGTCCCCCTCGATCCAGGTGATCTCCGCCCCCACGCCGTAGAGCGCCGCGTTGTGCCGCCCACACTCCAGCGTTGCGGGGTCCCGCTCGATCGCATAGATCGCGTCCCAGCGGCCTGAGAGGGCGAAGGCGATGGCGTTGCCGCCGGCGCCGGCGAAGAGGTCGATGAGGATGCGTTTGGTGGGGGGAGCGAGGTGGGCGATGTCGGTGGCGATTTGGCTGGGGGAAAGGGGTTAGAATGGATGGGGTTTTGGGGATAGGGGGAGATGGGACAGGGGGGAGACGGGATAGGGGAGGGGGCTCACTGGGCGACGGGCTCGGGTGTCACGCCGAACCAGGCGTTGTTGGTGAGTCGGATGCCATCATCGTATTTGGAGAAGATGTCGTATCGTTGATGCCAGTATCTGCATGTTCGATTAGCTTCCGGTGGGTTTGATATTGGAATTGAGGATTTACTTGAGCAGGTGTGATGGGACTTCTTCCTCGTCGTTGAAGTGAAGCGTGCCAACGTCTTCATCTTCGACGGAAGGAGGTACCATTTTTTTTATACAGTTATTACAACGGTTAATTTAGTTGATGATAATCAGACAAGTTTACCTCCACATTTTTTTATTTACTGTAAGGTACCGGTTGAGAATTCGGTGAGCCACAGATTTGATATTGCTATCCAGAGTCCAGACTGGCTGGAGACTAGACTTGGTGCCTTAAGGCCTAGCTACGGCTCCCTGTCCTATCCGGCAACCGACATAAGCCACATGGACGGACAATTGGATCTGAGTGATAAATAATTGAATGCCGTGAATCTATCTTGATTTAATCTGATTTAATTTGATTTAATTTGATTTAATTAAATCTCCCTGCTCTAGTGGTGATTTAGGATCGATCATCCTCAGAAGTGCCCCAAGTTCTTCATCCTCAACCTCGTAGGCCTTCTCAACCGGCATCAGCCCTTTCGCAATCAGATCCTCCTCGGATACCCTACATTCCTCCTCGTCGTCCAAGACTTTCTTCATTTCTCTGGCTCGCCCCGTGGCGTCTTCGATACTGATCGTCCATTTGCCAATCCATTCCTCTCTCAGTTCCCCGGGGATCCCAATTTGGATGCTTCGATGCTCAAGCCTTTCGATTCGAACATTCCGCTCCGGGTCCCATTGGACGCGTACCTTGCCTTTCGTCCCCCCGTTTCCATGACCCGTAATGGCCCGCGACAGCAGCGATTTGAAGCCTTCGTGGGTGAGTTTTATGGCGAGGATGTTCGATTGGTTCTTGTCTTTGTATGAATATCCGGATCGATACATCATCCAGCACCAGCTTGGTTTGATCCATGTCATTCTTCCCATGACGAATTGCGGCGAGGCATCGAGTCGTTGCTTTTCGACGGCAGCTTTGGCGATGGCTTCGTTGTAAGCCTGGTAGACGATTATTCCTTCATCATTATATTGTCCGCGGATCTGACGGTAAGGGACAGAGGATTGTGTCATTGTGCTTGGTTCTTGAGCGCTCTCTTCCTTCAACCCGACTCGATATTGTCGACCACCTGTCATATGGACAATCGCGAACCTATTTATTCGGCAAAAATTGCCAGGTTTTCCCCCAAGATGGTTCTTGACTCTTGAAAGAGTCATCGGATCGAGCTACAGTGCGATGAATCATGAACATAAAGGTGTCTTCTTTTGGTTACCACAGCACTGCCCCTCTTGGGTGGAGCGTTCGTACGTCCCCAGCCACCGTCGTCATATTGGATACGAGCCTTGTCCCCAACACAGGATGTTCTTTCTATCAGCCCTTGAGCACGTTTTAATGTTCCTTTTGATCAAGCCAGAGGATCAGAATTAGGCTCCTGGTGGACTCATTCACCAGATGAAGAGGAAAGGGCTCGGTAGACAGGAGTTAGGGCAAGTCTTTGATATGGAATGATTGTGGAAGGGTCTTGATCTATGTCGAGACAGTTGTGTTCTGATCAAGGTCTGACAGGTGTCCACCGTGATTGTTGTAATAACCGACGAGACGACGACCCCGCGATGCACTCCAGGTTTTCCCCCACGGCAACATACTTTCCGCCTGTAAGGGGCTGGAAAATAGCGCGGCTCTATTCTCCATATGCTCGGTTTTTCTATCTATCTGTTACGTCGACCGCATGTTGCACAAGTTCAAAGAGGCGTTCTCACATGATGGTCAAGAAAAACCATCTTTACAAGAACATCATTTCCTTCACTTGCTACTACAGTTCATTTGCTTTACGCTCCAATCCAAGCCTCCGGATCGATTAGCTACGAGCCCTTTTATTCTCTCTTACATGGTTCATATATGGATTGTCGTGGTGTGAATTGCTTCAATATCTGAGGGAACATTCAAGTTGTTCCGCAGGATGTTCGAACGACATCCAATGATAGTCAATATCCCACTAACAAGACCTCGGATTCGGCAATTCTTTATGCTTCGACCCTAGTTTGCAAGCCTGCAAGGCCGATGGAAGGGGGTTTGGAACACTCCGCAATATATTTCCGGCACTACCGGCTACATCCATACCAGTCGAAGATCCCTGGACCGCATCGCTATCCGCCTACAAGCCTAGAGAGATTAATCTAAACACATTTTCACTCTATTTAGGGTTGTATTGCCGACATTAATGGCGTCTATCTTCCCTCCCAATAACAAAGGTACATCAAATATGCACTACTTCGTCCGTTTCTATTAGCAGGTAGTCATCCTCCCAAGACCTTAGGCTGATATAGGTCATACATGCGCTGGTTACTTTCTTGTTTATGTTTTCTTGTCGTCGTCTTGTCGTGCTCTTGGCATCTATATGGGCTGTTCAGTCACAATAGATACTCGTCAGCTCATGTGTATGGAGAGCGAATAGGAAGGATTCCAATACTATGAACTCGCCATCCGAACATGGATGGGCGCTAGGGAAGTATGCAAGGCACAGCTTTGAAGGCCACTAAGAGATGCCATTTTACGGACACTGAGATCCGGCTTGGTATGATTTCTGCAGCCGTGTATAAGAGCAGGTGGCGTCGCCATGAGACAAAAGGAGGGGTTGTAGTGATTCGTGTTTCTGAGAAGCTGGCCAGTTCTCCTTTCGTTAGACGCTTTTCTAAACTTCTATCATTCTTTTCCCCACTATGAAGTCGCTTCTTTCCATTGTAGCACTCGCCGCTACGGCCGCCGCCGCACCCACCGGTGACCTTGAAACCCGTCAAATAGGCAGATGTAGTATGACCTGCAACGAGCTCGAGAGGGGAAGCTGCGCGGAGGTCATCTTCATCATGGCCCGGGCATCAACCGAGCCAGGTAACATGTATGAGTTGTTATAGAAGGCACCATATCTCATTACTGATGCATCCAGGGGAATGTCCGTCGGCCCGGCGGTGTGTTCTGACCTGAAGCGGGCGCACAATACCATTTGTCAAGGTGTCGGTGGTGCTTACACGGCTGGCCTGGCGGACAACTTTGGGAGACTGAACACGTCCCCAGCCGCCATCCAGGAGGCGACGAAGATCTTCAACCAGGCGGTCCAAAAATGCCCCCAGTCCGTTATTGTTGCGGGAGGCTACAGGTAAATGCTCAGTAATTGACAGTCTCTTCAAAGCGCTGACCGCACCCGATGTACAGCCAGGGTACCGCTGTGATGCACAACACCATCTCTGGGCTGCCTCCCAACATCCAAGAGAAGATCGCGGGCGTCGTCCTCTTCGGCGACACTCGCAACGAGCAGGACAACGGACAGATCCCCAACTTCCCGCGCGAAAAGGTCAAGATCTTCTGCAACACGGGCGACCTGGTCTGCTCCGGCTCCCTGACCATCACTATGTCCCACTTCATGTACAGCGGCGATGTCCCCGACGCGGTGAGGTTCCTTTCGCAGCAGATCGGTGGAGGGGGTGGTGGCTCTTCCGGTGGCAGCGGACTCGGTGGTCTGCTTGGAGGCGGCAGTTCCGGCGGATTTGGTGGTTTGTTCGGTGGAAGTTAGTGAACACGGCTATTTCGATGTAGTCCGAAGACTTCATTGATGGACAGACGCAGGTTTACCGTTTACAGAGGGGTCTCTTTTCCATCCAACTAAATACACTCGTTTAAATTTAAGGTTGGACTGCCCTCCTTAGACCCTTGCTGCTGTGAATGTATCCAATGCAATTCCACAAGCCAGTCCAGCCAGATCCATTACACTACGTTAGTTCTTTTAGAGCTGTCTATTCCCGCCTCCGGCCTTCCCACTGTTTCTCACAACAGTGGAGTATCCGTACGGGGGAATGTCATTCAGATAACGCGCGAATACGGAAAACTAAGCCTAATCTAGCAGCTCTATCCGAGTTGTGCCCCGCGTCCCATGCATTTAGTCGGGTTGTAGGACTGTTGTTGACTCATAGGACAGACAAAGTCTCATGAGTCAAAGTTCTGCAAATCTCGACTTCCTAAACATTTAAATCGAGGAACATATTAAGGCGACTGAGGCCTCACCACGAAAATGGCGCAACCAGAATATGCTCAGACACCAAGGAACTCTGTGAATCGCAAAAAGCAAATTGGTATCCCATCTACATAAACCCTGTCCCCACGCCGAAGCTAACGGACCAATAGCACACTATGATTACCAAACAATCCATTCCATCATCGACACCGTCCCAGTGCTTCATGTCTCATTCATGCCGAAGGATGAGCAAGATGGCTTTCCGACCATCCTCCCAATGTTAGGCTGCACAGGGAATTTCGAAACCCGATATCTCCCTAACAGCCAGGCTGCCGAACCCGGCACCGACGGTCCTGGAGCCTTTCCTGAGGATGACAACCGCTCTCCCGATGAGCCTGACCCGTCTCAGGGCCCTCGCACGATATACATTCACGGACACGTATCTGCGCGTCTATTGAAACTGCCAACTAGTGACGACCCTGCCCCAAGCCCTGCGCCAGTGTGCATCGCAGCCACGCACATCGACGGCCTTGTGCTGGCGTTGACGCCCTTCCACCACAGCTGCAACTACCGCAGCGTCGTCGTCCACGGCCTTGCGACCCTCGTGATAGACCAGGACGAGAAAGACTACGCCATGCACCTGATCACCGACAACGTGCTGGCGATGCGGTGGGCGAACTCGCGAACTCCGCCGACGAAGGCGGAGTTGCAGAGCACGTCGCTCTTGCGGATTGATATCGTCAACGCCAGCGCTAAGATCCGCATTGGGGGACCGAGTGATGACCGGCATGATTTGAAGGACGAGGAGGTCACCGGTGGGGTTTGGGCGGGGACGGTGCCGATGTATTTGCAGTATGGGGAGCCGATCGAGAGTAGCTATAATCAGGTCAAAACGGTGCCGCGATATCTCGAGGAGTGGAGGAGGAAGGAGAATACGGAAGCGAAGGAGAATGCTGAGCAGGCTGTGAGGGAGGTGAAGAAGAAATGAGTTTCGAACGCTCAACTTACCATGTATTCATGTGTCGGTTAAGATGGCTTAAGTCGCGACGACTAGACCTCTTCCCCATGTGGGCGTCGTCATTGCATAGATGCTCTCCTAGATACTATCATGCCAACTAGTGTAGACTTTCGTTCCTTGATCTTCGCCATTGTGGCCAACTGGTGAAAGAAGAGCTCAAACTCGCTTTTTAGACTAGGTCGTCTTCATCCGTGAGAGCTACTTTGATCAGCCATATGCGACATGTTCTGATCATCCACGTTGTGAGAGTTCATGTGTAGCCCCGAAACCATGACATTCTGTGACATTGCAGCGGCGTCATCGTGGTTGGTTGGTATCTGGTGTTGATCGTATGGTTCGTCTGGGTCCGCGAAGGTCATGAACGAGGCATTTTGTATGGCTTCTGCGAATGCTGTGTCATCGGGAGTAGAATCCATAACTAGCCCTGTGGGATCGGAGAGGTTATGGAGCGCTAGTTGTTGGGACCATGAAAGATGAGCGGTTGATGATTGGTTGAAGTCCCCAGAGAGGTCGGTTGGCATCCCAGCAAGGCCGTCCATACCAGAGAGGTCGTGACCAAGTGCTGCTTCTTGCTGTTGATGGGTTGTAGCTTGGTCGAAGGTATCGAATGTCGAGTCCATTTCCGCAATTAATCTTGGGTCCAATGGAACTTCATAGTGTACGATCTCCGGCATAGGAGAGAAACTGATCTCCTCGTCATTCGGAAAGGATATTTGACTGTGAGACAGTGGATCATGCGTGTCATGCATGTCTGTTTGAGCGTCCCGCATAGCGAATGACTCTTGAGTTGCCGGGATAAACCCGTTGGATTCAGTCGGGATCGGCTCTGGCTGGGTAGGAGTCTCCGAAACTCTCTCCTCGAGATCTCGCGGTACCGGGGACGGATCGTCTTTCCGACTCGGAATAGGCTCTCCTTTAGATGCAGCTTTGGCAGCAGAATCCTTGCATTCCGGACAATTCTTGATAACAAGACTGACAGTCTCTTTGATCCGAACCCAATGATATTTGTCTGCAATCGAAGCTGTCGACTTGTTAATGCCACCATGGTGCATCAGATGAATCTGTCGAGCGACTTCATATTGACGCAGAGGATCAGATATGACTTCCTTGTCTTTCAACATCAACTTCTCGGGCTCATTGTCGATGGCAGGTATCAGCTTGTAGTGTGTGGCAGCACTACGAAGCCGACTCTTCTCTGCACGATCGGCTCCGTTAGGATATTTCCCATGCCTAAGGTAGAACTTGATCTTGTCGAATCTCTCCTCGGTGACAAACTCGTCTCCTTCTAGCCCTAGATCCCGACCGTAGATGATTGCATCCACCAACTGGTCGGGAGACGATTTGAGGTTTCCACAACCTTTCACTCGGCCGATACGCTTGAAGCCTAAGGCATCCCAAATTTTACAGGACGCTACATTGGTCTCATAGACAAGATTGAAGACCGAGTAGGTGTAGCCCTAATGACGTTAGAAAATGTTGCTCTCAGAGCAATGCGAGATACTTACTAGCTTTGGAGCCCATTCCAAATACGCTTCTCCCATGAGTCTTCCAACGCCTCGATTTCGCGAGGCATCCGTCACAAGGAAACCGCCAGTACAGACATGACTCGACCTTCCAGGGTAATTGGGCTTGATGTAGAAACTCCCAAGACACTCCTTATGCCAGTCGCAGCCCTTATGAGCCATCCGTCGCAAATCAGCGGCGTTGTCAACGTCACCTAGCAGCATTACGGCTCCGAAGTTCGCAAACCAGTAAGGTCCAAAGGTCTCTAGTGTCATCGGATCAATCATAGGATACGTGTCGCCTTTTTCGATTTCCTTGTTCAACTCCTCGCACAGGTAAGCAAGGAGTGAGACTGGCACTTCGCTTGACGATGAAAATGGCACGATGCTAGCAACGGTGATTCTGTCTCGCAGTGTGACTTGGCGAGAGACAATATCAATTGGAAAGGGGCTTCCAGCCGTGGGAAAAGGAGGCTCCCCCGACCTGCGGTATATGACCGGTGCGGTCGGGTCATCAGGCACAGCCGGCATTGCGGGAGAATCTCGAGAGCAGTAGATCGAGTTGGTTCGCTAAGATACATGTTAATATTTTGTACTTCTGTGCTTAAAACTTCATCGACCCGACTTCCGAAACTCAATCAACAGCTTGCCGAGGCGAAATAGCCCAGCAGCCCAGCAGCCTTGTCTGACACCGAAGCATGAGAGCGTGGCTGGAGGACACGCCAACCTTTCAACGACAAAGTTGAGCAATCAATGTGGACAAGCAAAGACTCTCAAAGCAGCATCAAACATCAGGAAACATCGACAGAAGGGAACGGAGGAAGAAATAGGGGGTAAATACCTGTAGTGAGTGTGGCTGTATTTCTGATATTGGCGGCCGTATCTCCCAGCACGAATCTTGCAACGTGAAACCGCGAAAGCGGAAATCCGCGTTTCGGTTCAGCCACATCATGTGATGCTACACCATGTTATGAAACCACAACCTCACCCACTCCATGTACTCTAACCGGACATTGGTCTCGCGTCTGTTTATATGCCGCCTCCCCTCCAAGCCCCGACCTCCAACCTATCCCTCATTTTGAAATCGTCTAGGTCTCCTTATGCCACCCATTGCTTTGACAAGTCTGAATAATTCGTTATTCCGATAGCCTCGTGCGCTATCGCTTAATCGTCCCGTCGTCCTCGATTCCAGAAGATGATCCACACGGTACAGGTAAGTGCCGCCATACGGTACTTCATTAGCGCACGTGTTTGCTGAGAGTCCTATGGCTTTTTATGGTTCCGGTCACCCTGTTCCCGTTTCTATTGCCCTACTTTCTTTTCCCCAGATCAGTTAAACGAAGGCACTCTCTTCTCCAGTTTTGCAAGCGATGACGATGAATCTTGACATTTCGACTGAATGGCTCGTTACCGAAACGAACCCTGTTCGAAGGGTAGTGGGTATGGATTTCGAACGGTGTGTCGCGCTGCATAACCAACTCGTCGACCTTTCATGGACAGGAGTACCATTAGAAGCCCGGGGTCGTCAGACTTGGTGGAAGATGCATTTCCAGGAAGCGGAGGTCCTTGCCTTCCACGGACGATACGATAGTTCAGTCATCGAATTCCTAAAGCGGGTCCGCTTCCATGGCTTTCTGGCCTATTTCCATATGGGAGTCGTCGGGCCGGAAATGCATTGGGATATGTCCTTAGAGAGCTATGTACCACCGGACGGAGATCCTAACCTGAAGGACCGTTTTGTGGCCCTATACAAACCCTGCGATATAGATACTATCTCACATCCAGGATCGCTTTTGTATGATAATCGGTTCCTTCGAATGTACTGACATATATACCTTACTAACAGCATATAATTACGACCAGAAGACTCACTTAGCAGTTGTCCAAACGTCTATTCACGACGAAGAACCATTTGAGCCCGACGTCATATGGATACCATCGGATGTTATCCTTAGCGGTTGGATTGAAATGGTTATCCAAGGCCGGGTTTGTATCTGGGACCCGAAATCGGCGGAATTAGATCCGTACGCTGATGTACTCGGAAGCTGGGTACGCCATCTTTACAGTCCTATTGCACTCTCCGATACTATTCGAGCATTCGATCGTCTCGCCTCCGCCATAGAATCAAGGATGGTGGACTCTACCGGTATTATGCATCGCGAGCCAGCCGAACCCGGTATATTTAACACCGAATTATTACCAGAAACGACGATATCCGAGTTCGTCCGTAGTTTTCTACTCCAAGCTCAGAAACTGAAAGCCAAATATCTCGCTCCAGGATTGCAACTATGCACTCCCTCTGAATACGAAAACCAACCGTTCGGATCTGATCGGGACGACCCCGACTACTCTAGTTTCCAGCCCTTCCTGCACCTTTTACTGACGACCCAAGCTGCGTTCCGTTCTCTAGTTTCTACTGGCCGTATGAGAACACAAGCCACCGCGCGGGCCTATACTAAGGACCAGATCCACTATGGCTGGAGCATGCTGAACTGGTTTTACCGTATAAGATTGGGCTAAACAGCCGACGAGTCGTGCTTTCGTCGCCAAAATAACCGACCAGTAGCCTATCATAATATGCTATGTATATGACATTAGTTATAATCATTTCGTCAACGCACGTAGAACCCGCATTCCATTGATTTTCGAGAACTGGGCGGGTATGATTGAAAGAGGGGATTGGCTAGTAGACGAGCATGGTGTCGTTGGTGACATTGAAAAGTATCGCGATGCGGACACAAAAGAGCACTGGCCGCAGTACATGGTCCCAGTGACCTGGTGAGACGGGGTATCTTTTCGAACCTCATATCTTCCTAGTGTATACATCCGCTAAGGCAGTGCTATCACTATTTCGTACCTTTCTCTCAATTCATCTGTCAAGCAGGCCTTAAGCCAAACCTCCTCTACGTCGTCCAGCAGTCTCTAGAATACCAGTTCTCTGCGGCACAATAATCGCTGGCCGACCCACAATATCCATGGTTCGAGCAGCAGGGCCCGAACTGCGTTCCAGGGCAGATTTTATTCCCTGCAAAGAGAAGTCCGCATTCTCCGGTCATGCTGAGCCCACCGTCTTCTGTATCACACTCGCCAGAGTAGCGATCTAGATACAGTGAACTCGTTTTGAGTTATCCGCTCACACAACGAATGAAACACTTTTACCTACCAAAGACCATTGATCGCGCGGCTTTGAGGGGGAATCCGGGCATTGTTCGGCATCTTTATCCACTGAATACCTCTGGTACACCAGACGTCTGAAGCTCAATAAGGGAATCAGGCTGAAGAAGCATAGGAAGTCGCGAGGAAAGGGACTAAATGAACCCGCTGCATTTGCTTCACAGACACGGACCGTATTGCGGCAATAGGTATTACCCAGCGGAACTGCCGACTGCAACGCAATGAAAACAGCAGCTGAACCACTTCCATATAATGTATCCGATTGGCAACATCTCGTCACGAGGTTCTCGGTCAATATCTTGAAGACTTGGCTCAAGCACACTGGAAGGGAGAAAGAAGACCCCTAGGGAGTATGTAGTTTAACCATAAGGCTATCATCAAGACAATCTTGCGGTTGGCAACCCAGTTCTACCTCCCTCCAGCAAACCGGTACCCCATGCGTCCAAGAATCGTCAAATCGTACATATCGTAACAACGTAACAACCTCGCATCGTAACCGATCTAGTGGCCTCAGACTATCCACTCCGTCACTTCTGTCCCGACGACACCACCTCTCCCAACACATCAATCTCCCTCACCTCATCCAGCTTACTCGTCCCACCCTCCACCACTTCTGTCCCACCCATCACCTCCACCGCCATCCACCCTCGAATTCCACCCCCATCCCTCGCCAAAATCCTCCAATCCCCTCTCTTCTCCCCCACCCCGACCTCCCCCTGCACCTCCCCATCCGCTAAACCCCTCGCATTCGGCGGCCCCACTTCCATCCCAATGTCCCGCAGAAACTCCACGATTGCCCGCTGGTTCAGCCGCAGTAGCCGCGTAGGCTCACCGCCGCCGCCGTTGAACATCCGCCGCGTGGCGCGCGGGAACAGGATCGCGAAGTCCGATTGGTAGAGGTGCGCAGAGTTAGCCGGGTAGAAGAGGCGCGGGCCGGCAACGTCGATCGGGGTGGGGGTGAAGGCGTGCGGGTTGCGGAGCGAGGTTTCCGTAGCCGGGGTAGGGCAGAGGGCACGTTTCAGCCGATCGAGGTTGGCGGGCCACTCTGCGAAGGCGGCTGAGAGGAGCGCGAGGGTGGTGGAGCCGGCGGAGGAGGAGGGGGTGGCGTAGCAGGGGAGGGGCATCTGGCTGAGGCGGAAGGTGTAGGGGGAGTCGAGGGGCATGGCCCACATGTCGAGGAGGACGAGGGGGGAGGAGGGGGTGATTTGGCGGGCGATGGAGGAGGTGGCGGAGGGGGTGAAGAGAGGGGTGTATGGCGGGTGGAGTGAGGTGGAGTTGCCATCAGGGTCGTCGGCAGGGATGCGCCAGTAGGTGGACTTGACCAGTTGGACGACCGAGGCAGAACCGAAGCTGTGACCGGCCCAGATGATGGAACCGGGCTCGTCGACACTAAGCCGGTGTACGAAGATAGAGAGTACCTCGTTGGTGTCGGTTTTGCGAAACCGGGTGCTGTTAGGGTCGAGGTTGCGAACTGAAACGCCTGCGTTGATTTTGAGCAGCGCACTATGAATCAGGCCCAGCTCCCAGAGCCGGATGCGCATTTGTCTGTCACGGCCTCGGTAGACAATGTCGATAGCCGTGTGCGGAATGCGGTTGTAGGTGAGGACTTTAGGGGGATGTTCGTCCGTAGCTCGAATATAGGTGATGGCCGCGCTTCGGTCCCGGTGATCTGGCGCAATGACAACCACACCGTAGCTAGCTACCGCGCCCAATATCCACGAATATGTGTTTCTACAGCCTGCAAGGCCGTGTGAGAAGATCATCACCGGCCACTTTCCAGATGACGTCTGTGGAGGTAGAAGCATGGCATTTCGACGGACTGGTATCGCGATATAATACAGAACATGCGATAGAAACCTCCTGCATCGCTGTTAGTGTTGGACGCCTGGGTCGGGACCTGCAACACCGGGAAGCCTTACGCAAGGTGGTCGGACACGGCAAAATTGATCCCTAGATATCGAGCGTATGCTCTCATGTATGCACGCTGGGGATCCGGTATCCATCGCACCGACTTCGTCGATGACGCCGGTTCGCACGGGTAGAAGATTCGAAAGACAACGGTATGAATGTCAGCATCCTCAGGTTTCGGGCTCGGGCTGTGTAAGTCTGCAATAGGGATTTCTACATCACAGCTCCCAACGGCGTAGGGACCACTGTGAGAGGGAAAGGATCCGATGGGAGCCACTTTGGATAGGAGCCATCTCAGAGGCGTTGCGAGCGTCATGAGCTCGAGGACCGTTCGACCTCAAAGGATGGAAATGGTGAAGGTAACATTAGCGATAACTGAGGATGATAGGACGCGCCCAGGGAGAATGGTAGGATGCGGAAGATGAGCAAGGAGGTATCTGCAGTAGAACTAGAGTTGAAATGACGGCGAAGATTTTCAGGACTTGATACATGCTAGGCCACAATGTAAGTAACATTCTGCCAATCGGGAGGAAGAAGCAGCAAGGAGACCACACGACAAGAACGACAAGAACGACAAGAACGAGGATCGGAGACAGCTGTACGTATGGATAGGTATGTCGTGGGAAGTATCAGCGCAGAAGATTTGCGATGGGAACTGCGATACGATATCGAGTAGTCGACGTCCTCCTTCGGCCTTGCCAAAAAATAACTGGTAGGTACCTGTATCAAAGTACAACAGTACCTGTGCCACATAATCCCGACTATTTCATTCTGTTTCATTGCGTAAGTATCCCCATTGGCAGTTCATTGTATATCAGTCTTCAACGTCTCCTCGATGATGCAGCCATGGTGGTGGCAGTCTCCCACTTCGGGGGGACAGTGTTCCTAGGAAGCAGCTATGGTGCAATTCTGTTCATGTGTCGACTGCAGCAATGGTAGCCCAGCTTTGATATTATTATTACATCCTGTCAAGATCTAATACGGACTTATCCAATGCCTCTGCGTGTATAAAAAGGGAGGAAGACATGAAGACGGGAGTTGTGGGGTGGAAAGGGGGGCAGGAGCGACCCCCCGGCCCGGCACGGCTCTTTCCTTCCGCTGATCCCTGTCAAAATCCAATGTCATCGTCTCTGATATCAGAATTCAGACCTCGTGCTGTACATCTCACCTTATTATGTGCCTTAGATCAGTCTCCAACCTCTCTGTTCCTTTCATATCAGGTTCATGTTAAATTTCTGCGTGGCCTAGCCTTCCCTCCGCTTCTGTATATACCCTTGCTTCCATCCACGTACATGTAGACCCCCCCTATCCTTGTGAGCATCCGTCATCACCACCCCCGGAGCGACACCCCGAACCCGGAACCGCCATAGCCCAGCATGGCGCGCCAACGCGCCGCGTCGACGACGTCGACGAATTCCTCCACGAATGCTAGAGACCAGGTTCGCCCTACTTCCGCCGGAGACCGGTAACTTTATATGCTAATCGGTATCTGGGTGGTAGCATCCGCAGCAACAGGAGTTGGGAAGCATGTACGATTACCTGGCGAAGATAATACTATTGGGGCCCAGTGGGTGCGGGAAGTGAGTGGAATTTTGCTTCAGAATGCATCGGGGGGAATGTCCACCATCGAGTTGACTACGCGACTAGAACGAGAGGCTTATTGTGTGGTGTGCTATAGGTCATGTCTGTTGCATCGGTTTGTCAAGGACGAGTGTATGTTCACTCTTATTAGCGACCGAATCTACGCGGAAATACGATCGCGATCCTAACGAAACAATAGGGCGTGTACTCTCGTCACACACCATCGGCGTTGAATTCTCCTCGAAGATCGTCAAAGTCGGCACCGGCGCTCGGCGCAAACGCATCAAGTTACAAGTACGCTCCTACAGTCTTTCACCATCTATAATGGCCTTCCACGCCATTTTCTACTCCCCCCAGGACCATACGATGTACAAGGGCACGCCTAACATCTTCCGCCAACAGTTATGGGACACCGCCGGCACCGAACGCTTCCGCTCCGTCTCCCGCTCCTACTACCGCGGCGCCGCCGGCGCCATCCTCGTCTACGACATCGCCTCCCGTGCCTCCTTCTCCGCCCTCCCAACCTTCCTCCACGACGCGCGCGCACTCAGCTCTCCACAGCTCACCGTCATCCTCGCTGGTAATAAAGCCGACCTCTCCGAGCCGACCTCCAGCCACGGCGGCCCCCCCTCTGAAGAAAACCTCATCGACATGCCCAGCACGCCGACCGCCAGCAGCTACGACAGCCGGCGCAGCGCCGCGTGGAGCACGATGACGCCGACGGTGAGCGCGTCGGGGAAGGAGCGGGACCGCGATAAGGAGGCGCACGGGGCGGTGACGCCGGGGTCGACGCGGTCGAACCGCACGGGCACGCTCTCGGGGCTGGGGACGATGCACGAGGCGACGCAGGCGCCGGAGGGGCGGGAGGTGAGGGTGGAGGAGACGGCGCGGTGGGCGGCGGAGAACGGGGTGCCGGTGGCGGTGGAGGTGAGCGCGCTGACGGGGGAGGCGGTGGAGGAGCTGTTCACGCGGCTGGGGCGGATGATTCTGACGAAGATTGAACTTGGGGAGATCGATCCGGCGGATCCGAGCCAGGGGATTCAGTACGGGGACTGGGGGGATACGGGGAGCGTGCGGAGCGGGATGACGGTGGAGGATGCGGGAATGAGGCGGAGGGGAAGGAGGAGGGGAGAGGGGACGGGGAGGTGGAGGGAGGGGATGAGGGAGTGGGAGGAGGTGTTTCGGTTGGATTCGGGGAGGAGAGGGGCAGGCGGCGGCGGCGGTGGTGGTGGGTGCAATTGTTAATGTGGAGGAGCGGGACAGAACCGGAGGGGAAGCATAGTCGCGGAGTCTGTTGCCTACGTTGGATTGAAAGTGTTGGATACCCTATAGCAGCGTCGGCGTCAGGGTCTCAATGAGACAGCGGTAGTAATAGGGTCAGCCATTGGCCTGTGCCAATAATAGTCGATATATCCCCCTCGATCTGGCTAGACCGTGCTTCCTGCGCGACCTCCTCGTTTGTCGGTACCGAGGCTGCTGTATCGTCGATCCTCCCTGTCCCACTCGAACACGACTTCCAGAACACCGCAGGATCATGGATGACTCCCCGCGCTGTCTCGTCCCTCTCGGAAACTACGGAGCCGTTTCATCCCCTGGTGGCCTGCCCAACCTACTCAGCTGGGTTTCGCGTCGAGTGGTGTTTAGTCAGGCGGGATCCGATCACTATGGGTGTGGACCGATCTTGGTTAGCCGTACGCCGCCGACGCGTGCCACGGCATGGCGCGATTGGAGTTGCCGAGTCGCGTGTAGGAAGAGGGGAGGTGGAAGTGCCGTGGAACGCGGTTCAGGTGCTTCTTCCGCGGTACCTATCTGGATGTACGAATTCATCCCGGTGGACTGAGATGGAGGTTGTCATACGGGATGCATGGACACGGGGACGGAGAGGAGAGTTGGACTTTGGTTAGTAGCAGTATGTGCTTCGGATATTGGGGACAGATGGGGTTGGAGGATCAGGATGCTGGTCGAGTTTCCCATGCCGTGATATCAATATCCGATTCAATAGGATGACTGACGAGAACAGTGTCACTCTGTGTGACTGAATGCAGTGGCATTTACACGAACCCATGAACGCTCTACGTAGAATGTATGACCATCGCTCTATCATACTTGAATACTTGAACCCGACCCGGGATTGGGATCGTTCTTGTTCATCTGGGCGTAGATCATTTTCTGGCAAGGCAACACGCCATCGCCCATACATCGCCATCTTATGTTTCACACCAACATTTCTTAGCCCCTTAATAATCACTAATTAGCAAATCTCGCGCATGCAGCCTCGTTCTCTCATCTTGGCGCCAAGCCTTACTGGTACGACGCGCTCCACTATATGAACGCCAAATCCACCCCATGACTGACCGGTATTGCACTCGGTATAAATGCGGCGAGTTTTCCAGGCTCACCAGTCGTCGGGAGGGCTGGCGGACAGGAAGCCCTCTATTTTATATTGTGGAGGATCGCAACAGGTCTCGGCGAAGGCTAGGATTCAGGTCTTGTGCAACCGCCCTCCGCGGATAGACACGACAAGAAGTAATTCCTGTATCAAACGAAGTCGAACCGAAATTTTCTGCAATTTCAGATACGGTGTCGGATACATATCAGCAGGTTTAAGAACGATGGTTCAGCTGTATCGACAGGGTCGACGGGTTAGCTCCCCTAGTTAGCCATCTATTCTATATCGATTCCATCTGGCCAGAGTGCACCGAAAATAGCGTCTCAGAATTAGCATGCCTGAATTATATGGTTCATCAGAAGGAAGGGGTAGAGTCGTAGGGACTATGTACATTGTAGTCAGCCTAATTATTGAGCCATCAAGCGACCGCACATAGTGGTCAGATCAGTCGACGGCCAAGGCGCCATCCGCCCGAGAAATAGTCAGGGGACTAACTCCTTCGAAGCTTCGATGGAGAAGGTTCTATTCTCTGTGGACGAAGGACTGAAAGCGGAATAGATAAGCCGAAGCACGCACTCCCTTCCGGTGCTGACTCCTGAGTTCTGGCGGGAGTGGAGTGAACATCGATTCCCTGGATGGATGGAGAGGAATCTCGGAACGACAGAAAATAAAGCCTGATCATTAGACACGATTCTTGGCAATACTAGCTGGGTACGTTAGCGGATTCGCCGGATATTTCTGTTGTTCTGGAAATGTTGGATCATGATCCATAGATGTACTAGTGTTGTACTCCGTAGTCCGTACTGAAGTAGGAATACTTGGGGATAACAGGGATGACCCACCAGGCACACTGACCTGTTGCGGATCTCACCTTACCATCACGACATGTACGAAATATGATACCCATGCTCTTTCCATTCACGTGGTATGCTGAAGGAATGATCGCCAATTTGGGGCGCTCAACTGGGGATGGCGCCGAATACATGTTAAAAAACTTGAACTTTAAATGAAGACTCTGATTTAATTACCGGTACTATGTCCACCGGAACGGTTCGACAGATCACACCAACCCCAGCTGCGACGGTCTCAAGTTAGTTCCAGTGTCGCGTGGAGTGCAGAATGGGGAAGTTGGAGACCCCATTCTATTCCATTCTACTCCATTTCACCGTACACTAAGGAAGTCACTATACGATGAATGTACGACGGGAACCAACAGCTAGTCACCTTGTTGTCGATCCACCCCCGCTCAAACGTACATGGTACTTCAGATACATGGAAGTTTTCAACCTGTCGCAGTCGATCATGATGCCAAACCGCCGAGGGACAAGACCTTCGAGAATTTCTTCGCCAAGTATCGGGCTTGTCATGGCCCACTCAATCGCACGCACTCCCCGTCCTCCCTGTCGCGCTTGTCAGCCTGTGGATTGCCTTTGCATGTTTTTGGCGAAATCGCTTGTCTGCGAGATCTAGTTCTGGGCTGGACGCCTCCCGTCCTTGGGCTGACCACCACAAGAATTCTTGTCGATGAGCCTCATCGGGCATCGCCTTGCCAGCTGCTACGCAATATGATTATCCCGATGGTGACATGGAACGCGACCATCAACAAAAAGACAACAAGCAGACAATACTAGAAAGGTTCCCCTCAGCGCTCAATTCGCTGCCGGAGAAATTGCCCTCAGATACGATGCAATCTGTTGTTGTGCTATGTGCGTCTCAGGAGCCAACGAGTAGGACAAGCCCGATATTCTCATTTCGATATCTCTCCGTATGACATTATCGTCGATTCGTCGCCCACTGGGATATCCAGCCTCCAACCCATCCCTCCGCCACGGACTAGCCGGTCTGGTAGAGCCGCGGCAATTTGCTGCAGATTGCAACCCGAACCCTGACATTTCTATTGCTCCATAACTTCCATGGTCTTAAAGGCGGCACTTTACTCGAGAAGGTTGTCGATTGCCACCCCCAGGAGAATCGGCTGATCCCAGCCTCCCGTCCCTGCCAACGCCCAGGATAAGACTACCCCCAACCGTCCCTAACCAATTGCGGGGAGTCTGGGGAATCCCCACGGGTTGGAGAGCCAAGTTCAGCCGCCAAGATCTGGCTCAAATGCCTGCCTGTTCCTTGGCTGCCGTCGCTGCGAAAGCGCCTCAAAGGTTGGTGCAACCATCATCGTGGATTTGTGGGACATCTGGTCATCCCCCAAGCAAACACCAATTTTTTCCAGACGCGGCTTCAGCCATCCAATCATGCCACTGGCTTGAGGTCCTGTAATCGTCCACCCTTATCCAGATCCGTGGCCAGCACCGAAACCGTGCATCGGATGGTCAACTCAGAATCGCTTCCAATTAGAGCACTCGCACACTCTGTCGCGCATAATCTGCATCTTCCATGCCCGCCAAGTCGACTTGCGAATAGGAAACAGGGGCTGCCTCCCTCGGTATCTTCCATCATCTGGATGTCTCGATGAAAACACGGGAGGGGTTTAGGACCGTCCAAGGGTCGATTATGGGATAGTCCTGCTCACATCTTGGTTCAAATATGAGGGCCGGATAACCTGACCTCGATCAAGTTCGAATTCTTTCTCTCCTTTATCCTCTTCGTACCTTTTACGGTCTTTCTTTTTGTGATACCCCGCTGTGACCGTTCGTTCGTCACGAGCATACCCGACGCCATGGCAGACATGGAGAAGCACGTCGTTAACCATGACGACTATAAGGGCTCGTTGTCGAGCTCCCACGATAACTTGATCGAAGTTGGGCCTCAGGAGGCTAAGAGGATTAAGCGAAAGCTGGATGCACGATTGGTCGCCACCACCGGGTTGATGTACTGCATCTCATTGATGGACCGGACCAATTTGTCCAATGCTGCGGTTGCTGGGTAAGAGAAGAGCTAATGGCGTAACAATTGAGATAGCTGGGGCCGTGGACTAACAACGAGTTAGTATGAACAAGGAGCTCCTGATGATTGATTACCGATACGTAAGTTCCAGCCCATCTCGTACGTACCGAAAGGAGTCCTAACTCGCCTTGCAGAGCATTGTCACACTCGTCTTCTTTATCCCCTATGTCATCTTCCAACCCCCGGCGACTATCCTTACCCGAAAGATCGGACCAAGGATCTTCCTCTCGGCCTTGACCGTTTCGTGGGGTGCCATCATGATCGGTATGGGATTCACCAAGAATTGGGAAACGATGGCTGGTCTCCGTGTTCTCCTCGGCACCCTCGAGGCAGGTTTCTTCCCTGGATGCGTCTACCTGCTCAGCACGTGGTACGTCCGATGTAAGTTACGATGAACCCCTCTTGACTGTGGAATGCGTGCTGACTCCACGCAGATGACATGGGCAAGCGGTATTCCTTCTTCTATCTGATTGGTTGTGTGGCATCGGCGTTCGCTGGTATCCTCGCATACGGTCTCATGCAGATGGGTGGGCTCCAGGGTATAACTAGCTGGAGGTGGATCTTCATCATTGAGGGTGTCGTATGTTTTCCCTGCCTCCGATAAATCAGGCCGCTGTCCAAAAAGCTCACTGTTTCAGCTCACCGGCACCATTGGTATCATCGGTTATATCTTCCTCGTGGGCTTCCCGGATGATAAGACGAAGTACTGGGGATTCCTCAACGACCGCGAAAAGCAATGGGTCATTAACCGCGTGAACGCCGATCGTGGCGACGCCAACGTCGAAGCCTTCAGCATGAAGAAATTCCTTGGCGCCGGCCTTGACATCAAGGTCTGGGGTTATGCCCTGATCTTCTTCGACAGCACTACGCTCGCCTATGCGCTGGCATATTTCCTGCCGATCATCCTGAAAGACGGAATGGGTTTCGGCGTCGCCGAAGCACAGTGCCTCGGTGCCCCGCCGTACGTGTTCGCCGGTATCATCATGTTCGCCACCGCCTGGGTCGGCGACCGCTATCATATCCGTGGCCCCATCATCCTCTTCAACATGGTCCTCTGCCTGATCGGACTCCCCATCATGGGCTGGGCTAGCGCTCCTGCTGTCCGATACTTCGGCGTCTTCCTCGTCACCGCCGGTGCCAACGCCAACGTCCCTGCCGTCATGACCTACCAGGCCAACAACATCCGTGGCCAATGGAAGCGCGCTTTCTGCTCCGCCACCCTTGTCGGTATGGGCGGTGTTGGTGGTATCGCTGGTTCACTGATCTTCCGAACTCAGGATGCGCCGTTGTACCGCCCGGGCATGTACGCGTGCATTGCATGCTGCGGGCTCAGTGTCATCATCACCGTCTTGCTCATGCTCCGATTCAAGACTTTGAACGCCAAGGCCGACCGTGGTGAGCTGACGCTGGAGGGAAGCGAGGTACGTCCGTTGCGAATCTTGTGTGGTTTCCGTTCACAGGCTAACTCGACCGATAGGACGGCTTCCGCTACACATACTAAACGACCTCGCTCTTCGCTCGGGAATAGATGTGGTTGCGCATGCAGACCAGCTATGGGGATTGTTTGATGTAGCTGCTTTCATATCGAACTTCTCCGTTCCTATCACCATCAAATCAACTCGGACTCGGTGCATGCGGCTCGGAAGCGTCCCCTGTGCTAGAGGTCTGGTTGATGATGGCGGCTAGCTCAGCATCTTGACTTCTTGTGTTCATAGCTTCAATGAGATATACTTAGCACATACTTGGTAATAATTGTAAGTTTCGTGTTCCTTGCATATTCCGATGGTTTTAACAATGATCGCGGCGTGACGTTGGGTTAAAGTTGATGGCGGGTATGCAATCAGGCCTCGGCTGCGTGTATCTATCCCCGCGGTGGACACCCAAGCTTCCCACATTGCCTTGTAGACGCTGGGCTGTAGACTGTAGCGTGTAGGGCGTAGCCGTGACCCGCGGCCCTCGTAGGCCATACGATGCGGCTCTGCCCGCCTCCTTGCTGATCAGTCGATCATATTGTTGAATGGCTTGCATGAGTTGCGTCTGTCGAATTGCGGATCGAGCTGTGCAAATTCTTGGGGTGTTCTAGAAAACGCGTTGTGGCTTGGAGTCAATCGTTCATGTTCCTTGTGATGGCGGAGTCCCAAAAAAGCTCCTGCTGGGGCCATTCATAGAGATAAATGAGAGCAACGGTATCATAGAAATCTGTAAAACTGTAAAAGAGGTCGGTGCCGTAGTCTCCCAACAGACCAGTGATGAATGACCCTCCACGCCCTCTTATTTGGTCTTCTGCATTTCGAGGGCCCAAGGATTGGGAGGGGTGAATCGTCGGAACGGTAGCCAATCAGGACGAAGCAGTGACATTCTTTCATGTCCCAACACGGTTAGCACCGATGAAATCCTAGTATGTAGATATAATCAGGTACTGCAAACTCAATTGTGCACATAGTAGCGAAGTATTCGTGACTATACGTTCTAAATACTTCCAACAACAAGGCTTACTTTGGGCTCATCGAAATTGTTGTTTCCTCATATCATGAAGTCTGATAGCGACTCTCTCACGACCAAAGCGCTTGAAGCGAGGCAAAGCACTAGAGATGTTAACCAACCGCAGCAGGATTCGAGAGAGACAACAGATGTTGAGAAAGGAAATGATAGTACACGGTGCGAAGAAGGGGCAGAAATTGCTCTAGCCTCCAGTGACGACAAATCTCAGAAGCCTCCTTTCAACGCACTATCTTTGCTCGATCGTTTCTTAGTTGTCTGGATCATCCTCGCGATGGCTATCGGGATCGTGCTGGGAAACTTCGTCCCTTCTACTGGGCCGGCGCTCCAGCGAGGCAAATTTGCTGAAGTCAGTGTGCCCATCGGTAAGTTCAATCCTGGCAACGGAATCCTGTCATGAAGCAATTGAACGTGGAACGAGAATGGCTGACCTTTTCGTGAAGCCGTGGGACTTCTAGTTATGATGTACCCGATCCTCTGCAAGGTTCGCTACGAGACTCTCTACCTTTTACTCCGGGATCGCGGCCTCTGGATCCAAATCCTCTTCTCCTTCGTCCTCAATTGGATCATCGCCCCACTGTTCATGGTTGGTCTTGCTTGGGCCTTTCTTCCTGACAGACAAGACCTCCGTGAGGGACTCATCTTCGTTGGAATCGCACGATGCATTGCAATGGTGCTTATATGGACGGATTTGGCTGGCGGTGATGGCGACTATTGTGCAGTGCTGGTCGCCTTCAACTCCATATTACAAATCGTCTTGTTTGCACCGTTCGCGGTATTCTACATCAAGATCGTCAGCCATTCAAGCAGTGCGGTGTCTGTCAGCTACAGCGGCGTAGCCACCAGTGTAGCTGTGTTTTTGGGTGAAGTCATTCTATCAAGGTTTTGAAAATGCGCTGACTTTCGGGCAAAAGGCATTCCACTTGGAGCAGCGGTCATGACTCGCTTGTCGCTCCGCGGGTTGCTCGGCGAGCGCCGGTACCAGCAATACTTCCTCCGCTATATCGGTCCTTTCTCTTTGATTGGACTCATATACACCATAATTGTTCTGTTCGCATCACAAGGCCGCCACGTTGTTGACCAGATCACTTCGGTGCTGCGGGTCTGCGCACCTTTGGTTGTGTATTTCCTAGTCATCTTCTCTGCAACAGCTCTAGCCTGTTGGAAGTTTGGATTTGGGTATAGAGTTAGTTGCACACAAAGCTTCACTGCAGCAAGCAATAACTTCGAACTTGCCATTGCTGTTGTTGTTGCTGTGTATGGAGCTGGGAGTGGACAAGCTCTGGCATGTACCGTCGGTCCCTTGATTGAGGTTCCAGTGCTTGTTGCTCTTGTATATGTGCTCAAGTGGGTTCAAAAGAAATGGAACTGGAAATTATGAGATAGATCAATAAGCAAACAAGTGAATGAGAGAGAGTGCTTTATGGTGACTGGAGCTGAGGTTGAGGCATTGTTTGACTGGGACTTGATAGCGAAAGTGCTGTTGATACATGTATGAACTCTAACTTAGTAGACCCCTTAGTTAAAAATGAAAGATAGACTTTAGATGGTATATTCACCCGTTGGCGGCATCATGAAGAGACTGATAATTATTCAAAAGTATGGGAAAAGAGAGCAAGCTTGGAAGGGGTGCATGGCTTAGCCGTGATTAGAAATGTAGTCATGTGACACTGTCATGTGACACTGTCATGTGACATTTCCCATACCTCACAACATGTCCTTATCGTCCGCCGAAATTCATGCCAAGGCCTCTCCATCCCTTCACCTTCACCTTTCATCGTTTTGGGCTTCTCATGCTTCCAGCTGCAGAACGCGTTCTGCTCCCTTGCATTCTGCTCCTTGTGTCTGTGTGGTGCAAGATATCTACTGAACTTGCCTCAGAGCGCAGTTGGAGACGCGTTGCTCACTTTTGTTATATCCCTCTTCTTGACAAGTCGCCACTTGCCCAGTGGTACCCTACAATCGCAACCGCATTCATACACTTCGACTGCGCTGAAGGATACGAGAATCGGAGACGAGGATTTCGCGTTGGATCCATCGCGTTAAAGCGGTTCATCGACCATGGCGGACTACGTGAATGGATACGATCCAGCGGAAGAGTACGAAGATGAATACGAGGAGGGCATCACCGCGGAAGACTGCTGGGCAGTTATCACGTCGTTCTTTGACGGCACTGGTCTCGTCGCACAGCAGTTGAACTCATTCGACTTCTTCGCTCTCCATACGATCAACGAGATCACTACTGATTTCGGGCGCATCGTCATCGACCAGAACGAACCCCAGAATGAAGGCGACATCGATCCGATTATCAAGCGTCGATACGACTTGCGATTCTCTGACCTGCGCATGTCGGTCCCTCACATTACGGAGCAGGATGGTGGCGTTTATCAAATCTATCCTCACGACTGTCGAGTGCGAAACTTGACATATGCGTCCTCGATGTTCGTGAATTTCGCGACGAAGACGTTGGTGGCGCGAGAGCGACGGGTAGGACAGGCCCTGGACGCGGATGAGATGACCGATGGACAACCGGAGTCGGAGGACACCGAGCTCGTTTGGGAGCAAACCGACGACGACCCGACATCTGGCCAGGAAGCGCAGCCTTATATCGGAAAGATGCCCATCATGCTCAAGTCGCAGATGTGCTCTCTTCGAAACAAGACCGATGAGGAACTCTACGCCGTCGGAGAATGCCCTTACGACCAAGGTGGATACTTCGTCATCAACGGAAGCGAGAAGGTCTTGATTGCACAAGAGCGAAGTGCCGCAAACATTGTGCAGGTCTTCAAGAAGAAGAACAGCCCGACGCCATTCATTGCTGAGATTCGGAGCGCGCTGGAAAAAGGCTCGCGAATGATATCCTCAGTCACCCTGAAGCTTCACGAGAAGGGCGAAACCTCGAAAGGTGGATTCGGCAAAACCGTCACCGTTAGTCTGCCATACGTCAATGACGACGTCCCTCTCGGTGTCGTTTTCCGTGCTCTGGGAATCGTTTCCGATGCCGACATCCTCAACCATGTGTGCTACGACAAGAACGACACGCAAATGATGGAGATGCTCAAGCCTTGCATTGAACATGCATTTGCTATTCAGGATCAGCAGGTCGCTCTGTCATATATCGGCACGCGAGCAGGCAAACCTGGACGACCGTCGACGAAGGATGCCCGCATCCGTACAGCGAGAGAAATCCTCCAAAAAGAGTTCCTGCCACATATTTCGCAATCAGAGGGCAGTGAAACTAGGAAAGCTTTCTTCTTAGGATACATGACGCATCGCCTCCTGCAGTGTGCTCTGGGACGGAGAGAGGAAGATGACCGAGATCATTTCGGTAAAAAGCGACTTGACATGGCCGGACCCCTTCTATCCAATCTCTTCCGACAGCTGTACCAGAAATTGACGAAGGAGGTATACGCATATGTGCAGAAATGCATTGAAAGCGGAAAGCCTTTCAACATGTCTCTGGCGATCAAGTCTAACACAATCACGAACGGTCTCAAATACTCCTTGGCTACCGGCAATTGGGGTCTTCAGAACAAAGCTCAGCAAAGCAAGGCCGGAGTCTCCCAGGTGCTTAACCGGTATACATATTCATCGAGTTTGTCACATCTTCGACGAACCAACACACCCGTTGGTCGAGATGGCAAGCTTGCGAAGCCACGGCAGCTGCATAATACCCACTGGGGCCTCGTCTGTCCTTCCGAGACACCCGAAGGTCAAGCATGTGGTCTGGTGAAGAACTTGTCGCTGATGTGTTATGTCAGCGTTGGCCATAGTGAGGTCAAGACTGGTCTGGAGAAGTTCTTGGAAGCACGCAGCATTGAGATTCTGGAGGAATATGAACCCTCACTGGCACCAAATGCCACCAAGGTCTTCCTTGACGGCGTCTGGATCGGCGTCCACCGCGACCCTTCGATGCTTGTCCGGTCTCTTAAAGAGCTTCGAGCCAGCAATCTCATCCCCTTCGAGGTCAGCATCATCTGGGATATCCGTGAGCGTGAGATCAAAGTGTTCTCCGACACAGGAAGAGTACTGCGACCGCTCTTCGTGGTCGAGACAAACCCATCAAAGCCGAACTACGGCAACTTAGTGCTGAATCGAGAACATCTCGATCAACTTGCCGAAGATCAAAGAATCCCACAAGTACAGCTCCGAGAGATGCAGGCTCAAAAGCAACCTATCGGATGGATGCGGCTTGTCACACAAGGCGTTATCGAGTACCTCGACGCCGAAGAGGAGGAGACGGCGATGATCATCATGACGCCTGAGGAGCTAGAAGATCATCATCGTATCAGGAGCGGCCAGTCTATGTACGAGGCGGAGGACATTGATCCTCTGAGGCGTGTCAAAGGGAAGCCGAATCCTACGGTGAAGAACTACACTCATTGTGAGATTCATCCTAGCATGATCTTGGGTGTGTGCGCAAGCATCATTCCCTTCCCAGATCACAATCAGGTATGTTCCATTTCAACTAAACTTGTTAAGACCCTACTAACTTGAATAGTCTCCCCGTAATACTTACCAGTCTGCAATGGGTAAACAAGCCATGGGTGTCAGCGTAACCAACTTCAACCTACGAATGGACACCATGAACAACGCCCTCTACTATCCACAAAAGCCACTGGGGACAACGAGATCTATGGAATACCTCAAGTTCCGTGAGCTTCCCGCCGGACAGAATGCTGTTGTCGCAATTGCATGCTACTCGGGTTACAACCAAGAAGATTCCGTGATCATGAGCCAGAGCTCCATCGACAGAGGGCTGTTCCGAAGTCTTTTCTATCGCACATATACCGATCAAGAAGAGCGGATCGGTATGGCTGTTGTCGAAGAGTTTGAGAAGCCCAATCGTGCCAACACTTTGAGAATGAAGGTTGGTACCTACGATAAGTTGGACAATGATGGTCTCGTCAACCCTGGAGTTCGTGTATCTGGTGACGACATCATCATCGGAAAAACCGCTCCTATCCCCCCAGACGCCGAAGAACTTGGCCAACGCACTAAGTTCCATGACAAGCGAGATGTCTCCACACCACTTCGATCCACCGAGAGCGGTATCGTTGACCGAGTCATCGTAACTACGAACACGGATGGCTATAGATTTGTCAAGGTCCGTATTCGAACAACCAAGATCCCACAGATTGGAGACAAGTTCGCCTCCCGTCACGGACAGAAGGGTACCATCGGTGTGACGTACCGTCAAGAAGACATGCCTTTTACCCGCGAAGGCCTCACCCCTGACCTTATCATCAACCCGCACGCCATCCCCTCCCGCATGACCATCGCCCATTTAATCGAGTGTCTCCTCTCCAAAGTCGGTGCGCTGCGTGGTGCGGAAGGCGACGCAACTCCTTTCACTGACGTCACGGTCTCCGACATCTCGGCGCTTCTCGAACAGCACGGTTACCAACGCCGTGGCTTCGAGGTCATGTACAACGGCCACACCGGCAAGAAAATGCGCGCGCAGGTCTTCCTTGGGCCAACGTACTATCAGCGGTTGCGGCATATGGTCGACGACAAGATCCACGCACGTGCCAGAGGCCCCATGCAGATCATGACCCGGCAACCCGTGGAAGGTCGTGCAAGAGATGGTGGTCTGCGGTTCGGAGAGATGGAGCGCGATTGCATGATCGCACATGGTGCGGCGGCGTTTTTGAAGGAGAGGTTGTTCGAGGTGTCGGACGCATATCGCGTGCACGTCTGCGAAATTTGCGGGCTGATGACTCCGATTGCGTAAGCTTTCCGAACAACATGCTGATGGGATCGTGTTACTGACAAACCCTGCAGGAGCTTGAAAAAGAAGCAATACGAGTGCAGGCCTTGCAAGAACAAGACCAAGATCGCCCAGATTCACATCCCATATGCTGCCAAATTGCTCTTCCAGGAGTTGGCCAGTATGAACATCGCTTCGCGATTCCGGACGGTGCGAAGTGGCAAAACCGTGAGGGTTTAAGGAGATCAACATAATTTGGGTTGATGGATTACAGAAGAAGCGATCTTCACTAGCGTCGACGCAAAAGTTTCCTGGTTTCTTTTCGGTCAAATCGAATCCACTGGCGTGGTCGCGGCAATATTTGATTCTTGACTTTACAGCGACAGTTTGCATCGGGACGGAGTCATATGGTGGGTGAATGGAGTACACGCCATGGGAAGAAACCTAGAATAGTTCATCGCGTCTGGTGTACAACAGATATGGTCTGCGTCGACTGCACAATATAAAATTCATACCAGTATCCATCTGACCCGCCCATCCTGTGTTACTATGCCATATATGTATGTACTGAGCCATAGGTAGGGCTCTAATATTCGAGACGAGCCACACTGCCAATTTACTCCCACCTTTTATATTTATATTCTTGTGAGTAAACTTCGTCCTAGATGTCGACTACCCCATCCACCCCGCCAGCCTGCTTTGGGGGGCCATTCTCGTCTTCAAGGCAAGAAGTCTATCTACCCAAAGCTGGCCCAGCTTGTCCGGTTTCATGACTGGATCCAGCCAGGAACTGGTCTACCTAGTTCTCCATCCAGATCATGTTCGTCCCTATAGGCCAAATCTGGGTCGGAGGGAGCTCTTCTCAGGGCGTCTTCGCTCACTGGACATGTGTTAGTTGGCGCAGGGCCATCTTGTCCATTTCCAGGTCTCGTTACCTGATTTTCCTCCCCTTAATTACTCCCTGCACCTGTATTGACTGGCACGGGCACGTTAGATCTTCCCGGTTGTTTGCCGTCGTCGGGAATCACTGCCGGATTGGTTTTCGGGTCTCCTGCGTCAATGCCCCCTCGAGAGGCCGAAGGGTTATTCATATCTGGCATGTCGGGGGCGTCCCCTACGGGTGATTCGACGCTGCAGCCGCGCTGCCCGCTCCGTCAACCCGGTGGTTCCCCACTCCCATTCCGGGCAGGGGTTGTATCTCATCATCATCCTCGTCATCGTCATTGAGGCCAGTAGTTCTGCCCACGCTGTCTGACCTGTTCTGCAATTCAACAATGAGTGGAGGGTAAATGAGGTTCGTTGGGGGGGTCAGGAGATCCGGCCGGGCCGACTTCAACCAGTCCCCCGAAGATTATGAATCATCCATGACCTTCATCTTCCTTCGGGGTTTCGGTGTGGATAGTGGACTTCTGGGCTCCCGGCCAATGCCCGCGGAAAATGTCATATGATTGAACCCATACATACTGCCTGTCGCACTTTCGACAAGCAAGTGCAAAATCGGTTGCTGTGCTAGCCATGATGGAGCAAATCTCGCGGAAAATCTCCGCATCTTCAGGCCGAATTGCCGAATATCCTGAAACGGCCCTCCGGAACCTCTCGCAAATTCGGTTGATGAGAGGATCTCTCCAATCCCTTTCGTCAGGCGTCTCACATAGACAAAAGCTTGATTGCTGCCATACGGCCGCTTCAGCAGTGTGAACTGTTTGTGAGTCAGCGCAAACTCTAAACGAACGAAAAACACCGTGGCTATACATACACTGCTCTCTTCTCTCTAATGCGCCCTCGAATCCTGCAAGATGCCTCCTCGTCGACTGTTCCCTAGGGAATATATGGGACAAGGGCCCAATCTCTTCGTTAAGCTCATCAACAATTACTTAGCGGAGTTAGTAAATTTTTCGCTTAGTCGAACATTCGTTCAAGAACTCCATCTCATAATGGCCAGTTGTTTATAATCTGTCGTATTTCAGTATTCAACTGCTGGTAGAGCATGAAGAGTACTCTCCGACATTTAGTTTCGGTATTATTTTGTTTGGACAGTTTCGCCTGCCCTTGCGAATCAGTAGATTACACGTCTTCCTGACTGCCGGGGCGTTTCATTCCTTGATCGACTTACTTCAGTAAGGAAATGGCTGGTTCATGCCGATAAGTTCAGCTCTCAGACTCGCGGATATTAGTTGTTAAACCACGTATTTGGTCATTAACAGCATTCGTAACAGCATCCACAATCCGCAGTTCATCCATCGGTGGAGGCTGGCGTGCGGCAAATGTATTAAATGATACAGTCAGGTCTTGAATAGACGATTCACTAGGAAGAAAGATTAGTCTCACAAACGTATATGAGCGAAAATGGGGGGCATATACATGCTTCCCCGCTTAACAGCACGTCCTTTGTTCTTCGATGTTCATCGTCAAGGACCTGCCTTTGATTCGCGTGCTTTGTTTGAAGGGGTTTGAGTTTGGTCGACGTCCACAATCCTCAATTTCTTTTTGATGGAGTACATCTTTGTTGCTTGTTCAGCCATACGTCCGTTCTGACCCGGAGAACCACATTTGCTTGGCATATCACCGATAATGATAGAGGCTGTTGGATTCAACGATAATGGTTTCCAGAAGTTTATGATAGACCTACCTCCAGTGTTTACACTGGTGGTGGGGAAGTTTATCTGAATGGCATTCTCTCGTATCGTCCCTCCTGAACTTGGCCCTTCTTCAACAACCCTAATCTGGCCTGAACGACTGGATTCGTCTGTCATATCGCGGATCACTATGGACACCGTCGGAGTGAAGGATATATCGCCCCTGAAATTAATTTCAGGTCCATTTGCAGCGCCTACTGAGGAGAGGAGGGGATCCACACCCTCATCGCCGCTGTTATGGGTTGAAACCCTTGGTTGGCTCAGGCTGAGAGCCTAAGCCTGATTAGGTTAAGGGTAAATCAGAGTCCAAACTCTCCGATGTAAACAAGAAAGCTTCCCTTTCTTGTTCTCTTCTTTAGCTTAATCTAGAATATCTTTGGCTACGTGTATGTTGTGTGCATCCAGCTATCGTGCCGTAACAGCCGCTCTTAGATGGGTTGGGCTGTGTGGGAGGATCTTGAGGAGAAACTTGGGGAGGAGCTTGGGGTGGACTTTGGAGAGGATCTTGGGGAGGGCCTTGGGGAGGAACTAGTGTATGATCTAGGCTTAGGGAAGGATATAATCTAGACCGAGGACATCGGATAAAGGGGAAATTAGGGCTAGAGGGAGGATCTAGGCCTAGGGAAAGATGTCGGCGAGAACGGCGAGAGAAAAATCTCGGCTAAAGCGAGGATCTGGCCTGGAGGGAAAATTCGTGCGAGGGAAAATCTTGGCCGAGGGGAGGTGGAGAAGGTAGGGAATCTCTTCGATTCTCATTTTCCATCGGTTGTCCCCCACCAGCGGACGTGGGCACGCCAATAGATGACCTAAGCCATGCCTCAGGCGGGTTCAGCCAGTCATCGATGGTCCAGGGTCCACGGTATGTGCTGCGAGCACCTCCTACGGTGCCGCCGCCGGGTGCTGCTCCCATGGTGTTAGTAAGCACAGTTCCTCTGCCGGGTGCTATGCCACCGCTGTTGTTGGGCCCCGGATTGCCGCTGTTTCCGGGACTCGTGTCGTTGGGATTGGGTCTGGGAGCCTAGCCCCCGCCATCCCCTGGCGTGGAAAGGGGAACGGGCGGAAGGGAGGACATTGTTGCGCGTGGGAGCGGGTTGCGTCCCGACTCTTAGCGTATGATTCAGATATTCGAGAGCGTCTAGGTGAGCGGGAGATGAACTCGACCTCGGTGATGATAAATGAGACTGAGTACACGGCGGACATGCTCCTTAAATGTGGCCGCAACCATCTCCCCGATGGACACGAATCGCCGAATGATACAATAGGTATGTTGTCTTTTGTTGATGGGCCGAAATGCACCCATTGCGGCTCCGAAAGCCAGCCCAATGAGTGCGCGCATCGTCGAGTTCTTTGTTCACGCTTGATTGCATTGTTCTACGAATAGGATTCGCAGCACGTGGAAGCGAATCGATTTTCCAAAGCATTAAGATAGTGGGGACAAAATTGAGAGAGCAGAATATTAATAAGACTAGAACATAAAAACGAGAACTTTGGCGATATCAAATGAACTTGGAAACGGGATGCGTGAACAAAGGGACGGAGACAAGAGACGATCAATTACAGGTGAGCAGTCACTCGGATACCAGAACCATTCTTGATGAGGATTTCTATCAATTGAGGGTATTACCATAGCATACACCTTGCGATTTAATAGTATCCATTAATTAATGCCGTAGGCAAATATGGTTGGGAGTTGAATGATGAAATAGCAACAGAAAGTCGATTGACGTTGAAGTTCTGCACGTGACTGCAATAAAATGGTGCCTAATTTCGTGAAGCTGACTGGAAGCAGAACAAAATGATCTGACTGAAGCCTCCAAGTGACACCTCAGGCATCACATAAATCTTGGCAAAATTGAAACATTTCCACGAAATATTTCTGATATCGAGATCTGTGAATCGTACGGAAATACCTATAAACATAAATAGCACTTTAAACTCTTACAACGTCCACTCACCCTTGGACCTCCAATTATACCTCAAAAATCCTGATAACAACCTCCGATCCCCCCATTTAAAACCGTCCACACGACATACCACCCACCATGTCCACCATGCGCAACGCCGTCCACCGGCGCAACCACCAAGAGCGTGCCCAACCGCAAGAACGTGCGAAATGGGGCCTCCTCGAGAAACACAAAGTACTTCCCCCTCCCACCCGTCAACCCACCCCCCTCCTCTAACTCTCTAGGACTACACCCTCCGCGCCAAAGCCTTCGCCGCCAAAAAAACCCACCTCCGCCACCTCCGTGCCAAAGCCAGCGAGCGCAACCCCGACGAATTCGCCTTCTCTATGGTCAACGCGCACACGCACAAGGGCGTCAAAATCGCAGATCGCAAATCGGGGGAGTCGCTGAGCCAGGACGTGGTGCGGTTGCTGAAGACACAGGACGCGGGGTATCTGCGGGTGATGTTGGGGAAAGTAAGGCGGGAGCGGGAACGGTTAGAGGGGGGTAGTATAGTATTGGGGAAGGAGGGGGCTCGGGTGGTGGGTGGGGAAGGGAAGGGGGGGAAGCATACGGCGTTTGTGGAGGGGAGCGGGGAGCAGGAGGGGTTGGATGTGGGGGAGTGGTTTGGGGTGGAGGAGGAGAGTGTGGGGCGGGCGTGGAATCGGAGGCGGAAAGAGGGGGGGCCCAAGCTGCAGGCAGAAGACGAAGAAGAAGCCGACGCCGAAGATGGTGTAGAGCAGCAGCTTGACGACGATGCCTCCGACGCCTCCGAAAATGACCCCCTCCCCCCCTCCCCCTCCCTTCCCTCCCGCACCGCCGCCCTCGCCGCCGCCACATCCCTCAAATCCGCGCAGCGCGACCGCAAGAAGCGGTTCCACGCGCAGCAGGTGCTGGAGGCGCGGGTGCGCGGGCTGCGGGCGCGGGAGCGGGAGCTGGCGGCGGCGGAGCGGGAGGTGGGTATGCAGCGGGCGCGGATGGGGAATGCGGTGGGCGGGGTGAATCGGGATGGGGTGAAATGGAAGGTGAGGGAGAGGAAGAGGTAGGGCGCTTTGGGAAGGAGGAGAAATATACCATCACGATAGACATTAGATACCAGGGATATCCGGACGCATCGCCTACTTTGCAATGTGTAATGAACCGAAAAGCTTGTATTGATAAGTCCCATTCTCCAGCTCGCAGAGAACCACAGATCACGAATTGTTTATTTAATGTAGAGAACCATTCGTTCCCAACGGATCGATGATAGAAATACAGAATCCGAAGAACCCATTCATACACCCATCCATCCATCAATGCCTGTGAGAAGAATCCGAAGGACGGACATGAGTGTTTGGTCGGAAAGCATCCCGTAGCGCTGATCATCGCATCACGTCACATCGCATCCCGATCATATCAGGAAGCAATCCATGGAACCAAACACTCCGAGGGACATTTCCTCCCAACCCAATCTTAAAACAAGAAAAAACCCCAACACCACGAAATCATCTATCTACGCCTTCTTCCTCCGCTTCTTCTCCGCCGGCGTCCCCGACGCCGCCGCCGCCGCCTGCAATTGCTCCTCCTCCGCCCCTTTACTCTTCCGCGTCTTCTTCTTCCGCGGCTCCTCCTTCTCCACCGCCGGCTTATCCGCCGCCTTCCGCTTCTTCTTCTCACTGCCGGGGGTCGCCGCCGCCGTGGGGAGAGGGACCGCTGACACCTTCACGCCGGGGGTGGCGACGAGCGGGGTGGGGGCGGACACTTTGGCTGCGCGGCCCTTGCCGCGGCCGGTCTTGGGGGGCGGGGCGGGGGCTTCATCTTCGGAGGCTTCGGAGGCTTCATCAGTGGCTTCCGCAATGGCGGTGGCGGCAGTAGCGTCTTCATCGTCGTCGGCTTCCGCGTCGGCTTCGTCGGCGTCGGGGGCGACGACGCTGGGGATTTCGTCGATGGGATTGCCGATGGATGCGTTGTATTCGCGGAGGTCGGCGACGTATTTCTCCCAATTTTGACGGTACATTGCCTTCCAGCCCTGAAAAATAGTTAGCAAGAGAACATGGATGAACTGCATGATCGACGGATGGATTGGGGGGATTAAGAACGTACATCCTTCTCCGACTCAGGCAGGATACGCCAGCGTCGCAATGCCTCTTCGTTCACTTCCGCCGGCTTGATCTCCTTGCCCGCATCGGCAAAGTCTTTGCGGATGGTCGGGCGTGCATGCTCGCTGAACAGGAAGTACGCGGTGCTAGGACGACGGGGGGCGTTGGGGTCACGAATCTTCTTCTCACGCTTGCGCTTGGGCTTGACACCGGCGACGCCGTCCACGACGGAGTGGTCGACGGCGCGGATGGCGGCGCTGTTGAGGAAGTCCGGGAGGGGGAGGTCGGAGGCGCTGGCGGGGTGGCCGCCGAGTTGGGCGTTGGTGTGGTTGATGTAGGCCTTCAGGAGGTCGCCGGTGGCGCCGTGGATGGCTTGGAGACCGCTGATGTAGTGGTCGATGGTGGTTTGGAGTTCGGTGAGTCCAGTGACGACCTGGATTGGGGGTTAGTGGGATGTTGGAAGAGAGGGCATAGCAAGACTCAATAAGCATGTTGTATGCAGGCAGGGTGGTTTCAGGGTGAGATAAAGCTCGGGAGTCTGAGCATGGAGTTGGGGAAGGAAGCTGCTGAGGATACTGCATTGTACAGGACATAGCAACGATGAATGAAAGAGAGGAGGAACGTTGAATTTAGAGACAAAATAAATATGGGAAGATTGGGATGTAGGATTGAACGAACAGAACAAGTGGACTACTCTTTCGAAAGGAATATGCGATAAACAACAAACGAGACGCCGCTGTGCTGACTTGGACACCTATGTTTTGGTTGTTGACACAACGTGCTCGGCGTGTGCAGGCGACCGGTACCCCAAGCCGGGGATGTTTTGGAGCATGATGAGTGATGAGAGACGCGATGGGAGGAAAAAAACACGTGGAAAAAAAGGACGTGTTGATTGGAGTCACTGCCGCGATTGAGTTATGAGACATTGATAATACGTACTGAGTTCTTGAATTTGGTGTAGTCGTCGCGCGACAGCATCACCATGGGCACCTGTTGTGGCTTCTCGGCGGAGGCCTTTGGCTTCGTCATGATGGCGACGGTGCAGGTTCAAGCGCGAAGTGCGGTGACGGGGCAGTGAGGTTCAGCTGTTGTGATAAGATAGTTAGATGATGATGTTCAACGGACGACTCATAAGACACGGATCAAGTAAGAAGAGTGTGCACGAAAGAGCTTACCGTGTTGTGTGCGAACGGTGGGTGAGTGCCGGTTTAGAGGCAGTGCGGATGTGAGGAATGGGAGAGGCGGGAGCCGATGAGGGAGGATGAAAAAGAAGAAAATGGGAGGATGGGTGGTGGGCGGGTGACGGCGGCACTTTATGGGAAATTTGGGGGTGGACGAGCCTGGAACTGGTGTGTGTGAGTGGGCGCGTTGTGTTTTGGGTGGGTGTGTTTCGGTGGGTGGGTGTGTGAAGCGGGGGATACTAGGCTGCTCACGTGGCTGCTGGTTGATGGCGCGGGCTGATGGCGAGGGGTCTGGGTGTGGGTGATGGCCTGATGAGTGATGCCTAATGGACTACAGCTGCGGGGTGCTGAGTGCTGGGTACTGACGTTATGAGCGCTGCTGGGTGATGAGCCGGAGTGATACTTGATGGCCGACTGGTGGTGGGTGATAGGGAGCTTCTAAGCCAACAGATGGCCAGCACCACAGGGGAGGGCCTGGAGCCTTGTTGTCCAATATTACTTGTTTCTATTCGTGTCTCCTCTGCAGTCCCGCTCCTCAGTTCGCAGTACATCGGCCAGGCAATGTGGCAGAAAACGGGGCGGTTAGCGTCAACCAATGTGTGCTCTATCGTTCTCTGCGTCTCTTTCGCCCGTTGCTATTCAGTGGCTGCACTGGATTGACGGCGTCGTGGTGTCTCCAACTGAATGAAGCTGCGATGCCGGCGGTCTCTCTCCACTTTTCGCCGGGCTGTCTAGCAACTTGCAGCCAGTTTCAACGGACGGATGACACCCTTGGGCGTCCGCTCTCAGTTGTTGCAGACACTATTTATTCCGTCTCATCGCAAGGATGGGAAATCTGTTGAGACACTGAATCCGCTCTGGGACTCTGGCAGACGGCAGTATGTTACCCAGGACATGCAGCTGCGCGTGAGTGCCGGGGTGGTACGTATGCAGCATCCGCCAGCGACTCTGCTCCGTCTCCCCTTCATCATCTCGCACAACTCTGGTAGTGATACGTTTGATAATTGATACGTGTGTGCCACGAACCTTCAAAGTTCAGCTCTCTTTCCAACTCTTACCCACCACCACCAGCAGGAGAATTTGGCCGCTGGGCGCCGCCAATCAAGCCCCCCGGTCTAATCTGCAGTCATTAAGCCGGGTCAGCAAGCCTATCCATCGGCACACCCTAGTCCCCACCAGCAAACTCTGCAGCCGAGTGCAGCCAATATCGACCCCATCTTAGCTGCTGATTGGGTAGTGCAGTGCTAGCCGACAGGGCACCGAGACGTGTAGCTGCCGACAGCCGGCGTTTTCGGCCGCATTGGTGCCCCTTAGCCCGTTCACATATTAACAGAGGGCCTAGATGCCAGTGGGCCTTTGCAACCGCTGATCCGCTGCACTCAGAGTCTCAGACGCTCTTCTGCCGCAGCATCTGTATTTTGCCCTCCCAGGCTACTGGCTCCTTGATCGTGGGTGATGGGACTGCCTGCCTGGCGGCACTACTGCTGTCTGCTAAAATGACCGGTCAACTCTTCACAACGTGCCTCGCCTATTAACGATAAGACTGCAGACTGAATAGTGTATTAATTCCCTGGAGAGTCTTGACAACTGATCCATAGATAGAGGATGCGTCTATCACTGGCATTTCCGCCCGAGGACAGGCTTACTGCAGGCCAGGCGTGCTTTTTACCAAACGCCGGGCAGTTCCGGTGTGTTCCTCCCTCCACAGCCATCTTGGGCTCCCTTCACCAGTTGGTTTATGTTTACGATTCTGTTTGACTCGGATATCAGATTGAATATAAATCTTGTCCCTCCCGAGATGCCATTATAATCGTGATATTGCGATTGAAATCCTCGACTGCTCATTTCAACCTTTCGAAGTAATAGTGGGAGGATTCACTCGGCCCTACTACCTCCAGGTCCGCAACACCACCCCAGATACAGCAGTCCATCCCCACCGTGCGCCTGCCCAAATCCCTCCCGCGGTCCCGCCCAAATCTTCCGCCCTTCGCCGCCCACCCCCGCCCCGCGAGCCACAAATTCGATCTACCATCCTAATTCCTATCGCGTCATCCAGTCCCCCAGCCCGACGAATCCTCCGAGATCTTCCACCCACCACACCCATCCCCTTAGCGTCGAGCGCCTGCTGGGTCCTCCAAAGCCGACACACCAAACAACCGCAACACTCGAGTCGCACGGTTGGGAGCCCCATCTCTACGGTGCAACCCACCCGTTTGACACCCTGGCGGCGGTGCAAACAATTAACAACCCAAGCTCTGCAATTTGATATCCCGTCATCCCGACTGGCCATCGTTTTGGGGCCCCATCCTGGTTCTCCCCTCAACGAACGACGCGGTTGGGGTGTATCCGGAGTGCTGTTGCCAGTCCCACGATGTCGGTGCGTATCATGACTTTATGAGTGTCTCTCAAACTGTTACGGCATTGGGCGTGTTGTGTGTTGTGGGGCCCATCCTGTCTGGAGTCGGATACCCTGGATGGCGGGGATTGGCACTGGAGACGGAGGAGCAGAAGACTCCCTAACGGCAATAGGAGCACGATGCCGGCTGCAACATCCAGGTAAATCCTACTATAGTATCAAGCGTGCTTGCCACGGTCTCCCGGACTGAATTCCACGATCCCTACCAGAACCCTAGATCAGATCGAGTGCCTGACGTGACGCCAGTAAGAAGGTCCATAGGTGTCCTATACAACTACCTAGCCCACATCCCCATACCGAGTGAAAGTACAGGTATCCAGTTCGTCATTGGCGAACTCATCCTCCCCTTCCTTCATTTTACAAAGAGAATGAAATCGAATGACCCAGTACCCACCAAACGCCGGAGATGCAAATCCCAATCCCTTCGTCGCGGTGAACATCCATCCGAGTGACCCCGCGATCGACACCCGCGCCTCGTGTCTCAGTCATCGCGCTCTCTCCCCCTCAAGTAATCATCCCGCGCGCCCACCGAACCATCCTCCGCCCCCATCCCCCCCTCACTTATACTGCGGCTGCCCTCCTTGCGCAGGCATCTGTCCCGGGACATGTCCGGCCCCCGCCACGCCATGCCCATTCATCACGTCCGGCCGATACTTGATGTCCTGGTAAAAGTTGCAAATGTGGCAGCCAATCTCCTTCCACGGCTTCAGCGAGAAGGGGATGATCGGAACGAAGCAGAAGGTGAACCATTCCCTGTACGGAGCTTGGTTAGCTTTGCGAACTGGCAAGGTGGGAGGGTGGGAGGGAAGGGGGAGAGAAGACATACCATCGGCTGTAGGGATGCGCGCTGATGTTACCGCAGTTCTGGCATTGCACAGTCACGTTTTCGTAGCCTTTGAGCGGGTTGGTGAACGCTGTTGCGGGCGGTTAGTCTTGTTCGTCCTCAATCGTAAACCCGTAACGCATAACCCATATCGTTTTGTTCGCGCCCCGGGATATACGAAGGAGGGAATACAACGTGGGTTGGGGGATATATTAAGGAGCTCGGAGGAGGGAGAATGATATGGGATGACGTACTATGCGTTCCTATTGCGTCGAATCGTCAGCTTTTCGCTATTTTTCAGAATCCAATGCGCGCGAATTATTAAATCATGCGAACCATCGCGCCGCACCACACATCGAAGAGGTCCGCGGTGCCAGCGCCCCGGCCGCGATGTACGGTGGCGCCGCGCTATGGCGCAAGATCCGATCCGCGACCTGGACTTCATTGCGGTGGGAAAACGAGCGTTGCATGACGCGCGTTGTCGGGGAGGGGAGGGGAGGGGAGGGGACTTACCGCATGTGAAGAAGAAGAACACCATGATGAAGGTGGTTCGTGTTGAGGGGTTTGGATGCGCGGAAAAGAGATTGGGAGGTTCGGTTGATAGAGGCAAGGTGTGGAGTGAATGTGGTGAGCAGGAGCCTGAACGTCGTTCACGATGTCAAGGCCTCAAAGGATGGAGGGAACGATGCACCGTGCGGTCGCTACCAGTATATCGGGATCGAATAGTTTTAATACAGAGGGAGAAATATGTATGGAGCTAGGTTTCAGGAAGTTAGGAAGCACGATCTTTGTTGTCGAAAGATGCAAATGACGAAACAAAGGCAAGGGAGGAATGGGCGATATTCAATTATTATACGTCGTTTCGCTCGAATGACCAGCTGCCTGGGATGTCTTGGAAAACAATATCTGACCGGCTCCTGGCTCCGCCGTCCCTCCTTTGTCAGATGAACCGCCGGGATGTCCTCCGCGACGCTGCAGACAGCCTCCCTAATTCACAGATTTCGCTGTGGCACCTCACTTAAGCTTCGGGTGGTGATTGTGATTGTCAGAAGACGTGGAGGTGTCAGGCGGTCTGCCCAGGAGCTTCGGAGCTTGGCGACCGAAATGGGAGTCGGGTGGGTGGTGGATGACGACGATCGGTGGGCACAACCACCGGGTTTACCGGTGCCGGGACGTGGGGAGAGGCCCAGGACCGGGGAATATTAAAACGGTGGGTGGCGTAGACACTGCTCCTGGTATAGAGTCACGGTCCATTCCCATATAATATCACACCTATTGTTGGCTTGATTAGTGACGATATGCTTGATATTGGGGCTCTACCAGTCCATTCGGAGTTCGATTCGGCGAATTTGCAGCGGATTGACACGGGGTGTGAAGCGATGGGCCTGATATATGACTGCGGAGAGATTTCGACTTCAACGTACGGCCCTCCATTTGATCAAGAAAGTACCAGCCCCTATTACCGATCGATTCAAATTTGATAAGAGTATATAGGACCCAGCATTGTCCGGGTATGTAGCGATATCCAATTGCAATTCGCTCAAGGAACCGAAGGCCTAAACGGGGCAGGTATGTATAAGTACTCGCACTCCCACCAGCAAGGATGACCATGAAGGCGTTCTTTCAAATGCGTTCTTCCAATGCCTTTGCAAACTCCGTTCCAGCAGCGTAAATCATGAGCGCATGCGGTAGCTCCGCGTCGTCCCATGTTCGCTTACTGGGTCTTGAAGAGCAGAATCGCACAATGCCCAAGGTAGAAGTAGATGAAGTGCTTTGTCTCTGGAGATCGTTAGGCGTGTTGCCAGTATGCCCGTGAACGAGAAGGGAGTCAAAAGCAATTCACTGAGGATTCACGTACCGTGAGTGACAAAGCTACCAAAGTTGCGCCCAACTACGCAATGCCAGGTCGCCCCCTTTCGGCTGTCGAACTGCACCATGCATCAGCGCTGTCGTCCGATATTTCTCATGCACAACGCGCTACCTCTTTCTTGATATACATGGCAATATCCTAATTCGAGATTAGCCAAGTGGATATTTCTCTTCAATCAACAACGAATTACCTTCTCGACGGTGTGTTTGGACATTGCTTCTTGCGCTGCTCGTGACATCGAGTCAGTTCTGATATGCCAAGCCAAACTCCGAGAGCACCCCGAATATTCCTTCCCACGATCCATGGGGGATCGAAAATGTTACTAGAACATGGGAGACATCAAGTGGGGAGCCACGAACCGATTTCAATTGATTCCTGAATCATGTCTGGGTTCTGCGGAACGTTAGACGAAGGCAACGGAGACCTATCTCTCCCGACCGCCTCGCACCATATCTGCCGCCTTTATCTGGGCTGTGGGACACGGTTAGCCTTTCCTTCGTTCACCAGCCGCCATCCCCAAGATTTCTTACCCTCCAACTTCTCCGTGCTCTCTACCAGCTTCTCGGTGGACGAGGTCGTCATGATGGCGGGATATCAAGGCGATGCTCGGATGCTCTCTCGCGATGTCAGGGTCCAAGGACGATTGAATCAGTCATAAACAATCACGGGGACGCAACGGGAAATTGGAAATTAAGTACAGTGGACGGCTCAGAAGAGGATAAGGAGATTTTGATCAGATGGAGGAAGCAGTGCATCCTGTCAGGGATATTGTTGCTGTGATGAAAGCTGCCTCCTGCAGCAGCGCGTCGTCCACGGGCCGCAACCGTTGAAGCGCGAACCGAATCAATCCCGGCCGTTGAGTGCGGGACGCCTAAGTGCCTGAGGCAACAAGCTGGACCCTGCACCTGACCCCAAAATCGGCGCGTCAGGTTCGTTCATAAAATGAAAATTTCGACAGCTCGCCAGAAGTAAAAGTTAACATATCAAATTATATTCATTAAAATCCAGTTCTCCCACATTCGCTCCACGATAGCATAACTGTGAGATACCTAGAGGATCCCTGGACTCCTCTTTGCAGCATGCAATTCACAACCATCACATCATAACCGCTACGCGAACCTCTCAAGCCTTGGCACCCCAAACCCACAATGGCAAACTTCGACTCCTCCTCTCGCGTCTTCGTCCACAATCTTCCCCCTAATATTACGGTTGACGGCTTCCGAACCCATTTCTCCTCACAAAATGGCCGAAAGGTCACCATCACCGATGCGAAGGTGTTGCCACACCGACGCATCGGCTTCATCGGGTACAAGACCCCTGAAGACGCCGCATCAGCGGTCAAGTACTTCAACAAGACCTTCATCCGCACCACTCGGATAGCAGTGGAACTAGCACGCACGGTCGGAGATGGCAACCTCGAACATGTGAAGGAAGTGCGGTTGAAGCGGAAGCGAGAGGACCGCGAAGCTGCTGCCGCCTCGAATGGGCCAGTGAAGAAGCATAAGCATGAGCTGGAGGAGAAGATCCAGCAGGACCCGAAGTTGAAGGAGTATCTGGAGGTGATGAGCAATAGGAAGGGTAAAGCGTGGGAGAATGGGATGGCTGCGGGAGAGGGGCAAGATACCGCTGAAGTCGAGGTCCCCGTGGTAGAGGATAATGGCCTTGACGATGGCGAGTATCAAACACTACCCCTCCCGCCGAGAATCCCGGAGCCTCCTAAGTCAACCCCGCTACCACCAGAGCCGCCACAGATACCGGAAAAGGTCCTCGTACCAGATTCTGAGCAGCCTTCACCCACCCAAGATGACGATGACTTGGGGCCGCCTCCCGTTGAGGCTGGTCCTGTCTCGGACTTGGACTGGCTGCGGTCGCGGACAAACAGAGTGCTTGACTTTGCCGATGATGAGGAGAAGGTTGATCCGGTTCGGAAAGACAGTCCTCAAGAGTCGAACGATCATGCAGCACCAGTACCAGCGCCAGAAACGGCCGAGGTGCCGGAAGACCATGAAATGGAGGAAGAACAATATGCTGATGACAACGTGGACGACCCAAACGTTGAGTCAATACGCAAGAGCGGCAGATTGTTCATTCGCAACCTGTCGTATGCGACCATGGACGAAGACTTGGAGCAACTGTTCCAACAGTTCAACCATTGTCAAGAGGTACGTTGAACTTTTTTTCTTTTCTCCCCTCCCTTCGAATGATGAAGCCTTGATAGGGACAACTTATGCAAAGCATATGATTATTTATCTTGGAGAATTTTAGTAGATTCCTCCACCTGATCGAAACTATTTTACTCACTGTTGTTGAGCAATTGAGGGTACACCATCGGCTAATCACACATAGGTCCATGTTCCGGTGGACAATAACACCGGCTCATCGAAAGGTCTCGGATATGCGCAGTTCTCAAACCCAGAGAGCGCGGTTGAGGCATATCAAACGCTCGATCGGACTATCTTCCAAGGTCGCATCCTTCATATCCTACCGGCGGCTCCACGAAAAGATACCAAACTCGACGAGTTCGAAATATCCAAGCTTCCCATCAAGAAACAAAAGCAAATTCAGAGGAAGTCTCAAGCAGCATCACAAACGTTCAATTGGAATTCCCTCTATATGAATGTCGATGCTGTGATGGATTCCACTGCTGCACGTCTTGGCGTCACAAAGGGAGAGCTGCTTGACCCAACATCTTCAGACGCTGCAGTGAAGCAAGCATTGGCTGAGACCCATGTAATCCAGGACACAAAGAAATATTTCGCGGACAATGGTGTCGATCTGGAAGCCTTCAAAAGCAAGGCGAAAGGCCAGACAGGAATCCTAGTCAAGAATTTCGACTATGGAACCAAGGGAGACACCTTGAGGAAGATGTTGGAGGAGTTCGGTACGGTCACGCGGTTCCTCATGCCTCCATCCGGGACGATAGCCATCGCCGAGTTTGAGAGACCGGATCAAGCTAAGAACGCCTTTGCCGCACTTGCATATCGGAAAGTTGGGAACTCCCTATTATTCCTGGAGAGGGCACCGAAGGAGCTCTTTGCCAAGCAAGGGAGCACAGCGCTGGTCAGCAAAGCTGGCCTTCCGGATGCAGGTACGCAGCAGAAGGTCTCCACGACAGACTTACTTGAGCCAGATGACGCTAAGCTCGTGGATACGTCTACATTATTTGTTGGCAATCTGGACTTCTCCACAACGTCTGAGGGGCTGGCGGAGGTCTTCAGACCTTTGGACGGTTTCTTGTCCGCCAAAGTGAAAATGAAGCAGAATACCAAGCGACCTGAAGTCCCACTGAGCATGGGTTTTGGTTTCTTGGAATTTCGAACAAAGGCACAGGCGCAAGCGGCTCAGGCTGCCATGGATGCATACAAGCTAGATGGACACAATCTCGTCATCAAGGCCTCTCACCGCGGTGTCGATGCTGCAGAGGAACGGCGTAAGGAAGACGCCGCCAAGAAAGCGGCGAACAACAAGACGAAGATTATCGTCAAGAACCTGCCGTTCGAAGCGAGCAAGAAGGACATCCGCACGCTGTTCGCCACCTACGGCCAGCTCCGCTCCGTCCGCGTGCCCAAGAAATTCGACAATACCAGCCGCGGGTTCGCGTTCGCCGAATTCACCACGCCGCGCGAGGCGACGAGCGCGATGGAGGCCCTGCGCAACACCCATCTGCTCGGCCGGCGACTCGTGCTCGACTTCGCGACCCAGGAACTGGACGACCCGGAGGCAGAGCTCGAGCGGATGCAGAAGAAGGTCGGGGAGCAGGCGAGCAAGGTCGCGCTTCGGAAATTAACCAGCGCAGGGAGGTCGAAGTTCACCGTCGGTGGGGGAGAGGAGGAGGACGACGAGGGCTGAGGGGGGTCAGTGTGGTCGTACGGGCGATGAGTGTTCGTTTGTTCTGCGACACTCGCATGCGCGATGGCGTGTGAGGTCCCCGGCGGCAGATGCACCGGCGTGTTCCTGCAGATTTGCGGAGGTACAGAAACCACCGGGAACTACCGAGTCAGCGGGTGTAATCTCCTACTTGTATGTTCGCCAGCGTGGGGTGGTTGGAAAGGTTGGAAGCGGTTGGAAAAGGGTGGAAAATATGGTCGGACAAAGTCGGTTGCAGCCAACCTGCCGGCTCCCTTGCTTCCCGCCCTAGCTTGAGCGGTCGCATCTCTTCAGGGCTGCAGCCCAAGGCCTCGCAACTGACCATATAATGAATAATATGACCTGTCTCTACGATGCCTTCTTCCCTCGCGGATCGCTGCATGCGTCATCGCTCAATGAGGCCAGGAGTGCCGACGCGTCTGGCGTCCCATTTGGCCCCGATTCGGATGCAACCCTCGTAACTTCGCAGCAGCGGTCGACATCGATCGCAGCGACGGTTCCAGGTGGCAATTCCAATTTGAATCAAGAGCATGGAAATGACCCCAATGTCTCCCATACGGCTGTGTTTATCGTTCCTTGTGGCATTCCTTCGTGTCGTTGCCGTTCGCCTGACCCCTCCTCTCCCCCTCGATCAATTGGCGCTAGCCGTTTCGGGGTCGATCTCGACTACCCTTACTTACCACAATGCCTTTGGCATTCCATACTCCTCACCGACGACGATGAAGGCTTCACAACCCTCTGTACGAAGCGACCCAAGTGTAGGATAAGGTGTGCCTTCTGTAGTTCTGCTCACTCGAAGATCCCTAGCTACCTCGTGTAAGCGATAGAAGTAACTCATTTGATGGTGTCACCCCGCTGATCTGGAGGATTTCCGTATAACCACTGTTGTTCACTGATTCACTCTTATACTCTCTTGTCTGTCGTTTCCTTCCATCATTCTTTTGCAGCTCGAAAGTCATTCCTGTTTGACCGTTGACCAAGCCATTTACAATCCTTAATAATTCCCAGCCCGCTGAAGCATTCTTGCTCCATTGTCCTGGTATGCAATGCTGTAAAGTCTGGAATCTAACTACTCACTTCCATTGACAATATGGTGGACCTTCAGGCGGGACATGAATCCCACCCCGATGGCATGGTTGTCCCATCATCGGACCTTGACATATCGTTTGACATTCATCGAATGAACAATTACCTCTATCGACACCTGGGGTCGAGTCATCATGTTGCAAGTCCCTACCCTGATGGCATTTCAGTCGTTACTCCCATCACTCAAGACGTCAGGCTTGAGACTCCGACTCATAGCAGTCTCTACAATAGGGTCCGTCTCCCCAATGGCCATGACCTCCGCACACCGTCCAAGGCCTACCAAGGCCGCCACCTAGGACACAGACGTGGCCATACTTCACTACCGTCGGCCGAAGATCCTGCTCTCGAACGTGTGGCTCGCAACTTGATGAAAAGATGGGAGCGATGCCCCGGATACCAGCAGTACCGCAAGCGGCAACCAATAGACGACGATGAGTCCAAGGAGAAAGTGTGGCCACCACATTTGGAGCTTGCGTTTTGCAAAGGTATGTTGAGCGAGGACCACTTCATATAGGTAATTATTAATATTCACCAGCTCTCATTCTCTACCCTCCCATGGGCCGCAAGAAGACGTCGCCTGCACTGGGGGAGCCGGCGATGGGACGGAATGAGCTCATCGCCTGGGCCATCATGAAATGGACCAACGAGAGCCGGGACCGGAAGAAGGTCTCGAGTCATATTCAGGTTTTGAGGCCGATGTTTGAAAAATATAAAGACGTCGACCCTGGATGTGAGTTGGCCCTAAGTTGTGTCACTGGCTGCGCTGATTACTGACACACTCCAGTGCTGAAATACTTTTCGAACTCACCGAAAGCAGCTACAGGCCGGCGAGGGTGCCGACCTGCTTCTCAGTCGATGAATCGACATAGGCAGTTCTCGCATAATACCCGAGCAATCAGCTCAGAGTACTGCTATCCAAATGGAACGGCAAGTGCGTCGTCCACATCCACTGGCAGCGGGGTATCAGTCCATCCGCCGCGTCCAGAAGACATCCAGGAGGTCTGCCGGTATCCCAGTGGTTATTTCTCCTTCGTGCCCACTAAGTTCGAGATGTTCGTGAAGCAACGCGAGAAACAGATTCATCTCTTCACCCGGTCCACCCGCAATTGCCAAGGGCTCGATATAGGGCTCGACGACATCTATCATCTGCGCTTCGACTTCCCGCCACTCGCCACCGAGATGGAGCGCGGATCCCTGCAGTCGCAGGTTATCTTCAACAACGCTCGCATTGGCCTCGCCGCCGACTCCATCCCCAGCGGCCGCGACTCCAACGAGAACGAACTCGGCGTCTTCATGGTCCTCGACTGCGACTCCAAGCACGTCTCCATTTCTGAGCACGTCAGCCATTACTTCGGCGGCTTCCGCGCCCGCACTCGCTTCTACGACTCGGGGAAGCTCATCTCCGACGTGCCAGAGGAGACGGACCGCGACCAGCTCGACCAAGCCAAGCCTACTTACGACTTGGACAACAAGACCCTGGGCAACGTCTACTTCGGCAGCGTCTTCTGGGCCGAGCGGATGTACAAGCTGGGCCGAGTGCTTCGCGAGGCGGCTGAAAAGCGCGCGGCGGGCACCATTGCCAGTGACGAGGCGGCTCGCAGCTTGGAGCAGCGGGTCTCGGAGTCGGTCAAACGACTTTCGGCGGTGCAGGAGATCTGGGCGGTGTCGAGAGACAGTGGCCAGGAGAGGCGCATCCTCGCCATCTGCTGGAAGTTCGAGCACGTCATGGCTCAGCCTTGCTTCACGATATGGAGACACGTTGTGCCGGGCAATTTGGACTTGATCATACAGCCAACGACTAAGACAGAGCAGTCATCTGAAAGCAAGTTGGCGAGCTCGTTGCAGGAAATATTTCCTCCGGGCGTCGACATCGATGCGAATGGGAACGCCAATGGGTTTGGATTCGATCTGCAACACGACACCGACCCCTTCATTGCCACGGCACACTTCGACTTTACGGATATGGCCATGCAACTACCACCAAACCTCCAGCACAACCTCGCCCTCTCGTCCACCATGCCCGAAGCCGAAGGCATGGTCGACACCTCTATAGTTGACCACGCCCTCTACCCATCCAACCACATCGACTTCTCCGGCGGCCATATCAACATCTGCATGCCCGACACCAACGGCATGATGGACGACGCACACATCACTACCGCCCTCACTCCCCTCGACATGGACATGACCAACGGCGGGCTCGAAGTCGACCTCAGTGCCGACCTCAGCGCCGACATCGACGGAAACCTTGACGTGCACTTCGTCACCTCCGCTACATACACCCCCACCGTATATACCCCTGCCGCACACACCCCTGCCGCATATTCTCCCGTTGTCTATACCCCCGCGTCCGACCAATCCCACAAGCGCCTCCTCTCCTTCGAAGACGGCGCTAACCCCGGCCCCGACCTCATCGCTGAAGCCCTCTCCGCCGCCACCACCGCCGCAGAGATGAACAGCGACGTGCGCGTGTGGGCGTGCAATGGGTTCCAGTACTTCGATGTCGGGTTCAGCGCCGCGCCGGCGGCAGGGGCGCAGTTCGCGGAGGCCGGAGCCGGGGTGAGCGTGGCACCGTCACAGTCGCCGGTGCGTGAGGAGGCATTGATGAAGTTGGAGGGGTTGACGGAGGGGGAGAGGGGGGTGGGGCAGAAGGTGGGGACGCCGGGGGTTGGTTCATCTGCAGCTGGTGGTGATGCAGACGGGGGGAGGGGTGGGGATGGGGTTTGCGGATTTGATGGGGAGTCCATTTAAGGATCGGATGATGGGGGTGGAGTAGCAGGAAGTGGGGCGGGGTGATCTACCTTACATGATAGAAATGGATGTTGACAGCAGGAGTGTACGATTTTGTTGATGGGAGACGCCAGTTGTTTTGGATCGACCATTACCTTAATGTCTGAAGTGACCAGCTGCAGTCTGGCATTGAAGATGAGGAGATTCCGGACATCGGTATGATTTAGCAATCGGGAAGCATGAATTAGAATGGAAGGGAGGTGGACTATTCTATCTTCAATGAGATTATTACTTGGTATCTCGCGCACATGAAACTCATCGATATAGAACCTCGTCCTCGACACCATGCCATGCGTTAACCCCAATATCCGAACTCCATAGCGAATCCGCAGCCAGCTGAAGACACGGAATAAGTCGACTGCACAAAGTAGCTGTCGTCTCAACCATCCATTCGCTTCCCATATCGACGCTACGCTCAGTTGCTCAACGTAGACGTACCAAATCCGATAACTATTCCCAATTTCAATAGCGAGTCGGCACCCTTCGAACGTGTTTCCAATATTTCTGTGTTTTGTGTAAGTTCGGCCGTGCGCTTGTGCCCTGTTCTCAACGGAATGCCGAAGCGATAGAGTTCCTGTAAGTGTGATGATGTCGGTGATCGTCGATGGTCGCGAAGCCGCCTTCATATGCTCCCAACCTCATCTTATCGGCAACCCCCCTTGGGAACCAGCCCTGATGCCCCTCCCTGCCGCACCCGAACTACTTTGCCCCATCAAACTCCTCATCACAATCTGCTCCGCCGCCCTCGCCGCCGCCAACCTCTCCCGTTGCCTCGTCCGCTGCGTCAAATACATCGTCGCCTCCGGCCGCATGCGTAAGATGCGCAGGATCATATCGTCGCTCGGCTCCGCTTGCGCCTCGCGGCGCTTCTCTTCCTTCGCCTTACGCATCGTCCCGAGGTTGCGCGAGCCGAGGATCGTCTTGTGCCGCCGCGTCGGCATGCCTTGTGGGGCGCCGCTGAAGGTCATGGGCGCCGGGGCGCCGAGGTGGGCGGGCGCGGAGAGGCGGTTCAGGCGGGCAGCTTCGGAGGCGGCGCGGGCGGCGGAGGCGGAGGCCATGCGTTCGGATTCACGGATGAGATCTTCGGTGGGCTGGGTGTAGAAGAAGGCGAGATTCTTGAGGTCGTGGTATTTCGGGGATTTGAGGACGTCGAGTGGAACGCCTTGGGCGATGCCAGTGTGCTCATCGACGGCGTGGAAGAAGTCGAAGAGGGTTTGGAGCCATTGGTAGACGATGTCGAGTTCGGGTTGGGAGAGGGGCCGTTGGGCGGAGGGTTTGTCGGAGAGGGGGGGGACGAGGAGGGCTTCGACCTGCGAGAGGACTTCTTTCCAGAGACGGGACATGACGGCCGTCATGGCGGATTGGGTGAGGGTCTGGTTCATGATGGCGAAGTTCTCGTCGAAGTAGTCGAGGAGGGGTTGAATGGCTCGAGTGGCCTCAATTAACGAGGGGACCACGGGAGCCTGAGGCTGTTTTTTCATGAACGTGTTAAACTTGGATGCAATACCTTTACTGAGCAGCTGACGAAGAGTCCGCTCAGACAGCATATGCTGAATATAGGCATTGAGCTTAGGAGAAACGTTAGCCAACCGTGTTTGCAAAGAACTTTTCAAATACATACCTTGTCCGTGATCTGCCTCGTCATATCCCTCTCCGTCCTCTTCAGCGTCCGGAAAGCTTTACCGAAGTAGAACTGGATGTCGTCCCGCTCGCCCTCCATGCTGACTCTCACCAAGACCCTGCCCTGCGTATCCAATGGCAGCCAATATTCTCGAGGGATATAGTCCCGGAAGTGATGCGGATCGAGCTTCAGGCTCGACCGTCCAACGCAGTCGTGATCGCCGAGGGCATCCCAGTCCCAGACGGTGGCGATGATATTGATCGCGCCCGTCGTGGTGATATCGACGCTCTCATCCCATCGTGGATTGAGGTTCCCATAGATGATGCGCGTCTTGGCCAGCCTTTTCTGGTACTCGTCGCCTAGTACGACGTACGGGTCGGAGAGACCGTTGATATCGCAGGGCTTGAGGTCCTCACCTTCGATGATCTTGATCGTAAACACATACTTCTCCGTCTTTTTCCACCGCTCCTGGTGCGTAATGGGCGGGGTATTCCTTGTGATCACCGCTGCACACGCTTCCACATTCATATCGCGCTCGAGCTTGTCTAGTTCGGTGATGGCGTATTCGATGTTGTTGAGTTTGACGAGGGACTAGGGACAAGGGGTTAGTTTGTGGTCGTGTTCGGCAGGAAAGAGGGTATAGATAGTCGTAAAAACAGGCACCCGGATGTTCGCGAAAGAAAATGGAATTAGGATTACCTTGGTGGAGAAATTGTATGCTTCAACCTTGTTGTTCGCGTTCCACGCATCTCGCGCCAGCTGCCAGTATCGCTCCGAGTTGGTCAGTTGCGCTCGAGCCGCGACTTCTTCTGCGCTCTCTACGCTCATTTCCTTGGAGAAGAGCTGCTCGATCAGTTCGCAGTATCGTGAGATCCCGTTCCCGATGATCTTCGAGAGCGAAGTCATGAACTTCGCATATTGGAGGTCGTTGTCCCAGTTCAGTTGTGTGATCTGATTCACGATCTCGTTGAACGAGCGGAAGGTATCGATGGACGAGATGCTGTGTCGCTCGTCATCTGTTGGCGGTCGAGTCGCATCGTCGTTCCGGACCGCGAACTCGTCGTGTTTGATCGCGTTCTCGGACCAACCCACCACGCTGTCTTCGGTGGTCTTGATCCATCTCCAGACGAAGTCTTGCAGGAGCTCCTCGACGTTGAATTTGAATTGCGTCCTTCAGAAAATGTTAGCTGCGCTCCGTATGACTCCGAGGACGTCAAAATAATTACCCAGATTTGTCCAAAGCATATACCCCACGGATCTCCACCAGTTCACGGTACAGATCGAATCCGTCGGCGATGGGGATCTCCTCCCCACGCTGCTGCGCGATCTCGATAATGTGCGCCACAAACGACCGTGCATCATGCGCGAACGCCGGAAACATGACCTTCGCCAGAATCGCGAACGGCGAGACACCCATAATATTCGGGTTCTTCCGATACCGCTTCGCAATCTTCTCCGCCAACTTCTTCACGCCCTTCCCCACCTCGATGACGTGGAAGAAGTCCAGCATGCCATTACTCTCCTCCACCTCGCGCAGCACCTTCTCCCGGATCTCCTCGTATTTGGCGGTTGCCACCTCGATCAGCCCGTTCTCCAGCTCCTCTGCGAACTGATCGAGTTCATTCTCGGCCACGCTGCACAGCTCGTCGCTGTAGATGTGCTCTTGGATGATGTACATTGCCGGTCCGATTTCGGGGGGCTTGGGTTCGTAGACACCCATGAGGAGGTGGAACAGGTCGCGGAGGATCGTGGAATGAATCCCGCTGAGGGCTTGCTTGTGCAACGCGTAATCCGCGACGGTCCATTTCTTCCAGTCTTGCGTGCGCGCTTCCGGGTTGAGCTGCGAGAGACGCCGGTTCTTCTTTTCGTGCGTTCCGTGCGTTTCTTTGATATAGAGGAACGTGGCATCGACGACGGGCAGACCGGCATCGGCCTGCCCGTATTTCTCGCGAATCACATCAAGCAGGAGGACCAGGCGGCTGAAGAGAGGCATCCGCCATCGCAGCGCGAGCTCGGAGAGGAGTTCGGTGGTGGATTTAGAGAAGAGGAAGATATTATCGGGGGATGGGTTGACCTCGGGGTCTTTGAGGTCGACGCTGAGAGCCTCTTTCAGGACAGTTCGAAAGTGGTCTCGCGGATTGGGTGGGATAAAGGTGTACGTAAGGTCGTCGTCGCAGGCTCGGTGATTGTCCGGGGCTATATTCCCCATGTCCACCGGCTGGTCGAAGTAGGAATTGTCATCTTCTTGGTTATTGGCGAGCTTTTTGGAGATCTCGGCGTAGGCGTCCACGGTAGCTCCCGAAGCCGAAGGGACGGCGCTTGCGAAGGCAGAAGCGCCGGTGGAGGTTTTGGCAAGCTCGATATTGTTCTGGACCATGTTCAGGATCATCTGCGACACTTCGGCCGTCTCGCTCTTCTTCCATGCCTCGTACGCATCATCGTAATCGAAATCGACGAGTGACAGGGTTCGTCGATTTCCGCCGAGGTTGAGGTGGGTTTGGTAGGATTTCAGATCTTGCAGTGCAGCCTTCTGCGTCCAATTGGCCTTGTGCTTGTTGACGTCGGCTTGTACTTGATCGTACTCTTTGCTGAAAACCCTCTTGACGATCATCGCTAAGGGCATGTCCTTGACATCGTAAGTAAGAGGGACCTCGACTTCTATGCTAGTCCCCCCAGCGCCGCCATTGCGCGAAGCTTCAGAGGCAAGGTTCTGGTCGTGAATGAGCAACTTCCGCTCCATCGTCTTCAACCGTTCTGCGAGATCCGGCCGGTCGCTGTCCCAGTTGTGATCTCTTAGAATGGCATTAATCAGCCGAATGAACAGCGCGCAGTGTCGGTCCACCATCAGCTTCCATGCATCGGGTTCGGGGTGCGTCGGGCCCGTTCCAATATTACCCTTCTGAAGCTCCGACGAGGCTTTCGAGAAAAAGATGAGGAGCAAGTCCTCGACGCGGCGGTCGGTTTCGACGCCTTTCCGGAAATGCTTCTCTTTGAACTGGTTTAAAAACGCTCCAAAGGTCCGCTTGATAAGCGCATCGTTGTATTCCGGCAGCCTCTCTTTCCCGATGAGCACGTACGTCAGCCTCTTGTCGAGCGCCGCCATAAACCCTTCCGGTACCCTGTTGCTCCTGTTGGCTTTCAGCAGAGTAATATCGTGACCGATGACCTCGCTCGCCGAAGTCCGCGCCTTCTGCAATCTTGGTGGAGCCGCAACATGTTGTATCCTCTTTTGCCGTGGTTGTAGTTGGTAGTGTAATACGGCGACTGCCAGGCTGTATATGTATGCATCGTGTGGTGTCGCTGTGGCTTTACGATGTAAAGCTTGGGAGTTGTCGCGGGAAAGGTGTGTATTGCGTCGAGAGCGAGAGATTCGGCTGTGTCGAGAACTGGTGGACATGGCGAAGGTGTCCGCTCGCTCGCGGGTCTTCTAGATATGTGGATTTCTTCAATCTTTTCCGTGAGCGTAGAAGACTGCGGTGGATGGGTCGTTTGTGCGGTGAAAGGTGAAAGGCGGCACTCTGCCAAGTAAAAGTGGTCGCTCGTGATGTGGTTCATTCGCGTCGCACGCCTGTTGGGCTGTCGGAGATCGTCTCAGATGCCTTTTAGGCGGAACCTGCCAGTACCACGATGCCTAGTAGAGTCTAGACCTAGCTGAGAGACCTGCGAGGGTGCTCGTCATTCGAAAATTGTGGTGGCGGACACACGAAGGGAGTCGTGCCACTTGACGGACAAGCTGACGGTCTGACACACCGAAGTCTCAGAGGTCGACGCAGAAACCAGTAAGCGGTAGATCCTCAGGAAGGTACAGGTAGATACAAGCACGACCTTGAAGTCTTTCGGTTGCACCTGAGGGAGGAGAGCAGCGCTGGTAGGAGCAATACTGGGCTATATCACGGTTCTGTTCACGAGAACGAATATGTCAGAGGTGAGGCCAGGATATTTCCCTGCATGGACGGTCCGGCAGAGGCTTATTAGGCACTGGATGTATTAATAACCTCTGAGGTGGGGGGGTTCCAGGTGACGTCGATGGTCAATGCCACCGATTCCTTTGTGGTAACTGGAGAAAGGGAAGGTATTATCACCAGTGATGGCGGGAAGAAATAGAGAGAATTGAATCAGGCTTTCACTGAAGATTAACCATTCAGAACTTTCAATCAGAAATCATTATCAGATCCATCGACACTGGAGTCAGGCTGAAGTTCTTCTGAGTTCTGATGTTAACTTAAGGGGCTGCTATTCAGGACGGACCTTGACGCCGTTGTATCACATATCAAGCTTGAATTGTTCGTGCCTGAGGCAATGAGGAACCTTTCGGTTAGCGTTCCATGCCGTAAGCCATTGAGTGGAACTTCTATATTTGTAATCAATTATCAAAGGAACAAGAACCGGATCACTAAACCGCCTTACCGAAATTTCACCGACCGCCAATCGGGTCACAACTAAATCTCCCGACATGCCATACTGTACTATATCCGTATTAGCTCCAGAAGAGATCCCTGCTTTCCCCAGGTCCCCGCACTTCCCATCCCAGCCCTTTTCTCGTCACTTTCTCTCCGCCCGACTTCATTCAGTTTCCAATCCAACTCTTCATTATCATCGTCCCGCTGTGTGCTACGTCCGTGCGCTATAGACCACCACAATAGATTATCAATCTGCTTTGTCCCCCTCTTCAACCACGTTACTGTGGAACTCATCCCCCCATCGACAGCCATGTCGTCCTCCCCCGCCGCAAAATCCCCGGCAAGCGGCTCTGCCACGGGAAAGCCCGAGAAACCCCGTCTGTCCGAACAGGAGAAGAAGAACAACCACATCGCCTCCGAGCAGAAACGCCGCCAAGCCATCCGTGACGGTTTCGATCGCCTTGCGAACGTCGTGCCCGGAATGGCTGGCCAAGGGCGATCCGAAGCCGTCGTCCTCCAAGCGACCATTGAGTTTCTCCGTCAGCAGCTGGTCGAACGCCAAGATTATATCGACGAGCTCCGCAGCCGTGGAGTCAATGTCGAAGGCTATGTCGTCAACGGCGTCGATATCAATCGTCTTCGTCAAATTCTCGGCTCCAACCTCCACGGCTTCAATGGCACCGGCATATAAATGCTTGTCTATGCATGTCTGACCGATTGGAGTCATTTGCTCCCGTATGTCTCGTACCATATCACGTGTGTCTATACCAGTATTAACGGAAGGAGCAGAATTTTCAGCGTCGGCGTTGTAGGAGTTTGAATTGGCCATCACGAGATGACGGCCTGAAGGCAGCAGGCATTGTCGCTCAAAGATGGGTGTTTGGAATACAGGCAGGATAATGCTATACTGTGATGTACCAGACATCAGTCAGTCCCTGAGATGGGAGTTCTGGGAGATCCATGTTGGCGACATCGAGACTTGATGTGTCGATCCCACCACCCAAGACGGACAATCCGAGTTAAAGGCGTTAAGGAAAAGAGCCTGGAGCCGATCAACCTTAGCCTGGAACCAACCGATATTAGCCTGGTCCAAAATGAATGACAGTCGTTCTCACGACTGTATCATGTCATTTCCTTCAATGTGCCCAGACCCGAGGTACGCCCGATAGGTGGCGTCAGTGAACGTGACTCCCATGTTTTCTGAACAGTGATATATGCTGTACGTGTTACGCATCATGGTGTTAACCTCCCTCTAATATCACTGAACTGTGTAGAGGAAGCGATGACTACCGAAAGAGATGGTCAAGAACGCCTAAAGCCTGCCACTCTGGGCAACAGCTAAGGGGTTGTTATCCAGTGGTCGATACAACTTGGCTTACCCTCGGTCACTGACTGTGTGCATGTGCCTCCGCACAATTAGAATGATGCGGAAATGTTATCAGTGAAATGAGTGGCACGCTAGCCCGTTTTTGAAGTCTACTACACTTAGTTATATTCGACCGCCGCACAAAACTTAAACATTACCTTCTCAGAAGCAGTGCACTGGCAAGAGAGGCCCCAAGCAGGAAGCATGTCAGATTCTCTCTCCCTGAATTGTCTTCGAGAAGGCTTCTGGAGCACTGGCTTTCTGAGGCGAACAAGAACAAGACACCCCTCTCCAGTGGCTTATTCTCTCGCTTTCCATGCACGAGTATAACCTGGCATCCTCCTGTGCGTCCTACTTTCAAAGTGTGCTTTTACTTCTATGCCGCACATTGATTTCTGACTCTCGAAATTACCTTCCAAACCACCACCTTACTTTCATTATCCACGGCCCTCGATATAACCAAGACGTCAGTGGCATTAGTGGAAGTACCGAAGAGAACCTCATCGTCGCTTCAGGGTATCCGATCCAACTCACACGAACAATCATCACACTCTTCAGGACCTCTCCGTCACGGATCATACCACCACACCGCTCAACACAGCACTCTCCACTCTCCACTCCCCGCCTTCCGCCCTCCGCCCTCCAAACCCTATCTCGATGCCTCCCTCTACACCTTCCTCTTCTACCAAAAAGCGCCGCCGCATCAAATCCCCCTCCCCCATATCCTCTGACTCCTCCGCCCACTTCTCCGACTCCTCCACCGACCTCACCCGCGAACTCAACCGCCTCGGCGGCCCCCCGCTCAAACCCCGGCCCACCTCCCGCCCGCGCACCACCCCACGCCACCGCTCCGCCGACGCCATCGCCTGCCCGCACCCCCACTGCGCCTTCGCCACGCGCTACCGCATCGACATGCAGCGGCACGTACGCAACGACCACCAGCGCGATTGGGCGCTGCCGTGCGATGTGTGCGGGAAGACGAGCCGGGATCTGGGTGTGTGCGATCATCGGGAGAAGTATACTCCAAGCCAGGACCCGGAGAAGTTGGAGGCGGTGAAGTGGGATGATAAGCCGATTCGCGCGCTGAAGCTCACGGGGGAGAAAGAGTCGAATCGGGAGAAGAAGGAGTCGCTGGGGGAGATGCTAGCGGAGAGGCTGAAGGCGAAGAAGCCGGCGACGCGCAAGGAGGAGCTGGAGGAGGAGGAGGAGCCGGGGTGGAGGCGCGAGAGACACAAGGAGGTACCGGCGTCGCCGATCAAGAAACAGGAGGCCAAGCGCCGGAAGTATTTCAACTAAGTGCGATCTGGTTCTTCAGTAGACCATGCATGGAGCTAGCATTCTCCGCTTGCGCATATGGGGTTCGGATGAGTCGGACGGGGATCAATGCGGGGGACAATGAGAGCGGGATGCTCGGGTAAAAGGGGAGGATGAATGGGGTACGGGGTTAGTGATGGATAGAGGCTAGCGAGGATGGTGATTGCGCCATCAATACAACGGGTATGTTTCAAAATCTGCTTGCTCTGTGATTGTGCATGGTGCATACAATACTGGTCACCCACTGGCAGTCCGTGTCGAACAATGTACCTTATGGGGTATCAACACTTCTGGAATTTCTCGTGGTTGTTCATCGTCATCGGACCCTGCTAATGCACCTATCCACCTGTCTCAGGTCTATGGCGCACAAATCCCAATTCTAATCCATAGCAAGGAGACGACTAGGTTACCCATCGTCGAGCCCCTTTACTGCAGACCTCCAGCACATTATTGTCCTCTACAACAAGCACACCGTCCGTTCAGTGATTTCACTACGACAGGCCAATGCCTAACGCCGAACCAGGTGCCTATCGCTAAACCGGCTTAAACCCAGTTTCAGCACTCTATCCTGCACTCGTGCTGCTGCGAGACTCATCCCTGGGATGACTAACTGCGAATTCCTTGTCTTCAGTACCGCTGCTTCGTTGCTCTGACGACCGTGTGGGTTGACTCGGCGGAGGTAGGTCAGCGATGACATCCATGGGCATACGATCTCCCCAAATCAATCCTGTTGATCGTAGGAAAGTCCCCCTCGAGGCAGCCATCCGCCATAGTAAGAAGAGAAGTTCGCCAGTCCTCTTCCCATCCCCATTCCGTTGCTTTAAGTCCATTTCATCCAGGTTGTGATCCCGAAATCTTAATCATCAATCATAATCGCCTCCCGTCTCTCGTTCTTCACAGTCTCTCACTGGGTTCCCCCTCGCTGCCTCGCCTCTCGTTGCCTCGCATCCCGCTCCCTCACCGCCTCCTCCACCGCCTCCAGCTCCACCGCCCCCAACCCACCCAGCCCACTCCGTCCCTTCACCCCCTCCACCTCCCCCACCCGTTCCACCACCGCCAACTTCGGCTCCCCCAACGAATTCTGTAACGCCCTCACAAAATCTACCACCTGCCCCTCGAACTCCTTCACAGGGAACCTCCCCGCCATCTCCACGAAGTGCTGCACGAGCGGCGTTGTCGGTTCCGGCGTCAGTTCGGCGATCAACTCCTGCCGGATTGCCGTCCATGACGCCCGCTCGCCCCCTTTGCGTGCGTCGTGGAAGATGTTCGTGCTACAGAAATGCGGGAAGGGTGACGGGGACGCCGCGGTGGACGAGAACAAAGAGGAGGCGTGAATCCCGTTGTCTTCCGCATCATGCGGTTGCGGCGATGGTGACGGCGCCGGACAGAACCCCCAGCTCAGCGCCTCGATCGCGGCGCCAACACCCGTGTCGCCGAACACGAGATACCGCTCCAGTACGGCCTGTCGGATGAAATGGGCGATGAGGCGCAGGTAGGGGTCGGTGAGGGACGAGGTGTCGTCGATGGCGAGGCCGAGGGCGAAGCGGGCGGCGCCGAGGTGGATAAAGAGCGGGAGGAGGTCGAGGAGGGAGATGCAGGTACGGGAGCCGTAGTAGGTGGGTGCGGAGGCGAGGCGGGGATCGGGGGAGGGGAAAGGGAAGATGGAGGTGAGAACGTGTTCCCGGGTGGCGGAGAGGTGCTCGTCAGGGATGTGGTAGTTGGTGAAGGCGACGGTGGCGAGGGAGGGGAGGTGGAGGTGGAGGGTGGTGGTGTAGTGGTTGGCGCGGTGGGAGTTGTAGTTTTGGAGGGAGGTGAGGGATTTCGGGGTCGGGTTGGTGTCGGTGGAGAAGAAGCGGCGGTAGAAGAGGACGCTGAACTTTAGGAGGTGGAGACGGTAGATAGTGCTGTCGGAGACGGAACCGGAAGAATCATGGCTTTGGGGTTGGTTGAATATGGGGAGGAATGCTAGTAATTTTGGTGAGCACTATGTTTTTCAATCGACAATGGAAAATTGCGAATGGACATGTGCGCCGGAAGACTCATACTGTGATGTTAAGCCGAGACATATCACATTACGATAGCCCCTGGCTCTTGGTTCTCTCAGGGGTCGCGAGAGGAGTGCAGCTGACGACAGATCTGGTGTTGGAATTTGACGGAAGAAATGGAACCTATTGCTTAGAGCAAGACATACATTCAACCATGCGTAATGGCAACTCCGGAGATTCATTTACCGGGATTGGAACCCCCGTTTCCAGCGCGGCCCGTTCCTCGAATATCGCGGTGGTCGCTTTGTACAGGAGAAAATCCAGGATAAGGGGATCCACACCCGGAGGAGCGGACGGATCTGCTTCATCGCTGGATGCCATTGTGCATTGATATCTTCAAGATTCAACTTAGAATGCCTCTGATGAGCGTTGTCTTGGAGCGCTATTCGCAATATAATGAAAGTGTAGGTGAGTACGGAGTACGGAGTCCGGGGACAATATGCATGTGAGGAAATGGCATCAAGCGGACGAAGTTCTTCGTGTGACTGCTTTGAAAGGAAAGCCAACTGATGAAAGAAGAAGTGAAACGACTACGACATATTTCGGACAACTAAAAGAACCACGAAGACAAGAGAAACCAAAGAAGCGAACTTGATTATTTCCAAGTGATCAGTTGCAAAAGTCGCGATAGTCGCGATAGTCGCGATGGTCATGTTGAGCGAGACACAATTAGCGGCAGCCGTTTACCAGCCACCCCATTACCCCAATTACCACCATAAGATGGTAGAATGACTTGGAGATCACTTTCTTTGCCGTTGAAGATAAGAGCTTTGCAAATATGACATCTCCAGCGTCGCTACTTGAGGTCTTGACTAGGTCATTGGGAAGCTTCTATCGGACTTTTTGGTTCGCGTATGATCAAATGTTATATCCATCCTCCTCACGCTGACACTTCATGTCGGCTGGGCGCTGTCCGCATCATGGATCTTCGGACACTTCTATATATTCAACAGCTCCTTACTGGCCATCGCTGTCCGATCTGCGGCTCAGTTTGTGCCCGATCTGATTAGATAGTATCCGGATTTCCGAGACAACCAGCCCCAGCAGTCAGCAGTGCCATGATGATGACTGCGCCACAAGATTGACGTAGGTACGTAGATACTCGATCCTCCCCCTACCCCTTGAAGTTTCCCTTCACCATGCATCTATAAAAGTTAATACTGCCCTTCTTGAAGCAATGCGTGGAAATTTCAAAGCCTATCTGTCTCTTGTCCTGTTGAGTGTTATTTCCGTCTTATTGTACAATTCTCAGTCTATCATTTACACTACCAAACCACTCTTCTCCGCTCCAGACACCATGAGTGGCGGTGACGTCGACGGCTATAAGGCCGTGGCATATTTTGTCAACTGGGTAGGTCCTTCAGTTTCACACGATCCATTCGAAGTCTATGAATAGAACCGTCAAGATATGAAAGTGGGCGTAATATAAATCAAAATACTAACCCTCCCTAGGCCATTTACGGCCGTAACCACCATGTTCAAGACCTCCCTGGCCAAAACCTCACCCACATCCTCTACGCCTTCGCCAACGTCCGCCCCGACACCGGCGAAGTCCACCTCACCGACTCCTGGTCCGACGTCGAAAAGCACTACCCCACCGACTCCTGGAACGACACCGGCCGCAACCTCTACGGCTCCCTCAAGCAGCTCTACCTCCTCAAGAAAGCCCATCCCCATCTCAAGCTCCTCCTCTCTATCGGCGGCTGGACCTACTCCTCCAACTTCCCCGCTCCCTGCTCCACCCCCGCCGGCCGCGCCACTTTTGCCCGCTCCGCCGCCGCCCTCGTTGCCGACCTCGGCTTCGACGGCCTCGACATCGACTGGGAATACCCGAAGAACGCTCAGGAAGGCGCTGACTTCCTCGCCCTCCTCCACACCTGCCGCGCGGAGCTCGACGCCCTGGCCGGGAAGTACGTCAACGCGGCCAACCCCGCCCTAGGACAGACGCGCGCCGCTCCCCCGCGGTTTGCGCTGAGCATCGCCGCGCCGGCGGGCCCGCAGCACTACCAGCACCTACCCCTGCGCGAGATCGGTGCGGTGTGCGACTTCGTGAACCTGATGGCGTACGACTACGCGGGCAGCTGGGACGCGGTCGCCGGGCACCAGGCGGCACTATATCCGTCGACGTCAGCGCCGCAGACCACACCGTTCAGCACGGAGCGGGCGGTAGCGGACTACGTGGCGGCGGGGATGCCGGCGGGGAAGCTGGTGCTGGGGCTGCCGTTGTATGGGCGGGCCTTTGAGAATACGGGGGGACCCGGGGAGGGGTTTCAGGGAGTGGGAGAGGGGTCGTGGGAGAGGGGGGTGTGGGATTGGAAGGCGTTGCCGAGGCCGGGGAGTGAGGTGCGGGAGGATAGGGAGGGAGGATGGAGTTATTGTTATGATGCGGGGAAGAGGACGATGGTTAGTTATGATACGTTGGAGATCGCGAGTCGGAAGGTGAGGTATGTGAGAGAGAAGGGGATGGGTGGGGTGATGTGGTGGGAGAGTTCGGGGGATAGGGAGACAGGGAAGGGGTCCATGATTGAGACGGTGGTCGGCGATTTGGGCGGTCCGGGGAAGGGGATGATGGATCGGAGCAAGAATTGCATCGCGTATCCGTTCAGTTCGTATGAGAACTTGAAGAAAGGGATGGTGGGAGAGGACGCGAAGCCGTACCCTCGAGAGGCGCCACAATAATGCTGATATCCCCAGGTTAGATTTCTCATTTCTGTAGTTATTACACGGACGAAATTAGCGAATCATGAGCATGTGAGCATCTTAGTTACTATCTTTAGTTAACTAACGTAATCCACCACCGAGCTGCGAACTTCAAATCTCACCAAAATCGGGATATTCTATAACCCGATATCTCAACAACAGCATGATAATAAAATCTAAAAGTCCATAGATATACTTTACTAGTCATTTTAATCCTTTACTGAAATTTATAGAGCTCTATCTATTGTAGTTGTAGATATACATAGATCCTTGGTGCTAAAAGGTGCTAAAATCTACTATGACCTAGGTATATCCACAACTACAATAGCTAAAGTTCTATAAATTTGAGTAAAGGCTTAAAATGATTGGTAAAGTCTATCTATCAACTTTTAGGTTTTATTATCATGCTGTTGTTGAGATATCGGGTTATGAAATATCCCGATTCTGGTGAGATTCGAAGTTCGCAGCTCGGTGGTGGATTACGTTAGTGAGTTAGGTAGTTCCCCACATGGGCCTCGCAGAGAGGGCTGACGGCCGTATGAATCTCTCACACACACTCTCTCTCATATAGTGGGTTAGAGAATCTGCTTGATATTTAGCGGTAGTTTACGATAAATACTCGTGTATTGTTAATTCCTTGCCTATTTGGGTCGCTAAAAGCGGAAGTTTGATCGACTGCAAATACCGACCTGCGTGGAGGAAATGTTTCAAATTGCTTTTTAACACAACGTCTACATTGGGCGAAGGCTTTCTAGCATCATGAACGGTTTTGATGACTTGGACTGATTCATTTTATATAATTTTTTAAAGGGAAAGAAGATGATAGTAGCGTTAAAGCATGGAAATACTCTCGCGGTGTCCAAGATGCACTCCGTATACTCTATGGAAATCAGCTAACTAGCAGCCAAGCTTTTCAATATTTAATGTAGGCACAGTTCCGTGTGTTAGAAAATAGCTGAAGAGCGCAATTTACATAGGATTATAAGAATTGCAATGTGTATGGAGCCTTTGAGTTGGTTTGAGGTCAAAGTACCTCAGATTCGTCCCAGCACGGCAGGTGTCCCATCACCCAGGGGGAGGAGGTTAATACTTCTCTTATTTTCTATCTTCTAAAACTTGTACATCCGACCGTGAGTTGCCCCTAGAATCTAAAATATCCAATATCTAGCCATCATAATGATCCGCATCTTTGGCAATCCCCCACCTCCCCACCTCCTTCATCCCCGCCTCCCCTCCCTCACTCAACTCCGGTCTACCCAAAACACCGGCCACACACTGCCACCCATCCCGTCCACCTCCCCATCTAAGCACCTCATTCTTATATCTCTCCCCCGCTTCCCGGCTAATCGCACCATGCGGCAGCCCCGGCTTCTGAAACACGTCCTTCCACACCTTCGCCGCGATCGCCCGATCGAACAAATACGCATAATACGTCGCCCCATACCCGACCAAATGCCCAAAGAACCCATGATACGACGTCCCCCGCGGCTCTGGCACCGACGAGTACTCCTCGTACACCCGCCGATACACCTCCGTCGAGTCAAATGCGCCCCCGCGATTCAGCACCGCCGCCGCCTCCCGCCCATGCAGCCCCGCGTCCAGCGCGCTCAGCACCACCTGCATCTCGACCTCGCCGGCCTGTACGAGCTTCTCGCGCTCGAGGCGCGTCGCGATGCGCGCGGGGTCGAGCGGCTCGCCGGTCTCCCAGTGGGTGGCCCAGAGGGCGAGGGCGGCGGGGTCGGTGGCGAAGCGCTCGAAGAGGATGGACGGGAGCTCGGCGAAGTCGGTAGCGCAGCGGGTGCCGGCGATGTTGTGGAGGGAGGTGCGGCCGAGGAGGGAGTGGATGGCGTGGCCCATTTCGTGGTAGAGGGTGAGGAGGGAGCGAAGGGAGAGGAGGGTGGGGGGTTGGTTGGAGTTGGCGGAAGGGCGAGGAGGGGGGAAGTCGCAGATGAGGGCGATGGTGGGGAGTTGGTGGAGGGAGTGGGTGGTCGGGTTGTAGGAGTGGGCCATGCCTTCGGTGGCGGCGTCGACGAGGGAGGAGAAGGAGGGGGTGGCGGTGGGGGATTCGGTGGCGAGGTCGGCGAGTTCGGTCGAGGGGATCTCGCGGCTACAGCGGAGGGTGAAGTGCGCCGGATGGGGGGATTTGCCTTCGCGGGTGAAGAGATCGCAGTACATGACGCCGATGTGGCCGTCGTTTTCGTCCATGACATCGAGTCGACGGACAGACGGATCCCAGGTCTCTCCAGGGGCAGCCTCGCGAGGGACAAGACGCACGCCGTAGAGTCGGCTGAATATACGCGACAGTCCCTGCATGACGGAACCAAGCGAGAAGTAGGCGGTCAGTGTGTCCGGGGTAGGGATACGCGACCTGAGTGAGAATAATCGGTTGGTGTAATAGTCGCGGTCCCATGCATTGATCGTCTCAGGGAAAAGGGTACTTCCGTGCGCATCAGATTTCTTGAGCTCCAGTAAACTCTGAAGCTCTTCGCGGACCTTGGGTCTAATTGAGGTGGACAGAGCATGCAGGAACTGGTTCACTGCTTCGGGTGTTCGTGCCATCTTGTCGGAGAGTGCCATATGCGCATAGCTGTCGTATCCCGAAACCTGTGCGACTTGGGCACGTTTCTGTAGGAGGACTTCCAGGCGATGGATGGTCGATGGTGAGGCCTTTCTACTTGCCATGTAAACCTCCCTTCGCGTATCGGGATCCTCTACCATGCGAAGGGCCTTTGTTGTAGTACTTCCGAAGGACGGTAAGATGCTTTTGCCCCACGAGCTGATCTGTTTGATGGACACAGGATCGAGCCCCTTGAGCTTCTTCGTGTTGATCTGGATGTATTCCATTTCCGGAGACATGCGCTCCACAAAGTCGGCTCCGACCTCAGCAATCTCACTAGATAGCTCTACAAACTGTCTGCGGACGTCATCCGGAAGATCGATGGCGGATTTGGCAAAGTCGCGCATCAGAATCTCCGCGACGACCTTCTCCTCGTGCGACCAAGCCGATCGTACCTCGGGCATGGACCAAGCCTTTTTCAGTTGCTCGTTCAGCCCGGTTGTGGTGTTCAGCTGGTTCATATATTCGAACATCATCGCGTATGCGTTGGAAGCGGCGGTTTGATACCGTCGATCCGGATGAGACGACCGGACAAAGTCCGCCAAGTCAATGACTCTGCAAAGTAGGTCGCTCAGCCTGTCCAATTCTCGGGCCATGCCCTTGTACTCTTCCAGCGTCGAAGCTGCTAGCACTCGGTCTACTAGCTTGGAGCATCTCTTGAGCGTGACCGCAGCGAAGGCCTGAAAGCCATCCGGGCTCTTCAGGTACCGGTTATGGAAAAGTCCGCGATGCTCGTTCCGAAGCTGTTCTTCGGCTTTTTGAGAGAACTCCCTCCAGAACGAAGGGGAATCAAATATGAGCCGGAGGTTGGTATCATCCTGTGTGGTTGCCGCCGAGTAGTTTGGTTGCCATATGGAGGATCTTGCGGCGTCGACAGCAGCAGCGGCGCTACTCGCACTCCGCGTTTGTATGCGCTGAAGGCATTTGGCGCATGTCCACGACTGCTTTTGCAGAGATTTCAGCATCTTGAAGTGCTGTCGATTCTCCGCACCGTCTTTGCGGCACTAGCAATAGTAAGGAGGACAAACAACCAAGAAATGGAAAGTTCCAAGATGTTGAATTCTTGGTTCTTGAATCCTTGACTCTTGTTACTTGAATACTTGATTACTTGTACTCACCATCGCGCACGGGCCATTCCATACAAAGATCTCATGTTCCTCGGGCAGCAACTTCCGAAGCTTCTCGACTGTGACCCATTGTGTTTGAAGGAAACGTAAAGATGGCGGCTAGTTTTGTCCTGAGACCCGTAGGTGTTATCTCTGGTCCGTTGATGAGCGATTGATGCTAATTCCTTGCTCCAGAAATTTCTCGTCCGGGCCGCAGTTCTCTCTGCTGGTGCCTTTGCGGCAACCGGACAGACGGCACATGCAGAGGAGGCATCAGGTTCTCCGTCACAATTAACTGGCGTATGTGTTCCCGATATCAGCTCATATATAGTTTTCTAAATGGATAGAAGCTCCCCCGCAAGCCAATCTACGATGACGACCTTCCCACCGAGTCCGCGGCTCCGTCCCTCATCCACGCAGAACCCTTCTCTCCATCCACGAAGCGTGGTCCCACCCCGACCGATCGCCTCGCCTCCTATGTCAAAGAGGTCCGGTTGCAACTCTACAACGGCGCCTCGGCCACCGAAGATTACACCAACAAAACACTCACATCCGCCCTCAACATGGAGAACACGATAGCCACCACCATCGCGTCCCTCGCCCCTCCGCAAGGGTCACAAGAGCGCCTCGTCCCCGGCCTCCTAACCGTCCTCCTCTCCGTCATGGGCTCGTCAATCCTCGCTCGGAACCGAAACATCTTCTTGCGCGCCTCGTTCCCGGTCGCCGTGGGTGTCGGAACCATGTCATACATTCTACCCGCGACAAGCCGCAATGTCGAAGGGTTGGTGTTGAAATGGGAAGAGAAGGTGCCGGGGCTGAAGGAGGGGCATGAGGCGACGAAAGAGCGGGTAGAGCGGTTCATTAGCACCGGTAGGGCGCATGCAGGGATGGGTGTGGCCATGTTGGAAGAGAAGATTGGCGATGGGCGCAAAGCGGTGGAAGAATGGGTCAGCAAGGGCAGGTAGAGGTTGTCTACCACAAATAGAAAGCGGCGTCCCTTCCATGTAAAGCATGTTTTATTATGAGCCATCGACGAGCCCATTGACAGGTGTTGTACTAGATCCATCATCAGCTTGTCCATATTATAAAGTTGGACTAAAGTGTACACCAGTGCTTAGACTCGAACCTACGACCTTCGAGTTCATTATCTGACCAGAAAATTCCACCAGATTTTACCCCTATCTACACTGGTACTTCCCAGACGCTCACACTCCCGCTACCCCTTACACCCTTTCTATACCCTCTCACGCCCTCCACGTCTTATCTGGCGAAGCTAAAAGTATCAAAAATGAAAAGAGCCCAAAAAAGTGGTCTCTATGGTAGCTACCAGTAGAAGGAGGTTTCATTTTTGGCCCGTTTCTGGCATGTACAGGTTAGCCCCCCCAGCGGGATCAGACAGCGTAATGAAGTAGATTACCCCAGTGGCCGATTCCAAAGGGGGGAGCTACTCACACTGCGAGACTCGTGCTGATCTTAGTTGAAATTGAGCATTTAAAAATTATAAACAGAAAACATAGACGGCGGGCCTTGGGAATCAATTCACCCACCATCTGCGATTGCCGGCTGAGATGGTCCTTTCATTTTCATTTCAGGCACTCCTCTTTCTTGTCATTGCATTGGTTCCATTTTTATTACATCGTGTTTGCCTCATTACTGTCATTTCGTTGCGGAACATAGAGCATACAGCCCCTTTTCACATCCCCTTCCCTCCCTGAATCAATACAACCCCTCGAACTCCTACCACCACCCAGCATTTCCCCCTCAAACAACCGCCCTTCCTACGCTAGCCCGAATTGTTCCTAAACACAATCAGCACATCTCAAACCAACCCCCCTTCCATCCATACCTTCAACTCCTGCACATCTCCCCCACTCATCCGAACCCCCTCCTCAATCTCCGCCCACAAATCCCCCGCAATCTTCCTCCTCCGCCCCTCAATCGCCCTCCAATTTCTCACCGCCGCCTCAACCCTCACCCGCTCCGCCTCCGGTACCGCCGCGACTTCCCCGCCGCGCAATTTCTCTAGCTTAGCCGTCAGACTCGCTTTCTCCGCCTCGCGCGTCGCGATGCTGGTTAGGAGTTCGGTGGGGGATTGCTCGGATGATAGGGCTTGGAGTTGGGATTTGAGGGTGGTTGATTGGGAGCGCAGGTCGGTGACTTCGTCGCGGAGGGTGGTGATTTGGGCGTCGAGGTCGGCGAGGGCGTCGGGGGAGCAGTCGTCTGTAGTGGTCTTGGGGGTTAGTTCACGGATGACTACTATGATGGGACACGGGGGGATACCTGGATGGCGTGATAGACGAGTTGCTTTCCTGTGAATCCTGTCATTATGCATGGTCAATCTGACTCGGAGACTGGAAAGAGTTACCAGCCGCTCGGCCTTCGATCGTTTTCCGCTCATGGAGGTCCTTGAGGACCTTCACCGCGACGGCTGCTAGGGTAAGCATCGAATACGCTCAATCACTCTCGCTTTCACAATCACTGACTCTTAGTGACCTTGTTATGCAGGTTCGCTGAGATATCAATGGCCTCACACGTCATTAGCCCGATTGACTTCACTTGTGACCAGACTTCTCACTGAATATGGCCGACTGAATTCAGTCAGCTCCAGCTCTTTTACAGGTAGGGTTAAAGAAATAACTCACTTCTGCTTCCGAAGATAGGTGAGGATCATATCGGCGGCTACCATTGCTCGTCAGAAGAAGCAATGAGTACCGTGCTCACTGATGTGTACCTTGGTCGCCAGACGCCTTCGCCTCCTTCTCCTTGCGAGGAGCCATTCTTCCGCAACCGTTGGAACAAGTGGTTAGAAACTGCAATATGGTAATTAAAGTTGGATATCAGAGGTAATGAAACATTTATCTACAATTCGAGAGGTAGGTAGTCAAGCAAAATGTGTAGGATGAAGTGCGTTTAGACTCTTGCTGCCTCAGGCTTGGTTTCACCCTTTGAACAAAAGCAGCCGAGACGATATTCGCTACATCAGGTCAGTGTTCACTCTCTAAGTTTTCCTCCGCTGTTACTCCCATCTAGTCCTCCCGAGTGCTATGTGATTTTCATGGCGACAGTGAACCGTCTTACGCCCCTTTCACTCATTAAACTCCACAAACAATCTCCAATCTTCAGCATATCCAAGGCTGATATTCAAAAGCTGGAACTCATGCTCGCTCAATCAAAGTTCACCACGTTGACCTTCGCCCTCGCCAAAAACACCCCGTCCTTGGACCGCTGGACCGCGACGTTCCGCAGCGCATACAGACTGTCGAGGAACGCAATGCCAAAAGTCCCAGGCCCCACAACGCCCGGTTTGGCGGCTGCCACCTCGGCCGCGATCTCGAAGAACAGAACGCCGGCCATCGCAGCGAGCAGCTTATCCTCCTTTGCGACAGCTAGACACGCCGCGATGGTTGTCCCGAGCGTGCATCCGCTGCCCGTGATGCTCCCTAGGAACTCATGACCATTCTCAATCGTGAAGGTTCGCCGACCGTCGCTGATCACGTCGGTCTTGCCGGTCATGAGGACCACGCAGCCTTCCCGCAACGCCAGATCCCGGACCAGGCGTGCCTTTTCCTCGAGGGTGGACGTGCTGACCCCGCTGTCGACGCCGCGTTGCTGCACGTCCGTCACGCCGTACACCGTGGTGATCTCCCCCTCGTTCCCTTTAATCAGGTCAAAGTACGCCTCGTTCATCAGCTTCTTCACCGTCGCCCTCCGCAGCCCCGTGGCGCCTGCCCCTACCGGATCAAAGACCACTGGCCCGCCCACTGCGTTGTACGCCTGCGCCGCCGTGATGTACGCCGCGATGCTTTCCGGAGTGACCGTCCCCATGTTGACGACCAGCGACCCGCCCAGCCGTGCCAGGTCGACGGCTTCCGCGGCTTGGGTCGACATGATCGGGCTGCCGCCGATGGCGATGGCAACGTTGGCGGCGAAGTTCTGGACCACGGTGTTGGTCATGTTGTGGCAGAGGGGGTTTTGCGTGGCCACGCGCTCGATCACGGAGAGGAATGGCGTCTGCTGGGAGAGGGCGTCGAGGATGTTTGTTTGGGTTAGAGCGCCGATGAATGGAGGGGGGTGGGCAAGCGAATGCCGGAACTGTTTGGCGGCCACTTTGGGGTCCGCGGCGGCGATGATTGCACTGACAACTGCTACTCCATCCAAACGTGTGCTGTCTAAGACCGATAGCTGGAAGTTCACGCGTTCGACGTTCGACAGATTGATACCGCCAATGCAAACAGCCTTCACCTCCCTGTTTTCTTGGTGCAATGCGCGCAAGACCTCTCTCGTCCCCGCCACACCGATGATGGATTTCGCATTCTCTTTCGTCGGCGTGGCATAGACCGTCCCGACGCCAACATAGTCCGCTCCCTGGCGGGCGGCCGTCAGCGCCTCTTCCACACTGCACGCGGTCACGCCGATGATGGCGTCGTCGCCGAGCATTTTCCGCGCGGTCGGTAGGTCGATGTCATCTTGTCCAATATGGACGCCGTCGGCGCCAGCGGCAAGGGCGACGTCGATTCGGTCATTGATGAGGAGGGGGATGCCATGGGCCTGGGTGACTTTTAGTAATTTCTTTGCATTGGCGACTTGCACAGCGGCGTCGCTGTCTTTGTCGCGGTATTGGACGATCGTGACTCCTGATTATGATGGTTAGTATCTATTAGTGGGATGAGGATCGGGGTTGTAGGACACACCTCCTTCCACGGCTTTTCGCACGATTTCTACTAGATCTCTGCTTCCGAGAATCTTCTCGGTGGAGTCTGTGACGAGGTATAGCTCGTAGTTGACCTCGGACTTCTTCATCATTAATTTCCCAGGCGTTCTCGTCACCGCTTAGGGATTTTACAACGATTGTTCTCTTTCTAATTGATATTTGTGGAATGATTGTGATCCGGAAACCCTTCCGTAACACTTAGGAAGAGGATATCTGGGCATCCGGATATTCAGATATCGTCCTTCCCTAGGGGACCCTATGCATCCATCACAGTGGCCCAGCCCAATCACGGCCAGCGTCCTTTACAAACAACCCGGATATTCAGTAATAATCATCTCCAGGTAATAGATCGAGATAAGAGACACAGTCATGCCCGGGATTATTCCAGGGAAATAATTATAACTATTCATAATTCACTGTCCTATTTGAACCTGACACTGCAGTAGGTGGGGATGGACGGCCTTGTTGGCGAATCGGTTGTCGACAAGCTGCCGTTCTGCCGTGTTTTCCAGAATTGCAGTTTTCCACCACCAACGACGGCGAAGAGAAAAATCATCCTGATTGGATCAGCATATCAGGCATCAAGGCATCAAGGCGCCCACATCCATTTCCGTTCCCTTAAATTCTCCCATTGCCTCCCGACTTCCCTTTCTCCGCTTCCACCTTATTCTTTGCAACAAACCATCGATCCTTTGATCAGATTTTCATCATCATCTACCTCTCAATCCCATTCTTGGACGCAAAAACGCCCAGGAACATTCCGTCCGACTGCTTCTGCCCTCGCACACAAGTCGTTTCTTGAACGCTTTCAACACACGGCGAACAACTTGCTCGGCCTTTCCCCGCGGCACCTTCTCTTTGACCTTACCATCCATCGGAATCCCTCGCCTTCAATACAGTTCGACGACATCGGGGTTTATGTATTCGACCCGTGACCACGCTTTCCGTCTCCAACCTCCTCCTGATCTGGATCCTCTTCGCATACCGAGAGGACCAAATCGTATCCGGCACAGTACGAACGGGTGACTATAGGGCACCGTATCTAACGTTTCATATGAATCTTGATTGATATCCGATCCACCGGAACCCTTATGCTACCGACGAGCTGTATGTCTTTTTGTAGCCTGAACAGCACGAGTCACTCTCTTGGTCGTCCGCTCTCGCTCCAGCCTCAATCCTCCCACTAAACGATATCTCCGTCGTCAACCGAACCGTCAAAATGGCCACCGTCAACATTCGCCGCGATGTCACCGATCCCTTCTACCGCTACAAGATGGAGAAACTCCAGTCTAAGATCGAAGGGAAAGGAAACGGTATCAAGACCGTCATCGTCAACCTCAGCAGCGTGAGCAACTCGCTCGCCCGTCCTCCTTCCTACGTCATCAAATACTTCGGCTTCGAACTTGGTGCGCAAACCAACACCAACCCCGCCGATGATCGTTGGATCATCAACGGTGCCCACGAAGCCTCCAAGTTGCAAGACTACCTCGATGGTTTCATCTCCCGGTTCGTTCTCTGCAAGAAATGCAAGAACCCTGAGACCGATGTGCACATTAAAGACGGCCGCATCATCCTCGATTGCAAGGCCTGCGGCCAACGCACCGACGTCGACATCCGCCTGAAACTCAGCTCGTTCATCCTCAAGAACGAGACGGTCAAGGGCAAGAAGGACAAAGCCACCAAGAAAGCGGAGCGCAAGGCCCGAAAGGAGGCCAAGGCGAATGGTGAGGATGATGGTTCTCCCAAGGGCAGTCCCAATGACAGCAACTCCGACAAGGAGGAGGAAAACGGCGACGTCGAGATCGATGCCGGAAGCGACGACGAGCTGACTCGCCGCATCAAAGCGGGTGCTCTCCAGATCCACGAGTCGGACACTAAGGAGATCAAATGGTCCGTGGACACATCCGAGGAGGCGGTCAAGGCTCGTGCCAACCAACTCCCGGATGACCTGAAGCGTACGGTGGTTGTCAATGACGAAGACGACGATGGCGAGAGTGGAGAAAACGTGTACGACGTGTTGGGAAGCTGGATCCAAGAGCAGGCGAAGGAGAAGGGTGGCGTTACCGAGCTGAAAGATGTTGACGTCTACCTGAAGGCCAAGGAGCTCGGGATTGAGACCAAGCATAAGACCCTGACTGTCCTGGCTCAGACCATCTTCGACGACGGTATCGTCAAGGAGATCGAGCCACGTAGCTCCATGCTCAAGACGGTGTGTACTCTCTTCCTATTATATTTTGCATATGCTAATAGTGCCATCTAGATGATCAAGGACAATGAGCGACACCAGAAGGCGTTCCTCGGCGGCATCGAGCGCTTGGTCGGCAGAGATCGCCCGAACCTCATCCCTCAGGTCTCGGCCATCTTGATGAAGTTGTACGACAACGATGTCATCTCCGAAGAGGTCCTACAGGCCTTTGGGAACAAGGCCAGCAAGAAATACGTCGACATCTCTACGAGTAGGAAGGTGCGCAAGTCGGCGGAGCAGTTCATCCAATGGCTTGAGAATGCAGAGAGTGATGACGATTCGGAGGAGTAGAAATGGATCGATGGTGTGCAAAGCTACCTGTCTGCCTGGCTTGGGTCATTCGGTCCTAGACACGTGCAACGGTGCTTTGCCTACCCACCGACCTGGTTGTGCTGAAAATGGACTATCGACGGTTCTATTGTTGGGTTTACGCAAATCTTCACTCTCTCCTATCGTCTTTCATAGTCCTTAATCCCCTGTATACGAACAGAATCACATTATTCCTCCGATGCATCGTTCCACTCTCTTTAGTATTCAATAGCGTAGCAATCAGATAGCTTCGAAAAGTTTGCCTCTTCTTTTCTGCATTCCGGTCAGGCGTGGCGGTGGTGATCAGTCCGTTGATCGCGTGAAGTTGACCGCCTCCCATGTGATCGATAATGTTGAAGTCGACCGGTAGTTTCGGGTCCCATCCGAATCACCGATACAAGTGGTGTGAACGTGCCAATTGTGATGCGAGCGATGGGTGTCCTTAAAGTTTGAACCAGACTTCGCCATTCCGTACCCAGTCCACCCAACCCTACCATAACTCTACCATTCCTTAACTCCAATCTCCAATTCCCTATCCGTATATCCGCGACATATACCAAATTATTATGGACGGCCCCATACGAAGCGCATCCGCCCTCAATGGTATAAATCCTATGCTTCCCATGCTAAAAGATGCTAAACCCTCCAGATCGAATCAACCGCCTAACCAAATCCCTCGTCGAGCGTTTTGAGAACCTCGTCGCCCTCTCCGCTGTAAGCTGCCCACCCCACCCAGCATTCCTTCTCTACCTCACCTAACCTCTCCGGCTCCTTTTTAGGTCGACGAAACCGATTTCGGCGCATCTGCGCTCGCAGGCCATCAGATCCGGGTGGAGTCCGCTGCGCTGGTAAGATCCCCTCTGTTCCTTCGTTGAATGCCAGGAGGATGGCCACGCTAATGGTCCGCAGGTCCGTGCGGGGGAGGATATCCTAACCTTGACACGGCAGATGCAGGAACTCTGGCTGTTCGGCCAATTGAACGTGCTGGAGCGGCAGCAGTCGCTGCCGTCGGCGCAAGAAAACGCGAGGGTGGTTGGGGAGTTGTTGGAGACGTTCGCGCGGAGTCATTATGAGCCGGCGGCGGCGAAGGTTGCGGATGGATGAGGAGAGGAGAGGATATTTGGTTTTTGAACTAGATACTGGCTGGATGGGAATATCTCCCGATATGCGAGGGGAAGCCCGATGCAGATACGCTTCAGGAAAGAGCGGGCGGAGGGGTACGGATTGAACAAAGGGCGGAGCGGAGACGAGAAGTCAGCGGAGCACGCAATCCCGCCGTACGCCAAAATACCACAGTTTAAGTGCGGCCTCCAGAACCATTATTAAAATGGGCCCAAACAATGCATTTCGACCTCCATGACTCCATCGAACATCAAAATGATCGTCTAACACTACATCCCTCAAATCCCACACAATGAGCGTGGCACGCCCCGTCTTCGAAACGGCAAAGCCTTCGTCGGCTGCCATGCAAACGCTCCGCCAGTTCCTCAGTCCGGCTCCGTCACGTGGCTTCCGATATCGCCGACTCCCCTCCACATCCCGCATCCCCTCCACCGCCCGCCACAACTCCTCGCACGCTCGAAACCTTCACCACCAAACCCCCTTCCACTCCTCCGCTGCCGAAGCTCCCCAACAGCAACAATATCCCGACCCCCTCCCATCCACCAACCCCGCCCTCTCCTTCCCCTGCCTCGACCACGTCGAAACCCGCTCCGCCACCCTCTCCCGACGCGCCCCCGGTGCCGGCCCAGAACCCTCCTACACCACCGGCCGCACCGACACCTTCCACAGCACCGACCCCCTCCTCCTTGACTGGGGCGGCATCCTCCCTTCGTTCGCGATCGCCCACGAGTCCTGGGGGACGCTCAACGCGGACCGCAGCAATGCGATCCTGCTGCACACTGGGCTGAGTGCGAGCAGCCACGCGGCGAGCACGGCGGCGAACGAAAAGCCGGGGTGGTGGGAGCGGTTTATCGGGCCGGGGCGGCCGTTGGATACGGAGCGATTTTTTATCGTGTGTACGAATGTGGTGGGGGGGTGCTATGGGAGCACGGGGCCCGGAAGCGTGGATCCGGCGAATGGGGAGCGGTATGCGACGCGGTTTCCGATCTTGACGATGGAGGATATGGTAAGGGCGCAGTTTCGGTTATTGGATTCGCTGGGGGTGCGGAGGCTGTATGCGAGTGTGGGGAGTAGTATGGGGGGAATGCAGAGCTTGGCGGCGGGAACACTGTTTCCGGAGCGGGTGGGGAGGGTTGCGAGTATTAGCGGGTGCGCGAGGAGTCATCCGTACAGTATTGCGATGCGGCACACTCAGCGACAAGGTATGCCCCCTCCATTCAATCTGACGCTACGTGGGTCAGGTTTCTGACTATTTCCGCCAGTCCTTATGATGGACCCGAACTGGAACCGCGGCTTCTACTACGACGGCATCCCCCCGCACGCCGGCATGAAGCTCGCCCGCGAAATCGCCACCGTCACCTACCGCAGCGGCCCCGAATGGGAGCAGCGCTTTGGCCGGCGCCGCGCCGATGCCTCGCGCCCGCCCGCCCTCTGCCCGGACTTCCTCATCGAAACCTACCTCGACCACGCCGGCGAGAAGTGGTGCCTCGAATACGACCCCAACAGCCTCCTGTACGTCTCGAAGGCCATGGACCTGTTCGACCTCGGCGCGGAACATCGGGAGATGATCGCGGGGTTGCGCGGCAAGAATCAGTATAAGCTAGATGCGTACCGGCAGGGGGAGACGCTGGAGACGGCGGAGGCGGCGGATCTGTGTACGTTGACGCTGCCGGAGACGCCGTACCAGGAGACAGGGGACGCGGAGGCGACGCTCGAGGAGGCGGCCGCGGCGGACATAGGCGCTTCGGACGAGCCGCCGGCGGATCTGGTGGCGGGGATGCGCCCGCTTGCGGACACACCGACGCTGGTATTAGGAGTCGCGTCCGATATTTTGTTCCCGTCGTGGCAGCAGCGGGAGATTGCGGAGACATTGCGGAAAGCGGGGAATAAGAAGGTGATGCATGTGGAGTTGGGGGTGGAGCAAAGTATGTTCGGACATGATACGTTCCTGTTGGATTTGGAGAACGTGGGGGGGGCGCTGAAGCGATTCTTGGAGCGGTGATCACACTGGTACATCGGATGTATGATGGCAGGGTGCACTTTGTGACGTTACTTTTGGATTATAGCGCAGCATTGCGAATTTAGATTATGGCGCCTTTGTCCCTAAGATCGCAATTGGTATCTAGTACTGTTCTATGTTCTATTGACTATCCGTGTTGAATATTACCGCTACGGTAGACGATTCAGAAGGGAGACCATGATGGTGTGATTGAATGACAGCACATTATGAAAGTTCCTTGCAGGTACGATATACAGTCCATACCCTATACGCTCATCTTAATGCTCTGTCGGCACTAAGTAGCGAAGCATCCTACTAAGTTCCTGACGTACCTGTTTCAAGTCCATGGAATCCAGGAAGCATTAGTCACGAGGCAAATACCTTTCGAAGGTAGAAGACAGTGACGTTAGCATCGCGCTTTCTAGAAGTTACACGAAAATGAGGGGGTGATGTTGGTGACTAGTGGGTAGTGACATCATGGAGCCCAGATCTTGATCGGCAGGAATGAAACCAATCGACGCTAATTGTCTGAATTCTCCATTTTTTGAGGCAAATGTATGTTTTGTATATTACGGCCAATGCGGGCCCTGGAATACTGCAGGGATGAAATATGGCGTCGTTCATGGCCCATTCGAGATCTGAGCGACGAACGTCATTGCATCTTGATTGCGGTTGCCTTTCACGTTTGGCTCCAGATTGTTTGCTATATCAGGAGTTCAGGACTTCCACAGCATCCTGATCGATGACGTATTATGCTCATTGAGGGGAGGGGCTTTGGATACAAATACCGCGTCCACTGCTCCTTTCTCTCTCTCATTCTTCCAACACACAATCATAACCATCCAAACCTTTCTCCAATCTTCTTAGTCAAACCTAAAACCAAACCTTCCAACCAAACCTACAAACCATCATGTCTGACTTCGGCCGCAAAGATTTCTCCGACAAGGTCGGCGAGAAGTTCACTCCTGACTCCACCAAGTCCACCGGCGAGAAGTTCAAGGAGGGCGTCACCGGCACCAGCGACAAGGCCGCTCGGTATGTTCCCTTACCGGACTTCATCGTCAAACGCAGATTGCTGACCGTGACATAGCGGTGCCCAACCCGACAGCAGCAAGTCGCACACCCAGGAGGCCACCGACAAGTTCGGCCGCAGCAAGGACGAGCACGTCCACGGCGGCACCCACCAGTCCGTTGCCGGTATGTACCATTGTCTTCTTCCACGTCGCCATGTCCGCGCCCACTGACGCGTTGCAATAGACAAGACCAAGCACGCCCTCGGCATGGACAAGAAATAGATGTCGACCCATCGCAGAGGAGATACCCATGAAGGCGTGATGACCTTCGAACGACACAGCGATGGGGTGATGAGATTACGATGTGCCTAATTTGCAATGTGGCATTCTGAGATGTATTAATTATTGAGAAAGATGATCCAATGATACACCATTGATCCTTGATTGGCGACTTTGAATGCAACTTGTGACGATGTGACTGCGCTATATCGACTGAACCATGTAAGAAACGTATACGAACGAAAGTGTGTGTATTATCGGTTTGTGAACTCAACCTTATTTCACTATTCGTCGAAACTAACTCCGGTTTGCTTTTTGCCAACACTTTTCGTTCCAGGGAGATCCGGCCTCTCCACAATCCGTACTATTTCGTCGAACCATTATTGACCAGGTTGCGGTTTCCGAGCTATCCTTCCGCCATTACGGTTCCTATGGTACCACAGACAACAGACCATTTCAAGCCCAAGCAGAATTCATGACCATGATCAGGTTCCTGATTCATGAAGGTGGAAGGTGGAGAGCTGCATCCTTCCGTTCGTGGCCAACAAACTCGGGACACGAATCCCACCAAATTTCAGAGAAGGCTGGGTTAGTTTTAGATTTTCATGGAAACCAAGATAGATGTTGAAAAGGTAAGTATTTTTCCAATTCTATCACGATTTAGTTGCGAACAATAAATCATAAAACATTGAAATTCTCCGAAGTGGGGGGGTGGAGACTTGGTGTTTCAAATAAAGTGCCTCCGGGGGGGACGAAATTGAGTTACGTCTCTTGGCATTCTCCCAACCATTACCTCAGCAAGCTCAGGCCATTATGGTCATGCCTGAGGCAACGAACCGCGCTATACCTAATTGGTATGGTCCTCTACCAAATAGCCTGAGTTACCTCAGCAAGCTCAGGCCATTATGGTCATGCCTGAGGCAACGAACCGCGCTATACCTAATTGGTATGGTCCTCGACCAAATAGCCTGAGGATTCTGTCATTGATTTTTGGCCTGAATCGAGATCGTTTGTATGAGAGCAATTTAATCACTTCAACCTCGTTTTCCTCCACAACGAGCTATCATACAGTAAAATTGACACGTTCAATCGAATCCTCTATCGTTTCTTGATAACCCAGTGAAATTTGGACGATGTCAGATCGAATCTCCTCTCGGCGCAGCGTACAACTGAACCCAACGTCTCTAGAGAGCAGAGAATAGCTACGAACTGGTACTCGATCTGCGGTGGTTGGTTGACGATTCTGACGCAGTCTGGTTGCTTACATATCAGAGTTTTTTGCAAGACACAAGCATCGGGAGTGGAAAAAATTCAAATTCTAGATAGAGTATACCTTGCTGCACAGCCCAGTGAATTTAAGGGCAATTATAATAAGTCCCCGCGTTGTTATTGAAGAATATGCAAAAGTGAGGTTTCCAAAATCGTGAAAAACACATGAAAATTATCGATCTATCAGTGAGCGTCATTGACAGAATCCTCAGGCTATTTGTTCGAGAACTGCATTTACCGATTAGGTATAGTGTGGTTTGTTGCCTCAGGCACGACCACAATGGCCTGAGCTTGCTGAGGTAACCCAACCATCACCACCATCACAGGCAGGCCCAATTCGCTCAAAAACAGCATAATACCAAAAGTATACTCTTTTCCTAACTAAGCAACTATGAACTACTAGAGGTCTGTTTTGGTGAATTCTCCGCCGCGTTCTGGTTAAGATCGTGGGAACTGTGCATAGGGGAATGCCAAGAAAGGTAACTCAATTTCGTCCCCCCCGGAGGGTGTGATGCCTTAGGCATCAAGGTATATATGGCCTCATGGTCCAGGCTTTGCTGTTGTCTTGGCAACCGGGGTGTAAACAAATCCTGATGACTGGCCCTCAAAAATTCACGAGAGGTTGGTTAACCAGCCACATGAACAACCACGCCATTTTCATTTCACCACGCCGATAACACCACGACTACTGGACCACTGTCTCTCTCGCTCATGGAAAGTTAAGCTACATTCCTCTCTACTTCACAATTCTCCGCAAGTGACAATTCGAAACTTTCTGACCATCATCGCTCTCTTCGCAGGTTGTTGTGTACGACGAGTCCACCTCTTCATTCTTCACGGTAACCCATCTCGGGCTACCGCGGTCGTCCGAAGACGACATCGACATTCCTTCTTGTGACACTCACTCGAAGTACATTCCATACCTCCCATTCATTCTTCGACAAGCTTCTCTATCTCCTTCGATAGCCTAAGTTCGCCCATCCGAGCACAGCGGACTGCTGCATCTCTCCTAAACCCTCCCTCCCGGCCCTTCGGGAGCCGTTGGAGACATTCCAGACAAGAGAAGCACGCCTCCTGCTGATCCCGCCGGACGGCACCATAATTCAAAATGGCTGGAGCACGGTTTTCCGTGAGTCTGCAAAGTAAGCTCCACCCAATCCGCCCATCACCATGCACCAGGTAACTAACCCCCTCAGGACTCATCCCCTGGCTCGGCTACCACCACATCCTCATGCTCCTCATCGCTATCGCCATCATCCTCCTCTCCTTCCTCCTCGCCGGCTGCTCCTCCACCTCCCCCCTCATCCCCGGCATCTTCCTCCTCTCCCTCTACTACGAGAAATACACCCCCACCTACGATCCCGCCCAGGTCGAGCCCGGCGTCACCGCTGCCATCGCCAACATCGTCGGCCAGGCCCAGCTGGAGGTGCGGGTCGGGTACTTCGGTATCTGCGTGACGCCTGATGGTGGTGGCTTCCTGTGCGCGAACAACGCGACTGCGTTGGCACAGCAGATTACGATGGATCAGGATCCGTTGAATTTGGTGTGGGTGGCGAGCACGTTTAAAGACGCGGTGGTGTTCCCGTACCTGATGTGAGTCTCCCAACCATCCCCTCCTACTCCTATTTCTATCGAATGACATGTACTGACGGGAGCGTTTTCACAGCATCGTCGCCATCATCCTCGCCTTCATCGTCTTCGTCCTCCTCGCTACCTTCCCCGGCTGGCACTCCGAGCGCGACCAAGTCACCGGCTCCGACATCGACGTCAAGCCGTTCCCCTCCCGACCTGTTTCCCAAGTGGCCCTGGCGCTCATCTTCATCACGTCTATCTTCATCCTCGTGTCCGTGCTGTGGCAACACACCGCGTCGGTGGCGGCGGCGGTGATCGCGCAGGATTTCGGGAACGGGAACGTCAAGAGCGGGGTGGGAACATCGTCGATGGTGTTGGGGTGGTTTAGCTTTGCGTTGTTAGTCATCGTGACGATTGGGTTATTGGTGATGATTATTAGTATCGTGGTGTTGGATAAATTGACGGATGGGGCGTGAGGTGGATTTGACTGAGGTGGATAATTGATGAAGCGATCAGTTGTCAAGAATCCGTGGGGATGCAGTTATATATACACAGACCGAGGAATGAGAAAGACGAGACGCGACGCGGAATGGACGACAGGGAGCATGCATGGATTGGGAACATACCGTGCCTTGGTGCACATTGGCGAAATTGGGATGGAAAAGAAGGAATGGAATGCGGAATGCGTCGCCGCGATTGATCGGTGGACAGCAATTCCATTCTTACTCCGGGAATCAACCGGACTGCATGCGAAGGCGTTTCAGCGAAGGATGCTGGGCTTTTTGTCAATGTCGATGAGACGACGGCTGGAAGCCGGGAAGATGTATATAGCGACGCACACATAGAATTTGAGCGTTATCAACACCTTGCTATTCCCTACATATGATTGAGGCGAGATGGTTCGATATAGCGGAGTAAACAGGTCGTTCATCTTAAAAGATGAGTTGACTCCTGGCTGACCGTAACAAGTATCGTACACTATTCCATGTTCTATGTTATGTCCAATCTGGAGACTACAGTAAGTAAATATAGGGTATCTAAATCCCAATAATGTTCAGCCAAAGTAGCCTAGCACCGCTACTACCAACACCGCCGCTACTGCCACCCAATGGTCACGAACTCTAGATGTCGAAGCACTATTAGTATCTCCACCCGGGGTCTGGCTCGGGCTTGTAGCGTCCCCTGACGCTGAACTTGAGTTTCCAGGTATCGAAGTCAGGCTTCCAGGCCCAGAAGGCAAGGAACCTGGCAACGCCAACCCACTCGCATGAGGGACGAGATTGGCCTGAATGACCTGCAAAGCTGAAAGCTGGTGGCCAAGGTCGGAGCTTCCTCCAACGTTGCTGCCGGTGCCTGGAGTCCAAGAATAGGAGCAGAACCCATCCGCGTCGGGGCATGCGTTCGATGCAGCCCCCTGGGCCGAGCTCCTCAGGAGCGGCAGGATGGTTGATGCTGAGAATGGGGCATATTGCGCCGTCTGCGCCAGGTTCGAGGCGAAGATCCCTTTGTAGAAGCGATGGTCGATATTACAGGTTCCAAATGGTTCGCATGCCGCTTCGATCATGATACCGTCGTCGAAGAAGATTGAAGAACGCTCCATTAGCTTTTCGACTCGGGTCCGCCATTGCGGAGAGCCATTCGTGATGTTGTACATGATAGCACTCCCGTGAAGGAGAAGTCCAGAATTGACAGTCCACTCGATGTGATTTATCTCACTACAGTCAGATTGTAGTTTAGTACCATCGTAAACGGCACCATTTGGGCCAACAAGGCCGATCGTTTCTAGCCAGTCAAACGTCTTGCTAGCCCAATCAGAGTAGGTATCATTTCCGGTCACGCGTGCCAGCCTGGCCGCGAGTTGAAAGAAGCCGGCATTCGAACCAGCATTTTTGTAGTTGTAGCCGTTATTAAACGGGAATATTCCCCGCCGTAGACCTCCATTGCAGCTTTCCGTATCCCAACGCAGTACCTGCGTATCGAAGACGTTCGAGGCGAGGCGCACGTAGGGGATGGAGTTTGAAGGGCTTACGAAGTCTCGTTCAGCGGCAGTAAGTGCTGCTCGACCCCAGTAGAATTGGTCCTCGTTCATCTGCTAGGGTTAGAAGTACGTCCACCGTCTTTGGCGTGTTCTGCATATGCATTAGACATACCAGGGTGGCGGTCTGATTCAGAGGCATATAGGCATCCTCAGGTCCTATTTGCGCCTGGAGCGCCTGCGCAACAAGGTCATTATAGGAGGAGTCGCCCGTCAGATGCCAATAATCTACCAACGCATCCCATACAGCTCCGGCCGACCAGAAGTAGTATGGCGAGTTCCAAACCCCAATCGCATTCTCACTCTGGGTGCCGGGATAATCGGCAAGGACGCCTTTGGCTACCGACTTTGCGGCATCTTTGGTAGAATCTAAGCCAAATCAGCGGGATGCAAAATAGAGAGCCGGACGACGCGTACCAATGCTGTCCAGATCTAATGACAAGGCGTCCGTGGTCAAGGTAAGTGTTGCGAACGCAATCGCGCGGAAGAGACGCATGGTGACTCAGTACCAAGAAGTGAAGAGAGCGTAAACATTATTGAAAGGGTGAATTTCGTCCTCGAGGTTTGAAAAAAGTGCCAAAGGCTATGCCAGGTTCAAATCCTTGCTGTCCGAACATGGTTAACTAGTTAGTTAACTAACTAACTTAGTTAACTTAAGTTACACAGTAATTAACTTAGTTGGTTGTTCGATATTACTGGGGTAGGCAGGAGATCCACAGAAAATAATCGATGAGATATATGAGGTACCGTCATCGCACTGAAACATCCCATGCGCTGCCTAAGTCTCAAAGGCGTGTAATCCAAAACGCCACCAAAAGAGAGATACGACTCATACTATAGTCTATAGTAAGGGTGCAGACAGTATGTCTACTAATACTCCTGCCGAGGATCTGATATGCCTCAAGTCCTTTGATACCGTAATCGCCTCAAGAGCCATTTTCGAAAGAAATGAAATCCAGGGCTAGTGAAGCAATATTTATTAGTTCGCACAGTAACTAGTGTGGTAATCAGAAAAAGTATCTTGTATAGGTACACAACGATATCTGGTATTGAACTAAGATTTGTCTATTTCCCACTCTATTGTCATAAGTCTAACGTTCTAGGTTTCGTTTTACCGACGTGTTTGAACCGAGCCACGGTTATGTTGTATTTAGGCAGCAGTTCTCGCACCCAAGTTCAGCCGTTCCCATCGCATCAATAGCGCGGTCACCATTAAAAGCGCTCCAGCAGCGACGACGGCGCCAAATATCCGAGAAATAGTTTCAGCCACTGTATTAATAGCGAGATGAGCAAGTTCATCGTTCCCGGATCTGAAGACCGCAGACTGGGTGCCCGCCAGCGCGGAGCGAATAGCATCCTCGGGTAAATCGTAACTGCCCAATGCATCCCTCAAGGCAAGAAAGCCTAGGTTCTGAAACAAACAACCTACAATCGATAATCCTATCGAGGCTGCTCCGGGTTGAGCGACATTCATGTATCTGATCGCATTGTACTTGTCGTTGTCATCCACCTTGACTGCTGCGACCGCGTACGCATTTTGGAAGGCCAGCCCCGTACCAGCGGCGAGGAGAACTTCGGCACCGTATATCCGTGCAACGCTTGTTGAAGGATCCGCAGTGAATAGTAATATACCGCCAGTCAGAATGAACGCCCCGCCAGCGAAGTACAATGCCGCGTACCGGCCAAATTTTTGAAGGAGTGCCCCAGAGACCATCATAAAGAAGATATTGATGAAAATGAAGGGCAGCAGTCGCACAGCGGACGTGAGTGCGGAGTCGCCACGCGTGAACTGGAAGTAAAGAGGGATATAGTAGATCGTGATGGGACTAGCAGCGCACGCCGATGTAGCTATGAATAGAAGGACGAGGGTTCTCGATTTGAGGAAATGGACGGGAAAGATCCGATTCTCCTTCGTGGTGAAGATGGTCCAGCCTTGTTGGATGATGAAGAGTACGAGGACCACGCCCCACACAGTCCAGACCGCAATCGAGAACCCGGAATTCCATGGATATGTCGAGCCGGAAAATGTGAGAACGACTTGGAATAGGACAAAGACGCCTGCATTGAGGATAGCACCGACCCAGTCGACCTGTTTTAGCTTCGCCATGACCGACTCCATGGGCCGAGGGTTTTTGGACGGGAATGCGAAGAAGTATACTGGGCTCAAAACCCCAGCGAGGGGCAAGTTAATGTAAAATGCCTACCACGGTTAGTGAGGATAGAGCTTTCGAACAACAAACTAACCCATCGCCATGTTGCACTACTGTCCGAAAACGCTCCGCCAATGACGGGGCCGAGGATGGCGCCTACTCCCCAAGACAAGCCAATCGAAGCATTATAAAGAGGAGCTTCGGATGGGGTGGCGAAGGCAGAGATATAATTGAGGGCACTGGTGGCTGTGTCAGTGTCTGATCTATGTCCGATCATCATGGCTTCATTACCCGATATACATCCCCGCGCCCCCTATACCGGCGATGACGCGTCCAATAATCAGGGCGGTAGTGGTTGGAGCCGCCCCGCAAATTGCGCTCCCAACTTCGAACAGGAAGATGAAGCTCAGGATCAACACTTTGATATCGAACAGAGCAAAGAGTGTCCCGACTAGAAGGATGACTGCGACTGAACCCATTGGGAAACCAATTCCGATCCAGGGCAATTTTTCAATTTCGCCCAGTGTTTCGTACACCGGTCCTTGGACAGCGGCCGCGATCGTAGTATCCAAGCCTATGTGTGTCAGCGAGCAAAACCACACCCTTGAGGACCACGTACCGAAAAGGAGGCCTCCGAGATAGATTCCTATCATGGTTAGGATCCATCGCCATTGGGAAATATTTTCCCGCGGGTGCGGTGCTAAATCCGATTTCTCTCGAGGTTGAGCGCCTTCGAGATCGCTCGGTGGGGTTACCACCCCCTCTTTAGAGGGAGAGCTTGTTAGAGTCACGGACATGAGAAACAGCAAGATAGACGAAGGATGGTTGAGTGATTGGCTTAGATAGTCAAAACAGTGGCTCAGAGTAAATAGAAGTAGTTGAGACGACGGATCCGCTTGCAAGACTGAAAGCACTGGTAAGAGACATATTATGCATTGCAATTATATTCCGTATTCTACCCACCGCAACGCGTTCTAGGACGAGTCGGCATCGTGGTTGTCCCGTAAGAGACGTTATCAAGATGAGCAATTGACCTGAACCGAAAACGTACGCATGGTTTACTGATCTATCCGTGCTGCGCTTAAGATCAACGGCGCAACTATTATTATTCTACGCTGGCATTGACGGTGGAGAAAGTTGATTCTGTGAGCGGAGTAGGTCGGACTCGGTCCCGAACACGACTGAATTTAGACGGCTCACGTGTGGAGGCTGAAATACGACGTAGTACGTCGTCGGACTCGGGCAAACTTCCCCCCGTCCTTATCTCCGGATTGGGGAATTTGTATCTCCTTTTTCGAGCATTTCTAACTCCGAAGAGAAATGAAGCTGCCTACGAACGTATGGAATACATCATTATTAATTATCCTCGAATCCAAGTCAAAATTACGGGTTCTCCCGTGAGAAGATTTTGCAGTCAAAGCATTGTGGTTGGTGCCATCATTCAGTCAGGGTCTCTTTAATTAAATGTATCATTGAATGGCAACATGATCGTGCATTCTCGGTGGACGCTCTCTTCAAAGTCAACTACACACATCGTTTTGTCTCGCCCTATCCATTCAAACGCGTCGTCTTCTCGCTCAGCATAGCGCTCCTGGAAAGCTCTTTCCCAGATCGCCTAAGATCTTACCATTTACATCCAGCGTCGTATGTATCGCCTTTTGCCGGGTGCAACCCGGATTGATTATTGTATTCGATCCGGAGTAACGTATCCTCTGGAGTCAGGGTCAGAGCTTGTTCTGTACGCGTGACAATCAACTTACTGCTGGGCGCACATATCGGCCAATCCAGTTCGAGAAGTCCCGCTGTAGGGTCTTTGGAAAATGCTGCCCAGGCCTGCCTTATGACTTTGGAGGTAGCCTCTTGTTCAGGTATATTGGGTGAAGCTCCTGTCTTACGCTCCGTTTGTCACAGTCCCACGATGGCGATGGTTCCAGATAGGAGGCCATGTTGTGGTGGTTTCTGTGGAATGTTTGCATTCCACCCACCACGGATATTTCTATCTCATTCTTCTTACCTCTCCCTCTTTCCTTTCTTTCTTTTTAGCTTGATTCTAACGAATCAACCTGTTCAAATTGGTCACTGAGTGATCCAAGGTGTCTTCGTTATACAACCTGTTTATCCACTCCATGTCTACCAGTGATTATTATCCTATAGGAGATTGCATAAGGATGCAATGTGTGAGATACTTTAACTTCATTATAATTGGTCTAGTTTTCTGGGTTCGTATTAATCTATCTATTTATTTCTATTTAGATCAGTCTCTCTCCCAATTCAATTTCAAATGTGCGTTGATTGTGTTCCATTAGGCCGATCCAGCCCTTAAGGCCTTTGCAGCGACACCATGCCAATCAGAGCTCCATCTTCAACGGGAATTGAAAGTTCGATTCCGTGGAATGGAAAATCCTTCTCGCCTCATGAGTCTGAGCTCTACTGAGACTCAGGAGCATAAGGAGTCTCAAAAGGTACCTCGGCCTGGGGGTAATGCGAGCCAAATGTCGTCGCTCCCCTGTTGTCCAATCGATGATAGCAGAGTGCGAAGCTACGCGGTTCTATTCTTCACCTTAGCCACACTGTTACCACTTAGATCTTGATAGAGCTGAACCAACATCCCAAATAACCACAGTCCCGGGAGCCCACCTAACGCGAGCCTGATAGTCAATACCACGGCTAATATGGTTGTATAAGAAGTTCAAGAGCGCCTCGCTCTCTTCGTTCTTAAACCCGACGATACTTCGGGTAACTTTATGGTAATTAGCAAAGGCTTAAGCGGTGGTATATGATGACTTACAAACGCTGTTTACATATAAGGCTTTCTGGCCAGTTGCCGGGTGAGTGCGCACGATAGGATGCTCCGAAGTAATAGGTTCTCGTCTTACTACTCCACCCAGTTTCCTACTAAACTCGGATTGTTCGACTCCAGAATGGACCGCCTTAAGTCCATGCAAGCGATCCTTTAGGAGGGGCGACAATCGATTGTACGCCTCGACCTGGTTGACAAATGCAGTGTCACCACCAACTTGTGGAACATCCAAGGCGTATAAAAATGTGGTGCCTAGTGGCTGCTTCTCGTATGAGACGTCGGAGTGCCATGAGACACTACTAGTCCGTTTGGCCAATAATGAGTCAAATCGCCCGAATTCCCATTTCGATGCACCATATGGAGCTCAGGATAACCCTCGGGGCTTCCGCTAGTTGGATGGATGTGATGACGGCCGAAATAGCCTCCAAAGTCGAGGGCGTCCTGGATTGGGAGGTCGGTAAGGTCCTAGTCGCGGAAGGCGACAACCTTTCGCTGGGCAACGAGCAAGGCGAGCTGGTCTTTACCAGCGTCGCTGAGCTTGCTGAGCTGGACCCCAGTGACCTCTGATCCCGTGGTGGGAGTGAGATGCTGGAGCTTGGAGCCTTCAGTTAGAAGGTCCTTAAAGCCTGGATCCGCCCCTTTGCCGTGCTCGATATGCTCGAATGGCTGGAGGGGTTCGTATTTCTGGCTATGGTCCCAGATTGGCAGATAATGCGGGGACTATGCTATCGTTAGTCCACGTCTACAGCAACTGGAGTGTGACAATATACACTCGCTGTGACCCTATCACCCTCTTCGTCAATTGCCCTTCGAACTCTGGGCTTCTCCTTAATGGGTTGAGGATTGGCCTGTACGGAGATGGGAATATTTTCCGCTTGGTAGATGTGACCGTGGCCATTTTCTGGTCAATAGAAGGCGATGATCTAGGTGGTCTCAGTCTCTGGCAATGGATTAAAAGAATAGCCGAGCCTAGATCCTCTATCAATCAATAGCCAAGTCACGAGCTACCTGGAATAAATACTCCATAGCCTTCGAAACAATCAACATGATAATGCGTCGACATCGGATATAACGGCACCAATAGGGTTTCAAAGTATGGTCATTTGACAACCCGTTATGGATTGACTCGCAGGTTGCTCTAATGGTTCACCATCTAACTTTGGTGTCATCCTTTAACACGATGGCGTATGAGTTGCACAAGATTCCCTCATTTGAACAGACCAATTGGCAAGTCTTCCAAGACAGAGCAGGGTCGTAATCTCATACACTACAGATCCAGTTATCCGAAGACACTGTTCGGTGTACTTGCTGATGCATAGATGCATAGATGCATATTTTAAACTGGTGGATGCTTTAATTGCGCGATCGACACCTCGAGAATTGCAGGAATCCCAACCCTTTCTACTCACAGTTAAGACAGAGCGATCCCAAGTGTACGACATTTATCAGCTCATCATCATACTAAAATAATCGTCTCAACGATTTGTCCCCTGGTCCTTGGCAAGCGGTCCAGTGCTGTAATGCTGATTCTATTAAGGATCGATGGACTGTGAACGCAGATTGCGTTATGTCGACCATGAAATGATACAATCAAGGCGTCGTGGGGGATGATTACCCATCTTTCCCCTATATGCTCCGCGTTCAGGGTATACGGCAAGGTCTCTATAACGTGAAATCAAGGAGAGAATTCGAAAGTAATGAGGTGAAGTAGACTTCTTAATAATATCAGGATGTCGGATCATAACTCTGCGGTGTCAGAGAAGGCTGAAGTGGTGATGGGGCTGGACACAGCAGGGACTGGAGTTTGTCTACCGTACCGTACAGGTACATGCCTTAAGGAGCAATTTCATGCCTTAGGCCGTTATCAGTGGTTCAACAGCACGGTTGGGAGATGAACCGGTATCCAGTGCAGGGATTCAAACCCCCTTCCGAGTGGCTCACCATCGCGAGTTGCATGCGTAATTCCAGCTGGGGTTGGACTGGGCAGGCCGCATCACACTGCATTCAGGCTGGTAATACTGCCTGTAGAGTGAGGTCCTCTGCGGTGGATGAAAGCCCAGATAATACCCCTGTCTAAATTACCTTGGCACTGTGACAACCAAACGCAGGGGCCCAGACTTCATCTTCTGAGTACATTTCTACTAGTTATGCGTATATCCCCCGTGCATAGTAGAAGAGGTAGAACTTAGAAGAGAACGACCTTGGCTATAATCGTAGATCATGACTTCAGTAAGCTAATTGATCACATCATACTCACTCCGGATGTCATATTGTTCCTAGTTACTGTGCGTAGGAAGAAAGAGCATATCACTCCGGCGTTCGATACTAGCGCATCATTTCTTAAGTATTATGCATCAATGAGACGATAGAAGAGATGGAATTTGATCTGCATCTCGGGGAAATGGGTGCTGAAAACCTATCAATCACCTCATATTTGCAATAAATGTTATGTCATTTCAAGTTCTCGTCGGAAGGAAGATGGGGGTACACGTTGCTTACTATCGTTGCTACATCAGTGTTTATAGAGCCTCATTAACGCTGTGAAAATTTCGAGAAGCGCATTTTATCCTTCTTTTCTTACCCTGATCCATCTACTTAGAAAAATTGGAACAGACCCCTATTCCTACCTGCTCTACAACAGCATGACAGACCAACCCCACAAGGACAAATCGGAAGAGAGGTCGGAAGAGAGGTCGGACGATAGTTCTAGACCATCGTTCGAACAGATTGCCGTAGGACCTACGGTGACGAAAGTTGTCTTGGACGATGCAAAGCTGGTGACAGCAAAAGGCAACATTATCACCAAGGACGGAGCTATCGTGCGCACTGGAGATGATGATTTGGACAATTCGGCCAATCCCTTTGCGGATCCCCAGGTTCGAGACTACTTCATTGGTGTCTATGAGGAAGCAAAATACGAGTGTCGACATATCTTCGACGCGGCTGCTACATGGACAGAAGAAGAGGAGCGGAAGATTGTTAGGAGACTCGACTGGCATGGTATGTACACTACCTACGTATCTAGGGATTCGACTGACTATTATTTATAATAGTTTGCTTATGGGCATGTATCATGTTCTTCAGTCTACAGATTGATCGTGGAAATCTTAGTCAAGCCGTTTCGGGAACTTTCTTAACGGATCTTCACCTTAATACAAACGGTGGGTAGGCCAACCCTTGCCTTTCAAATGATATCTGACTTAGAGCATTAGATTACAATCTTGGAAATATCGTGTTTAAGGTGTCGTTCCTCTTGGCCGAGTTACCCTCTCAATTAATCTCAAAAAAGTTTGGCCCAGACCGCTGGATTCCTACCCAAATGGTTTTATGGTCCATCGTCGCTATGGCACAAGCGGGGCTTCAAGGCAAACCCGAATTTCTTGCAACTCGTTCTCTGCTTGGAATGCTTGAGGTACATTAGCTGGTTTCTATAACGCTTCCCTACTGATTGGATCAAATTTAGGGCGGCTTTATTCCGGATCTGGTACTTTGGCTCTCCTACTTCTACACCAGCCGGGAGCTCCCTATCAGGTTGAGTTTCTTCTGGACAGCCTTGAGCATCACGGGTATCATTGCTTCGCTGCTTGCCTATGGAATCTTCCATCTCGAAGGCCACCATGGTCTTGCAGGCTGGAGGTAGAGTTCCATTTGCTTCATTCTTGGATGATGATTGACACGATTTTAGGTGGATCTTCTTAATTGAAGGAGCGATGACACTTGCTATTGGCATTGTGTCTTTCTTCTTAATGCCGGCATCTGCGGCCCAGACTAAGACGTGGTTTCGACCTAAGGGATGGTTTACTGATCGCGAACTTACCATAGTAGTGAACAGAGTGCTACGAGACGATCCCCGCAAAGGTGACTTAAACCTATATTTCGAGGGGAGCCGAGACTGATCTATTGTAATAGGAGATATGCATAATCGACAGGCAATTACCCCAAGTCGACTATGGTCTGCACTGAAAGATTATGATCTCTGGCCGGTAAGTATCTCCTTCACCGGGACACCAGCGGATGCTAACTGTGGATCAAGCTTTATATGATCGGCCTTATCTGCTATGTTCCAGCAGCGCCACCTGCTGCCTATCTTACGCAAATTCTTCGGAATCTTGGGTTCAGCACGGTACATATTCTCCCTCACTGACGTTCTACCAGCTAATATATTTAGTTCAACACCAACCTTCTTACCATCCCATCTTCAGTGACTCATATGATCACTCTTCTGAGCGTTACCTGGTTAAGCGAAAGAATTAATCAACGCGCTTATCTCGCCATGCTACAGGATGTATGGACCCTTCCTTGCATCATTGCTCTCAGATTTTGGCCTGGTCTTATGAAACAACAATGGGCAACATATGGTCTACTTGTGACGTTGCTAAGCTATCCATATTGCCATGCTATTAACGTGTAAGAGCCATTTAATATCCCCCACTGTTAAATAGGTGCAAACTCGCGACTGGAGCTGATGACTTTCGGCATTTGTAGGGCCTGGGTGTCGAGGAACTCGAACAACGTTGCCTCTCGTAGCGTATCTGCCGCACTATTCAATAGTAAGCTACGTCCCTTTCGGCTTCAAGTACCACCTGACCTAACGACTCCGTACCAGTGAATGTCCAACTTGGCGGCATCATCTCGTCGAACATCTATCGTGACGATGACAAGCCGTTGTATAGGCGAGGCAACCAAGTCTTGATTGGAATCAACGTACTGAGCATATGTCTGTTTCTCTTCGCAAAAGTATACTACGTCACGAAGAATAAAATTCGTGATCGCAAATGGAATGCGATGACTCCTGAGGTGCGTATTCCGGGTCTGGCTTCCTGGATGCTGTCTATTCAAGTCAAGACTTCGTGCCGAGTGCTGACTATCACCTTAGGAGCGCATTGACTACACATACAATACTACGGATACTGCAAGTCGACGACTCGACTTCCGATTTGCACATTGAGACTCAACGTCTGATATATCGAACTCACTTGTCCGCATGAAAGCGCCAGCCCGTGCAGCAAAGTGGAACTACAGACTGTCTGACAAGAACTCGATTAACCTTACCCGTAGGAATCAACGTCATTCATTGGTTCCAAACGATATCGCTTTGATCACCATCTCCTGTTGATGTCGAAACATTTCTTGAAAAAATCCCTTCATATCATAGCGATGCTTCCTCTCCTGGATAGACATTACAATACATCTGTGGTTCCAAAGCAGGGGCTTATCTACAGGATAGTTCCTATTATTGAACATACCAACAAATAGGATGTAATCTTCAAACGAATCGACTTCCAAGTGTACGGCTGAGTGAAAATCGCTGATTGCAATAGCATTCCAATTTGACTTTTGGACTAATTATTGAGATACAAAGCTGGTAGACAGTACACCCTAATCTACGTCGAATCTTGTCTTCACCTTTTCCCTCTTCTTCATTACCATTACGTACATGGACGGAAGAATTCGAAGCAATAGTAGCTGTCCTGTGTATGCTAATATTATTTGATGGAATAAGATGGTTCGAAATAGGTTGTACCGGCTATAGAGTAAAGCGCGATCAGAGAACAGGAATGGCTGTTAAGAAGCTCCACTTGTATAGAGTCTTCAAGAACGCGGATATGGTATCGTTTAATTCGCCAATTATCGGCCTGAGCTGATGCATTCGCCCGAGTCATCTCGGCCTGATCAACAATTTCATCTACTAATAACGTGGCAAGATGATGTACCACGGCAAGACGGATTCATTCTTCGGTTGTTTCCGAAGACCATAATATTAGATCATAATATTACATGCCCTGGTGTCGACGGGTCTCGGCAGGAAAGGACGGCGGACGAAGGCAAACACACGAGTGGTAGAACGCCAGCCATTGGGAGCTGTCCCTCTGTTCCACTCCTGCTGGATTATCTATAAGCTGGCTCGTTCTCATGTATGTAGTATCAACTGCACGGCTTTGGAAGTATCAAGTAAACCTCGCTACAATTGAATATGCCTTCCAGTTATTGTAGCGTCTCCCCGTGGAGGGGGAAGCTGACGCTACACCGGAATGGGACTAGCGTCATTCACCATCGCTCTTCCACTGAACTGACTGATGCTGCAAAACTCGGCTTTTTACAACACTTTCCCTGCTCCAGGTATGACATGCAGAGAAAAACTGTCCTGAATTTTACATAAACCACGAGGGGGCCCATTCAGGGCCATCGAATGCGACTTGATCGCGGTAAAGATCCAACATCTGCTCGTTTCCACCAAGTTCGTCCCTGAAATTGGAAATAAGAGCACAGCGCCACTCCAATAACAGAGAGTCGGCAATGCTTGATAAAGGTCCATGCTCTTCTACCCTGGGAAGCAGGAACATCTATATCCAGGATTTAGTCTGCCAAGAAATCGGAGACGCAGTTTTCAGTATGACCCTATATATCGTTTCTGATAATTTCTCCATTTAGCAGATGTTGAGTCGAGGCCCAGACTGACACATGAAAATGGGTTGTCTTTGGTACCGATGCGGCAGCCATACCCACAAACATTGGTAGTAATTGGAAAAGAATCTTTTCGGGACTGGATGCCACGACTGCTCAAGTCTCTCAGGATACGGATCGTCACAGGTTTTTGGCTTGGGTTCCCATAGCCATCATAACCATAGTCGTGAAGCACGGAGTATTTGTGTGGCTTCCGGAGAATGGTATTACACCGCCCTTCACCAAGGGTATTGATCCTTGGGTGTTTGAGATACTCTCTGCTAAGCAGAATTTGGTGCCCCTTTCTTTAAAATCAACTGCTCGGACCTTAGCATCCTGAGGGAGCGTCCCAATATAAGTAGGCTTTGGAGACCGGGGTTATGACGGATGAGCCTCATTTTCATCCCACACTCGTAATCTTCTCGAAATATCCAAGCTCTTTCCCAGAATTGATCACTAACGATGAAAAATAAGAGGTCTAGCAACCTGAACTTTGAGGTTTGCTGTCGGGCAAAGTCACCGTTCATGAAACGCGCAAGGAGATTCATCTCTTGTTAGGTTTGGATATTAGCCGCAAGGAACCTACCAGCGTACCGACAGTTCTTATATACGAAATCCATTGAATTGACGGCAGATTTTAACTTGGTTTCATCGTTTTGGTTGATGGAAAGATGGTCGACCTAAAAAGGTATCATCTCTCCGGTGTTTTCGATGAAATCTATGATCCCGTTAGTAACAATATTGCGAACCTTAGTGCGTTCCCCTCTCTCGAGTGAGTATACCTCTTTGGAGATATTTTCGCCTGGAGATGGACGCCAAGGATAAGAGACGGCAACATAATTTGCTTTCGCATTCGGAAGCATCTAAAGTGGTTTTCCGTAACGCCCTCCTCCGATATACATGAAAGCATTCAATCTTCTGGAAAAGTCATGAAACTTCCAATTTGATCCGTTTTGGTCTTTAAACGTCTCAATGATCCAATGATTCAGGGACCTCCACGTTCGTTTCGGATTGCTTGAAGCAAAGGCTATTTTTGATCCTGCGCCATCTTAGTGTAACCTCTTTTGGTTGAGCTTATGCCAAATTAGAACTGAAGTAATTAGTTATAACTAGTTAGGATCCCTGATCTGTCAAATGTAACCAACTAAGCTAAATCCCCAAAAAGGGACGCCCCTACTAGGAGGCTAGTAGAAGGGCAGATATAGCTAAGGTAATTTTCCTGTGACATGATCTATCCATAGTAAGACGTTCCGCGCAAACACTAGGAAGGAAGACCAATAAGTTGAGCACTCGGCACATTGGTGACCCGCCGACCCCCATAAACGAGAGTATTGCACCCAGAGCTCTAAGTTAAGCGTGTTCGAGTTAGTAGTTAGTTAACAAAATTGGGCATCATTAGTATGTACTTTAATCTCCGAATCATTTGGCAGTACTACGATATCGGCGAGACACGTGACCGGTTCCAGCCACCTGTTTGTCACAGAATATCTGTGTTTCTTGGCGTTTCCCCACGGCTTCATTCCGTATTCGATTCGATAACCCTATTCTTTCCCTTTTTAGGGAATAGATCACCATTTTAAACCATATAAAATAGCTGCAGGAACAGCCTGTTTTCGTAGGATCTGGCTCTTCAGGATCAAGTTCAATTTATCTACGCTCTTTTGGAATCTAACGGGGTTTTCCCACCGTGTCGCTGCATTAATCACCTGATTGAGCGAAACCGCTATTTATCTCACAAAAGGGACATCCTGTTGCGAAAGTACTTGTGCTCAGAGTCCTTGCTTTTGACTGATACGTTTTGAATCGATCGCAGTGGTAGTAATATCGTGTTTTGATAGTTATTGGTTTTGTGAGGGTAGCTCTGTTTGACTACGAAGTCGTAGCCATGCTGCATGCCATGGCTCTTAAGAGCGTTATAGGCTTCTTCATAGGAGGTGTAAAGACAATCCGGAGGGGGTATAATATCCTCCATACTTGGTGCTTGTCATAGACCGACAGGTACTCAATTATAGTAAGTAGTTATTCTGGTATTGATAATCTGAATGAGACCTCGAAAGGTTACCAAGGAGTAGAAGGTCTTATAATGCGTTGCGAACGCGTTGCGAACGCGTCGCGAGACTGCTTTGGGAAATTATGCGCTAGATTAAATTGGGCGATTAATTTCTATTGTTACTGGCGTTAGGGACAAATCTCATATCATATTGGGGGAAAATCTCAAAATGTTTGGGACAAATCTCACCAGCCTTTTTGAATCGATTCTGAAACTATTCTGATTCTATTCCCTACGTCCCAGACCTAGGTAGAGTTCTTGCTCTTTCTGATCATTCTCAAGTTTCTTTGCGCGGAGCGTCTCTTTCTTCAATTCTAGCTCAATCCGCCTCTCTTCTAGCTGTAACTCTCTTTCCTGTTGCTGAAGCTGCGATTCTCGAACCTCATGTGTCTGACGAATAGATTGCTGCGTGGCAACTTGACGAAGAGAGGGAGGTCTGTAATATATTAGTAAAATATTCCGAATATATTCCGAGTGAATCTATACCTGAGTGAACTTCTACGATTCCGTTCCGTTGAAGTAGATGTTGATCGAGATAGTCGTCTACGGATAGGAGCTGATTCCTGGGATGATACTGTTGAGTCAAGGTCGTCGTCCCAACGTCGTCGTCGCCGAGATCCTAAAATATTGATCAACTAACTATAACAAAATGAATAACTAGTTAGTTAGTCATAAAGTAATCAAACTTACGATCACGACGTATAACCTCCTGATATCTCTGAGATAGAGACATATTACGATACGTATGGGGCATACCGTATTCTTGTCGATTATCTCGTCTTTTTAAATCATACTGATCGAGAAGGAGAGCGCTTTTGGAGTTAGTAATATATTCCTAAAATATTCAGAATCTCTTACTAATATATTGCTCTCATCAGAGGTAGCTTACGCCTAAATGAATTACTCTTAAAATGAGTCTGCTGGACAGCGTTCGTATGATTTCGGGTTCGATCCCACAATTGAGGCGGAATCAAGGAGCAGTACTTATTAATTCCAGACGCAATCACAGCTCTCTTCTTGTGCTTTGCCCACTCTCGGACTTTTGCGGAGGACTCTGGGTGACCTAAATGTTTTAGAATATATTCAATATACATTATGAATACAATTACTTACTCATAAGCTCTTCACAAAGATCATAGTAGTCTTCTTCAGATCGACAGCGGGCTAACTCTCCCATTCTTGAATGTATTGATGTTGTTGAACGATTTGATGTCCCGGCGGCGCGATCAATAGACCGTTGAAAGTGGATTTGACAGAAGATTACCGTATTCTGAACCTGCCACTCCCAGGAACGGGATTCGGAATCAAGAGTCGCAAGATATTGCCCAAACCCTAATATATTAGTAATACTTTTTGAATAGCTTCCGAATATATTTCGAACCTTCAAGTTGACCAAGTTCCATATCGACGACAACAGTACCGAATCCTCTCCCATGGAGATATTGCCAACAGACTTCTCGTTCTAGCCGAGAAGAGATTAAAGTAAAGAGGGCTTGAAATGCCTTTTGATAGCAGAGGCTACTTTTACCGTTGACGAAAATCCGCGCGAAGGTAAACGCTATAAACGTTAGAATATATTACGAATATGTTCCGAATATTTTATACTCTTCTCAAGTTCGGGGACAAACGCCGCGAGTACAATCTCGTTGATCGAACTCTCGCGAACCCGCTGAAATCCCATATCAATTTCAAATGATTCTCTATTAAGAAGAGCCTCCGCCTGCTCTTTGAAGAAACAGGCAATAAGGAGATTCTCTCCATCGAAAAAACATTCTTGAATATACTGATTTATATTAGCAATAATAAATTCATAATAGTTTCACAGCGTGCTACCTGGTCAGGTTTTCCTCCTTGCTTTGAGTACTCGTGCTCGACCGCAGCAACGGACTCTCCTAATGGATATGATAGGAGTCTTTGCTTCTGAAGCAATGCGCTTACTTTATCAAGGTTTGTAAAGCTCCTATGAACATCAGGCAGAGAAGTCCCTTGATATTGGGTACAGAAGGCTCGCATTTGCGGATGCTTCAGAAGGCCGGCTGTGAAAGTAAAATATTAGTAATGTATTCGAAATAGTTTTGTAAGATCTTACCAAGTGTGAGTGAAGGGTTATTGATTCTCTGAATGACCTGAAGGATTTGCTCAAGGTACTGCTGCGGTGTTCTCGTTGGTGGTGGTGGAGGATGACTATGCGTTCCACTTGATACCCATACTAGATATGGAGTTCTATCCATATCGAGTGGTTGGAAGACGGTAAAAAGGACCTGGCAAGGCAAAGACACAAGTTTCCCTTGACCCTGGGTATGATCCACGCCTAAAATATTTAGAAGATATTCGGAATGTGTTCTAATAATATTCATACCACATGTTTTCGCTCGACTATTCTGCTGCTTTAGTATAGTACAGACCTCGGACGTAGTATCTTGTACTCCGCTATTGAAGACGGTCTGTAGAAACTCGATCTCAGGGTAGAGTTGTCCTGGTACCAGTTTCATGAAATGATTTGATCCTGGCGTAGAATTTCTACAAGCAACGTAGAAATTAGGAACTCCAGAAACAGTCTAAGTATGTTAGAATTTATTCGGAATACAATAAAGAAGCGAAAACCCTGGAATGACCTACCACCTGGTTGCTTTGAAAGATATGAGGATTACAGGAATAATCCTGTATATCCTTACATGCTTTTTCTTTTGCAAATACAGCTTGTATGGATTGAAAGAAGCTACTATCGTTAATAAACCAGGAATATATTCTAAATGTATTCAGAATTCATTATCACCTGTTTGCGTTCCGCTTAACACTTGAAATCTTATGTTCCTGACGAATTTCTTGTACTCTCGTCCAGTCGGGCTCTTGAACACTAGTATGATGCATTTCATAGAGCTCAGGCGCGAGAAACTCGCACGCCTTGACTCCTGTGCATCGATAACTGATACGGTAGCATCTTACATTATCGAGTATTCGAGCTTTGGATTCATGTTTCGACCACTTGAGCGCAGATGAATATTGAACCTGTAAAATATTAGTAATATATTCGGAATATATATTAAGTTCATACCGTATCAAGCTGATTCGGTCGATTCACCAAGTTGATTCCTGATAAATTCACGATATACGCCACGCCATCATCAGATGTATCTGGATAGTCAGGTAGACATGGAGCATGTATTACCTTTCTTACTATAATCTCATGACTTTGGTAATCAGAGATTATAATAGGATCATCTTCAGGCGGGAGAGAGGGACGCGACTAATATATTAGTATAATATTCAGAAAATATTAGAAAACCAAGCGCACCGAATCTTCTGTAAAAGTGTCTGAATCAAGTTCGGGATAAACGTCGCCTTCGACATCGTCTATTGTCGACCACGAGGTAGAAAATCTGACTGAAGGAAATTGACTCATTTATCGGGAATATATTCGTAATATATTTCTGGTTGTTGATCTTTAGAATGTTTTTTATGAGGGGCAATGGGGGGCTAGAGCTCAGATGAGAAAGATATATATTATCCGGTTTCAGATCACGTGGACACGTGCTCTCAGCTGAGCACACAGACCATCTCAGATGACCTGTAACCACCACTGGTGACCTGGTGAACTGGGTCCTGGTATCCGTCCATCCGTCCTTGGTGTCAACACCCCCAGGGCTCCCTCCCATCAACACTCTCTCAGCCATTTCATCCATCTGTTTTATACTCCGTTTTACACGAACCACCCAGGATCTCCTTTGCTTATGTTCTAACTTCTACCGGTCTCGACATAGTGATTTTTGGGAGCAACCAGAATCCATTGGTCAAGCTATGGTCTATGGATGAATACGGAATACGCCCGAAGCTGCGCCGCAATCCATAGAGGTCGATTGAGAGGAACAACTATACAATTGATTGCTATTCAATATATATGTCCCACAGATGCTAACATCTTCAATTTCGTTTTGCGGCGTGGTGCCTCTCTTCCTCTATGGGGTTTGTACTGGAAGAACAATTTTCAATTTACGACCGAATCCTGTTGGCACAACGTATCCCACCGCGAAATGCTCCTTGCTATTGTTTATGCGGGCAGTGGAGCTAGAACTCTACAAATGTTGGAGGAAGATACATAACATGCAAGGTATGAGATTCTCACGGCAGAATTAGGGAGACCGCACCCTCAATGTGACAAGGTGAATATATTCCGTAAGTAGCGATGTTTTTTCGCGATGTCGGCTACAATTGACGATACATGGTTGATGGTTCTGTACCATAAGACTCGATGGGGTGGATTGTGGCTCCCAATCGCTTTCTCTCCCCAGCAGTTGTTCTCAATCGGGTCTGAATATCATCTTTAGTTGTTATTCATTTGCTCAGATGTGTACTTCTTATTCTAAAAGCTATACATTCACTCGAGTTGTTACGCCTCCACCATGTTACTCAAAAGGCCCGTCTTTCAGCTCAGTCTTGTTGGACTATTAGGCCTCCAAATCCTTACCTGCCAAGCAAAATACATGAAATCTTCACAGCATGGCTTCTCCTTTCAAAAGAATAGTTACCCGAGACTTGATACCAAGCTCCAGGTGTGTCTTGGCGTGTCCTGGCTACGAACATGTGCATCCGTTCAATACTCCCAAGGAAATCCTGAATCCAGGGAGTGGAAGCCTGCAGTGTGGATGTACCAATATTCTTCGTGAGCTGAGTCAGTTAGAGGAGCGGGCTCCTCTGGTGGAGGGGATCGACGCGATGGACGTCTCGACCCAGGCTTTGTACAGAGCTGTGTCTGTTGCTTGCGGGACGTCTTCGTTTCATGTTTTGTGATTGTGTTCCTTCCACTCCATGAAGATTTCCATTCCAGCATCATCTCCTAAAAAACGAAAAAGGCATCTTATTCTCATACAGGAAATGCTATACGAAAATCCGTCCGCACTACCAACATCAATCACTGTTTTCCCCCAATTTCTCTAAGACCAAGTTCAGGTTCTCGCGAGTGAGCAGCGTATTCGGATGGTCGTCTCCCAACGTTTTCTCATTCCACGCATGGCAGGACTGAAGCTGCAACTTAGCATTCTGTAGCCGACCGATGTTCATGTATGCGACGGCCAAGTTGTTCATAATTGCCACGGAAAGCGAATCTTCATCTCGGGCATTCCGAAACACCTGTAAAGCCTCTTCCAGAATCCGAATTGCCTTCTCCACCCCCTCATGTTGTTCTGCTCCTTCCTGGCCTTGGTCGTCGAGCGCCTTATAGGTATGGGCGAGGTTCAGAATGCACTTAATGGTTGTTGGATTCATTTCCCCCAGCTGAGCCTTGGCCGTTTCTGCCGCCACCTCCTGCAACTGCACTGCCCGGTCCAACTGACCAAGTCCCCGATACGCAATCCCAAGTAAATCCATCGACGCAATGGTGAGAGAATGTTCCCTGCCCAGCTCCTGGATCCTCCATTCCAGGATTTTCTCATGCAGCCCCACCGCCTCTTGATATCGTCGCTGGGCCGTATAGAAATTTGCCAAATTACTGAGCCTGGTCATCGTAGTGTTGGAACTCACGCCAGGTATCTCCATCCAGCCCAGGACTACCTTCTCCTAGAGTTAGGCGCCTTCCTCTATGCGTCCTTGACCTTTCAGATCGAATGCGAGATTCTCCATGGTGGTGAGAGTGTTTACGTCGTTCTCACCCAGGGTACGTTGTTGTCGTGCCAGAACATCCCGATCGATTGGCTCAGCTTCCCCGTGACGGTCCTGCTCTCGGTAGTTGGTAGCCAGCATGAGCTGCGCGGCTGATTTGTCGTCGTCGTCGTCATCGAGGACGTGTTCAGCAAGTTCAATCGCCTGGAGAAATAAGTTGTTAGACTCGTTCAGATTCCCCTCGAACATTTCGTCGAGGGCGCGGCCTCGTAATTCTCGTATTTGGGAGTGCGGGGATGGTGGGGAGGATACCATCATCAGTGACGGTACTGGAGATTTTATTATATGTCTTGGCACCTTTCTGGTTGGGTTTGCATTCATTCAGGCTGCGTGGAGATACAAAAAGGGGTGTAGGGGGTGTTAGAGAGAGAGAGGTGGACGATTGCTTGATGAGGTTGAGTTTAACGAACACGAATAGCTCGCCTAGCGTAGCTTGGAATACGAACAATCCTTTCCTTCGTGTATGTATGATGGACCATAAGAAAGGATAGATGAATGTCTGCCTTCCACTCCAAAGTGGTGCCTACCCTATCTCTCAACCTTATGAGTTATGAGTATCCCTTTCTGTAAATAAGGGTGAGGTTGTAGAAATACTCTCCCTAGGTAATTATATGAAGAATCTCATGAAGGAAGTGATTTGATAAGCCTCGGATAGGCGACGGACGATCATCAGCGCAAGCAACTTAAATAGCTAACTTGATTGAGTGGAGTTACCAAATAATCTCTATCCCATCACACCCCAGAATACACCGCCGTCACCCCCCTTCCGCACTCCACCCTCTGCTCCACATCCACCCACCTCCCTCCAACCCTTACCCTTGCCCTCGGCGTGAGCTGCAACCGATTCTCTTCCCCCTCCTCCCCCTCTCCCTCCAAACTCCCAATATACACTGGCGCCGCCACATTATTCCTCTTTCCCGTCCCTAGCTGATAAAACTCATTGCCCCCAAAAAACAGCACATCCGCCCCCCACTTCGCCTCTCCCGCCCGCATGCTCGTCTCGTTCCCCATCACCGTCGCCACGTGCGTACTCCCCACGCTCACCCGCCCCACCCGGATCGGCACGATCTGGTTCGCCGCCTCGGACCACTCGTACAGTCCGCTCAGCGCCGGGATCTTCGTCGGCGCGCTCTGCAGGTGCGTCCACCGCCCGTTGCCTAACGTCCCGTAGATCCCGCTGCCACACGACCACGTGTCCGCGATCACACCTGCGGGACCGAGCCGGCGCGTCGGCGTCGGGGGCTGGAGTTGCTGCTGGACAAGCTCCGCGGTACCGCCAGCGGTGTCGCGGTGGCCGGTGGGGGAGGGGGCGGTGGGAGTGGCGTCGACGGCGAAGTAGCTGTTCGAGCCGCCGGCGGCGATGGCGGTAACTTTGGGGGTGGAATTGGTGTAGAGGCGGTGGATGGGGATGAGTGAGGGCACATCGATGTAGGAGGCGGTGGTGGAGGGGAGGTCGAGGCCGAGTTGGCCGAGAGAGTTGTCGCCGAAGGAGAAGACGCGGCCGTCGCGGTCACGGACGAGGGAGTGGTAGTCGCCGGCGGCGATTTGGGCGATGGGGAAGCCGCGGAGGGTGGTAAGCTCGTGGCAATGGGAGGTAGAGTCGGGATGGGAGATGCGGGAGAGTGGGCCGGAAAGGCCGAGTTGGCCACGGCTGGGGAAGGTGGTGGGGGAGGTGGGGGCGGAGAAGACGCGGCCGGAGGAGGTGAGGAGGAGGAGGTGGTCGAGACCGGAGGCAATGGCGGTGAATTTTTCGGTCCAGCCTAGGTTAGGGGGAGTGAGTTGGCGGTAGGCGATGGAAGGTGTGCGGCGCCAGCTGAACCAGCCGGGTTCGGTGGGCGTTTGCAGTTTGGCGGAGATGGGGATGGAGTAGACGGCACCGTTGGTGCCGAGGGCGACGATGCGGTCGCGGGAGATGGCGAGGGATTTAAGGTTCTTGCCTCGTAGCGTCTTGATGGGGTCGTGGTGCTCCGAGAAGCCTTGGCCCCATTGGAGCAGGTCGCCATTCTCGTCGATGGCGGCGCCAAAGGTTCGGTCGAGCTTCAGGTCGCGCAGGAGCATGCCGTCAAAGAACGAAAGGCGTCGGGGTGTCTTGATGAACTTCTCGTCGGAGTCGGGAGCCGTGACGTGACCGCTGTTGGATCCCCATGCATACACTCCTGGATTCTCCAAGCTCTTCTTAACCTGAACATGTTGCGAGCTCAGGAGGTCCCGAGTCTCCTCTTTTGTTTGTCCCTTCCGTCTCGGCTTCTCAAACTCGAGGACAGGCTCCTCATCCTTTTCCGCCGCTTCCGCGTGCGCAGACGGGAAGCTCAGCGGTCCGGATACCAGATGGACGGTCCCTGCTCCGAGACCAGCAGCTACTAGAAGATAGAACGGGGACGTGAAGTGCCGTTGGGAAGCTCGGGAACTATTAGTTGAGATATATCTTCGTCCGAACCCTCGCGAATATTGAGACCGTTTCTCGCATGTCGCCTGTAATTGTCGAGTCGCATAGCGCAGACATTGCGCTCGTGTATTGAGCATGTTGACAACCATTGGCCAAGTCCGGGTCAAATGGACTTTTCCAACCCGTTCATTAGAATCAAGTCAAAACCAGCTAGTAGCACATCGAAAGAAATTGGGAAGATCAAATAGAATTGAAAAAAGATAGAGGAAGTGTGAGAAAGATAATATAAATCTAAAGTCATGAACGTCACTTTACCAAAATTGCCATAGCGGGACGAAAGTTCCCCGGAGTCTTGGCATTCAAGATCCCTTGTGGTGCTTCAGTTCGATTAAGGGACTTCGATTAAAATGCCACCAAGACCTATCAGACAAACCACCCTTCACGTCTCTTAAAGCCGCCCGAAATGTACGATGAGTCTTGGTATAATGCCTTCACTCAGAAGACATCCTGGCAGCCCGAAAGCCAGAAGAAGACCCATCGTCGACGACCAACGCTCCTTCAGCAACCTAGTGTGAGCCACGTATTCCCACCGATTCACCCGTTCATCGTATACTAAGCTCCGTATGATAATAGGAAGAAGCACTGCCGGAGAATGAGGTCGCCAATCAACCTGATCTAAGCACTGCCTTGGACCCGCCGGTCGAGATATGTCCACCTCAGGCGACGGTGGCCCGCAGAGCGAAGTCGTATAGTGACTTCTATGATATCGTGCGAGCACACTTGAAGAAGGAAAAGGAGGATGAAAAGCGGAAGCTTCGACAAGCTTTGAAGACCGATATCGACTTCGAGAGATGGTACTCGGGCATCATGCCGTCAATTGAGAAGAAGAGCTTCCCGCAATACCAGTATGTGACCAGCAAATGGTGGTCGAGTTATCCAAGCCATTCGCTAACTCCCTTGGAGGCTATATCTGGATCAGCTCCGTCTAGCAGAGTCGCATCTGGAATATCTAGCCTCTCAAACCACCTCATCCCTCGACCTCCTACGTCAGCTGTCGAGCTCGTTTAGTTCCGTGGAGAAGCAAACAAGTGCCTTCCGGAAGCAATGCGAAGGGTTGCTATCCGAGCAGAAATCAAACCTCCAGCTTGCAGACCAAATCGCCGAAAACCTGGAATACTATACCTACCTCGAACCGATCACACGGAGATTGAATGCCCCGGGTGCCGCCAACCGGGTCCGGCAAAAAGAATTCTCGGATATGCTGGGTGATTTGGACCGTTGCATTGAGTACATGCAATCTCATGTACGTACATGGAACCTCCAAGGAGATTATATCATTACTGACTCCCATTTAGCCTAACCAAAAGGAAGCCTCGACCTATGGATCGCGGTATAAGCAGCTATTAACCAGAGCTCTCACCCTTATTCGCGTGCATTTCACCAATTCTCTTCGCGAGATCGCTGCAGACGTGTCCAAACGTATTGCCGACCGACAGCTCAACGACACGACCATGTCGGCGCTCTTGTACGCTAAATTCCGCGTCGGTGCCCCCGACCTACGCAAGGTTGGTCTCGAAATCCAGAAGCGAGCAATCCTCCCCAAGGATGCAGCACCGGATGCGGAACCAGAGTACCAAAGCTTGATGAACGAGATGTTTCAAAGCTATTCCACCACACGCGGTCGCCTGATCCTTCCGATTGTATCGAAGAAAATGTCCGAAATCGCCATGGCGCCAAGCACCGCGAAGGATCTGGTCACTTTCTCGCGGAGCTCCATCAGCTACATTCGGGGCATCTGCATGGATGAATACGATCTTTGGCAGGAATGGTTTGACTCGGACCATGCGCTCTACGATTTCTTGGATGCGATGTGCGAGCCGATGTATGATCATCTGCGACCACGAATCATCCACGAAACGCAGATATTGAAGCTATGTGAGCTATGTACGTTGATACAATCGCGGTACATGGAGGAGGATGAAGATGATCTGCAGTCACCAATCTCGGCTCGGTTGGATTTCGCATCGTTGATCCATCCTGCCCTCGAGGACGCGCAAACGAGACTGGTTTTCCTTGCGATGGGAATATTACGAACGGACATCGAGCACTTCAAGCCCAAACCTGAAGACCTAGATTACCCTGCTCGGAACCGGATTCGGGCGAGTGCTACTAATGGAAACAAGGCGCCTGCCCTCTCAGGCCGGCGGGAGGCCAAAGATCCATCCAAACCAGCAGAAACGCCGACGATTGGAGAAGAGGACGGGATTGAGTCAACCCTGAAGTTCGAACCATCATCCAAGGACTGGTACCCAACTCTACGCAGAGCGATTTGGCTCCTGGGTCGAATATACCGGCTTGTCAATGTGCGCCCCCTTGTTTTCTCCTCCTCAACGCCACTAACCATCTATAGTCTACCGTCTTCGATGATCTTGCCCACCAAATCCTCCACCAAACAACTCACTCTATCCTTCGCGCCAGCAACCTCATCATCCCCCGCTCCTCTCCCACCGACGCCAACCTCTTCACCATCAAGCACCTCCTCCTCCTCAAACAACACATCGCCGCCTTCGACCTTGAAACTGGCTTCGCCCAAGCCCCGCCCGAAGTCAACTTCGACTTCTCCGGCCTCACCAGCACCTTCTGGGGCAGCGACTGGCTCAGCATGCCCGGGAAGCTCGTCCGCGCTGTCATGGCCGGCCAGCTCGGCCGCCTCATGCCGCGCGTCGTGCGCGACTACCATGACGCGAAGGGCGAGGTCGACGAGGCGCTGCGCGTGGCCATCGGGGCGTTCGTCGAGAGCATCGCGGGGAGGATGACGGGCCCGATTCGAGAAGGGGGTCGCACCGTCGAGCCCCCCGTTAGCGCGAAACCCGCGAAGTCGAACTCGGCGAAGGCGAAAGACGATGCGGCGAACGGCCAGAACGGGCATGTGGAGGCGAATAGCGGGACATCGGAGACTGCGAGGGTGAAGGCGGCGGTGGCGCAAGGGGTTCCGTTCCTCCGGCAGAAGCTGGACGAGTATATTGGGGATGTGCGGACGAAGGAGATGCTCGTCGCGGCGGTGATGGAGCAGGTGACAACGACGTACGAGGCGTTCTGGGGGTCGCATAGCAGACGCGGCAATGCTGGGACTGGAGCCGCGGAGTCGACTGGAGCGGGGACGAAGGGGAAGCGGAGGGAGGATGAGAATTGGGAGCCGGCGGCGTTTGCGGAGTGGTGTGAAGGGGTGTTTATGGTTGGGAGGTCGGTTTTTGGCTTTGAGGATGAAGATGACGGGAGAAGTAGTGGGGAATTGAGTCGGGATGGGAGCATTTAGTTTCGGGACCAATGAACACCATGAAGAGAGAATATATTACATTGCTTATTGTATAACATGTGAAAAGTTAGGGTATCATATAATCTGCGCTTTGTTGGCAAAGAACAAATTCCCATGGACGCGATACCGACATCGCCATTAGCAGTCCTCAAACGACAGGAGAAAGCCCTCCGAAAGCGCATGAACCCATACTCGGGTATATCGTTCCATCAGTACACTTCCAACTCCTTCTCCGTCCAGTCCCACAACTTCTTCGCTAGCTCTTTATCATTCGCAAGCTTATCCCCCACCTTCTCCTTCGACGACACCCCAAACGGCACATACATCTCCCCACTCGTCATCTTCCCTTTGTCCGCTGCCGATGCCCACAGCTGGTTATACACTCCTTCGTGCAACTCTAGCTGTACGAAATACGTCATCACATGGACAAACGCTCTATGCGCGAGCGGGAGATCATTGACCAAGTTCGTTTTGACGACACCCGGGTGGATTGCGACGGACAGGATCTGCGGATACCGCCGCGCTATCTCGTCGGCGTACAGGATGTTCGCCAGCTTGCTCTGCCCGTATCGAATCCAGGAGCCAGAGATCCGCTTCTGTAAGGTCCGCAGGTTGTCGAACTCGATACCTGCCGACGGACGAAGTTTGAAGCCCGTCGACGTGAGCGTCACGATCCGGATGTCGGAGTTCGGCTGGTCGGCAGTTTGGAGTAGGCAGGGGAGGAGAAATTTGATGATGAGAGCGTGGCCAATGTGGTTGGTGCCGAACTGGATCTCATACCCGTCCTTGGTAAGCGCGGCTGGTGCGCACATGATGCCGGCATTGCATACCAGGACGTCCAGATGCTGGATGTTGGCCTTGGGGATGGCGTCCTTGATAGATGCCAGATCGGCAAGGTCGCATTGCACGAAGGTTAGCTTCGTATTGGGGCTCTCCTTCGAGATGGACTCGGTGATCTCGCTGGCTCTCTTTGCATTGCGGCCGCTGAAGTAGATGTGGGCCGCGTTCTTCTTTGCAAGCTCGCGGACGTGTTGCGCTCCAAGACCAGCCGTCCCTGTAAGATAGTTATGTTAGTCAAGGTACTGGGATCTAAAAGGATTGATTAAGGCGTGCCTCCTGTGATGAAGAAAGTCCGGCCAGATTGCTGTGCGATCTCCTTTTCAACGTCGAATTTACGGTTGCTGCTCATTGTTACGGAGAATGATGAAGATGTAAAATCTGAGGCTAATGAACTGGTAAGGGATCTCCGAGCCTTGAATACTGATTATTAGAGGTATTGATGAGATTGAAGATAGGTATGATAGAAAACTTGAGGGCAATTGGACTGATAACTGATAGAATCACTAAGACTTAATACTGATCATTTGAGGTACGGATATAATAATGCCATGCCGAGGAAAGGCATCACAACGGGTATAATACGAAATACCACCTGCGGCGCCGGCGCTCTATGCTGCGTATTTCAGTGTAACCTGTAGATGTACGTCATGGCTTAAAGCCTATGAGATACAAGCTTCCAATTGCACAGCTAGGTCGAAGGGGTCCGGAGGTCGTATCAGGTATCGCCTACGAGCACGCGGCCATATTAGCTGGAACCGCGGAATCAAGCAAGGGCCCTATCTCCGGACCGCTCATCTCGGCAAAAAGATGGGGAATTGGCCCAGCCGCATACATAACGGGCGGCTTGTTCAATATTTCTTGCACTGCATGTAGGACAAGATGACATGATGCGAGCATGATGTTGGTTTGTAGTTTGATATACCTGGAGGAAGATAAATTGACGATTGATGTGAGGTCGGGGTGGTTGCTGTGATGACTAAATCCCCGAGGATTTGCCGGCTGGATCGTCAGATCGAATCACGTGGCAGACAAACACTTTTGATGAATGCCTACAGTGGTGGTAACGTATGAAGACTTGAAGAGAGATAGACGACAGGTATTATGTTTGGCGGTATTAAACGTATTCCTGCGCTATCTGCCCTACCTTGCTACTCATAAGCTCATCGCTTCTGCCAGAAAAGCCTCAGTACTATACACGCTAGAGAGCAGCAACAAACTACTATTATGATGTCCTTGTAGTGCGGAAGTGTCCTCCATATATCTATCCGTGACGTCTGCATATTTGGCACCCAGCGCTAGTTGGATAACTACTACAGTGGGTTCTTTGCTTATAGTCTACGTAAGATTCTATCCCTGTGTTTTTCGGTGGCTCACAGGTGCTGAACGTCTTAGACCTTCCCAGATCCATACGGCAGTCAAGATAGCTTTGGTCTCAACTCCGGACTTCGACTATTAGCGAGCGAAAGGCCTGATATCCGCTCCTAAGACCTTTAAGACCATGGCCGAATTCATGGAGAATCTCTGGAACTCCATCTTCACCCCCGGCCCAACACCATCGCTCCTCATCGCTACGAATGTCACCTTCGCCACCCTTCAGACCCTCCTCCTTGTCCTTCTCATCGCAACTCGAAGCTGGCACTTCGTTGCTCTAAGTACCATCTCTGGTGGACTGTGGTGGGCGATCAACTGGTTCGCGCGCGAACTCGCAGTAGAACGAGCGAAAGAAGAGGAGCAGAAGCGAAAGCAGCGCGAGGAGCAGGCGTTGAAAGGCGAGCATGACGATGGGGAGGACGCGGGCGATGACACGCATACCGAGACAGAGACCGAGACTGAGCTGGACGCATCACCACGTGTCTCGAAAAGGAGAGTGGCGGCAGAGGGGTCGGATTCTCCCCGGTCGAAGTTGTCGGGATATACAGGGAGCTCGATCAGCCTGTCCACGGAAGGTTCGGACGCGGAAATGGTTCATAAGCCTTCGCAATCCGGGGCTGCGGTGGCCACGGGCTCGCACCAATTCCTCTCACCCAGTGCAACGCAGCTTCACAAGCGCAGGAACGACGATTACAGCGAACTAAGTACAGATAGCGAATGGGAGAAGGTGGACGACAAGGCATCGACATGATTAGATGCTCGGTCTTGGCAGCATCTTAGAGACAGCTTTTGATACCCTTAGATATCCTGTTCATAGATGAGATCACGACCCGAATGATGGGATGCATCTACGTTGGATTTATTCATTGAATTTGTCGTAGAGTTAGATACCATCTGCTACGTATCTCTCGAGCTTCACCAGGCTCTGATGCAGACGGGAGGTTTTCTCGTCATTTTTCAACACCACGCAATCTACATCCGCGTATTCCGTGCCATCAACCAGCTCACGAGCCTTTTCCTCACCAAGCAAGTCCGCTAGACTAAACACCGGGATCTTCTTTCCTCTATAATCTACCTCGTGGACCCAAGAATCCGGGAAAATAACCCACTCGGCTAGCTGCGGAGGAAATATCGAGTGCGACCCTGATATTTGAGCCATCGGTCGCTCCACCACTCTGAATCGCTCGGGTAGGCGATCGCCCATTTCTTTCAATCGCTCAACAAAATGGCCTCGGAGAGTTTTCGAAAGCAATGGGACCTGTTTCAGATTCGCATGCGTGGCTTTAACGCGGTCGGACCACAGCTTCGGTTTGATATAGACCACTGCGGATACATCATCGAAGTCACCCGCGGCGAACGCGCCGCCAGGGCATGGTTCAAGGATCGCCGGGTCCGCCGATTCAAGCGCCCGCTTCATTCTCCAGGTAACTCCCCGCCTGAGCAGGTCCCGGATATATTGCGGCATATCCGCCCGCCATCTCAACTTGCTGGTGACTTCCCGTGGAGTGGACGCTGCCATCAATTCTTGGAACCCCTTCCATTTGCCTTTGGCGGTCATGAACGCTATCACATCGTACCGTAGTGAAAGGTAGACCGAGCGAAGCACTGCCGCCCGCGTCCGTGGGGGGCGTTCCTCGTCCGGGAGCGATTGGAGGTATAGATGTGATGGGAGTAGATGTGGCTCGGATGTGGTGGGGTCAAGTCGAATGGAGAACTTCGCCAATAGATCGGCCGGCAGTCGCGCTTGGGTCAACGTGCAAAGTCGCAGCGGCGAGGCTAGCATACGTGCTTTTGAACATCAGCATGGGCAATACATCGATCGCGGCATCCTGCAGTACCATAGGGATTCCGAACAAACTGGGCGTGAAACCTCTCTGTTTCCTCAGGATCGGGATCCGGACCCGGTTGCTTGAAGTTGATCCGCGCGGCACGTCTCAAGGGATCCAGGCTAGGAGGGAGCGGGAGAGGTCGATTGTTCCCTCGTCGCGTGCGGTATGTCTGGATGCCATCGTCGGTCGTCGAACGCGGCGGGACCGTGACGGTGTTGGCGAACTTCGTTGGAGAGGGACGAGGAGGCAGAGTTGTCTGTCGAGACACACCTCGGTGAGAGTTCAGTCTTCTGCTGACTCTGGCGGACATGCAAACGTCGTGTTGGAACAATTGCGGTTGATACAGTCGTCGTCTGAATAGCAGTATATCATCGTACCTAGTCCTGATCTCAAGGTATCCGTATGATCACGTGGACCTGACATACCCTGAAATCAACGTCACTTCATCAGAAAAAAGTTCCCATCGACTCTGGCATTGCATCTTCTACTTTATTTACTACTTTAGTCGAAATAGTAGTCTGCTATAGTGGACCATTCGATTTGTTGCATGTCTGTTCTCAAAGAAGTTGTGAACGTGGAACTTGGCTTTGTGGTGTCAGGGCCTCAGGGGCTCCATTTCGAATTCTCAATGGACTGCTTCGCGAGACTTCTCCACCAGATCAAAGAGGTAGCATGCACTGATATTGATGGCTTCCTCAGTCTGGATACTACCGTTATCAAATCGTCTTCACATCATATGAAAGGTTCTAATTCCCGGGTCTCGGCTGTCCTACGGGTCCAGATCAAAGTATACACATCAGCTACACATATCGGTATTGACGGGGAACCCAACAGACATGGTGTCCTGGGTATATACGAAGTGGAAAATAGCCAATTGCAAAGAAATTATCAACATTTCTTAGGGTTCTCGGAACATCTACAATTAAAGCGTCTAATGCAAACCCGTCGATCACCCCTCCCCTACCCTATCGACTTGCGCTCCAATATTTGAGACCATACTCCAGGTACAATTCCTCATCCGCCTGAATATCCCTAGATGCGTACATCAGTACTACTAAAATCAATACAGGACGGTTGGTTCCGGGACAATTCACTCCAGACAACCGAACGTACCCTTGGTCTGCTCTGACGTTCGGCTCCTAGTGGGTTACGATAAGGCTAGCTTTTTTGCGTCTAATCGATGCCGCACTGAGATTCCTATATTGGGCAATATCGATAGGGTCGTTGATGAGTCGAGACTCGTTCCTAGCGTTCCTTGCGCTTACATGGAATGAATTCGGCACGCCCCTAGTTCTAGATTGCCTCCAGTATACGCGAGTGCTCGTCCCTCCTCTTCTCGGTTTAAATCGCAAACATAGTCATCAGTCGGGTCGTCTCTGTTTTGAAAGTAAGTGCCCCATTAGGACCCAAGATACTGGCCGGCTGGGTTGAAATGCTAGGCAAATAGGCCGTAGCTGATCCGAGGATTACTAGCGGCGAAGTGGTAGCCATTAAGCCTTCGATCTTCGGTGAGTTGCCGAAAGTTCGTGGACGTAATATCTTCTACTGGGGGCAAGGCATTTCTTGCAGCTAGACGTTGCGGTTCTGGAATTATTAGGTGGCGAGCTTGGGGGTCATTAATATAGGCTGGAAATGTTTCTTGGCAAAATTCGGGTCCTTTAATGTATTGGGCTACGTTAGCTCCTCTTGTGGGCCCGCCCCGTGATGGGAGTGGATCATTACTCATGTTGAATATAATTTTTGGAAGGGTTTGGACCGGGAATTCTTAGCACAGCTAAAGCGAAGGGAAGGAGGGATGTGTGGATTTCGAATCATGGCTTCGGATCGTGAGCGGGTGGATCTTATATCACGGATCAGACACGGTGCAATTTCGTCAAAGATTGACACACAAAGGCTTGTCATCCATTGCGTAGCTTTTAGACAAAGGATACGGTTGGCGAAATGAAGATGGAAATGTTGCAGTCAAAGAATGGATGTGTCCGATTGTTGGGGACTAAGTTGAACGATTGTGAATTAATATCTCCAAAAAGGAGAAATTGCCCACGACGGATGGCGGATCTGTCTCGCTGAAGGCCTTATGCAACTGCTGGACGGTCCATAGCTTTGCACAGTGCTGAAATATGCTCCCGTCCTTGAGTATCCGAGGGATGATAAGTCTGTCACGAAGAGCCAAACAACAGCAAGACAATCGTACTTGACGAATCGTAGAAACAAGGGTTTGTGGCGCCTCCGAGCAGCTCGGCAGCAGACAAATAACTTTGTCATTTCAATAAAGACAAAAATAGGGATATCGTTCGCCCATGGTCCTGATTAAACGTCTCGAGGAGGATGTTTCGTCATCGAAGCCACAGTTGTCGTTCGAATCTTGACCAGTACCAGCTGACAAGGTAACACTCCTTGATGTTTTGTTAGTTTAGACTCATCTCGAATATTGGTTGGTTGAGCTCACGTGGTCATTAGTCTAGTAATATGGTTTTGTAGAGTCTTGGAATACCGCAGCTTCCATGATAGCGGATTGAAGGAGATATAGCGACCATTTCAGACTTCAATTTAGCCGAGGTTTTGAGACCGTTGGTCACAATATGAAGCGAGGCTGATGGTTAGAAATCGCAGCAATCTCCACACCGTGTCTCAACTAAGAACGAGCCTGCGACCATATAGAGCGTATCGAATAAGTACTCGGTGGGCTGCTCCCTTGCTCAGGACTGGCCGTTTGGCGGGAAAGTCGACTCTTTTTTGGTGCCATCATGGTAGATCCGCACAAAATTCATAGGGGCCAACCCCGCCCATTCGCCATGCCACTCGAGCAAAGCCTCGAGGTTCTTCGGATCCTCAAGATCCGGCATCCAGAACCCGGATCGATATTCACGCTGTTCTTGATCGATACGCATCCTTAGCTGATGCTCACGGATGCTGGGTGGCCGGCCGGGTCGCCGTTCGGATTTGACGCTTGCAAGCTCATTCGCGCTTCGTTCAATGTATCTAAGGTAAAATGAGCGACAATGCCACAGAAAGAGATTGACTGGCCTCACCGTGCGATCATATCTTGCATCTCAGAGATTGATTGGGGTCGATTTGCCAGCTTGGCTTCGCCATGAAAGAAAGCGACCCGGGATACTGAACGAAATTAGTCAAAGATTCCAATCCAGACAGAAGCATCTGACGAACAGAAAGAATCATTTTGTTTGTCCCTTGATGCCACGAGCTTATGCACTTTTTCCTCCCGCGCACTGGCTCTTTGAAGGCGTCGGTAATCGCGACTCTTTTCATGGAGCGCCGTCGATGCGCCCTTCTTCTTGGCGATCTGCTTTTGCACTTTGTTCAGACTTTTCGGCGGCATTGTTGTGGGATTATTTTTGGTAAACTTGGTTGAACAAAGAAAATTCACATTTCCGTTTGTTGGGTTGATGTTGTGAAATTACAGGGATCTTCCGGTTAGCGTGCCTTATCGATAGAACTCCCCAGAGCAGTGCCCAAGGGCCAAGGCCCAGTGCCCCTCAGGCTCAATAAGCCATCTCACTTAACGGCGTAGGGAGGTTCCTCGCGATAGATTTCAGACAGTTCAAGTCAACCTTTGGTAGCTTCTGGAGTAAATCCAGGTTTAAGCGTCTCAGTCTAGGCGCAAAGCGCGGTATGTCCCCATATCCTCCGTGATAGATAGCGAAACTCATGAGTGGCCGAGTTAATGTGAGAGGGAAAGTCATGAGCGTCAACACACCTCTCATATGGTCAAGGGCCACACCGTCAAGGTTAAGCTTTCCAACTTAACTATTTAAAGCGAGGACGCAAAAGATTAGAGAATGGTGCAGCTCCGCAGTGTCCTGCAAGTTCGGGCAGCAGGGGCCAGGGGTGGCCGAGCGATGTGCGGGGACTAGCGTGGGCAACAGGTAGCCACTAAGCCGCCTAACCATAGCCGTGGAGAGTTGCAGGTTCCTTAACCACCGCTGGATGCTCCATGAGATCCATTTCCGAGGCTCGTAATCCGATGGAAGAAGTTCATGGATGGGTCGCTTGATATTTGAATAGGGTGGTGTGTAACGTAACCTGAGCAAGATGTGCCGAACATATCTGCAATGCCGTATCCCGAGAATTCGGCTGGCGGACATCTGGGGATGACCAGGGTGCGTCAGTGAGCGAGGCTGTTGTTGTATGTCATCCTCGGTTCTTCCCCGCATATTCGACCCCGAACTGCAACCTGCTATTATAACTAGGCGATGCTTATGAGCGTCGCAATAGAGAAGTTTCCAATGACAATTCACACTGTGGAAAAATCAAACCAGTAGTAACCATGCCAGAACTACGTTATGACGGACAGGTGGTGGTTGTTACCGGTGCAGGGGCTGGACTGGGGAAGCAATACGCCAAGTTCTTTGGGTCAAGAGGTGCAAAGGTGGTGGTGAACGACCTGGGCGGGACGTTTAATGGAGAAGTTGGGAATGATCAACGGGTATGTCGCTCAACTAAAGCCATTGTTAATCTCACCTGAACTATTGTGTAGGTCGCTGCCCAAGTTGCCGACGAGATCAAGGCCGCTGGCGGTATCGCAGTGCCAGACTTCAACAACGTCGAACAGGGAGAAAAGATAATCGAGACTGCCATTGGGAATTTCGGACGGATCGATGTCCTCATTAACAATGCAGGCATTCTTCGAGATATCACGCTTAAGAACATGACGGACAAGGACTGGGACCTGATCCACGCGGTGCATCTGCATGGCGCGTACAAAACGGCGCGAGCAGCGTGGCCGCATTTCCGAAAGCAGCGATATGGTCGAATCATCAACACGTCGTCGGCTTCCGGACTCTTCGGCAACTTCGGCCAATCGAACTATGCCTGTAAGTTTCAGGTGGGATAGAACAACGACTGTGTTATTAGTGTACTGACCTATTCTAGCTGCTAAAGTCGCCTTGGTTGGCTTCACAGAGACATTGGCTAAGGAGGGCGCCAAGTACAATATCGTAGCGAATGTCCTCGTTCCCGGCGCAGCCAGTCGACTGACGCAAACGGTGTGGACTCCCGAGATGATGGAGGTCATGAAGCCGGACTGGGTGGTCCCCATTGTGGCTGTCCTCGTCCACTCATCGAACAGGGAAACCGGAGCCATCTTCGAGGCTGCAGCGGGCCACTTCTCGAAGATTCGCTGGGAGCGGTCGGGCGGATTGTTGCTGCGCCCAGATGACACCATGACCGCCGGAGCCGTGTTGAACGGCTGGGATAAGATCCACGATTTTTCGAAGCCTGAATACGGAAGCGGCATTGGGGACAGCATTGGCACCCTTGAGAGGGCCATGAAGCTTCCTCCGAGCCCTCCTGCTGAAAACATCACCTTCAAGAATAGGGTTGTGCTCGTGACTGGTGGCGGCGAAGGGCTGGGTCGGGCGTACTGCCACATGTTCGCAAGGCTCGGCGCTAAAGTTGCAGTGAACGATGTCGTCAATGCCGACCTTGTCACAAGCAATATTCGCAAGGCAGGTGGTGAAGCGACTGCGATTCCAATCTCGGTGGAGGATGGCGAGGCCGTCGTTAACGCTGTGCTCAAAGCATACGGTCGTATCGATATCCTGATCAACAATGCCGGTATCCTTGGGGACCGCGCGTTCATCAACATGACGGAAAAGCAATGGTTCGATGTGTACAGTGTCCACTTGCGCGGAACGTACAAGGTGACGAGAGCTGCCTGGCCACACATGATCAAACAGAAGTTTGGCCGAGTCGTCAACACTACTTCAACTGTTGGGATATACGGCAATTTTGGGCAAGCGAACTACTCCGCTGCGGTGAGTTGGATCCATTGAATTGACGGAAGGAAGAGACTGACCCGAGCGCAGAAATCCGGAATCATTGGATTTACCAAGAGCATTGCACGAGAGGGGGCCAAGTACAACATTCACGTCAATGCCATTGCGCCAAGTGCTGGCACAAACATGACGAGGACTGTGAGGCCTGAGGAGGAAGTCCAGCTGCTGAAGCCTGAATACGTTGCCCCTCTTGTTGCGGCCCTCAGCGCTGACCGCATTCCAACCGCCCCAGGAAAGCTGTATGAGGTGGGCTCGGGCTTTTTCACCAACACCCGCTGGCAACGCGCTCGAGGTGTCGATTTCCCCCACGACCAGGGAGTCCCATCAGCTGAAGCTGTCCTGGAGGTCAGTCAAGAATTGTCTTGCTTTATACAGATTGGACAATGCAATATAAGCTAACCTGACGCAGGCGTTCAAGGAGATCTGCAATTTTGACAACGGCCAAGCTGACAATCCGGAAGACCCTGCAGAGGGTAGCAAGTATAGCATGGCAAATATCATGAAAAGTGCCGAAAAGGTGAGTAACAATCCACAGCTAGCCTTGCAATTGGACAAAGATTTCTGACATTTCTTAGGGCAAGTCGCTCGAAACAACTGCTGAAGATCGGGAGAAGAGAAGGTACCTGTCAAAGGTCAATGCAGCAATCGGAGTCGAGAGTGAGGCATCTGTCTACTCGTATGACAACAAAGAGGTCATCCTATATAACCTTGGCCTCGGGGCCAAGAGGGCCGAACTTCCATTGGTGTACGAGGGCGACAAGAACTTCCAAGTCCTGCCAACGTTCGGCATCATCCCGACATACTTCTCCAAATCCTCGTTCAATTTGAAGGACATCGTGCCCAATTTCGACATGAGGATGCTCCTGCACGGTGAGCAGTATATGGAGGTCCTCAAATTTCCAATCCCAACCAGCGGAAAGCTGATCACCAAGACTTCGCTCCTGGAGGTGGTTGACAAAGGCAACGCCGCTCTCGTCAAACGGGCCTTCAAGACTGTCAACGAGGCCGGCGAACCGATTTTCTACAATGAGAACGTCGCTTTCATCCGTGGCTCGGGAGGGTTCGGTGGTTCGAGAACCCCAGCAGATAGAGGCGCATCTACGGCTGCGAATGTCCCTCCGAAACGCGCACCAGACACTGTCATCGAGGAGACAATCTCCGAAGAGGCGGCGGCGATCTATCGACTCTCCGGTGATCTCAACCCGCTCCACATCGATCCTGTTTTCTCTTCTGCCGGTGGGTTTAAAGTTCCCATCCTTCATGGACTGGCAAGCTTTGGTATCAGTGGGAAACACGTGTATAGCACGTACGGGCCTTTCCGAAACATCAAAGTCCGTTTCGCCGGTACCGTCCTCCCTGGTCAGACGCTCGTTACGAAGATGTGGAAAGAAGGAAACAAGGTCATCTACCAGGTTGAGGTTAAGGATACTGGGAAAGTCTGCATCTCCAATGCTGCGGTGGAACTATTGGGAGGCCACAAGGCATCGTTGTAGACATTCCGTAGGATTTCTGTATAGCGACTTTTGCTTTCTTGAGTAAGAGTTATATGAGATCGTAGTGCAGGTTGCAAAAGCGTATTTACATCCGTAATTCGGTACCTTAATTGTTGAATGAAGTCAATCTGATCCATTCTGTTGATATGACGATTGATGAAACGTTAATTGAACTGCACGTGATCAGAAGCTGAAGTCATTTGACCCATAAATTTGATCACGTGACAGACGCGAAACCGCGTTTGCCAAGACTGGTGTTCAACACGACAACTGGGGGTCGTCGCGACTTGATAATTCCTTCTGCAGTATTGCCTTGGGTTTTGCGCATCTATTGACCGCGAAACCGGATATCGCAAAGAGCTGATGTAGCAGAAGAACATATCTAAATGCCGTACATTGCAAGCTCCAAGCGGTCAAGAACCGACGGCGACGAGAACGAAGACATCCTGTCGGAGTCTGCTGCGCCAAGTTTCCGCCAGGAACCAGTACGTATATGTCCTATTGCAGCATTTGAGATCAGAGACTCATATACATATCAGCGTAAACGAGTTCGATTATCGCAACAGCCCGAAGACGACGATGAGTCGAGCGACGGCAGCGCCTTGGTGGTTGATCTTTCTACCGACGGCGAAGAGGACTCCGTACTCGGAGACCAGGAATCGAACCAAGCATCCCACGATCCGGTCGGCGACCACCTCGTGAATACCCCTGCAGAATGTGGAATCATCGAAGAGGTGTCCTGCACCAACTTCATGTGCCATTCACGCCTGGAAGTTAAGTTGGGACCGCTTATCAACTTCATCATTGGGCACAATGGAAGTGGGAAAAGCGCGGTGCTCACAGCATTAACTTTATGTCTCGGCGGCAAAGCAGCTTCGACAAATCGTGGGCAGAGTTTAAAAGCGTTCATTAAAGAGGGTCAAGAGTAAGTATTTCATCAACTCTGCGCAGGAGCTGTTACTCAACTGTCAAGGAACGCCACTCTTGCCGTCAAACTCAAGAATCAAGGCCCTGGCGCATACAAACACGATGTGTACGGGAAGTCGATTATCGTAGAACGACAATTCAGCAAGTCTGGCTCGAGCGGGTTTCGAATCAAGAGCGCTCAAGGCAAAATCATTTCTACGAAGAAGAAGGACCTAGAGGATATCACTGATGCCTTTTGTTTGCAGCTTGACAATCCCATGATGGTCTTGACGCAGGACATGGCAAGGCAGTTTCTCAGCTCATCTACACCATCGGACAAGTATAAGTTTTTCTACAAGGGGACTCAGCTGGAGACACTCGACCACGACTACAAGCTCATTGCGGAGAAGATTGATTTGATCGAGCATCAGATGGAGCTCAAAGAACAGGATTTGGGCGTTCTGAAGCGGAGGTACCAGGATGCCAAGAAACAATCGGAGCGTGCTGAAGCTATGCGAAGCATCGGCGATAAGATACGCGAGAATAGCCGCAAACTTGCCTGGTGTCAAGTTGTCGAACAAGAAAATCTCTTGGCAGAACATGAGAGGAAGCTCGAGACCAACATGGAAAAGATCGAGTCCCTTCGCGAATCGCAAGAAGCAATGTCCGTTGTCTACGAACAAGAAGATGAGAAGGCCACCGATTGCCACAACACAATTGTGAGTCTACGCGACAGCAAGCAGCCTCATGAAGACGAGCGGAAGAAGTGGAAAGAGGCATCCGACGAGAACAGCTCCGATCTCACCGACGCATTAGGGCAAGAGCGAGACGTTCATGGCGAGCGGGAAAGCGCCCGCAAGGGTGTCGCAAAGTGTCGTCAGGACATCGAGGCAGAAAAACGACGTATTGAAATGGTCGATGGAGGAGAACACGCCCGCAAACAAGAAGAGCTGGTCGAGGTGAAGGCCAAGTTGCAGCGGGCAATTCAGGAGCTGGATCAGAATAAGAAAGATCTGGCCGACCTTCGTGAAAACGATAAAAGCGCAGTGAATGACGTTAGAGCCGCTGAGGATCGGCTCCGCGAAAAGGAAGGGGAGATCAAGATGAAGGAACGCCAGATTAATGACCTAGGCAATCAAGAGCGCCAGTGGATGGATGCATACCCACGAGGGTTGCAGCAGTTGCTACGGCTGATCCAGAATGACCGAAGATTCCGCGAACGTCCCGTTGGACCTATTGGCAGCCATGTCCGACTGAAAGATCCCAAATGGTCTTCCGTTCTGGAACGCTTCTTTGGGGGTGTCCTGAACAACTTTGTGGTGACCTCACCGGCCGATCGACGAGTGCTGGCGGAACTTATGACCAAAGCTGGCTACAATTTCCCGATCATCATTGGCAATGGTGACCCGTCCATCATGGAAAAGGTTTCGCGGAACGAGCCAGCTCCGCACATCCTGACCATCATGCGTGTGCTCGAGATTGACAACGATTTGGTCCGCAACCAACTGATTATCAACCAGTCGATTGAACATACCGCCCTTGCCGAAAACATCCCAGCCGGAACGAAGCTGATGACGTCGGACAAGCCAGCTAAAGTCAAGCGCTGCCTTTCGCTGAATGAGCACAGACGAGGTTTCGGTCAAATGCTTTCGCTTACTCAAGCTGGTGGGCACACGTCTGGGCCTGTCAACGTATGGAGAGATGCGCCCCGAATGTTAGGTGAGGTTGATGCGCAACTTGATATTGAACGGGAAGCCCTTCAAGCGCTGAAATCCGAATTCTCGGATTTGCAGAACGACAAGCGATCGGAAACCCGCAAGCTAGAAGAATGCCGAAAAGATATACGGAACCTCACCCATCGTGGAAGAGGTTTACTTGTTGCCCAACAGCGTGCTGAAGGAGACGTGGAATCGTTAGAAAACCAGATTACGGACAGCACCCCTGAGCAAGGAAAGATCAATAGCCTCGAGGACTTCTTGGCATCCAAAGAGAAGGAGCTAGATGTGCTCGAGAGGACGTTCGCCCAGTTTGCGGAGACAATCAAAGGTCTCAAAGCCAAACAAGCGGATATCGACCAGCACAGCAAGGAGGCTCAGAAAGAAATTGCTACCATCGATTCCAATATCAGCCGATTGGAGGTGAAAGAGGACAAGCTCAAGCACAAGCGGCAACAAGCTCTCTTTCAGAAGAACGAGGCCATTGCGAAAGTGGCAGATGCCAATGTAGAATCCGAATTGATCAAGGAAAATATCGAGAAGCAGCGTGGCACGGTTGAGGAATTCATCGAAGGGGCCTCGAATATCTCCGCGCGGGTCGCAATCGAGCCAAACGAGACACACAGATTTCTTGAGTCGAAGCATGAGAGACTTTTGAAAGAGCAGGCCGACAGTACTAGAGAGTAAGTCTGATTTATATGGTTTCGATTGTGTCTAAACGCTGACCGCTTCCAGGCTCGGAGGGACAGTGGAAGAACTCGAACAAAAGGCCTTCGACGCCAAGATGCTGTTAGTGATGGCAAGGAATCAGCAGGCGAACCTCGAACATGCCGCTCAGATGCTGAAGAACGCGCTCGTCAATCGCCGTCTCCGATGGCAGCAGTTCCGGAAGATCATCACCGTTCGAGCTAGGGGCGATTTCAGAATGAAACTCGCCGAGCGCAAATTCAGAGGCGATATGATCATCAGCCATACCAAGCACGAGCTGGACATCAGGGTAAGCTTGTCCTTTGTATCGCTAGGTTGACAAGGGCTGATGTGGTACACAAGGTCGAACCGGACATGACTCGAGGGCAGTCTCATGGCCGTCAAACCAAAACTCTTTCGGGTGGAGAAAAGTCGTTTTCGACGATTTGCCTGCTGCTTGCTCTATGGGATGCGATGGGGTCCAAGATTCGTTGTCTGGATGAATTGTAAGATATCGCCCTCGCGCGGCCTTCAAAGCATACTAATTCCATGGCAGCGACGTTTTTATGGACAGCGTCAATCGATCCGCCAGTGTATCGATGATGGTAAGTAATTATGTTAGCGATCTTCCGATTGAATGCTTGCTGACCTGAACAGATATCTGCCGCTCGGGATTCAGTGAGCCGACAGTTCATACTGATCACCCCGCAGGCCATGGGGAATGTGGAGCTGAAGAGCGACGTCAAGGTGATCAAGTACGTATCCCCCGTTTTATATTCTTTTGAACCTTTGCTGACGTGGAACACAGGATGAGCGACCCCGAACGAGGACAGACGACCCTGAACTTCGGACGACAGAATTGATGCCAGGGCTGACTTCATCGGGTCCCTCGATACAAGAACGACTCGTTCGGCTGTCCATCGGGAATATAATATTCCTTGCCTTGTTGTGATACCTGCATAATGTCTTCCTGGTGGTCTAGATGGCCTGGGCCTTGCCAATGTTTCCACGCTGCGTTTAAGGTCGATGGACTAACAGGGACCCAAGCAACGACAGTGAATACCGGAGAGTGGATCAACAATCAACGCTGTCATACACGGAATATTCATGCTGTCCTACAAGAAGTTATGTCCTACGAGGAGTTATCATGCACTTTGTAGTGGGAACTACGGAAGCGCATTGTATCATTCTTGAGCCTTTCATTGCCCATTCTGGTTGATGTCCGGATAGTCGACCAAGAGAACAATGAGCAGCAGGACAAGAAGCAGTCATTCTGCATTCACTCATTCAAGATCGTACCACCATCCAGCACCGGAAATTCCAATGCTTGTACTACGACCAATTCCTGTAAAATCGAAGGGTTGATGTAACTATTAACCATTGACCAAACCATTCACAGCTTCGTGATACCGGTAACTCCAAGTGATTGAAGGGGGAGATGTTGGCTCATGGCTGGGCTTTGCTCGAGGTATTCGTGACGTCAGGCATCAACAGCCGCTCCCACGACGCGCCAAACATCACGACAGAACGACGACGACCTTCTATTGCCCATTTCATCAATCCGCATCCCTTCGATTGCCCTCGAATTCTATCCTATCCTTCATTTTCTTACCCTTCATAGATTGCATTGCGCTGATCTTCCCCACTCAGGCCTCAGCGGCTCAGCGCCTCAGCCATTAAAAGCCCGCACGAGCCATCGTCACGACCACGAGCTAAACATCATTGCTGTGCTTGGCTGCGACGCCGCGTAGGCAATCCAAGCCGCAGCAACTAATAATAATCCTCACGTCCGACGCTCTTTAAGACCCTAACGGTCAGCTCTCCTCTATTCTATTCTCACTTTCTTCAACCTAAAAGGTCAAATATCCTATCCTGTCTCCTAGTTGTCCGATCCTCGCGACCCGCATCGCGCCGCCGTGTCGCATCCATCATGGCTTCCCAGCCCGGTCCCTCAACCGGCGACCCATATCACTCGGTCCCAATTCCCACCAACCCTTCATTCCTCGACAAAGGATACGGTCTGCCGACCACCTCCGGATATCCACCGCCGCCGAGCGACTATACAACCACGCTCGGGAATCCAACCGAGGCGTCTCCTTTGTCCCGTTCGATGCACCAAACTAGCCGCTTCAACGAAGGCTTCGACACCCCTTCGCGCACTAACTCCGTAATGAGCCATTCGATGTCCCCGGATCTGTACCGGTCGTCGTCGCGAGCATCCAACGCGAGCCAGGGCGCGCTGCCGTCGCGGGGCAATACGATCAAGAAGCAGGCGTCAGTGCGCCGGAAGTCGAGTCTCAAGAGGAAAGGAAGCAGGCGGAGTATTCATGCGGGGAGTATCAAGGGATATAGCCCGACGGATGACGCACCGGGGGAGTCGACGGGATTGACGAATAGCGCATTTCATACGCCGGTTCCGACTTCAGGATCGCCGACAGATATCCTTGCGAACCGGTTTCAAGGTAAGGGGAAAGGAATGGTTGGTTTGAATAGCGGCTGACGCATTCGACAGCATGGCGCAAGTTCTTGAAAGATCTAATCACGTACTTCCGCGAACTCCAAAATTCCTACGACCAGCGCGCGAAGGCGTTGTTAAAAGTCTCGAGCGTCATTAACAACGTCAATGCGCCGTCCGTGTTTCTAACCGACGGCGGGATCAATGACGCCAATCGGATCCTGCGCGACTACCATAAACAAGCGTTGGTGGAGTCGAACAAGGCCCGGGACATGGAAAACGAAGTCATCGCGCAGCTCAGCGGACTCCGCGCCGATCTGTCGCAAAAGATCAAAGAGATCAAATCTCTGGCTGGCGACTTTAAGAATTCGGTGGACAAAGAGAAAGATCAAACGAGGAAGGTGGTCACGGTACTCGAGGAAGCCCTCGCGGCTGTCGATACGGATCCGTCCTCTGTAGTCGGCAAAGATGATCCGTTTGTGATTCGGTTGCGAGTCGATAGACAGGTTGAGCGACAGATTGATGAGGAGAATTACCTCCACAGGGTAGGTTTACGGTTCTACATCAGCTGGGATTGCCGCTAATCGATGGTAGGCATATTTGAACTTGGAGGGTTCAGGACGGGAGCTGGAGTCCATTGTTGTCGGCGAAATCCAGAAAGCATATAATGCGCTGGCTAGTATTCTGAAGCGGGATGCCGATGAATCCTACTCTACCGTCGACCTGCTCCGCTCGGGTCCGATCGCGATGCCAAAAGAGTACGAGTGGACGACATTTATCGGCCGTGATCCACACTTTATCAGCCCAGATCTCCCTCTGAGGCGGATTGAAGAGATCGAGTATCCTGGGAAGCATCACCCTGCCGCTACGGAAGTTCGCGCTGGCATGTTGGAACGGAAGAGCAAATACCTGAAAAGTTACACACCTGGATGGTATGTTACACGTTACTGATAACCTGTCCGTCATTGGCTTACATTTTCCAGGTATGTGCTGTCACCTACGCATATCCATGAATTCAAATCGGCCGACCGTATCTACTCCCAACCTCCGGTCATGTCGCTCTACCTTCCCGACCAAAAAGTCGGCTCGCATTCCCAACCGGAATCCTCATCGCACAAATTCATCCTCAAAGGGCGCCAAACCGGAGCCATGCACCGCGGTCACACCTGGGTGTTCCGCGCCGAATCGCACGAGACCATGCTCGCCTGGTACGAAGACATCAAAGCCCTCACCGAACGCTCCGGCGAATCCCGCAACGCCTACGTCCGCCGCCACGCCCGCAGCATCAGCGCCGGCAGCGCCCGATCCATCAGCGGCGACAGCGCGCTCGAAGAAGACGAAGCCGACGAGGTGCCATACTCCGCCAACTCATCGACGCTGTCCAACCCCCGGGTCGCCGAGCACGATCCGAAGACAGAGCGCGGACCGCCGCGACCGCAACCAGGTGGGCGATTCCCGTCTGATGTCAAGATCACACCGCACTTACACGCCCCGCTTTCGGCATCTAGTGGGAGCTCCGAGATCGACCATGACCTGAGCGCGATGGCCGGTGGCCTCCACGAAGCCAGCCTGGCCCACCCGCCGTCTCCTTCGAATCCTGCTCTACAACACGGTCATGCCGCGAGCCCGACCCCATCGGGGTACGACGCGTATCACCCGCCCGTCAACCATCAGCAATCGCCGAGCCCGGGCGGGATGCCGAGGATGACCTTGACCGATACCTCATACCTCCCTCGAAACCCACGCGCCGACCCTCCGAGCGCCGGCTACGCGTCCGAGCAATCGACGAACGCGGCGAATCCAGATAGCTTGCCACACCACCCTTCAAACCCCGGCTCGGAACAAAATGGATATCTCACCGGCGGCGCGAGCGCGTTCGGAACTGCATCCGCCCGGTCGATGAACGCGGGCCACGAGCCCCCTCCGCGCATCAACCCGGTTTACGCAAACTCCACCGAGCCGCTAATAAGTCCGAGCACGCTTCCTACAACTCCGTCCAACGACTCGATATCGATGATGAAAGGGGTAGACGGGACGGATCCGGAAAAGAATTATTTCCGGACGTATAGGACGCATAGGGAGAGCAGTGGTAGTAGTTTTGATCTGCCTGGTGGGTATCCTAGAGGGGGTTGACGAAGTGAGGCCTGAAGGTGATGGAAACGAGTGTACGATTATTGAAGGGATTATTGTGCGGGAATCGAGCTCCCGTATTTTTGCATGGTTAATGCGAATTATTGCATGCTTGCGAGTGTCTTTTGGCATTCCTGCCAACGTTCGATGATCGTGCAAGGGGTCCTAGATTATATATCCCCGACCCAGTCATAAACGCCAAAGGCCCATCCGAACCTCTCCATGTAATGGAGAACACCTAACTCCACTAATTCCATCCCATCCCTAAAATCACCACCGCATCACCGGGCCATTTTCGCAAACAACCCCTCCCTCCTCCCCCTCAACTCCCCCAACTCCCCCTCCACCCTCCCCACCTCCCTCCTCGCCTCCTCCACCCCCCGAGGCAACCCCTTCCATGCCTCCCGCTCCCTCTCCAACCTTTCCACCTCCCCCCTCAACCTTTCCACCTCCCTCTCCCTCTCCACCACCCTCCCCACCACATCCACGCCCACCTCCTCACCCTTCGCGGGACTCGCGGACCCGAGCCGGTCGGTGTACTCGGCGATCTTGGCGCGAAGGGTCTTCGTGGCGCGGGCGAGGTCGAGGGTCTGGGTGGCGAGGTCGGGGTGGGGGGTGGGGAGGGTGGATTGGGTGTGCGCGAGGCGGGTGATGGTAGTGTCAGTGAAGGTGGGGAGGAGGGAGGAAGCGGTGGTGGTGGCGTGGGGTGGGGGCATGGATTTCGAGAGGATGGCGTGGGCGAGGCTAGCTCCGGGTTAGATCGTGGAAAGAGTGGGAGGTTGTAAGGGGAGGGTAGAGATGCATACCTTTCAGCATCGTATCCGGTAGCATCGTACTGTACCATCAGTGACGACAGCGACTCCAACATCTGCCTCGACCTCGCATCCATCGCACTCCCCACCTCCCCAAGCAACGCATCAATCCAATCCGGTTCGTTCACCTACCGCCCCAATATCAGCTCTATCCTCAAAATAAATCCACAAACACCTCAAACACCCCCAACCCGCACCTTTTCCCTTAGCTCCTCCACCGCCTCCGCCTCCACCGTCCACACCAACTCCCGCTCCTCATCCGCCCGCTCGCTCGCCCCCATCAGAGCCAGCAGCGCTTTCAGCGTCGCGTCATTCCGCTCGAACTGCACGGTCCCGAGGCGTCTGGCCGCAAGCCAGGTGTCGATGAAATGCCAGTCTTTGGCTTGGGCGCGCTGGGCGGCGGCTTTGGAGGGAGAGAAGAAGGCGGACGGGGTGATGGGGGGGAAGTCCATGGTTGGGGTAGGGTGTTTGGAGCTCTTTTTTGAGGGGCTGGGTTATCCGGTGGCCATTACTTGTATGCTCGGATCTTGGAGGGATTTAATTTCGACTTCTTCTCTCCATTTGCGTCGATGGGAATTGGGAGTCCAGGCAGTATGGCAATTGATTGTTATTTACTGAGACACTGGGCCGTCTCGTCCGCCGTAATCTTACTACCGTTCACCTTGCGCCTCCAAGCAACCAATTATATCGCCGCATTAGAGACATCATGAGCTTGAAATGTGTCGTCAACAACATTAAAGATCATAAATCGAGTTAAAATAATGATAAATTAGCCTCTCGAGCTCTGTCATCATGTTCGGGGCCCTAAACCGGATCATCGGCCGCCTGGACGCGGAGCCGGAGCAGCAGCACCCTCTCCACCGCGCCTCCGGCTTCCAGGTCCTCAGGAACGCGAACCCAGATATCCCCATCGAGCCGTGGTTTGATTTCGTGATCGGCATCAATGGACGCAGTATCGTGAGTGGAAACCTCCGAATATCAATTCGCGGAAACGGAGCGCTGATTCGTGGGACAGGACAGCCCGGATCCCGACCTCTTCGCGACGGAGGTGCGGAATTGCGGAGGCACGTCGATAAGTCTGGGGGTGTGGAGCGCAAAGGTACTGGATCTTCCCGAGACGCGGGGATGGGATTGTGCATGCATGCTGACTATTCGCAGGGACAGAGGATTCGCGAACTGTACGTGCAGGTCCCGAAGGACGCGCCCGCGCTGGGCATGTCGATGCAGTGGAACCCGTTGAATTCGACGGAGGACGTCTGGCATATCCTGGATGTCACGGCGAATTCTCCGGCAGACCAAGCTGGGCTGCTACCGTATGGCGATTACGTCGTTGGGAGCCCCGAGGGTGTGGTGCGGGGCGAGTCTGGGTTAGGTGAACTGGTTGAAGATGTAAGAATATGGCATTCGGATATTCCTGAATGTTTCCTATTTACATGCCATGGCTTTCAATGTGCCCTCTGAGATGATTTTGTTCTCAGATGATTGAGGACATTCCCTTCGTGCTTGAGCGGCTCCCTTCCTCTCCGAGCCCTCGGCGTTCATCCCGGCTAACGCCCTTCCCAGTTCCTCAACCGCCCTCTCAGACTATACGTCTATAACCACGAATACAACGTCGTCCGCCCCGTCACTATCACTCCGTCCCGCAGCTGGGGCGGCCAAGGCGCCCTAGGCTGCGTCCTCGGCTTCGGTGCCCTCCACCGCATCCCTCCCCCACTCGACGAACCCCCCCAAGCCCCTGGCGAAACCCTCTACGAAACCCCCTCCGACTCCCGCCCCCCCAGCTCCATCTCCACCGAACACCCCGCCCCCACCCCCACACCTGCTACCAATCTTCCCAGCCACGGCGACTTCCTCGTCCCCGCGAACCTGCTGCAGTCTCCGCCGCCGCCCAAATCCCCCGATGCGCCGGCCGCCCACGGCGTGAAGCATGGGCGGAAGGGACGGCATCATGCGCCGCATGCACGAGCGGGCAGCCCGGGGAACGCGATGGATGCGTATTTTGCGGAGGGGGAGGAGAAGAGTCGGATGGAGGATCGGGAACCGTCGAGGGCGGGGGGAGGGGTGCCGCCGCCGCCGAAGTCAGGGCCACCGAAATCAGGAGGGCCGCCGAGAGGACCGCCGAGAGCGAATGTGGAAGAGGCGCCGGAGGAGTGAGGATGATGTTTTGGGGCGGGAAAAGTTCGAGGTGGCTGGCGGAGATATATTTGAGGGTGTCTCGATTCATGGATTGGCGTTCCTCTCGACTATGGCTAGGAGGTCTGCGTCGAATGTGGTGTAATAGGGTACATCGTCCAGATGCTCGAGGAAGCGCGATGTATGCCGGCGTTGCGTCATCGCCGGGATGGGCGCTGCTGAGCATTAGCTTCTGGGTAGCGCAATAGAGGGTTCGTCAGTGATGTACGTACGGATATTGGCGTACGGCAGTGAGAGCGGCTGTAAAACCGGAGGTGGTCCCTGCGGAGGTCGATGGACGAGGAACGGAACCTCGCTAGGACTCTGCGGCGCTCGTGGTTTCCTCTTGATGCGGAGTTTCTGGCAGATGTTGCGCATGATGCGCGTGGGGGAGCGGCAGAACACCATGTTGGCGACTAGGACGTAGTGCGGTAGTATGTGGAGATGGGTTGAATTATGATTCCGCAGAGATGGTCAATCACAGATAGATAGTTGTGTAAAAGCTGGTGGAGAGTGCTACGTGAAGGTGGTGGGTTAACACGGAATTTATATCACAAGGAAGGGCGCTGATGATGGGAACGTTGGTAGACAACAAAGTCACGCGCAGCAAGAAATGGACTGGACTTTGGTCGATGGGAGAAAGTACCGGACAACAATCGATAATGACTCAGGATTTCCGATATCTGTATCGGTACCGATATTCAACGTTGGTTGTCCTTTCCCAACTGGATCAGACCCAGCGGTTGTCATCCTGATCAGGGCATGTCCTACTACCGGATACTAGGCGCGATCACCACATTTCTCGAAAACGTAGCACTCAAACTCTCGTCCTGGGCTCTCGACCTCTGTCTCCCCGTGATCCCAATCCGATCCGTCACCGGTGTCGCATTGATGATCTGGTCGAACTCATCGTCCTCCCCCAACCCCAGATCCGACCCGGACTCGGCGTCGGAATCTTCGCGGAGGACGGGACCCTGGGGTTCGGGTCGTGGGATCGTTGCTTGCTTTTTTGATTCGGCTTCAGGGTTGGTGAATGTCTTCGACTGTAGGACTCGTCGGCGGAGCTCCGCCATTTCCTCCTCGTCGTCGGATTCGGGAGGGAGTCCGTAATCCCGTTCCTCCTCCTCATCCTCTTCCTCATCTTCCTCTTCGTCCTCTGCCCCCTCACCATTGCTACCACGTTTCCCTTTTCTAGCCCCCTCGTCATCCCCACCCTCGTCGTCCTCATCCCCCTCCTCATCCGACTCATCCAACCGCCTCCGATTCAAATTCCCCCCCTTCCACACATCCCCACCCTCCACCCGACTCTTCTCATATTCCCTTTCAATCTTCTCCAGCCATGCCTCTTCCGCCTTTTTCACCTCCTCCTCGTTCGTACACGCCGCGTACCTCCTCAACAACGCCCCATTCATCTCCAAAAACTGTTCCCCGTATGAAAACGACGCTAGGATTTCCGCCGCCCACTCCCCTCGCCCGCAGATCGCGAAGCACGCCGCCAGCGCCTCCACGCAGTTCAGCCGCCACGGCCGCCCGTAGTTGGTCGGGTTCGCCGCGATCAGGTACGGGAGGAGCCGCTCGCATTTCCCGCCCAGCCGCGAAAACGGGACCTCGTCAACACGGTTCCACGAGCACTCAACCACCGCGGCGCCGTACTGCTCGAGGATCTCCTTGTCGGCCGGGGAGATGACTTTCTTCGCTTTGGGGGAGACGACGATGCCAGCGGATTTTTGGCCGATTTGGAGGGAGCGCATGAGGCCGAGGCGGATGAGTTTCTTGCCGGAGCAGCGTTTGGCGTCGCAGTGGCCGAGGTCCCAGCAGGCGGCTTTGAAGGGGGGGCGGGCGCGGTGGGAGGAGGAGGAGTCGGGGTTGTCGATGTCGGCGTGGGTTCGGGGAAGAGGGCGGGTGGAATTGCTGTATTTCTTGCCGCGGCCGAAGTCTTTCTTGTGGCGGACCATGGTGGCGGTTATCTTGATTATGGGATTCTTGACGTGTGATGAATGGGATAGGGTTGTAAGATGTTGGAATTGTAGAGTGTTGAAGGTGATCGGCGTTGATGTGATTGTCGATATATTGGACTTTGGTGATGGTTGAAAACTTGACCCCCACCTGAACCGGACCGCCACACTTCTCCGTCCATGATTCATGTCCGCTGAGCGCAAACCCCATGATATCGCCCCAAACAATGGACAGCTCATTAAAATCCATCGAACCCACTTCTATTCATTGAATCTTTCATACAGTATGGGCAAGTCACGTTGCCATATTAATAATATCATGACCGGGAGGGCTCAACCCAGAAGTCTCTATCCATCGATCTCCTTTATCCGTAGCCCATCATCCAAACCCCTCATGATGAAAAACTCATGATGCACACAGTAAACTCCTCATGATGGAAACTATGATGTCCCCCATCACCGCGACGCACTTACCGTCTGCGCCCCCACCGCCAACGGCCCTATCCCCGACCTCATCGCACTCCCCCAATCCCCCCCGGCATCCTTCGGCGGACTCGTCGCCTTCACCTGCACCATCTCTCTCTGCGCCGATCCTCCCAAATCCCGCTCCCCTCCCCCCACACCCATCCCCCCCTCTATCTCCCTCCCGGCCCCGTCCCTCTTCGGCCTCTCCCACCGCCAATCCTCCCCGTGCCACTTCACCTTCACGCTCGGCGACTCCGCCTCCGATTCCCGCTGCGTCCGATGGTGAGAGTTGGGCGGCTGCCCCGCGACCCCGGAGTTCGGATGGCTGGGCATCTCGATCGTGCTGGCGGAGTTCGCCGCCGCGGGGTGCGAGCCCGGGTCGTGGAGGGTGCGTTGGGTGGTTGGGGTGACGAAAGGGGCGTCGCCGGGGGGTTTGGAGGCAGGGGGTTGGGTGGTGGAAGGGGCGGCGAAGGGTTGGTAGGTGGCGTTCTGGTGAGCGGGGTGGTGGGGGTTGGCCCAGGGGGTTTGGGAGAGGAATTGTTCTTCGGCGACGCGGGTTTCGCGGGCGACGTCGAGGATGGGGGTGGGGCCGAGGGGGCGGACGGGATGGACGGGATGGACGGGACGGTGGGCGATCTGTATGACGACGTCAATTCTCGTTCATTTCAAAGGGTGCTGGTTGTGTTAGGTAAAGGAGAGCGCCTCAACATACCTTCATGGCTTGCAAATCACTCTCGATCTCCGCGTCATCCAGTCCCTTCATATCCGGCGCTGCGGGGAACCCGACATGCTTCGCGATGCCCGACAGAATCGACACTTCCAGGTTATACGCCGTCTGCTGCTCGACCTGCGTCGATCGCTTGGTCGGGAACATGTGCATGTAGTTCGTGTCATCCGCGCCGAACCGTCGTCGATCCCGTTGCAGCGCGTGGAAATACTTATATCCGTCTTCAAGGGCTTTCTCCCGCGCGACGCGGAGGTCTTGGAGCAGCTGGCTCTGCAGCTGGCTCCGCTCGCCGACGACCTTGATGCGGAGGGTCTGCATCCGGTAGCGCTTGTGGATGTGTTCGTGTTGGACTTTGTTGGTGCGGCGTTCGTCGATGCATTGTAGCATGGCGAGGTATTCGGAGTGTTGGCAGTCGGGTTCGTTGAGGAGTTCGAGTTCCTTGTTGATGTGGTTGATTTGCTCGTTCAGGTGCCTATGACGTTGGTCAGCTTACGTCCACCGCGTGGATGTTGGGTCATACCGTTCTTTAAACGCAATAAACTGCCGTTCGACTTCGCCGAGCATATCCAAAGCGAATTTTCGTTTCGTAAGAGCTAACTGAATGAGCTTTGGGCCATAGTTGAAACGAACCAAGGTGGGTATACCTTCTTCCTCCTGGATAGCATTCGGATCTTCCTCATCAGCCTCTTCCTCCACCACATCCTCACCTTCAACCGGACCAAGTCTCGGCGTCCCACTGGCCCGGTCGAGCTCCGGATCCTTCACTTTCTTTCCTTTTCGCTTGCCTTTTCGGAATCTCAAGGCTCGACTGGGTTTTTCCGGTTCCTCCTGCTCGATGACCGCATCCTCCTTTTCTTCTACTTCGACCTCCGGCTCCAACTCCGGCTGCGCTTGAGCAGCCAGTTCCTCGACGAGTTGTTCGGCGATCTCTTCGTCGACGTTCTCATCCGGATCGGGTTCCTCGGGTTCCCTTTCTTCTTCGGGATCGGCAATGCTCTCTTCTTGTGAGGAATGACTTCGTTTCGCGGCCGGCTCGTCGGGATCTTCTCCGGTCATGAGCGGATCTGTTAATCCGGCGGCTCGCTTCCGTTTTCGAGGCATAGTTTCCGGTTCGGTCGCCTTCAAGATATCTGGCGTCGGCTCTCGCGTGTGGGTACCGGTTGACGCGGCATCGACGTCCTCTTGATCTTGTTCCATCTCGTCGATCTGTGCTTCAGCGTCTTCCTTCGCCTTGTCTTCGTCAACTTCTTCAACTTGGACCTTCAGCCATTTCTGAGGGCTGATGTCCAGTCTCTCGGTCTCTGCTTCCGTGTCGTTCTCCGCATCACTGGCGGATTCCTCTTCAACCTCATCCGGAACGACGATGTCGCGTTCCTCGGTTGGGTCTTCTGGTTCGCTGAGGCTGCTGGAGCGATCGTCATCCATACTCTCCCATTGCTCCGGGCTAGTGTCCACTGCAGCGGATTTTAGGTCCGCCAAGCCGGGCTGTTCCTGGGATGCCATTGCGCTTATGGTATAACCGTCGCAAGTTGTTGTAATGAATTTCTGGCGATCTTGAGTCGATGAGGGGGATTCTGAAAGTTGTTACAAGACAGGTCGTGTATCATGCGTGATCGTCAGGCGTCTTCTGCGGGTATAAAATAAATTAGCAAGACTGGAAACATAGAACTGGGTCGTTGCCAGCTGGGTAAGGGGTGTTTGGGATTCCAATTCTCAAAGCGGTCGGGCACGCTGCCCAACAACCAGACCGCCGTCACAAAGACGATCATTGAGGCATAGTAGGCTGTCGGTGGAAAATTCTGGAGAATGTACGATAGGACATACTGTTCAATGACTAAATATTCGTCTTTGTGAGTACCCCCACCCGTCAGGTCGATGACAGACCACTCAGTAGCGCCAACGACTCTGGACCGTCGTCGCGGATTTTGTCCCAAACCACACGAGTATAACCACCGCAATCGATTTGCGATCCAGAAAACGCCGTCGGATGTCTCGATCGACCGTGGATAGTGCGTCGTGACAGTCGGGCGATCTGGCGTAGGAAGGACGGAGCTTCGGCAAAGTGTGGAAGAATGCAGGGCAGGGTGACGAGATCGGCGGCGGCTACATTGAGAGATATGGCTTTGAGGACGAGAACAAAAATGGTGGCATGCCAAGGGGATAGGAAGCGGTGGTCGAGATACAGGGAAGTGAATGGAGAGAAATGGAGTATGAAGCTGGAGAGAGACAGTGTGAAGCGTAAGAGAGTTCGGGGCGGGCAGGTGCACGAGAAACGGATCGGAATCATCACCTGGAGGGTTCGCGATTGGACACCTGAGGCTGCAAGGCTACAAGGGACCCGATGACCTCACAGCCACATCCGCTAACCAGCCAGCAGCCACACTTGCAGCTGAGTGCTGACTATGTGAGGCGTGAGCCATAATGCCATATCAGATAACAAGCCACACTTGCAGCCACACTCCACAGCTGTCACGTGCATATTTAGCATATGGTGCCTGACAGCCTTACAGCCTGGTCCTGCGAAATTTCCGGCTTCCAATAATTCGGTTCTTCTCCAAATTAATTCCTGCCTAGGCGTGTTATGCTTAAGAGAAAAGATATTGAACCCGGCAACAATTGTCGCTAGATATCTACAAAATGGCTATCGCAACGGGCTTTCCTCAGCTTGCGAAGCCTTCGGATTGGGACAGCGGTATCGCAGGTCTCTTCGCTGTAAGTGTTCCCCATCGCGGTCACAACGATTCAGCCCTAATGGTTTGATTTTTCCAGGCGCCCGTGCCGCAGGAACCCCCGAAGCAAGTGACTGCTCCCAAGGCAGTTGCCGCTCCCAAAAAGGAACGTAAGGAACGGAAGGAACGGAAGGAACGCAAGGTGGAAGAATCGAAAGAGGACGAGGAAGAAGAAGAGGCACAGGCATCCTCTTCGGAAGATGCTGAGCAAAGTCCCGAGCCTGTCGTTGAACCCAAGACGGATCCAGCCAGTCGGAAGAGGAAGCGAAAGGCCCGTGATGGAGAAGATCTGGAGGAGAAATACTTCGCGAAGCTCCAAGACGAGAGGCCCGCGAAGACCGCCCGAAAGGAAAAACCTGTAGCAAGCGGTTCAGACGCCGAATCGGACGCTGAATCGGACACTGAATCGGACGAGAGCGAGGCCGCCTCCGTCGATGGTACAGAAGAGGAAGATTCAGACGACGCTGCCAGCGACGATGATGCCATGTCCATTGATGCTACCTTGGCCTCCGAAGGCTTGGTACACGAGAGCTTGAAACCCCCGCAACCCCGTCCCGAAGACGAATCCGAGAAGGAGAAACGAACCGTATTCCTTGGGAACGTGGCCTCGAGCGCTGTGACCTCCAAGTCCGATAAGAAAGCCCTCCTCAAGCACCTGGGTTCCTTCCTTCCGGACCTCAAGACTGGCGACGTCCCCCACAAAGTCGAATCCCTCCGCTTTCGATCCACCGCGTATTGGAACAACCTCCCCAAGCGCGCCGCCTTCGTCACCAAGAACCTCATGGAAACCACCACCAAGTCGACGAACGCCTACGCCGTCTACTCTACCGAATTCGCGGCCCGCGCGGCCATGCGGAAGCTGAACGGATCCGTCGTGCTGGACCGTCATCTGCGGGTCGACAGCGTCTCGAGCCCCGCGAAGGTCGATAATCGGCGATGCGTGTTCGTGGGGAATCTAGGGTTTGTGGACGATGATACCGCGATGAAGGAAGGCGATGCGGAGATGAAAGGGAGCAGTGCCAAGCCGAGGAAATCTACTCCGGGCGATACGGAAGAGGGGCTTTGGCGCCAGTTTAAACTGGCGGGGGAGGTTGAGAGTGTGCGAGTGGTGCGGGATCCGGCTACGCGTATTGGGAAGGGGTTTGCGTATGTGCAGTTCAAGGTATGTAGATTTGGTTGCCCTCTTGCAATATATTCCGCTCACGATACCAGGACCCGAATGCGGTTGAAGCGGCCTTGCTGTTCAACGACAAGCGATTCCCACCCATGCTTCCGAGAAAGCTCCGTGTTACTCGAGCAAAGGCGCAGGATAAGCCGAGGAAGGATTCAGGTTACGCTGGAGCCAATGAACGCCCTAAGAGGCGGCCAAAGAGCCGAACTGAGGGAGGCCGAGAAGGCGGCCCACAGGGACGGCCTCAGAGGGGACCTCAAAAGGGGCCACATGGCTCTCGAGGTCGGTCCGGCGCGAACGCCAACATGGAGCCGGTAGGGGCCGCACGACCTAGACCCGGCCAGGCTGGAGCATTCGAAGGGCAGCGCGCCTCTGCACCGGCCCCAGTCAGAGCGAAAAGGGCGAGAAAGACCAGCGAGAAAGGCCGGCAACGAGCCAGCGCGTGGAGGCGATCCGGCGGCACCAAGCCCTAATCGTCGTTCCCATAGCCGTATTATACAAATTTCAACCGTGTACTCAACCTATCTACATCCGACTCGGCATCCTCATCGCCCCATCCAACCTAATCACTGCCCCATTCAACATGGTATTCTCCGTCGCCTCGCCACACAGCCGCGCAAACTCCTCCGGCTTCCCCTGCCGCACCGGAAACTCCATCACCCGCTCCAAGCTCTTCCTTACCTTATCCCCCATCATCGCCGTCATCGCACTCTCAAACAAACTCGGCGCAATCGTCACCACCCGGATCCCATACCGCGCCAGGTCGCGCGCCATCGGCAGTGTCATCGCCGACACCGCGCCCTTGGACGCCGAGTAGGACACCTGGCCAGGTTGTCCGTCCGTCGCGGCGGAAGAGGACACCATGAGGATCACCCCGCGCTCACCGTCGGGGGTGAGCGGCTCGTTGGCGACCATGGTGGGGAGGAATTGGCGGATCGTGTCGAGGGTACCGCGGAGGTTGATGTTCAGGACGAAGTCGATGCGCTGCATGGAGAGGGGTTCGCCTTTCGCGTCGATGATCTATGCCAACCGTCAACATTCCATCTCGCAATCAACATCCGCCCGTCCCCCAATCCGACACAGTGCGTGCAGATGTTCGCTGTGAGGGTAGTAGATTTGAAAGTACCCACCTTCCCCGGCAACCCAACCCCAGCTCCCGCAAGCACGCCCGCCACCGGCGCCTTCGTCTCCGCCACCCAGTCCGTCGTCCCCTTCACCGCCGCAGCAATACTCTCGCTGCTGGTCACGTCGCATTGGAAGAAGCGGGCGCGCGCGCCGAGCTTGGCCACGAGCGCCTCGCCCTTCTCCACGTGCAAGTCCAGGATCGAGACATAGCCGCCTTTTTGGTGGTAGTGCTCGACGGTGGCTTGGCCGAGGCCGGAGGCGCTGGGGGAGGTTAGGTTGGAGAGGTTATGGGGGGGAGGGGGAGTTGTGGGGTAGGGATGTCTGATATGGAAGACTTACCCGCCGGTGACGACGAATGTGCGGTTCTCGATCTTCATATTGGTCAATGGGTCACTTGTAGAGGAGTTTAAATTTAGGTAAAGGGAAAATATGGACTGAAATATTAGAAAGACACTTGTTTTCATGATTGAGGTGCGGTAGTATTATGCCCGCGGGCACTTCCCCATACCGAGGCCCATTCCGAAGCTCCACCATAAACCCTGAAGTCTTAATCTCAAGAAGCTACTACGTACAGGACAACATTCAGGTCGCTGCCAATAGGGACCTGTAGCGAAAGGTGTTTGGGAGGATGAGAATTACTAGCCTAAACAATTAACTGCCTTTGTTTCACTGTCATCTAATATTACAAGACGAAACTGGAGCACTGGCCGTCAATCTGGAGAAGAACGTCATCGATCACGTGCCTTTGTTTAGCTGGCTTCAGTCGATATCTCGACGAAGCGCCCAGCTTGAACTCTCCAGCAACGCCTCTACAAATCTCGAATAACGTCTCTCAACCCGCATTAATACATCCCTAAGATTCATCTAACCACCCCTCCAAAATGGGCGACCTCCTCCCCTGGGAATCCTCCCCCCATCTCTACCTCTTCTCCTCCCTCACCGCGGGCTCCTCCCACATCCTCACCGCCACCTCCCGCGTCGAGACCATCCTCAAAGCCAACCGCATCCCCTACACTTACGTCGACACTGCTACCAACGACTCCGCCCGCAAGCTGTACGGCCGTCGCGGGAAAAACAAGAAGTTCCCCTTGCTTGTCAAGGAGGGCTTCGTGCTCGGGGATCTGGAGGAGGTCGAAGAATGGAACGAGTTCGGCGAGCTGAAGGAGATGGTGGGGGAATTGCCGGCGAAGAGCGCGTTGCCTGGGGAAGATGTGGACGATGCTGGGAGCGTGACGGCGGGTGGGGCGGCGGCGGGAGCGGAGACTAAGGCGCCGAGTCAGGTGAAGGAGGAGAAGATCACAAAACCCGAGAGCAATGTGCCTTCCGCAATGAAGGAGTCCGTATTCGCAGCAGCGGCGTTGGCGGCAGCGAAGACGGCGCCGGCACAGTCGCCCATGACCGCGACGGCACCAGAGACAAAAAAAGCGACAGAGAAAGCCCTTGACAGCGGAGCGCTACCTCTGACTGCCGAGAAAGAACCTACCCAGCCCGACACATCCGCCTCCTCGAGCAAACCAGAACCCATGACTGGGCCTCCGATCACCCCCGCAAGCCCTCGACCGATCGACACACGTGCCCCGGACCAGTCCACGTCAAATCTGGGCTCCACGGTCGTCTCCCCGACCGGGTCGCAGACCACGCTGCCGTATCGTCCCCCTACGCATAGAGGAAGTGAAGTTAGTGTTGCGAGCGAGGAGGAAGTTCGGGCGGTGGAAGAGAAGACGGTGATTTTGGAGGAGGGAGGGGAGAGGGAGAAGGAGGAGTCTGAGGAATCTGAGGAGGAATCTGAAGAGGAGGAGGAAGAGAAAGAAGAGAAGGGGGAACGGGTCAAGGATAAGAAGGATGCGGAGATAGAAGAGAAGAGGGCCAAGGTCAAGGACGAGGAAGAAGACGACGAAGATGAGGACGATGAGGAGGAGGATGAGGACAGTGAGGAGGAAGATGAGGGTGAGGACGAGGATAGTGAGGAGGAGAATAGGGCTCAGGCTCAGCAGCAAGGACTGGAAGCAAAAGGAGAGGAAGTAAAAAAAGAGGATAAAGCAGATAAAGACGAGAAGAAGGAAACGAAACCGGAGAAGGGGCTAGAGACGGCGGCGGAGACGAAGCCTGCAGAAGCAGCCAAGTCGGTGAAGAGTTCTGGCGACTAATCCGACCGGAAGGAGCACTTGGATTGGCGTTTGATGATTGAACGGTTCATGATATTGGATGGGCGGGCGACATGTACCTGATTCTTGCCTGCGGCATCACAGAGCGGTTGCGTGAGGATTTCTATCACCAGCGCGATTACGACGAGACAATGGAACCTAATATGTCCTTATCGACTGTCTATTAATAAGCGCTATCCATTAATCTACCTGTGTAAACTGTTCTTCGTGTCATCGGGTTCGTTACGCCAAACCCGACATGTAGAAGATACTAGCTAATACCCTGCCGACCCTGGCTTACATTTCGCCCAAACAAATCGAGAATGCAAAAAATTTCCAAAGATCGTTCGGTAACTACGCCGGTGTTCCCCCGTATTCAAATATCCCGTCCCTGCATGCCATCCGTCGCCAGTCTTAAAAACCCCATATCCATCCATCCATCCTGTCCCGTTCCAAGCCAAATCATGGGCACCGTAAACATCCCAAGGGCGAAATGCAGGGGCCAGTGAACCGCCAATTCAAAGGAGCGTAGGAAGTGAATGGAAAATCACGTTGAAGTCAGGTTCGAGAATCCTCCTTGAAGAATGCTGGAATTGATCTAGCCGTCCTTCTGTTCGAAGATCTCAGCCAGCGCCTCGCGAACGTCGAGTTCCTCGAGGACGGCGCCGAAACTAAAGCTCCATCAGCAACGTTATCCAACCGTCAAATCCCAGCCTCGGACTCACCCATAACAGCGAACCTTCGCCGTCAGCGCCTCCTTGATGTTCTCGAAATCCTCTTTCCCCATCTCCAGCACACGCGGATGCTTCCGGATCGTCACCCATGCCATTATCGGGGTGATCTCGCCGTCCAGGGGCAGGCGGTTGCTGAGGTCCAGCAGCTTGACCAGCTCCGGCATAGACATGTCGGGCATCTTGTGCGGGTACTGGTCGTCGGGGGAGTGTGCGACGTGCGACTCGGGGGGGCAAGTCGCCATGAGCACGTGGCCGGAGATCTCGCCCTCGGAATCTTGGGAGCGGACCATGAGGAATTGCATGTGGTCCATGCAAGGGCGTTCGAGGCTGGGGAAAGAGGATGTTAGTAAGGGGAGGGGAAGGAGGGGTGATGTGGAGGAAGGATGTGGAGGGAAGAGAGAAAATGGACGGGTGGGATGTAGCGTGGTATATGGGACGAGGTAAGGAGGATGGGGTTGTGTAACGGGCAAAGCTGAAAGGGAGGGATACAATTTTGCCACGACCAACCGATGGTCGATCATGGGAGCAACAACAAGATATAGATGTCATCAACCCCATCCTCCGGATGGGAAATGCGTGTAAGAGAGGGACGCGCTCATTCATTGGGTGGTGGAGAAAGGTATGGATTTCGGTCGTACGTTAGAACAAAGTCAATCCCAATCTGGTCATAGTCGACGCCCTGTTGGCCAGGGGCCATGGTTGGTACGGGAGGTGGTGCTCGGCCTGGTGGCATATTGCCAGGAGAAATGTTCGGAGGAGAGGTGAATCGAGTGGATTCGGTGTTTGGTCCATAGCTATGGACGCTGCCGGCCGAGCTCGCATCGCCATAGGAGCTATTCTGCCGATTGATGCTTAGAGACGGGCTGTTGATGTCGTAGTGGATGCCATGAGCGGCAAGGACCTCTTTGAGGCGACGGTTCTCTTCCGCAAAGTTGTCGCGTTCGTGGACGGTCTGAGCGAAGAGATCCTTAAGGCGGAGGACCTCCTGCTCTAGTGCTTTGATGTACATCTCTTTTCGCTCGCGGTGCGTCCTGTGGAACGTTAGTGGCGAATTTTCGGCGGTCACGTCGTACAAACCGTTGCGCTTGTCGATTTAGTTCTTGACGACGTGTCAACGCGGGTTTGCTGTCAGGTTTCGGACCACGACGCTTGGGAGTTTGGCCATCTACGAAGAATGAGTGCGCGCTCCGTATAACCCTACACAAGCTGCCGTACCTCGAGTGGTCTTCTTATCCCCAGTAAGATTCTTCAGAAAGCCGAACATCTCCAGAGGGCCTTTAGAGTTGCCAGTATCACTATTGTCGTCTAGAAAAATCAATGTTAGCCACGAGAACCAAAAAAAGTAGACTAAACGCAAGCAACAATCAATCCTTAAATTCAGAAGTGACATGTGTGTAGTATTATTGGAGAATTTCCAGAAATAGTTGGACTTCATCGAGTGCAAGACTAGTGACCTCTCGCTGATCCACTGCCCAAAATGACCGTATGGCATCACCACATGAATCAGAACGATCCAACAATGCCACAGAATTCTCGAGCTTGAACTAGAAATGACACGACGATCGCAAAGATGACACTGTCTTCTGACAAGAGCATAAAGGAGAAATCAATGGACTCACAATTGGCCATATTATGATCCTGTTCGATATATCCTCCAGCGGGCATATGCCCAGGCGGCGATACTGAAGTAGACATGGCTGGTCAAGATCCTCAACGTCTCTCACAAATGTAGAACTTCAGGAAAAGAGTCGCAAGTTTGGGTTTAGAAGCTGTTGGAAAAGATGTCAGAGTTCGTCCTTGAGATGGATGATAAATGAACATGGAACGTATAAGAGTGGCTGAGCGAGGAACCCGCCCCACATGTAAATCACATGGAGATCATAGCTCGAGATTAGAATGCAGAATTGAAAGAACACAAGTCCTCGATTGATTCGGTTTGAAACGAGACATGCAACTGTACGCCATTGGGGAAACAATGGTACCTGAGAAGATTGACGGTTCGAAAATTGAAGGTCTCCCCAGTCAGCTGCCCAGAGTAGCATTCGTGAATACCAAAGGGATACTCTTTCGGAGAGGGCATCCCTTATGCCAAGTACCCCGGCATTGATGATGTGGATATGTATGTGTGGCAAAGGCAATCATACGCACCTATACGTAATGCATTTCCTGGTCTTCCTTCAATGATAGATATCAAGAGGCTCCTCGTCCAACTTTATTGTATGTGCCGAACGCGTTTTCCGATTCAACGAGACTGGAGGAGGCACCGATTGAAGCTCGTCAGGCCGATTTTGCGGACAGTTCCGAGGTATTGGGTACGTCCGAAATGCGGACACAGAGTCGATATTTCTTAGAGAAGAGGATATCGTTCAGGTGCGTGTCGCGAGCCGTAGTATCGTCGACTCGTCTCGATTCGTCGTCAACCGGCGAGTAAGGTAATGGGTACGTATTTGGAATTTTAGTGTCCACACGCCTGTCAGCTTTGGTCTCCGCCCGCCCCTTCCGGCGCGAGGAGCGTAGCCTGATCCCGGTGGAATTAGCGCAGCAATGGTCGATCTACTTCCCTCCCCGCAGGACAAGATATCGATGGGACGATGGTCACACTCGCGAGAGTGGTCTTGGAGTCAAAGTGGTGGGGAAACTATCAAGAGGAACTGTGGTTGAGGTGGAAGCGAAGTACCGCAATGACCCCCTGGTCGACTGTGGCCCTTCTCGCCGGCTCGGGTCGCGATCCCTTCTCTTGCCTGGTTAGACTGTCAGGTTAGGTCAATGTCCGTGCCGGTGGCGTTTGGTTCGTTGGTAATTGGTATTGAGCAACAATCAATTCAGTTGTCCTGGTGGACGAGATGGATGAAGAGGAGAGTGCGAAAGTGTAAGACAAGATGAAATCAGGCGTTCTATTCAGCGACAGGAAGAGACGAAGTGATCATGCAAGCGCAGGGGGGAAGCGTTCCCGGCTTGAGAGCTCCCAATTCAGACTTCGGAGCTTGCACTATGCTGCTTTGGGGTTGATCTGCAGCATGATAGGAGATGTTTTGTAACGTGAGAAGCGAAGGAACTTCTAGAAGACAGTTACTAACCGCCTGACAGAGTTTCACAACATTCCCCGACTTATACGCTATCGGGATGGGTATCACAGGACTGAGGACACCGAGGGCGACAATAGGGTAACGGGCTTGGTTATATGGGGTAACATTGGGTTCTTCCACTCATGATGATGTGAGTGATAAACGAAGAGATGATGGAAATTGAACGAATGATTATAATCTCCATGTCCAATGATGATGCAACGACAGTGGTATAGCAGGAGAAGTTCCGTTGGCACTTTAATCTGGGGTTCTCGTATTAAACGAGACGTGAGCTGCCACATTTCACCTTGTGCCTTCGCAAACACCTCATCGTCTGAATTTACTGGACTCCCACATCTTCGGGAACCGGTCCGATTCCGGTTCCACCTCCACCGTTCTCATGCCGATCGGAGTGCCAGATGTCTGATCAAGGAGGACCAGTATGGGAATTGCTGAGAGGCCTGCATTCCATTTCCAAATAGACACCTTCTGGGTTTTATCGACACAGCGATTTTCGAAGGGGATGGGCGGTGGTATTATTTAGGTGTTTCCAGCCCTTGAGGATGTGAGGGTTTGAAAACAAGGGGGAGTTGCTCCATCCGAACTCGCCGAAGGCGGCGCGAGCCTGGAAGTGGAAGTTTTCTACTCCGTACATTGGGTGCTACGATGGAGAATCTGAATGTTGAAATATTACAGCTCATCTTCGACCATGTAAGGTCTCTGCTTCACCCATTCGAGAAATATCTAACACCACTAATAGGTATATCTCGAGAATCGCAGAGATATTTTCGCGGTAACACTCGTATCTAAGCTATGGCATTCTATTGCGCAGATAGTTCATGATAGGAACATCGAGATCGTCCTCAGCAAGGGATCATACAACGCTAACCGGAAGGTCTTCGCTCGGCTCCGCTCTAAGAGATTCCTCTCTCGAGTTCGCAGAGTCCATGTAGTGGACTGGTTTGGGTCTGGTCTGATACCATGTTGCCCAGTATGGCCGTATGCGGAGCATGATATGTCTATGGAACTACGCGAGGATAAAACTTGGATCCAATTCCGGGCGCTAGTGAAGCAGATGAGCAATATGAGACTCACTAATTTCAGGTATATTTCTACTCCTATGGAACTTGGAAACAATCATACTAAGAAATTCTGACTCTAGATGGTCAGTCAGCTCAGGCCGCCTTGCCCGAGCCACTTCTGGAGCTGCTTATAAGGAAACCACACTGTCGAATTCATATCGACCTGCGAGATGACCTGCCTCCTTGGACCATGTCCAGCTACGACTACCTGTTCCCAGCCATGGCTTCAGAAGGTCAGCTGTCATCTCCGGAATTGTTGACATCAAACTTTTCAAGCTTGGGGATCGTGATCCGGGCAAAAGACGTACCTGCGCTCGATCGTCTAGGGGAGCTCGTTGCTTCATGTCACAATCTCAGAACCCTGAAGGTGTCGTGTATAGGAAGAATCACCAGGCCTATCCGACGTAATGGGCAAGTCGAACCATTCAGAAGGCCACCGAGAGGCCACCCTTGGAATTGCCAATCCAATGAATGTGGCGAGACCCTTCCAGGCTTGTTGGAGCTCGAGCTATCCAGCTTTTGTATTTGCGGAGACGTTGACGGTGCTTCCTATGAAAACCTGCCGTGGCAGCAATTACGGCGTGTCAAATTTACCTGTCCTTCCTTTCTCACCCGATTTGCCGGACAGATGACGCATCTCTGTGCTCTCGAGCTTCACTTGGATTTAAGATCCCCCGACATTGAATCGTTCTGCATGGATCCTTCATGCTCTCCTTCAACAGAGGATATTGGACAATGCTTAAGAACATTTACGGGATTGAAGGAGCTTCATCTGGTCAATGGTACGCACTTGCTTGATGAAACGCTGATCGCCCAAGTTGGTCCAACCGTTCGATCGATATCAGCGCACCAGCAAGAGCAAAGGACAACTACGGAAAGGATAATCCTTTCTAAAGAGATGCTGTTCACCATTGCAGCAATGTGCCCGAATCTGCGTTCTTTGAGTGTGGATATGCTCGATAAATCGGTATTGGTAGGTGCCTAGAAGCTCTACAATGTTACCGCCATCAATTTGTTTCCATCCAGCTTACTCAACTTTGAGACTTTTGCTAATGTAACAAATCATAGTACGATGAAATTTTGCCATTGATAGGCGAACATTTGTGGCATCTCACTGAGCTCGGTCTATGGTTTCCATCCTGGATGCCAAGACCGTATGACATGTCCCAACATGGTTGTCAGATGGTTCTCCATGGACATGGAACAGGTATTACGAAGTTGATCGTATCGACTCCAACACCAACGGGGACTATCGATTGACAGTGACATGTGTTGAAGGCAAAAGATACCAACAAATTGGTGAGGAACGTGGGGAACACAAGGACATTTGGACGCTACCAAAACATCCTGATGGTAGGAATAGTTATGCCCTCTTATCAGGACGGAGACATGCGCATTCGCAACACTGTGGAATGGGATCACTTTGTCCGTTGCGGAAGATCGAATCCGAAGCCATGTTAGAAAGTTCAATCCGCGTCGTATCATTGGTCGATGTCATGTTCGCAGACCAGACGTGGATCCTGATGATTTTGCCCGTTTTCGACGCAGGCGAGTCAACTAGATATAGTTAGATTAAGTTAACTTAAGTTAAGTTAACTAGTTAGTTATCGCAACGATTCTAATTGTTAAAAACGAAATGATATTAAAGGAATTGTTTACTAAGCGACTTTCAATAAGTCTCTAGAATAGAAGCCTCCTGGCGGCGTCTGGTACAGTGACTTTGATGGTATACCGGCGCGAGGGGATTCGATAGACATAGTATCGCTTTATACCAGCAAATTATCCACTCTAATCGATCAACCCACTGGAGAACCTGCAACGTCTGGTACGTTAGAGGGATTGGTGATATGAAACACGGGATAAACTGCCAAATTGTATGATGGATAGACGAATGAATGAATCGATGATTAGTCTACGAACCTAAGAGGGGATGAGCCGACTAATTAACTTTCTTGCGATACCTTCACGCATAGCAGTTGCAAACCGAGCTATCTACGTCCGGAGACGGATGTGTGGTGCTGGGGGGTTACACAGATAGACGATATAGCGAGGGAGTGTTCAGAAAAGATAGGTACTTAAAATTACAATAACTAGCTTCTTCCTTACGGTAGATAAGGAGTGACGATATGAAGAATGTCAGTTACGGACGGATTGATCCTGCTCGATACGCATCGCAAGTGAGGTTCTGAATATTCCTTCGTTGTTACGACCAGCCAGGCTGATGGTGTTGGTTAACGTCTTATGGCCTCACTATCCTGTACAGTGTACGGCCTGGTGGACACCTTATAGGTGGGTTCATAGGTGCCTCCAGTGCCAGGTGCCTCTGCTGTGGGCTGTGGCAGCTGCATGTGGGCGGGGAAGGAGCCCAGGCCTAGCGGGATAGGGGCCCTGCGTTTTGTTGGCTCATACGTAGCCATTTGTTGGCACATGTGTAGCAATTTAGGTGAATTCACTGCCGGCTAAACCTCGGAAGGCGGACGAATGTCTTAGCAAGAGATTGAGCGGCGGCCATTATATATCTCTACCTACTTTAAGGCATTTCTACCATATACTAGACGCCTAGGGAGTTGCCCAGGGGGATGAATAGGTGGGTGGGGGAGGTGCCCACGCCGTGTGGGGTAGGGGCCCGTATTTTGCTGGCCCATACACTACAATTCAGGTAAATTCACTGCCCCTATTCTCGTGCAAGCTTTCCTTACGCTCCCTACTCTCGTGCAAACTTTCTCATACAGGCTTTCTCGTACAAACTTCCTCGTAAAGATTTTCTCTCACGCACCTACTCCTCGTGTAGACTTTCTCCTACGCACCCAATTCTCGTGCAGACTTTCTCTCACGACCCCACTTACCGTGCGAGCTCTACCCGCCTGATCCATCATGGAGCCGTAAAAGGTGGGCAACATTTTCTTCACATACGGCAAGACGTGATGTTGACAGCTACTTGAAGATATATCGCATATCATTCAATTCATCGAATGCCACGTCTGCAAAGCACAATTCGACAGAAGCATTGACGGAACCTCACAGGTCGGCCAACGTCCCAACCTTTCTCTTCTCTCGAAACACCCCGGCTGCATACAAGATGCCGCAAAAGCATAAGCGATCGTGGTCCGTGGAAGGCTCAAGGGTGCAAGGTTGCATTAAGAAACGAGCAGTAGCCAAGAGACGGCGAGAGGATTACAAGCTCGAACGAGTTAGAGCACTCATCGAAGAAGGAATTACGAAACACGATTTGGATGAACGGCGTGCCAGGTATTACTGTATGAAGGAGCATCCGGGAAGGTTCTGTAGTCAATGTAACCCACGGGCCGACGAAGAGGATAGTGAAGGTCTCAGCGATGAGGAGGCCGAAATGAGCGATTCTTGGAGTGATGGTCCGGTCTCCGATGATGATCAATCCCTAACATACTCCGAGATTTGGGGCAACGAAGAGGAGAAAGATACAGTCGTCAAATACATCAAGGGCAAGATCAAAGCTGTGGACACGGCTGCCACGCGACTTAAGACGTTGGTAGATGATCAACAAGCGGGGAAACCCCTAATTGGCGGGTTGCGAGGCAAATGGACTCTGTACAACTTGGATGTCTGTCCGAAGCGATATGAGCCTACTGGCGAGTACCACCGGCTTACCGTGAGCGAAGCGGCTGTCAAAGGGGAGCTGGTCAACCAAGATCGTGTTAGACACCCACCTTACGAAATTTTCATGGAGTGGTTGATTAAGGATGCTGCTGGGGACATTATACCTTTTCCATTCCCAACTCACGCTTCACTCGAGCCGGTCCCGATCCAACTCATGACAAGAGTTTCCGATGATGTTCCCGCCGAGATAGTCTTCCTAGGCGATGATTGTCTCTGGTTAAGAGTCCCGAGGTCGACTGTTTACCCGAAAGAGGCTAGTCGACTTGGGACGTCTTCCCCAATGATAGAATTTGCCGGAGTTCGCCAGACAGAGGCCGACATTGAGGAAATAAAGCGAAGACATGAGAAAATGGCACAGGAATGGGAAAGAGCAAATAGTCCCGAAACTTCTATTGCGGCGTCTTTATGTGGATGGGACTATTGAGATTCTACACGAGGCTCTTTGAGCTTTGCTCTCAACCACAGAATACTATGGCGAGTCTTTTCCCATTTGCTCGGCCACTCTGCGGTCCATTTCAAACTCGTGAAGACCACCCAGGTCCATAAAATCTAACATTATAAGTTCGGATGAATTATATGCTGGGGATCTTATGTGGTGGAGGTACTGACTGGATTGAACAACATTACAAGCTGGATATTCACTCTCTTGTTCCCCCGCAAGCTTTGGCTTCTGGACAATGTCGCGTATTTCGGTCATATGCCCATCGACCCTTGTATGTATGACCTCCGGACTGGACCAAGAGAGGATGAGCCTGAAAATCTTCTTTTTTTGGTTTCGCAGCCGATTCTACCACAATTTTCCAGTAAGTGAGATCTTTCAGATACTAACCCGTGTGAAATAACAAGGAAGCTGGAATGTGCAACATCGCTAAAAGTATATTAGCATTGGGTTCCAGAGTCGCCATGCGTATTCCGCCTTTCGTTGCCACTCCAGGGATATATACCAAAGTCCTTTATGCTCGGAGCTCTCCGAGCCCTATAGCCTCTTGTTCTGACCACGAAAAGATGTGCCCAAGGAGAACCTGGCGCAATATGGCTTTTTACCAGTCCCCCTCTGGCTAAGGGTACCCTATGCCGAGGAAACCAGCCTCCTTTCTAGCCAGGTCGCTAAGGACATGACCTACTTCTTACGACCCCATCGATCTCGGATCAACGATATCCAATATCATCTGGCAAATATCGACAAGAAACTCCCACCGACCCAACTGTTTAAGAAATATGAGGTTTGGGATGATCGACTGAGGCAATTGAAAGCGCACCTGGACAGCTAGAAGCCAGGAGGCATCAGGGGTCTCTGGGCAGACAAACGGGATAGCGGGCAGTGGTACACTTTCTGGGCTGTCATCATCGTCATTGGAGGGATTGGCGTCGTGCTTACGACTTTTGCACTAATCGTGTCGATTGGGCAGACGATTGGGACATTCAGGGGTGTTGAATGAGAAGAAACTCTGTTGCTAAGTAGCAACCAGTCTGTCCGAACTCTTGCTTAAATCCAGATCCGAGTAGCCCGTAACCAATCTTCCCCTGGGTAGGGGCTCCCAGAAGCGCCCCCAGGCGCTGAATGCGTTTTGTGATGCAGAGGGTCACCTTTTGACTTTTGTGAGCTACTGGGCACGTCAATGCTCATACTGATGCCTGACCCACCCCTGTATAAACCCTCACTCGGGCCTTTGGTAGCTATTACAGCCATTGTGAGGTCGGAGTTGCTGTAATTTTCCCTCAGGGTAGAGTCGAAGTGTCAGCGCGATATCAAGACACGATATAGAAGATGAACAATAGGGTACTCAGAAAGTAAAGTCCTTGTCAATATTAGAATAGTTAACAGGAATCGAGTTCTTCATGACTAGCATAAGCTTAGAGACTTAGGTTTTGACTTGAGAATAATAATGAACATCTTCGCAACCGACAAACGACTTGCAGTATGCAGAACGGACTGCTGCCACAGAATCAGGAAAATACCTCATACAACCCAAGATACAGACAAGCTGATGCAAAGCAATCCCTTGAAGCAGTCTCCAGTTCAAAAGAAAAACATGAGATGACCTCCGCCACAGGAACGGGGGGTGTTGTCATAGTCTTCGTCCCGGAGGTGGAGGGCAGTCCAGAAGCAATCTGTATCTATACTCTACTAGTCAAGGTGATAATGGGTTAGCTGTGGCGTCCAATTGAACTTGCAGACGTAGTGGAACATTCTTGAGATATGTGATGCATTTAGTCAAAGAAATCAATGAAGGTACCTAGTGGATGAAATAACTGTTTTAATGAAGTTTCGATTTGTGAAGCTCTGTCATGGTTCGTGATAATTATGGTTAATTGCCATACCGCATCGTAATAGTGGCCCAAGCTTTCTGAAGGTTCTCGAATAGTCGAATTCACATATCAACTCGAGCTTCGGAGATCGCAGATCACCGCACCTTCACTCTCTCCTTTATATATCGATAAAATGAAGGCATCTGTGTCTAGCTCCCTATTGCGACCAATATGCCGCCCAAGGTCGAGCATATCAAGATGCAGACCGCTTGATCGGCGGCCCTTCTCCGGAGCAAGCTTTCCCGGAACATCAGGTCTAGGAAGACCATCACAACCGACCGGATGGGCACCAGTACCATACGTGACGGAGACAATTGTAAGAGACGAATAGTCTAGACTTTCACTAAGGATCTCAACTGACTTTATAGGGAGGAGGCTGGCTCACATGTACTTCCTCCCTCCCTAGCGCTGTTGCTATTGAGTGCGTGAACTGACTCTCTTCTGAAGCGGATATCTTCTCAAGATTATTGAAAGAGCGCATTGTTTGCTTGAATGGCGAAGTCAACGATGCGGTATCGGCATCCACTGTGGCCCAGCTGCTATTTCTGGAAGCGGAGAACCCGGATAAGCCGATAAACCTATATATCAACTCCCCTGGAGGATCAGTCACAGCAGGTACGGTCTCTTACCCTTCATATAATCTGTCTAGAAATCATGCTAACCCAGTTCCGCCACAGGACTCGCAATATATGACACGATGACATACATCCGCTCCCCCATCCGGACGATCTGCATCGGCAGCGCATACAGCATGGGCTCCCTTCTCCTCTGCGGCGGCAGCCCCAATCAGCGGTTCATCCTTCCACACGCATCCGTCATGATACACCAGCCATCCGGCGGCTATTTCGGACAAGCATCAGACATCGCAATCCATGCGAAGGAGATCCTGCGGGTACGGAAACAACTCAACGAGATATACGTGCGACACATGGAAGCAGCGGGGAAAATCAGGACACTGGAAGAGGTGGAGAAGCTGATGGAACGGGATTACTTCATGAGTGCGAAGGAGGCGGTTGAACTGGGCCTCGTGGACAGCGTACTGGAGAGGAGGGACGAGAAGAAGGAGGGGGGGAAATTATGATTCTAGGGAGTATGTGGCGAGTGTCTATGATATGGCCGCAAGATATGCCCCCCTGCGACGTACAGGTACGTGGAGTTCAGGAATAGGTATGTACAACAGGTGTACAAAAGATGAACTTATCCACCTATTGAATGCAACCAACCGGCGCGAAATGCCCAAAACGCCGTTCCCATGCATCGTCACTCCGTGAATCGTCAAGATCTATGCTCCGGCTGGAGATTGCTGCTTTCTCGCTTCCCCGTGGGACTGCATACTTCGGGATTAAGAACCAGCTTTCGCACCTCGTGGTCTTTCCATGCAGCTGGATCCCGTTTCTGAAGAAACTTCTCGATCCGCTCTTTTTTCAAAAGTTGATTTCTCTCCCAGATGTCCCGATCGCTCTGGGATGCTTCGGGCTGATCGCTCACTTCTACCGAAGGAAGAACTTTTGACGCCGACAGTGTCTCACGCCTGGCCATCATCAGATGCTTCGACGCTTCATCATGCTTTGCATCCAATCGCGCTACATAACCCGCCGCGAACGAATCCGCTCGGATGGCGTTGAGCCCTGTGCCCAGAATTGTGAAGAAGACCATGACCGATATGAATGTCATGTGAGAGAAATATACGGGCTCCGTGCGCTTGCTAGAACCGCTGCTGTTGAAGAAGTCATACCATTGGGCGTCGGATGCTCCGGCACCTGGCTGTTCCCGCGCTTGGTCTTCTCGCAACTTCTCCCAGTCCTCCCAGGTTGCGCATCGGCTTGCTGCCCGCTGCCATCGAGGATCTAGAGAGCTGTTTGGGGTCCAATTCATCCTATCCAGTGGGTTCTCCATGTTTCCAGCCCATCCGATGCCATAGTTATCGTAGTTCTTCCGCTTGGTCACGTCACTCAAGAGAGCATGCGCGGCGACGATCAGTCGGTATCTTTCCAGGCGAACGGTAGGGTCCAGCGATTGTATCGCCGCATGTGAGCAATGGAGGGAGTGGTCGGGATGATATAACTTGATCAATTGCGGGAAGATGCTCGCGTTGCGGTCATACGGCGTGTCTCGGGAATGGTGGAGGACTTGATATGGAGTGGGGTGTGATTGGGAGGGCCATGGTGGAGGGGTGAATGAAGACGGCTGTCTATTCGGCTGGGACGAGATCGATTCGCCTGAGAGATCGTTTTGAGACTTCAGGAAGTCGTCGGAAGCGACGGTCGCATATTTCTTGCATTGTATCGGGCGCCATTGGATCTGATTCTGCTGAGATGCTCGTAGAAGTGGCAGGTTGCCACTACCGGCATGAAGGTGACATTGCAACGAATTGCATGCCGAAACTAATACACTCTGTTTTCGTAGGATCATCCTCCTGACTCCGGCATTGTACGATCATTTCAACGAGCAGAAGTGCCCGACGGAATTGTCAAACGGGAACCTGTGCGAAAGAGTCGGAATCACGAGAAGAACAAAGGCAGTGTATGATTCGGACGAAGTGGCACTGCACGTGACCTCGTGATGAATGAGAATCGGAAGTCACTCGGATTTCATAGTTACGCGTCTTCGAACTGTGCCATCTACTTGAACCAAACTGCGCTAATACAGGTTGACCTCATTATGAAACCTATTTTACTGGGTGTGCTAGTCAACATGAGAGTGTCTCATTGTAATACAAGACACCGTGGTTAGCTCGAAGCAGATCTCTCATCCAAGGCGGAGGCAGAGCATCAATTCTTCTCACCCGGATAGTCTCCGGCCTACTGAGTACAAGTTTTCCTTTGTGGTTGAGTGTGTTTCATTTTTCAATCTGGCTGTCTGGTAAAACAGGTCCTAAGAATTACAATAACTATCAAATTGTCAATGTCGAAAATTCCTGTCGCTATCCGCTTTTGTGGTTCCTCCCCTCGTAACCCCTCTGTGCCTGATATGTCCAGCACATATGCGTCCCATCTAGTCAAGTCCATTTCAACCTATCCAGCAACTATGAGAACCATGCTAGCACCAGGAGCATGTTAAATCAAACAAGAATGTATCAATGACCGATTCCCCCCGTCTATTACTAACACCTAAAGAGAACGTCGTGCATGTGGGAAATCAAACGAATGCATGGAAGTCGCAGCTGGCGATATGGAATTGGACATGTCTCGTTTGCAACCATCAGAACAACCCGAGAGCGAACTGGTAACGATTAGCATTTCCTCGATATTGCAAGAGCTGGGATACGTACCGGAAGAAGAGCGTGGCAACCGATTTGATTGGCCAAAGGAACGATTGCTGCGAAATCCTTGATCTCCCAGGCCCGCGGAGCATACTGGGCTAAATAAATGATGCCACCAGTCATCGGGACGATTATGAGGTACATATACTTAAAGTCTTGGACGATCCGATCGAGGCCGGCACGGAAACCCGATTCTTCCAGTTCCTTTGCAGTCGTAGTCCATTCCATCCTAATGCTGAAGAAATGGCAGGCAATGGCTTTGAGCAAATGGTATGACAGCCCTCCGAAGAAGAGAAGGAACATCGGTGTCCACTTCATAGTCTCGAGCAGCGACATAAAGAAGGTCTTCTGTCCCAGTCGATGCCGTAACATAGCGTAGGCGAGGGGGGAGACAACGTTGAAGATGACTGCCATGCCCACGAAGATCTTCCACGAAGTGATGTAAAACTGGTCGACATTATCGCCGAACCACCCGACAATCAGATAATTGGCTAGAGTTAGAGGGATTGCGGATGCGATGGCATAATATGTTCCGATATACGCCAGGATGGTGATTTTAGAGGTGATTTTGATGTTGCTGAACATGAATCGGAGGAAGAGCCGGGTAAATGGTCCTTTGATCGGCCACTTTAATAAGGGATTGAACACGAGTTCGTTACAACCGTACGCGTACTTCTCCCATCGAGCGAGTTCGTCGTACACAGTCAACGAGACACCCTCTTTGAAACCGCCATTGTGGTAGGCTGCAAGGCGTACAATAAAGCCGGCCATTTGCAGTCGGAGGGAGACGTCGAAATCTTCGGACACATGGGATTCAGACCAGAATTTGGTCTGTCCATCTTCCTGGAATGAGATGCTCTGGATTGCTTTCCAGCGGATAAAGGTATTGTGGCCGACGAATGGAGCACAGTCCCCGTTTCCGACGGCGAATTGGATGGAGGTATAGATCAGGTTCGTGAAATATGTGATGCCATTTTCGAAGACGTTGTTGACGACCTGTAGGATTCCGGACGCGTGCTGGATCAATGCCACCTCAGGACTCTCGTACATTTCGAGCGCACCGAAGATGAGGCAGTCCTCTGGCTACAGCGGATGTCAGCATTTTGTTGCGACGTTCTCAACAAATTACTTACCACACGCGTATCTGAGTCGATAATGAGGATGATCTCGCCCAGTCGCACATTGCCAGCGGCCCAAGTGCGCCCTTCGTCGGATTCGATCATCGCATTCAGTGCTTTCCCGTACAGCTCTTCCTCCTCCTCGACGCTCAGTTCTTCAGAGGTGCATCCCCGTTCCCGGCACGTTGCCTCAATCAGACGAAGCAACTCATCTTCAACTCGGATCGAGAAGTCCAGGCAATAGTTCATGTTGGACGCTTTCTTGAACTGGCCCTTCCGAAGGAACACTACGTCACCTTCATTGATCTCTTTATCGCAATGACCCGGTCGAGAGCACCATCCGATGCTGTTGATCTCGTAGAAAGCCTTGCGCGCTTCCTGGAGCTCGGGCTTGACAATTTGCATACCGTCATCGTTGACGTATATCGAAACGGTACCTCCTTGCTCTTCATAGTGCCTCACCGCCGCAAGAAGAGAGGTCACGGTAGGAATGATGACACCTTTCAGGCCTTCCTTATAGACAGGCATCTGAATGGTGATATGAGGGAGCTCATAGTTTTTGTGACGAGCGATGATTGGTGGTTTAGCTGCATTGCGAGGTTAGTCAAATCAGTCCATTCTGTAAATTTGCTATCTAGGACCTTTCACTTACCGGAATAGAATATAGAATTTCCACTCAGGCCCGATAACGGGAAGAATAGCTGGAACGCGGATCCGGTAATGACGATCATGAAGAACTGCATGTGTTTGAGTTAGCTCCATTACTCCACCAGACATCAGACACAAGATCTCTGAGATCTGCATCGCAAGATCGCAATGTTTCGCGTATCTTCAGCCTTGTGCATCCGCGACTTCTAATCGAGCCCTAAAGCGTAGCCCTTGCACGTAGGGCAACATAGTGTCGCCAAATTTGCCGCGGATTGGCCACCAGTGCAGCCTGATCAGCTCACAAGTGGACAGCCTTCGACTCACCATGACCGACCATCACCTTGATTCAAGCAAAATACCTTGCCATAATTGGTCATGCGGGTACGCCATGGGGAATATTGCGTCCAATCCGCGATATTTGGAGATGAAATCGAACGAATGAATTTTCCCACTTACCAACGAGAACATGGCGAATAGCGGGATGGTGGCCACCTAATAAAGCTGCATCAGCCTCATCTTCTTCCAACTTCAGTTGATGTGTTCGCACAACTTACCAGAGCAAACCGGATCATGCTTCCATCTAACCGCACTTCGGTGATGAGCTGGTAACGGTTAGTTGCTGGAGGAGACCTGAGTTGTCGGGTAAGGCGGCGACGTACCTTCGCGAGACATGCCATTTCAACGACGACCACAAGAACCATCGCGAGGCCAATGATGACGGCATGAGTGAGGAGCATTTGTCGTTTTGGTGGTGCATCTCCATCCTTCTCGGGGTCGAATGCTTGATCGCCTTCTTCTTCGCGCTTGATGGCTGCTTGAATCACACCAACCTTTTCGCTGATGATGGGGTCGTCTGGTGTATGGTAGCCGGACGGGATTCCAGAGTGCATGCGAAGGGTGGATTGCCGGGTGGGTGCTAAGGACGTCCGATAGGGTGACAGTTGGGTGTCGGGTGTGGCTACCTGTTCTCCCCAAACCTGCGGTATGTTAGAGAAACGAGGAAGTATATACAAGAGCTTGTACTAACAATCCCGAGTAGCCTGTTCTCAACGTCGGTACCGTGTGCGAGGATACCTTGCGCAGTGTCGCCCCAAACCAAGACAAACTTCTCCGCTCTGCAAAGGCAGATATATGCGTCTCGGGTCACTGTGCACTTGCCAGTCGCGATGCTCTTGACCGAGTCGACAATGGGAAGGGCGACCCCTCGCGGGTCCAACGGTATCTCGGTCTGGAACGGAGTCGTCTGGTTGAGAAGTGCTTGAGTGATCTCGGATGACATGGTAAAGGCGGCTGTCACTCCGAGTCGTTCAACTGCTTTGACAATGTCGGGATTCATGAACATTGGTTCAGCCGTATAGATACCATCCGGCCTCCGGAGCAGGACTCCAAGATTCGAGGCTCCGCCGTCGATAACCCCATACTCGCCTTCTGGTGGCTCAAGCCATTTTGAGTTCCCGACCTTTCGATGCAAGTATTTGACCATCTATACTCTTCATTCAGTTTTTGGTTTGCTCTAAGGGGTGAAGACATATACTTACAACATCGTGCTTATCCTGAGTGCTCGATCCACTTACTATGCTTGACGTTGCGCTGTCCCTGAAGCTCACAGGCGGCGGCATGGTGAACCGGACGCCGGCGCCGAGATCGCGTTCACTTCCTGAAGAACCCATCGCGAGATACGGGTTGGTGGACAACGACAAGAGATCAAGGCGGAAGAGAATCGAGTTGAAGATGGTTATCAACAAAAGTTTGGTCGCCTGGGCGGCTGGAGTTGCTCACAGGTCGGCGACTTCCACTAAGCCTCAATGCCAATATACCTGGGAGCACTTCAGCCTTGCAGGTTTACAAAGGCTCTGGAAGTCTAGGGCTTTCGAGCAAACATCCGACAACATCCCACGTCACGCTGGCTTTCGCTTGGGCTGGAATTCAGCTGAATTGGAAACCCAAAATTTATACAGACCAGGTGGATAACAATGTGGAGTTAGACATCAACGCGCAGATGTTTCGCTTTTTCCAACCTCGAGGATTTCATCCAGATGGGCAATCGAGCTCCAGGTTTACCGACCATGCAAGCCAAAAGCGGCACTGATGGAGTATAGTCCCAATCGACTGGCTCAAGGAGCGTGGTCTTGGTATCGAGAAGCCATGTGCAGGGCCTAGACTGTTACTACCATTGTTACGCCGCTGCTTGTTAAGGTTCGAAACGGGTATCACAGGAGACCAGGATAAGCGGGCTCCGGACAGATTGGACCAGATTGAGATACAGGACTCGGCGACATCGATTGCAGGCCATCTGGCGAGATCCGTGCAGGGAGCCACAATTGACACTAGCAAACACAACTCTCGCGAACTGCAGCATATTGACAGCCACCACATGAGGTGCCAGGTTGTCATGTTTCAGTCCGGCCTGGAATCTAGTTGGCTAGCCGCCAGTTCAGATCTTCTGTTATCGAAGCAGGAAAATGTCGCAAGCACTAAGGTTCCACGTAAAGACAGAGAATGTTTGGAGGATCGTTCGATACGAAGCAACGCATATAGTATGTCAACCTGCCAGAGAAGTGAGCTCGGGCTCCGCAAACTTCAAATTCGGCGTCACCGCCCGATTAGGTAACGTCGTCCAATACTCCCGTCTTTCACCCGTCAAACCGTTCTTTACGAACCATGGCCAGGAACCCTCGTTGGGCTCGTAAGTCCCTCAGTGGCCGTATGTAGCCCTTGATACTAAGGGACCGGCTACCCTAGCTACAAATTTCGACGTCAACGAAGTTCCGTCATGGGGAAAGAGCTGGGATCCCTCCATACCTCCCAAACACCGTATTTCAAATTCAGATATATTTTTGTCCCTGTGGCGCTCCCCAATGCCCAGGAAACTTGGCGACTTGATCACATAATCGCATACTGGCTGTTCTATGGGAATTCGGATGCCTTGTTGTAAATGCTCGTTTCCTCCTTGCATTTATTCTACAAACGCAGGTCGAAGATTGGCTGGCGACCTCTAAGGCTCGAACTATCTAGCGAGAATCCTGAACCCGATACGGATAGGCTGCTCTGAATTATGACCAAGCGGTTTCCAGAAGCTTGTCCGAGCTCCACCATGGTTGGACCACCGGATGGCCCGGATGTACCTCCTGCCTAGAACATGTGCTGGCATGACATGTATTGAAGACTTGCATAGACGAATATTTTGCAGCATCTTGCCGAGCACTACTTTTGCTTGCGGTCCGGAGATAGCTGATAATTAATATCGAGGGGTTCATTCGTTCTAGATTAACATACGACATACCCTCGAGGATCGACAGTTCGGGAATGTCTCAAAGCGTTCATCGACCTGCAAAGTGCAATCGTAGAGATCTATGATGCGGGGAGCGACAGATTACCGCCCGAGAAATCCAGAACACCACCGGAATTAAGCTCTTGTCCGCTCGTGTTAGCTTCCGTCTTCTACTGCTTCATTTATGCGGTTATGCCGGCAATATGTATGGCATGGACGACTCCCAACCCATTTCTATTGACGAAGTGATGGCGGATGGTGGACCTCGGAGTCACTCGGCCAAATACCAAACGAAACCTATTGAATCTTGGCCGACGAAGAGTATCGTATAACAGTCAACAGTTGAGCGTATTAGAACGCCTGATAGGAACAGGCAGTTGAGGTCTTGAGGACCAAGAATCCAAGACACTGACGGAGGAAGCGTGGGGGTGAAGAATAGGGGGAGACAGAACTGAAGTATTGAAATTTGCAAGCGGTGAGGCACCAAGGCAGCCTTGCCACCCGCTAATGGAAGCTTGGCACAACGTCCCTCTGCTATCCACATCAGCATCCCCAATCTTCATTCCTGAATCCTGCCCACCCGCAACACACAACGCCACCGCACAAAGTCAACCAACAGGACAACACTGATTCTTGGTTTTGCTCCTCAATCTGCGGTCAAGTACTGGTCCACCTCGTCGATGCCACTCTCTAACTGATGTCGTAGCTCTTTGTCTGGCTACCATCAATGGATAACGTTACTGTCTTGCTCTCGTATATATTTTCTTTCTGCCTCGTACCTGACTGCTCAATGAGAGAGTTCATCTCACGGTACACAGATGTTTCTATATCTGGGCTCACCTGGTGTTGACACGGTCAATCAATTTCATTGGGTACATATTCTTGGTATCCTAGGATTTCGGTATCATAATGCACGGCCAGCCATCGATACCTGTATCTGGGAACATTCAAGCAAGGGTCCGGAAAAGTAACAAAGGTATTCCGTATTGCATATGGATATCTCCTGGGAATTAATTGACGACCAGGCGGATCAGCCCCCTAGAGGCCTAGACGCTGCGAGTATGCAAGGTGAGTTTTGCCTTCACGCAAAGACCATTTGCCAATTGTCATCCATTGTCCTTGACACGGGCCATCGGACGATCCACGTCACGAAGCCCTCGGTCTCAAAATCCATTATCAGGCGACTGGAAATTACGGCGACAGCAACAGCAGTAGCACGCCAAAATGGTAATTGATAGCGATTGGATTTACGATCAACTCAAGCATCCATGCTTGGTAGATAGGAGGCTGGCTTCTGGATGGGTCCTATGAGGCACCTGGCTGGACAAGTCTATGCGGGAGTCTAGCGATTGTAGGCGTCTGATCTCCATATTGGGACATCATTTGTTTCCAGCAACATCGGTTTGAGAATCAGTGCCCGGTTCAGATCAGCCCAGTCTCCAGCCTCGCGGCGAACCTCGCGTGGACAATTCTCTATCTGGATATCGGACTAGTCGAGAATCTTGATTGGGAATTCATTCTAGAAGACGACTGGCTTGATTAAGTATATGAGCCTCAGACGATCTCTCCACTGGTTGTACAACTCCATATCCAGCCAGGAGGATAGTGTCTCTGTCGCTGATGGTGTTATTTCCTATATCAATTTTGCCTTCAACCAAACTTGGTTGACACGTACTTCTTCGGCTTGTTCCAATCTCCCCCCCAGTATCTTCAATCTCCACCCTTCATAACCGTACTGATAGCTAGTCTTTTATCGCCCAATTTAATTCCTACCCCGATAGAGTCTTTTCCTTGAATGTTTACCTAGCTCAAGGCTGGTCAGGGCATATTTGCAACCCAAATATCTCCTTGGAGAGAAGCATCGCCCAGGATGTCCACCTCCGGCTCTGGTTCTCGTGCACCATCAATCCATACTCCTTCTTCCAACCCATTTTCTACCCCATTACGATCAAGTCGGGTTCCCAGCGAGGATGAACGACGAGTCTCATACTTCCCGTCCACAGCCATCCAGGGTCATGCACCCAGGCAACGAAAGTTCAAGTCTGCTCGGTTTACTGGAGAGTACGAAAAACCATGGCTCGACGAGCCGAACCCGCGGAGGAAGTGGGAGCGTCTCATTCTCTGGGGCAGCGTGGTGATTGGGTTTGCCATTGGCGGTTTTATATGCTACATGGCATACGCTTCGGTCTCGAACTTCGAGTACTGTCTTGTGATGGATGATAACTTCGAGTCCATCAACTCTGATCATTGGGGATATGAGATTCAGCGGGGAGGTTTTGGCACCGGGGGCTTCGACTGGACTACGGACGACCCCAAAAACGCATATACCGACAGTGAAGGACTTCATATCGTTCCCACTTTGACTATCGAAACCACCAATATCGACCTTGGCCAACTTACCGATAATTACGTCCTCAACCTTACTACCGATGGCACATGTACGGAAAATGGCATCGATGAATGCTCTATCCGAAGCAACATCACCTCAGGAGACATCATCAACCCCGTCCGAAGCGCGCGGCTGACCACTAAAGGAAAGAAGTCCATCAAATACGGCCGAGTCGAGGTCATTGCAAAAATGCCAAAAGGCAGCTGGCTATGGCCTGCCATCTGGATGATGCCTGAGAACGACGTCTATGGTATATGGCCGCGCAGCGGTGAAATCGACATTGCCGAGAGCAGAGGTAACCATGGAGACGACTACCCTGATGGTCGCGACAGCGTGATCAGCGCCTTGCATTGGGGACCGCTCCCAGAAGTCGATGGTTTCTGGAAAACCAGTGGAAAACACAATGTCCGGCGGACAGATTACTCAGAACAATTCCACACCTTCGGTCTGGAATGGAATGAGAACTACCTCTTCACCTACATCGACAGCCGTCTTCTCGTATGTTTCCGATCTACCAGTATCTACATAATTCACCCCATCCAGTCACTAACCCCCTCCCAGCAAACCTTCTTCATTAAATTCAACCACGGCCCCAAATCCATGTGGGACCGTGGCAATTTCGGGGAGACCATCGTCAACCACTCCGCCCTCTTCGACCCGTGGTCCCAAACTGACCGTGCCAATACTCCCTTCGACACCCCCTTCTACCTGATCCTCAACGTCGCGGTGGGTGGCACCAACGGGTACTGGAAGGACGGCGTCGGCAACAAGCCGTGGGGTGACGCCTCCATCGACGCGCCGCGCCAGTTCTGGGAGTCGCAGGGCCAGTGGTATCCAACATGGGGCGAGGGGGCGAAGCGAGGGTTGACGGTTAAAAGCGTGAAGATGTGGTCGGAGGGAGCGTGTGGGAGCTAGATGCGTGCTGGTAGGCGAGGTGCGGTGGAAGCCGTCACTGATGCAGGCGGCTAGTGACGAGCCGTCATCTTGGGTCGTGGGTAGGCATTGGACTATTCCATGCATGGCAGCTCGTTCTAGGAGGTACAGAAGCGCGTACATGTTTTTCGCTCAGCTTATTGGTAGCTGGGCAGCTGTTTTCTACGTGGCATGGCATGTTGCCTTTCTTTTCTCATGCAAGGAAGGCAAGGCACCTATTGAGGTTACAGCAGGATTTGGATGCTAGCCTCCCTACATCTTCCTCATTTATCCTACGAACGCCGGTGAACCATGATAAAAACCGCGGCGATGACTTCTAGCGGGCTTGGTATGCAGATAGATATGAGGATCATTAATTACGGCTGGTTTGCGGAATCATTCACCTCACGCCCGTGCAGTGCTCGTGGAACTCGGCCAAAATGCGTCTCGTGTTCATCAACTCGCATCTTCATTCTGATTTCTGACCTTAATTCCGAGTAATACTTTGGGAGAGCCTGCCCAACCGCAGACCCGACTCATGCACTCTGCAATCCTTCGCCAGTTTATTGAATCTAACCAATCTAAACCACTATTTTTGGTCGTTATCACGAGAAATGCCAGGGGCGGTTACACTTTACAGACCAGGTCTGGACCCTCCCGCTGTTCCGCCCCTGTCTATCAACCGTGACTAGGGTCGGGATCTCACGCCTTGAGATCTCGACCCTCGTCCCTGGTGCTCCTAGCCCGGCCTCAGAAATTAGAAACGAGCTCCATCCGGTTAGTTGCCGCGGTGGGGAGAGTGCTAGTGGAATACCGGTGCGCATCCCTGCCGGCTGAACCTCCCTATTACCGAATTCGACGACGGTTGGGGAACGTCCCTCGCCCTTGTCTCAACCTTATCCCTTCGCATGCATCCTGCTGTCCGACGTTCACAATTCACACTTCGCACTGCGCTGCTGCAGCGGTAGGTGCCCACCCGTGACTGGGTAGCTCGTTGTCGTCATGGGAATCGGCACTACAAGGCCCAGAAGGCTGTGGAACAGTGCTGGGCGAGTGACAACTACCGACAGCTACTGTACAGTGGGCAGATGCCTTGGATCCTGGTATGTACAGGTACGGTCTAAAATTCTGCTCGGTAATAATACCGCCTGTTCCATGGTGATCTGGACCGTAGTGGGTACATGTTCACGCTCGTTGTCAATAAAGACACCGGCTTGACATGGCAGCTCGTTAGCGCCGACGGGTAGTGCCGACGCATACGGAGTACATCTCATACCATCTCTTGGTATTGGAAGCACAGGTGCCAAATTCACAAACCTGTTGTCTTGACAATGACAATGACAATGACAGTGACAGCTGCATCAGTCGTGGCACTGTTGTCAAAACTCAAAAGTCTCCCCAAAGGCCAAAGCTGAACATGCATCATCAACGTCCCTGAAGATGGTCCTCGCTTCGAATCGCCCTTTTTGTGATCGGTTACCTCTCTCTAGCGCTCGCATCAAAAGCTTATTATCTCATCTCACACAGTCACGTCTTGTACGGATCCACTTAGACCATCCATCTAGACTGTTCGAATTCCGATGTGCCCGATGGCTTCGATGATACGGAGCACAACGTCTCGCTGAAGCAATTGTGCGCTTTGTGGTGGTTATGAATCTCTGTGTTGGTCCCTAACTCCTGAGGATGTCAAGTGGCGTTTTGGACCATTGATTAGGAGGTTCCGTCTGCGTTCTCCAGTCTCCTTGATATCTGCCGATTGGAACTCCGAATGACGCATAATTCGCATGCCCGAAGTCTTTTGCTGTACATGCCAGTGATGCCACATAGCTAGAATAGGTCCCCCACGCGGCCATACCTGTGGAGAATGTGTACGATTGGTCGACGACTGACTGTTTGGAACTTTGAAAGGGTCTGATCAGCGTCTTTGTTCCAGGAAACACAAAGTTCGCATTTATGCTTCAGATCTGGTTCCACGGCACTGGAGAGAATGCTTTGTGCTGTCGAGATCCCATTGTACTTTCTGCATGACAGGAATCTGGGGAAGTAGGTGGAAAACATGTCGTGGAAACTCGTACCTCTTGCATACCTGTATATTTACCACTGGCGGCAGTCGTATCCATGCGTCAGACACAAAATCAGCTGGTTCTTAGGCTGAGCCATATAACTTAAAAGGTGTACAATCTAGATTCCAGAAGACTCCTGTGTTGAATACGAAAGGAGAAAAATAACCGCTCGCTGAAATGATCACTGTCAGCAGTCCACACGCCACTGGCTGCGACGCTTGGGACATCTCCCGCCTTGCGAAATAGGTGGAAATATTATCGATTCTACCACGGGCACCAGAACATCTCATTTAATCGCCCAACCTATACTAAACGCGACCGATGAATGGGGGTTTCAACATTTCCGTCTCTAACCCCCCGCCAATTGCCCCAACTATAGATAATTGACCACGATAAGGGACGCAATTATCAACCGCCACCAAATCTCGAACGCAAAACGATCAGATCTCATCATCCAGGCTTCATATGGGCATGGTCAGCGCTCAGATCACTGATACCAGTGAGCACCGAGCAGGCTGGAAGAGTCTCGACCCCACTCTCGCGAGTTATTGGGATGTGGAAGGGATACCTCCAGGGCCCAGCGGCGTGCCTGGGCCCTGGCCCGCCGACCCCTGACACCCGTACGGGGTAGCATCGCGACCCCCCGGCAGAGCATGCAACGCCTCGAGCTGCCACCCATGATCGACTCTCTCCACCGTGACCTGAGCATTTTTTTGGACGGGCTTTACATACCTTTGTGACCATTTTGTCAATCATTTATAGGATATTTCGGGCTGCTTCATGGAGAAACTTGGGTGAGTTTGGACGGAAGAATTTTGGATCCACTCATTTATTTCTTATCTTTAACCGTTGCATTCGTTTATAAATGAGATATTGAGAATTGGTTACCTTGTCGAAGTTCCGAGCAGGTTCAGAGTTTCGAGCTCCGCTTGATCGCGACAATGGCGCGAAGCAACTTGAAAATGCGCGTCGCATTCGCGATTGCCGCGAGCTTCGTAAGTCCCACCACATATAGATTCCTCGCAGCCATACAATCCGACTGATCGTCAACAGCTATCACTCACCAGCGCCAATCCTCTATTATTGAAGCGCGCAGGCGAGATCCCCGACCCCCTTCCCGAGGGATGGGAGTACGAAGGATGCTACACCGACGCGCAAGGCGCCCGCACGCTGAACGGACCGTACACCTTCAGCGCGACCGCGATGACCATCGAGTCGTGCATCGCGTTCTGCCAGACGGGGGGTTACGTGTATGCGGGAACGGAGTATTCGGGGGAGTGCTGTACGTGCTGCGACGATTTTCATGGGATCCTAAAAACTCCAGACTGAGCCCGGTGGAGGTTTCGGCAGACGAGGCTAACGGCGTGGTTTCGTAGATTGCGGCAACTCAATCGCAAACGGCGGCACGTTGCAGCCGGATTCGGAGTGCGGAATGACGTGCTCCGGCGACGTCGTGCAGGCGTGCGGCGGGCCGAATCGGTTGACGACGTTTAAATCGGACGCGATCCCGCCGCCGGATCCAGTGCATAACCCGGGCGTTGGTACGTGGAGTAGGCTCGGTTGCTATGCGTAAGTAACCCTGTGTAGTATCTCTGAGCAGTGAGACCCAGAACTGATCTGGCGGCAGCGAGGGAATCACCGGCCGGGTCTTGACGACGGGGATGGGTACGCCTGGGGGTGGAAGTGCGCTGACAGTAGCGCTGTGCACGAGTGCTTGCGCGGCCGGGAACTTCAAGTATGCAGGTGCCGAATACGGCGGGGAATGCTGTGAGTAGCCGGCTGGTGACGTTGACGATGTGAGGATATGTGCGCTGACAGAGGGGATAGTCTGCGGAAACACGATCGCTAATGGAGGTGGACCTGCTCCGGATGGTGATACCTATTGCAATATGCTGTGCAATGGTAACAACGGGGAATATTGCGGTGGGCCGAACCGGCTTGACCTCTATGAGTATGCTTCCATTCCTCCTCTTTCAAGGTCTTATCAGCTTGGTGGAATTGCAGTTCGAGTATACCACGGCGCAAAACTGTGGCTGGACTGACCGTTGAATTCCAACAGGGACACCACCATCCCCACATCAACCATCTCCTCCTCCTCATCCACCGTGCCCACCCCAACAAGCACCGTTCTCCCCACCGGCTGGACCTACAAAGGTTGCTACGTCGACGGCCTCGCCGGCCGCATTCTCGCCCACCAACGCCCCGACACCCCCACCCTCACCATCCCCTCCTGCATCGGCGCCTGCGTCTCCGCCGGCTACACCGCCGCAGGCCTCGAATACGGCGTGCAATGTTTCTGCGGCAACGACCTCCGCAACGGCGGCGTGCTGGCCCCCTCGGAGACCGAGTGCGCGATGCCGTGCGCGGGCAATGCGGCGGAGATATGCGGCGGATCAAATCGGATGAGCATCTATGCGAACGGGGAGCTGGTGGTATACCAGCCGCCGGCGCCACAGACGACGGGGTTGCCCGGGAACTGGGAGTATGAGGGGTGTTTGTTCGACGTGCAGGACAATCGGTCGCTGATGTATCTGATCACGTTGACAGAGAATACGGCGGAGACGTGCTTGTCGCTGTGTTCGGAGTATGGGTACGGGGCGGCTGGGATGGAGTATGGGAATGAGTGCTGGTGCGGGGATATGAAGACGGTCGAAGAGGCGGGCGCGCAGATGATGCCCGAGGCGGACTGTAACATGCCGTGCGCGGGCGATCCGCAGCTGATCTGCGGGGCAGGCGGGCGCATCACGTTCTACACGTGGGGCGGCGCGCCGTTGAACGGGTGGGATTTCCCGACCGGAGCGGCGGCGGGCGAGTATCGGTTCCTGATCGGCGGGGTGGTGGTGCCGTTGATCACGACACCGGGGATCAACGGGAAAGTGACGTTCCTGGAGAAGTACGGCACGGGGGCGCCGAACACGACGGGGGCGTATGAGTTCGACCCGTTCTTCGATGACGACTTCGAGAACGCGTGGAGGGAGATGCATGTCTCGTCGGATGTGTTCTGCGCCGCAGGGTTGACGTTGCCGGACCGAGCGGGTCGGCAGTTGAATATTGGGGGTTGGGCGAATCTGGATACGTATGGCGTGCGGCTCTACTGGCCGGATGGACAACCTGGGACGCCCGGGGTGAACGACTGGCATGAGAACAAAAACACGCTTCTGCTCCAAGCCGGGCGGTGGTACCCAACGGCCATGATGATGACGAACGGCTCGATTCTTGTCGTGGGTGGCCAGGTGGGCGCGAACGGAGCGCCAGTCCCCAACCTCGAGATCCTGCCGAAGCCGGTCGGCGGATACGTGAAGCACTGCGATTGGTTGGAGCGGACGGATCCGTACAATCTCTATCCCTATCTCGCCGTCCTGCCGACGGGGGACATCTTCGTCGCGTATTACAACGAAGCGCGCATCTTGGATGAGTCGACGCTGGACACGGCTAGGACACTGCCGAACATCCCCGCGTCTGTGGATGATCCGAACGGCGGTCGTACGTACCCGTTCGAGGGCACCGCGGTGCTGATGCCGCAGTCTCCGCCGTACACTCAGCCGCTGGAGATCATGATCTGCGGCGGCTCGAATCCCGGCCCGGAGATCGGAATCGACAACTGTGTCTCGATACAGCCCGAAGTGGAGGAAGCAGAATGGGTCATCGAGCGCATGGTAAGTTACTCTTCGATGACAAAATCCCCACACTAACGGTCCAACAGCCATCCAAGCGCGTGGTGACCTGCATGACCGCCCTCCCCGACGGTACCTACCTCATCCTCAACGGCGGCCAACAAGGCGTCGCCGGCTTCGCCACCCTCAACCAACCCAACCGCAACGCCGTCCTGTACGACCCCACGAAGCCGCGCCACTTCCGCATGTCCGTCATGGCCAACACCACCATCAACCGCCTCTACCACAGCGAAGCCGTCCTCCTGGACGACGGCCGCGTCCTCGTCTCCGGCTCCGATCCCCAGGACCCGCGCTTCGAGAACCTCGGCGAGGAGTATCGCGTCGAGGCGTTCCTGCCGCCGTATCTGCTTAACGGCAGCCCACGCCCGAGCTTCGTCATCACTGACCGCGACTGGGCATACGGCGATGCGGTGACGTTCACCGTGAGCTTGCCGGGAAGCACGGCGAATATGAAGGTCTCCCTGTTGGCGGCGGTGTCGTCGACGCACGGCAATAGCATGGGTCAGAGAACCATCTTCCCGGCGTTTACGTGCACTTCCGCGACGAGCTGCATGGTCACGGCGCCGCCAAATGTGCATGTGGCGCCGCCGGCGTGGTGGCAAATGTTTGTTTTGTATAATGGGACGCCCAGCCATGCGGCTTGGGTGCGTATCGGGGGGGATCCTGCGGGCTTGGGCGACTGGCCTGCCACAGGAGGATTCAGTTTGCCTGGCGTTGGGCCAGTCTGACGGTGGTGTATAATCTTGATTTGCTTTTGGTCTTGAGGTGTATATGTTCAGTCGTCAAACATGGAGGTCGCCAGGTCGATGCCAGGGATTTGAGCATACCCGGGAGGAGGTTTACAGTAATTTGATAATGTATCTACGCTCCTTTGAGGCCTTGGTTCGGATAGGAAGCCATTGATGACTAATAACCAGAGTGTGATTCGGTATGATTTGCCCACAGAATTGCAAACATGAAGTGATAATTAATCTTGGCTGGATTAGGCAAGCTGGATGATGCTGGCTCGAGCTTCGATCTTATCTTGCACCCAGTAGTGCTGACGTTGGCCTTGACAACGGCACGAACTTCGAGACGACTTTGATAGCATCATCACATGGAGGCAGCATGTGGAAACATCAACCCAATTACATCTTACGGGTATGAGTGGCTCGACAATAGCAAAACAAGTACTTGGAGATAATGGTAAGGAAGGATGACCTGACCGATTAATGAATAAGACGAAGGATTAAGTCAATGCGGGAACAACAAAGGCGAAATTGCGATTCAACGGGCAATCAAACATTCTGCACACAACCACTGGGGGAAGGCCGATGGGTTGTCAAAAGAGGCATTGGAGTCCAATTGATTTTCGACGCACAGCGGCATGGACGCGTATGGTCTGGCCCTGGACGCGACAGTGTTTTGCCAACACATGCTGGGTTGTCTGGGTGTTTCTGAGGTCGGCGGCAAGAGGGAGATGAATGGATGGTAAGGCTCAGAGGGAGAGAAACAGCACGGGGGCAAGGTTCCGGATCAATATGGAGTGATTGATAGATGAGGAACACGCAACGATAAGTTGGATGTATTCAATATCAATATTATTGTTGAGATCTTCTATCATGAATCAGGATCAACCATACGTAGTAGACATGATTGATGAATTTAGATTTTCTTTGTGCCCGAGTAAGCAGTGCCGTGTCGATCTACGCCTTGACGCCTTGCACATCACGTGCTGACACCCAAACTGAAACAGCAACCGCAAACCAGCCAACCAGGCCGGGGTCAGACTGGCACCTTCCTAGCGGGCCACACCGACTCCGACGGCTCCCACGCCAAACCACTGGCATCACTTCCTGCACCAAACTGCGGCGTTCAGAAAGGGGCGTCCAATCCTCACCCTCACCACTCACCACTCACCACTCACCTCCACCACCTCACCACATCCCCGTTCACCCTCCCTCACCACCACCACCCTCACCTCCATCCTCCTCTCCCAAGTCCATACGTACCCTCTATTCATCCTTCGGTCCCAGAGGAGCTTCAATTCTCCCTTTGTCCTCCCTTGCTTCCCTACGAGACGCGTCCCATTGTCGCGATCTGGCTGTCGCCCTCTACTCCTACTAGGGTCGTGTGTTTCCCCGTCAACTCACCCATCGTGGATCGCTCCCCCCTTCAGGTTTCTGCTTTCACTCTCCATCCTTCTTTCTTCCGGACAGGATATTAACATTCGACCATCCTTCGAATCGCGCTGCACGTTTCGGACCCTAATCGGTCCGCTTGACCATATCAAGCAACACCCGCTTCCTCCGAACCATCCTTTTGGAGGCATGTCTTCAGCTGCCGTGTCAAACCGACAGTTTCAACCATCTCCACATGCTCGCGATCAATACTACCCGCAACAAGGTCCGAATGTCGCGACTTCCCCAGCGTCGACGAGAAAAGCCGTGAGGTCCCACCCCGGTAGCAATGGCTCGTCAACACATTCTCCTCCGATAACATCACAACCTCACCACTCTCCTTCGGGCTCTCACGTTACTGGCGTGACCACTCCCCGTGCGCAACCCGCTCATCCATCATCCATCACGGCTCCGACCATGCAGACACCGCCTGGTTCAGCTGGACCGCCGATCGCGCCTCCTCCTCGTACCTCCTCACACCGCGGCGCAACCACGACGCCGATGGATCCGCACGCAGCAACACGTAGAACAGATGAGCGGTCCGGCTCTTCCCGTCACCAAGCAGCGGCATCAAGTTCTGCTGCATCCCCCTCCACACATGAGCAACGAAGACGCACCCATCACTCCCCGCGGGATGCTCCCGCTCAACAACCAGGAAGTTCTAGTGGTAGTCGGTCAAAGCAAAGTCCAGGCCACAGTCGTTCCGAAACGCACGTCGGCGGCACGAACTTACCGCACGAAGACAGCACCATCATCAATCGGGTGGTCACATCGGATCCGCAAGAGGACCTGGCTCGCGAACAAGAGCGCATGCAAGAGGCACGGCCAATTCCGAAAGCCGAATCATCGAAAGCCGGCAATGCTGCTGATCCTGCTGAGGGTACCAGCCGCTCGGGTAGGAGCAGGCAAGATCACTCAAAGTCTGAGCGGCGCAAAGAGACCAAATTTGGTGATTATATCCTGGGCCAGACGATCGGCGAGGGCGAGTTTGGAAAGGTCAAGATGGGCTGGAAACGAGAAGGCGGTGTACAGGTCGCCATCAAGCTCATCCGACGCGAATCGCTCGGAACAAACCCCAGCCGACTACCCAAAATCCACCGGGAAATCGCCATTCTTGGACAATTACAACATCCAAACATCGTGCGATTACACGAGATGGTGGAGACCGAACGACACATTGGCATCATCTTGGAGTACGCCTCTGGCGGCGAGTTGTTCGACTACATTCTAAACCACCGATACCTGAAAGACAACGCGGCGCGGCGGCTCTTCGCACAATTGGTGTCCGGAGTGGGCTACCTGCACAAGAAAGGGATCATCCACCGCGATCTCAAGCTGGAGAATCTACTGCTAGACCGCAATCGGAACATCATCATCACCGATTTTGGCTTTGCCAACACCTTCAACCCACACGATGAGCTTGACGACGAGATCGAGCTGAATCTAGGTAACCGCGACTTCGTGAAACGAGCCGGACTGGACAACCTGGGACCGGACGGACACAGACGAGGCGATCTCATGCAGACCAGCTGCGGTAGCCCGTGTTATGCAGCTCCTGAACTGGTGGTGAGCGATTCGTTGTACACTGGTCGCAAGGTCGATGTGTGGAGTTGCGGCGTTATTTTGGTAAGTCTCCGATGGTGTACCAAACAACTTGGATATGCGCCCACGCTAACCGATTCGGGCAGTACGCGATGTTGGCCGGGTACCTGCCCTTCGACGACGACCCCGCTAATCCCGATGGTGACAATATCAACCTCCTCTACAAATACATTGTTTCCACGCCATTGACGTTCCCCGAATATGTCACCCCTCATGCTCGCGATCTGCTCAAGCGCATTCTCGTCCCTGACCCACGCAAGCGAGCCGATTTGTTCGAGGTTGCGAGACACAGTTGGCTGAGTGAGTACTCCCATGTCGTTGGTTTCATCACCAGTAGTACGACCACAACCAACGATATTGCCAATACCACTGTCCCGGCCCGTAAGTCTTTGAATTTCATTTCCAACTTGCAATTGGTGGACACGCATGACTTACACATTTATTAGAAGATAACTACGAGACGCCATCACTCGCTCGCAGTGCCTCCGTACGTGAGCCGACGAAACCCCATGCTCCTGTCTCTCCAGTCGGTGGTCTTGCTTCGAAACAAGGCACGATCGACCAGACCGAGCCGGACGAGCGGACGAAGCAGAGAGACGCCAAGCGACGGACGGTGCAGGTTGAGTATGTCGCGCCGAGTTCCTCGACTCAACGTGGCGATGGCGCGCAGCCGACAACAACCCTTCCGGCCCGAACACGCACTCATAACCAGGGGTTTGTCGAAGCCGAACGTATTGATCCAGCGCGATCCTCCGCGATGCCAGACCGAAAGTCAGAGCGATCTGCTCGTCCTCCTCAGCGAGCTACGTCAGATTCCCGTGCGCTCGACAATTTCGCATCAACTTCGGCGACCCGTCCATCTACTGGTGGCTCTATAAGCGGTGCACGACTCCCTTCCCGGGGAAACTCATATGGTCTGCCATCAGAAGCCACCGTCGCGCAAACCAACGTCACTGGTCATTTCTCGCAACCTCCACGTGGTAAACAATACAGCATGTCCGGTCCTCCGCCGATGGAGGAGATATCCATCGGCCGTCCCAGCACTCAGCGACGCCCCTCGAACTACGACCAGCTGGAGCAGAAACAACTAGCCCCTCACCGTGGCCACAAGCGGTCCAGCACCCTTAGTGGTATGACCGATAGGCTCTTCGGCCGCAGCGGCTCCATCTTCGGTGGCGCTCGCCCTTCCCACGATGTGAATCGGGAGAAAAAGAGCTACCCACCCACGAGCATGCCGCAATCGGTCGCGAACGACGAGCGGGGTCCGCCTCGTAAAAGTACGGAGAGCCGTCGCACCAGCTTCGCCTTCCACCGCAACACCAGCAACCAGGACACCTCCGCACCCGCCTCATCCACTAAAGGCGCCCGCCGCTTCTCCTCCCTCTTCTCCTCCTCCAATCTCATGGGCAAGCTCGGCGGCACCGCCTCCAAAGACCACCCCCTCCCCCCCGGCTCCTCCCAATCCTCCGACCCCCGCATCGCCGGCCCCCCCCGCCGCGCCTCCCGCCCCGGCACCAACCCCACCCCCACCACCTACCCCCGCAACGACACCCGCTCCGCCAGCGACGGAACCACCGCCAGCATGCCGCCCCCGGTCACCACCCACCCTTACCCCGACGGCCCCCGCGCCGACCACCCCCTCCGCACTGCCACCACCGCCAGCACCCCCAGCTCCGCACCCCCGGGCCTCTCCCACTTCCGCGCCAGCGGTTTCGCTCCGCACCCCGACTACGACCATGATGACTCCGACGACGGCGGCCGCTACGCGCGACATCCCGAGGCGTTCTACCGCACCCCGCACAACACGACAGGATACCCAACGCCGCCATCCCAGGCGCAGCATAACTCTCACGCACAGAACTCCTCGCACAACTCCGCGCGACTAGACGGCTACGCGGACCCGAGTCCGCGCGCCCCTGCGCCGGGGATGTATCCCTCAGGCTTCAACTCGGAGGAGCGGATGGGCGGCCCGAGGACGCGGGAGAGCGCGAGGGAGCGGGAGGGGCGCGGGGTGCTGCAGAAGAGCAATCGGCGGTTCGGGGAGGAGTATGAGGGGCATGCGGGAAGTAGTGGGGCGGCGAGGCGGGTGATGGATTTTTTCCGGAGGCGGAGGGCGAGGGACGAGGAGTAGGATGTTGAGGGTTGAGCGAGGGCGAAGCAGGGCGGATCTGGGTGTTTGGGCGTCTATTTTCCGTCGTCTTTTTTCTTCGCTTCTCTGCGGCGTACCGTCCCAGCTGTCTGTTTATTCCGGAGTATTTTCTTCCTTTCCTTCGCAGGGTCCCGGGTCCGGGTCATACAGACCGAGGGTTTTGAGGTTTTGTCCGCGTTTTCCAATACCAAATTCGCCGCTTCTTGTCGTCCGCGTCCATTCCCATTCCATCTGGGTTGGGCTTTGTCGGATGTTTATATCGAACTTTCCGGGGCTTACATACCGTATAGTATTGTACCTTTTTCCCGTTCCATAATGTGTTGCGAACCTTTGATACATATGGTGCAACATCGGCGTGTTCTTCTGCTTCTGTATTTAAGTACGTACCATACCGGCGCACGCGTCGCGGTCGAGCTCGTTCTACACGTGGTTTCTTTCTCGAGACGATATTCACCCTTCGTTATACGCGGTGGTGGAATTCTATATTCTGTGGCTGGCCGCCCTGCGAATACTTTTCGTCTTGCCATATAAACAAACTCCTGTTGTCGGTTCGACCGATGTTCCGCGTGCGTTCTAGGGATCTCCTCTCTCTCACCCCTCTGCATGGTTACTCTATTCAAGGTTTTATTCGCTACCACGCTTGGAGCGGCCAGTGGACGGAAGTGAGCGAGCCCTGTTTCATAGCTGGATCTATATAGAGCAAGGGAGATGTTTCATTCATCTACTACCTATCCATTGCTGAAGCGCGATTGGTTTGATATGCACAGTGATTTGTTGACGCTTATACTACACTTGATTTTTGCCATAATATAATTCGCTCGCTGTTCTCGACATCGTCACCGTATGCCTTCTCCCTTATTCCGTGTAAGGCGGCGGCATGTCCATCCGTGGCCCATCGTATGTCTCGGTATAATACGCGAAGGTATCGCTCCCTGGATGCCGATCGTCGTCGGTGAGGCCGGTGGCGTTGGAGTAGCCGTCCTGGGGCGCCTCGACGCTCTTCTCGGCTGGGTAGTCATACTTTTCCTTCTCCGGGGGGAAGCGCTCTGGAGTTGGTTCGCGTGGTCGATAGACGGAACTAGGGCCACCGCTCCTGGGCCCTCCGGCGAATGGGTATCCGGCCTCGCTTGGGGCTCTTGAAGTGGTGGGTGTTAGGATGATCGTCGAATCGGTATAGGTTTTATTCTGTCCAACGTTATTGGCATCCACCATGGTGATTTTGCAGTGTCCTCAGATCAGTTCACTTACCGCATCCGCTCTCTTCTCCCACTCTTCCCTACTAACGTCCACCACCTCTTCATCCTTCCTCACCCTCCCCACCAAGTTCCCTCGGTCCCACACCCCATTCCTCAACACCCGCCCCTTGAAACTCGACCGACTAATCTGACACCCCTCCACCTCACACTCCGTAATCTCTCCCCTCTCCACCCTCGATCCCACCACCAAACTCCCCTTCACCTGACTCCTCGACACCCACGTCTTCCCCTCCCCTCGCTCCCTCCCCTCCCTCCCCGCAACAACCGAGCTCCCCACCACCTGACTCCTCTCCACCACCACCCCCCGCCCCATCACCTCCGCCCCCTTCACCACGCTCCGCTCCACCGTCGCCCCCTCCACCACGCTCTGCTCCACCTCCGCCCCTTCCACCTTTGCCGCCGCCGATATTTTACTGTCTTTCACGGTGCTGCGCTCGATGTGCACGTCGCTGAGCGCGCTGCTGCGGAGGAAGGAGCGCTCGATGGTGGATTTATAGGGTGAGTTGGAGTGGAAGTCGGCGGGGTTGTCCGGGTTGGCGCCGGAGGTGAGGGTGATGGAGGAGAGGGTGGAGCGGTCAATGCGAGTGGCGGAGGTGAGGTTAGTGAAGGTACAGTGTTTGAGGTCGCTGCGGTCGATGGAGGGATTGGCGGCGGGGTTGGAGGACATGGTGCGTGGGGGGATGGGAGAGGAGGATGGGAGGGACGGAGGATCGGGAAGACGGAGCATTTTTCAACGTTGGGGATGTTGTTGAGATATTTGGAGATGTGATTATGATCTGGACGTGGTTAGGTGATTTGTGAGGAGTGGACTTGTTGTTGACTTGGGACTTGGATACGGATGAAGACCAAGCGATGGACTTGCTTTTATCTACTTGATCATATTTCCGCTACTACACGTCCTGCTATGGACCGCGTGGACTGATTCCCGTATTCGTTAGATTCATCGACAGTGGTCCAGGGTTGGATGTGCGGCTTGCGTGGTGACGACCAAGCCTCAGTGCGGCCGGACAGGGGATTACGCAGCCCTACGCGTCTGCTCCCTTCCTAGAAATATTCGAGACATTGCAATGCACAAGCTGAGCTTAAAGATGACGTCCCAGTTCAGCGGAATAATTGCTGAAGGCAGATTAAAATGAATATGAATATGAACCAATGAAGCCACCACAGGTCAATAGGTATGAAGTCCCTCAATTCGTAACCCATCATTCGTCATCCCCGACCAATGGCCCGTCAAACCCTAGGAGAATCGCGCGAAACTATTGGAACCTATCCCCCTTCTCAGGCGGGTATTGTCCCTGAAGTGCTTGCCCTCCCAACGGCTCACCCACGCCGCTGGAGTACGCAGGCGGCGCTTGATTCCCATGCCCAATAGCACCACCCGGTGCAGACGCTCCACCAACGCTCGGCTGATACCCCCCGTGCCTATCATTCGACACCCCTTGCTTCTCATTCTGCATCTGCTGCTGGAACTCCTGGGGCACCTGCCCACCGTCCCCGCCTCCAACGACCACCTCTCCTCCGCCTTTGACGCGTCCAACCACCATCCCTTTGGCCACGCTCTTCAGCACCGCGCGACGAGACACGCCGGTCACGTCGATATAGACAAGCCCACAGTTCTTGACGCCGCCCGCGAGCTCCGCCGTCAACCCGCCGGCCTCGGCGCCATACCGGTGCCCGACCATCTGCGTTGCCGCCGCTCCGCCGCTCGTCAGCAGCCGCGTGCCACCGTATGCGATCCCGTCCGCGACCGTGCTGAATGCAATCATGCTCTTGTTCAGCAAGCCCGGCTTGTAGTTCTCGTTCTTGTACGGATTCCCCTTCTCGTCGTAGCCGATCTTGGATTCTTTCGTGCCGCGGCTCGCCAACTTGGCGCCGATGTTCTGGGTGATGTGGCTGAGCTGCCCGACCGTCTTGGAGGAAAGGCCGGCCGCGCCGCCGGTGAATTGGTTGATTTTGCGGACGCGCGCGTGGGTGTTGGGCTTGAAGTTCAAGGCTTTGTTGGCGGGCTTGGTCTTCGTGGTGAAGTTCTCGGCAGTGGATGCCATGAAATTCGAGACGTGGGAGGTTGCGGTTACGATAAGGCGAGATGCAGCTGCGGCATTCTGTACCATGGAGCTGTCGCGGTAGGCCGGGTGTCGAGCCATCTCCAGATACTCCTCCGAAATTGCCTGGACGTAGATATGATTGCCATCTTCGGAGACTTGGATCTCCACGGGAGCTGGAAACAGTCAGATCAGAACCAAGGACGGATGGAAATAGATACCCGTACTTTTTGTGCCATGCTTGAGCTTAGGATCCTCAATGACTGCAGCACCTTCGCCAAGCTCCCCAACAATGCTTCCGTTCTCTTCATCGATCAACACAACTTGACCGGGCATTCCACCGCCAGTACCTGCCGCATATCCCTCACCAGGTTTGAAGTTTGAAGGATTATACCCGTGGAGCCCCTTCTCAGGTGCTGGCGCTTTCTCCCGTTCCAAGAACGCCGTACACTGTGCGAGAATGGTCTCGAAGGTATCGATATCATCTTGCGTTACGGGATTCGGCCCTTTTCCCAGCGGAGGGAACTCAATTCGTGTAAAGGCGCCGGACTCTGGACCTAGATCCCAACGAGGAATCAAGTAGGAGTTCGGCGGTTGGTGGTAGATCTGTGTGGTCGCGGGGAGGGAGAGTTCAAGCTCGGGCGGGAGGTTCAGGTGAAGGTAGAAGTCGTCCTCGGGGACCTCAGCTTGTGTATTGCTGTTGGAGGGGTCGGAAAATGGGCTCGACGTGGGGACCATGAGGAGCGAGAGGGTTTGCGGCCCAGAGGGGGTAAGGCTCGATTCTTCGCCATTCTGAATATGGTACGCTTTGATACCCGATATTGTGAAGAGAACGCGAGGATCATGATGTCCAGACATAGTGACAATTCCCCTCAATTCAACCTTGCTCTTGAACCAACAGGTGGCTTCAGGGACTCGGGAGGAGCTTTGGAGATGTTATGGAAAAGGTATAGTTTCGGTGTCGCGAGGGGAAGACTGTATAGGATATTCACGTCCACCGATAGAATACTTTGGGATTAAGAAACCCTATCGACGTCGTGGAAGGAAGGAAATGAAAGGATGCTGGTGGAAACCAACATGTGTGATCTTAGGCGCCGAGTCTTGTCGAGTTTGAGACGTCATTAGGAAGTGGCTGTGCATAATCAGGGTCTATGGCGCATCTACTATTCAGCCTCAACAGCGACTTGATGCCTGGGTGCCTTTGCCAGCTGAAACAGAAGTTGATCAGGATTTCTCAATCTCCCCCTTTCAGCCCTAGGTCAAGCCATCATCGAAAATACAACACGTATAAAATCCAAAAGCATATAGTCCAGTCTGGGATCCAATATATTGTCTGCATTGTTAGGTCGAGCTATTCGTTCGGAGCATCCCTATCCTGCAGTCTGTCGTGTATCTCAAATGAGTGTCTGGTACTACTCATGGATGCGTTGTACCCCCTTCAGATATGAAAGAGCATATTTTGTGCGACGATACCTTCGATGATGCAAAGACGCGGATGCAAGACTCAAAATTATGGTCTTCCTGTACTAAAAGAGAATTCCACCGTCGTATGCCCACGGATGGGGAAGAGAGAGGACTCCAAGTTCCCCCTACACTAATCTCGGCTGGCTGTACACATAGACTGTTCGTCCAAGTCTCTTCAGGTCGCGATGAACCACATCATCACCGTAATTGGCTCGATTAAGGCGTTACTAAGTCGCTCTGGCCCAGTGAAACGCATATATGGCGCCGTTCGACACCATCTTCCAGAGCCGAATTTCTTAACATGGCACTATACATACTTCATCACTGTCTCCATGATTACGGCCATTATCTTATGGGGCTCCTCAACTCCGGAACATACTCTCTCATTTACCGATGCTCTCTTTCTTTGCGTCTCGGCCGTGACAGAAGCCGGACTTGTCACAGTCGACCTTTCAACTCTCAATACATTCCAGCAGATTGTCTTATTCGGCTTGATCATGGTTGGCTCCGTGATATTCGTGTCCATTTTTGTCGTCCATATCCGTTTAGGGGCCTTCAAGCATCGATTCAAAGAAGAGGTGGAGATCGCCGAGGCGCGAATGCAGACGAGGCGGCAGCAGATCTGGTCGGATTCAATGCGTCTTCCGTCATGGACACGGTCAAAGTCAACCAGCGAAGTTGTTGACCCTGGTGATGGAATGGATATAGAAGGGCATCCGCTCCCGCAGCATCAGATAGAACGGACCCACCACGTACCTGTCAGCCCTTCACCAGAGCTCTCCAATGAGCCACAAGGGCGACTATCCGTCGAATCTGAACCTGTTGAAGATCTACCGAGAAGAGATGTGGATGAGCCACAGGCAACGAACAGTGACAGGATTTTGCGTTCAACACAGAATCTCGCGGCGACGTTACAGCCTTCGGAACCCGCGCCAGTTGGTGTCGAAGGGGCCCTTCAGCGAACGCAATCAAGTCCGAGCCGCAACGTTTCGGGGGGGCAACGAATAGGATTTAGGCCAGACACCAAAGAAGCCAATATAGACACCTATCATCGGGCACCCGTACGACCACAATCCATCCTACATCGAATCTTTACAGCCACCGGCGTCGGCGCAATTAGAGGACCAAGTCATTATGGTTTTCACCCATTGTCTTCTTCATTCCCAAGAACGCCATCGTCGGAAAGCGATTACCCAGGAACCTTCGATTCAGCACGACGGGGAAGGAATCACTCCTTTTTCGGCCTTTCCGACCTCGATAAAAAGAAGTTGGGAGGATGCGAGTATCGAGCCCTAAAATTCCTGGGGTTTGTTGTGCCACTCTATTCCCTTCTCTGGCAGCTATTGTCTGCATTGGCGCTTGGTGCGTGGATGGCACAACACAAACCAGATGTAGCGCGTCGGAACGGTATCAATCCATGGTGGTTAGGCGCCTTCAACGCCGTTTCTGCCTTCAACAACAGCGGGATGTCTCTGCTAGACTTGAACATGGTACCGTTTCAGTACTCCATCTATGTCGTAATCACGATGGGCCTTCTCATCCTGGTTGGCAACACCGCGTATCCCATCGTGCTTCGGCTTTTCATCTGGATGATTTCCAAGATCGCGCCGGATCGGCCAGAGTGGGACACGGACTACGGGACGCTGCGGTTTCTCCTCGACCACCCTCGACGCTGCTACACGTACTTATTCCCAAGCACACATACGTGGTGGCTCCTGTTGTCACTGGTGGTTCTGAACACGATCGATTGTGTTGGCTTTATTGTCTTGAACATCGGAAACAAAGAGATCACATCTGTACCGCCGGGAATCGAGTTTCTCTCCGCATTGTTCCAAGCCATCGCTGTCCGGCAGGGCGGCTTCTCCATCGTCTCAATCTCTGCCAGTCGGGCTTCCCTGCAGGTGTTATACCTCTTCATGATGTACATCAATGCATACCCCGTCGTCATCGTCCTTCGAAACTCGAACATCTACGAAGAACGCTCGCTCGGCATCTACGCTGATGACACTGGCGTTTCTTCCGAGCCTGCCACACCCAGCCCCACCGAGATCGCACAATGGTTCACAAAACGCTTCCTGCGCGGCCACCACCATCCTTCGCATGAACGGATCGAGTACTTTGTCCGCCATCAGTTCCGAGCCCAGCTTGCGCACGATGTGTGGTTGCTAATTCTAGCGGTGTTCCTCGTTGCCATCATTGAATCACCGCATATCGACCGCGATCCGTCGACGTACTCCATGTGGGCGATTATTTTCGAGGTCGTGAGCGCCTACGCGACCGTAGGTGTTTCGCTCGGGTTTCCCAACCAGACGTATAGTTTCTGCGGTGGGTGGAGAAAGCTGAGCAAGCTCGTGTTGTGTGGGGTGATGATGCGAGGCAGACATCGAGGGTTGCCTGTGGCCATCGACAAAGCGGTTATGCTTCCGAGAGAGGGGTTGATGGAAATGGAAGAGGAGGATCGGTGGCGGAGGGGAAGTCATAGGCCGGAGGTCGGGAAGGAGAGGAGAGATTGAAGATTTCCATCTCTGATCCTGAGAAGAACGCAAAAGACGTCGTCGTGGAAGCGCTGCTATGGTTTTCAAGTCCGTTTTGGCGTTGTGGACGTTCCAAATCCCCTCAGTTGGTTCCATAATACCTTGTACGCCGACCCAAATCGTTCATCACTTTCCTTCCGCGACCAACGCGAATGTTTCCCATCCCCTCCCTAGCAGATACGCCTATAGTAATGAAGATACGCTGTCCAGCACCCTCTCAGGAAGTCCAATGGGTCTTATGATTCCATGAGAGAGTATTGTATGGCATTGGTCACCATTGATTAATCTTACTGGAGACCTCGCGGACATGTTTGCGTGCTAGATTTATGGCATCGGGTGGAACATATCTGCAATCGTTGAGGCAAAGATACTCCAACTTCGGGCAGTTCTTGACGAGGGCGCGAACAGCGACGCCGGTGATTGCGGTATTGGTCAAATCCACTCTTTGAAGATTGGAGGCTTGGCCTAAACCGATAGTCAGCCTTACCTGGTTCCGTATTATTGGTCAAGAATTCCGACTCACTTGTCAATTCGAGTATTGCTTCGTCGTCAACCCCGAAAAAGTCCCCGTTTTGAAGAATCAAAATCTCGACGGACTCGAACGTTTTCCATTGAAACATTTGCAGGACAGGATTCCCGTCGTTAGTTGGGGAAGTAAAGCAAAGCGTAACTTCACGCAGAACGAACTCCGTCAACTTGATGTGTGTTTCTTGGGAGGCGTCATCGGGACTCTGGAAATGTAGTATTCGCCTAAGAGCCTCTAATGAGACGTCTGCGTGCGATACGCGTAGGCATTGCAGATTCGGCATCATGTCACCTTGAAGGCACGACTCATATCCATCTTCCGAAACCACAAGGTCCGTGATTGAAAGGAACGTTACTGTGGGAGGGACAATCGGATATGTACCCGGGGGAAGCTCGCAGTATTCCAGACGTTGCAGCGGGCACAAGTCGCAAAGAAAGCGAGTTGGTAGGGAATCCCCATTAACGCTAGGCAATCGAAGCAGTTTGACATTTGGTATGACTAGACAAAATAGGTTCAACTACTCGGGATCAGTGATCATGGTCTTTGAAGAACAGGCAGATTCGGCATACCCATGTCTCGAGATAATCGTTGGCCGGACAGTAAATATGCCTGATGGTAAAAGCTTCTAGCTCTCGGCTTGAGAAAGTTGGACTTGGCAGAGGTATGGAACGGTCTAACTCCATTGTCGCGTTAAGGTCGAGCCATTTTAAGCTAGGAATATGTTGAAGCAGACTGTAGACGGCGTGATCGCTAAAATTCATATTCGGGCTATTCAACGTCAGTCGTTGGAGATTCGGAAATCGAACGCTTCGCATATCGCTCATGAATGTCTGCCAGTCCGAAAAGGAGGCGCTGACTTCCAGAGACCGCAGCTGGTGGCTCCTTGATAGAATACACGATCTAGCAGATCGCGAAAGAAAGTTTGTGCCAATCCTCAGAGAGTTGATCAGGCCAGTTCGCGGAAGAAGCCGTTCAACGGTACCGGGCTTGATCCTTTTCGACTTGGAGAGTAGCTCGATATCTCTCCATAGCGTTTGGGCCTGAGAAAGTCCGTCACGCCATGTTTTGCTCACTTGTAAGCAGAACCTATTTGGAATCAGCAGGGTAGGAGTATTCCAGGCGACGGATAGTTGGGCCATGGTCATTGGGGACGACAGTAAGTCAACTTACAGACGCTCCTTATAGGAGAGATTAAGAAATATCATCTCCAGCACCTCCAGAGGTACGTTCCTCAGGGGATCGACTTTGGGGCCTATCTTCATAGAAAGCCTGTCATGCATTTGACAAAGTTCCTGTACAGTATGAGTCCACGCTGTATGATTAACACGACTAATGAGCAGATGATACCAACCTTGTAGTGCGAATTTCTACGAGGCACTGATTTCAACCCTAACTTGTACAAAGAAAGTGCCTTCTTGTCCTTGAACCTCCCCTGCAACAATTTCCCCGCTCGAAGGTAACCCTGGATAATCAGCTTCTTGCTGACTCTTAGGGAATACAAGTCGCACCTTTCCCTCGCCGGGACATCTCTTCATCATCTGGTGAGCTTCTTGCAGAGCAAGGTCATTGTCGCCGTCGGCAGAGTGCATCGCGGAGCTGATGTCAAGGAAGTCGACACATTGATCGGGGTAGACCCTCAGAGCCTTTCGAACATAAGTAGGTCTTTGATACCATCGAATCCGTACCAACCTCTTGGAGGAGTTCAAATGCCTCCTCCTTCCGACCCTTCTTATACTCCGCCTTTGCGCGCTGAATGTACTCTGGTGGAGAAAATTTGAGAGGCATTTTGATTAGATGAAGTAGGGAGCAGGCAATGAATCAAATGAAGAAGCCAATAATATAGCCTTAATAGTGGTATGTGAATCCAGCAGATGCTACCTAAGTATGAATGGAAGATACAAAATGGGAATTGCAATAACACGGTAAAGGGGACATTTCAAGGAGACGCGTGGTCACGTGACAGGGCTAGGAATAATGCATTTCTGGCCTTTCTCGTCAGCCGGAGTTCTTATCGTGACATCAAGGCAACACACCCCGCAAATCAGCAGATACAGGGGCAAAGTACTTATTTACAGTTCCTAACAATTCACAATCATATTTTCCTCTATATTGAAAAGCAGTTGACCTTGATACATTCTTGTCAAATGGTCAATCTTGTCTGAATTTTCGTTGCGCTGTCCCAATTGCAGGGCGTGGAGTAGTTGAGCTCAATACGATAGTCAACCAAGATGCGTCTCGTCCCTAAGGAGGTCCGTCTCCTTCCAATCCTTGAAACCACACACATACTTGTCGTGGCTCGTGACGGGACCACGCTATGGTTTCGTACTGACATTGTGGTCCAGATCGATAAGCTTCTCATATCTCAGCTTGGACAACTGTCCCAGAGGAGGTTGGCAAGGGGTGTGCGGCTAAACCATTCTGAAGCAGCTGTACGTGACAAAACTGGAGTTGGAGAAAACGAATTTTCAGGGTTCCAACGGCTAATTGCGTAATTTAACAAGGCCTTGGTTGCACATGTGCTTCAAGAGGTTTGTCCCCAACGATCCATTCTCTCCAAGGGGTGTCAAAGTATAGTAGGGCTGATCACTCACTACAGCTAATTCGCGATGGAAACCACAATGTTGCTGCCCTCATGTCATTTGGTGCCACGATCCTCGGACGGCGACATGTCCTTCCTTCTGTTGTCGAATCCCTAGTGCCCCTACAGGTTGAAGGCACCTTTCCCTCCGGGACGTACCTCGTGACAGTTGACGCTCCTATCAGCACGGATGATGGTAACCTAGAAAGAGCTTTGTATGGCAGCTTCCTCCCAATCCCTTCGCAAGACAAGTTTCCTCCTTGGGAAACCCAGGTCTGGGACAAAGACAAGATGCCCGGCGCAGTCATGGTCGTGAAAGGCGAAGCAGGCAAGATCAAACTAAACGAAGGCCGCAAGAGGATCAGATTGAGGGTAGTTAGTAAGGGAGACAGGCCGATTCAAGTTGGATCGCATTACCACTTTATCGAAACGAACCCCCAACTCGAATTTGACCGTGTCCGGGCCCATGGCTATCGGCTTGATATCCCAGCCGGGACATCCGTCCGATTCGAAGCAGGCGATGCCAAGACCGTGACGCTTGTGGAAATTGGCGGCAATCGTATAATTCGTGGCGGCAACAATATTGCAAGCGGTTGCGTCGATGATGTTGCTGTCAAAGCTCATATCGAGGAGAATATCAGAAAAGGAGGATTCCTTCATGCGCCGGATCCCACTGCGGATGAGAGCCTTGTGTTTGAGATGGCAACAATGGAGCGAGAAGCATATGTGACGATGTTTGGTCCAACCACCGGTGATTTGGTGAGACTCGGTGCCACAGACCTATGGATTCGAGTCGAGAAAGATTTTGGACGGTTCGGAGAAGAATGCTCTTTCGGTGGAGGTAAGACCATTCGGGAAGGGATGGGCCAAGCAAGCGGACGTAGCGACCACGAGACGCTTGATACGGTGATAACTAATGCTCTCATTCTTGACTGGACCGGTATCTACAAGGCAGATATCGGAATCAAGCACGGGATCATCGTTGGCATCGGACAAGCTGGCAATCCGGATATCACCGAAGGCATCACTGAGGGCATGATAGTGGGCAATTGCACCGATGTAATCGCAGGAGAAAACAAGATCATAACAGCGGGTGGGCTCGATACGCACATTCACTTCATCTGCCCTCAGCAAGCCGAAGAAGCTATCAGCTCAGGGATCACTACGATGCTAGGCGGTGGTACAGGCCCAAGGTGAGTGGTAAATTTCCTACGTTTCTTGTCCTGCTTGTGTTTATATACTCTAATTTACCAATCTGGATATATGTGGGTGGCTTGGGAGTGTGTTGCACCCATTAAGTGCCATGTTCTCAGGTTTCGGCACACAGGCCGGGGTTCACTTGTTAGATGCGTACGTGGGTTCTAGTCCTGCGTACGCGGTTTCGATTCCAGGGGCTAGCACCACATAGCAAAATATTGGCAGCGCTGGAGTATTTCTCCAGATTCTACAGAAAAATAATTCGCAAACCCTCGTAGAGAGTTTCGGGGTCCCCACCGAGGTGGACCAGCTTTTGCTTCTCATTCCTACGCACTCTTTTTTTCGCAACTCTCTTTTGATGGCTGCTGATTCGTTTACTAGTACCGCTACAAATGCTACTACGTGTACTCCAGGTGCTACTCATATCCGTCAAATGCTTCAAGCAATTGATGTTTTGCCTGTGAACTATGGGATCACAGGTAAGGGCAATGATGCGGATCAACTCCCTCTCAAAGAGCAAGTCGCCGCCGGTGTCTGTGGTCTCAAATTGCATGAAGATTGGGGCTGTACTCCGGCCGCCATCGACACTTGTCTCTCGGTCTGTGATGATTATGATATCCAGTGTCTGATCCACACCGATACGTTGAACGAGTCCGGCTTTGTTGAGCAGACCATCGACGCATTCAAGAACCGTACCATCCACACCTACCATACAGAAGGTGCTGGCGGCGGCCACGCCCCTGACATCATCCGTGTTGTGGAGCTCGAGAATGTGTTGCCGTCCAGCACGAACCCGACGCGGCCATTCACGGAAAACACCCTGGACGAGCATCTCGACATGCTAATGGTATGCCACCACCTCTCCAAGAACATCCCCGAGGACGTCGCGTTTGCCGAGTCCCGGATCCGAGCGGAGACCATCGCGGCGGAAGACGTGCTACACGACCTCGGCGCCATCTCCATGATGTCCTCCGACTCGCAAGCCATGGGCCGCTGCGGCGAAGTGATCCTCCGCACTTGGACTACGGCGCACAAGAACAAAGTGCAGCGCGGCCCGCTCCCCGAAGACAAAGACATCGGCGCCGACAACACCCGCGTCAAGCGCTATCTCAGCAAGTATACGATCAATCCGGCCATCGCGCAGGGGATGGGCCACCTGATCGGTAGCGTGGAGGTCGGCAAGTTCGCGGACCTGGTCCTCTGGAACTTCGCGAACTTCGGCGTCAAGCCGCAGATGGTGATCAAGGGCGGGATGATCTCACACGCGCAGATGGGCGACCCGAACGCAAGCATCCCGACTGTGGAACCGATCTACATGCGGCCGATGTTCGCCGTGTCGGTGCCGAGTACCAGCATCACGTTCGTGAGCCAGGCGAGCGTGGATAACGGGGTGGTGGCGGGCCATGGGTTGAGGAAGCGGGTGGAGCCGGTGAAGAATTGTAGGAAGATTGGGAAGTCGGATATGAAGTGGAATGATTTGAAGCCGAAGATGAAGGTGGACCCGGAGAGTTATGTAAGTGAATCTGGCTGTGGCGATAGATCAAGAGTGCTAACTAACGGGATATAGAAAGTCGAAGCGGACGGCATGCATTGTACGGCAGAGCCAGCAGAGACGTTGCCGCTTACACAAAGTTATTTCATATACTGACCTATGTGGACACATGTATTACGACGCAATGGATCGTTTCATTCGTAGTTAGATATGTCGGTCGAAGAGTTCACGAAAAGTCCAAGTCCGCATTTGCTAGTTCTCAGACATCCTGTTTATCGCTCATCGGATACCACCAGCATCAGATCTGTCCGTTACGCCTTTTCCGCGACCACGGCAAGCACCTGCATCCATATTTCCCACCCAGGTTCCCAAGGATACGTTCTCGCCATGGCCCATCTGCATTCACACCTGATTTCGCGAATCTGCCCGTGACTACCTTTGGGGAGTACCGCAAGTATAGTGAGGGATTATCTGCACTCCTTGGAGTGCCAGTTTGTCGCAGCAAGGGTGAGTATGAGCCTTTGAACAAGCGCAGCAGTGCATAGAACATTTTCCGCTTCGAGTAACCTTGTAATAAGTCAAGAACAGAGCAACCGCGATTACGGCTGCGAAAATGAAGAAATGCCAGTCAAGGTAGAGCTCGTGAATAAGGAAAACAATGCTACCAAGGATGGTGGCAAAAAAGGCGCCAAAGAACACCATCCCGACGTAATACCAGTCCGAAATTTCAACACGTGGTGGAGGCATGTTGTTCTGGACATAGGCCTTTCGAAAGCGAGTCGAGCACTTGAACAAGATCAATAGTGCTAAGTTAACAGCTGGGGCTTTGGGCCTAAGGTTCCTTGGAGCCAGCTCGTTAGGGGCCGTCGGAGTCGAGTGTAGCGTTCGAATATCGTTCTCCTTGGGAGTGCTTTTCCTTTTATATGCAAAATTGACAGCGATGGATGTGGGTTGAGCATCGTCTAACCCGAATAATCCAGGACTCGTATTGTCGGATGAGTGATCGCTCTCTCTTTGGCCAACCTCCTGGATAATTTCTGCCGCCATCGCATGGGAGTGAAGTGATATTTCAGGAGATATTTGTTCTATCCCCACCGTGCCGCGTTTGACTTGTTTCCGGGTCTGAGGAGATGTATCTGGGAATTCAATGCTGCAGTCCGGCGTTGACTCGTCATCGGAACTGGGTTGGAAAATGCTAGGTGGTAACCATAGCGTAGGCATGTTGCCACACTTGTTGCATACCATCTTCAGTGCAAACGGTTGATTGTCCCGCTTGCGTCGTTTAGTTGCTAGCATTCTCCTGATGTTGAACATCACTGGCTTTAAGGGTAGAACTTGAGATAGTGATCGCTTCGTTTAGATTGTGTTCAAATCTGTATGGCCCTGCCTAGACTTGCGGCTTCAAGGTGGTGATCACCAGTTGTTAAGGAGAAGGAGCTGTCTAGTGATAAGGGTTCACCATAAGCAGACGGATATAGATTAAGTGTTAGCCTTTGGGTTGGGTTGTGTTCTGTCGATATGTTTGCTAGCTGAACAAAGGTAGGGTCATATGGCCCCGTGGAGTCTTGAAGGCGGATTATGATCCTTGGCACCAAAATACTGCTCGATATTTGCAGATGATGAGGTAACCTGCTCATCCATGGAGCGAGGAGAGATAATGTGCGGCCGTTTGTATCTACCTGCTTCGCCGCCTACTAACAAAACGCCAGGCTCCAATGAATGCCCGATGCTCTAGCAATGATTGGGGGGGAACTCAGCAGCGAGACTGGGCAGGAACTAGCAAGTAGACAAGGACAGTGCCGTAAAGGCAGAATGAAGGGAAAGTCTTCATATATCATATATGTCAAGGTAAAAGAAATAAGATATGCAAGCAAACAAATACAAACTAATATAGGATATTGTATGCGTGAAGCTAAAGTGTTCAGCAAGGGATGACGGAGGAAAAGAAGGAACACTAAATTTTGTGTGAATGTCGGATAACTCTCAAGTAGCAAACCAACCTACCACCTTACGCGGCTAGAGTTACAAAAGAGAAGGAAGCGGTAGATATTATGTCCTCCTGACTCTTTCGTGATGGTGTTCTAAACAACAAGTATTACAAGTCGAAGCTAAGTGCTGCTTGTGGTTTCGGACAAGTTGAGTGCAACCTCTAATACAATTGCACTTAAGAAAATGTTCTCATACAGAGAGATTCAAGCACCTCTAATACCAGAGATATATATTTTCCCCATTTGTATGTATCATCAAAGTAAGGAGTATAGATGCTGATATGGTCGTATGTGTACACTGTTGATGTCGTCGAAGATTGGAGGTTGAAGGACCAAACGCTAACCTAAATGGGGAACTGTATGGGAAGTGCTCAGGGTCCGATATCGTTATGTTGTCATAGCAGATGCCACTATTAACTACTCCGTACTCTTATTCTAACGATTGATATCGTCTCCATGTCAATAACATCAATCCGCATTTAGCCAATGCAATTGTACAACCCCTCCTCATAACCTTACCATCCCCCATAAACTACCACAATGTCCAAACTCCTCCGCCAACCCGTCACCCTCGCCCTCATCCAACTCGCCTCCACCGCCTCCAAACCTCACAACCTCACCCATGCCCGCTCCCTCGTCCTCCGCGCCGCCCAACGCGGCGCCCGCATCATCGTCCTCCCCGAATGCTTCAACTCGCCCTACGGCACCAAATACTTCCCCACCTACGCAGAGACCCTCCGCCCCACCCCGCCGTCCGAGACCGATAGCCCCTCGTACCACGCGCTGAGCAACATGGCGAAGGAGGCGAACTCGTACCTCGTGGGCGGCAGCATCCCGGAATACGACACGGAGACGAAGAAGTACTATAACACGAGCTTGACGTTCGGGCCGGCGGGCCAGTTGCTCGCGACGCATCGAAAGGTGCATCTGTTCGACATCGACATCCCGGGCGGGTTCAAGTTCAAGGAGAGCGAGGTGCTGAGCCCGGGGAATAATGTGACGGTAGTGGACCTGCCGGAGTACGGGAAGCTAGGGATCGCGATCTGCTACGACGTGCGGTTTCCGGAGCTGGCGACCATCGCAGCGCGGAAAGGAGCGTTCGCGCTGGTGTATCCCGGGGCGTTTAACATGACGACGGGGCCGATGCATTGGGAGCTGCTGGCGCGGGCGCGGGCGACGGATAATCAGGTGTATGTGGGGTTGTGTTCACCGGCGAGGGATGTGGGTGCGGATTACCATGCGTGGGGGCATACTGTGTTGGTGGATCCGAATGCGGAGGTGATGGAGAGTTTGGGGGCGGAGGAGGGGATTTTGTTTGGAGAGTTGAGGGGGGAGAGGATCGAGGAAGTGAGGAAGGGAATTCCGTTGTATACGCAACGACGGTTTGATGTGTACCCGGATGTGAGTGAGGGGAAGATAAGGTTTGAAGATTGACGTGGTTCTCGTTGCTCGTGTACAGTATGAATTACGAAAATGTATAGACGCGAGTCTAGCTATGTATATGTCCCTTGGTGGCATCAATCATCCAGTTGGATAAAGGAAATGAGGTATCTTTTTAACCATTCCCGAACCCAGTGATGTCGCACCTCGATATCCCGGCCTGTCGTTATGCTGCGAATGAAAGGCGAACAAAGAAAAGGCACCATGTTTCTTTCAATCATATCCTCCTTGATCCTTTGCCCGAGTCGGCTAGGGAATAACAAATCCCGCCCGCTTGACCCCCGGAGCTGGTGAAATCGAGAAGAAATCTCTCGCAGCGTTCGCCACGCCCCAAACGTCTAGTTCTGCTTCCCTGATCTCGCCGCCCATGACGAAGGTACCGCTGTTGGTCATCATAATCCCTGATGGACGACGTGGTCCACCCCAATCTTCATCGCCCATTTCGCTCCTCGGTGACGAGGCTGGTGATCGCCGAAACCTCGAGGTAAAGTAGTCTAGCTCCTCGGTAGCTTTAGGTCTCGGTGGCGTATGCGGACGATACTTCCATTTGCTGGTCGGCGGCAGGTCAGGAGCGAAGTCTAAAAAGCTGAGAGCCTGAACCGTGGCGCCGCGGGTGGTGGAGGGCCGTTGACTGGGTGTGCGTAGGGGTGTGGGAGTGCTTGGTAGCATGGGGTTGGGTTGGAATTCTTCCATTTCCGTTTGCAGTTGAAGTAGAGGCCGTGATGGCGTGGGTAGTGCTCGCAATCTTGAGGCGCTTTGGTCCCGGCTTGGGGAAGAGTAGAGGGATGAGATGTGGGAGAGTGACGGCGTGCGATAATGTGTGGGTGCAGGATCGGTCGACCCGGCGCGATTGATGGCGTCTAGGAAGGAGTGGTTGCTTAGGTTTGGATGAGTGGAAACACTGTTGGACAGTGTATCAGGGTGGGCGCCTTGGATGGACGGGGAGCCTCGATTGTGCCCATGCTGTGCACGGGAACGTTTCCGCATGGTGTCGGCAGTCGACTTAGACTTGTGCAGTCGTCGTCGCTGGTGAGTTCGGCCTTCACGAGGTGGTGTGGTATACGGAGTGGAGAGTTCTGCTATATGAGGCGCAGGCGGGATGCTCGGCATTCCGGATGGGTTGACCATTTCGAACGAGACGCCATGCATCTTGACGATGGTCGGAGACTGAGGCGGTGATGTTGGAGCCATGGTCATGAGTGCGAATGGGGATGTAGCACTCGGTAAATTAAGTGGTTTATGCATCATGGGAAAGTCGAATGGGATTTCTGTGATTGTCCATATAAATTAATTGGTTCCTGCATTTAATGGTAAAATCCTGATTGGAATTTACCTGGTTTCCCCGCGTTGTTGAGCATGCTCCTGTTGAGATCGGCATGACGCGGTGGAAATATATCATCGTTAATATTCCCCCAAACAGGCCGGATGGTACCCTCACGATCGAGGTTCGAGTTCGAGCTATCGAAAGCACGAGCCACACCCTCGGCTCTTTTGAAATCGGGCACCGCTGGTCTTCGTCTTAATCGTTTCATCTCGGGCCGCGGAGGGGATGGAGGCGTTCGCTGCTTGAGACGGTAGTCGTGCACCGAAAGAGCGGATGCTGGTGAAAAGGGTCGGCCGGCATTCAACGACGTATGTGCCGACGTTGGTCTTCGTGGTGGTTCGAAGGGCGTCGTCGGTCGAGAGGAACCGAATTGGGAACTGGACATCATACTCGCCCGAGAATTCCGGACCGATTCATCGGAGAAAAGGCCAAATGCATAAGCCTTGACTCCGATTATGTCTCCTTCTCTTTTGATCGCTATAAAGAGGAGATTGTGGCCATGAGGAGACTATGAACTCATGAGACTCGTCCAGCTATCAACGATTGTGATGCCACTCACAGTAGGAGATTCATTTGGAGAATATTTCGACGTCGGACGAGAAGAAGACATGAGAAGGAGAGGTAGTAACGACAGACAAAAGGGCGGAGGTCAGGGTGTTCGACTCGGTGACACCCTTCCAGACTCGATCTTTGACGACAGAACACAGAGACAAACAGCGAACTAACACGAGAAGAAGAGACTCAGGATCATTTTGACAATGAACCCCGAATGAAAACCAGAGCAACAACGCGTGCATTACCTCGAACCATGTCGCAACACAGAGAAATCGGCCATGCATGTCGTAGACCACCGGGGCATTCGGATCTACCATGCCCTGTATAAGAGTCCAGTCAAATGCACCGCCCACCTCCCTCCCTCCAAATGAGCCAGAAAATAGGAGGTAAGCGTCATCTCTCCTTTCTGAAAGCAACCCTTCCGGCAGAAAAGACGGGGCCCGCCCACGCTGCTTCCGCGACGTGCAAGCCGAAAAGTGAAGATGAACAAAATGTGTGGTCAGGTCTCATCCCAGGTTCCTTGCAGGGTGGTGACCACTTGCGACTGGCGTGCCACGGATCCGTCCAATCAACGGCGCCGGCGGCCAGCGTTACATGGTGGCATGGTCTTGACCGTACGTCGAGCTCCCACACGGCCTGATAGGAGGCGAGGGGACGAGCAAATGGGAGGGGAGAAACGCGATGGACGGAAACTAATGCGCGTCACCCGTCCACATGGTGCAAACACTGCTGCGTGGATGTCCGTATCATCTCAGATTCTAGATTCAAGATGTTTGGGGTGCACAGGATTAGTGAGGTAGATGATGAACAAGTAATAACTCGAACCGATGCTGGAGCCGATGGCGTCCCGAAAAGAATGATCTGAGTAGCGAAGTTGGGATTTAGGCCACCAGGCTGTGGTTGCGGATCTAAATTCCTAGCTGGAAATAGACGAATATGTGCTCGTCCGATCGATCGTCGATCTATGCTTGTTCCACGAGAATGATGACATGATGGGGTAAAACAGCTAATAGGTAACTAAACAACGGTGACCTAAATAGTTTGAAACAGTTTCCACACCTAAACAATGCATCACCACATGATGATCTCCGCAAGTCCGTAGAAGATATCCAATAATCCAACGCGAAGCCTGTCCGATGGTAGTGTAGTTGACGACCACCACCCAACCCTAAGCCCCTACCAATGCGTATACCGAATACGCCGATGCCGTTCATGATCCACCCCATTCCATCATCCCTTTCGTGACCTTTTCCTATCCGTACGTCCGTTCCCATTTACCGCCCGCTCATCGCCACTCGCGACGCCTGTGGACCCCGCGCGCGTCTCACTCTCGTTCATCCATTCTTTCCCCGTCCCAGGACTCTTCTTCCGGAACTGGCCGGTCCCGATGGCAACAATCTCATCCTCGCTGTCCGCGTTATCCACGTCGAGGAACACGGGCATCTTGAACTCCTCTTCCCCCGAGACGAGCGCGATCCGCGCCACGTGCCCGGTGAACCGTGTCCCAGCGTCTTCAACCGTCAGGACGTCCACGTCCTCGTCTTCGCCGTCCAGTCGCCGCTTGTGGATTTCTTCGATCGGCTGGATGTCGAACTCGTCTTCCTTTTCCACGTAGTCGACGTTTTCTTCGACCTCCACGAAGTCCGGAGCAAGCGCGGACCAGCGCTGCGGGGCGAGGATTGACCATAGGTAGACGCTGCCGGAGTCGAGGCCGACGGCAGCGACAAATGGGCGGTAGGGATGCCATTCGACTACGGTTAATTCCTCCTTCGGTCCTTCGAGGATCTTCACTAAGGAACCGAGGGACCGTTCCCAGACGTAGATATCATGGTTCATCCATGTGGATGCGGTCACGTACTCACCCGTCGAGCTGAAGGTGACATGATTCCACGACAGCCGGTTCACCAGATCTTGGAATTTATGCTCGACCTCCAGATGTAGAGAGTCCCAGTCCAGTGATGGGGATCCGAGGTCGGGTAATTGAAATGTGCGGATGATCCGATCGCTCGAGTTCACCACCATATCTCGCCCAGACGCGGTGAGCCGTACCAAGATGATAACGGCCTGAGTGACTCGGTTGGAGTACAATGTCTGATACGTTTCCGGATCGATGATGTTCAGCCAGCCTTTGTTCGTCCCCGAAATGACGTGCGATCCATCTGGTGTGAAGAGTGCGACCGTCGCCGTGTTCTTCGCATCCTGCGCCGCTTGCTTCTCCGTGAGATTATCCTTCATGGCCTGCGACCGTTTCGGCATCGAGGAGAGCGACACCTTGACAGGGGCGCCGCCTTCGAGACTGACGATCATGGGCTGATCTTCGAAGAGCGCGGCGACGAAGCGTAGGTGATTCTTGGGGTGAAGTTCGGCCATGAAGACCGGCGCTTCGAACCGGATGGTGCGCACTTTGGTGCCATCTTGGAGATCCCAGAGGATGCATTTCCAGTCTTGCGAAGCGCTGAGGAGGAATCGATCGTTGGATGACCAGCTGAGGCTTTGGACTTGTTTTGTATGTCCTCGTAGTTTGCAGGCGACGCCGTTGGTTTCGATGTCGAAGATGACGATTGTCCCCGATAACTTTATGTGGTGTCAGTGTCTTGTGTTCGATACAGTACAGTGAGAGGGGATTGGCTCACTCTTCCTGAAGCCAGAAGGTCGCCATTGTGATTGAAACGTATGCATGTGGCATGGCCATTCCCTGTAGGCCGGGGGATATCAGCATATGCGCAAGGACAATGTGTAGATTTACCCACGTAATGTCTCCGTGAGCGCCTCAGGACAGTCCTGGGCGAGGACGAAGGGGTCCACGAGGGCGAGATTCATGGCGATCTGAAGACCAGGTTGTGTCTCTAAGTCTAGACTTAAGAGCGAGTCTGGTTGGACTCCATTTTGGGAAAGGCTGCTCCACTGCACCAGAAGCGAGTTCGCATACCTGCAGTGAATATGCAACTCATTCCAAGTGACAGGTCAAAACTCAAAGTGAATTCACCTGGAGATTCCCTAGTTATTGGCTTGTCGCGTGGTTTAGGTGTGGCTGGTGCGAGCGCGTCAGGTGTGGCTGACTACTGTGATTCTGATTGGACGGAGCGGCGACTGAACCTAGAATTGAGGCTCCGGTTGAAGCTAAACCTGATTGGGCAGGGCTGAAGGCCACAAGGCCACAAGGCGATAAGAAAGTCTCACTGCCAAGCCACTCACTCATTCTCTCTCTCACTTTCACTCATGATTCCCCTTGCCTCACTTAGCCTTTGTCATTCTTCATCCTCCACCTCCGACCACCATCTCCCTCCAACAACGCGTTCCTCATCGCACTGAACGCGCTCAATCACTCGTCTATCATTTCTGATCGACGAGAGGGTCTTTTCGAACCGGTCACATCGCCTGCGCACACATCCTGGAGACGACACCCATCGCGAACGAGGTCGGTCGCCTCATCGACGGTCGCCGCCGCGCGACGTGCGCATCCCGCACCTGAGGAGGGAGTGCTTGTGCCATCCAAGCCACTGCAGGGAAGTGACGAGAAGAAGACGAACTGGTGTAGATAGTCGAGGAGTTTCAAGAGTCATTCTCACAAAGTCCCCGAAGGTCGACGCGATCTCCGTCACCACAGTTATCGAACACTGTGCCTTTCATTTCACTCTGTCCATCGATAACGACATCCGCACATCGCAAGATCCATCGCCGTTCGCTTCGTTTCAGCTAGAGAAATAACCAAGTCAACAATCATTCAATATGGCGAACCTCAACTTTGCGTACTCGAGCGCGCCGCTGCGCACGATCCAAGAGATCCAGTTCGGGATCTTCTCACCGGAGGAGATCAAGAATATGAGCGTTGTCCATGTCTTGTATCCTGAGACAATGGTACGGACACTTTGGTTGATCTCTCTTCTAATGATTTGTTCGCTGACAGTGATTTCCTTGGTCTAGGATGAACAACGGTCACGTCCTCGCGAACAAGGTCTCAATGACCCCAAGATGGGCTCCATCGACCGCGGCGTCTCTTGCGCTACGTGCGGTGAGAACATGCAGGAATGCTCTGGTCATTTCGGTCATATTGAGCTTGCAACGCCAGTCTTTCATCCTGGTATGACAAGAAACTGCTTGTTCCAATTTTCAAGTGCTAACCACATTCCTCTACTCAGGGTTTCTTACCAAGGTCAAGAAGCTCCTCGAAATCGTCTGCCACAACTGTGGGAAGATCAAGCTAGATGAGAGCAATCCAGCGTTCAAGGATGCTCTCCGTTGGAGGAACCCCAAGAAACGATTCGATGCCATCCACAAAGTTTGCAAGCCGAAAGACATGTGCGAGGTGGATCCGGTCGACATGGACGAGGGAGATGCTGGTCCTGGAAAGAAGCGAGCTGAGAAGAAGGTTGGCCACGGCGGTTGCGGCAATCGAATGCCCGACGTTCGGCGACAAGGTATGAATCTGAAAGGCAAATGGAAGCCGGACAAGAGCGAAGATGATGCCGTTGTTCGAGAGGAAGAGATCTCTCCACAATATGCCTTGAACGTCTTCCGAAACCTTACCGGAGAGACTGTCGACCTCCTTGGACTCAGCAACGAGTATGCTCGTCCTGAGTGGATGATCATCACTGTTCTGCCCGTCCCTCCTCCTCCTGTCCGTCCGAGTATCTCCGTGGACGGCACTGGCCAAGGCATGCGTGGCGAGGACGATTTGACCTACAAGCTGAGTGATATTGTTCGTTCCAACTCCAACGTCCGCCGCTGTATCTCCGAAGGTGCGGCCGATCACGTCGTCCGCGAATTCTGCGGCCTCCTACAGTTCCATGTTGCGACATTCATGCAGAATCCCATTGCGGATATGCCGCCTGCGGTTCACAAGTCCGGGCGTCCGCTAAAGACCATCCGTTCTAGGTTAAAGGGGAAAGAGGGCCGTATCCGAGGCAATCTCATGGGGAAACGCGTGGACTTCTCTGCTCGTACCGTCATTACTGGTGATCCAAATCTGTCTCTCGACGAAGTTGGCGTTCCCCGAAGTATTGCGCGTACTCTCACTTACCCCGAGACGGTTACACCATTCAATATTGCGAAGCTGACTCAGTTGGTTCGCAATGGCCCGAACGAGCATCCTGGCGCGAAGTACATCATCCGAGACACTGGCGAGCGTATCGATCTGCGACATCACAAGCGTGCAGGCGAGATAAATCTGATGCACGGATGGAAGGTCGAGCGCCATATTATCGATGGTGATTACATCCTCTTCAATCGTCAGCCCTCTTTGCACAAGGAGTCCATGATGGGCCATCGAGTCCGCGTCATGCCATATTCGACGTTCCGTCTCAACCTGTCAGTCACGTCACCGTACAACGCCGATTTCGACGGAGATGAAATGAATTTGCACGTTCCTCAGAGCGAGGAAACTCGCGCGGAGATTATGAACCTATGCATGGTTCCCCTCCAGATCGTCTCACCGCAAAAGAACGGTCCGCTTATGGGCATTGTCCAGGATTCTCTCTGCGGGATCTACAAAATTACTCGTCGCGATGTGTTCCTGGACAAGGAGCAAGTCCAGAATCTTCTCCTGCATGTCCCCGGTTGGGATGGCACCATTCCGCACCCTTCGATCATCAAGCCGCAGCCGAGATGGACTGGCAAGCAGCTCATCAGCCTTACCTTCCCGGATGGCCTGAACCTGTTCACTGGAAGCGGTGAAGGCAGGTGTCCACTCAACGACGAAGGTCTCATGGTTCACGGTGGCGAGCTTATGTATGGCATGTTGTCCAAAAAAGCTGCCGGGTCCACGCCTGCTGGTATCATCCACGTTATCTACAACGAGCACGGTCCTGAAGTGGCGGTCAACTTTTTCAATGGCGTGCAGCGAATTGTCAACTACTGGCTTCTGCACAACGGCTTCAGCATCGGGATTGGTGACACTGTACCGGGTGCCAAGCTTGCGCAGGACATTCAAGACGTCATCAACGAACAGAAGGTCGAGGTCGAGGAGATTACTCGGGCTGCTACCGCCAATGAACTGGAGACGCTCCCCGGTATGAATATTCGCAAGTCCTTCGAGAGCAAGGTGTTCAAGGAATTGAACGGCGCTCGTGATAGAGCGGGTGGCATAACTGAGAAGGCTTTGAAGGACCTCAACAACGCGCGAACCATGGCCATGTCTGGTTCCAAGGGTTCTGCTATCAACATTTCTCAGATGACGGCTCTTGTCGGTCAGCAGTCCGTGGAAGGATCGCGTATTCCTTTCGGCTTCAAGTATCGCACCCTGCCGCATTTCACCAAGGATGACTACTCACCGTCGTCTCGTGGGTTCGTCGAGAACTCCTATCTACGTGGGCTTACGCCTTCTGAGTTCTTTTTCCACGCCATGGCTGGTCGTGAAGGTCTTATCGACACCGCAGTGAAAACTGCAGAGACTGGATACATCCAGCGTCGTCTTGTCAAGGCTCTCGAGGATGTTTCGGTCCGGTATGATGGAACTGTGCGCAACTCTCTGGGCGACATCGTTCAGTTCATCTACGGAGAGGATGGCCTTGACGGTGCACATATCGAACGCCAGGCCGTTGACTTCATTGTCTGCTCTGATCAGGCTTTCGAGAAGAAATTCCGCGTCGATGTCATGGATCCCAAGTTGTCTCTTGGCACGGACGTTCTTGAGCAGGCCAACGAGATCCGCGGTGATATCGAAGTTCAGCGATGGTTCGATGCGGAGTATGAAGCCCTCCTTGCCGATCGAGCGTTCCTTCGTGAGGGCAAGGCCGATGCCGAAGAGCAGTATCAGCTTCCCCTCAACGTTGTTCGCATCATCGACAACGCCAAGACCAAGTTCCGCATCAAGCATGGTGCACGAAGCGATATGCATCCTGCGGAGGTCATCCCGATGGTCAAAGATCTTCTCGACCGCCTAACGGTGGTCCGTGGAGACGACCCGATAACGAACGAAGCTCAGCACGATGCGACATTGCTCATCAAAGCGCAAATGCGGTCTCATTTGGCATTCAAGCGCTTGGTCAAACAGCATTCACTGAACAAGCTAGCCCTGGAGAATATTCTGGGCGATATCGAGTCTCGCTTCGCCCGCGCACTTGTCAGCCCTGGCGAGATGGTTGGTGTGCTAGCAGCCCAATCCATCGGCGAACCCGCGACGCAGATGACGCTGAACACCTTCCATTTCACGGGTATTGCATCCAAAAACGTCACCCTTGGTGTCCCACGTCTCAAGGAAATCTTGAACGTTGCTGTCAACCTCAAGACGCCGTCCATGAAGGTCTACCTCGAGAAGGATAAGCGTGACGACCAGCGCTGGGCGGCGAAATTGCGAAGCCGCATGGAGCACACCAGCTTGGGCAGCGTTACGGAACTGACGGAGATCGTCTACGATCCTGATATCGAGAACACAATTGTCGAAGCGGACCAGGACATGGTTGAGTCCTACTTCATCATCCCTGAGGACAATGTCGATGTGGAATTGCAATCCCGATGGGTCCTTCGTATCGTGCTCAGTCGACGCAAGCTCCTGGACACAGGGTTGACGGTTGCCGATGTTGCCAGTGCGCTCAAGGCCGCCTTCTCCCAACATGTTGCGATCATCTTCAGCGACAACAACGCCGATGAGCAAGTCATCCGTGTCCGTCTGGTCCACGGCAAAGAGGACGCAATCAGCGATGAAGAGGATGCCTCCTACCGCAAGTTCGAGGACCACATCCTCACCAAGTTCACTCTCCGTGGCATTCCTGGCATCGAACGCGCTTACCTCAGCACCAATGATCATATCCACTACGACAAAGAGGGCACGTTGGTCTTCAAGAAGGCGGATCCACTTTGCACAGAGCATTTCCTAGATACTACCGGTACCGACCTTCGCGCTTCGCTGGCCATCGAGGACGTCGATCACACTCGAACCTACACGAACGACTTCTCCCAGATTTTGGCGGTCCTTGGCATTGAAGCCACCCGAGCCGCGTTGATGCACGAATTGTGGCAGGTGTTGTCATTTGATGGTTCATATGTCAATCATCGTCACTTGGCTCTTCTTGTCGAGGTCATGACCTCGCGCGGCCTTCTCATGCCCGTCTCTCGATTCGGTATCAACCGTGCAGATACCGGCGCATTGATGAGGTGTTCCTTTGAGGAGACCGTCGAAATTCTCATGGAAGCCGCAGCTGTTGGTGAGCTCGATGATTGTCGCGGGGTTTCCGAGAACGTCATTCTCGGCCAGCTTGCGCCTTTGGGTACTGGCGATATGGAAATCCTTCTGGATCAAGAGATGCTCAACCTCATGCCCAAGGACAACCGACGTCTCGGACTGGGTGCTGAGGTTGGCAACATCGGCCAATTCGATGACACCGGTGCATCTACGCCATATCAACTGGGCAGCCCTACGCACGAAGGTCTGATGGCTGGCGTCGATTACAATGCGCCGTTCTCGCCGATGGTCGAGGCGGGAACCGCCGAAGCAGGTGGCTTCACCTCCTATGGACGCGATTACGATGGCTTCACGAGCCCTTACGCATCCACCGACCGGACGAGCCCAGCTTACAACGCTACAAGTCCTTTCACCGCTGGCGGCATGAGCCCGGCGTCCCCTGGGTACTCGCCGACATCCCCAAGTTACTCTCCAACTTCGCCTATGACCAGCCCGCGGTTTACAGGGTCTACGTCACCCAGCTTCTCCCCGGCGTCCCCGGCTTATACGCCGACATCTCCCCGCTACTCGCCCACGTCTCCCGCGTATGGGCACTCCCCGACGTCGCCTTCCTACTCTCCGACCTCCCCGTCCTTCTCTCCGGAGAGTCCGTCCTACTCCCCCACCTCACCAACTTACTCCCCCAACACACCCGGGCACCGTAACTACTCCCCCACGTCGCCCACGTACTCCCCCACTTCTCCCGTCTATTCGCCCACTTCTCCGCAGTTCGCGGGCGCGACCACGCAACGTTCGCCCACGTCCCCCACATCCCCTTCGTACAGCCCAACGTCGCCGATGTACTCCCCAAGCAGCCCTGCCGGCAACAACCAGTATTCGCCGACTAGTCCGCGGTACAGTCCGACCAGCCCGACCAGCCCGACCTACAGCCCTGGGGCAAGTGGGACTCCGGGCAATGCGGCATATAACGCGACCAGTCCGCAGTACAGCCCGACCAGCCCGAAGTATTCTCCAACGTAAGTCTACTTTCTTTCCATCCATCATGACCGGCGAATGCTTACAACGAATCAGATCACCACGATGAAAAGAGCATACCTCACTTGTGGGCGCGACCGCGAGAACGAACGGGCAGTGGAAGCCATGAATCCTCGTTTGATCCTTCGTTTCCCATTCCCCAGCACCTAAACAACCCACAATTTCCAAAAACCAGCAACTTCATCTACTTCCTGCGTGGCTTTTTTTTTGCTGCCAGCTGTATTAGCCCTCCAACACACACTCACGGCGTTTCCAGCGAGGGGTGCTTTCTACTTTTTTTTTTCACCGAAGCGCACCTGCATCTGCACACGCACGAGCACACGCACGCCCATCGGGGGGTGACATTCAAAAAGGAACATGCATTCAAAAATTGGAGATGGGGTTATGGTCCATTTGCGTTTTGCCGTTGCTTTTTATCGGCTTCGTTGTTCTGCATGCGCGTGGAGCTATGCTAGAGGAGCTATATTAGAAGGAGAGCGGCAGTCGGCGGTGGAAGGTCGCATGGTGGTGGTGGTGGTGGCGGCGGCGGTCTTCGATCGCTTCTCGGATGAGGGATGAGATTGGTGTGATGCACTTCTTTCGTTCGTTGCATAAGAGCAGAGGGAGAACGACGGAGGTGAGAGGGATGATGGTCACCAAATTGCGACGTCGACGGTTGAAAAGTAGAGGGGATAGCAGGGGATAGCAGGGGATAATTAAATGAAATCAAAAAATCATTGAACCAATTTGTGAGCTCTATTTGGACAGGGCTGTGACTTGTTATGAGTGAATACCAGTAAGTCGGTCTTAGATGGAGTATCTGACTCCTTGATGGTGATGATTTCATAGAGGGAGGATCGTGGACAGGGATGAGGGAAACTTGATGACAACGCGATAGAGGATGACATCTGGCCGGTTTCCAAGAATACCCCGAAGCTAACAATCACCCGTGTTCCTCCTCCTCCTCCACCACCACCAGTGTTTGCTTGTAAATGAATAGGCGGAACCTTCCTGCTCTCCAAAATCATGACTATCATCTTATGATCCCTTTGATTCTTTAGACCGCGGTGTACAGATGAGGTGTGCCTGCTTCACCAGCTGCAATGGGCAGACATCGTATAGGACAGCTCCTGAAGCTGCCGTTATTACACCGTATGAGTTGCCCTTGTCGATTATTGCTGTCCTCTGTGTATCTGCTAATATACGCGATCAGTATTACTGCTTTTCTCCCTCTTGCCTGTCATACAAGGTGCAATCCAGGAAGCCGACCGAGATAGCGCGACCGAAAGCATATCCCAAAAACCCATCACGTCTGGCGCATACAAGGATGGAGGTGGAGGATCCCAGGGAGCAACGCACAGCGAAGAAGGTATATCACCCAGGAGGCCCATAGGCAGAGACATTAAGTGCTCACATTGCGATCTAGCCGTTGCCGAAGCCATCTCAATCCTCGACTCCATCAAACCCCTCTTCTCCAACGTAATCCCGACCCCCAAACAATCCGGCCTCCTCAGCACGACATTCCACTACGCAAAGACCCTTCTGATACCCGGTTTCTCCCTTTCCGATCAATTCACAACGAATACCTCTCCCCAGGACGCGTTATCCGTGCACAATGCTGTGGAATGGCTTGACGTGGCAGCTGCCGAGGGGAGCGCCGACGCCATCTATCTCCTTGCCGAACTGAACTTCTGGGGCAACTACTCCCATCCGCGGAACTACACCGAAGCGTTCGAGCTCTACCATTTCCTCGCGGAAGAAACGGGGAACGCCACGGCGCAGCGAATGGTGGGATTTTTTTACGCAACCGGCCTCGGCGACATCGTGAAACCCGACCAGGCGAAAGCGTTGTTATATTACACATTCGCGGCGGACGGGGGCGATCTCCGGGCGGAGATGTCGGTGGCATATCGTCACCATATGGGCATTTCGGCTCCGCAACATTGTGAGGAGTCGGTGCACTACTATCGGTCGGTGGCTAGGAAGGTGATTGCGTGGGTGCGCTCCGGGCCACCAGGGAACTACGCGCTCATTCGAGAAGCGTATGCGCTATCTGATGAAGATGGGGGATTGTACGGCGAGGGCGCAAGTGTGAGCAGCACCGGATCGAATCAAAAGCATCCAGGTATTATCCATCAGGATGCGCCTGGACCCGGGTTGGAAGACATGCTGGAATACCTGGACCTCATGGGCAGGAAAGGAGATATCAAAGCGAAGTTCATGCTTGGAAAGTTGTACTACGAGGGTGCCCGCTCTCTGCCACAAGACGTCAAACTCGCGAAGGAGTACTTCCTTGGTATCGCGCGACAATACTGGAATAAAGACGGGAGTGAGAACGAGGGTCTGAGCCCACAAACTCAGAAGACTGCAGCTCGAGCTGCCGGCTACCTGGGCCGCATGTTCCTTCGCGGCGAAGGTGTCCTTCAGTCGTTCGAGATCGCGAGAACCTGGTTCCAACGTGGTATCAGGGTATCGGATCCCCTCTCCGAGTACAGTCTCGGCTTGATGCACCTCAAAGGACTTGGCGTCGAATCCGATCCGTACATGGCGGCCAAGTACTTCACCGCCGCGGCGGACGAGCACCTCCCGTCTGCCCAGGCGCAGCTAGGGATCTTGTTCTTGGACCAAGGCGATATCAGCATCGCGCTGCGCTACTTCGAGCTCGCGGCAAGGGCGGGCCATGTCGAGGCGTTCTACTATCTGGCCGAGATGACGTGGCATGGACACGGCCGCACGCAGGACTGCGGTCTCGCAGCGGCCTACTACAAGATCGTCGCTGAGAAAGCAGAGGCGTTCGTCGCGAACTTCCAGGAGGCGAACGACGCTTATGAGATGGGGGATCGTGAAGCTGCATTGGTGAGATATTTGATGGCGGCCGAGCAGGGCTTCGAGACCGGGCAGAGCAACGTGGCGTATCTACTCGATCAGTCTACTCCTCGCTGGTCGCTTTTATACTGGCTTCGTGAATTCCTAGCGAAATCCCTAGACAAGGCGCACCTTACCCTGAGCGTTCTCTCCTCTCTCCAACCCAAAACCGGCTCCATCTTCAACAACCCCACCCTCGCCCTTATCCAGTATACCCGCGCCGCCAAGCAATCCAATATCGACGCCATGGTCAAGATGGGCGACTTCTACCTCTCCGGCGTCAGCACCTCCACCGACCCCGAGAAAGCCGCCGCCTGCTACCAAGCTGCCTCCGAAACCTGGCAATCCGCACAAGCGATGTGGAACCTCGGCTGGATGCACGAAAACGGCATCGGCATGCCGCAGGACTTCCACCTCGCCAAGCGCATGTACGACCAGGCGCTGGACACCAACAAGGAAGCCTACGCACCCGTCACCCTGGCGCTGGTCAAGCTGCGGTGCCGCGCGATGTGGAACCGCGTCTCGGGCGGCGCGGTCCACGGCATCGACGACCCCGACGAGCGCGACGCGAAGCCGAAGACGTGGACGGAGTGGTTGGCGAATTTCTTGGAGAACGCGATCGCGGCGGACGAGGCGCGCATGGCGCAGATGGGCGAGGTGGACGATTGGGAGATGGGCGATACGCCGCGACTGGGGGGCGGGTCAGAGGGCGATGGGTACGGTGAGGCGTATCCGTACGATGACCTCGATTATTTGGACGATGGGATTCTCGAGGGGTTGATCATCCTCGCGTTCGCGGGAGTGTTGGCGTTCCTGCTCTTTTGGCGGCAGCAGCGGCAGCGGACGCGGGAGCGGGAACGACAGGAGCAGGAGCGGAGACGGACGGGGCAGGTCGAGCAGGATGAGGTGAATCGAGCGGCGGATCAGGAGGGGGTGCAGGGGCTGTTTCCGGGGCAGAACGAGCCGGGGTTCATGGATTGGGTCGCGGGCGGAGTGGGACATTGATCACGCATGGTGCTGTACAAATAATCACTGTTAATCAAGACTTTTCTTTTGCATTGTCGTCAGGCAGTCGTCCTGTTTTTCCGCTTAGTATCCAAGGCCGCTGGTTCCAGAAGTCTTCTTGGATGATGTCGATGTGTTCAATGGCAACGGTCGCCTTCAAGCGCCGTTTCCGGTCTTTCTCAGCAACCGTCTTCGACTGTGGTGTCGGGGTCTCAGGGGCGCTGGTTTCACTGGAGCCGAGCAGAGCGTGCCGTGACTCCAGCTCAAACGAACGATAGAGCACACTACCCTTTTTGAAGACATCGGGTTCGCGGTTGTAATTCATCCCGTCGCACTCCGCGTACAGAATTTCGTGCTTGTCTTTCGACACCGTCCCTGACAGACGCTTTTCTGCCGCTCGGGCGTCTAGGCCGGCTTTCTGAATCAAGCTCCAGAAAGAGGTGTTATAGAGATTGTTGATATGACCTGCGTCGATTAGGAGCCTTTCATGGCTGGACAGGAGATTGGGCACGTACAGTCGGCCTGGCGCCAGCTAAAGTAGTCCCGTAAACTGGTCACATCAGGGTACAGCACAGCTCTTCCATCGAACGATGGGAGCGGCGGGATCAGCGGTTTGTCAGGAAAAAAGTTGGTCCACAAGTGGACATAATATCCGGTGAATGTAGAAACGATGGTAGAGACCAGTTTACTGTGGCTGTTAGTGAAGGAGACCTCCTCTCCTGAACTAAGGATGCCCGTACTTTGAGCGTCTCTGGAATAAAGTACAGTCTTTATGAAACAGAAAGCTGTCTCGCATGTTAGTCACAGCTCAGAAGGCTAGACGCGATTGCTACCTACCTGAATTCGTCGCTCACGCCGTACGCGAGAAGCAGATCAGGGATATCTTTCATGACGCATTGCGCAGCGGAGTTCATGAGGTCGATCGCCCTTCGGTCGTTTGGCTTCTCGAACCCATATCTAGAACAGAGCCTGATAAAGAGTCAGTAAAATGCAAACTCATATTCTCGGGAGTTCGAACTTCGTGAAGCCTCTGCCGTCGATTCTGATCACTATCCATGTCCTTGATAGGAGGTTGTCGGGCTGCTCGAAGGTCTTGACGTATTCGTACCTGCGCCAATTTTAGTGCTGATATATTGGGAAGGTTTCGATATTGTTACTTTGAATTAGCCATTAGGAATTTCTATCAGGCAACGTATACAAATTACTCATAATCTTTTCAATGATTTAACGGCGAAAGCGAGAGGCATCGAGCATGAAGTCAAAGCCAGGTTGGGGTCACGTGACATTTTTGATAAATACTGATTCTGAGTCACAATGGACAAGAATTTCCTAGTATTCGAGAAGGACTATATGGATATAATCGCACTGAATCGAACCGCTCGAGTCCAGAGCCAAGCACTTGGCTTTCAATGCGTTGTCAGTCATGATGATATTCGGCGCGTCAGCTCAATCAGTTCCCAGGTCAAGTCGGGCAGCCCGCAGTTCATTGTCTGGATTCAATTCTAATATGCCAACTATACAGGTATATGGAGCGGATTCATCACCCTGAGATTGATTCAGCGCTGTGTCGGACAAGAAGGGTCTTTAGGGGAGGACTTACGATGCGCCTCCATCAACCACCAAGTTTGCTCCAGTAATATAACTACTGAAACCAGAAGCTAAAAAGCCAGCCACTTTTCCAACCTCCGAGGGGAACCCAGCCCTCTCTAAACCGATGACCTCTTTCTGAGTCTGCAGACTCGATGGCGGCAGCTGCGTGCTCGTTCCACGCATATCAGACTAGTCACGAGGTCAGCACATTGAGAGAGCCCGCAATGTCGCGTATTAAAGGTCTAGTACCGGTTTCAAATCGACCCCTACATCAATCTGCCCTGGACTAATACAGTTAATACGTACACCCGTTCCCTTCAGCACAGCAACGCCAGCCCTGACAACCCCCAAAGCAGCGTGCGAGCTCATCGTCAAAGCAGGGCCCCAGCAGCCACCATACGTGCTAGCGACGGAGCTCACGACAATGATGCTGCCATACGCGGCGTCTTTCAGCGCCGCGTTGGGGTAGTTGCCTTTTGGCGTGGTTTTACCCATTGCTGGCGGAGCATATTTAAGCGCGAAGAACGGCGCCATGCTGTTGGTCTCGAAGCATTTGCGGAGGTCGTCGGGGGAGGTTTCGTCGATTGAAGGAGGCCCGAGGAGACCCGAGGAGGTGACCCAGACGTCGAGACTTGACACCACGAGTTAACAGCGGATCGGTAGCGCGTGGAAGGTTAGCTTACCGGCCCCATTGGTTCAGGATATCGTCGATCAGACTCAGCGTGTCTTCCTCGGTCGCGAACTTATACGGGTATGCGATGATCTTCGTATTCGGGTAGATATTGGTGGTCTCGATGATAAAAGCGTCGAACTCCTTTGTGGAGGCATCATCACACGCTACTTGATACTCAGCGAGGAGCTCAAATACTTACTGTCACTGCTGGAGGAGCGGATGTCGTCAATGGACATACCGTATACACAGGCGGCACCGTGAGCTAATCTTGGGTCAGCGGACTTTGCCTTGGCCTGATTCTCATGCACGATTAACTTACCAGCAAGTTCCGTTACGATTGCTCTACCAACGGGTTGAGTAGCTCCGGTGATTATGCAAACGAATCCATACTATCCGGCGTAATCTCAGCATTGCCCTAGCTCTTCTTCAATATAATGACGTACCAACTTCCCATCTACTCTATATGGCGAAAAATGCTCCGAATCTATGTTGTTCATTGTATAATCGGCCATATTGTCCGCTGCTGCCACTCTGCGTCTATACAGGATCGTCCACTCGTCTTAAAAGATCTTGATCGTTTAGTTAACTAGTAACGGGCCAGAAAGTCAAGAAGAAGGATAATTCCCGCCATGTTTGATCTTTTTAGCGTCTCTGACAGCGCCTTGCAATCCATGGGAGATTGTTATTCGGTGGAGATATACGTTGGATTGGGCCGCTCAGCGGAATCCATGCATGACCTTATCTGTACTCCGTAATATCGCCTATCAGAATCGATCATTTATCAACATCACTCGATCCGCTAAATTCGCCACAGGCATAAGCTTTGGATTAGGAAAGATTCAATTTGATATACTCCATCCAACGTGGAAGAATTGATGACCTTGAAACGTCCCCCCGGACCGAGAGCGCTCGATCGCTTGACAATACCCCGGTATCTGTAGCCCTTTTGATAGTCGATAAGCTTCTCCTTTTCCGTAGACTGTGGGGGAGCGTCAAAGATGAACAACCATCGATTTATTACCCCCCGAATTCCTCTATTTGAGCTGCTGAGGTCATGGACGCAGGTAGGCCAATCGACTACCGTCCTGAGCGTAGGAGCTTCATCAAATCAGTCATAATCAGTCAACCCCTCTCTGGTTCAAACTACGACACCTGTTCATAACCAGTACATCCCGCTGGTATGTTACACAGCTAGCCCTCCCAACCATACAGCATGGAAACGTCCCAATCATCACTTTTGTTTACCAGAGGACGATTTCTTGACCTACACCCCATTTGCCCTGAGAATCCTGCGATGTACTTAGACTACCAGTAGGGAGAATGGGATCCTAATCAGTGATTGACTATCACTCCACACTGGAAATCCGGCATCGGTATAATTGCTGAAAACCGCTTTACGGCCCTCCGAGCTTTTCCATGGAGTAACTGTTTAGCCTGTTTCTGTTCTTCGCTCAGTTTGCTCTCCCTGGCGCCCACAATGATCCGTGATCCGTATTAGCAGGTTTCTTATACCCCAAAGTTTACAGGCGACTTACGCAGTCGCTTTTCCACACAGCATGTCACTAAGACTATGGGGCTTCTTGAAGTCCTCTTCATCATCAGAAACTTGTGGCCGCAGATACTCGTTGAAAAGATTCCACTTCTTCCGCTCCCCCGGTCCGTCACTTTCAATCGGGGCAAGCTGGCGAGAAAAGGTATCGAATTCGTGCTCTTTCATCCAACCGATTCGTTTCGGGATGAATGACGCGGATCCGGACTTGTGAGCAAGGTCCTCAAACTTAGGAGACCCAGCTAAGATTTTGGCTCCGTCTCTTCGGTTCCCCAGTCGTCCCAGTGTCTGCTTCCATTCTTGAACCAGTCTCAGCTCCGCCATCTAGAAGGTAACTACCGCCCTCGACGTTGGTTACTTTCAAACCCCTTTGGTCCCAGGCCTGTAATGTGAGAGGACCGGTATGGTTGAGAGAGATATCTTGGGAGAAATCCACGAGGTTTTCAAAGCACCGCACATGATAACACTCTGTGGGATGGCGAGCGCCAACCACCGGGGACTCCAAGCGATGACCCCATTTCTTACCTGCGATGGTTTGGATATTGCGGCCGGGATCCTCGGCGATCCGGTAATCCCTCTCTTCAATAATCCCATCGCAAGTAGGAAACTGGTATTTTGCGACCGACAACGAAGGAATCGTTAACTCAACCCAACAGAAGACGGCCTTTTGGCCTTTACTGCTAATATGCTCGCGAAGTCCGAGCGGAGCATCTCTGATGCGTTCTTCGTCTGTCGGTTTAGCCAGGGGGGCAAAGGATTGCTGTAGACGGGCACGGTAGGACTGAGATTCCTCCTTAACCTCAGGTGACCTTGATCTCCTCTTTGATGGTAGCTTTGCGGGATGCTTTTTTTTCTTCCGCCCTGCTCTCGTTCCTCGATAGTGCCAATATTCACCTTCTGGTCCCACTCGTGTTCCCGTTCTGTTCATGGCTGTCATTTTTCCGATGCACTGTGAGGTGGTGAAGGATTCGGGAAGTTTTATGTAGCGGGGAGGGTCAAAATGTTGGGGAGATGAAAGAATATTGGTTGGGATAATTGTTACTGTGGAGAGTAGAAGTAAGGTACCGGGCGTGTTTTGAATTCACCTGGTGTTGTCACATGTCGGTCATATAATTCATGTTGCATGTAGTAACAGTCATGTCTTTCGCCTTTGATGTCTGCGTTCAATCAGATAAGAGGCGCTTTTCTGGTCCTAACCCAGGCATATCATAGGATCTAATTGCACAACTAACAACCACTATTCCCAACTGCCATGGTTACCTGGAACCTACTCATCCTTCTCCTCCGGAATGGCCTCCACCTCGTCCTGATCCTCCTCGAACGTATTCTCAGGCACTTGATACAACCTCAAGAGCTGCTTGTTGGGATCCTTGATTAGTACGTACTTCCCATCCTCGCCCTTCAGGACCATGTCGCAAATGGTGCGAACGATGCCCCATCCATTGTTCAGGTTCAGGTTCATCTGGGTGGCGAAGTCTTTTGGCTTATAGCCAAGAACACCGAGGAGGATATGGTCGTTGGTGTTCTTCGGGTTGGCGCGGGAGACGAATCTAGTCGGACGGTTAGCTTTACGTTGAGTAGGCTTGATCAGGTGTCTGCTTACCCTAGCTTCATCTGGTCGGCGTTGGCAAGGATACTTTGAGTGGTCCATCTAGCCAATTTGCAGCTGTTGTTCTTCATCTCCGTCGCCACGACGGCACCACGCTGGCTCTGGAGCTTGGTTCGCCAATCCAGGGCACCACCGCTACCTTGAGCCTTGCTATCGAACTCGTTGAGGGCCTTCATGACCAGGTGTTGGTCTGCACCGACACTATTCTTCATCACAGCATCCAGTTCAGTTCGGACGATCAAGTGAAGCGGCTCCTCATCGCGCTCCAAAGACAGATCAAACCGTCTGTATCGGTAGGCTTTTGATGCGGGCGGGTCGGTCTCGACGGACGGGTTGTAAAACGGATGCTCGTTCTGCATTTCCTTCTTTTGGCTCTCCACCTCATTGACGACTTGGAGTGGGAAAAGTTGATTGATGTGGGTGGCTTCCATCATGAGGGCACCGGGGTTGTTGATCGAGTCCTTGCTGCCTTCTGAGATCTCCAATGGAGCATCGGTGGCATTTTCGTTGACCGTGACCATATCCAGATTCGATCCTTCTCGCTTGTCGATAAAGACCTTGTTGCCGTGCTTGGATAGAACCACATCCCATGAGTACACTGACCTCGGAGCGCACATGAGCATGGAAAGGATGTTGTCGGTGGCAAAGATCGTCGCCTCATCCTTCTCTGAGAGCTCCTGGATGATCGGGTCGCTGCTTGTCGTGACATTGTACGCCGCTCTCTCGAGCAGCTGAAGCTTCTTCTCCGAGGTCTTCGCGCCCGGTTGCTTGTCGAAAACGCGGTCGTAGTAATATAAGAAACCGTAGCTCTCCAGGTCTTCGGCATCGCCCGCGTCCAAGTTCAACTTCGTCAATCGAGCGAACTCAATTTCCTCAAGCAACGTCCAGTCAGGCCGGACCGCGACCGAGGGATCACGGTTCCGTTGCGGCTTATCATCGCGCCAGCCGAACCTTCGTCCACCGCGACCGCCACGACCACCACGGTTGTCATACCCGCCTCGCTGGTTTCGCCCGTTGTCGACTCGCTGGAAAGTCCCCCGCCCACCTCGCTGTCCCTGCCCTCGTTGGCCTCGGCCTCGGAAGATCGTACCACCACCACGTCCGAAAGTCCGAGTTTTGGGAGTGCGCGTGTTATCGACGACCGAGAAGGTAGCTTCCTCCTCCGCTACCTGGATGGCGAACGGATTGTTCGATTGATTCGCGCCATAAACCTGCTGCTCTGCTTGGAGTTAGCGAGGGATTCGGATAACGATGGAGTATGTTGTACCTCTGAAATTTCGGCCACCGTATCCGCCTCGGTTTCGATCTCGGTCTTTGCCATCAGTCCAATCGGCCATCCGCCCCAGCCTATCGGATTTTGAATATGGCGCATATGGAACGCCATCGAGGGTGGACTCGTTGGACACTGGCGGTCCCCATCCATCTGTCGATGGTGGTAGGGCGCTGATTAGGTCATGGAGAGAAGGAGCCATGACTGTTGTTTATCCAGATCAGTAAGATACCTGGACCGGAATAACTTGACGTGTGTGAGGGTGAAGTCGAGGGTGTTGGCGCATAAATCTTCAGATGCGGAACTTGTGGGTGGATGAATTTGGTGGAAGTGGCAGGGGTTGTGGCGAGAAATCTTGGCGGCATTCGATATTGGCGCCTTACTGCCTGAAATGGTGAGATTGCTGCCTAGGTACCTTGTTGCCTCATGCCACTGTATGTCTGGTGTCGCCACCCGATCATCGGACGTTGCAAGAAGTTCAATATCTGGTTTCGAAAAAGAGGTAGCTTTCAAGGTGTTTTTGGTAAGGGTAAACTCTCGAAAATGCACCTGAGATACTTTTGAATCAGTTAAGATACCCATGGCGAACTGCCCGGCAGCATGTTCGCTCTCCCTCCCGCCTCCGCAGATTCACGAGTCCAGCACGAGGTCGACTCCAAGGACAACTTGGGACATCAGATCAACCCGTCCCGACCATGAGCCCCAAAGTCAAGTGAGGTTTAACGTTTCATTTGAGCGGGATCCGTCATCCTATTCCTTAAGGGAAATCGAGATTGACCATGCCGGGGAATCCAAACTGCCCTGCACTCGCTTTTGCGGTGTCTGTGACTTTTGCAGCTTGGTCAAAAGTTTTCTCAGGGGACGTTATGGATCTCAAATGCTGGATTGGCTCCAGTCCACACCAGTGAATTCAAGCCCGAGCCCGCTCAAGGTGCTCGTGGAGTTAGATGCTCTTGCTTTTATGAGGGAATGCGCCGGGTGGCTTATCGATGGGCGCTTGACCAAAACTGGGGACCCATACATTCTCTCCCTGCGTGGCAAGATGTCCCTTATTCAGGATGATGAGTTATTGCAGCAGAACACGGATGTAGTCGTGCCGCTAGAGCTTTTTGCTGAAGACGGCAGCGTTGCCGCGGAATACTATGGAATCCATCGGAGACCGCTGGACAAACATGCCCTAAATGATCGCAACATGGAGAAGCTAAGAGCATGGCTGGATGAATGTGATAAAGAGCATGGCAAGTGCAATGAGCCGGAACTAAAGGAGGAGTGGGATGAAGAAATGTGGGAGGATATCCCAATGAGAAAATTCCTGCCAACTCGTCTTCTTGATGTCGGTGACGCTCACACTGGGCGTCAACCGAAGCTAGTAGTATCACGAGAGCATTTTAATGAAGGTCAGGATGTGAAATATTTCGCCCTGAGCTACTGTTGGGGCTACGAAGAAGAAGAACGGCCTTTCATGACTCTGCGGCAATCATTCTCTGAGCACCTAAAAAGCGTACCGTATCTGTCGCTTCCAGAAACCTTCCGCAACGTCATCGATCTCGCAAGAGATTTGAATGTCCAGTATGTCTGGATCGACAGCTTATGCATCATTCAAAACCTCCGACGTGACTGGCGACGCGAATCGGCTCAGATGCGGAAGATTTTCAACAATGCCTACTTAACGATCGTTGCTGCGTCCGCATCCTCGAGCCATGGCGGCTTCTTGCATCGGGATAATGGACCGACATGTACCATATCGATCGAACAGTCTGACGTTGATGCCCCGGATCCGGCACACTATTCCTACTCCCTCCGCCATCGACCCGGCGTCAAATGGTGGGGAAGCGATAAGATGGCCGGCATCTCTGGCGGGCGCTGGATCAAGCGTGCATGGACGTTTCAAGAAGAGCGACTCGCCAAACGGGTACTGATATTTGGCGAGTCGAAATTCTTCTTTGATTGCCGCGAATTCGAACGAGTGGAGGATACAGATTATCTACATCTGCGGCCGGACTGGTCTGAGACGCTCTATGGCGTACCAGAAAGTGAATTGATGCAGTCGATGATAAGCCAGGTGTCGGGCTTCAGTGCTGGGAGTGCAAGTAACCGACAGCGGCAGCAGCCGGGCATATTCGATCACTGGCAGACGCTTTGCAACCATTACTCGCGGCGACAACTGACGTTCGAGGACGACAAGTTGCCCGCGCTGTCGGGAATGGCGAGTACTCTCGGCCTGAAGGTCAAGTCGGAGTACTTGGCAGGGCTCTGGAAAGATCATTTGTACCACGACCTGTTTTGGCAGACCAAAGGCACGGCCACCAAAGTCGGGCAATATCGAGCTCCCTCGTGGTCATGGGCGGCGCTGAAAGCCGAGGAGATCCAGTGGAAATACTGGTACAGGTGCCTCGACGACAATTGCAAGCGCTACAGCGATATTTTGGAAGTGGATACGATGATCGATGGAATCGATCTTTACGGGGCGGTGGTTGATGGATTTCTGAAGATCGCTGGCCCAATAGTTCGGGTCATGTTGACTTGGGATCCGATTGAGGGGATGGCCCGACACCCTTGGAAAGTCTCTGTCGACAGCAATGAGATAGCAAGAGCAGACTTGGATCTACAGAATGAAGGCCCGGGACAGGATGATCGCGAGCGGACCGCTTGGGCCTTACTCGTGGCGAGATGCACAGGAAGCCAATCGCCCCCACGAGGATTAGTTTTAGAAGAAACGCACCGGCCCCACATACAGGAACGAACCTTAGAACGCATCGGCATATTCAGGATCTATCCAGAGAGTTCCCCAACTTCCAAGACATTCCTTGAGAGATGGGAGCACATGCCACGAGATAAATTAATCATCATATAGGGCAAGCCATTGTTATCAAGGGAAATGAAAGCAAAGTTATTTGGAAATCGCGTCCCATGGGTATCATACAAATTTTTCCTAGAACGCCACTTTTGGTTCAGTGATGGCCTCTGCTTTTGTGAAACTGTGAAGTGATGGGGAATTGATTTGGATGGGGCAGGAAACGAAGGGCCGATGTGAACTGTCCTATCACCGCTTTGTTCTCCGAACCTCAAAGGTGTGTCACAAAGCATGCTGTGGCCCCATTCCTAATAATCCAAGAGAACCGATCCTGATGAACTCCCATTATGCAGACCGTGAGCAGCCGGTAAAACTCCATGCCTCGCCCATCAACCAGAGAAGTCTCGGTATTTGTGGATCTCCTTGATGATGCCCTCGAGTTCCTCGTCCGAAATCTTGCCCACGAGACTCGGTATTAATGTTTTCGCTTCGTCGACGCCTTCGCAGGTGAGGGTGAGAAGTTGTGATCGCTCGAACGAGTCCAGTTTTGCAGAGTAGTCTTCCAGCCATCCAGCTGCTTCGATCAATGCTTCTTTGTCCTTGAATCGGCTGAAGGTGTCCATGTACTCTTGCATTTTACTGAGGGTCCTGCAGGCAGGTGAATGCGCGTTAGCCTCCAAGCTCTCACTTAGGCAACGCAAATGATGAGGCGAAAACAAAGACACATCAAATAGAAAGGAAATCAATCATATTCAAGAAATGAAAATGGGCTGCCCTACTCGGTCTCTCGGAATCCATTTGGATCGCGATTCTTACGGCGGGTGACAAGTGTGTCGATGACCATTTTGGCCTCAGAAACCGAAAGGGTTGGAACGCCTTGGAACTCGCCAAGGATCAACTCCGCTCCAGCCTCTTCCTCACCAGGTGCAACGGTACGTTCACGAGCTGCTGGCATCTTGCAGATGTTATCGGTGGTTAATGTATGCGAGGGTGCGCTGAAACTTGAAAGGAACGGGAATGTCGAACGTTTTGAAGTCGAGCCTCTGAGTGACAAGGATCTCGATCAATGCAGGTGGAAATTGTGGAGAGTGCACGTGACTACTTGAAAATGATATTCGCCTTAGAGATAAGGCACCAATGCCACCCCTGAATTGAACTGACTGCACTGAAATTATCGGTATTCACCTTTGCGAGGGTTTGGAGTTTCCGTCTGTACTGGATTTTCTCAGGCCACCGCTTATAATGACCCCATCCTAGGTTCCACTCTGTTCCTGTCCCCGGCTCACCACTGTCTGCGTCGGCCACCCGTCATTGTACAGTGTTCTGGCACGCAATCGTGCCGGCCGTGTTGACGAACGGGTTTCCTCTAGCATTGGGCAAGACTTGGAGCGGCCGGGCAATGTATAGCTCATCCCTGATTCCGAAGTGGTAGTTTTCCATGACTCCGAAGCTGCAGCTCTCCCCCCCAGCCACGGCCGGACTGGCTGTGGTGTGTACAAGACGGGCTCTTGGGGGCGGATCCGGCGACGATGAGGAACCCATGGCCAGCGGATTCCGAACCGGCTTCGACGGACTTGGGAAGGGTTGTACCGGCGACGGAGGGGGACCCAGGGCTGGTCGGGTCGGAACCGGTTCAAACGCCGCTGGGCGCGGTTGTACAAGGGATGGGGTCTGCTGCTGACCCCAGTGCCCCCTGCACCCTCTGGATCTACCGGCCCGTCGAAGGCTTCGAGCCATGCCACGACTCGTGCGTTCGTTTCTGAGGCCAAGCGGACCTGCTGGCCAGGCAGGAAGGATGATGGGCTACCGTCGCTGTTTGTGCATTAGCAACTGTATGGAGATCGGAAGGTGGCTAGGGACGAAATGACTTACTCTGCTTCCTCCTCTGGTTGACCGGTGATACAAGCACCACCGCTAGAAGCTTCTGCACTCTTGCTCGGCATTGCTCCCATCTTGCAGCTGTGGTGTTTCTTGAATAGGTTAGAATGTGCGGATTCGAAGAAAGGGTGGAAGGAAGAAGCATACTGGAATGGTTAAGGAGGATGGGATGGGGGACTGATCTCTTCAGCTTTCATACGCCGGAGGCTGCGGTCTTTGAGATAGCTACCAACAGTCCGGAATGCTGAAGATCGTCATAGATGAGTGGCATATCTTGAGTTAAACCTAAATGCACTGAGAAGAAGCTAAGGCCGCGATATAAGGCCGCGATCCAGATCAGGAGGAGACCAGCAGCTCAAGGAACCCCCGCCACCCCCGTTTCGTTGCACTTTCCTTCACCCCGATGAACTCTCCACCTAGCTCCTCTATCACCTCGCTCTTCTCTTCCTCATCACAACTCTTTGTTGATCCATCACAAATCCTCATCCAAAATCTGTCATCTGCACATTTTCTTTGTACTGAGAGCGGCGGGGAACTCATTTGTTGGCTGGTAGCTCACCTGCTGGACCTCGATTGCCGTTGGCATCATACAGATAACTCCGCTGTCAATATCCAACAAAGTACCAGGTAAGCCTCCACTACCTCAGGCCGTCATGGGAGAGATATCGCCACCCTTGGAACACCAATCCAGTTGGTTGTGCTGCTGAGAGTTGAAACTGACTGATTCCATCAACTAGTATATGACACAGACAGAGAGTGGTGGCGTATCTCGCTTCTTGTGCTTCGTAGGGGTTGATGTCATAGAAACCTTCAATGGAAGAGCTATGGGAATGTCGAAGTCCCGAGTGAGTGAAAACCTTCCTTGATGGTATTTGAGAGAGATTCAGTCACTGATGAAGTGAGAGCAGCAGCAGCAAATTTTTCCATCACCGTGCCACAGAGTTCGCTTGGCAACAGTGATAGTCAATCCGTACGACTCATCTGGTTGACACGTCAAAGCCTGGTGAGATGGGCTGTCGTTCCCAGTGCGCGACGTCGGTGGTCGTCTACAAGGCGGCGAGGAGACAACTTTCAGCCAACACAGTCAATGGATGGCGGAAGGAGCGTGCATCTGGAGTTGGGAAAATGAAGCGGACGACTTCGGTAAGGCAGACACCCCAAAGTCAAACAATGACATCGTCAACTAACAAGGACACGAATTCCGGACAGATGTCGCTCTTCTATATGAAAGATGCATCTTGTTGTCGGTCGCAGAGCCAAACATATCGGAGCCGTTTGTTCATTTTTGAACAGTTTCTCAGTGGACTGCATATCGGCCACCAGAATCCGCGCTCCTGAACCAGTCGCACAGAAGATTCCTGGCAAACCACACTATGTGCTGATGAGGCTCTAGCCGCAGGCCTCCTCGACCAAGTCTATACCGCGTCCTCGACGACACCGGAACATAGAAATGATGCCATGGCATCTCATCCTAATCGGGTTCAAAGAAAAGAGCAGAGATTCATCTTAAACACTGTAATCCGCAGACCTCGGTGGTGAAGATAGGCCTCGCGAACAACTGGTGTTGGCTTTTCACCCTTATCACTATTTAAACACCAAAGTTTGCTCAACGGCCACGGCATCTCAACTCCATGGTTACGGCTAGCCCTACCAGCCATTCCAGCACCGTGACATCAGCCATCAACAAAGCTAAGACGGTCTGCGGATAGGTCTTCACCATGTCTTTCACCGCAAATACCAAGGCCGGGCACTGGCGTGGCTCAGGTCGTAAATTCCATTCTTCATTTGTACGGCCCTTCATCAATCAGTGGATCATTGCCCTGAGACTTCCATGTCCACTGCCGCTAAGAAAGGATGAGAGACATGGCACTCTCCATTTGTTGATAGGTGGAGGGACATGCACGGACCCCGAACCGCACCATACAGACCTGTTTTGCATGCGCCTATAAAGTTGCGGCCTGGGTTGCAAAGTGCCGGAAAAGTCATGAGATGCTGGACACAGAAGCCGTTGTGTCGCCGCTCGCCCTTCCATCTGTTCAGTCATCAGGGAGAATACTGACAGAATTTACTCCCCCGGGGGTAGGCGGAGAGGAGCCGCCCCCGCGACCCAGAAAGTTACAAAAGACCTATGCGGCCACGGGGGACCCCAATGGCTAATTGAGCCATCGTGAAGTGGAGGGTAGTCGCGCCGGCGAGGAGGTCGGGATCATTTGCGCAAGCCTGATATCCCTGAAGCCACTGGTGCAACGGATCTTCCCGTGCCCTTGGCACTCGGAAAGAAGTGGTTGATTTGGTTCCTAGGCCCACGGGAGTGTGCTGGGGCCGAACTGCAATCATTTCCCGAAGCCAGCAACAGCTGTGGCTCAAGCATTGGCGGGTTAGAGAGCCGCAGCGTCGAGGACGGGAATATAGGAGGCGACAAGGAAATCGTGCAGAAAGGTCCAGTCGCCTTGAACTAAAAGGTTCGGTGCGCTACGGCGCCAGCGGCCTCGCAAGAGCATGCTCCCTCCCCTCAACCAACTCCGCCTCCTTGTCACTACCAAGGAAAAGGCCATAGATACTGGGGACTCTTGCGTGGATAGACATGATAGCGGGAACCAGATGGCAGTTACCTCGTCCCATCCCACCCTTCCGCCATCCAGTTCGCGTCCCTGTCCTCGGACGCTCCTCCTTCGGTGGCATCAGACCACGAGTTCACTCCACGCGATCCGATCAACCCGTATACACCATCAGCCTCTCAAGACAGCTTCGGCTGCTCCACAGGGGCGGGATCAAAGTCCTAGGTATCCGTCATCCTTTCTGGACCACCCTTAAAGCTGGGGGTTGGCTCCGAAGCAGAATGTGGCTTCCGGAGAAAATGTGGGCGGACAAGTCTCTCCCAAGGCCAATGTGTCGCCGTCTCGAATTCCGAGAATTGAACCTCCTGCACGGGGCAATCCTTCTACGCCGATAGTGCTTTGACCAATATTTGCTTTTCGGGGGTTCTTTTCTGAGGGTCTCCGACGAGTTCGGAGATGTGGGTCTGATATCATAGATGGAGCTTCACGGCGCCAACTGCTCTGACTGTCGCAGACGTTTCGGCGTGGCTTCCACCAATATTTCCTTTTCGGGTTTTCGGTTTTCTTTCCTGTTATGGAGCTTTAGATCCTCATGCTGCGACGTTAACATGGGCGGAGAAGCACCGGAGGCCGGACCTCATTCGTGGACTCGTAATCGGAGACTTTGGACAAGCGCAGAGAGTGACTGAAACGACTGAAACGACTGTATCAGACACAATGGGCTCCTCGCCTTGGCGGCCCTGTGGGGTATCGTGAGCGGCGGAACCGTCTGAGTCCCGATCAGTGGTTCCCCCGGACGTTAGGGGGCCACTTTCATGTCGTTCAATGTGTACTAGCTCACCAGCATAGCACTCGGTACGATCTCACTCAATGCCGTAGCCACCTCGTTGCCGCGGTAGGTCAATACGGCCGCGAACAGTCCTCTGCGTCCGAGACGACTCCGATCCGGCCGCCGGCAACGGATTTTGCCGGCAACGGATTTCATGGGATAGCACAACATGGACAATTATTCCAGCACCTCGTCTTGCCGGGATGCAAGGTGAGGTGTGGGAGGGTCTAGGGACCAATGTTTGTTCCAAATTCTCTCCCCGACCCCCCACCACCACGAAAATCGCCAACTCAATCGTCCAGCGAAGAATCTGCAACACCGAAAGGCGGAAATGGCAAGCGAATGCGAGGTTGTTCGGATGCGGCAACAGCCCCACAATCTCATCGTAGCGGAATTCCTGATGGAAACTCTGCCGAACTACGCAAGCAATGTAGAGATCGAGAGTGCCCCAAAGAAGATCAAGTTCCGGGGTGCCTGGGGCCAGATTTGACGTTCCCTTTTGAGCCGCTGCTGCCCCATATGGTGGAGGAAGAGAAGTGGAACGAAATATATAGTGCCCAGAGGCATACCCGCCTGATAAATACCCCATAAGCCCACTCTATGCCGTCCTGAATGACGCTGACTCCTTCAGCTGGGCTTCATCCGGGTGTGGACCGCCTGACCTCCAGGTCGTCGAGTTCTTGCGAGATCCGTTACAGTATAAGTACTCTCTAGAGGGGATCGATAACCATCGCGAGAGGGTTGTTGCGCGAGAGGCCGCCGCGAAGGCTATGATCTAGGGTGGGGGTAAGGATGGTAAGTGGCATTTGTGACACAACGGACTAGACCCAGACACTAATACTCCGTAGTAAAGTTCTGATCCACTACCGGGTGCCCATCTCCGGCAAACTCCGAGAATGGACGGTCTCCCGCAGACCGACCCCGAGGAAGTTTGCTGGAGATGGGATATCAACATGCCTATTGGCCTGTGGCCGGGCTCTCCGCCATATGCCCCGCTGCGTCCGTCGCGTTGCAGCTGTCCACACGTGACGAGGGGCCGAGGCGCCCCCTTTCTAAACCCATTGTGGGGGATGGGAGGAGATCCAGACCGAGAAGTGTCCCTCTAGGACATAACCAGAGAACGATATGGAGTTCGGGGGAGGGTTATCAGCCAGAATTGCACGCAGTCGGCCAGGGGAGATGAGGAGAAACTGCAGGATCTCAGGTCGAATGCAAGTCTCATTTTCTCTCAACTGGTCGCGGAGTTCAGCGAGCCCCCTTGAAACTTCCGTCAACGAGGCCCGGAGATAGACACAATCCAGTGCTCAGATTTTGGCCAGCACAGCCAGTACAAGCATGATACTTCTTTCGTTGTCACCTCCACGACGCAACTCTTCCGGTCTAGCGATTACCACAAGCCTTTCCTGCCCCCTGTCCATCGCCGCTCAATGTGTCTTCCTTTCTCGCCTCGTGTGCGGAAGGAGAGGCGGACATGTTCAGACAAGTGTCGATCGGGTGCGTCTTGTTACCATTTCAAGAGGGAGGGAGTGTGAAGGATGAAAACATGGCTGTGTGCTTGTCGTCCATATTGTGAGCAGCCAGCTTGACATCCAATCCCAGGGTGTGGCAGTGGAGATGGGCGGTAGCAAGAGGAGGATGGTCCGCTGAGACGTTTGTGGCATTCATCAAGACCGAACAGCATGGTGGTGCTCGACAACTCTGTCTGATTGGAGATGTTCAGGTCACATCCTCCAATACTACACATGTTTGTGGTCATTGGGCAGATGCCATTATCCGAAATCCAGTTCAGATCCAGTTCCAAGTCCAGCTTTCCAGTTCGTGAGATCCAAAGTGGTCCATGTCCAGATCCAATGTTCCACTCGGAGAGATCCGGCAGAGGGGAGCAGTATCAAACATCCAAGCTCTTACAAATTCAATTCTCCGTATTCCAGGCCATTTCAAAATGCTTCGTCATCACCTCATCGATCCAAGCATGTACAGCTATCTTCAGCCCATATTCACCATTCCGCCACCACTGTCTGGTCTTGCGTCATGAACAAGTAAACGACAAGAATGAAACCATGAGCAACTGATTCTCCGACTCAACTGCCTATCCAGGTGACTCAGATAAAGATTACGTCGACACGACCGCGGATTTGCGATTCTGAAACCTACTATCGATGCTCTGGTCGTTGATCATCTGAGGCGAGATGCCATTGGAGCTCCCTGGTTATATATAGCCTTAGCCGCATTCGAAGAGCAGAAACTTGGAAAAATCCCACTTCGTAGCTTTGGCTCCGCTTCGAGAAACCTGCCAAATGAAGCGGATCCAAGAGTCTTCAGGATGCATTCACCAAATGACTGGTATTAATATGGAGAAGTCTGGTACACTGTGGAGCTCCAGGGACAAATGTAGCAGCATCGTGACAACGATGAGTCTTGCTCAGCATCCTTGATGGAATTGAAGTTGGCCATTAGCTTGCCTGCCGACAACGGCATCGTAGCCCTCAAACCAAAAGCCACTTGCTTCGTTGGGACTGCAAATCAACACCGATGAGGGGTCCTGCAGCCCGTAACTGCGCGCAACCGCACCTGGATACGGGCATCCAAGTTGAACAACAGCGGAAGGTTGCAGCATGCAGGCTGGATGGAGACGCTCAAGGTATCAGGGTCGCTTCAACCCCTTCAGCTTCTGAACCGTGGAAGGGTGGGATATTACACAGCCGTTAAGCGGGAAGCACCAAATTTGGGACCCCGTTAACTGAATTCCTCTGCGTTTTGCTCAAATGGTTCCTTGGGCTATTCTTGGCCCGTCCCTGTTGCTGTGGGCAATGGTGTGTGGGCGCAGGGAGGGTATGGTACCAAACATCCTGCGGTGGGGAGAATCCAGGGACTATCCGGCATGGTCTCTGTTCCTATTGTAGAACCCGCATATTGGAATTTGGACAGTTTCATATCCGGAGTTCCCGACTTCGCCAATCTACGATATTCTTGATCGTGATATTGAAGCAGGAAGAGAGGAGAATGATACTGTCCATGCCTCCGTGGTAATTGGGATCATCGATACGGTCCCCCCCCGGCTGGAACCACCACTGGTGTCCTTGGCGCCTCAGGCTCGGATCGTGACTTCTCCTGGCGTTTCCCGACGCTAAGGCTTGGCATTCGGCCAGCAACGACAACTTTGACAAGTCGCGCAACGTCCATCCTAAACGGGCGTTGCCAGACTCAGGTACTTCCGCGATTTTCGTGGGAAACCGAACCTCACTCCGTCAGACCATCGTGACAGTCCAAAGGACCGCTCGACTTCACTTCGCTCACTCCTCATCCCTTCACCGCCCTGGGTATTCGCTGTCCTTACAACGGTAGCGATCGGCGTCCACGCGATAGCTTTTCTGACCTCTCACTCCATGGTCCCCATCTTCTCCTATCTCTCCGACCCCCTTCGCATCGGCTGTAGACTCCGACCGCGACAACGAACGATTTGCTAGGAAAGACTAGTTGCGAGACGAATTCGGAAGGCGGCCGTGACCCAATTCATACGATCGAGCTGGAGGAACCACAAGAATGAGCGCCGCCTTCGCGGGAGGAGGCGGTCCACCCGCGGGGCCTCGAGGACGAAAGGAGAACAACGGACAGTCTCCATATGGCGGATGGCAGCCGGGCAGCAACAGCCAAGGCGAATTGGGTCCGAATCGATCGTTCTATATTGATGATGCCGACCGCGAGAACTCGAATCTCCAACCCAACCCTCATCCATCAGCCCTCACCGCTAATTCGAATCCGAACGATAAGACACAATCGAATCTCAGTCTGGAGGAGAAAGCCAAACGAGATGGTTCCAGACAGCGAACTTCCACGGAGCTGGGAAGAAGACCAAGCGGGCCGCGTTTCTGCGAGAAATGTGGTGAGCAGCTGCAAGGACAATTCGTCAGAGCGTTGGGTGCTCTATGGCACTTAGAATGCTTCTCATGCAGGGTGAGTTGTTTGCGTATGGTTTTGCGAGAGGTTGCCGGAGGCTGATGTAGGTGGTATAGGACTGTGGTAAAACGGTGGCCCAGAAGTTCTTCCCTCGCGAAGAGGAAGACGGTTCTGGTAAACAGTTTGCCCTCTGCGAGACGGACTATTTCCGACGCCTGGATCTTCTCTGTGCCAAATGCGGTGGTGCTCTGCGGGGTTCTTATATTACCGCCGTCGACAAGAAGTACCACATCGATCACTTTACGTGCTCTTCGTGCTCCTTGGTGTTTGGTGAAGCCGACAGCTACTACGAGCACGAGAGCAACGTATATTGCCATTACCACTATTCCACTCGATACGCTGCTAAGTGCAACGGTTGCCAAAACTCCATCTTGAAGCAGTTCATCGAATTGTTCCGGAACGGAGTAAACCAGCATTGGCATCCTGAATGCTATATGATCCACAAGTTTTGGAACGTCCGATTATGGCCTTCTGGTCAAGACGCACCGGATCGTTCAACGATCGAAGGCGATGTTGACCCTAGAGAACGGGATCGAGTGATGAAAGCCGAGGATGGAGTCGAGAACAAGGTCCACTTCATCTGGATTTCGTTGTCGATGTACGAAGAGAAATCGGCGACTCGAATATCGGATATGCTCCTTCAAGTCAGCAACGGGCTGTACTATGATAGCATCAAGTCGGCCCGGTACTTCATCACCCATTGTGAAGTCCTTTTCAATGGCTGTACGGAAGTTGAGAGACTCTGTTCCTCGGCACAACCACAGAAGATTGAGCTTCATTACGAACGAGAAGCGAAGGTCCTTTGCAAGAAGCTCGTTGGATTCTTCACGTTGATGGCGGAATCCGCCAGGAATGATGCTGTACAAGGAGTCAGCCAGGACCTTCTCACGTTGGTAACCGGTCTAGCACATTACCTGAAGCTCGTTATCCGTATTGCTCTCCAGGGGTCGTTGAAGCATCAGCATACCAACGGCAGCGACGAGGCGTTGCACAAATTGCTTGGCAGCGTCAATGGTCTCGAGGAGACTATAAAAGTCAGCGGGGAGCCCCCTCAGCAGGAACTCGACATGCTCGTCACAGTCGACGCAGACCGATGCAGAGAATGTGGGGAGAATACCGAAGGCCGCACCGTCTTGTCGGATATCAAGAGGGCCCCGATGATGGTGTTCCACCCGCAGTGCATCAAATGTTGGAGTTGTCAAAGGCCATTCCCGGATCCCAGTCTGGAAGCGTATTGGTCACGGTCCACAAACAGAGTGGTCTGTAAGGACTGCGTCCGAGCCAAGGAGCCGGCATTTGACGATGCTGCGCTTGTCTTTCATGTTGCGTCTCGTCTGCAGAATTTCGCGCATTTGTTGAAGGTAGCACATGCGAGATTGCTGGCGTCGATGAAGCAGATGATGAGAATAACGCAGACGACTGGTCAGTCCACTAGAATGCATGATAGAAGAGCGGAGGTGCTGACTGAAAGTAGATGATTCACTCCTACAGATGGGAACGACTGGGGGGATGGGAGAACCCCCGATGCTAAGCCCAGATAGTCGTTCAAGATCATATGCGGCGCCGAGTGTCCGTGACGGTGAAAAGGTCGCTGCCTATCAGGAAAGCATGGGCAAAATTTCCCGGATGAGATCAACACGGCTCGACAAACGTTTATCTTCCACCATGCAACGTGCACGCTCTTCACGCATCATCAATTCGCCTGAAGGTCTCACTGCACGTCCGGGATCTTCCGATGATCAACCAACTCAAGATCGTGGTTTGATGCAAATTATTGATCAAGAAGAACCTTACACCTCACCATCCCTAGGTGTTGCTGGCCACTCTTTTGGTACTGGTCCCGTCCTTGACGACCTCCCGCGGCTGTTCGCCCGCGAACAGGCCAGACAACTTCACCCGAACGCCGCGAGATACGCTGGTGACAATCTCATTCCGGAAGACAACATGTTCAGAGGAGTCAAGTATCTAAATGGGCATGCGCGGCAGACTTCCGGAGATCAGAACGGTAATGGCATTCCTACCGGCTATCAACAGCAGAAGAAATATTTCAGCCAACTCTCTCCCGTCGACGGCTTCATTGTCAAGCACGTATCCGTTACGGTCCTATCTTCATCTCCCGGCGGAGATTTCACTCAAGACGAACTCTTATCCCTCATCGAGACACGCAGCAATTCCGTCTGGAAACGCCTATTCGCCAAAAACGACCGTTCAAAACAGAAAACACGAAACCGAGCAACGGTCTTTGGCAATGACCTTGCCTTTGTCATCGAGCACAAAGGTGCTGAAACCACCGACTGCGTTGGACCTGGCTCTCTCCGTGTCCCTGCCGTCCTCGCTGACGCCATCACTGCAATGCACAACATGGACATGACCGCCGAGGGCATCTTCCGCAAGAGCGGGAACATTGGCAAGCTTCGCGATCTGGCCTCCAAGATCGATGCCGATGGCTCAGACTCCTCTGAGCTCATCAAAGAAGGCCCAATTCAAGTTGCTGTTCTCATCAAGCGATTCCTCCGCGATCTCCCAGAGCCTCTCCTGACATTTAAGCTCCATAAACTCTGGATCCACACTGCCAGTAAGTATCCCGGTTATCACTTTCACCATCGCCTGCCAATGCCACACACTTGGGGCTTGACGCACCTATTTTGTAGGCAGATGTTGTGTCAATTGCATATCATCAATTCCCATCGTCGATGCCCCTTTTGTGGGTCTCGTGACATGGTCACGTGCTTTCATGGTCGAGATTGCAGAGCTAACTTCGAATAGAAATCACACATCAGGAAACTCGTCTTCGTGTGCTTCATCTCACAGTCTGTCTTCTTCCAAAGCCCAACCGTGACACCTTGGAAGTGCTCTGCAGCTTCCTCGCTTGGGTTGCTTCTTTCAGCCTCGTGGACGAGGAGACTGGCTCGAAGATGGACATGCATAACCTTGCGACCGTCATCGCACCAAACATTCTTTATGAGAAAGCTGCAGATGATAAGAGAACACTGCCAGATCCCAGCATCAGCTTCCTTGCGATTGAGACTGTGTTCAACCTGATCCAACACGTCGAAGAGTTTGCTGAGGTTCGTACCCCCTTCATGGTTCTCGGTGGTCGTCCATTTGCATGATCGCTAATATTTCTCGATTCAGGTCCCAGCTGATATCCAGCACATCATGTCCGATCCCACCTTGTTTGGAGATGCTCCAACGGAGATCACCACGAAGGAAATCCTCAAGCGTGTCACCGAATACGCCAACCGTCCCAAGGGGGAGCAGCCCTCCCAAGCCGTTCATACTCGCCAGAATGATTCTCGCTCCGCAGCTCCCGTTGTCCACAATCAGGATTCGTCGGCTTGGGGACATACTGAGGCGACCGTTGCCGGACCGAGTGGTACCCGACCCTATCGATCTCAAGCCGAGGTGGTTGGAAGCGCACAACCAATCCGATATCCTGTTGGAAATGGACATGCGGTTTAGGTGACGCCGAACTTGACGTGCTCATCGCACCTGGTCAACACCCTAGGAACGAATTCTTCGAAACACTACAGACGATTGATATGGAATAAGCTGGATTTTCTACTATTATGTTTCATGCAGCTTAACCACTTGCTCGACTGCTGCATGAAATTTTAGCCCAGTGCCATAATCTCTCGAGGCAGACGTATATGTCGTCTTGGTGTCGCGTCACCTCTCCATGCCTCTCAAAAAGCGGTTTCGCCAGCTCCCTCTGATTTTCACACCGGCCAGAATTCCAACAGTTTCATGCAGACTTCTTTTCACGCGGAATCTCATTCTGGCATCTTGTATTAGCCTTCCCCATGACGTCGAAAAACAGCCATTCACCCCTTCGCTTCGAAAAATTCTGTGTTGGCACAATATCCTACTCGCATGCGGCTCTGAAATTGCAAACCTGGTTTTCTTCGCTGGCCCATGGCCTTGGTTTTCCTACGAAAATTTCATACCACTGGCGAGCAAGCAAGCAAGCGGCCTGCGGTTTCCATTTGTTTCTAATCCACCCCATTGGCGACGAACGATTCGGAGTTTTTTTTATATTTCATGGATCCGCTCTCGGAGCGAGCACGGATGGGATGGAGCGCGAGAATCCAGGATATGGGCGTTCAGTTTTCAATATTCACCTTGCTTGATCGATTGATGGAGGGTGGGGCTTCAGGACTACCTAAGTCGGGTCTATTTGGTGACCCAGAGAGTCTTTTGATGGAAAGTTTTCATTTCGAGTTTACTCATCACGAATCATGAACGATCCAGAAACATCAGAACAGCGCGTCCAGGATCAAACACATACATCCCACGTTCTCATATGTATCTCACTCACGACTCGCGACCCGTGGTTTGGCATTTTCTTGCCTTGCCTCTCGCTCGCTTTCCTCTGCCGCCTCTCTTTCCGGGAAGTTTTTTTTTCCTGGATTTCCGGGTTTCATGCATTGGATTGAATTCCGGGGACGGCGGACCGTGGAGGGATGGGATCAGGGAGGATCATGAGCATCCTGCGGGTTCTGTGGTCTTTTGCTGTGTTCAATACAATAAACGGGTCCCTTTGTATAGTAGCGAAAAAATTGAAACAAAAAACAATAGTCGTCCCCCCATGCGTGATTGTGATTATGGCTGCTTGATCTGCCTGTTTTGGCTGTTGTCCGGATAGGTGTGTTACTTCAAGCTGTAAACATATCACCAATAAGTTACACAATTTCAGTTATAAAACCTGAAGGAAGTCATCTTCGATACTAGTGGATATGCTGTCGTCTTGCGGTACGTTGTCTTCTATCAAATTTTATCCAGGTACTGTTCACGATTAACTCATGTTATTCCCAGCCATTCACATGTCTATTCGGTATTGGGGTGTGTTTGCTAGACTGATAGATTGTACTGATGGGACGAAAAAGGGGTTAATGCTTTCTTTCCCACTGTGTATCCAGTTTGAAAGGCCACCACTCTATTATGATAATCTAAATAATAGTGGCTTTAATATTCATGATGCTCTGAATAATTTGCAAGTTCATCAACTCCGGTCAGAATATTGGACGCATCAGATAACTGTGTCGCCTCATTCCAGTTCCTACGTTTTGACCTGCCATTCTACCGTCAGTAACAGATAAACCATTGCAAAGCGAGACGGGCACGAGTCAAGTCAACCTTCGAGCAGTATCATGAAAGGGTAGGAGATATAGCACATACGGTTTAGTGGAAGAGAGCAATACCGCTGTATTCAGAACATAACAACACATCCGTTCCTTCGACTCGCGAAAGTTTTGTATGTACAACGGAACATCAAAATATACGGAACGGAAAGACATCAATCTACGCTCACCGCCCCCTTTAGCTCTCCTTTAGCTTCTCAAACCCATCCATTCTACAGCGAATCCTACCATGCAAACCAACCACGAATAGCGCTGATCAAAAACACACGGCCGCTTTGACACGAACACGAAACAGGGGACGATACGGTAGGTCACGTAGCGTTCAAATTAAAAGGAAATAAAAGGTCAAGTCCCCCTAACCACCACACCAAGAATGTCCACAGCGAATGTGCAAGCGTATCGTTCGCCAAACCAAATCAACCCATGCTTCTACCACGTCCAACCTGCCCGTCCCCCCATCGCAATGCGCTGAAATAATTCCGTGCCGTCTAGAATCCAAACGGGTTGTTCGGCGCTGTGCATAGGTCAGTATTGCTCATTTCCAAAAAAAAAATCGGGGGCGTGGAAGATGTGAGGGGGTGCACGTACTCGCCTGACTCAAATTCGCCCGCCGTCCCGTCGGCTGCGGCGCCAACTTCTTCTGCCCGGCAACCCCGAAGCGCACGGGCGGCGGCGGCCCCGTCTTCTGGGGCTGCAGCGGCTGTGCGGCGGGTTGGCTCTGCGGGATCGGCGGGACAGGAGGTGGTTGGAAGCCGGTGGGTTGGGAGGCTTGGAAGCCGGTGGGTTGTGGCTGGAGAGCGGGGGGGAGGAAAGCGTTGATGCCGGTGGGTTGGGGGTGGAGAGGAGAGGGGGAGTAGGTGGACGGGGATTGGAACCCGGTGGGTTGGGGCTGGAAGGGGGCGCGGGGGGGGTCGGCGAAGGGTGAGCCGGATTGGTTGCCGAGGTTGGTGGGTTGGGGTTGGAAACCGGTGGGTTGGGGTTGGAACCCGGTGGGTTGGGGTTGGAACCCGGTGGGTTGGGGTTGGAACCCGGTGGATTGGGGTTGTTGGAATTGGGCGTTCGGGTACGACATCGGCATGCCGTTGGGGCCGAATTGGGGTTGGAACCCTGTGGGTTGCGGCTGCATTTGAGCGTATTGCTGCGCCATTTTCTGCTGGTTCAACTCGATCATGCTCTGGCCCGGGCCGGAGGGCTGCGCGTGGATGACGCCGGAGTGGTAGCCGGTGAGCTGCGGCTGCAGCGGCGGTGGCTGGAACGCGTTCTGCTGCGCATTCGGCGCGGACGAGGCGCGCGCGGGAGGAGGCGCGATGAGGGAGTTCCCGGTCGTCTGTTGCGGAGGAGCAGGTCGTTGTCGGGACACATTGAGGCCCTGGGGTGGCGCCTGTGCAAGCTGGTCGAAGAGAGAGGGAGTGGCGCCGGTAGGTTGTGCGGGCTGTGCGGGCGCGACAGCTTGGTCGGGGGCTGCTGTTGGAGGAGATGGTTGGGCTGGCTGGGCTATTGTCGGCTGCAGAGGTGGACTGAGCAAGGAGAGTTCGGCGAGCGATCCAGTGACTGCAGGAGAAGGGCTGGATACCGGGGCCGAAGAGACTTGAACGGCGGACTTGGATTTCCGCGGCTCCCAGGCATTATCGTCAAAGCCACCAACGTTGTCCTTCTCCGGAGGTGGTGGTCCAGAAGCGATTGGCGTAGGTTTGGCGTCTTCCGGCTGCGCTTCCTTCTCGTCTTTCAGCCTGAACGCGTCGGCATCCACTGTGTTGTTCGTCTCAACCGGTGGAGCTGGGCGGCCCTTCTTCGTATTGTTCAAGAGCGTGCCACCCGGCCCAGAGAAGAGCCCACCAGCAGAGCCATTCGCTCCGCCACCCTCACCTCGATTGAACTTGGAATCCAGGTACTTCATGATGCGCAAGATGTCACCCTCTTTGATGCCTAGCGTGCGTAGCGTCTGTGGATTGATGGCCTCCATGGTCTCCTCTCCCATCTGATCGCGCTTGAACGCCTGATTGTATCGCTCGCAAATCTGCGGATTGACTCCACACGCCAGGAAGAAATCGAACCAATCGTACTTGCTACCGGCGCTCCGGTCGATGCTGGCTCCGGCTGTGGGGGATCCCCGCCTGGAATTCTTGCTTCGGATCTCGGAGAGCGGCTTATCCTCATCGAGAGAGACACCGGTGGCATCCTCCACGTACTCAATATCGACCATGGACATCTTGGAAACGGGGACGGCGATGCGCACGCCGTTGAGCTTATGCAGATGAATCTTGCCTTCCCGGAGGCCAAGGAATTCAGCATCAACCTTGAATGACTCCGTCCGATCAGTCCATTGGCGAACTTTGGCCGGATTTGGTTCTGTTGTACGATCAATACTTGCACAAATACAATAGTCTACGGATTGACAAGACTTACTCTCCGCCCGCGAACTACCCTGCGTGCTTCCCCGCTTCGATTTCCGCTGCGAACCACTTCGGCTAGAGGGATCATCTCTCATGAGACTGCTTCCTCTCTGCGGGAGCGGCAATCCCGGTCCCACCGAACCGTTTTCCGACTTCTTATGACCCCTCTTCGAGGCGCCCCGCGCCTGTCGCTCTTCTTCCGCCCGATTCTTTTCCACGGTGCTGCGAGTATCGAGACCCCCGGCCGTCAACTCGACGTACTGAGCAGGCACGACGCCCTCGTCGCCCGTCCGCATGTTCTGCACCTTCCACCACTCTTCGCTAGAGCGGTCGTCGAGGATCTCTACGTGGTCGCCTTCCTGGACGGCGATTTCGTCGGCGTCGTTCGGGGAGAAGTCGAACTTGACGATGCCCGACTTTTTTCGGCTGGCGTTGCCCTGCGCGGCGTTGAGGATCTCGGCCATGGGACCGAGCTCCGACTGCGATCGGACGGCGCCGGAGATTTCGCCGAGCATGCGGGTGATTTCCTCGGCGGTCTCGGTGTTGCCGGCGTGGATGTGGAACTCATGCGACGGGCGAATTACGACGATGAAGACGCGTTTGCCCTCGATGCTGTAGTTCGTCATGTGACTGCCGTCCCATACCTGCTCCTTTCCTTTCTGACCACCACCCGAGTCGATCTCGGATACCATGATCCGGCAATTCCGAACATCAATACCTAGCACCGACTTAATCTTATGCTCCTTTCCAAGCGCGCTCTTGACCTGATAGATATTGAACAACTTGAAGCTCCCTCCGAAGTTGTTGCGTGGCGGCGGCGTCGATCGAGACTCTGTAGGAGAAAAAGTTGGGGATATCGGGGACATCGGGGACATCGGAGGGGGGGACACTTCGCTTGGCGGTCTTCGAGGTAATTGAGGCGTGTCTTCCTCCTCTTCGGCGAACCGCACGCTTCGGGATGGCAACGGCGGGGCGTCTTCATCTTCCGCGGGCGGTGGAGGTACTGGACGCGACTCTCGTGCGTAAGAATCTCTTGCCGGGGCACTGTATCTTGATGCAACATCGTCACCACCGCCCGTCTTCTGCGCAAGTATCCCAGCCAGAGCAGCAGCCGGGCTCTGCGTCGGGGTATCCGGAGACGGAGGAATGGATTCTGGTTCTTCTACTGGAGCAGCTCTCGGCAGTGCCGGGGCAGCTGGTGGTCGAGCCGGTTTCGGAGGAGCCTGTTCGTCATCTTCCGCTTCCTCGATGTAGTTCGACGGAACGAAGCCAAACTCTCCGTTGAAGCCAACGAGGGTCCAGTCGGGGTCGGAAGTGTCATAAACATCGAGGAGCGACTCTTCGGTGAACGACAGTTCCTCATCCGTTTGACGAGTGTAATCATACAGCGCCTTTGCCTTGTTCGAAGCGGTCGCCTCCTCGACGTAATTATTCGGGATCAGGCCTTCGGGCTCCTCTTCGCCTTCGTCGGCTGCCTTCTTCTTCGCCTTCCACCAGCCATCGTCCGCGCTCTTGTCGAGAACAAAAAGCAAATCACCATCTTGGATTTCCAACTCTCCTTCTCCTTGCGGAGCATAGTCGTATATGGCTCGGTAGACACCCTCGAAACCCATGGCAGGCGACGCCGGATGGTATGTGGGAGCCTACGCTAGTGCTCGGACGGGTGGTCTAACGATTGTTCGGATTGGCTCCGTATGAGGAATGTCGTGGTCGGATAGGACTTGGGAGGGTGATTACATGAAGAGGGTGGTAATCTTACGTTCAGGGCGTGGCCAGGAACAGGGGTATGATGGCGAGGAAGATGAAGGGGGTAGAGAGTTGTGAGAGTAGCGGAATGAACGGACTAGCGATATCAAAGGGATCTTAGAGCGAATAGCAACAAATCCAGATCTGGAGGGGAACTGGAGGCTTCAAGCGAAGCAAAGGCCTTGGACATGGCAGAGGGATCAACGGAGTGAGCGGGAGCTTCGGTTTGGAGGTTCAAACGCGAAGTTTGAGGCTGGTGCTGTGGAGACTAAGGACTGTGGCGGTGCTGTGGCATATCTCTAAATCACGTGGAGTAAGTAGGAGAAGTTGGCAAGTTGCTCCAACGAAAGACGTCCTGGAAAGAACTGTTCTTCTCTAGTACTCTCTGACTCTCTCCCTCCATCATGCTGATTCCCGGTTCTTGCATATTATTGTTAAAATGTTCCATGACAGGTTGAAGAATATAGAATGCTCGTTCCAAGGAGTACTACTCCAATCATCCAGCAGGTCACTCAAACGAACACGAAGGTGTGGATGAGAGAAGGTATTGATCCTTCGTTTTGGGGACACAAGAGCATGACAGGATATATTGGTCTCCATATAGAGGATAAGTGGATAATGGCAGGACTGGAAACAGGAAACTGAAAATGTCTGCATTTTGAATCTTCCCCGGCGTAAGCGGCAAGACGCAGGAGATGGCTAATATTATGAGGGTTTGTCCCACTCCTTGCTCCTCTCCCATCCGCACGACCATGAATATCAATTGTAAAGTCAGGGTAGTTTATCCAGTGATTCAATAATCAATATGCCAAAACAATACCCTGCCTTATTATTGTTCTCTTGTCGCGCAAAACAAGGCCAGATGAACCGCCAGTCCTATGTGGACCGTGCAGTCGCGTCTGGACGCGCCGTTAACCCGCCACTTTGATATCTCCCTCTATCTGCCCATCATCAACACAAACAATCCGTTCGCACCAACACGCCCTCATATCTCACATTGAATTTCTCTCATGCTCATACCATCTTAACCATTTGAAAACCATCCATCATCACCCATAACTACACCAAAATCCCCTTTCCAAATCCACGGAATCATCTTACCATACATCTGCCAATATGTCGGTGGTATCACTACTCAACGTGAAGATCTGTAACAATCCCGCTACCTTCACCTCTCCATACCAGTTCGAAATCACATTCGAATGCCTGGAGAACCTCCGCGAAGACCTCGAATGGAAACTCACCTACGTCGGCTCCGCCACCTCGTAAGCCCCTCCCCCCTCCCGGCCCCCCCCCCTTCATACTACTAACCCCCTCCCCAGCTCCGAACATGACCAAGAGCTCGACTCCCTCCTCGTCGGCCCCGTCCCCATTGGCGTCAACAAATTCATCTTCCAAGCCGACCCCCCGGACCTCTCCCGCATCCCCAGCAGCGAGCTCCTCGGCGTCACCGTCATCCTGCTCACCTGCAGCTACGATGGCCGGGAGTTCGTACGCGTCGGCTACTACGTGAACAATCAGTACCCCGACCAGTTTCCGGAGCTGCAGGCCGACCCGCCCGCGAAGCCGATCATCGAGAAGATCGAGCGGAATATCTTGGCGGATAAGCCGAGGGTGACGAGGTTTGCGATTAAATGGTACGTGGATTATACAGTCACCTTAGCAATTGATATGGGTGGAGTGCTAATGCGAGATGCTAGGGATTCGGATGAATCTGCCCCCGCTGAATTCCCGCCCGACCAGCCTGAAGCCGACACGGTGGACGACGACGGTGATCTGTACGGTGCCGAGGAGGAAGAAGAGGAGGTTGAGGAAGTTGTTGCGGTGGAAGCGGAGGGCGATGACACGGAGATGGGCGGTGCAGAGGAAGGCGCAGATGTAAAAGTTGAGGTGGAGGAGGAGGATGACGACGACGCAGGAAGCGAAGACCTCGAGGCGGAGAGCGACGGAGATGATGAAGAGGAGTTAGAGGACGAGGAAGGCGAGGGGGAGGAGGAGGCGGATGAGGAGATGGAGATGGGAGAGGATGAGACAAAGCCGGCGAATGGGGCGCCGATTGAGCAGAATCAGCAGCAGGAGATGATGGTTCATTGAGGTTTCAGATGCTGTGATGTGGCTACGAGATGATAAGAAGATGCTGGATGAGTGATGGGCGTCACCGATGCTCTAATGAGGACGCTGTTGAAGTCTACACGGAGTGGTCGTTGAGCGCATATGGCAGCGTGGCATTCCCAAGCGACTTGGCCTTACCAGTATTCCCATGATAGATCTACGAATTGATTCCAAGTACGGTTTCTTACTTCATTTTGATTGGATGCCCTCCATGATATAGTGTCGGATAATACTAATAATTTATATCGGATGGTGAAGCTTTGAATAATATCAATGTTCCTGCATTAGTTCCCTTGTTCCGCCCTCCGCCACATCCGGAAAGTCGGAAGTCGATACAACAAAGCACTACGTAATCCTCCAAGCTTGAATCTTCACAAACATGATGAGCGCCAAATGATTTTCAACCATCCTAACGAATAACTCTCATGATAGTAAATTAGTAATCCCTTGAAAATGGCTCATCTCCTACGCGGCAAGCAAGCCGGCGTTCAGAACGACTTCACAGCGGGGTTAAGCCCCGACCAAATAAACATCGACGAAGTACGAGAGATTCATCACCTTCAGGTCCCAAATACTAACCAGACGATAGATCCAAAGATACGGAGTCGGCTCTCAAATCTCCCAAATCGCTTATGATCCTGTCCAAGGCCTGATTGCCGTGGGCACGAACGATACGCAGTTTGGCCCCGGGCAGATCTACGTCTTTGGCCAGAGAAGGGTCGATGTCGTGCTCAACCTATCACGGAAGGGATCCGTTCGCATCTTGCAATTCTGTGCCGATAAGCTCATCTGCCTGGACAGTCGAAATGAGCTCTCAATCTTTTCGCTGGAAACCAAGCGGTTGGTAGCGGCGTATACCCCGCCGGGAGCGGTGGTGAGTGTGTATACCGATCCAGCGATTGACTTTGCGTTGCTGGGGATGCAGAATGGTAGGTTGAGTTTAAATCTATTGGAATTGAAATTGAAATTGACATGCTACAGGCGAGGTACTCGCATACGATCTCGACAGAGAAGCGATGGCACCATTTAGGATCCCCAATCTCTGGCGTGAGAAGAATCCGAAGGCAAGGCTTTCTCCCGTGATAACATTACGCCTCCATCCCCGAGACATCGGCGCGCTTTTAATTGGTTATGCGGAAGGCGCCGTCATCTACTCGTTCAACCAGAGCAAAGCCGTCCGATTTTTCTACTATGAGCTCCCTCGTGGTGCTCCCGGCGGCGATCTCGACCCCACGGCGATGAACATCGTCCGACGTCCGCAATTAACCCACGCCGTCTGGCATCCCACCGGCACATTTATCCTCACCGGCCACGCTGACGGCAGTCTGGTCTTCTGGGACGCCAAAGACGGCCGCATCGTCATGGCGCGCACGCTCGACGCCACGAACATCAACCAACCCCTCCGCAACCCCGGCTCCTCCATCTCCGACGGCATGGGCGCCCAAGAACCCATCACCGAGATAATCTGGTGCGCGAACCAAGACCCCGACGACACCGCGATCCTTATCTCCGGCGGAACCTCCAGCATGATGCCCACCAAAGGCCTCACCCTCTTCGAGCTCGGCCGCACCCCCAACTACTCCACCTCCTCCTGGCCCGTCCTCGCCGCCCACTTCGAATCCCCCAAACGCCAACGTCTCCTCCCCACCCCTCCCAATGCCTCCGTCCAACATATCTGCCTCGTCCCCCGCTCCTCCCCCCATTTCCACGGCGCCCAAGACCCCCTCGCCATCCTCGCGCTCCTCGCCTCCGGCGAGCTCATCTCCCTCAGCTTCCCCTCCGGCATCCCTATCTCCGCTACCAACCAGCTACACGTCTCCCTGAGCTTCGTGCACCCGTTCGTCACCGCCGTCAACCTCGCGCCCGTCGATCGCAACCGCTGGCTCGGGATGACGGAAAAGCGCTCGCGGGGGCCGCCGATGCTGCGCGGCGGGAAGGAGCAGATGCGGCCGCTGAAGCGGTTCGAGCACCGCAACGTGGTGCAGACGGCGCACGCGGACGGGACGGTACGGGTGTGGGATGCGGGGCATGGGGACGAGTTGGAGAACGACGGTGTGGTGCAAGCGGACGTGGGGCGGGCGGTGGGGCGGATGGATGATGTGGAGGTGGTGGTAACGAGCTTGGCGGGGGCGACGGGCGAGTTGGCGGCAGGGCTGAAGAGCGGGGAGGTGGTGGTGTTTCGGTGGAATTCGAATAAGCATCCGGGGAGGGAGGGGCGGGGAGGGGAGAATAAGGCGAGGGGGTTGACGGACGTGTTGGATCGGTGTGATCCGGCGTTGAGCGAGGGGTTGTTGCCGTTGACGTTATTTGATGGGCGGGATGGGCGGGTGACGGCGTTGGAGTTGTCGGATGTGGGGTTCGTGGCGGCGGCGTTTGAGGGTGGGAGTATGGTTGTCATCGATCTACGGGGCCCAGCAGTGATCTTCGATGCGAAGTTGACCGAACTCGTGAGGCAGGACCGAAAGTCAAGTTTTAGGAGACATAGTCAGCAACCGGCCACGGCGGACTGGGCTACTAAGCTGGTGTTCAGCGTACGTCCCCTGAATCCCCCTCCATCCCTCTCCATCCATCGCTAACCCCATCAGGTCATGACCCTCGACCAAGAATCCTACTCCAGCATCCTCCTCCATGCCGGTACCCACCACGGCCACCTCCTCACCCTCCAAATTGTCCCCGATGCCTCCGGCCGCTACTCCGTCCACCCCGCCGGCCACCTCTCCCTCGACTCCCCCGTCGTCTCCATCTCCCCCCTGCACGCCAACACCGGCTCCCCCGCGCTCGCCACCCAATCCGCCGTCGCAGGCCTCCGCAACGGCGCCAAGACCCCTGGCGTGCTCCTCGTCGTCACACAGGGTGGCGCACGCCTGTTCCGCCCGGCGACCAGCAAGGGCGCGTCGAAGAGCTGGGATGATTTCTATGTGTATTCGGCGGCGGTGGCGCGCTGGGATGAAGGAAAGTGGGCACTCGTGTGCTTGTGTGGGGACGGGGTCGCGCGGGTGTATTCGATCCCGGCGCTGAAGGAGGTGGGTGGGGTGAGGGTAGGGAACGTGTTGGATGTGAAGCGGATGGGGCAAGCGTGCGTGACGCGGACGGGGGATGTGTTGGGGTGGACGGGGCCGTCGGAGATGGCGTTGTTGACGGTGTTTGGGAGCGGGCTGCCGCTGTGAGTTGTCCTCCGTATATAGAACAGAACTTCCGCTGACTGAGTAACAGGAACCGCTCGAGAGACGTTATCTTTGACCCCGAAGCTCTCATCCCCCCCCGCCCTACCATCTCCAACCTCCAATGGATCTCCGGAACCCAACACGTCACCCCCTCCGACATCGACATCCTCAGTACGTCTCCCCTCCTGTTATTCCCCACCCACTAACCCCCTCAGTCGGCGGCCCCGACCGGCCCCCATCTCGACGCATGGTCGCCCAAGCGCGGGCCGACCAAGAAGCCGCACGCTCCGCGACGCGCAACCGGGCCGCCGCGGCCACGCTCCCGACGAACCAGAACGACGAGGGCTACTGGGAGTATATGCAGCGGCAGATCAACGAGCGGACGGAGAAGTTGGGGATCGTGGGGGATAGCGTGAATCGGCTGGAGGAGACGAGCGCGGGGTGGGCGGATGATGTGAGTAAGTATGTGCAGCGGCAGAAGCGGAATATGGTGATGGGCGGTGAGTATATTCCTTGATAAGATGGATTGAAGGTTACTGATAAGATATAGCGGTGAAATCGAAGTTCGGTTGAGGTGAGGTTGGATGACGGTCACGGCCAGTCTAAAGTTTATGAGATGGAAAAGGATCGTTAGGATTCGGCGGGCATATTTTGATGGCCTATATGTTACACTTATGACAGCTCTATGGACGCTTCATTTCTCAATTGGCCACAGTATTCTGGCGCACCCAGTCGGTCTGTCCTACAGGCCAAATCCCCGTTTTGAAGACTCCTGATGGTTGCAGTGCGTTCCACTAAACCTATATCTTGTTCCCCAACAGATTAAGCCAAGGAGATCCGATACGGTACATACTACACGGCAGGTCTGTTGGAAGGTCTATGAACAGTAACTGATTCTCTGGCCATGAGGACGAGGGATTCTCGATGATAAGGGATTTAACCCTTCTTTTGAGAGCGAGATACGCTAATTGTGTGATGGGTTTGCCCCCAAGGAGAGAAAGTATTCCGCATTTTGAAAATTCGAATAAGGGGTAGACTCTAAGAGGTAGACTCTAAGAGGAAGCTGGATATGGGTATATAGTGAGGACAAGTCTTGAGGCAGGGAAGCAGAGTGAAAGGGATCCAGTGGTTGTAAGATGATACTCTAACCCTATAGTTAACTACCGAAGTCCGTCGTTAGTACTCGTTACCCATCACTAGCAATGGTGACGTACTATCATTCCAGGTTTCATGGCACATCATCCACCGACCTATTATTAATTTTCTTACCGTAGATATGACCCCTGCCGTACTTCCAGACCATCCATCCGCCTTCCCCCAGTTACAAGCAAATCAAACATGATGGCTTCCCCTGCCATGGAGAAGCATCCCTTGTGACACGCGAATGCGGAGAATGCGGAGAGAGGCACAATTGCGGATCGATGATTGCTCGGAACCCCTTCCCCAGAGTCTGTCTGATCTGGATTTTATCGGCTTATCAGGTGCTATCAGATCGGTAATTGGCGGCCGGAGGGACCAGATTCCAGGAGGTTTCAAAGGGGTGACAATCACTTGACATCAGCATTTGCAATTGAACCGACGCTAGCCACCAGCGAATCCGCGCATCGCTCGCACCGCCATCGATAAACAACGGAACCGATGCGAATCTCCGAACGGATTCACCGCAGGGAGCGGAATGGTGTCCACCTGTACATCATTGCGTAGGGCGCGGTGTTTTTGGTCCGGCCCAACGGTAGTGCCTGGTCTGGCACCAAATGGGGAATGTCGTTAAAATGATCAAACCCCCATTCCTTTATAGAAATTCCATCCATTCCGTGCCACCCTTTCATTCAGATATCTCGATCCATTGGATGATTGCGTGCAAAATCCGATTCACAGACCAAATCACCGATTATCTATTATTTGAATAATCCAATTGATTACTCAGCTCACTGCCACACGTCATGGCTCCCCCGCCATCAGCCATCTCCATGGAGGGGTTGGACGACACCACCGCCGCCCCATTCCCCAACCCGTTGACGCTGCCATTGGAGGTCAACGACATTTTTGGGCGCCGGAATAAGGCCGATAAGAAGCAATGGGGCGTCGCCGCGCCGTCGGTGACCAGCTCCTTCAAGATCGGGTCGCCGCGGACGGATCGACCGAAAGCGAAGCGATGGGATGGTGAGTTCATTATTATTGTAGCGTTCTTGGATGCATTTGTATATTTTATCACACTAGGGATCCTGGTCGCACATCATATCTGAAGCTGCATGGCAATATGATGCACGACGGCCAAGGCATCTAGTCGCATCCGCCAAATATTCCCGACCAACTTCGTAGTCAATTCAGCTGACCCGCCCAACCCAGACCACTTCACCGACGAGACCCTCCTCCGCAAAGGCTCCTCCCTCAAACAAGCCGCCAAACACCTCAGCAAGCCCGGCATCATCTCCCTCGGCGGCGGCCTCCCCTCCTCCGAATACTTTCCCTTCGCCACCCTCACCTCCCTCGTCCCCACGCCCCCCCACTTCGCCGAGAGCGACACTACCCCGTCCACCGGCACGGAGCTCCGTTCCGGAAAGCATGACCTCGCCACCGAGCGCTCCATCTTCGACCTGTCGACCGCCCTGAACTACGGGCAGGGCTCCGGCGCCGCGCAGCTGCTGCGATGGATTGTCGAGCATACGCAGCTCGTGCACGATCCGCCGTATCGGGATTGGGCGTGCACGATGAGCATTGGGAGCACGAGCGCGCTGGATATGACTTTGCGGATGTTCACGACGAAGGGGGAGAAGATCCTGAGTGAGGATTATACATTCGCGAGCGCCGTGCAGACGGCCGAGCCGATGGGAGTGGGCGTTGTGGGCGTCAAGATGGATGCGGAGGGGCTGTTGCCGGGACACATGGCGGAGATCTTGGGCGGGTGGGATGCGGTGAAGATGGGGGCGCCGAGGCCGCGGGTGCTGTATACGGTGCCGACGGGGCAGAATCCCACGGGGGCGACGATGGGGAAGCAGCGGCGGCAGGATGTGTACGCCGTCGCGCGCCAATACGATGTCATCATCCTGGAAGACGAACCGTACTACTTCCTGCAAATGCAGCCGTACGTGGCGAAAACGGCGGGCGCGGAATCACAAGAGCCACCGCCGCCACGCACGCACCGCGAGTTCCTGGACGCGCTGGTGCCCAGCTTCCTGAGCATGGACGTCGATGGGCGGGTGATCCGCATGGACTCCTTCTCGAAGGTGATCGCGCCGGGATCCCGGGTGGGGTGGATCACCGCGTCGGATCAGATCGTGGAAAGATACCGGAAGCACGCGGATGTGTCGACGCAGGGGCCGAGCGGGTTCTCGCAGATAATTCTATTTAAGTTGCTGGAGGAGCATTGGGGCCACAGCGGGTATCTCGACTGGTTGCTGTTCATCCGCATGGAGTACACGAGTCGGCGGGAGGTGATCCTCGATGCATCGGAGAAGTTCTTGCCGAAGGAGGTGGTTAGCTGGGTGGCGCCGTCGGCCGGCATGTTTGTAAGTTCCCATCACCCCCTCACGATATGTTCGTTTATACTAACCCTCTCCTAGTTCTGGATGAAGATGGACTGGCGCAAGCACCCGCAAGCAGGCACCCAGTCCCTCCTCGAGCTCGAAGATGAGATCTACAACACCTCCATCGAGGAAGGCAGCCTGGTCATGAAAGGCAGCTGGTTCTACGCCGACCCCTCCGCCAAGCACGATACATTGTTCTTCCGCGCCACCTACGCCGCCGCGCCGTCCGATAAGATTCAGGAGGCGATCCGCCGGTTCGGCGTGGCGGTGAAGAAGAGCTTCGGGTTGGTGGCTAACGGGGTGTGAGACGTCGGTACGGAAGATCTCGCGCACCTTTTGGAGTCCCACGATCGGAGTGGAGATGTTATAGATTTTGGCATATCGGCCGTTCCCTTGGTTTAAAACGGTGTAATACGGGCGATCAGCATCATCAAAACGTTTCGCGTATTGTCGGGCTCCTTTCGAAGCATCGCATGGTGGACTTTTGTGGTCTCTAGAATAGAACAAGTACCATTTTCCATAATCATACAATGAAAATCAACTCGAACGCCCGAGAGATAGCTCTTTTTGGATCCCGTGTAAAAATGCACGCTCAGTTGATGAAGTTGACGCAGAAGAAGTGCAGCAGCAAACTCCCAAAGATGTAGTCCGCAAACGCCCTGTTTGATATTTCTCGTTAGTCGACTGCCACTGCCGAAATCCAGGGCATATGGAAGCGAATACCTTTCGTTCGAAATGTTCTTGAACTCCCCCTCGTTCTCCACGTTCGTCTGGATCCGCAAACTCGCCGTGAGCACAAACTGCCCGACCGTCGCGCCGAAGCCCGACAAGAAAGCGTTGAATGGCTATACTCAAGTCAGTACTCATCCTCTTGTTCACTGGGCACCCTATATCCCCAACAACATGCCATTGAGGGTATCGGTAGACAGGGGGACACGTACATAGTTTCCAGCCACCACGCAATACGCAAACTGCACCGCACCCACGACCATCAGGAACGCCATGAACGTGTCGATCAGCTTCGTGCGCTGCGGGGTTTTCGCGACGTAGTTATTCCAGACGCCATGAATGATATGCTGCGGGTTGGAGGCGGTTTTCGTGCGGGAGGGGGTGGGTTGGGAGGACGGGGTGGAGGGCGTGGAGGCGGCGGGGGCGCGGTTGCGGGGGGCCATTTTGAGGGAGGGTGGGGGTTGAGGGTTTGGGAAGGGGGGAGTAGTTAAGCGGAAGAAGATGGTGAGGTGGTGTAGTTCTGGGTGGGAGATATATCGATATATCGTAGAATCTTGAATGATTTGGACTTTGGGAGACGTCAAAGGTGTCCGAATGCAGCACAGGGATCCCCCCTGCAACAGCTGCTTATTCCATCCATCAACCTCCGTCATCACCACCATCACAACCACAGCTGCGTGAAACATCACCATTGACCCATTGACTTCCCTCCCACGCTCCATATTCCCGTTCTACAAATCCTACATCACATCTCACTTCAATCACCATGGTAAGCTCCCTCCCACCCCTCCCACCACCAACCAGACCCTAACCCTCCCAGTCCCTCGACAATATCGCTCTTGTCCTCGGTGGCCTCACCGCAGGCGGCGGCATCATCGGCTACGCCCGCACCGGCTCCATCCCCTCCGTCGCCGCCGGCGTGACGGTTGGCGCATTGGTACGTGCTCCCCCTCCTCCGTCACCGACCAGATGGAATAGCATGCCCTCGCGACACCAGCTAACCCACTCCAGTACGCCCTCTCGGGCCTCCGCCTCCGCAACCGCGCCCCCTACGGCGTCGAGATCGGTCTGCTGGCATCGGTCGTGTTAGCGGGCGCGAGCTTGCCGCGGGCGATTCGGACGGGGAAGCCGGTGCCGATTGGGTTGTCGGTTTTGGCGACCTATGGTCTGTATAGTTTTGGGATGGCATTTAGTGGGCGGGTGCGTTGAAGGGGGCTGGTCGGGGTTTGGGGAGTTGATCGGAGGAGCAAAAGGGGCGAGGGGGAATATTTGCTTTGGATATAGTTATAGTAGTATCCATGCTATGGTAGCTACAGTACTGGGTAGTCGTCCTGCGGATCGAACCGATCCGACCAGAACTCATACAGTGCCTAATATAATGGAGTTTCCTCTCCACACCAGATATTCCGTCCAGATAAACACGCTGGACAGAGCACATGAACGTTCAAGACGTACAAGTCGTCTTGCGCCAACCATACCCCCTCAATCGATCTCGAAACACGCTGAAAACACCGAAACATGGAGTCATCCGACTCCCTCATCCCGTCCAACTCAAAGAGGATGAACTTCCCACAATCCATCCGACAGCCCTCAAGCCGCCGACATATCCAACCCCGCCTTCTTCAACCCATCCAACAATCCCTCCTTCAAACCCCCCTCCCTCCCTAACCCCAACTCCTCCGCTAACAACCCCTCCACCATCTCCGCCCCCTTCTTCTCCACCTCCTCCCCGCCCCGATCCTTCTCCCCATCCCCCTCCAATCCCGCCACCCGATCATCCAACGCCAACTTACTACTCCCCAACCCCAAGATCTTCTCCTCGATCGTGCCCCGGCTCACCAGCCGAATCACCTCCACCTCCCGCGTCTGCCCCACCCGGTGCGCCCGGTTCTCCGCCTGCACATCTTCTTGTGGATTGAACGACATGTCGAAGATGATGACCTTGTTCGCCGCCGCGAGGTTGATCCCCGTACCACCGGCTTTCGTGGAGAGCATGAATACTTTGAGGGACGTGTCGGCGGTGAACTCGTCGATCAGCGACTGGCGATCCGAGATGGCGGTGCCGCCGTCGATTCGGCAGTATGGCAGGTCGAGGTGGTCGAGCACCCGCTCGAGGATGTCCATCATCATCGTGTACTGGGAGAATAGCAGGGTGCGGTCGCCGTTGGCGTCGAAGGTGCGGAGGAGGTCGCAGAGCACTGCGACCTTGCCGGAGTCTAGCCATTCGTCGTTTTGCAGCATGTATTTCCCGAGGTGCGTCGGATGTTGCTCGCACAGATGGTTCAGGTTGAAGTCGCTGTAGATCTCCATGTCCTCGTAGACGTAGTCGACCCTGGAGTCGCGGAACGGCTCTTCTTTCACGGCGTCACGGGACATACGGTGAATCGTGCGGTCGTCATAAATCCGACGGAAGAGGAGCGGATGGATCGACGCCTTCCGTAATTCCGACATCAAGGCGATGTTGTCAGCTTTCTCACCGCGTTGTCGCGCAAGGATGGCTTGTCGTTCCTTCTCGAGGATCTCGTCATAGATTACACGCTGGCGGTCCGAAAGGTCACAGTAAACCACCCGGCCCGTCTTCTTCGGCATATCTTTGAGAACCTGCTGCTTCTTGCGTCGAAGGATGAACGGAGCCATCATGGAGCGCGCGCGGATGATGCGCTGGGTGGACAACAATCCCTTGTGGTCTGTGTCGTTCGTCTTTGCTTTGTATTTGAAAATCGAATCCAGCGCGTCCTTGTGCCGGGAGAATACCTCCGGCATCATAAAGGAAAGGATCGAAGCGAGTTCCGCCAGGTTATTCTGGAGCGGGGTGCCCGTCAGCAAAAGCCGACACTCGGCTTCGACCGCGATTCGCATGAGCGATGTGTGGCGTTGTGTGCGCTGGTTCTTCAGATAATGGCCTTCATCGAACACGGCGACGTTGATCTCCAGCTTGCGGAGGAAGGAATTGTCGGGGACTTTCCAAGCAATATCGTAGGTCGTGATGATGACGTCGATCGACTTGATATTGTGTCGGATGTTTTCACGCAGCTCGGGACGCTCGTATTGGCCCCCGTAGTATGGCTCGACACGGAGTTGAGGAGAGAAGTTCCGGAACTCGCGGAGCCAATTCTCAAGCGTGGAGCCAGGAACAACGACTATACTTACTCCTCGGGTTTGAATCTGGCGAAGGTGGGTCAAGAAGGCGATGACCTGGCACGTCTTTCCCAGACCCATCTCATCGGCCAGGATTCCAGAGAGGTTCTCCCGCCACAACAAGTTCAACCAGTTCAAGCCGACGACCTGGTAGTCCTTCAGCTTCACATCCCGAGACATGATCGAAGGCTGGGTGATCCAGCCATGCCGCTCCCTTACGCCCCTCCTCTTTTGCGGAACAATCTCATCGTCCTGGGACACATCGGGCGAGGGCGTGCCAACACCTGAATCACGCGGCGAGTTGCTCCCGATGAAAGACATCTCTCCCAGCTGCTTCGCACCCGCAGCATCGAACCCCCAGCGTATCATTTGCTCCTGCATCGGGTTTCCTAGCTTTTGGCACTCCGCCGCGAGCTTGTCCACGGCTTGGTACGATTCCAAGATCTCCAAGCACGACTCGACCAACCGATCGCCAATCTGTTTCTTGGTTGTCCGTTGACGTCCGTTCTTTCCGGTTGTAACGGACTCGATGACAATGCCGCGAACGGCGGTGATGGATTTGAATGGTCGGCGAGAAAGAACCTCGTCAATGACTTCATCGTTCTGGTTGGAGACATCACGGAGATCGTCCTTGCTGCACTTGTTTATGTACTTGAGGAGATAGGCATTCAGTTGAGCAACGGTTTTTGCGGTCTTGAAGTCATCGTATTCAGACTTTTCAACGACATCGTCATCATCAGAGTCGATCTCAACCACCTCTTTAGGAGTGCTGTCTGCATCAGCGGACTGGGATCGTTGCCGAACGCCTTGCACGAGTCTCCGTCGAGGCTTCTTCGCGTCCGAATCTGCTTCCGCAGGACGTTGAGTTGATGCCCATTTCTCCTGAATAGTCTTCTTATTCGTCAACTGCCTCTTCGCGGTGGTCCTAGGCGCCTTCACTTGCGACCGATCCAGAATCACCGGTTGATCGTCGCTTTCACTCTCATCACTCTTAGTTAAGTCGCTAAACCAATCAAAGGTTCGCTCAAAGTTACCACGATTAAGCATGAGTTGGCTTTTCAGGTCCATAATCCTCACCGAAGGGAACAACCCATGGAGTCGCTGCACCTTGCCTCGAACTTCTCGGTCGTGAATGTCGTCTAGTGTCAAGTCTCCGCCGACGGGCATCGCTCGTGCCGGTCCGCTTTGCTTCAACTTTTTGGTCGGACGAGCATCCGTCATGGAGTCGTCCAACCGCTTCTGGGGATTTGAAGCCATCGGCCGGTTCGGATCGTAGGCGAAGTGGGATAAGCTGAGCGTCGAAGTAGCAGAGCCCGATGAATGTCCTTGCACAAGCTGCTTTTTGCCGTTGGTGAAAATGGACTGCGGGATATTTGACCGGGTGATGCTCAGTTCGTCTTCCGAGGTGTCGATGTTCACTTTCCGCTTGGGTTTCACGGGTAGTGCTTGAGAAAGTTCGTCCTCGTCGTCGCTCAGTTGCTGAGTGTATCTGTAAGGTGCCCGAAATTGAGTTCCCGGCGGTGCCATAAGCGAAGCAAACGTGCTCGGTTTGGGAGGATTCCGCGGAACGAATTTATTGGATCCCGGTGCTGCTGGTGCTCGCTCTTGTGCTGGCCGTTGTGGTAAGGGACTATCTGGAACGAAGGTCGCTTGAGTGGGTGAGGAGTCGGGGACACGGTCGAGGTGGCGGACGGGTGTCGAGCTTGGTGAAGACACGACAGGACGTCTCCGGATGGGTTGTGTAGGTTGAGTTACGTGTGGCCCTGGAGGGGTGTTCGACCGTCGAGTGTCGGAGCGAGGGACGAGGAGGTCGACGGAGGAGAGGGGTAGGGTAGCGATGGACTCGTAGTCCAGGCGGCGGTCATGAGGAGTGGTGGGGTTTTGAGGAGGAGGGGAGGAGGAAAGGATCGGGTCGGAGCGAGGCATTGTGAAGGTGATAGAGGAGAGGAACGGAATTGTTTCGATAAGGAGTCCTAAAGTGACATCAAAATCCCAATACCGGTAAGCAAGTCAACTCCAGGGGCATGCAATGCGGATTCTATTCTATGACTTCAGATGAAAACAGTAATGACGGCGACTGCAAATATTGTGGCAAGTTCTATTCGAACACCAATAACACTAAGCGCTTCCAAATGACAAGCAACTTTTGCAGATAAACAGGTGGATGATTGCATCCCAAGTGACAGGTTAAAAGAATCTCCTCCAGCGGCGTCAAATCCTTGTCATGAAAACGCGATATACGACGCGTGATCACGAGATCAAACTCGATATTGACACATCAGGCTCAATGAACAGCTATACCTGAATTTGAATTTGAATGTAATATCTGCTACCCTTCTTCCAGCTGATTCTAAACATCGAGTCTTATAATACCGTGCAATACAAGTGAAGAATCATTTGTTGCGTGCTTGCTACCTTAGGCCATCCCCAGCCCATCACGACTCACGAAAAGCATCCTCTCAAGAACCCCTTCATTCTGCAAATATCCATCCATCCCAACCCATCTAAGAGTCCTTGATATAGGAACCAACACCTTCTTTTACTATCAACTTCCCCCCATCTAATCCCTCACCATGGCCACCCGCCGCGCCGTCTCCTCCACCCCCATGGACGTCCCCCCTCCCAACTCGGACGAGAAATCCAACACCACCCCTGCCGTCCCTACGTAAGCCACCATCCCTATGCATATCGGAGAAATCTTACTAACCGAACCCTCCAGCCCTGTCATCCTCAAGCTCCTGGGCTTCACATTCGCCATGATCACCCTTCCGATCGGCACCTACTTCGCCAGCGTCAATACAATTTTCGGAGGTACGTCTCCCCATTTATCCCTGCCCCTGGTCTATTCAAGAGCGGTGTTGTTGTTCTTGAGGGAGGAGCGGTCGACTATGCGAGCGAGCGGTTGACTAACTAAATCGACAGGTAATGCGACGTTCGCTGGCGCAACCGCCGCGATCATGGCGAACGTGGTGCTGATCGGGTATATCATCGTTGCCATGCGGGAAGATCAGTCGGATCAATTAGAGAAGGCGAGAGAGGAGAAGAAGAAGGAGTGAAAATATATGTCATTTGGTTGGGCGTTTGGGTGTCTACGGGTATGTAAGGTAGTTTTGATATGGCTTTTCTTGCACGTTGATAGATGGATTTCTTGACCAACGGAACGGTGGGATGACGTGGACGGGAATTTGTAGAAATATATGTATGCAGATGGGCGATAGCACGGAGCCTCACGAGATCCAGAGCACGCAAGTGACGCTGCGGAAAGTGCTCGAGATTGAATAGCCACCCGCTCGTCACAGGCAAGGCAGTCCTCCGCCTCGCTAATACACATTTCCACGGACTCGCAAACTCCATGAAAGATATTCTCCGGAACGCACACCCAGAATTAGCACTTCCCATCGCCGATTCCCAAAGGTCGCCAAAGAGACACAGAACCCCCATCCATTCCATATCCCACAATATTCATGCAGCGGCCACGTCATTAGTTCTCCCAGAGAAGACCGGAGTATCACATTGACCACATCGCCGTCATTAGAATTAAGAACCAGATCCCCCCATCGAGTCCCATGGCGCCGCTTTTCCCTCGCCTCGGACCAACAAGAAGTGCAGGATTCAGATTCATATCATATATCCCCACCGCCCCACCTGCACCCTCCATAGAATGCGTTTACATAAGAAAGATTCGGAATCCCCACGGCGGAATGAACTTAGCCCTTCCCCGAAAACCGCCGCTTAAACCAACTCTTCCGTTTCGTGCTCCCGCTCGTCTGCAACCCTTGACTCGCCCCCGACCTCACCGCCTGCAGCCTTCCGCTCTTCGGCGGCGGCGGCGGCGGCGCGTCGTTGTTCGCTCCGGAGTACGCGTTTCCGCCGCCGAGATGGATCGCGCCGCCGTTGCTGCTGCCGTTGCTGTTGCCGTTGCTGTACGGCTGGTGCGGAGGGGAGGGGTAGTTCGAGGCGGGTTGGCTCTGGTAGTGATGCGGAGGTGGCTGCGGCGGTTGGTCGGCGTGGTTGTAGCTCGAATTGCCGTAGCCGCTGTCAGTGGGGAAGTTCGTCGCGTTGTACTGCTGCGACATATCGCGGTATGGGCTCTGCACGGCCGGTGTCGGGGTCGGCTGCTGCTCGCCCTGTGACCCGTATCCCCACCCCGTCCCGAACCCCTGGTCGTCCACGGGATTGCGCAGCTGCGGCGGCGTTACGCCATCGTAGGAGTATGGATCCGGGGCCATGTTCGCTGAGTCCTTCGCTGCCGCGGCGGCGCCCAGGCTTCCGTCCTCGATGCTGGTGTCGGCGCTGCCGGGCCACAGCTCGCTGCTCGTCAAGCCTTGGCTGCCGCTGGCGCTGCCGGAGCCGGAGGCACCAGTGTTGACGGTATCGCGGCTTTGGTGGTAGCCTTGGTTGGGGTAGATGCCTTGGGCAGGGTTGTAGCGGGAGAGGGCGGGTTCGGGGGTGCGTTCGTGGGGGGAGGTGCCGTTGTCGCCGTAGGGTCGGGGGGTGGGGTGGCCGGGGTAGTGGCGGCGGGGAGGGGGGTTGTACTGTTGTGGGGAGGAGTAGGAGTCGTAGTAGGAGTCGCGGTTGCGGTAGTAGCCGCCTGCGTTGGAATTGGAGTAGCCGCCGGGGGTGGAGTAACCAGAGCCGTAGGCGGGTTGGCGAGAGTAGCTGTCCATTCCTGTGGGGGTTAGTGGGCTGTTGAGTTATAATAAAGTGTAGTTGTGATGGATTGGGGATCATGGATGTATCGGTGCGGTTGAGAGGATGGGTTTGTTGTTGCGTACCAAATTGACTATTCCGCCGACTATTGTTACCGCTATTGTTTTGGTCGTACCCTATGGATGTCTGATTAGCTTCTGGTTCTCCGAGACCCTTCCGTAAAGCCGTCTTTGTGTCGCCATTTGGTTCGAACATACCATTCGACCCATACATCGACTGCCTCTTATCCCACCAGCTCTTCTCGATTTGTTCGTCGAAACCGCGAATTGTATCGAGAGGACGCTCCATCCGTGATCGTGTCGGATTTGACCGGTCGGGATCCGCTGATTCTTGTCAATTGCTGACTCCGTAAAGCTCTTCAAGCGGACTTACTGATCACATTGCCATGAATATCTTTGAGAGTGCCGGTTCGCAGCGCACCAAGTGTGGAAGCTTCAAGCGCTCTTGCGACTGTGAAAATCGCAGGTTAGCAAAACTATGTCCACACATCGGACCCAATTCCAATCCAGCATCCCCACGGATGCTTCCCAGAGCCGCATGTTACAACCCGAAGCTCCGTAATCGCTTCCGTCGGGATGTATGGAACCGTGCATGCACTCGAACAAACGTACCAGGCTGCATTTCCATCATAGCGGCATTCGGATTCGCCTTCGTCGTGTGCGAGATGCGGTTCTTCCTCTTCTCCGCGTCGGTCTCCCTCAGATGTTCCTTCGTCGACTTCGCTCCCCCGTGCGTCGACGAGCTTCCGCTCTTGTTGCTCTTGAAGCTGAAGTGCGACTGGGCTCGCGGGCGCTGCTGCGGTGGCGGTTGCGATTGCGGTGGTTGTGAGGGGGGTTGTTGCTGGGATGAGGGATAGTACGGGCGATACTGTTGTTGTTCCTCCATGACGGACATGGCTGGGGTTTTGTTCGATATAATCGATCGGCGGTTTTAGCGGGTTGTTGAGCAGCTCTCAGGATTGCTCCCTTCAGAGTCGGTGTCGTCGTGGAGCGCTAGGGCAGATAGCGGCGGTTTTGATGGAGCGAGGGTGGCGGAGACGCTGGGGATAGGCGTAGGTTGACGATTTCGGGGCCCAGTGTCCCGCTTTGTGCACGTCCGTCGCGGGACCCAACGTGGCTGTTTCTTTGGAACGGTCACAGCCGGCGCAGTGCGTCGTCGAGCGCCTGTAGGAAAATCGACGGGACCCGGTGGAGGCTGGAGGCGGGAAGTGGGCAGACGACGGGGGTGGAATCACGATGTGGGATGTTAATGATAAGGGTATATGAGAAGGAAGAGGCGGGTGAGTTCGGCCTCAATGTGAAGCGAGGTGACAACCGAATTAAGCGAGTGAATGGCTTCTAGCTTGTGCATTTGATAGATGCCAGGTGGCTGGTGAAAGCGTGGACTTAAGATGGGATGATAATCATCGTACGCTCGTAAGGGAAGAGGTTGACACAACGCCCATGTGGTGCAGCGAACTTCCGGAGGCTGAGGTGGCCCCGACGTCAAACGAAAGCAGTTTCTAAGGTTAATCAATCAAGCGAGCGACAAGGTATTGTGTATATACAGCCAAATGCTTAATACGATCAGCATAGCATGAAACGAGAGATGCGGAGTGTGGAGGGCCTGAGGGGTAACAAGTAGGTACGTAATAAGGGGAGTGAGATTTACAAGTTGAGGAGGTTGGGGCACCAGAGGATGAGATTTTAACTGTCCTGTGCTTCCTACCAACTTTAGTTACCCGTAGAGGTCCCGGTACAGGTACTTGGTACCTACGGAGTTATAAACTCGGCAACTTCATAGCATGCAATTTATTTATCGTAAATACTGCATGGGCACTTGGGCAGTACTACTCTGGAAGGGGGGGCATCAAAGTGGTATCAATCCTTTCATTCCATCTCTCGAATTCAATACGATCTTTGGCTCCACTAGTTACATACTACTTCTCCACTCCATCGTAGACTTCGTAGTCAATACAAAATTGCATGATGTCCGGAGTTACAACATACCAGTACTTACCTGCAGTCCTGCAATGAGGAAGAGTGTCTCGGGGGAAAACTGGGCAACATAACGTCAGTTGGATCGTGCATCATTCTGTGCCTCCGCTGATGTGCAAACGGCGAGGACCAACAATGCCCAGTTCAGTAGGTATTGTCGCGGGAGGTCCAGGATTTGACAAAGGGATCCCTAGGTAGCGTCCTGCTCGCGTCTATCTTTGGCTGATTATGACTTGCCCGTATCAATCAGCAAATGGGAGCAAGTCAGGCCCCAAAGCCAAAAGGCATGCCAACAGATGTCAGAATTCCCGCTGATCGCCGGTAATGAGACGGAGTACCCAACCATAGAAAACGTTGAAACCTGTTTTCCTCATGCCCTCCCTCCTCCCTCCAGTGACGTGAAACGTCCTGTTCGTCCTTGGAGTACAGCATGCCCAGTCGCGGGTTATTGATGTCCAGCTCTGCTCCGCGTCAATAGCTCCTCATCATCAATCATCACTAATCGTGGGACAAGAACTTCGGAAGGAGCTCTGCAACTAGAGCCGCGGTGACTAGAGCCGTGCAACGCCTCATCTCCAAAACTTCTAATGGGTGGGAACTAGATTGGGAGCAGAATGTCAGGACTTGGCGTTGGTGAATCCGGTGAGCGGTGACGAAGCCTCAAACCGCACTCCTTAGAGGTTGATTAATAGTCGTCATGGCCTGCAGAATGCAGATCCACCCGATTGTTGAGAAACTTGGGGAATGGGAGTTGTGGTGGCTCAGGACGGGATGGGAATTGGCAACGCCCTTCTCTACTCTAAGCTCATGCAGGTTAGGCGGACAGGAAAAAATACCAATCATAGAACAATTCGACCGTCGCTTATCGTGTAATAGTTCGCAATTCTCGTGAGCTGTAAAATTAGAAGCCCAGCCAAAATACGATAAGGTATTTCCGGAGCGCGCTGATGGAGTGTGGAGGTCGCGTTTCATAGCACGTATCAGATTCATCTACATACATATTACGGTAGTATCTCCTCACTCTTCATTTCCGCCGCCGAACAGCTTAGTAGGGGTTGGTCCGTCGAATCGAGAAAATGTATATCAAGGCAGGAAGAGTATGATTCCTAGTTGAATACTATGGTACAAATAAAAGACATGTAGAAGATATAAATTAGCGACGGATATAAGGACTGAGGACTAGTTATTCCGTACTATGGCTATTATGGTAACTATACATCTACCGCTGGAGGCTTCCTCTCCTGGAGGCTTCTTCTTCTTGGAGGCCTGAGCTTCCGTGATACCTCTCCCCGATCTACTTTAATGTACTTGTTAAGACAGTATATCATTAGCAGGTAAATGAATTAGTTGGTCGGATTACAGCTTGGGTCGGTTTTTAGTGCATCGATCATTGCCCTGCAGCTTGGTCCAGAATACCCTCAGGTTTCCATTTCTGCCTGATCAGGTCTTCCCCAAGGAAACATTCAGATTCGATCCATTAGGCTCCTATCCAAGAGAGGGTCAGGCGATCAGGTTGAGGCCGCTTTCCCGGGCGAATCCGAATTGACAACCAGATGAACACGGCTGCATTGCTGCTGGGGATCTGACATGATAACGGTAGTAGCATGCCGGACCTAATATCTCGCTGCAAGTGGAGTCAATCCATGCCAGCGCATAGGTGGATGAGAGCTCTTTGTCGTTGCTTGTATTACCTCCAGACACTTAAGTACTCCAGGACTTGTCCGCCCAAGACGGGTTAAAGGTATCATTGTTAATACTTCCCGCGTGGTAGGTATGATCCAAAGCGCAGTAATCTGGGACCAGTGAGCTGAATAAAACCGACAGTTCCTACGTCCGCTTCGAAATCCTTACTAGTAAACTTGTGCTCTTTTGGAATTGATACTATAAGAGGTGAATACTACGACCGTCAAGAAAACACGTAGATGCGAAATCGCGGGAGTAGTCGTCAAGCTCCAATTCTCCCAAAAACAGAAAATTGCGTAGTGATCGCAATCATTCTCATTGCCTGTGTGTAAGACCGATGGTAACACCCGACAATTCCTGCAGCACCAAATGTCCATGTTCCTCGTCTGAAACAATTGCTGTCTTGCTAGTGATTGCGTGGGGTGATTTTGGGCTCCGGAAGATGCTCGTCGGGGGACGACCCGAACTCAGGACCGAGCTAGACCGAGTGGATTTCGTCTTCCAGAAGCTGTGGACTTTGCTCAACATGCCGCCAAAAGGGCCGAATATGGGCCGGAGAAGTGGCCGCATAGCCGGGACGCAGGCACAGATATGTAAGATGAGTTAGCCAAGATATTTGAAGCTGTCAGGACTTGTAGCCAAGAGCAAAACTCACCACAGCCAAGTCGTTCTCAACGGCGCTTGCAAGAAAAGCTGGATAGTAATACCAGCTATAATCCCACAGAGGATTGTGAAAAACTTTCCATGTATAGTAAGTGCGAAGCGCTCCGGCAGCTGTGACGATATAGCCCAGTGCAAGGAGCACAACCAGACCATACCGCTGCTGTGGTCGGAGTTTCATGCTGAGGATGAGAGGGATGGGAAGAGTGGTGACTAAGACATCAATGAAAGTCTTCACAACTCCGCCAGCCACCAGTACAGTGCCTTCATCGGCGCATGGTGCCTCAGTCGATACTTTCCAGAATGCCGAAATTGGTCTAAAATAATGCACCTGTCAGAACAGACGCTCATCTCATAAACTCCTTGCTGGACTCACATGCATGGAACGATCTGGAGCACGAGGAAGACAATCCAGCAGATTAGGTTGAATGCTATAGAACTAGATAGCGCAAGGCGAAACCATCGGATGTTGACATCGGTGATGAGGCGGTAGTAGAAAGCGAGTAGTGAGACCATGGTAGCATTTGCGGCAATCAGAAATAATATTTTTGTAGCATATGCAAGCTTGAGGGAACCTATGGATATTAGTACAGGTTGGAAGTATGCCAAACTGGCTCTTTCGCTGACAATGCTGTAGAAGGAGACTGAGGGAGGTAGGTGATGGAGCCGGGGAAATAAAACGATCCGGCATACCGTCAATCCATTCAATGGGGACGTCCCAGGTATGCCTATTCCATCCGTACTTTGAAATGCCCAGGTCGACAGTGACGTTCGTACCAATCGTGAACAGGAGAGCAAAGCAGATGAGGACATCATCGATGCCAAACCAGCGGGTAATGAAAATCCTAGCGTACAAGCGCAAAGCGACGGCGACTGCGGCAAAAGCAGTAAAAATGGAACTGGCGACTAGCAGCGATGAACCTCGAGTTTCTGGAGTTTCGTAGTCAGGGGGTGGCCACTTAAGGAGGATTTCAGTCGGTGGAAGTATCATGGCGAGGGATAAATTGTCCGCTCTAGGAGAATGACCGGCTGCAGTATCTGGAGCGCAAATCGGCGCGAAGGACGTCTTGGAATGCTATATGGCGACTCCTCGGACATGGAACGGGTGTGTCTGAGGGTGGATGGAGGTGAAAATGAAATTTTATGCCTCTCATTGCGAACAGATGTCAATAAGTACTAATTCGTACGGCAACAAACTTCAACGGCAGGTCATTTAGCTCTGCCAAGCAACGCCTTTTGGGTAATACCTTACTCGTGTGTCCTGCCTTGTATCTACAGGCACGAAGCGACTATCGCATTGGAATGGCTTGAGGCTGGCGAGGGTCATTTGGCCAGTTTAAACTTTATTTACCATGGCTGGTGCGACGGCATAAGTTCCCTGAATGCAGGGGTATGACATGATGGCTTCTGAGCAGACTGGGCGCCATGATATCTGCACGTTCCCAAAACATGGATTACCAAAGTTTGCGCTGACTGATTCGAAGTGGCTATTGTACGTGACTTGGACAAGATGGTCTTCGTCATTGTCGGCAGCCAGATAGAAAGTGGATGGAGTCGCTCGATCGGCAGCTTGTTCTCCCTGTGACCCTGACGGCTAGAGAGTTTGTCGTCGTAGTCCTCAGCCACTCGCTAGACTGTCCGGCCTGATGATGTGGCTCAACCATCCACCCCGTGCCGCTTTCTATCGTAGTGACACCAACCAGATCGTATACACTTTCATGAGACTAGAGTTCTTCCATCCCTTGACGGACAAACTACTGCTTTCCCATATGAACCAGCTTTCATTAATATCCCAAGTATCTTTAATGGTGTCTGAATTGCAATGTCTCGTTTCCGTGTTTCGCCTGAGTCAATCCTCCTACGCGGATAATCTGTCGATTTGACACAATCCATTCCTGCAACCACTTGTGCGGATGAAAGATCACTTCCATTGCCAAGTAGCAACGCAAATGGTGACATGGAACCATCATCTGAAGAGCAAGGGATTGAGAAGCACCAATCACGAATCACAAGAGACCATTTCAAGGAAACCACCATCTTCCACCATAGATGAGTATATGGGTTTTTGAGAGTGAATCGAAACGACCCCCATAACCATATCCGATAAATATATTGTGGCCCCGTAGGGTCCAGAACCCAGAACCCAGCGCACGAAGAAACGAAAAGAAACGAACTGGCCATCCCGGCCCAACTCCACATCCCCTGACGACACGCCATCCAGGCAGCTACGGAAGGAGAAACCACGACGACCAGCCATGAATGTTCTTGATCCGTCGTTCAACTGCCGTGTTTCTCCGACCGTAGATGAGGAGGGGGATCCTCATGATCACCACCCTCCCCATCACCGTCCTCCGTCGACCACACCTCACTCTTCTCACTCCCCCCACTACCCCACATCCCCCCACTCTGCCCACTCCTCCTCCTCCACCACTACCTTCTTCCTCATCTCCTTCGACATCTGCCTTTTCAACTGCGTCAGCTCCTCTAAGAGCCTCTTCGCCACCGGGTCTTTCCACTTCCCCTCCGTGAAATACTGCCTCCAGACCTTCCTCTTCGAGGAATAGGCCTGGACGACACGCTCCTCCTCCTCCTCCTCCTCCTCCTCCTCCTTCTTCTTCTTCTTCTTCTTCTTCTCCTCCTCCTCCTTCTTCTTCTTCTTCTTCTTCTTCTTCTCCTCCTCCTCCTCCTGCTTCTTCCTTTCCGGCTCCCACAACCGCCTCTCCTTCTTCGTCACCTCCTCCGCGAGTCGCCTCGCCTCCTCAATGTGCCGCTTCCCCTTGGCCCACAACTTCTCCAGCTCCTCCCTCTCCGCTTGGCCAATCCACGCGTCTATCCCGTGCAACCCATTGTTACAGTCCCGCTGCACCTCCATGCTGCGATCGCTGTGGTTCCTCTGTCGAGGCTTGAAGTCCGAATTGCCGACTTCCTCCTCCCCCCACGTCGCCTTCCCCCGGTTTCCAGGGCCTTCCTCATCTGGAAAGGGCCGTTTGGCGGGACGACTCGCGGGCGCTGCACATCGCGGAGCACCAGGGCGACGAGATCGCTTCAATGATGCTGTTGGCTGCGGTGCTCTGGATAGCGCGGAAGAGGGAGTGCTTGGGTCTGCGGAAAAGATGAATGCAGAGCTGGGGGAGGTGGCGGTAAAGGTGGGGTTCGAAGCCGTGGTTGTCAGTGCGGCAAAGGGAAATGAGGCGGGAGCGGAGGCGGCGAAGTCAAAGGTGGAGGGCGTGGGATTGTATGCGGGTGTAGCTGCGGGCGCGGTGGGAACCGGGATCGAAAGCCAGGAGAAGGGCGAGGGACCGAGGGAGGCCGAAGGATTTGTGATTGTCAGAGGAGCAACGGGAACAGGAACCGGGGCGGCGTCGTTCATCGATCCATCCGGCAACGAGCCGATGGAAGAGCCGAAGGAAAGACCGAGCACACGAGTCTCAACATCGTCGTCCAGCCATTGGTCCATTAAGTCGTTGTCCGGCGCGTCCTCCAGCGGCTCGTCGTACAGCTCGTCGTACTCCAACCCTGCGGCTTGTCGGGCAATATCAGCCTCCTGGCCCAGCTCTACGTCCAGAAGCAACTCCTCGTCGTTGTCATTGTCCGCCTCCATGACGTCCAGCGCCATGTCCCCATCATCGTTGAGATTGAACTCTGCCTCTATCGCGTCGAGCCCCTCGTCGGACATAAAGGATGAGAGGGGTGAAGAATGCGGTGATATGTCCACATCTTCTTGACGGGCAAGCGATGAAGGGGATGGCGGTGCTATGATGAGTGCGACAGGCGGAACGACGAGGTGTGCGGGAACGGGAGCGAGAACCGGACCAGGGACTTGGACATGTGCTGGTGATGTGGGTGGTGACGGAGTGCGAGCGATAGCGGACTTGGCGAGGATTATGGGTGCAGGTACGGGTCCGGGTACTGGAGGCGGCGACCTCGCCGGGGAACGGGTGGAAGTTCGAGTCGAAGATCGAACCAAAGACCGAACCGAAAACCGAACCGAAGACCAAGCACCGTAGGGGGTCCACCTGGAACTCGCAGTGCTGGCTCGTCCAATCCGGCGTACCAACTGCCTTCCCTCAACCTGATTGTGCTTGAAAGCCGCCTCAGCGGCCGGCTGGACGGGTGAGGGCTGGGCAAAGACAGCTGGTCCGGAGACCGGTGAAATGACCGGAGCCGGGCTGGACGACTCGCCTGTCGCGATGATGGCCATGGTAGCAATGGGCTGCTCCTCTTCGACCCCTCCCAAATCTGCCGCATCAGCAATCTCCTCCCCAGGAGATGTGGCGGACACCACAACGGGCGCAACAGCACTCTCTTCCTCCTGAGATGTGGCGTCGTCCTCCGTCTCTTCCCAGAGAACAGCATCCCGCTCAGCACTCTCATCCTCATGAGATGTAGCGGACTCTGTCTCTTCCAGAATCACGGCTCCCGCGTCAGTACTCTTTTCCCCATGAAATGTGGCGGTCACCGCGTCGGAATCTGCCGCAGCAACAATCTCTTCCCCAACAGATGTGGTGGGCTTTTCTTCAGAGGCCACAGCACCCGCATCAGCACTCTCATCCCCATGAGATATGGCGGGTGCCGTGCCTGGACCAGTGGAACCCGGGACCCAGTCCTGTAAAGCCTCGTCCGACTCGGATGCTTCTGCCAGGACGACGGCCGGTTCCTCCGCCGAAGGGACCCTCAACAAGGGCCGCCAAAGTCGTGCTTGACGAGAGCCGCTGGACATGCTGCCCTGGCTGGACGGAGCAGCGGTCCCTGTCTGGTTGAGGCCCCGACGGATAAGGAAGGCCTCGGCGGATGGATTACTGACGGGCACGTATTTGCAGGTGTACCCGGGCGTGAGGCGTTCCAAAAGGCGTTCCAAGCCTTCCTCCGACAACACTAAGTTTGACGTTTGGTCGTTGCCGGAGTCTAGGGAGGTTGGTTGACTGGACCAGTTCCAGTCCACGTCATCCGAGGGCTTCAGTTGCACGACGCCCTGCTGATTGTCAGAGGGGGCGGAGGTGGCTGGACCGGAACTGGCTGGCGATGGTGAGGGCGAGGAGGGCGTGTGCGAGGAGGGAGAGGAAGGCGAGGGCGGGGCCGATGATGAGGCCGAACGAGAACCGGAGGGTGAGGACTGGGTAGGAGAGGGACGGCGAATTGGCCCGAAAATGAGCGAACCCCGATGGATCGGGTGAGGTTCTGCCTGGAAGGGGGTGGTGATGATGGCCACCGAGCCCCCGTCGTTGTTGCTGTCGTCTTTGCTGTCGCTGTCGTCGTTGCTGTCGCTGTCGTCGCCAGCGTCAAAGCCCTCAACCTCCTCGAGCTTGCCTTGCAGACGAAGAGGGCAGGCTGGACGGCTGGACTTGTTGTTGGTGCCATCATCGGCTTCGGCGTCGTCGGTGGGGGTGAGGGGGGATTCTGACTGGGAGGTCGGGCTGGGAGGCGAGAGCGAGGACTCTGGCAGCCCGAAGAGTAAGGGCGAAGGGGGAGGGGAGGGGAGGTCGTCGTCGTCGGACGAAGAGGAATCGGAGGATGACGAGGACGAGGAGAGGGGCAGCGATGACGCATGCTGGACCTGCAGGAGCCGCTCAATGCTTGGTTGGTCAGCGAGCTCCTGGCCAAAGAGTGCCTCTTCCTTGAGAGACAACACTTCCTTCGCTGCATCCAGCAGCGACTCGCGCCCGGCGCGGAGGACTTGTCCCGGCCACTTCGGGAGAGCGGCACCGATGGCTTTGACGAGCCGGACGAGTACCACGGCACGCACGGTAAGGCCGAACAGAATGAGGACCACGAGGATCAGAGCCGTCACCTGTAGAATGTTGACATTGGTGCCAGGGACGCGGGTGCCGAGTTCGCGGTACGGGAATCCGATCGACTCGTACTCCGAGTTCAGGTTCGGGAGGTCAGTGGCCGGTTGGGCGCGCGGGGAGAGGTCAAGCATCCGAAGGAGTTCTTCCTGGGCGGGGGTCAGGAAGTCGAATACCATGGCATCAGCCGCTTGGTAATCGCGACTGTGAGGCCGGGTTGAGGAGGGGGATGGTGGCGTGATTCGGAGCCACCGGGAAGCCCAACCCACTAGGGGAGGGAAGTTGAGGTCGGGGTTGGTCTTGACCACAGCGGCCAGGAACAGAGAGAGGATGGCAATGATGCCAGTGATGATTGATGGAAGCACCATGGTGATTGGCTTGATGGCGCTTTTGAAAAGAGGGTGGGCACGATTGATGTGCCGTTGAGTTTGTGCTATGAAAGACAAGTGCTTGGGTTTGTAGATAATTTTGATAGCTGTCTGTATGAAGGACTTGTCTGTCTTTGTGTCTTTGTGATGCGAAAAGGGAAGATTTGGATAGAAGAGAAATGTTTATATAGAGGAATTAAATTCAGGTCGGGTCCCCTGCCTGCAAACTTGTCTCCAACAGGTCCTATTGATCTATTGAGGGCCTATATTCACTTTCTTCAATACATTTCAGAGATTACGCTATGGATAGGCAGATTTGTGATAGTAGTTTCAGGGTCAGGCAACAAAGTCTTATTGTTGTCTGGCTGAACAATATATTACATTCTGGACTCTGAGCAACAGGCAGTTCTCCGAATAGGACACTAAGTACGGACTTGATAAAACTGATTAATGAGTCTCATTTGCAGCCTTCTATTCAATATATTCTGAGACTATTGATGGGTGATATACTACAGCCGTGCTGCTCAACGCATAGATTCATCCAACATGAATAGGGAATTTGGTATTTTTTACGCTCCTATTAACGAGCGTAGAGAACTTGTAAGGTAAACCAATCACCAGTAGAGCCCGGATTAGACAAATGTGCTACGTTTACTGAAATCGATATAATCAATGAATAAACAACACTGGAGCCACTGAATATTGTAACCCTGGCAGGCAGCGGCTATTATGCCAGCTTATATTCTTATTGCTGTATCCAAAAAAGTGAACGGAAATGGACATCTCGCAGAAGCAAACTGTTAATGAAATTTCTCTCTGGCTATACACTTTTGCTTGTTTTAGAGATCTTGGGGTGGGAAGTTTCCTACCGGTAGGTATTGGGCCAATTTTATGAGACGCACTTACGCACCTTGAATATAGTCTCTTATTTTCGAAGGGATTGCTGAATCGTTGGGCTATTGCCCAGTTATGATATCGAGGCTTCGTCGCAGTAATTATATATATTCAGTGCATATCATTGGACAATGGAAATATATTGCCGTTTTTATGGGATAGAGGATTACGTGTAGTTAAGGAAATTAAATGAAACTGTAGAATTCTAGTGAGAAGACGAAGAAATGGCAAGGCTGGAAGAAAGCATTGAGACTTGGTACAAATGAATCTCGTCAGTTAAAACAGTCGATCCTAACTACGGCCAGGACAGGGAAACGGCTGTAGTACGCATGGATTGTTTTCGGGCTGTTCATAGTCACCCTTGATCCTGGGGGATACGGATCGGAATCTCGCTCTTCTCCTAGTCAAGGAACGTCCCATCGACCCCCCTTATAGACGGTTATAATAGAGGCGACTACTATATCCATGATTTAGCGCCCTCATAGCCAAATCAAGTTGCTGTTCTTAAAAATATGGAGCACCGTCGTACTGTGTGGAAGCGGTTTTTATAATTTATAGAGCCAATGCGGTGACCTTCGCATATGCGGGAGCCAACTGCAACAAAGACGTTTTGACACTACGCTACCCGAGCAGATATTTTAGACCCCCGCTTACTCCAGCCACGCGCACAACGCAAAGAATTATAAGGACATTATCGCTCGACCTTTCCAAGGGATTACAACTGTCCAGTCCGCGGAAAGGGGGTCTCGTGTTGCCAAGACGCCTCTCTCTGCAGCTGTGTACGCTGCAAGTGCCGGGTCACAGGTGGATCATTAGCCAAGAGATCCGGTTGGATGGTTATCAGACACGCCGCCGCACGGACAATGTTTAAGCTCTGGCCCGTTCCTTACTGCCATTGGAACTGATGGAGATCGCCTCACTTTCTCGTGGCGCGAGAAGTGACTTCTGCAGATCTGGTCATCTGGGTATGTGATTCTGCCTGCACGGTGTAGAAGCCCTCGCGAAGGGATGATAAGAAAGATATTCCCGTTGAGAGTACACTTGGATGGTCGGCCAATCCAAGGAGGTTAGATAGATCTGTTTGAACCATTGCTCTCCGAAAATCAGGAGGGAGGTGTTGCTGGAAAGGCAACACTGTCCACTTATAATCGGATCCACTTTTGGTGATGCTTCATGCATCAGCTTATTGGCTATTAATACAAAAGTATAAGGACCGACATTCGATAGGTCACAGGACAAAGTCATGTCTCACTCACTCCGGGCCGGGCCACTGCTGGATCTATCTGGATGGTACTGCTGCGGTTGAAACGAAGTGTCTGGATCCAATTCTTGAGGGCCAATGGTGGTCCATCGTCTCAAAGCCATGAGGATTTCCGGTCAGCTCGATTGGTAACGTATGACGGTATGAGTGATTTCCCCCCCCAGAGTGTTGCTCGTCATGAAAATTGGTCCCGTACTTGTTCGATTTAACTTGAGATACAAACCGGAAAACAACGTACCTGAAATAAAAACGTCGTTTCATAGTGCTTTCCTTCCATGAAATCTCAACAGGACGTCACAGTTTTGGGCGACTTCACCCTGGCACCACCAGTCGAACCCGAGTGGTCAAATTCAACCGGAACACAACGTTAATATGTCCTTGAAAGTTTAAACGGTTGTTCGTTCCAAAACCTGCTGGGCGCTGCGCCACTGCGTGGTGGTCTCAACTCACTCTCACCGCGATATGCAGCAAGGCAACTTGATCCCTGTGGGTTGGTGCGGGTCTTCTCCCCGACAACTGACGTGCATGAGATCAGCTCCAATAACTTTCCAATAAGTTAGAAGCTCCAGGAACACGTCCAGTACAAGTTGACCGCCGACAGAAATGAAGGTATGGTTCGTCCACTGGTCTAGCAACATGTCATTCGCTGACGACACAACTATGATGACGTTGCGCAACAACAAATCCGTAGTTCGCAGGTCTCTCATATAAACCGAGCGTAAGGTGAACAGGGATCACGGGCACTATGGTGCCCACTGCCCAGGAGGCAATCAATCCTCGAACTCGGGATTCTGTTGATTTCTTGAACGTTCGACGATAAATTTGCCGTGGGGGAGAGTCGTGGACGTGTTACAACCGCTCGTTTGTTTCTGCCACTGAATATTGCTTTGGTTCCATGGGCTGCTCTGTCGAATACTTGATTGTGACTCGTTCCTAGCTATTTTTTGTTTTTCCCACTGATTTTCGTAAGGCTGGTGGAACGTCAGGTGCCGACCACCGTGATATTACGGTTCTAATATGTTTGAAATGGTCAAATATATGTCGCGGGCGACTTCCAATAGCCCTTGTACGAGGGGTTTGGTATTACTCAGGTCTTGATGAAGGTGTACATTCTTTTCTTTCGCGTATCGATTGAGCAGCTAATCGTTCATCATTCGCTAAGTTGGTACTTTTCATAGATCGTCCCCCTGGGCCGGAATTATAAACGTGCTTGTCATAAGACTCCAAACCCGCCCAGTTATAACTTTTGATAAGACCAGTATCCGAACGAATATTAGTCCAAAAACAGGACATGGAAAAAGAGGAATGAAGGCAGACCCGCAAAGATGGGTTGGAGTGAAGGACTTAACAGCCGAAGCACCTGTCCCGAGCAGTGGAGACAGGTTCTTCCTGTTTTTGGTGGTAACGAGAGGGTTAGGATTGTTCCAAGGAATAAAGAATGGTCTAGGTGGTCCATCCAACCGAAATAGCGTTCCCTTCGCATTGTACTGCATTCCAGTCAGTTGGAGGTTCGGGTGTAGCAGGTGGATAATCCAGCGATCAGTAAAGGTGCATACCTACAAAGCTGAGGGTGTCAAAGGTTGCGGACTCTTGGCTACACATCCTCTGGCGGCCCGGTACGTCGACCGTTTTCTTGAGAGGCGTGAGTGGCACGTCCATCGTTTCCACCTTGCGAGGTGGGACTGGTATGGCTCTCGGGAGGAGGGGATGGTGTTTGCTGATGTTGTGTAGGTTCTTGAGGGTTTGCTTGACCCAGCCTGTTTCGCACTATGGCCTGCTGGTCCTCAAGTTCCTCTTCTACGGTAGAATGTGAATATACGTGATCTTTCTAACTAGTAGGATACTGAAGAACTGACCATCGTCCCTAATGGGAGTTATGTATTTGCGGTAGCCGCTAGCCATGATGCAAACGATGGGGAGAAACGGGTTGGAAATTGGTAAAGGATAGACTTAAGGAACCACAGCTTAAGTACGGAACACCGCAAATAAATAGCAGCCGATGATCAGATGTAACAGACAGAAATCAGGAATTTTCGAACGAAGTGAGGAGCGGACGGAGAGGACAGAAGGAAGAGATAAAAGTCCAATATTCGCGTGTTCTGAGGGGTGCGGTTGGCGAGGTATGAGCATGATTCAGGGTTATGGCTGTGGCCAGCAGTCCAGGCCAGGCCTCAGCAGGGGCAAGACACTGCCTTTCTCTCTTGATGCTTTCAACGTACCTTTAAAGTCTTTCTATTCCTCCTGGACCATTCCGTCTCCAACTGAAAGTGGGCATCGCTAGAAATCTGGGGCGAGAGGGAGAGCGTGGCTTTTGAACGAATGCTCGCCGTCCTTTCAGAGACAAGTTCCTGAATCCGCGTGCCGTTTCCCAGCCGGCGTCATACCGTGTGCTGCCGCCTGGCTACCCTTGACCTTTAGGGAATATCTGCCACCACCTGGAGTTTATCGAATGCATTGAATGATGTTGGCAGGAACATGAAGAGGGTGGAGATTTGTAGTTTGGATTTTTGGAACATGATCTGATTGTTCCCTTTATCGTGAGCAAGTATTCACACCGTTTTTCGGGCATGAAGAGGTACGGAGAAAAGGCAAACATCGATTGACGGAATTTGAACGCCACTAACGATAATGTAGAAAATATTGAGAATACATCAAGAAGGTCGATTGCTACACAAACTGAGAGACGGCCGTTACAAAGAGCAGGTAATCTTCGGGTCTTAAGATGGTACTCATCCACTCGTTCGCCGAGGTTCTTGGTAGTCACCGCAGCTCGCAGCATCTCAACTCAAGCCAAAGAATAACTCTTGAAGACAAATAAGGGCGATAACTGGAACATATGAATTTAAAGGAGATCTTCAACTGAAGCGAACATAAAAAGGGACGGACCGAGTATGAAAGAAAAGCGGCATCCGCCAACGAACGGCGCCAAACTCGGCAGCTAGCTATCAGGGTTTGGCGTCGCTAAAGCAAGGATGAGATGCTATCTTACAGGACCAATGCTGCAGCCGATGTTTCGACAGCGGCACAGCACTTAATCCTGCAAGAGTGTAAGTGGATAGATGCTATCCTTTGTGGCATACGTTCGATGCTCAGCTGCTATCTGGACCAGAGTTCACAGAGGGCATGGCCAGCAATGCTGAGAGTAACCTGCTGACATATTAGATCGATATCATTCTGGGGTCACATGGTGTATGACGCACGTCGCAATTACCACGTATATCTCGAACCGCTCGGTATTGGGCTTGGAAAAGAGGATGATACACGCAGTACATCCAACAACAGGACCAGCAACCGCCCACATTCTTTCGTCGATCGAGCCACTCTGCCGAACGCGACTCAACCCCCAAAAGATGATTAGCAAGGCCGCCACAATGCTAGCCATCCTTACACAGAAGGCGATGGTTTCTCTGTTGTATTCAGATTCCCTGAGCTTCATCTCTTTTGGTGCCCATGGCCGTTTGTCCCATATGTACTCTCTATATGGGAGCCCACTGAACAAAATGTTTGAAAGGGGTTCCAACGGCGGCAAAGGGGTATAAGCCCGAAGGTCCGAGGCTGGGGAACCTTTTCGGTCTCCGAGAGTATGGTTCAAGTATTCCAGTTCTTTCTGTGGTGCTTTACCGATCGATCCGGCTCTAGCGGAGAGTAGCCATGTTTTATGAGATTTCAGTTCTCGCGAGTTTGGGTGTGGGACTTCAGCGAGGTTCCGGATTCCTTGGTTTATGAGGTCTTTCGTTCGGTCAGCATCACCACTAGGTAAGTTTCGGTTGGTACCGCCGATACCTACCATATTCCTTCAGCGTTTCCCTCACGACACGGAACTCGTGATCTAGTTCCCTCTGCGCTACATCTTGAGCTTATGTACCATGTAAGCAGCGTATTGACAGAGGCGGTTGATGCGAAGGCTAGTCTTACCGTGGCCTGTAACTGTTGTGTCTTCAACTTTCCGCGACAAGTCAAATATCTTCCTCTCGGACTCTCGGAGTTTCTGTCCATCATGATATGCTAGGATGTATCGCACAACTTCATATCCTCGAAAGTGAGCTTCGTAAGGAACTCTTTGTAGTCTCTTTGCTGTTCGTGGGAAGCCAGGTGGGAGATCTTCCTGTTGTTCGTAATGTCACATGCATCAGCTGCCACCTCCTCACCACAAAGTCGGATAGGGATACCAACCTCCTGATTGGGCGATATGGTCCCCATGTCTTTTTTGAGAAGTATCAATAATACTTCAATGTTTATTCAATTATTGGTTCCCTTCTCTGAGTCTTTCAAATTCTCAGTCAGTTGATTGTAGTGTTTGAAGTCCAAGACCTTGAAGTGTCCCGCATTCGTTGGCCATTGACGATGATATATACTCCAAGTCAAGCACTTCCAAGATACTCTCACATTCACTCCAGCACCGGTATTTTCTATGAGACCACATCATGCCCTGCAATGCATTCGAGCGGGAGGGCCGGCCCTCTGCCGCCTGCCGAGAAGAAGGCAACCTTATTGCCCTAGCACAGTTATGCACGCGCGGCAGAGCAGTCTAGTCAACTCCGGGGATTCTGTCCAAAGAATCGCAGTTCCAGCTGTCCGGTCTACCATCAGCTGCAGAGGATTGTGTTGGATCAGCGGTTGTGACGATGCCGTGAAGCTGGCCGACCATGGCTATAATGGGCAGTGTCCCATCATGTTGTGAGGAACCTTTATCAACCTTCTACAGTCTATATTTCCTCACAATCTCGGATATTTAATCTAGTTTAGCTTCGAAGGTTTAGGTTGACGTCAGGTTCGCTTTCTGATAAGTATATGAACATCTCATTCTCAGAAGAAAGACCTGTGACCCTCCAAGAGAAGGATGACAGAGTCACCGAGTTTTCTTACCTCTATCCCGTGTTAGTGTGCCTGAGAGCGATTTCCATTGGACCGCTATCGTCCATCAGGATCGTTGTTGCCTTCCAACAGTTAACACCTAAGAAGCCAGTAACTGCGAATAGAACACAGTATCAGACCTCCTATTTGGAATCCTTCAAGCAACCATGATGCAAGAGGTCTGCCTTGGGCTCCCGTGAGTCTATCTGGAGGCTCAACTAACTCCTTCTTACCAGTCAAGGCATCTTGATGGCAATACAGCTCATCTGCGATGCATAACAGACTAACCGGAGGAATTAAAAGCCGTCTATGATGCTGCACGTCCGAAGGGGGTCATGACCCTGACCATGATCGGCGCGAGCGAAAGGAGTTTGACATTTGTCATGAGGTCGGGATGCGATATGTCCTAAGCGGCAAAGCAGCATTCGATTATGCATAGTCTCGCGACTGGAGCTATCTATAGACGGGGCAGCTAACCGGTCAAGATGCTTCTCAAGGGACATCGTCATCCCCAAATCCAAACGAGAAGCTACCACCATCGACCTCTGTCGCTTTTACCAACCGCTCCCATCTTCCTTGCCCACCCTTCCTCTTCTCCAGGACGGCTAACGCATCCTCTAGAACTGCCGGGCAACTTTCCCGCAGGCGCGCCACGAACGTCTCGTATGGATCGCTCACCGTCTCCGAAAACCCGCTCACCTGTTCCGGCGAGTCCCTCATGAACGCCAGCACATCAGGCAACTTGCTCTCGGGCACGAAATTCTGTGTCACCGCGATGCCATCCTCCAGGTTAACGACCATGTGGAACCAGCCTGCCGGGACATGCAGAACCTCTCCAGCATGACAAATCCCTTCTCGACAGCCGGGCGTTCGTCGGGCGATCTCGTGGAAGGTGAGGAGATACTCGGCGATGCTCAGGGGCGCGGTCACTTCGGCGCCGTCGGAGGTTACAAACACACCGGGAGGTGGAGTATTTGATGAGGATGGAAACATAAGCCAATATTTGGAGCCGGTTATCACAGCGTTCCAGGCAGAGGTATTGTTAGGGTCCTTATGGAAAGTGCTGCCGCTCCGTGCTGGACCTATGATGAGCCATCGGTGATGTGGTCGGTCCGAACCGAGGAGAGTAAAGAGATCTGGGCCGAAACAGGACGGAGGGGAGTAATCCAAGGCTTGGGTCTTGTTGCTGTCGATTGAAAGATTCATCTTCTCGGCAAAATCATGGTCGAAGAGGTACAAGGGGCTCTCATCGTTATTGTCCTTCATGTAGTCGACGTACTTTTCCAGTGGCCAGTCCACAGCTTCGGCTCGAAATATGATGTCTCTGTGCTTTTCAAGGAGTGTCTCCACCGACCATTCTTGATAGATGGGCCATTGTTTCACTGGCTCGGTTAAAATGAATGGTTTATGCTGCCACTCCCCAGAGTACTCCTCAAATGACAGGTCTGAGAGACGAGGGACCTCATTTCCTGATGGAATGTTGGACACAAATTCAGGAACATTAATGCAAGCACACTGATAAGGGCGGTATAAAGCATCAGCAAACACGTTGCTGCAGTCGATGGCACTGGCTTTGGCTTGTGGGAGCCCAAGCAATGTGTTTCTCCATGAACCGTGCCATTTGAAGTTTGAGTGACCTTGTCTATATTACCTGTAAGCAGCAGTTCGGACTAGGTAATATATAATTTACAGGTAAGGCAGCGAGAGACTGGCGCAACCCCTGACCTGACATACCTAATAAACAAGTCTCGCCAAAGCTCATCATGCCTCGTGAACGCATATAAGAATTTGCAAGTCCTTCCCAGCCCTGCTAGATCTCCAGGGCTCAAGATTTCGAGCAGACTCATTAGCAATTCGTCTTCTAGTCGCTGGAATGCCCCTGCACCTGCTTTCAAGTTGGTTCTCGATGTGTAAGCATTCCCAGATGGGCGAATTCTTAGAGGATGAGGCTTCACTCCCGACTCAAGGCCATCACCAGTATGAACATCATTTACAGGGGATGGCCTTACTCGTTTTGATGGACGTTCTTCCAGTAATATCGCTGTCGTTGTTCCGTCAATCTGTGGCATTTTTGGAGGGCAGTGCCAACCGTTTCGAGCAGCAGTATGGCTGGAACGATTGGTATGACTCTAGCAGTGACTTATTATTGACTCATCGTAGTCATACACCACCAATCCATGCATTCACCAGAAGATTTGCCAAAAAATTCACGGGCAAATTAATGTGGCGAACTTTTCCTGAACTTTTCCTAAACTTTCCTTGATCTCAGGGTCCTAGAATTGTACCGAACACAAGTGGATCACGTGAGGCCCTGTCAGCCCACGGCCCATGCGACGAATTTTCTGTCAAAGTTCCAACAACGCCTCGACCATTTTCAATCCTTCACTTTTCCACACCTCAAATTATCAAACACAACACCATCCATTTTCCAGCGGCTCTTATAGAAAAGAGTCCGTTTCAGAACCCGTCTTCTTTCAGAAATCACTTAGTGGGGCTCGTCTGCCAGACCTGCACCCGCTCTTTGCTCAGGCTCTTTCTACCGTTCTATCACGACTACAGCGGGTTCGCTTGTAGTCTTCGTTTTCCAGCGCAATCATGGCTGACGCTAAAGGTCTCGAGGAGATCCCCGAGGGTACGTTTGATGCGATATTTCATCAGATTACGATATATGGTTGATCCTGGATCGATTTTGATTCGATAATGCCAACTCAGCGTGTCTCGATATGATGGAAAACTGACAGCGCTCGCTCCACAGGACAGATCGAGAGCAACTACGATGAGACCACCGACAGCTTCGATGCGATGAACCTGAAGCCGGAGTTGCTTCGTGGTGTCTACGCCTACGGTTTCGAGCGACCCTCTGCCATCCAGCAGCGTGCGATCATGCCCGTTATCAAGGGTGAGTCCTAACCCACAAACAATCAATTTCCCCAAGCAAATCCTGATAATTTTGGCTAGGCAATGATGTTATCGCCCAGGCTCAGTCTGGTACCGGTAAAACCGCTACTTTCTCCGTTTCCGTCCTCCAGAAGTTGGACCCCAATATCAAGCATTGCCAGGCCTTGATCCTCGCTCCCACCCGTGAGCTGGCCCAGCAGATCCAGAAAGTCGTTGTTGCCATTGGCGACTTCATGAACATTGAGTGCCATGCCTGCATTGGTGGTACCAGCGTTCGTGACGACATGAAGATCATCTCCGAGGGTGTCCAGGTCATCGTCGGCACTCCTGGCCGTGTCCAGGACATGATCCAGCGTCGTGCTCTCAAGACCGATACCATCAAGATGTTCGTTCTTGACGAGGCTGATGAGATGTTGTCGCGCGGTTTCACCGAGCAGATCTACGACATCTTCCAGCTCCTCCCGCAGTCCACCCAGGTGGTTCTGCTCTCTGCTACCATGCCCCAGGACGTCCTTGAGGTCACCACCAAGTTCATGCGCGACCCCATCCGCATCCTTGTCAAGAAGGCTGAATTGACCCTCGAGGGAATCAAGCAGTTTTATATTGCCGTTGAGAAGGAAGATTGGAAGCTCGACACACTCTCCGACTTGTATGAGACCGTCACCATCACCCAGGCCGTCATCTTCTGCAACACCCGGAGAAAGGTTGACTGGCTCACCGACAAGCTCACGGCTCGTGACTTCACCGTCTCCGCCATGCACGGTGACATGGACCAGGCTGCTCGTGATGTTATCATGAAGGAGTTCCGCTCCGGATCTTCGCGTGTCCTGATCGCCACCGATCTTCTTGCCCGTGGTATTGATGTCCAGCAAGTCTCCCTGGTCATCAACTACGATATTCCATCCAACCGCGAGAACTACATCCATCGCATCGGTCGTGGTGGTCGATTCGGCCGAAAGGGTGTTGCGATCAACTTCGTTACGGCTGACGATGTCCGCATGATGAGGGAAATCGAGCAGTTCTACAGCACTCAAATCGAGGAAATGCCCATGAACGTTGCCGGTACGTTTTGATTCATCCATTCTATTTGTTGATCTTTGCTAATTTGCCTCCAGATCTCATCTAATGATATCATGATTCATGACCATTGGCAAAGGGATGCCATTCGAATACAGTGGTGTTTGCGGCATTATGCCTTTGCTAAGGGGTTTGGATTGGAAATGATGCGAGCCGTGGCAGCAAGCATCACGGCCTTGCTGTCGGGCTTAAAAAGTGGTTGTTGATGCCAATGAACAGTAATAGTGGTCGCGAGCATTCACGTTCCGGCGTTTGATTGAGAAGTTCTCTCTTCCAATTTTCCTTGTTGCTGTTCATCCGCTTCGTTTCTCTTTTTCCCTTTTTTCCTTAGTTCCGTATCATGCTAGAACTGGGTGGGGATCGTGGTTCACCGTCTGGTGTGCGCCATCGGTGCGAGGGCCTTCGGTCCTATTTCTCTTTTCTATATCTTGTGGACATTGCAATCAATGAAGGTGCACTTGACCCGATGACGTTGGTGCTTGTTTTGAAGTCGTGATTTACCATGTGATTGAATCGATTTTCTCGCTTGTTGATTACCATGACCAACGGCTGTCCAGTTAGTCCAGCTACCAAAATACCCAAGCATCTCTGGCCTGGCGGTTTCCAAAAGGATAGTAGAGCTGCTCATAGAAACCTCTCAGAGTAGAGATAATTCGAAAACGCCATCTCGAGTAGACGGGCAGTAATTGAAGCCAAAGACCGACCATATGTAACGGACGGCAAGAACATCGTCATGGTTGTCGATGGCGCCTTCTTTTCCTATCACTGCCGAGTCAACACATTCACGTTGTTTTTCTCCTCTGCAAATCCGATGCATCACTTGATCAGGACATGGAGTCTATAACCCACTCATTCTTCTTATTCCTTAAGTGGCTATTTTTTGAGGTACCCGTTCGTCGTTAACAGTGATCAATTGAAGTGATTGTTTACTATCATATTGTTTGTTGATGTTAGCTGCCAGACCTGAGATATCAGCTGGCTCTGCCGATTACTGTAACAATACGATATCAGCCATCGTGCTCGGCATTGAAGACAACCAGAACGCTTTTTAAAACGGCCGCATACTACTGATCGCGATGGATACCGCCGAATCTGTCCCTGACGTGCGGTCTGACACTGCAACTGAGCTCGATCCACACCCTGGCACTCACGGATGCCCAGAGGAATCCGACTCGACCTACCCTTCACAGCTTCTCTGGGCCTTCCAGCTGAAGCGACAGCATGCGAATCATATCGAGAAGACCCTTGCGATCGAGATGCGACTGAATACATACGACATTGACCTCAAGTCACTGAAAGGGAAGGTCGACAGACAGACGGCCGCCTCCAAAGAGAAACACGGTACCGCGCAGGCATTGAAGAAGCTAGAGGAGCTGCAGCAATCACTGAAGGACGAGCTGGGGGAATTCAGGGTTAAGGTGGAAGCACAACAGAAGACTTGGAACCAGAATATTGAGCAACTGAAGGGCATGCTGGAAAAGCTGCAGGGCAAGCAGGAGGATTCGGAGGGGAACTTGCATGAGTTCGAGATTGATCTCGTAGCGACCCAAAGCCGTCTTGCCAATATCGAGGCCAGCACAAGCGACCAAGAGGGAAGCGTTCTTCCGAGGAAGAACGACAAGACTGATGCCGTCGTTATGACCCGGAGGATCGATGCAGTTGAGGCAAACCTACGCATTTTCGAGGCGCAACGCCGCGCGGATTCAGAGACAATTGAGCAATTGAAGATCCGGCTTGCACAATTCCACTCCCAGAACCAACGCCCGAGCAAGGAGGAAGCTCAGGCGGCGAAGACGCCACTGTTTCCGGAATCAAGCCCATCAAGGATTGCATCATCAGCGCTCGTTAGTCCGCTGGTGTTGAAGCAACATCGAAGGTAAGACTGACTTCAAAGGATATGAAAACATTATATTGACTCTAATATCCATCTAGTGCGGGTCCTCGCCTCATTCACGGCGGCAGAAAGGACATCAAGATTAATGCTCACCGCTTGCGGCGTTCAGCTCGACTTGCCAAAGGAAGAAGCAAGTCGACCTCGGAGATTGTCCGTTTCGTCAACTGGGGCTTGAAAAGGAACACATATCGTGGGTTGAAGTCAATCGAAAGGACATGTCCCAAGGCCACACCAGACAGAAGGCTCCTGGCAGACGGACACGAAGCGGAATGCAACGGAAATGAAGCTCAACATCATCAAAATAGTATCCAAACAGCCGGGACAGAGCCAAACATTTCAATGATTCAGGACGCTGCAACCACTCAACATCAATCCACCACACCCTCCCACCACGATCCAATGAAACCTACTCGTTTCTGGCCACAAAGCGTCCAGCGCAAACGTCGATTCCTGGAGATTCTGCAGAGCCCACCGGTGGCGTCGCACTAAACCTCAGGCCATCCATAACCTCGAAATCTAGTCGGCGCATCCATGGACCAAGCAAAGGCGACTCAAATTTCTATGTCTCCTTGAACTCATACGGCCCCTCCCTCTCCACGACATCCACCTCAATCCTCCCCTCCTCGATCTCCTTCCCATCCATCCTCACCCCCGCACTCATCCGATCACCCGCCACCACCGGGCCCACTCCCTTCGGCGTGCCGGTTAACACAATATCTCCCTTCTCCAAGGTCATCACCCTGCTAATATCGCTCAGCTGGCGCGTGATGTTGTAGAGCATGAGGTTCGTGTTATCGCGCTGCTTGATCTGCTTGTTCACGGAGAGCCACAGCTCGAGGTTGTCGGGACGCGGATGGATCTTCTGGCGCGGGATCGGGTTGCTGATGGGGAGGAAGGTGTCGAAGCCCTTCGCGATGGACCAGGGGAGGCCTTTGCGTTTGGCTTCGTCTTGCACGTTGCGCGCGGTCATGTCAATGGCGACGAGGTAGTCTAGGCACATCGTTAGCAACTTAGTCATTGGTCAATCATCTCTCATGTTTCCGAATTGCTTGTGAAGATGCTGCTCATCTTCGCGCGTGCCGTACAAAGTGTCGCAACATGTAGAATCCGGTCGCACAGCAGACATACTCTCAATCGAATCCAGCGCCCCTTCCCTATCTTCCGCATGCATATCCCGCACCGTCTTCCCGATGACAAGCCCCAACTCTACCTCATAATGCACCGTCACGCCCCGCGGCTTCAACATAGGCCCTTGGCCCGGCAGCAGCAGCGAGGACGGCGGCTTGAGGAAGAAGAACGGCTGTTTTGGGCGGGCATTTTTCAGCTCCGCGATATGGTCTCTGGGTTACGGATCAGCATGCATGCCGAGGAATGGGTGGTTCGAAGGGGATGAGTACGCGTAGTTTCGGCCAATGCAGATGACCTAGTCGGAGGGTTAGCATGGGGTTTGGGAGGTACAGCAAATAAGACGGTACTTATGTGTCCGGGTGGTACCTTTCTGCAATTGGCTCTTATGGATGCTGCGGAGGCCATATTGGATATGATAATTTGCTCCGGGTCACCCTTTCTGGTGAGATGTTGAGGAATTATATGTAAGTCGAGTCATATTCATGAGAATGGAGCTATGGAAGTGGACATGACCAAAGGTGAGTTACATTCGGAGGCACCTCGGAAATAAGGTCAGCACTTGGGAGGCATCCGTTATCAAGCTCTCAGCTTCATCGCGATAAGTATCACCATTTTCCTGATCTGGTCCCTGTTTAACAGGAAATTCGAAAATTGTGAAATCTCTGCGGAGATCTGAAAGGGCATGCTCAGTAACCAACCATCTACTCTCACAATGCCGAGTTGAGCTTTCGGCGAAGCCGTGATCGATACCCAACCACTACAGACACTACTTTTGCCATATCACAACCATGCGCGTCGCAGAAATCCTCTCTGACCTCACCTCCCTCCGCGCCTGTGTACATCTCCCTCCCCTCTATCTCAACTCACCTACTCACACCCCACAGGATCCCTCCGCCGCGCTCGCTCTCGTCTCCACGCGGCCCTCCCCCTCATCAGTGCTGCCGTCCAAGAACTCCAGCATCGAGGCACCGGAACATGCAGAGGGCGGTAATGGCGATTTACGACGGGCGAAGGAGCTGGCAGAGTTGCATGCGGCGTTGAAGGGGGCACAGAGGAAGGAGTTAGTGGGGCCGGTGAGGGAGGAGGCGGAGAGGGTGGGGAGGAGGGCGTTGGGGGTTGCGCAGCGGTGAATGGGGCGAGAGTTTGGGATGGCGATGGGGATGGAGAGGTGGAAGGCGGGGGGGGGTTACGGAGGGTGTGGGATGGATGATGCATTGTGGATGTTTATGATTGATGGCTATGAGGTTATGCAAAGTACATGTATGTATCCTGTTCTGCTATGGACTGTTTTTGAGGCAGGAGTTCTGAAAGGGGAGACGGCTCTGCCAAATAACAATTGTCTGTCGCTGTCCAACCTTGCCACTGTCCAACTTTGCCACTTCTGGCCTCATGCAGATTAACCTCCATTTCACCATGCCTGATGCTATGGTACGGGTCGAGCTAGTTCTAATCATTGGTGAGCAACTTTTCACCTGAGCCAGTGCTATCCAGACCCAAGAACTGCGGACTGGAATCATGATCGATGGTTTCGGATTTGGGTTCTGTGCTGCTTTTGGCTTTAGCAGTCGCAAGGTATTTGCGTCGGCTTGCGATGAGTCGCTGTTTTAAGAGTTTTTCACGTAGTTCGTTTGCCGTTAGTGACTTCAGAATTGAGGAAGGAGTTAAGGTGGGAGTAGAAGCAGCTGAATTGGGAAAAGCAAATGAGACTCGAGCTGAACGGAATTGAGAGCGTTTGGGGTCATCGTTTGTGAAGAGATTAGATGTTGTCGAGCGTCCATTAGTTGAAGAGAAGACTGGGGAGCTGAAGGACTAGGAAACTGTTAGAATCATGCCGACTGTCAATGATGAGCTCACTAGGTCATTAGATTTGCCCTATGGCTCAGCGGTGATAGAAATGGTGGATTTGCTCTGGACTATGGATTCAGGGGCTGATATTATACAGTGCTGGTGTGGTTGCTATAGTGTGGCTACTCTTGACTTAGCTGGGCAGGCATTGGGTATATTGACGCCGAGGTGCAGTTAGGGGATTTATGCGTTACACTATGTGACGAGCAACGGCATCTTCAAGGCGATTCGTCACCAACCTCTTCAGCACCACCGCGAGCGTCACTGATGTTGCGCTTATGTCCTCGATCTTCCGGTTCCGGCGATGATGTGTTTCGTCGTCTCTTGTGGCGTGGCTCATAGTGTTCCATCGAGCGTTGTCGTTTGCGATTTCCGATCCTGTCTCTTCGGCGTGGGCTCCGGCTGTCACTTCGATCTCGGTGTCGTCGCGGCAGTTTATGCCTGGTGGGGCTTGGAGAGCGACTTTGGCTAATAGAAGGGGAACGGGAAGAGGAACCTCGCCTCTGCTTCCGTGGTCGATCTCGGTCTCGACCTTTGCGAATATCAGCACGTGCATCTCCGTTACTTGTACTAGGTACGTCAGAGGGTGTTCTGGAGAATGATCTTGCGCGGCGTTTGCGTGGTGGACTCCTCGAGCGAGACCGCGAAAGAGATAGACTCGGAGAGGGAGATAAGTCCCGTCGTCGATGCTTTCGAGATCGTGGTGGTGGGCTTCGGCTGGGTGAATAGGAACGATGGCGGCGTCTTCTGGGAGAACGTGAGCGCGGTCTTCTAGGAGGGGTGGGTGATCTGTAGCGATCAGCGGCGCGATATCTGGAGCTGCTTCGCTCTCTCCGGTCCCGCCGCCACGATGCCGGTGGTGCAGCGGGTTCTCTGGAGCGAGACTTAGACACGCTCGATGTAGCCCGCGTGACTGATTGTTCTCGTCGAACGCGGTCACGTGAATGGGACCTATCTCGCTGCCTATGAGGTGGGGATGGCGAACGATGGTCTCTGCGACCGTCGCGGAATCTTTGACGTGTGGGAGGAATGTATGTGTCGATGCCTTCGCGTCGGCGTGGTGGTGACCGAGAACCTCTTCGTGAACTGTCTTGTCCTCTACCACGGCCGCGATCGTTGCGCTCCCGCTGCCTAATACTTTCAACATCGCGTTCGCGTAGTTGCTCCCTCTCTCGACGTTCGCGGGCTTCTTGAGCGGCTTTTTCAGCCTCGGCCTGCTTTGGTTAGAATGATGCAGATGTAAGTGAGTGACGACAGCTAACCTTCTCCTGGATGAGCTCTAGTTTCTTGGCCTCTAGAAGTTCTTTCGGAACTCCCTGCGGATTGTTTTGGGCGCTCAGGCATAACGTCCACAGGTCCTTGCAGAAATTTGCAGTGTCCTTCTCAAGAAATCCTGTCAATTGAATTTGGAGGTGCTTGATGTTTGGCTAGAGCTTGGATTAGTTTCGCTCTCAGAACTGCGCGACATGGTCAACATACGAATCTTGAGCCCTCGAGCAGGTTGAAACAGAGCTCAATGACCACATCGTCTTCATTTCCCAGGATCTTGGAGATTTTGGCAGCGATCCATCTATCCAGCAACACTAATCAGCAAGCCACTCCAGTTGTCATGTTGCACTAGGCGGGGACGTACTTCTTCATGACCTCAACGTTCACCTTCTGCATATCGACTTTCTGGTTGAACTCGGGAGGGAATTTAGTTGCTTTGAGCAACTTCTGATCAACCGTCGTTGCCATGATGGCGGAAACAGGAGAAAAATTGGAGGACGTTGTGAGTTATCCGTTGTATCGCGTGCGCAATGATAATGTTATTTGGTGAAGCTTGACTCCAGAGCACTGATTGATGATTCTCGCGTCCCGTTTCGGCTGAATCTCGGAATTGCGGCTGATCCTCGGGATATCTATGCACCTGTACCGGGCTCCCAGTCCGATTGCCTCAGATGTCTTAGACGTCAACCTTGAAAGATCTCGCTTTCCATTTCACAGTCAGGCCCTTCTTCATCAGGCGGATGCTGTATGGTTTTATTGGTTAGATAACCCGTATGAAGTCGCTCTTGCTGGCGAGCCGGAGTGCTGTCGAGATGTGGAAGGCATTGCAGACGTTGACTGCATCTGGCAACATATGAAACCATATCAAAGTCATGGCCATGAACATAGCTTGGCTTTTGCTACTGGCGGGCAGCGATTGTGTACTACTCCAATATGGTGAAGATCTATTTCATTGTGCCCCTATCCGTGCTTTGTACAAAGATAGTTGGATTGTCTCATTTATATGCCTCATGGGAGGAAGTATCCAGGCTTGTTTCCGAAACTGGATCGTTCAAAGACCCAGCGGAAGCAGCCTCTGGATACCCATCACCACTCCCCGTTCTAGCGGGAGGGGTTGGTTAGGACGCTGGGTCCTGTGCCCAGTCGTGGTTTTTCAGGTTGTAGTTCTTTTCCTCATTTGCCTTTTTTGGCTCATTTCATTGCCGTCGTTTTAGTCTCACAGTCGCATTCTTTCAGTTTCAATATATTCACTTCTTCATTGTCTAGCCTCCTACCAACCACTCCTTTATGGAGAGTCCAGAATATCCATACTTTCTGCCCTCGTCTAATGAGCGCAGTCTTTGAGCGTCGTCGTTGAGAATCCGCAGACGGATTCATGTGCAGCCGTATCAAGAGGGTTCTTGGCACTGCTCCCGGTAAGACACAGTGCAGCCTAGTTTTGGTGTATTACTGAGTCGAGAAGGCGAACAACCGCAGCCTTCCGAGCCCAATCTAGCCTCCCGACCAGCTCCCAAGCTTGAATTACCCAAGCCAGCGCAGCTTAAGGCCATCCCTGAACTCCACCCGGTCCCCAAGCCTGCGACAGAAGAGGGATCGGGTCAAAATATCCCCAGCGCAGAGCAACAGGAGCTCATAAAGAAGCCACAGCCAGAAGAAACCGTGGTCGAAGAGACGGCGAGCGACGCCGCTTCAGCCCCGGATGCCCCAATGGCAGCCTCGTCGACAAGATCTCCGGTGGTCGGTACGAGGAACAACATCAACTCTCGTGAATCAGTGTTACTGACATTGGATAGGAGAGAAAGTGGTACCCGAAGTTCCTCACCAAACAGTGGGTAGTGGACACCAAAAATCGGACAACACGCCAACTGCGGAAGCCACGCCTGGGGTTCCAGAAAAGGCAGGTATGGCAAAATCAAATCGTTGTTGTAATACCTTGCTGTCGCTAGAGCACTCACACTCCCCAGCGCCACCCAAATGCGTTGTCTTCGAGGAGCCCGAGGAGGATACGCCTCCCGTCCACGGACTGGATACGACGGCCACGAAAGACAAACCGAATGAAGTTCAAGAACCCATGGAGCCGACCGCCGAACAGAACCTAGCTTCTCTCGACACCTTGCCTGGGGTCCCTCGTGGGGAGCCTCCTCGACGGTCCTCAAAAACGCCGCCGCCACCGTCGTCCCGGAAGGTGACAATTGCTGAACAACCCCAGAGCGCTCCGGCTTCCAGCCATAGCTCTGTGGTGCCTTTTGCGTCGGTTCGGCGCTTTGCCAAGAACTGGACTCTGCCTTCCTTGAGACATGCTCGTGCGCCCGCCACTTCGCCAGAGCAGGATGCTGCGCCTCAGCAAGAGCAGGAACAAGGAGTGATTCGGGGTGAACCATCGGATGTCGCGGCTCCAAACGAGAATGTCGCTTCTCGCAAGGACTCGGCGTTCACACTTGGGTCCAAAAAGGGAGCGACAGATGCCTCGGCCCCCAAGCCCTCTGACACAACTCCTGCGAACGTCGCATCGAGTGCCTACGACGACCCGAATCTAGGAGCTCCCGTCATAGCAGAGCGCGTCGCGGTGCTGTCTGACGACCTTCCTGAGCGCCAAGAGCAGCAAGGATTGGGCGCATCGGGGCAGCGAAATAACCCACAGGGACAGCTGCAACCCCGCGATATTAGTGCGACAGTGGATGGGTCCTCTACATCGGCTATGCCTACACCTTCACCACCGGGCGTGGTTGTGGTTACGGGGGAGCATCCATCGCTCTTGGTCCTCAACACGAAGCCAAGAAGGTTGGATAAGGCTCGGTATTACAGCCCCAAGTGGATTGTGAAGGCGAGCATGGGGAGGAAGGCTGCCGATGAGGTGTGTTTCAGGATTCGAGCGGCGCAGGCGGGTGTCAGGTTGGAAACTGCCCGCTAGTTGAGGTCGTGGTGGTGTTGTGTGGTACGAGTATGCAGGTTGAGTGACTAGGCTGGACTCAGGAGGCAGACAGAGAGCTGGAAGGGCGTTGAGACGATTCTATTCTCATGAACATGTACCTAGCTTACCTACTTTCGATACTTCACTTCTACCTGGAAAGCTTGAACAGTTATGTCCATCATCGCCGTTGTTATCCGTAGACATTGCCTTGACATGCGAGAAATGCCGTATACCGTTGAGTTGCTTCTATATGTGGTGCATGCCAGAGCAAATATCAATAGCCTCATCACTAGAACCGCTCAGGTATTACAGTTTGAAAACCAGACAAAAGCCTGAGCTCTTTCCAAAAAGGGGCAGCTAAGGATACATGCCATAAGAATGAAGATCCTTGACCTGGTGAGCTCAAAGAAAAATGATATATTAATCGGCAGCGAGATGTATAATAATGACTAGAAAGTGGGAGTATTCCCCTCTTCTATCATCCATGTGATATTACCTTCGGCTCCAGAGATATTCAAACCCGAGGGGTGTTTGCACCTGCAGGCTCAGTAGCTTGGTTCCTGGGTCAGCTTGAGATGGGCGAATCAAATCGGTTCAAGATCAACCACCACTCCCCCGTTTACACCAGAGCTCCACGATTCCCTCTGTTCTGCTCCATGAAATCGGCCACCCCACCATTCTCGGGAAATAAGGATAATGGTGGCACAAAGTGACTGATCCGTTTGCAGTGAAGCATGGGAGCGAAAGCAGATGACACCACCAAAAGCTGGCCCTTTGAAGCTCTGCGCAGTGGGTGATCCGAGTTCTCGGGGAAGATCGTGATAAGGCAGAAAGAGGCGAGGCAAGTTCACTCCGAAGGGTCAATTCTCCCCATCAATCGTATACGCAAGCTGATGATGCGACCAGTCATCTTTCTGTTCCCTAATATTCTTCCCGGTCTCTCTGCCCATCCAATTATCACGATTTTCCTCTAAAGGATGTCCCGTTGCTTCTTCTGCGGATGTCAAGGCGATGAAACTGGTTGATATAAGACTAACCGCATTGGGCGCCATCACATTCCGTGTCCCTATCCCAAGGATCCAGTCGCAGGGCACCCCTCGTATCCGCACGATTCATGCCTCATAGTAAGATTCACTGGTAAGGTTCACCTCAGCAAAAAGCGCCAGGGTAGCCACCAGGCGGAGTCAAAGGCAGCGATGGACACACGAATTGCTGAGTTTGCTGTGCAACAGGCAACGCACTGACCCGCGGCGTCGGAAATCGAGTCACGTTTTCACGCGCCATGGACGCGAGTCCATTTACACGCCCAATCAGTGAAGAACGCGTCCCCCAAATATTTTAACTTGCCCACTTTCCTGTCCTCCCCGAAGTTGCTTCACACGCCTTCGTTGCAGAGGGATCAGGTATCCTGGTAGGTGAGGAGGAGGCCTTTATCAATTCCGTCCCGTACTTCCGTATCCTGCTCACATAAATGGCGCCATGGGTAACTCTTTTCTGTTTCTTCCTTCCTCTCCTTTCATTTTGTCCACTTGTTCGTCGAATGGTTGCCTGAGGTTGATGCCTATATCCCTTCCGTTGTTGCCTGGTGATTTCGTTTGAAGTCTATATAAGTCTCGTTGATGTTCCATTTGCACATTCCAGTTTTGCTTAGGTCCCCTCGGTCGGCTACTGCCTAAGCAGCCTCATTCAAGATGATGTTCAGCGTCACCAAGTCGCACCGTAAAGGCGAGAGCTTCTCCACAAGACATCGAAGCAGTAAAAGCAGAAGACATGGATCGTTTCGCGAAGCCACATCTTCTCGACAAATCGAACGGATGGCAGAAGAAGCACAGGAGACACCCGTTCAAGCCAGCCCGTAAGTATAAGCAGTATCATAACGAAAGCTCATCTGATACTGACGACATCTAGACCACTAACCAGCGCCATCGTCACCCTCTACATCGGCCACGAGCAACGTACCTTCGCCGCTCATGAGGACGTCCTCTGCCACTCACCTTACTTCGCCGCCATGCTTCGAGAGCAGTATTTCGAGCCTTCCAACCGACGCATCGAGCTTCCCGACGAAGAACCCGAGGTGTTCTCGTGCATCTTGGAATATCTGTACAAGGGCGACTACACACCTCGCATGGAGTACGACAAGCGTCGACGAAGCTGGCAACTGGAGAACTCCTCTGCTGACCCGACCGTCTGGTTGACTGGAGTCTGTGTTCCGATCTTGCGAGACACGGTGGTATACGTAAGTCCTTCCGCAATCCCCACAATGACGAGTCTATGAATCTAACCGTCCGCAAGTGCGCCGCTACAAGGTACGGCCTCGAAGACCTCACCCGCGTTGCCCTCCGCAAGCAAGGTCTCCAAACCGGCATCCAGTGCAGCACGATCCTCTCCAGCGCCCGCTACGCCTACGCCAACACACCTGAGACCGACTCGAAGCTGCGCGCTCACTACCTGACGCTCATCATCCGGAGTCGGCAGACATTCAAGCGGAGCGGCACCATGCAGAACGAGATGGAGGCTGGTGGCAGGCTATTCTTCGATCTCTTCGTCGCGATGGTCAATCATATGGTGAGTACTGTGCTTCCAATAGGGAACGTCTATTGGACGCCTTATCTAACTCTTGTCTTGCAGGATGAAATGAAATCGCCACGCTAGGCAACAGCTGGATTGCGTCGTCTGACTCTATTTGCCATTTGCTCATCGCTCAATCCCGTTGAATGCAATTTGCAACACGCTCCTCATGCTCATTTTCGTTTACAGGTTTCGTCTATTTCGGATACCCTTCTGTGCATATATTTGTGTGTTTTCATTTCTGGACGGTACTGGCGCTCTGGTTATTTCCCACTGTTACTGACAGTGAACTTGTATCATACATCTGCTCTTCCGGCATCATTTTCATGGCCCTCGCCTGCAATTTTCTTTCTTGGGCTAGTCTTGACGGTTTATCAAGGTAGTCTTCATCCTGCAGGCAAGGCAAACAGGGACACAAAAAATTCGGTTCGCGCATTCACTTTGACGGGTTCCTTAGGTTGACGCACATTTACGAAGCTTTGAGGGAAGCGAGGCACCTAATGATTGGTCTTGATATTCCATTCTAATATCGAGCAACTATTGCTTGTGCGGCACATGTAATTTGTTGATGGTGACTAGATGGAAGGATATCGTCGAATCAAAATTGAACTTGAAGGACAGGACGCGAGGGAGTAGCTAGACTGATCAATGTGCGGATATTGATTCTGGTTTTGAGATTATACGTCAGATGAGTGCACCAATAACATGTCACATTCTGGTGATGTTTGACCCGTGACCATCCGACCACGAATATATAAGGTGCGTCTCACGATGATTCGGATTCAAAGCGCAACATGAAGCAATGATACTCTATCCCCTTCATCATCCCAGCATCTCAGATCCACCCTTAGATCCATCTGCATCTACCCTAACCATTCCACTGGGACATTCAGAGAGGGGATAGTAGCGCATATTCGCCGAGCAACTGTCGAATCAAATGACCGACCGCTGTCGCACTTCATCCCTGAATATCAAAGTTGTGAGTCATACTTGCTTCAGCCTAACCATTTGTGGATGGAACGTGAAGCAAGGCGTGCACAGACACGATATCCCTAAATGCTGTGGGATGAATAGGGCGGTGCCTAGGCTTTTGAAACTCGTTAGAATATCGAAGCCATCGGAGTTTGAAGATAGATATAAAGTTAGGTAGTGGTCAGTGCATCTGATATTTCGCGAGAATCGGTTCACTTCTAGTGGACGGAAAGGCGACTAGGCGAGTTGCTCTAAGTGCTGCTGAGAGCCTTCATCAAGCACCGATAATCTCTTATTGGCGAATGTATTAATCGAAAGGTGGCAACTGAAAAAGGCGAACCTCTCAGACCCCCGTGCCAGGGAATGCGCCTTTCTTGCTGAGCACAATCATCCCTGCATCACGGGCGATATAACCTCTGAGGTTGTCCTTCACATGAATGTCAGCAAGGCAGATCAATGGCGTTTCTGTAAATACTAGAGGGTTGACATACCTTGTATATCAGATTGGCCAACATGCACTCCACCTCATCCCGACTAAGCTCGTCTTCCGACCGCAACTTCAAGCTCAGCCTCATCGCGGCGGTAAACTCGTTCAACGGGATCCTCGTCCTGCGCACTCGGTTCGTGCCTGTCTCGCCTTCCTTGGGTGGCTCATATCCGCCAGCAAGGAAGACCTTCCGGAAGAGATTGCGGAGGGCGATTTCTCGGCCACGTTCCATCGAGAGAAATATGCGCCGCTTGACGAACTCCCGTTCGCTGGCGGCGAGGGCAGCGTCGAAACCGGCGAGATCACCTTTCTTGATGCAGACTGCTAGTGGCAAGAAGAGTTGCTGGAGGCGTGGGTAAGGACCAAGGAGCGCCATGGTGGGGAGGGTGTGAGTTGTCAGGAGGTGGCAGGGGATTAGGTAGGTCATGATGAGCCTGAGCCACGTTAGCGTGGGAGTCAACAGTATTGTTGGTAGAACGCAGCCTTACTCTTGATTCTTGCGGGCGTCCTTGTGGCAAAGTTGCTTTGCCTTTGTGAGATTCTCTTCCGCCTAGAAGGCATCCGAGCGCGTCAGTCATCTGCGCCTTGTGGTGATTTGGAAAGTGAACACACCTTCTCATAATTCTCTTCCAGGAAACTGATGACGCCTGTATAGTAGAGAAAGGCTACTTGATGTGACTTGGGGAATGCGTGCAAAGGAGGCATATCCCCCGCTGACGCCGTTAAGGATTTGAGAATCGTCTTGGAGAGATTGATTGAATTGAGCTTGAAATGACATTTGAACATGAGATTCGTGAAGTAGTAAAGGCCCCATTTTCTTGACTCCTCCATGGGGGCTCGATCATTCGAGCAAATCCCGTAGATACGGTTGATCTGGCGTGTCGCATCTTCAAGCTTCTCGTTCTTCTCAACCGAGCTGACAAGATCATCCGATAGACCTTGGCTGAAGGTCACGGCGCCTTTGGTTTTTTCCGTCTGCTCATCGGCTTTGATGGCGAAGATTCTTAGATATTTTGCAGCGACGTAGAGACAAGGGATTGACCAGGCTGGAAAGGTGGAATTGGTGTAGCCCCGCAGGAGCGCGTTCAGCATGTCCTTCCAGGACTCATAGACCTTGTTCCAGTCGGCTCCAGGGCCTTTGGTCTGATTGGATGCTTCCTCTGCGTGTAGGATGTCTCCAATGGCTTTCCAATAGGCTACAAAGACATCGACCCAGAGGCCTGATTCTTGCTTAGATACAAACAGACCTCTTGAGTCATACGTGAGGAAGGATCGGATGTCACTCTGCACGCTGAAGTGGTTGGTACTGCGGTAGAACCCATAAAGAAGGCCAGCATCATCCTTAGGAGCAGCTGGCATCAAACAATTTGCCATGGCGTAGCCATTGCCTTGAGAAAAAGCGGCCTTGAAGTTGTTTAGAATAGGCTCCATGGTTTGAGAGAGCCTACAAGGAGGACGAGAGGGATAGAAAGGAAAACACAGAATTAAACTAGAGCGAAGCTTTTCTGATTAGCATAATTGGCTTCAGAAGGGACAATATATCGAACCTCGGGGTTCATAACCTCCCTGTAGTGGAATCTCCCTTCATCTGTTGCGAGCTGGTGAAGTGAGTGATGATGGAGGGACATGGAGAAGGAGGTGACAGGGATATGATACCCAATTATGATTGGTTGAAAATAATGTTGTTTAGAGTGGGTCTCCCGGCGAAACGTTGATCCTCACTTTCACACACCAACCGAGAGAAATTGCCTGCGCACGCATCACAACTTCACCGAAGCACACGACAGCCACTTTCGTCAACCGTAACAATGGGTAAGTTGCTGAATCCTTTCATACACTATCAAGCGTTGCTTTAGGATATTCCGGACCCAGAAGAGGAGGATAGACACTTTCGTACCGTACCGAACGTCCCTCGAAGCCCGACTCGAAGTCATGGAGCGAACCATGAACCATGAACCAGAATGCAAATGCTCAAAAGAATAGGCGATACCAGGCCTCATTGGAGACTCCGAGTTACATTGCCAGCTTACTATCTGTAATTGCTGAATGGCAGTCGAAATTGAGTTGATTCAATCATTCGAACGCAGTTGGGATACTTCAATGTGTACCGACACCCATATCCGCCTTACCTTCGATTTCGAGCGACATTCTGCGACCAAATAATTCGAAAATGATGTGATACATGAACTGGGCCGGAAACCATTGCTCATTTCTTGGATTCACCGCTACTGCATGACAATTGTACTGATAGTGTCCTCAGGTCGGCTGCAGGAATACCAAGTCATCGGGCGGCACTTGCCCTCCGAGGCAAACCCAACTCCCAAGCTCTACCGCATGCGAATCTTCGCTCCGAACACTGTCGTTGCGAAGTCCCGGTTCTGGTACTTCCTTGCCAAGCTCCGAAAGATCAAGAAGGCCAATGGCGAGATCGTCTCTCTGAACGAGGTATGCATGATTAGAATTTTGGGCAGCTAGAGATGGTGGCTGATAGCATGAACAGATCCACGAGAAGCGCCCCCAGAAGGTCAAGAACTTCGGCATCTGGATCCGTTACGATTCACGATCCGGTACCCATAACATGTACAAGGAGTACCGCGAGATGTCAAGGACCGAGGCCGTCGACGCTTTGTACCAGGACATGGCTGCCAGACATCGTGCTCGTTTCCGATCAATCCACGTATGCGGCACTATGCTATCCTCACTCGAATGATTGACTGACAATTCCCAGGTCCTCCGTGTTGTGGAGATCGAGAAGACCGACGACATCCGCCGCCCGTACATGAAGCAGCTCCTCACCAAGGACCTGAAATTCCCCCTCCCTCACCGCGTCAACAAGTCTACCGCCAACCGTCTGTTCGCGGCCAACCGGCCCTCGACCTTCTTCTAAAATGGACATGGGGAGTTCAACTGCGGGTTTCCGTTTTCGTATCATATTGCATGGCATGGCATGTGTGTGACGTAGATTAGCGACGTCAATCAAAATGGAACCAATTCACGATACAAACAAATGCTGCGAATTTTGAAATTCTATGATTGCCACTTGATACAATGGATACAATGGATACAACGGATACACTGGATAACTAATTTAAATCTTAGGCTTATACTGGTAGCCGACCGGCTTGGCGCCGCGAACGACATCAATGGGTTCCCACCAGGGGTACGAAACCGGACCGTCGTCCTCCAAAGTGCCCTTGAAGTTGACCTGGCGCTTCTCCATGAATGACGCAACACCCTCCTTGTTGTCCCTATAACACCGTCAGTGGAAGGCCGCGTAGGTTATGTTCAGACGTGACTTACGGGTTGCTAAACATCTCGAAAATAAGCTTAGAATCCAATAAATGGGTCCCCTCTGCGGACCCCGGATTCCGATACATCAATTCCCTCATCAAATGCGTGCTCACCACACTCGTATTCTTCACGATCTCATCCGCGATCTCCAGCGCGCGCGGGAGCACCTTCTCCGGCGCGTCCAGCGTCTCGCTGAACAGGTCGCCGAAGAGCTTGTCATCGGCGCGGTAGGTCGCGCCGGTGGTGACAAGGTGCAGGGCCCGCGACATGCCGATCAGCCGCGGCAGGAAGAAGGCGCTGCACGCCTCCATGATCAAGCCGCGGCGCGCGAACACGAAGCCGATCTTCGCTTGCGCATACACGATGCGGATCGTCATCGGGAGGGTCATGGTGATGCCGACGCCGACGGCGGAGCCTTGCATGGCGGCGATAGTGGGCTTACGGCAGCGGTGGATGGCGAGGGAGCAACGGCCGCCACTGTGGAGTGGGAGTTAGCATGGTGGAAAAGTCCATAGCGTATTCAATAGATCAGGAAACAAGGGGATTTCTGGTGGAACGAAGAAGTATAAAAAAAAATGTACCCGTCACGGTGGTCGCTCGGCTTCTCATATCCGCCCTTGAACGAGGTCTCCAGATCGGCTCCGGCGCAAAATATCCGGCCATCACCAGTGGTGATGACACACTTGACGCGGTCGTCGAGGTCGAACCATTGGAACGCCTGCTCGACCTCATCCATCATGGTCTCGGTGAAGGCATTGTACTTGCCCGGGCGGTACAGCGTGAAGATGACGATGGGGGTCACTTCCGCTGATGACGCCGGGTAGTGGGAGATCTTGGTATGCTTGAAGCCCACATTCTGATAGCTCTTGGGGATCGCGACGTGTGGTGGAGGGGCGCCAGGCATGATGACGGTTTTGGGGGGTTATTTTATGAATTGAATAGGTACTGTACTTTGCAAAAAAAGAATGCAAGAGATCAAATGACAGCGAGATAAATAGCAATGGCGGAAGAAACAGCCCTCACATCGAGCAAGAATAAGAACCAAAACACCCGCAGGCACACCGTCGCCATCCACGACACGCATCATGGCCTCGGTTGCAGAGGGGGTTCAGGATGGTTTGCCGAAACTAGGAACCCGTGCGACTGTTCCCTCACTCCACGCGGGGACTCGGTTCTTCCTAGGGCTTGCCGACCATTGGATGAGAGGGGGAGCTTAATTCTCATGTGGAGTTACAGTTGAGACTTGAGAGAGCTACATCGTAAATGTCTGAGAAGACTCGTAAGTCGTATTGTCGTATAACGCATTGAGATGGGTATGGGGTCGCAGATTTAATTTATTTTAATTGTCCTGCATAGAAGCAGAACACTACAACTGAATGAACATGAAGGAGCGGAAGCAGAAGTGTGTTCTCAGGCCACAAGGCGAACATATTCACATCACATCTGATCAATCGTCCAGACTTCATCTGTTCATCATGTTCCACCAGACTCTTGTTACCAGAAATGAGGGAGAGACCTGGGGGACTGTCTGGTTGCCTCTGTAGTCACTGTTATTATGGAGGAGCTGTAGGTTAACCGGGTATTCATAGCCCCTCATCCAGGTCGATTGATGCTCCTTCGCCCCGATCTAAAGCTGTTCTTTTTTCTATCATCGTAACATTCCCTCCTCTCAACGCTCGCCTCTCGCCAGTACTCCAGTCATTCTACCATCCAAAAGTCAACCTCATTCCTCCTCATCCAGTCTCCTCACCCAATCCATCCCCAACCATGTCCCTCACCTCCCTCGCCCGCACCTCCTCCCCCCTCCTCGGCGCCTACATCTCCTTCCCCTCCCCTTTCTCCGCCCACCTCCTCTCCCGCCTCTCCTTCCCCTGGGCCCTCATTGACATGGAACACGCGCCCCTCTCCCCCGCCACCATGACCTCCCTCGTCCACGCCATCGCCGCTGGCTCCCGAAATGCCACCCTCCCCCTCGTCCGCATCCCCTCGCACGCCGTCGAATGGGTCAAGTGGGCGCTGGACTCTGGCGCCGCAGGGATTGTTGCACCGATGGTGCAGTGCGCGGAGGAGGCAGCGGCATTGGTGAGGCATGCAAGGTATCCGCCGGAAGGATGGCGGAGCGTAGGGCCGTTCCAGGCGGGGGGCGCGGATGTGACGGGGGAAGGGGGAGTGGGGGCGTATTTGGCGAAGGCGGGTAGGGAGGATGGGGTGGATTTGATTGTGATGATTGAGAGTGTGTTGGGAGTGGAGAATTCGGGGGAGATTATGCGGACGAAGGGAGTGAGTGGGGTGTTTGTTGGGCCGGTGGATTTGAGGGCGAGTTTGGGGTTGCCGGGGTCGCATGGGGAAGAGGAGGTATACATGAAGGCGTTGGAGAGGGTGATAAGGGTGGGGAAGGAGATCGGGATGCCGGTGGGGATCTTCTCGACTGGTGGAGAGGCGTTGAAGGCGCATGTTAAGATGGGGTTCTCGTTCATGCTAGTCACTGGAGATGTGATGGCATTGACCGAAGGCGCCAGTGCTGCGCTCCGAATCTCGATGCAGATCGTCAATGAATTGAAGACGTCACAGTAGGGAACGGATAAAACTATTAGATTAACTTGTCACGATCTATACGATTGACCATTGTACCCAATGAAGTGTACAGGATCGTTGCCTGCGGGTATCATAAATACACTGGCCACTCTTTGGCCTGGAAGCGGAGATCCCAAATGAAAAACCGCCAACGCCTTGCTAAATGTGATTCAAATCGAATATACGTCGGTCCCAGATGCATTGCAGTAAGTTCCCTCTCACATGTGCCATCGCCTTCTGCTTCAGGCGCGTGCTGGCACTGAGGTGGGCGATGATGCTGGCTCCATCTCGTTGGCGACTACCGCCACCACCTGCGATATCAGCAGTTTGAAGCGGCCTCTAATTTCAGTGCGAAACACCCCTCCTCGAGCACAGAAGGAGACGGAATCAGTCCAACAACGGCTTCCTTCCATAGACAACCGATCTACCCCGACAATTAGTAGCTGAGCATTGAATCGTATATTAGACGTGAGGCATGATGTACGTACCCTGGGAGGAATGCCTGAACACTGGTATCTTTCAGCTGTTTCTTCATATCCTCCAAGAACTTTTGCGCTCCGTCATACGACCAGCCGCCCACTGTCGTCAACAGCCGTAACATGAAGCCCTCGACGCCATCATGCATCCTTAACTGGTTCCATTTTCCAAGCTCCTTAAGCTTGGGGTCCTTACTCCAGCCATTCATCGGCCAAACGAACGGGACTTCATGAACGTCCACGAACCCCGCTCGTTCCATCCTTCCCTTCACCTCGTCCCAAATAGCGAACGACTTCCCAAACACTTCTCCCATCCGTACCACGGTATTTCCCCACGTCGTATAGAAATGCTCCGGCCCAACGCCCCCGTCATCGCTGATCGGCCGCACACTATGCTCGAGCACCTCGACCCATCCGCCCGGCCGCGTGGCCTTATGGGCTTGCGCCAAGAAGAAATCCCAGTCGGGGATGCTGCCGAACATCTCGCGGATGTGGATGAAGTCGAAGTGGTCCTCGGGATAGGTCCACTCGACGGTGGCGTCGTCGATCTCGAAGGTGCAGTTGGGGGGGATGAATTCGGGTTGGATGGGGGAGAGGTCTGTGCCGATGACGGAGGCGGAGGGGTAGGCATCGGCGATGTCGATGGCCCAGATGCCGGTGCCGGTACCGACGTCGAGGATTTGCTGAGGGGTGGGATCGATGGGTGAAAGGTGGAGTTTGCCGTCGAGAGTGAGGAGGTACATGTGGTGGGATTGGTCCTGCATTTCGTTGGCTTGCTCGTCGTTCGGCCCCTAGACGATGGAATCAGAACAGTTGGCCCCGTGTATCAATCTCGTCGCCTCGATCATACCCAGTAGGCGCCATCTTTGTATGCATGATATCTTCTGCCGTTTTCGTACTGATAGTTGGTGATATAGCTCGCTAAGGTGCGAGCATCCTCCCCAATTAAACTCTCCGAATCGTATGCGCTATCGGCGTATCGCCTCTCCAGTGATCGAGGTGTTACTATATCAAACGGCGCTGGGAAAGAACTGGTGCCGGTCTCTGCGCTGCCCAATGTCTGATGAGCTAGCTGTGCAAACAATGCATGGGCTTGTGATTGCTGGACTTCGGTCGTCCCGTTTCCATTATCGTGCGGTGTGTCTAGTTGTAATTGGAAGGGCGGTATTGGAAGGTGTGGATGCGCTTCGTACGGGGAGGGAGGTATTGATGAATCTTCTTGCTGTATCTGCATGACGTCCCTGGGGAGGCGGTCTGATTCTTGACAATGTATTGATTCCGAATAGGACACATCCGTATGGAAGGGAGCCTCTCCAGCGGCCGATGCCGTTATCATGGTTGATGGCGTCCGTGGAAATTCTCCACTTGGTGTCCTTCAACCCCACCTATTATTCGGGGGAATATGAATTGTGACCCATCATTCGGACAACAGTGACGGTCAAATATGCTCTGCCTGGATATTCGGCGACGATCGAGCAATGATAACGGTGGGACTCAGTATAAGCCAGAGGAATACACAGCGCTGGCCAGAACTGGCCACACCTGGCGATACTCAAGCTTTAATAAGGAAACTGTAATACCAGAAGAGGAAATAGATGCTCCTGCGCCAAATGCAAGTGGTAAAACGGCGCATATTGAAACCGTTCCATGACGCGATGACCCATCTGCTTTCTGCGTCAATGACCAATGAGGCGGGAACTGGAATAAGCACTCTAAATTCTAATAGGCATTAAGTTAGCTATTCCGTATTACTGATGGTCCCAGACTTCAGTAGACGCCACGCCGTTAGTCCATAAAAGCCAGTACAAACCCCCTGCCACGAGCCGACATGATTGAATGACGGAGACTTGAGGAAGATATATTTGGCCCGGCTTCTTCGGTTCATCAGGCAAACGAACACGAAGGCACGGAAAAGTCTCCGGACAGTTTTAGAATATTGCGAGAAGTCCGAATAAACGAGGGCATGAGTCGCTGAACCATCACTCAAGAAGCGAGGCGGTTTTGGGTGTCGTGGTATCAGAGCGAGGTTGATGATGCGAGGCGTATCCGTACGATATTCCATATCTCTCTATCCGTACCGAAAATAACACCGACTTAATACTTAGGAGTTAATGGTGGGAGTAGGAGTGGGTGACATCCGGTTGCCATCCGGTTGTCGTCCGAATACACTCATTCAATCAGTTATTTATGTACCAGACCTGGCGCTTGGGACGTTTCGAAGGATTGCATCCTGGCCCCTGGGAATCCTTCAAGCCTTCACAATTCACATCGTCGACTGCTGTGGGCTGTTCCGTGAATGATTGATGGATCATATGTACGGTACTAGGTAGCATCCGAGTATCCGACAATCAGATGAACTGAGACACCGTCGCGCTGCCGCGCATGTCATTAACGTTGCATTTTGCATACTTCTACTATTATCTTGTTTAACTTGCACTTAATAGCTACCATGTGTGTTTTATGATTTATTTTGCGAGGGCTGTTTAACAACTGCCCTCCTGTCTATGGAAAGAGCTTGGAGTAACCGGGAGTAACTCCAGCATGTCCTCAATCTATTCGTCCAGTCAGGACAAACCTCAACTGAGCGCTGAATTAGATGGGGAAAAGGTCAGACACCTTCCTGTGGGTACTCACTACTACTAGACAAGCATTAATCAGCGAGACACCAATTATCATATGTGATATTATGCGATTCTGGGATCGAGCAAGGTCCCGTCAGGCGTCAGGCGTAAGCACACTCAATTCCGAATTCACAAGAAATACCACGAACCCCCAGTCCACATCGTTTCCCCTGACCGCTTCCATCCGTCTGAGCTCTCAACCCTGACACTCTGACTTGGGAGGCAGCACTATGCAGTATGTAAATTGGAAGAGGAAATAAACCGGCCAAGCTTCGCGTCCAGCTTGAACACATGGATGCTCCTGCTAGCAGTCAATCATCTGGCGCTTGTCACGCCATGAAGAGTCGGAACCACTTGGATTGAATGGCAAGGTTCACAATATCTGTTGGGGGAGGCGTGTCATGCTCACCGACATTACCTATCCTTTGATATCGCCTCATCCTCTCAGGCCAACAACCTGCTAATACGCTATCTGACTGGTTACCTATTTGATTGATCTGAATGGAGTTGTACGGCATACCAGTGAACCGGTGGTCACTAATACAAGACGGTTCTTGCCGTTATGAAATCATCGTGAAGGATCATCAAGCTTGTTTAGGATCCGATCGCCGTTAGGGTTCCGCATCCTTTGCTGAAAATTCGAACACGATCTGAATCCTTCAGCGGCAATCCCCATTGCGGCGGGCCATGCATCATCTGTGCAAAACTAGGAATCCAATCCTGCCGTACCAGCGCGTGCGGTTGATTGGGTACTTATTCATGCTTTACGCTCGCTGTGCGGCACAGTCGCGACGTACGTACTATTCCGTACGCAAGTACTAACTACCAAGTACCAACTACCCAGATCTTAGTATCCCTCTCGTGAGTCTCGGCTCTCGTTGTCTCGTGCCCAACCTCCGGGACTAGAAATAGCTACCTCTCCATGATCTTGGCTGAAGATGGAATCGTGAAAGAATGGACCGAACGTCCTCGTCTTCCGTTCTCCTCTAGGGCAAAGATCACTTAGACCATTTCCGGCGGACTGCACAGAGCGTCAGAGGCCCAGAGCTAGCTGTATTATAGCTTGGATACTGAACACCAAAGTGCTGACCGAAGGATATAGCACCAGACTCGCATCTGTTCATGCGATCGACGGGGGCTGAAACTAGGCCGTGAGCCTTTTCGATGAAGGTTTTCGCGTTAGCCACGGTGAGAAACAGGTGGACCATGCGCATGGCAGCTACTTTAGGACCTAGGTAAGGAGTGGGCACAAGTGACAAGACGAGCTCCTTGCACCAGGCCAAATAGAGCTGCGAGGTTGAAACTTGAGGTGCGCAGGATTATGAGAATGCAAGCGTCTGGACACCATGGTAGGAATGTAGGATCGTCCGAAAGCGCCCCATTGCACCTATGGCGTGAGCTTGGAGACTTGGACACCAGGCCACCATCCTTCAAGACAATCATCAGATTCCAGGATGACGTTCTGAAGACGCCCTCATCAGCGCTGGAAGATGGATGCCCGGAACCAGTTGTCTACAGCATCTTTGATTCAGATTCCAGAAGGAAGTGCTCCGATCACGCATCATATCACCCAGCAACGCAATTTGATATCGTCAATTCCTCCACCGCAGCAGGACAATCTTGCCGCCCCTAGATACACATTCAAACCCCGGTCGTGCTCGATCGTCCCATCGTCAATTACGCAGCAATGGCCACCCCAAGAATTACCTGCATTTGACACCCGCCAGTCCCTGCCAGGCGTGCCAGCATGACCAACCCACACATAGGAAAACACCCAAGACTAGTTTTGCGAAGCAGAGGAAACGCAGCAAACGAATGGATGCACGGCGACTGTGGCCGGTGCTACAGATTTTGGTAAGAAAAGAAAATCATCGGATGCGCTGGTCGCCGACTGCCAAAGTGAGGGTCCAGAATCCAGATGATCAAATTCGACCGCGTGCGAAAGTTGGTAAACAGAAGAGAGGGAAAACCAAAAGAAAATGACGGCTGCGATTAAGCGCTTGCTTGTGCTGATTTTTCCACCGCCGGTGGAACCGACCGGGAATGATGATGATGAGCATGATTCGATCCCGAGCGGCGACTGGCACGGCTTGCAAAGCTGTTGGGGCGCGACGCCCGAGACAAGGAGCCGACATCATGTTTACCTAAAACCGGACTGTTAGCAAAAGCACGCTGGAAGGGAGACGGGGAGGGTGGATGCCGAACTTACCGTCACAACAAGCGCGCACGTTCTCCAGCCGATCAGCGTCCCGTTCCTGCTTCTCAATCACCTGCCGCAGGTCCTCCATGCTATCATGCATCACGCTGGCATCGTAAATCGACTCCTCAGGCAGGGCGGCTCGACTGTGCCTACTGGAGAACGACCCTCGGAGCGATGCCGGGTTGCGCAGCATGGTGCCGATTGTGCTGAAACGACTCGAGGAGGAAGGGGTCTTCGCCACGCGGCTGGCCTGTCCCGGGGGATGTCGCGCTTTGAGCGTGACGCTTCCGAGTTGCGGAGAGGAGGTCATGGTCGTCCGACTGTTGTACGAGGATAACGAGGCGCGCGATCGGCCGGTCGCGCGGGAGCTGCTGCGGCCGTAGGTGGTGGGGTTGAACTCATCGACGTCTTCGGCGGTGAGGTTCGCTTCTTCATCTGTGCGCTCGCTGCCTGTGCGGAGGAGCAGATAGGAAAGCGCGTTGAACCAAGTCTCGTGCCGTTGGCTGGTTGGAGCGGTGAATTTGATGCTGCGGCCAGGTGTGATCACAACTAAGCTCTTGCGATGCAGACCCGGGGGCAGCGGATTGTCGTCGGTCACTACGCGGACCGCCTCGATCGCGACGCTCTTGGCTTTGAGTTGGGTACGTCCTGCGCTCGCGGGATCCTGCTCGCTCCAGTAGAGCGTCCGAGTGTACGGATGAACCCAGAAGAAGCGACGGTGGCGATTCTCGGACATGTTCGCACTGCCGGCCTTACGGGTGTATTTCCACAGATATTCTCCGATCATGGTCTGCGTGATGGCTTGGATCATGCGCGGATCGGTCTGCGCGTCCATCATGTCCTGAGCCACGCCCATAGCAGTTCGTTGGATATTGAACCGTTGGTCCAGCTCGGACGCAAACGAGGATACTGAGGAGCGTCGAGTAGTGACGGGGGAGGAAACCCCGCTTCGGATGCTTTGCGCCGCTGGTCGTGGAGTAGTTCCGCCTCTTGACCCTGGTGGTTGCTGACCGATGCTTGGAGTTCGCGGCCGCAGTTGAGGAACCTTGTATGCTGAAGCAGGCATCATCGGCGGGCCCATAAGACCTGGAGTAGCAGCCGGGGTAGGATTCACTGTAGACGCACGCTGAGCAGCGGCTGCAATCGCCTCCTTATGATCGGACGGAAGGGGAGGTGGTGACGCTTGTCGACTCCGCACGCTTCCTGCACTACCAGGTCGGCGGCTGGATCGAATCGCCGTGCCTTCGCCGGCGTCGCGTCCTTTCCGGGGACTCACGTTCCCAAAGACAGCGATTGTGGGCGACGGCGCTCCCTTATTCGGCGATGTACGACTTGTGTTGATAGCCATGTTCTTCGCCGCCATCATTTGGTCGATATCCGCCGAAGAGACTTGAGTCTGCGTCGATTCATCAGCGACCTTCACGCGCAATGGTTTCGATACCGCCTCGTTGCTTGAGCCGCGCTCTGCCAGCCCGGCGTTAGGGTCGATAGCCTGGAATGGTTTCCGTCCATTCCGCGGGCTACTGCCCGTCTCGTCAGGGTCCGTGTTCTCGTCTATCACCCTCGGGGGTTGGCTTGTCTCATCTTCAATGATCTGAGGTTCTGCATCAACAGGACCACGGCTACGTCCGAATAACGATACGAATCCGCCTGAAGACTTTGACAAGCCGTCGCCAATAGCCCTATCTTCGGCGGGACGCTTATCTTCCGTGTTAACTGCCGAATCAACCGTCGTTATCCGCCTGGCAGTAGAAGGACGCGGTGGCTCAACAGGCTCGACCTCCTGCGAAAAGATCGCCGAGACAGATGAGAGGGGAGGTAGCTCCGGAGTTACAGGTCGGACAATCGGCGGAGTAGGCAGCACGAATGGCTCGGGATGGGTGCCTTGAGAAACAAGGGATGAAACGCTAAAGGGAGGCAGGACAGGTTTCGGGGGAGCAGGAAACTCGATCGGAGATGTACCGAGAGTAGACAGAAAAGAGAAGCTAAACTTCTGGGGAGGAGGAGCTGGGATGACGGGCTCAACAGGTTTTGTGTCGATCGATTGGATGGTCGTCGAGGTGAATGCCGGTACCTCCACAGGTGTGATCTGCGGCTCAATAGGCTCCGTATCGACAGACTGGATTAGTGTCGAGGAGAGTTTCGGTAATTCCACAGGCGGAAACTCGGACTCAACAGTCTTCGTTTCGACCGGTGGGGTGGCCGTTGCGATGAGCTTCGGCGCATCCACTGGCGCGACATCCGGCTCGATCGGCGTCGTGTCAACGGATAGAAGACCCGTGGACGCGAACTTCGGCACATGCACAGGTGCGATCTCCGGCTCAACAGGCGTCGTGTCGACTGATTGGATAGTCGTCGAGGTGAGCTTCGGTACATACACAGCCATGACCTCTGGCTCTATAGGCGCCGTGTCAACCGATCGGATAATTGTGGACGTGAGTTTTGGCACATGCATAGGTATGACCTCTGGCTCGATAGGCTTCGTATCGACCGATTGGATACTCGTCGAGGTGAACTGCGGTACCTTCACCGGCGCGATCTCCACCTCAATAGGGGACGAGTCGACGGCGACCAGCGGGACGAATTCCAGTTTGACAGGTTCGGGCTCCGGCTTTTGCTCCAAGGGTTCCGTCATGATCGCTGTATCCGCCATCTCGATAGATCTTGCCGGCTCTGTAGACGACGCGGAATCAACCATCTTTCGCCTCTGCGTTCCATGCGATCCGGTGGATGGGGTGCGTAGGACCGAACGGCTCGGCGTGTCGTCCAGCTCGAGATCATCGCTATCTTCGTCGCTTAGGTTGCCTAGTTCGGCGAGCAGGTTCTGTCCGGGTTGACTTTGCGCGCTCTGCGTACTTGCAACGCTGGCAGGAGAATCGCGGTATGCGGGAGAATCGCGAATGGTGGCGAAGCTCTCTCGGGATTTCCGGAGACTGGGTCGGTTCATCTTGAGGCGATACCGTTGCTGGCTCTGCACTGGAGTCTTCAAAGCCGTGTCGTCGAATTCGTCGCCAGAGGTGGAGGCCGTGCTGAGGAATGAGGAACGGGTGCCAGCCTTCGTTGTCAGGAGCGGAGTGATTTTTCGATTGCGAGTAAAAGCTGCCAGTCCAGTTCCCGTCGTCTCGGTTTCGGTCAGGTCATCGGAGCTAGCGCCGTCCAAGGTCTCGACGCCGGTCTGGAATGCCTCCGTTTCGGTGCCCTCGCGCTCATTGGCGGTCTCGAAGGCTTCGGAGTGTTCGGTCGCGGTCTCGAAGTGATCCGTGGAGTCCTCACTAGCGGACTGTTTCGCGATGGATTTTCCTGGTCGGGTCGGAGATTCTTGGCCGTCGTGCTCTTCCCAATCAGGGTCATCCATGAGAATCTCTTCGCGAGTGCCCCTTGGAAGTCCAAGTCGATCAGGCCGAGCGGGTTTCTTGAACGCATCCACAGCGGGCTTGCGCTTCTTGCCGGTGCTATTGACGCCATTATCGCCCCTGCGGACCTCAAGCTCGTCTCGTGCATCCTGGAGCATGCGCTTCAGCTCAATCTTTTCGGTCTTCTCCCGGTGGATGTTGTTCTTGAGATTCTGGATCATGCGGTACGCGTGATTGAGGGAGCTCTTGAGCGTTTCGCTCTCCAGGTGGCCATGTCTAGGAGTTGCCTTCGTCGGAGACGGCGGAGGAGAGTGATCGGGCGTGATTCGGCCAGGGGCGAGTTCTTCATTCTCTTCCAGTGCAGGGTTCTCTGACTCAGCTTGGTCTTGTCGAAGACGATACGCCATGGCCTTGGCAAGCTCTTGATTTTGGGACGTGAGCTCGTCAATCTTGCGCTGAAGCAGGCCTCTGTCTGATTCGACAAGATCGACATTTCGTCGTAGACCGGACAGCTCTGATTCATTCTGGCGCTTGGTGGTAGTAAGATCGTCGGACAGCTTTCCATTGACCTGCTTCAGTTCCTCGAGTTCCCTTTCGATCGCCGTGCGCTCCGATCTAGCAATGTTCAGACCTTGGTTCAATTTCTGCTCCTTGTCTGCCGCCTCTTTTTGCGCCGCCATGTGCTCGTGCAATTGGGTTTCGAGGCTCCAGTTCTCATCCTTATACCGCTGCTCGCTTTCGTCCAAATTACGCACACGTTGCAGCAGACTATCTCGTTCAAGTTCGAGCTGGCTCCTTTCGCCCACGGCAGATTTGAGAGCGTCATCTTTCTCAGCATACGCTGCTTGAAGCTCGCGAACTTGATTTAACAAGGAGCTGCTGATCTCTGTCGCAAGCTGGATATCATTTACTCGACTTGGGCCCTGGTTCCGTTGCTTTCGCGAGAGTGGAGCGTGGATCTTAGAGGGAGAATGTTGAGCTTCGGCGGAGTAGAGCGTTGAGGACCCATCCGTGGCAGATTCATTGCTCGGGACGCGCGATCGCGGGATAAATGCCCTCGCCGTTTCTTTTCCAACCTCGTTGTATTCTCGTTCCAACTCAATGAGCTTCTGCTTCAAATCCGGCCCAATTTCGGATTCCGCTTGATATTTGCCGACCTCCTTGAGCTGATCTGCCAGCTCATCTTTTTGGCTCGCAAGCACGGAGCCGAGCTGCGACGCTTCTTGTATCCGCCGTTCGGTTTCGGCAAGGTGCGCTTCGAGAGCCTTCTTGGCTTGCGATGGAGATCCGGTGGAGTACAGGGACATATATTGGTTGTCGAAGCCGGAGTAGCGGTGTCGTCGCGAATCGGGGAGCGGCGAAACGAATGGATCTGATTCTTTCAAATCAGTGCTCAGGAATGAACCCGACACTCGATTCGCGGCTGTCGCCATCTTGATGTTCGACCGCGTATTAGATAGCCATATGGATGCTACACGTGTAAGGGGTTAAGGTAAAGAGCAGCTTAACCAACAAAGTCGGGTCGTGTCGTAAATCTTCAACGCAGATAAATGACTGGTGGTAACAGACGCTATATCAATGAGCGAGCGACATCCACAGAAGCCAGGGAACTAAATATACTTGAAGTTTGGCAACAGACGGTTGTACGGGCGATAGAGGAATGTGTGGTGAGTGTCCTTGGTGCGGGAAGACTAGTGATCCAAATTCACTGATAGCGATGATCTTCTCTACCTATTCACACCCCAAACACACGTGTAAACGAATTCAACACGAAGCGAAAGGACGACAAAATGCGCAGCGGGGGGGAGAAGAGGAGAATTGATTGATATCCGGGGATGAAGAGTCGGTGACGAACAGTTCAAGAGAGGGAAAGTTGTTGACAATCCGCACCGTTAGACGCGCATGGGAGGGTCCACTGGTCTGGCTCGTGATTGGCTCTCGCTAATTGGCATGCGGCAATGTTGTCCTGTTTAACTTTGCACGTATTTTCCCTTTCCTTGTCATTAATCTGCGCCTTTATCATCACAATGCACGCGTGTACCGCGAACCAGGTATGAAATAATATTGTCGAGCAGTTCCATCAATCCCTTCCTGAGAGTTGTGATATCCAGTCATTCTTCATTATGTAACATATCACGGGCTCACCCTGCCCCCTGCCAGGCACTCCGTTTACATTGAGACACGTCCTGTCACTCCTGTGTGGAGATCCTGCTTGCATCTTGTCGTGTTTCACTGCATGGCATTACCATCTCCAAGTCAACAATGCATTTCATAAATTCATCATTCTAGCTCAGCATATTCGAAGTATTATCTTCTGGCCCCTGAATCGGGCAGGAAGAGCAATGGGATCGAACTTTGGGTGGCCAGAGACCTTGCTAGTCTGCACTCCCTGTCCGTTCGTGCCAGCACGTCATTTCTATTATCGTATGCCGTCTACACTTTCGCTATCGCGTGTTGTCGTGGGTTCGTGTATGCATTCTACGAGCCCTTCTCGGTCGTATGTTACCGGTACCATATTTTCGCGGCCTTTCCATACTCCCACATTTCGGGCCTCGAACGCAGTGCCTATGACCGATTAGCTCTGCATCACTACGTATCTTGTAACCATGGCGGCTTACATTGTATCTGAAGCAATTCTTGCGAGTGCCACTCTCGCTGACGGTCTATTCCCATTCTGTAATATCTCTGCAGCCCGCCCACGCAAGCCGCGAGGCACGTATTGACTGCGAGGGTGAGAATGCCCACCCCTAAAATGAGACCGGCTGCTAGCACGTTAATCGCAGCGTATCCTTCATCTCGAGCCTTTTGCTGGTAGCACAGCTTCTTGAGGGAGTCATCGCCTCCGACAGAATCTTCACTCCCGTCAACAAGGCCAGCTCCGTCGGTATTCCACGGCCGGTTCCTGAAAGTGGCCTGAAGGCTCGCGAGGGACATCCTGATCCAGTTCTGGAGTTCTATGGCCGTCTGGTTGTCTGGAAGAGAGAGAGAACAGAGGCCGACGTCCTGTTGAAGATAATCTTGCGCGATCATCGAGGTGGCGCCGGCGAGGGACAGAATGTTTCCGAGGGAACTGAATTCGGTTGCCCTCATGATGAGATATCCAGTCGCCTGCTGGGTTACGTCGAGATCTGTGGTATTGGAGTATAGGTTTGTACAGCTTTCTTTGACAGGATTGCACATGATGTGCTGGACAGTACATCCGATCGCTAGAAGCGGTTGTGCATAGAAGCTCCCCTGGGCTCCACACCACGTGCTCGCGGACGGGGGTCTCGTGGACCCGAAAACTATGTCGTTGCTCGGTGTGTTATAAAAGACAGAATTTGCTACCAAGAATAACTGAAGCTCCGCGCCGTCTACATCAAGTTCTTTAATAGGTCTGTAACCTGTATAGCTCATATCGGCAAAACGTTTCGTCGCCCTATAAATTGTCAGTCTCAGGGGCTCGGTGGTTGTCGCTCAATCAAGCGGACCAACTTGAGACAAACACTCACTGGATGTGATAGGGAGGGACGGGTCCACCAAAGTCCAAGAGATCCGAAGCCACCTTCCATGTATATGAGTGGTTCAACCGCTCCCCATATGAAATCATAGTATGGTTCTGTTCTATAGGATTGAAGTACGGGAGGCTATCATTCAGCGGTGAGCAAACCACCTCCTGCATATATTGAACGCGTTCCTCCACCGGGGCATTGAGACCCAAATGTTCGTGCGAGTCGATCTTGTCCGTCCAGAATCGCATCGTCCCATCCGTCCCGTTCCGACACATCGACGCCTCTGGAAACGGACACGGCACTCCGACCTCTGCATGGAGGTCGATTTTCGGGACCGTGAATTGCTTGCAGTCGGGGGGCCAGTCCGCGCTCTCATCCGGTTCGAGCCAGCATGACCGGGCCAAGATGGCACTGCTCCGAAACACCTGCCGCCAGTGCGAACCCCACCGAATCTCCCTCTCGATATCCGTATGGTTATTCGCGAGCCAACCGCAATTTTCGCTTCGGAGCAGAACCTCACCTTCCAGACCCAGACGGACGATTCGAGACGAGAAGATCGAGGCAGCGGCGAAGGTCGCCATGAACACGGCGGCGGAGAAGGAGATCACTAGGAAAACTCGCTCCCGGGAGTTGAGACCGAGTGATCGCGTCCAGGTCCACCAGATCCCCAGCGAGGACCAGAGGGTCATAAAGGGCGTGCCAGTGTTTCTTAGCACTGCTTGTCCTTGGTGATATGACGCCGGTCTTGGTTTCGAGGTGGATCGGGTCTGATGCACTATGTACATCGCGATCACTGATGACAGTCAATCTGCGGTCCTAAGAAAAAGGTGAGGGATCATTTATACGTACGCCATGCTTGCGTACCGACAATATTGATGAACAGTGCAAGGAAGTTGGTGAAGTACGTCGCGTGTTCTTCCTTCAGGGTCAGAGTAAGGCCGAATACCCTCCCATGAGTCCAGTCAGTCCAGAACCCGACATGTATGCGCTCCGCGCCCAGTCCTCCGTGCGGTGCAGTTGACATATTGAACTCGAAGACACATTGAATAAAGATTATAGATCAGTGAAGTATATAGAACGATATACAAAATCGGAGAAATAGAACAAACAACGGCATCAGTTATAGAGAATTGGACTTCAAGAATCGAGCCGCGCGCATCCCACCTTCCTCTGATATCTATCTTACACGTCCTAAAAGCTGTGTCGTCGGCATCTGTGACTTCATCGGAAGGAAATGTGATCCCAAGGCCTAGACCGACCCAGACTCATCTCGTCCGCTGGAGCAGAGGGCCGAGCCGACAGCATACTTCGTCCTTTGATTCGCCAGTCTATTCAAGAGCACATCCAAATTTACCTGTCAAATCGATCATATGGACGCGTGCACTTGAAGGGAGGGCTGAACCGTTGCAGACGGGTGTAGGACTGAAACACCAAGGGTTGCGCAATGAGCTCCGCCACCCGGACTCGTTCAGCTGCTTCAGTCGGCCAAATTCGATCCTCTGTGAACGTCACACCAACAGTGCATTCGTAAACAGTAGGAAAGATGACGCGAACAGCTAATCAGAACTTCTTCGTGGTTGGATCGTTGTAATAGTTGCATACTGGTGGCTGTGGTGTAGTGCTTGGGATTTCCTCGTGCTAGGAGCTAAACATCCTCAAGAAGAGGAAAGTCCAACCTACCGTCTACCCTTACAAGTGTACAGCGGATGACCGATTATACTTTTGAATATGAGTTCCAAATGCAGCTCAAATCATACTCATACCCTTTTACCCACCGCATTCAAAGCCCGAGTTCGATATGAGCCAACGCTGTATTCACGCCCACGATACTCCACTTGTAAGGATCCAGTGCCTTCCCGTCCGTATTCGCGCACTCCTTTTTGTACCAGTCTTTCAAACCCGCATCTCCATCTTTCGCCGAGAACTGGGCTTTCAGACGTTCCCATCCCCCGGCGCCGCCACAATCCTCCGCAACCGGGTGGCCCTACGCAATGTCAGTGCACCTACAACGACTGAAATGAAATGTTTGATGTTCCGCTCAGACTCACCTGTCCACCCAAACACACCACTTTGATTGTTTCGGGGATATCAATGGCGGCGTTCAACGTGGGTGGAGCGGAGCCCAGGAAGATGAGCTCGTGCATCCAGTTATCACCAGTATCATACGTGTACTGGAGTGAGAGACGATTCCGATACTCCTCGCTCTCATAGATGTCGGCGAGGGTATGCTCTGACATTTTCCAAAGTTCATATCCGTTGATGCCATATCGCGCAAAATCCTCATACTCGGAGTGTTCAACCATATGGATGATCCTCTTTCCGTAGCCAGTCCAACCCGGCCGCTATCGCCATCCAACATTAGCTCCTTGTCTCGTAAAAGGGCGCAATACTTACCTCTCCCTTTTTCAAAATTTTCGTTGCCTCAAAGGTGTATCTGTGGCAATTTCCCCAGCCAAACGCCGCTTGAAGAACGAGATGTAACTTATCGAATGTAATCAGCTTCGGGATGACGAGCAAGCGCGTTACCGATGGTTTGTCCGTTTCCGGCATGTTGACTTGAAATACAAAGGAATCGGACTCGTCGTCAGCTCTGGAGTTATAGCTATTCCTGGCTGGTCTTTGAACATTGCCAGCTCGTGGACCGAGGGGATCGACGCGATGACTGGTGGATGATGCTATCTTAGCAGACTTCGGCATCTTGATCCAGGAGAAAGACTGATGTGAAGATGAAAACTCTGACTGGTTATAATGAAACTATGGTCTATGAATGAAAGTACAACTGTATGGAATATTCCGTATGGCATTCTATTAACAATATTCCGTACGCGAGCAAGAGCTGGGCTGATCTGAGTCGATGCAAACCACCCCTTACTATGTGGTTCCGGAATAAGCTGAGTCCCACAAATAAGTATCGTAAACTCGTATGACGGGGGAAGTGAGATCGCGTCTTGGACGACGCGAAATTGACGCGGTCACGTGTAGAAATCATACCCTCCGGCAAGATATTTTGCCAAACTGAGGAGTAAATCGATGTCTTTTTAATTCGATAAAGATCGGGAATATACAAGGAAGGGTAGAAGTTGCGCGTTTTTAAGCGCTCATCAAATGGATGTGTTGGGCGAAAGAAAATATTCTGTCAAATGTCAAACTTCTGTTCAGCACCAAGTCAACTACATCATAGGTACTGACGTAGTCTTGGAACAATAAGTACATCCACTATTGAATAAAGTGAACGTGTTTGCAACTTTATTGCTTGAGAAAGAAATATGGCACCCCGGGCTGGTACCGACGATGTTTCGGACAAAGAGGTGTGTGTTGCATCTTGTCTTGCTAGAAAAGCGAAAACAGACTGACTAGAATTCATAGCGCCTCAAATCCGCCCTCTGGTACGCAATCGGAAAGATGGTTGACCACGAGGCTCTCATCTCAGGTCATAACGCGACTCCGCAGTTCATCGGTGCATTGACCGAGATGGTGTGGACGCATATCGGTAAGTACCTTAGTGACTTAACTTTATGGCCTATCCAACACCTGATCCGGCCGCACTGTTGCTAACAAGTCCATAGAGAACACCAGCCTCGACCTGGAGAACTTTGCTAAGTCCGTCCATTTAAGGGAATATAGTTGCTTGTGGAATTAACCGTGAACCAGGCACGCTGGTCGATCCATGGTGAATACGGATGACGTACTGCTGCTCGCGCGGAGGAACGAAGGACTGGACGCGCTCCTGCGGTCGTTTGTGGACCATATCAGGGCGGAGCATGGGTCTGGCGGTGGATCAAAGAGGAAATCTTGATTTTGTTGAGTCTTGCTCCCTATGCTATTGATTTAAGATGAGGAATGATGGTGTGGTTCTGGTGCTCAGCGGAGTCGGTTTTGGGAAACGGAGCAAGGAGATGGCGTTTAGATACCACAAGCAGTTTGACACAGGAAATTGGTGTAGGGCGCTTCAGTGTTAGGAGATATCGGCATTATTATGCATTCGTCGTCTACCGTCTATTGTACATGACTAGGTCCATCTGCAGATCATCAAAGCGAACCACAGCTTCTCACGAACAGGCTATGTGGTACCGTATAAACTATAAATCCACCATGCATCCATGGAAAACACCCTTAACGCCTCTCCCTCCATCAAACGAACCAACCCCACCTCCCACCACGCTCCTCCGCCCCCGCAAAATTCCGCTCCTCCTCCTCCCACTTCAACCGCTCCACCCGCCTCCTCGCACTCCACGCCCTCGCAAACCGCCACACCTCCGTATCCGCCAAATTCCACGCCTCCACCGCCTCCCTCACCCGCACAATCTCCGGCTTCTCGCTCTTCATCACCTGCCGCGCCTGGTATAGCAGCGCGCGCTCGTGGTTGAGCGCCGTCTCGTCGAGCGCGGCATCCAAGCCGAGCCGTATCGCATCTCGCGCGTCCTCCGGGATGACGAGGCCCTCCTCGTGCGTGGGATACCGCGGCGGAGAGCCAGGGATTGCGAAGCCGAAGAGCCAGTCGAGGTCGGCGTGCGACTCGCGCTCGGCGGTCAGCCAGGTGGAGTGCGAGGCGCCGTAATCGGAGGCGACGGCTTCTTTGAAGCGGACGAGGGCGGGGGCGCCGGTGGAGGAGCCGAGGAGGTCTTTGGTGATGGCATCGATCCAGGCGTCGCGTTCGAGCATGCCGAGTTCGCGGATGAATCGGGTTGTGATGAGTTCTTGGTTGCGGGCAAGAGTGGTGGTGGTGTAAGGATGAGGGACGACGCCGATGTTGTAGACTGCTGAGACGTTTTTGAGTTGTGGTGTGACGTTAATCGGGAGCGAATGGGCCGGATCGCATAGTTTGCATTTCGGGATGTTCGGAGGGCAGGAATCAGGAATCGGAGAAGAAGAGCAGTGGGTGAGGTTGTGCGCAAGAGATAGGGCTGGGAAGGTCAGAATCGCTATATGCTCTTCAAATGGCTTCAAGACCGCTATCCCATCAGAGAATGTGTTCTGCCAGGCGATTTGTAAATGGGAGTTGATCAGGTCTGCGAGTAGACCTAAGCCCACACTCGAATCTTCCATAACGAGTTTGTCGGCGACTGCTTTGTACTTCTCCTGGATGGTCTGCATGCTGTAGTATGCGATGCTTTTCGGCTTCTTTTCTACGGCAAGAGTCTCGTCGTCCAGGATTTGAATAATGGACTTCGTCTCAGGAAATTCAATCTCGGGCTTTTCAAGGACATTTTTGATGACGTTGTTCACGGCGTTCTTTTCTCCATAGAATATGCCGCCGTCGAGCCCATCGAATCGTGCAAACCTCGGATATTGGCCTCTTCGCAAGAAGGACAGGACATGATCATCATATGGACCCATCGGCAAGGTCAGCCAATTCGTCAGGATCCCGCTATCGATGCTTCCCCATGCAAGGAGCCTAGCCAGGTCGAATTCAAGCTCCGTCGTAACATTTAACTGCTGAAGTCGAAGGTAAAGCGGATTGTCCATGGCTTCAGGCCTTCCAAGAACCTTCGGCTTGAATCCCTGAGCCCACCACGCCCTTCTCCATGCAAGGAGCAGCTTCTCTTCTGCAGCGGATACCTTCTTGTCCTTTCTCTTGCTGGGCTCATAGTACGTATATATCTCCGGTCGGTTCCGCAACGGCGGAAGCAACGCGCGGTTCTCCTCCAGTGTTATGGTCGAAGAGAAGGGATTCTTCCATCGGAAGTCGGAGAACCATGAGGAGTCACCATGGGTGCTGTTGGCCTGAACTGGCTCCTTGTGTCTAGGCGGTCCAAAGATAGACGCGGGGCTCGGAAGGCTGGGGATTTTCGGTCGAGGGAAGTTGGTGATTGGCCGTGGGGCGATCTCGTTCACAGATTCGCCGAAGATGAAAAGGATGAGGAGAACGAATGCGATGAGGCCGGTGAGGATCTGGTACCGTCGATTGCACATGCGAAGGCTCACCCGCCGTCCAGACGGTTTCGGTTGAACCGGCATGGTAGCGGTACGAAGGGCTCTGAGACACACTCAGGGTAAGTGAAGTTAGCTGCGCATGGCCATTGGTACGGTAGTCAGGATGATGCGATATCGTGTAGGTGTTCCTTCAACCCCTAGAACGGAAACAGCGGAAGAAGACCGACAAATGATGTGGTACAAGGTGACGGAGGAAGGGGATAAAGGAAAAAAGTCGTTAACGATAGTTAGATGGGAAAGGACTCTAAATTACAAGGTAGTTGCACCACAGCATCGATATGGAATGATTTCAGCTTATCTTGACGGTCGTCATCATCCAGTTTGGAATTTGTGTTTTGTCTGGTTGACACGAGAGTCGAAATCGGGAAATTCACGTGATGATCAATAGATGAAACCGGGACAGGGGACCCTTGCATGCTCCTTCCTCCTCATCCGCATCTTGGTGGGATAATTCGCGATTTCGCTTAAAAGTTCGGCTTCACTTCTCGTCAACCGCATCCTTTCGCCTCCCACAAGGTAAGAACTATTGCTGTATACGGTAAACCGGCACAGGCCATTGCTCCAGCATATACTTGATACATTCAAGCGATTTCCCCTTCGTCGACACCAAGAAAGTGGCTTCCACGCTACCCTACCGCTTCAAAGCCGGCCCCGCCACCATGGGGACAACCACCATGGAGCAGCATCACCATCGAAGCACCACGAAAGGAGCCCACAAGAGCTTCAAATCGCGACACTCCACGAAAAATGCGCTACGAGAACAAATTAAGGGCCGCATCGAGCGCCCAGCGAAAGGTGTCCGGAAGACCCCCCATCAGCATATGATGTCGAAGCTGGAGCGGAAAAATCAGGCGAAGCAGAAGCGCATGTCAAGTGTACGAGACCACAATGCCGCGAAGAGCATCTTTTCGGGGAAGAATGGAGCACCAAGGATTGTTGCCTTGGTTCCGCTTTGCGCGGATGTGAACAATGCGGCGACCGTTCGCAAACTGAATGGTTCGGTGGATCTGGAAGACGGTGGGGAGATTCCCGAACACGGTTGGACGAGGTCAAGGATCGAGAGATTTGGTCAGAATGTGGCCTATGTGCTGCCGAAGAGGGATTTGGTTTCGGTTTTGGATGCGTGCCGGGTGGCGGATATCGTCCTCTTTGTCCTGTCAACGGAAACGGAGGTGGATGCGCTTGGGGAGGCGATGCTCCGCGCAATCGAGAGCCAAGGAGTGTCCAACGTATACGCGCTCGCTCAGGTATGGTTATTCTACCCAGAAATCAAGGCCTATTTGCTAACGAGTTACAGCCAGCCGATGCGATGGTCAAGCCGAAGGAGCGCAGAAGGGTCGACGCGTCATTGATATCATTCATGTCCCACTTCTTCCCGTCTATCGAAAGGATCACCAACCTCGACATCTCTCAAGAATGCCTGAACCTCGTCCGCTCATTATGCAGTACTGTCCCCAAGGGGATCCGGTGGAGAGAAGACAGGAGCTGGATGATGGTGGAGGAGTTACAGTGGTCGGAAGCAAATCAAACCGAAAACATAAACGATACATCGGAACTGGTTCTCACAGGAGTTGTTCGTGGCCAGCGCTTGGATCCGGATAGACTTGTCCGAGTGGGGGATTGGGGCGAGTTCCGAATTAGCAAGATTGTATCGGCGCCGCTGGTCAAAGCCAAGGCCGCGAAAGGGGATTCCATGGCCATTGATGACGACACTGAGGATGTCTTGGCACTGCCGACGGAAGACCAAGATGATCTCCTGGAGCTGGCTCCCGAAGAAGAGATGCAGCTTGATTACGACGATCGGATGACCACGGCTACATCAGCCACCAGGAAAGGGGTTTTGTTGGACGATCATCATTATTTCTCCGACGACGACGATGAGATGACAAGACGACCAAAAAAGCTACCCAAAGGAACCTCGAAGTATCAATCGGCTTGGTTCGTAGACGACGTGTCAGACTCGGATGCGGAACTGGAAGACTACGACGATGAGGAAGAGGAAGAGGAGGCGGACGAGTTCCATGGTAGCGATGATTTCATGGATGGCGTGACAGGCCCTCCTGAGCCAACCGAATTCGAGGGCACAGAATATCCCGTCTCCGAAGCATTCCACGACATTTCTCCTGAACAACGCGCCGCGGAACTCGCGCAGTATCGGGCCAACCGCAATGTCGAAGCCGAAGAAGACTTCGAGTTCCCCGATGAGATCGAACTGACTCCAGAAATGGTGGGGAGGGAACGGCTAGCCAAATACCGAGGCCTCAAGAGCCTCCGGACCAGCGAATGGGATACGGAAGAAGACAAGATATATGAGCCGGAAGCGTGGCCTCGTTTGCTGGAAATCGCAGATTACAGAGGAGCGAAGAACAAGGTCCTACGAGAGGGGGAGTTCCGAGGTGTGGTGCCAGGAACAAGAGTGAGCGTCTACCTTGAGGGCGTCCCGTCGTCGCTCCGCAACACGATCGTTCCGTCGCCGTTGGCGATGTTCTCCCTGCTCCGTCACGAGCACAAGAGGACCGCCACCAACGTGACCATCACCCTCCCCTCCGATGCAGAAGCGCCCATCAAGTCCAAGGACGAGCTCATCTTCCAATGCGGACCCCGCCGATTCGTCATCAACCCCCTCTTCTCCCAGCAAGGCAACACGCCCAACGACGTCCACAAATTCGAGCGCTATCTCCATCCCGGGCGCGCCGCGGTTGCGACGTTCATCGCGCCCCTCACCTGGGGCTCCGTCCCCTGTCTATTCTTCCGCCGCTCCACCGACCCCTCTCAGTCCTCCAACCTCCACCTCATCGCCACTGGCACCACCGTCCCGCCGAGCACCCAGCGCGTCATCGCCAAACGCGTCGTCCTCACCGGCCATCCGTACAAGATCCATAAGCGGGTGGTGACAGTGCGGTATATGTTCTTCAACGACGAGGACATTGCGTGGTTCAAGGCGCTGCGATTGTGGACGAAGCGGGGGAGGAGCGGGTTCATCAAGGAAAGCTTGGGAACTCATGGGTACTTTAAGGCGACGTTTGATGGGAGGATCAATCCGCTGGACGCGGTTGGCGTGAGTTTATATAAGAGGATGTGGCCCCGGTCAGCGGTTTCGTGGAAGAGGGATGAGGTGGATTCCATAGAGGAGGTGGATTCTGCCGAGCAAATGGTGGAGTGAGGCGTTTGATAGCGAAGGACGGAATTCAAAGCCGATGAAACGACGTGATGCCAATCTTCATGCTTCGGAGGTAATGCTACCATGGTGGGATTTGAGGAATTCAATTTGATTATTGCATCAACAATGCCAAGTATCGTCGGCTTGCCATACCACGAGCTGAAAATAGAAAGTTGAACATCCCATGTCAGTATTGATTTCATAGCGCTGTCCAGGGTCTCCTGAACAGATTCTAAAATTAGCACCCACGACTCCACGAGCTGCACCATATTTAAGGCTAGGAATTCAAGCTCTCCGAACTCCCAAGCAGTCACCACAACAGTGAAAAGCTTCAAAGTCACGTGGTTTCCTTTCGCAAACCCCTATCTAGCCAATCAGAGGGCAAAGAAGAATTGATTCGACCATTTAAGTAACTCGCTACGCTCGTGATCATCCATCTACAACAGCAAAGATCCTTCCAATCATCGCTTCTGTATCTCCCTGCACTGCTTAGCAGACGCTTACAATGCAAGATGGTGGAGGAGGCTAGTCCAGACCGGACCTAAGCCTTGATAGTGGCTGGCAGCCTGGCCCAGCTAACAACGCGCTATGAACAATGAAAGTACTCCGTACGCCAGGGTGCCAATCCTAGTGGTATTGGTGCCGTATTTGAGCCTCCTTTTGAATTTTAATCTGACAATCCTCCCGTAGATCGTTCGGTTATTCCGTCGTTATGATGTAAATGGAACCCATGCGGTGGCTGGTCTTACTTATTCTTCGAGTCCTGCAGTGCTGTTCGTGCCGATTGATTTGACCCGTCACCTGTTGGTCTGTTTACGGTGCTGGGCTACCACTCCATCAATTGAGGTGCCTTATTGTTTTACAAGCTCGAGAGAATAGTCTGACCGTGTAGCCTTTGTCGCGTATAGCAGTTGGACTTCGGGAAACCATTTTGTCACGATGCCGCCGAGATATAGGCACGACAATACGCCATGGATGAAGCGCATCTTGATCCCGTTCTGGGTGGTCAGGAATCTCTTCATGATCATCATGATCGGGATCTATGCGGTCGCCCTTGGAGTCGTGGACCATTATACACAGACCAGGAGCTCCAACATTGCGTGAGTCTAGCTCTAGAAACATCGAACGGCATGAGAATCAACCTAACATTGGAACAGCGTGCTTTCAATCCCTCTGGTCCTATGCGCAATTTGCGTAGTCCTCGATATCACCTCGATCGTGCTCTTCGCGAAGCGAATGCTAAGCCCAAGGGTCTTCCTTGTCTTCAGCGTTATCCAGACTCTGATCTGGCTCGGCGGCTTCATTCTTGACATCGTCGCTATTTCTCATGGCATCCCTGGTGGCGCCATTGCCTTGAGTGTCCTTGTTTTGTAAGACTCCCCTGGGCTCATCCTTTTTGAACCGGCCTTTTCACATACTAACCCTGCCTTTCTAGCCTCGCCTACGCCGGCACCCTCATCTACGCCTCCATCGTCTTCCACCGCTACCGGAAAGCCGGCGGCCGCGGCGCCTACACCTCCGCCGCCAACCCCACCAACGTCCAATACCAAGGTACCGGCCACGCACCCCAACAGGCCGTCTACGAAATGAAACCACAACAACAAATCTACCAACAGCCGCAGTACGGCGCCGGATCGGAGTACTACGCCCAGCACATGCCGCAGCAGATACCGCAGGGGATGCCCCAGCCATACCAGGACTACTCGCAGCAGCAGAGGGGGATGCCGCCGCAGGGGAACCTGACGCCGATGGTGACAAACCTGTTTGGAGACGCCCACTCGGGGTTGAACCCCGCGGGCACGCCGCGGCTGGAGATCTCGAGCCCAACGATGGTGGAGTTGGAGTCGGGGCAGTCGAAGGTGCCACAGGGGGCGGTTCCACCGTATGTGTTGCAGGCGCCGGCGCAAGAATTGGCGGCGACAAAGTGATGTTAGGCTGGGAGGTCGCTAAGTTTGGTGCATGGTGCATGATATGGCGTACTAATTTACTATATATATCCGTGGCTATCGGTTCTAGGCAGGGGAGATCATATACCATTAGATGCCGGGAGATCTGACATATCTAGAGGGACTTGGATTGCTCATCATTCACTGTAGTTCTCGTTAGGGCATTGCGACATAGATAGTTGACTAATATACCCGTTGGTTTATGTTGTCTGCCTCTCTGAAGTCTCCTACTTAGTCCCCCTCCTGACTCCCTCCCCGTTCTCATTCAAGCTCAAGTTTTCCGTCGCCCGGGACATCAGCGTCTCCTGACTCTTCTGCTCCGCCTTCCTTTCTATATCCCTCGCCTCCTCTTCCGCGATCTCGTCAACAGGTTTACTCTGCTTCTCCTTCTCTTGCCTCTCCGCTTCCTCCCGCGCCCGAACCTCCTGGAGCTCCTTCTCCTCGCGCTCCGTCTCGGCCACTGAGATATCTTCAAACCCGACCCGTTGAAGGATCTTCCCCGTTAAGTACCGGTAGGCAGTGTGGCCCGAAACCATCTCGCTGACGTCGACGTTCTCGACGCCTTTCACGCCTTGGATCGCTTGCAAGCCGGCGATGCCGAATTGGATAGAGCTGCTCCTGTAGAGGAAAGCAAGGGTGTAGTCATTGTCCGAGTAGACGTTGATCAGCCTACCAGCGACCACGGCCCTCATTTTTCTCCAATCTGCAGAGTCACTGGGCGTAGGTGCTCCCAGCAAGACAACAGACTCGACCAACCCAAACGCCTTCCTTTCGGCGAGGGCTATCAAGCATTTGAATATCACCCTAGCGCCCAAAGAGTATCCAATGAGCGTCACGGGACGCTCTCCCTGCGCGTGGTTGACCAGCGCATCAGCCAGCACTTCGCCAGCCTTCTCGCTACGCGCCTTGGCGATGCTAAACGGGTTGTCGATAACGCGAGACACCTTCAACAGGTTCAGCGGCCACAACCCAGCGTACAAGGTCGCGAAGACGGTGCGCTTGATGATTTCTCGCCTGGCATATGACCAGGCATAGCTCTTCACCATGATGCTCATGCTGTTCCCGAGCTTCAGCAACGGTTCCAGCTCCCAGCGGAGCGCGAACCCTTCGATGCTCGGACTGAGCACTCGCCATGGTTCGATTATCTCGTCTTGGTCGGTGAGCCAGCCGGAGATGCCGATGGCGACTCGTAGTCGTCGGTTGTCTTTCTCGGTATCCGCGGTCTTGCCGGTATCCGCGGTCTTGTTGGATTGCCATATGGGGAGGAAGCCGAAGTCCTCTACTTCTTTCGCATACTCGTCCATCATCTGACCGGTCATTCGGCCACCATATGCCCCGAAGAGTCCGCCGACGAGGACGGAAGAGCCGGCGAGTGCGCCAAGGTAGCCGGCTGCAGCGGTGGCGCCGAGGCCGAGGCCGCCCATAACGGTGCCAATACCGGCTGCCAGGAGAGGCGCCGCAAGACCGCCTATACAGAGACGATTAGCGGAAAACAGGAGAAGGAGCATCAACAGGGGGAAATACCTGTCACTCCGATGAGCGCCGCACCAGCCACGCTTGCCAATCCGACCTTCCAATGCCGAGTTTCCTTATTCTCTTCCTTCTTTTTCTTCATCTCCCCGTCCGCATTCATCTCCTGCAGTGCCGCAGTGAGCAAGGCCCTGGCCGTCTTCCCTTCATCCTCCGCCAGTAAATCCATGTCGAGTTTTAGGCTCGTCGTTAAACGTAGCAATAGGATCCTTGAATACGAAACGTAATGCTCCAAGCTCAGCAGAAGCAGTAATATCGAGTGCAGAACGAGTGCCCGCTTCTCCTCCGGTAGCTCCGAAAGCGGCGTCGGTGTTTGCGGATAGAGTTTCACCATCGTCTCATTCACGCCCACGTCCATCTCCATCGGAACCCATGGCTTACCGCCTGCCACAGTCTGTGACGACAACCTTGACTGTGTATGCGACTCGCCCTTCGTATCCACTCTCTTCACCTCCTTCTGCTCTTTTACCTCCTCCTGTAAATCGACCGCCTCGCCTACTCGCTGAAAAACTTTATCCCGCCATGCGTCGAAGTCCGCCAATGCTGCTTCCTTCAGCTCCATCGTCTTGGGCTCGTATAACTCCGCGGCGCGTCTCTCGTGCTCCTTCACGGCATCAAGAGCATTGACGCCATCCTCGCTAATGTCGGTGTCAGGGTTATGCAACGCATCATCGTTATCAGGCTGATGAGCGGTGTCTAGAGGCTCCGTGTCTGTAAATGTGTCGGTGATACGGTGTCGCATTGACTCCGCGCATGTTGCGATGAGTAGGGTAAGCTGGCTGCGTTCATTGGAAGTGCTTAGGATGGTGGTGAGTGATTCATCGGAGTCGGAGGACGGCTGGGAAGAGTCGTTGGAGTCCTTATTGGTCCAAGGGAGCTTGGAGAACATCGTGGGTATGGACGGTAGTTCTCCCTGCGGTTGGCTCCACGCCTTGCGAGTCCCTGGGCGCTATTGCGAGCGGGGGGCCAATGGAAATGAATACGAGCTGAGCAGGTTCAGCAGATGTTAGCTTACTAGAAGTTGAACTAAGTTAGGCGTTTGAGTTTCAGTATTGAAGCATCAGAAGTCTAGGTACGGAGCACTGGATGTCTTTGATGTCCACAGGACGCACTACGTCATCGTCTCGTTTTCTGCCTGACAATGAATACGTGCCTGAGGCACCTAACATCACTTACGCGCAGCGCATATCCGGCTGGCATAGAAGTTCACAAGGTGCAGTATCCTTCTCTGGGAAAAGAGTCGGCAATGCTCTCTCTAATAATTGGCTTCTCATGTCTATATATCGCATGGCCTTTATGAATCTCAGTACGTGTCGCCCGAAAGACTGCGATGTGACTTACTGCTCCATACTGAATACACATGAGGCATTGTCGCCCGATGCGAAGTTGGTATCAAGTCAGTCCCCAAAGCGTGTAAGCCAACTGCATGTACAGGCTCCTCACGCTCGCGACTGGCGATGCACCATCCATACTCCAGAACCCGCCCGTACGCCCCCAGGAATTGCTTATGATGCCGTTATCTGGGAGTGACCCCCAGCCAGCATCGAAGGCTGCTCGCCGGAGCAGCGAGGGTATCCTACAACAATCCGTAGCTTAGAAACAGAGCGGTTCACCTAAAGTCAATCACAGCAATCTGTAATATGTTAGTCAGACGGTTTGCAGGGACATGCTTGACAAACTCTTACCTGGTGTCCCAAGGTATAAGCAATCTTTTTTCCGTCCACGTCCCAACACAAACTACTCTGCGCTTCATCCACTTCGGTGCTGCCATTCGACTCCGTGGCCCAGGCCCTGTCTCCTTGAGGCCACTTCCAGATCGCCTTCGGCAGGCCGCCCGCTTCTGGATTCCATACGAGAAGGGCTTCCTGACCCGCTGCGGCAAGAAGAAATCCATCTGGGGAAAACGCCATAGAGTAGGCTGGAAACCCGCCCATGAAGAATCGATGTATGACTTCGAATGGAGCCCTAGCATTCATGACCTCGACAATACCGGTTGAGGATGCCGTGGCAAGCAGTCTTGGTGATGTAGCTGTAACTAACGAAGGATTCGGGATCGGTTGGAACTCGGCGATCGTGATTTGGTCTTCTTGGGTGTTGTGAACAACCAGGTTTTTGCCTTCAGAAACAATCCCTAGGTGCCTGCCGCCTTCAGATACGCATGCCAATAATTCGCAGATCGGATCGAATTTTAGCGATTCCCATGCGATGTCGGTGCTGATTTCCATTTGCACAGCAGGATCCGAGGTCGTGTCATAGAATGCGATGAATCCCTCTCCGCAAACAGCAAACTTGGTATCTGATAGCCATACTGCGTCCATAACCGTCGTTGGCGAGTGAACCATCCAGCGAGGATCGGCATTTTGTGTGTCCCATATTCGGATCGCGCCGGAGACATCGCTTGTTGACACGACGAGCAATTGCTGGCACTTTTCGTTCCAGCGCAGCGCCATGACGGTGCCCACCGATGGTGATATCAGATTGACTTCCTGGGATGCTTGATCGAGATGGAATAGCTTCCCTACGACCATTGTAGCACCGAGTTCTTCATTCCCGGTAATGAACGCATCTCCTGCTTGGGTCCAGCATACGTTCTCGATCTGAAATGGTGCGGGTGAAACTGGTTGCTCAAGGGATATTGAGCAGGTTGACGGAGCCGAGTCTGGAAGTTTTCCATCCATCACGTAATATCGAATAGAGTTCTCGACAGCAGCGGTGAGCAACTTCGGTTCCACCAAGCTCCAACTGGTCTGCATGAATGGAGTGTCCTCACCATTCGCCCCGGTCGAGTCGGCGCTATTCGAATAGAGAAACGTTGTTGTTTGCGTCAAATCAACTGGCTTGTCGCTTTGAAGGGCAACGCTGTCGCCGACTTCCATCGTCGATGGCACCTGTTCAGCCGCGGGAGACTCTCTCTCCGGACCACTATATTCTCGAACACCGTTCGTATCGATTTCCATCGCATCGCCATTGCTGCGACGGTCGGTACCATAACTTCTCTTTCCCTTCCCTGGGACTTGCGACAAGTCGGCAGCGAGGCCATTTGTTTCGGAGTCGCCCCGCTGCGCGGTTCTGGATTTTCTCTGCTCTAGACTTTCGCTTCCGCTTCGACTGCTTGTCCGCACTGCAAATCGCGGTCCGTGGTCTTCGCCAAAGATGTATCGTCTTTCGGTCTTGCCAACAGTTAGTCCTATACCAGAATCGGAAACTAAGGATGGCGATACCTTTTGGACCTTTGCCTTGAGATGATCAAGCCATAACCCATCTTGGACGAGGTTGATCAGGCAGTGCGACTTGATATTCGACGCGAACGGAAGGCTGTCGGGATGTTGGCACCATGCACGCGACAGCTGAATGGCGGCACTATCATATCCTGGGTGGATGGTTAGCTCGACCCTTGATATCCCAAAGGATAAGAACAAACCGGATTCTTGGAGGTACCGCCAAACCAGATAGTTCATAACATTGGAGGATAGGATTTCGGCCGTCATGTTGCATACTAGTTGATGTGGACGAAGTGGGAGATGAGGGGACCAGAAGGTCCTATAGGCGGGGCGCGTTCTTTCGGGAACACGGTGATTAGACAGGTGGTATTACAGAGATATGTGACAAAGACACGATATAACACGAAAGGGCACCATTATCGGATTCTCTAATGGCGATCCTAACAATGTATAATTCTTGACATTCGCGAATCCAAGCGGATGGTCAAGGGACTGGCGTGCCAAGACGCTAACCCCAAGGGACCCGCAATATGGCGCGAATGGCTGCTATCGTCCACCAGTCAAATACCTCCTATCCATGCTGTGTCTTGATATATTGATCCTCTTCAACCTCACCTCCTCTGGGTTCCCTTATGGTCATCCATAATTACCACATTGAAACATGTGGAAAGTGCAGGTGTGGGAACATATGGTAGGGATGGCTCTTCAGAGCCCTCCTGCTGTCTCTGTCTATGGGACAAACGTCTGGTAGGCTGATTTCGTTTGCGACTGCCAAACAAGATTGAGTTTGACCTCAACTGCTCCCGTCTCTTCCGCCGTATTGGTCTTTGAAGCAAGTTGTGAAACTAAATTGCCGTTCAAACACCAGAATACCTTAATATATTCTGCATGGTTCCTCGAGTATTGAACATCCTGAGTCTGCTTCAGTCCTCGTGAATGGTTTCAATGCTGCGAACCCACCCTGTTATGAAGTCAGCTTTCAGTTTATTGCGGTCCGTAATATATGATTAGTCGTCGTTGTCGTTGTCATCTTCCTTCACCTTACTTGCAGCCTGATGGTTCACGCTCCTCTGCTTCCTCTGTTCACCTAAAATTCATGGTGGATTCCTGCATTCATCATCATGGATATCGACAGGAACACGTTCAAAGGGAATCTCCTTCCCATCCTCGAAAGGGTGGCGGACTCTCCCTTTGTCAGCATCGATTGTGAGATGTCTGGCGTGGTGACGAAAGCCAAAGGGGTGGAGCGACAGCCACTTCAACAGACGCTTCAACAACGCTACGCCGAGGTCAAAGAAGCAGCGGAGAAGTATACCATTCTCCAGATCGGTCTTACATGCGTCACGGTGAGGGAATCAGATGAAGTCGACGAATCCGGACGATACATCCAGCGAGATCCGCAATACATATTGCACCCCTACAATTTCAACCTGAATCCCCTTCTCGAGGAGAAACTCGATATTGAAAGGATCTTTTCCTTTCAAAGTGGTGCAGTGGACTTCCTAATGCGCCACGGCTTCCAAATGGATCGGCCCTTTACCCACGGGGTCCCGTATCTTTCACGAGCTGAGGCAAGGGATGCCAAACGAGTTGCAGCGGAACTTCTCAACAAGTCTGGACTTGAGGATCTACAGCTTGGTCCGGAACATGTGGACGCTCTGGGGTTTGTGGCGAAAACTCGAGCGGAGATCATCGAATGGGGTCGTATCAAATTCAATTCAGACCTGCACGTCTTTTCCCGACATTGTGCGTCGAATTTTAAAGGCATAAACCCGGAATTGACTCGCTTCGAGCAGCGGTTGGTTCATCAGCTCGTCCGAGCCGAATTTCCGGACTTGATCAGCATGGGAAAAAGTAGCAAGGTTGTCATCCGAGTCAAGGATGAAGTAAAGGAGAAACAGCGAGTGGCATCAAGACTTGCCGAAGCCGATAGAGCGATCAAGCGACAGACGGGCTTCAGATGGATTGTCGATGCTCTCTCCGGACGATCGCTGGCAAATCTCACCATGGATCTTGTATCATACGATCCACAAACTGGCGCTCGAAATGACTTCAATCAGCTTGTTTTTGGTTATCAATCCAGACTAGACCGAGTCCGGGACAGGACCCGCACGAGTCAGCCGGTGTTGGTTGGCCACAACATGTTCACGGACCTGGTCTATTTCTACAAGACCTTCGTCGGCCCACTCCCCGATACAGTTGAGGAGTTCGCGGCCAAGATCCACGAGCACTTTCCTTTGATTGTTGACACGAAATACATGGCAACTCATAATTGCAGTGACATCAACCCAGCCTCGTCACTTGAGGAGATTGATGATAGCCTCATTGGCCAGAAGAAGCCGTTCGTAGGTATGTATACGGATATTTGTCCTGAAAGTGGGACAGATCCTTCTAAACATGACTGACGGAAGGATAGGATGGGCGAATGGGCACGATATGTCGGATAAAACCCCTCACGAAGCCGGCTACGATAGTTACGTGACGGCGAGAATCATGATTCTCCTCTCGGCGAAGCTTGAAGCGGCAGGAAAATATATCGACGGCAACACCCCCAATCCTCAAACTAGCTCTAGCCCCTTGCAAAGCGCACCGAGTACTCCAACCACAGAGTGCGGAGGGAGTGCGCTGGACCCGACCTCAGCGAACTTCATCCCGGGTTCCCACTGCCATCGTAATGCTCATGCCGGCACCGAAGCCCCATTCATCTCGTTCACTCGTTCTCATCTTCAACTAGACCCTCATGGCGAACGCCCAGATTCCGCGCCGGCCGCTTTCGTTCCAGGAAATGTACGCCTCGGTGATCCTGCGGAAGTGGTCCGCAGCCACGGAGTAGTATCGCGTCCCGCGTCTTCCGGGCACCAAGGGCCAGGCAAATCGCCTAGCTGGTTCGCGCGCGCAACCCCGTTCGATAACTTCGATCGTCTACAACTTCACGATACTTCGGACCCAACTAAACTGCTCCGACCGTCTCCTGTGGAGGCTCACGCCATACGACAGCTACAGGAGCCTAAGCAACTGCAAGGCTGGATGCCGCCGCTCGAATCCGACTTCTGGAGGGTCTACGGGAACAAGTTGCGGGTATTCGGGACGGTAGAGAAGGAGCTCAATCTCGCACCGGAGGGTAGCGCTTGATGGGTGTGATTCTGATGGATGAGTTCTGACTCCCAGCTATGAGCAAACGGGCTCCTAGGGCCGGTGGGCATTCCATTCTCAAATTGATATCATCTGCTTGGCGCAAGACAGGAAGACAGCTCCAAGCGCCTAGCATTAGGCTCTACGTATGCAGGAATAGGTTTAAAATTCAACATTTCACTCTCATCTTGATCTATTGCTTTGACTGTCTCTAAATGTATCCAGGTACACATCGCGTCTTGACAGTACCAAAGCAGTCCCTGGAGTCCAATCACCACGAGCTTGCTAGGGTCAAAAAGTGCTCTCCACGGAACTCGGAAACCATTTTAGTTTGTGCATATGGTGGAAGGATCTCGGATTCGTTTGTTGAAAATGCATTGTGCAGCAATCACGCCCTTTACATCAAGTTCAGGAGGGAATACGAACTTCTTGCGGAACCTACGTGGATACCAAACCAATTTAGGCAATGCTAACCGACAGTATTTAAGTATTATGCACGGAGATATATGACTTCCAAAGTCCTCCCGACTTCAAAATCATCAATTAATCTCTCGCCATGTCTACCACGGCAGAGCAAAATATCCCTAACCAAGCGGGCTCCACCCCAGCATCCGGAAGAGTTCCCGATTCCACTTCCTCCATCGCGCCCCGACCACTCAGGCTCTTGACAACCGATGAGCTCGCCGCTCAGCCGTCCACTCTCCACCAAGTCGTCGAACTAATCACTGTTGCATATCGAGGGAATCGGATCTTTGGAGCTGATTCACGATTCGAGTCCGACACCGAGCTAATAGACGAACTTTCCGAAACAGGCATCGGTGCGGCGCTTTTTGAGTCGCAGCATGCTGGGACAGAGAGGGCTGTTGCTGCGGCATTCGCGAAGCCGTATACTATCCAGGGGGCGCAAGATTGGGAGAGAAGGGATATGGAAAGTGAAACAGGGGGGAGCGAAAATGTACGTATTTAAGTGTCTCTCATGTATCCCAAAGGCCCGCATTCGGACCCCTTCTATTGACTTTGATATAGATAGAGCCACAGTTCCCAGTGTATGAACTTTTCGGCGTTGCGAGCATCAACCAGCCACATTGTCGGAAACAGGGCCTCGCCCAACAATGTCAGGACGCCCTGGCCGCGGCCTTAAAAGAACGGCTGGGCGTGGATTCGGTGAGATTTGTATTGAGAGTGGTCGAAGAACTTAATGGAGCCTACTGGAGGAGAAGAGGATTCAAGCAAGTTGGAGAAGGAAGCATGAGGCCAAAAGGTCAATGGAATTCTGACCAAGATTTCCTGCTGATAATGATGGGGAAGCTGGTATGATGCTACTCCCTAAGCCATGATGCCGGGATAAACGTGCCAGACGAGGTCGGAACATACTGAAGGGATTCAATACAGGGGGTACATGGGTCATGATCTCTTTCTTTTCTCTAGTTTCCACAGGTTGAACATGCGATAGAAGACACGCTCCTGTAAATAGTTAGATGAAGTCAGATTGCATGCGTTTGCGCTTCGGAAGACATACCATGGTGCCTCTAGGCAAATAATTCACTGCAAACCATACCAACCAGCTTCCACCTCCTTGCCAAATCTCATTTGGCGTCCACCAAGACCGTGACACCACCTGTGCGACGACCGCTTTCGCGTACTTCTCGTTCGGAACCCCGTTGATCTGGCTGTGTATGACACGCCGCAAATATTCCGGTTCAATAGGCAGATATATTGAATCACGTCTCAAGACTCGCTCAGACCGGGCGAGGTTGGATTTGACCCCGCCGGTGACGATGGTTAGGACGCGGACGCCGAAGGGCTGTAGTTCAAGGCGGAGGGTGTCGCTGTAGGAGTGAAGGGCAGCTTTCGAGGCATTGTATGCGGCTAGGAGCGCAGACATCAGTATACGACCAAGGAGGCCAGCAAGTCAGCAAGGAAGAATCTGTCTGGACATACATCCGAACACATACGGCATCTTGCCTGCCAGAGAGCCAATCTGTACGATTGTCCCTTTCGTTTCGATGAGGAGGGGGGCAAACGCCTGCACCATGCGCATCACGCCGAAGACGTTCGCATCAAACATCTGCTTCACATCCTCCACATCCAAGTCCAGCGCCGGGACCGTATAATTGCTCCCCGCATTGTTCACAAGTATGTCGAGTCTCCCGTTCGTGATGCTCGAAATTTTCTCTTTGAGTTCGGCGACGCTCTCGGGTTTGGTGACTTCGAGAGGGAGGACGGTGATATTTGGTCGGTCGAGTCCGGTGGCTTTGGATGGGTCGCGGACAGTCGCCAGGACATTCAAGCCTGGGTTCGGTCAGTCGGTGGTCGTAGCATATTCTAGCATCGATCACACCTTTGGAAGCAAATTCGAGGGCCAGAGAATGCCCGATGCCGCCTGCGCTGGCTCTACAAGATCGTTAGAATTCGGTATCCTGAATTGACGGTTCGGTTTCAAACACGTTGAGAGCCATACCCTGTGATTAAGACGTATTGACCTTTGTTCGCCATTGCGAGTTAGTACACCTACTGTCCTTCTTGCAACTGCGTTTAGCCAGACTTGACCCTTGCGCCGTAGATCTTCGCGATGTATGTTTGCGGGCTATGTTTTCCTTAAGAATAAAGTCGGCGATGACCTCATTGTTAGGAGGCTCCCATGCCCCGACTAAATTTGGTGATTACGGCAACAATACTTAGACGCATGCTGGTGATATAAACATTAGTTGATCCGTATCCCCAGTTAATATAGCCTTCAATTTTGCTTAAGTCAGGCCGTGTGCTCGAACAGGGCGGGTCAGCACCTCCGCGAGAAACGTACCGAGGGATAGGATCTGATGGCGGAGGATCGATGCCCACGCCCCCTGAGTCTCCTCGCCTTCGATTGCAATCCCAAACCATACATTCCAGCTAAAATTGACGACGTTTGCTACTTATTCTTCGGGTTTCTTATTCGGATCTCTCACTTATAGTAACCCGTGCTTATACAACTGAGCCTGCTAGATGAGGTAGCTCTAACAATCCGAACACGCAGGCGTAGACCTCAGGACTGTCAAGTCTGGATGTACTTGACAGCCACCTAAGTACCTGCACCTATATGAGCGGAATGAAACGTCGAAGAGCAGGATGAGCTGAATTACGATGCCTAAATTCACCTCACATTCGAAGGTGAAGCAGCCACTATGCAGACCAGAAGCTCCGGTTCGCTTCGAGCTGCAAGGCTGAAGGCGCCACGACGGGTCGAACGAGGCTCAGACGCGTCCACGTCCTTCTCAAGTCTTCGATTCTATTGACACTGTCATTATACAAGTCTGAAGTCTCGTCTACCGCATGTTTTGTCAAATCGAAATTCCTGTGACAAGTCAGAAAACATTCGCATCTTTTCTCTGTGTGATAGCCATGGCGTCTGATCACGTCCGAGTGCCGGAAGATTGCAGCGCGACGCTATGCGACGACTGTCAAAAGATTGATTTCCATCAGCTGTTCTACCCGACATCTCAAACCTATCAGTGTAAATCATCTCCAGTCCGTGTTCCTCCAGAGGATGATACCGAATTTCGACTGCGAAGCATTCCTGCAAAGGATCTCACTGAGGATTTCAGTTCAGCCTACTCCCTTTGCTGCTTGTTCCAAAATACGGTTGCGAATGATATCTCGCGGCTTTGGGAAGACGAAAAGCAGGAATTAGCCAAATCGAAGGATTGGGCATTATACAGCGTGCCTGTGGCATCTCCTGGAACTATCCCGGTTTCAAACTATGTGAGAATAGGGGTAAAGGACATGTCGGATTGGTCCCCTCCGCTCAACAATCTACTTGTCTCAATACCACCCTCAGAATCTTCTATGCTGGATAAAATAAACTGGGGACGTGTGAATAGGTGGTTGGCAGATTGCCATAAAGATCATGTGTCGGCATACTGTCCTAAATCCGCCCAGGTGACTGTATCTGGAATCCGAGTGATCGATGTTTCAACCCTCAGAATCGTACAGCCAACTACCCCCTCCCTCGAATATGTGGCACTCAGTTATCTTTGGGGCGAATTCAGTGGTGAAAGCCTGATCGAGAGTTCTTTACCTTCTACGCTGCCCTTAACAATTCGAGACACGGTCGAAGTTGGGAAGACTTTACGTTACCGATATCTATGGATCGACCGATAATATATGCCAGAAAGTGGCCACGTGGAGCGGCATAGATTAATAAGGAACATGAACCTCGTCTACCAGAATGCAAACTTGACGATAATCGCCGCTGCGGGAAGTGAACCATCCTATGGCTTGCCAGGAGTGAGTGTTAGGTCGAAGACCACGACGAACTTCTTCCGTCTTGGTGAGATGTGCTTGTTTAGGGCCAATCTCCAATTTCCCGAGATTGGGAAATCGAAATGGAATACAAGAGGTTGGACCTATCAGAAGTGCGTACTCTCCCCACGAAAGCTAGTATTTTCGGACGGCGGAGTGTATTTCTGTAGTGAAGGCATTCACTGTTTCGAGTATTTACCAGAGCCGATTCCGAACAACGATCCCCCAATCCCGCATGGCTCGGATTTCCTTGGATTCAGTATCGAGGAGCGGATCCAAGAGTATTGCACCAGGGAATTGATATTTGATGGCGACTACTGGAATGATTTTGAGGGCATTCTGAACGAATATGAGAGCAAACTATCTAACACATCTCTTCTAGGGCATCTTTATGGATTGTCAATATATAAGGTCCCTCCCCCCCTCGCAGATAAATGGAGTTTGGAAACGAATCTTTTCAGTTCATTGCTCTGGAAGGTCAGTGGCAATGCGATTTGTCGTCCACAGCTCCCCAGTTGGACATGGCTTGGGTGGAAGATAGTTGGCAGATACCATACCGCCAGTTCTCCTTTGAATTCAACCTTCTTGCCTTTGCGAGCCTACGCGGAAGCTCCTGATGGCGCAATCATCCCACTCGAGAAGTTCCACTCAATGGATCCTTGGAGTCACAATCCACCCAGTCATCTCCTGATACGTGGTTGGGTTTATGACATCCCGATTTCAGAGGCCGGAACTTTGCAGTGGATGGATGGTTTGCCTCCTCAAAGGATAGGAGCCGAATCAAGGATCTTCTTGCCCCAAGATGGCTCTCGTCTTCACTCTCAAAGCCATATTGCTCAAACCAATTCCGCCCTTGGGCTCGTGGTCTCTACCTACGATTATCATTTCTTCAGCGTCCTACTTCTTGTGAATTATGACGAATCCAATACACATGAACGGGCGGGATTCTTACGAATGGGTGATTTTGGGTGGAGAGGCGTCGAAAGGTGTTGCGCACAGTTGAAGGAGCAAATGGGCTTTCAATGCAACGAACCCGAATACATGCCGCTGATGTTGAGGTATATATTTGGTCCCACGTTAAGGACGGAGACGAAGGGTAGGCTGAAATGATTGCCTACGTCTCTTCGTTTCAAGGGGAGAGTGGAGCATCACAGTAACTGGTATTTGAGACTGTCGAATAAAATCTTATTCCTTCAAATTATCCGGTAAAAGGTATGCTGTTAATCAGGTCATCTCGGTCTAATAACCCACCGAACTTTGTTGGTATCCCAGGAGCCTTATGCGTAGGAATCAGTCATCGTATGCATAGAGTAGAAGAACCCACCTGAACTTTCGAGACAGCTAGGAACACAATCAGTTCCGGTGTTAAAGCTCAACGGCGCCAAAATTGGACCAATTCGGGAGCTAGTGCCGTGAGGTCGTGCCGAGGGTCATGTCATTCCTATTACGAACGCATATGAGAAGGAAGTACATCCGTAGGCACTCCGTACTCGGCTTTAGCACCGAGCACGGATATAAAACACAGGTTACGTGCTTGAGGCTCAGTCGTCTCCTGCGTAGATCGGCACAACCAGACGCATCGTGCTTTGACTGGCGTCAGGAAGCGGAACAATCCGTCCACTAGGATCAAGGTTGAAAATAAATTCACGAGGGCAGCCGGAATTGAGGCTCGCGGAGGATTACTGGCCCCTCTAAAGGCTGGAAGCCTGGAAGGGCTGGAACAAGCTGGATCGTCCCGTGTCCGAGGCTCCACCATGGTGCGATCCTGCAGCGCGGGACGTTGAGACCTGAAGGGACTCACGGACTTTAAAGACAGTTCCAAGTTCCAAGTTCCAATGTCCAGCTTCTAAGTTATGCTTATGAGAATGTGAGCCAATAAATGGAGGAACAAGGTGTGTGGCTGGCAGCATGGTCGATCATCCGGGTTGTGGGGATTAGACCAGCGCAGGATTGGAAGCTGTCACTGGCTGTGTTCCTGGTTTGCCTCAAGAGCTCCAAAGAACGGCAGTCTGGGATCTTGATCCTTCGGCTTATTCCCAGTCACTGGTGACGGAACGAGGGGAGGTACGGGCATTGCGAATCATGATCCGATTACGGTTTCCGATTCAACTTCCTGTCCTGTCGCGTGGCCAAATCTCCATGGTGGGGTCAGCAAATGCCATGCTCAGTTGGGAGTCAGGCGTTTGGCAACAGGAGTCCTTGGAGCCCGGCCAAGCCACTTCAGTTATGTAGAATGTCGCCGTATGTTCCAAGCTCTTGCAGAGAATTTCATCGTAACTCGAAAGAATCCAGTGGAGAGTCCCACCGACGAGCCAGAAGATGGGAAACTCGTAAATTCAGCTCCCAGGCCCTTGTCCCCACCTGACTAAATATTAAAGCCACCCTGCGATGGGATCGGATCTTTTCCGTATGGCATGACCCCAAATGTGTCCGTGAACTGTTAGAGTTACTTTGTGGCTGCTTACACCCGGTCAGCCTCACAACTCACGAGGTTGATATAACGGACCACTTGGCAAGTATCCGCGCTAATGAACCAACAAACGCCCCCGGGATGGCTAATGATAAAGACATGGATCGTCCAGCTCGATTACCCTTGTGGTTATCAATTATGATTTCGGACTTATCACTCGCATGGAGGAATGCTTGGTTTGCTACCGGCATCGAACTTGCTCATAGCGTTGGCTTTCATCGGCTCTCGGATCCCAGTATCATGATGCCTGATGGTATCTTTGTTTCAAGTTCGTGTACTCGAATTCTGGCTGGTTCGCATCGCGGATCAGTGACTTTCAAGTCATGTCATCCGAGAGTCCGTCGTGAGTCGGCATTGCGGTGCGTCATGTCGAAGGAGTTGGGACTTGAGGACAAGCAGATATCTCACCGGCGTATGAAGAGATACTTCAGAGCACTCAGTACAGATTATTCATGGCGATGGTCTCGTGAAAAGTGGAATGTTGCTGCGAGTAAAGTCGTACGGACGTATCCCCGATGATCCGGAACGAATCCTGCACAGCCTCAGCCCTGCTCCACCTCCGTTGCGCCGCCTCATCCAAGCTAACGTCACCTCTTCCTGACCAGGCCATTCCAAATTTGCGATCCAACACCTTCGGGCCAAATTAGGCAATCATGATATCGAATTCTCTCCGAACTACTACTAATTGGTTAGGAGAATTTAGCCACCCCACACCTCCATCGTGAAAAGTGCTACTGCTTCAGCGTCACCGAGATACGACCGTGGTACGGCGCTGACTGTACCAAGCACGGGTTCGAACATGGCTTTGAATTATACTGACCTATCAATCTCAATGGAGTTCATTTTATGGTGTCCTCTGTGGCGGAGGGCTGCGAGTTCCTAATTCCTGAGGAATGGACGAACTACGCCATTTCGACTCCGCGTCAGTCCTTAACGGAGCACACTACGTATATCCGTATTCTTCATGGGCCGGCCCGGCTATCTCCAGGGGACAGTGATGCAAATGTGCCCAATTCTAATGCTTTTATCCGGAGATCGTTCGTGATGAGCCCGTCCACCCTTCAACTTCATTAATGCGCCCTCCGCAGACCAACCAAAGCCACAGGCGGCGCAATGCTGACAATCCAGCAGATTAATCTATCCCTCCAAGGACCCTTCCCACGAGCCAGTCACCAACCGGCCTCTTTTTGAGTTTCTGCTTTCTCCAATGATAATTTCATATTGGATCCAACCCACTTGGCGTTTGTATGACTAGTATAGGGAGGCAACGCTGCGCTCGAGCCCCTCGCGCGGCCAGAGTTCCTACTTAGTTGCAATGGATCGATGTTGAATGCACACGGACTGATCTTCTTGTCTCGTCAATGCTCTGATCTGCGACAGGGACCCCACTTCATCTATAAAAACCACGATCATGCTGTTCATAGATCATGGACGAATATCCACACAGGACCACAGATCCATCCTCGTCTACATATCTTGATAGTATATCAGTTACTCCTCCAGTTCCCCAACAAGGTCGTCTTAGTCACATCTCATCCCATGACATATCTTCCATTTCATCGCATACACCTCCGGTAGCGCGTTCTCCTCCAGTGTCTCATACCTCAAGTCGAGAGTCGCAATCCGCCGCAACCTCCCCAGGGATTCTTCCCCCTTCTTCTGCAGCACCGACGATATCTGTGGACTCTACAGAGAGGAGACGAGTACGGTTTGCATTCCTAGAGGAGGATCCAGTATATCCAGGGGTCTCCAGTCCAAGGATTCCGCGCTCACGTATTGTCCCGTCACAAAGACAGGACCCTATGTCTGAATACTCTTACGGATCACGATCATCGGCAGATTCGGGGTTCAGCAATCCTCCAGCTCGGAATTATTCGCTTCCTGGATTTGGAGGGATGACCGACGCACAGTCCATAAGTGAGGTAAGAGATGTTCAATCTTTATCATCAACTCGGACCTCCCCATTGGTATCACTGGATCCACTGGATCACTATTTTGTCGGATGCTGGTCATATCATGGAAATGCTATCTACTGCTTCAGCCTACTCTGCACTGACAGGCAGAGATCACTACCATCGAATTTATAAGATCTAATCTTCTTGGCAGTCTGAAAAGCGGACAATAATCCATGCCCTACGAACACATAGGGTCAATACGCTTACGGAACTCCGCCGAATCGAGAGGAGTTTCGCTACTATTGGCACCCCTGATGTCTCAGAGCCGATGACCACTGCATGTAGGTGTCTCGGAAAGAAACGACAGACTACAGTTACTAACCACTCAACCACAGGGGCATATTACGTTAATTCACACACACTGTTGACCGAACTTCGAAGCCTTACCCGAAACTACCCCTTTAGGTACATTTCGCCCCGCCCAGTACTAACATGGCCGCTAACGCACCTCAGTTCCGATTGCCTTGACGAAGCCAAACGACGAGTTTACGCAGACCCGTCGAGCAACAGAAGCTGGAACTTCTGCTGGCTTGTGCTTATCAAAATGCAAAACGAGTGAGTGCCCCAACTTCTAAAGCGAACTAGTTCGAACTCTAATTGGCAATTGTAGTCAACTGATCCCCTACTACGCACAAAATCAAGCAGCGCAACCCGCCATGTGGGGAAACTACACGCCTACCGCCGACAGCATTCAACAGCTGGCTGACGCATTTATCGCGGAGTGGAATTATGCACTGGAAGAGACGTTGCGGCATTGGGAGGAATCTCCGCTTGCTGGTAGGGTGGAATGATGTCACGATGGGCAGGAATAAAAAGTGACTGGAGTTTGGGAAGGGCTAGGGATAAGATACTCCAGAGGGTTTGTGTATCTCCGTTGCGGGCATCTGGACTGTCACAACCGTTGTTTTTGCTTTTGGATTTCCGGTTCAAGCCATCGATGACTTTATATGAGCGACTTCTGTACTAGCATTTTATGCGGAGAATAAATGAGCGACATTTAGCATCGGATGAAAAGCGAGGTTTACGGCTGTACGTCGTATTAAGCATCACAATGGCACCTCATGCAGTTTGTTGATGTCATTGCCCAGCCCAGATCAAAAGAACTGCTGAAATGCCATCCAATCCGTAGCTAACTGCGTGATACCCCAGTGTATTTCTAGATTGAACAAACAGCAAGGAGAGTCCCACTGTTCCTAAATAAACTACGCATTGATATACTTGCCCCAATTTAGATGTTTGTACTCCGTATCGAATATCGAATTCCAAATTCCAAATTCCAATGTGAGGGCACCCCTACGACAAGGAATTTCCGGCGTGGGTATCCTAGCCTGAAAGGGGGGACTTCAGTAGACAAGGTACAATATTTAGCCGGGAGCAGCCATGGAATACCTCTGCCCGCCACAGAGCTTACATAATAGGTATGCAGACATCTTGGAACAGGACCTGCGTCCAGAACCACTCAGTTGAAGTAATGCTTAAGCGGACCTGTGATTCTCGCGCCCCCTACTCATCGATCACGTTCCTCTCAAAAAATCTGACGATCTGTCTTGCCACTTCTTTCCCTACCAGCTCTGCAATCCGGTCCTCGCCCATATTCGCAAGCTCAGTGATGCTCCCAACCTCCAACTGTAGCCTCTGTGCCACGGGTTCCGTGACGCCAGGAAGGACTCTCAACATCTCTCCCGGGGTGCTCGCGTACGTTCCAGACTCGGGATCGCCTCCGCCCAGAACATCCAGGCCAGCCTCCACTGCCTTCACTGGATCCGGCTCCTCCAGACCCCTTTTCAACTCCTCGAAGATCTCGGCAGTTTGGAACGGCGAGCTGCTCCAGACAATTTTCAGTCGTGGAAACGCAATCGTTAACATGACGATTTTCGCCTGAAGGTCGGGCTCTCCGATCTTTGAAAACATCCCTGCGCTGGGGCCACCGAGACTGAGGTCCGAGAACATCTCCAATGTAAACGCCTTTTCTCGCTCGAACTCGATGAGCAGCATTGGGTTCTTGTAGTATTTGATCATCGACTCAGCCTGGTTGTAGAGGCGACCGTTGTTAAGACTGGAGATTAGATCTCGTATGCTCTTCCGCTCGATGCAGATGCCGGTAGTCAGCACGTAGTCTCCCACTGTTAGCATGGCAGGAACAATCTCCATGGAGCGACCATGAAGTTGTGAAGGCAGCGAAGATCGGAACTCGCGCACATCAACCACAACCCGTGGGGGTTCAGCCGTCGCAGCAACCCGTCCGCCACCCGCGATCCTCGTGTTAATGGTTCGCAGGAACGCTTCCTGCGGATCTTCAGGGGCAGTTGAATTCAGCGTCAAGGCCATCGCCCCACGTTCGCGAATCAGCTTGGTGAAAGCATCTTTCTCTCGACGAACGATGCTTAGATATCGCTGCTCTTCCACCGAATCTTGGTAGTACATGAAGTAAACCTTGATGTTACGGTCACGGTGGGAGGACCGATACACTTCCACTCGGCGAATGAATGCGGCGTCCGGTTCAAACATCACTACATATCGTGGTTTGACCTCTTCGAGGATGTGCTCATCCATGTCGCCATCGTAGGGATGCACAAGGACCAGGTCGTTCATGTCATACAGTTCGTAGTACTTGTCCATGTCATCGAGCGGATCAGCGCCGATCTCTCCTTTCTGCTGCGACTCCGCTTCGCTTGGATGTAGTTCGGCGAGGAGACTTGCAATATGAGCATCGCGATCCCCCGCGGTGACTGAGGTTTCAAAGCTCTGTCTCCCCGAGTTTGACCCTGCATAAGCTCCGCCACGTACTCTCCTTCGTTTATTGGGAGGCGCTTTACCCGGCAATGGTTTCGATGCCGCACCTTGAGCATCTTTCGAGAACAGGGTTGTGCTTGCTCTTGCGAAATCTTTCTTCCAGTTTAAATAATTGCGCAATTTTCGCCTCATCATGAACGCAGCTGAGGCCTCCGGATTAGCATCTTCGTTCTCCCCATTGGTTTCGTCTGCTCGCAAATACATCGTCTGTAGATACTCTCTTAGCTGAGAGCACGTACTGGTTTCACCACACATGATTAGGGTTGTTCGATTAGAATCGTCATCGGGGACCGGGTTGAAAAACATGTCCGTCTCAATCTCTTCCAAGATCTCGGCAAGTTGCCCCCATTTTGGTTGCTCCTCGAGAACCGGGTGAAGGGCGCTGTCGGAGCCCGTTGGAGCAAGGTTGGCGGTGAGTTTCCCTGTATATACTCGTCGCTTGGCAGTCTCGAAGATTGTATTCGACGCATCGAGAAATAGCCAAGGGGGTTGTGAATGGCGGGAAGAACCGGGTTCAGGAGCAGTGGCCGCTCGTACTGTGTCGAGATATTTGTTGAAGTTCACGCAATCTTCTGTTATGAGAGCACTCCAGACGTGTCAGCTCTAGTCGGAGATGGTACTTATCATATGCTTACTGAAGGAGGCTACGCAAGAGTGTTAAATCTCGAACCACTTGCTTAGTCCTGAACGAGGTCCTGTGCCACACAGGGTCAAGCTGTCTTCGTATAATGGAATCGAAATTTTTGTGGAGTGCGCTATCCACCGTCCAATCTTCCACATCCAAGCCTGGATTCGACCTCTTGAGGTCTGCGATACTGACTTCAATACATTCGAGAATCGCGTTCTGGATGACTCGCATGTCATCCGTCATTGAGACTTCAAACTCTATGACCTCTGCTTTCTTGCGGCCCTCTAGAGACTTTGCAACAGACACCTGGAATCTTGGGTAGAGGGATGATTTCCTAAGGAATAGGTTGCGCATCATGTTGGAAAGCGGAGAAAATCCCATAGTGAATGGCTCAGGTCGGTCCGAAAACGCTTTGAGGAACCCATCCTTATTCTTCTGGCGGTAGATACGGAGGATGAACGCCTCTAACGATGTTGCCACGACCTGGTCCGCATGTAGCACGACCATCCCAGTGACGATGGCGGGGTCCAAGAGGCCGGATAGAAAGTCTACAATCAATATCCGTGATGTGATACTGAACATCCCACCTTGCGAGTACATCTTCTCCCGCGCCCCGACGCTCATCACGTCGGTATTTACGAGGCTCAGCCCTCTGCATTTCGGCGCTGCGCTGATGGCGGCGTGCTCTGCGAGAGCTTCGCCAATCCACCCATTTTCGCGGTCATCGGCACCCACGAGTAGTATAAGGTTGTTGCCGGCAACATCGTAGGAGTGCAGAAGGTTCGTCACTATCCTGAGCAATCCCAAGCCGGGTGCGAGGATAAGTAGCTCATCCTCATCGCGGAGCTCGTGGAAGATGTCCTGTTGGTATTCCTTGGAAATTGTTAGTTACCGCTTGATGACACAGAAGATAGGTCATACCAAAGGCAATGACAGCTTTACAGTTCCCTCATCCCCAGGCATTTGCGCGAAGGCATAGGAGGCGTTGCATGTGATTTCATAGAGGCATAGAGTAGAAGTCGCGTCGCATGGAGAACTATAAGAGCTGGTGGGCCTGGCTCATCAGCTCAGTTGTTGCCTCTGTGCCTGAGGCTGATCTCAGATTTGTGAATTGACATCTTGACCAACTAGAGATTCCGTTCACCAGTCACTTTCGACCTAGCAACTTGGGAATAGGTAAACATGATCACACATGGCAGCCTAACGAATGAACCCCGTGATTTTATATCAATCTTCAAAACCTGTTCGATTGAATATGGTTGAAGTTGATCGTTCGCAGCCCTGCCACATCGATTGACCACAAGGAACCAAGTCATGGATAACCAAGCATTCGAAGGGTTCCAGATGGACTACACCTTCTCCGAACCTGATACTTCAAGATTAACCCTAGCGGAGGAACACTATTATCTGAATCCAGAGGTTCAAAGTGATGCATATACAGCGCTTGGACCGAATTTCGACTTTCATTCGCAGCACCTTGCTCCCAACTTTTCAGATTTTCCTATTGTCCACGAAGGTGTCGTGCCCGCTGAAGAATATGAAAATGAGTACCCAGAAGATTTCCAGAATCAGGGAGATGAACGGACTGCATACGAAAGCTCCGATTCAGAAACATCGTCGGGAGTCGAAGATGAGATCCTGCCTGATTTCGATGCGAACGACCCGGTTGGGGATCCAAACTACCCAAGTTCATCTGCCTCCGCCTCACCATCACCGGATGAGTCGGAAGAGTCTGAACGGGAAATTCAAGAGGCCATAGGAGGGCTCGCTCGAGGGAATAAGCGTGGCAGACCTGCGGGCCGTGGACGCTCCCGCGGTCGACCTCCAGGGGCAGGAAGGGGTCGAGGTCGAGGCCGAGGAGGCTGGCGAGCAGTTCTCAAGAAAAAAGCCGAAGAAGAAGGCTGGTCGGATGACGAACTGTTCCGGAAGCCTAAACGCCAGAAGAAGACGGAGAAGCCCCGTGGAAGACAGAAAGGCGTCAGGGCAGGACCTCGGAAGACTGCAGAACCCAGCATGGAATTTAGGCGACTGCAATCCATTGCAACGAAAGCCTATATCGACCAGAAATTCGAAATCGCCTTGAAATATGCCCGAGATGCGGTCAAGGAAAACCCGGAGATATACGCTGCGCACTCCTTGCTTAGCGAGATCCTTCGGCTCATGGGAAACAAGGCGGAGTCTGTTACGGTGCTGATAGCAGGAGCCCACACTGCTCGAGACCCCCAAATCTGGTTGGATGCCGCTGGAAGAGTACTTGAGCTAGCAGAGGACGACAAGCCACGACAGAAGCAAGCGCTGTACTGTCTCAGCCAAGCGATCGGACTTGACCCCAACGCCATCGAACCGCGATGGGAAAAGGTGAAGCTGCTAGAAGAAATCGGCAAGAAGGGAAGCAAGACCATACAGAACGAATGTGTCATCATCCTCAAAACGCAACCACGTCACTGGGATGCGCTGGACACACTGGCTGAAATTGCACTTCAAAACAATGAGATTCCCGAGGTGAAGAAGGCTATCAAGTTCTACGATGCAGCGTTTGAGAAGGCCATGAGTGAGGAAGAGGGGGAAGAGGAGGAGTTCAGCTTTGGACAGTTGAATAGCTACCTCGATCTAATTGAGCGTACTGGCGATTACATGGTTGCCATCTCGAAGCTCAAGAGTCTCTCGCGGTGGCTTGTTGACCGCGAAAATGAGACCTACTGGGACTGGGAGAAGACGGATGCAGAATGGGACATTGATGATAAGCGACGGAATCGAGTCAGAGAATTTGTTCCGGGCCAATATCCAAAGGACTCTTATGGAGAGTTACTTCCCATTGAACTTCGAGCTAAGCTTGGTATCTTCCGGCTTAAACTTGGACCGGAGTATCTGGACGAAGCGATGCAACACTTCAGGCTGATCTTAGACTTCGGAGTCGATAAATATGGTTTGGATCCCGATCTTCAAGCTGTCTATGTGACGGTCGGGGACCTACTGAAGCAAGAGGGAGATACGTTGAAAGAAGCCGAAAACATGTCAAAGGCGAAGGAGATGTTCGAAACTGCCGTCGACTTCTATGAGCGGGTGAACAATCTTGACGAAGACCCAGATGCAAATCTGTTGACAAGCCTTGCCCACTGTTATAAGGCCACCGATCGTCTAGATGAAGCAGAGCAATGCTATCGGAGGAATCTCGACGTCATTGGCTACAGCATGCAGGCCCGGATCCAACTCTATGTGTTCTACACGGAAATCGAAGAGCGCGAAAAAGCTTCCCAAGTCATGGACGAGATCGATAAGATGAGGGTTGCTCGTGATGGGGTACGCAAGAAGTATAGCGGCCCGTATCGACCAGCTTTACGGCCTCGTTTCATCCATAAGGGTATGCCCACTCGACAGAGACAACGCCGCACATTACGGCATGCCTCTAGAGAAGGCGCCAGCCCACCGCGTATTGTGATGGACCACCTCTGGAATAATCTCCGCGCCCTCCAAGCGCGCGTCGATGATAACGATCCGGACGCGATTGTCAGTTGGCTTGAAATCGCCGAAGCCTTGATTCAAGGCTTCCGATCTTGTGCGGACATGTGGCCGAGTCGAGACCGCATCAATCGCTTCGGGGGGTATTCACGTCAGTCACTAGAACTTCAAGGAAAGACGCCGTCGCAGGATGTGTTGAAAAGTCAAAGCGCCGCCATCAATGCAAAGAAGCAAAGACGAAGACCGATCACGTATTGGGGCACCGAGGGCCTTTGGAACTTCGCTGATCTGCACGCGGACTTCCATGGTGTTTCGTTCACCGACTGGGCGCATTTATTCTGTCAATACGCTCTTCTCCTAGCGAAGAGCGGGGAAATTGACGAAGCAAAGAATGCCTTTGAAGAAGTGGAGGATGCAATCGTCTTCCATTTTGACGAGGATATCCAGCGTATCCGCAACGTCGCGTTGCTTTCATACAATCTATACATCAACGACGAAGAGGGCATCTTGAACACGGCTCGATGGTTTATCAAGACCAATCCCTATGGCCGGGAATTATACAAGATGATGGCCTGCGTTGCACGTCAGTACGTCGGGCGACGGACATGGTTCAGTTCCGGACCTACCCAGAAATTCGTCATGCGCATGGTCAAGATGCAAGACTTTGCCCTTCTTACCCCGGAGAACCGCGAAAAATACGACTTCTCCAATGCCGAGCGAGTTCGATGGCAGAGCATGATCGACGGGAATATGAACTCCGAGAAGCAGATAGGCGCCGACGCACTCCCGAAGCTGAAAGAGATCGACCCTTCCTTGTTGACGCTATACGCGCACACCCTCTCCGAGAATCGACACATTAGCGGGCTCCATTACTACTTCCGCGCGTACTGCCTCCGTCCCAACGACCCAGTCATTAACCTCAGCATCGCCAGCAACTTTTTCCAGTCCTCGATCAAGCGGCGTTCGGACAACCGCCACTACCAGATCCTGCAAGGCATGGCGTTCATGCAACGATACTACCAAATCAGGACCGCAGTCGGCGCACCCGCGATCCATCGACAGGAAGCGGAGTTCAACATCGGGAGGGCGTTCCATCAGTTCGGAATGTGGAGCATGGCGATCCAGGCGTACCAGAAGAGTCTGGAGTTGGAGGAAGAGGTGCAGCGGGAGATGGCGGAGACGGATAGTACGGAGGAGTTCACGAAGGAAGCGGCGTTCTCGTTGGTACATATATTTGGGCTAACTGGGAACCTGGAATTGGCGAGGGAGATTACTGAGAAGTACCTTGTGATCTAAACCCGCATAGATACCCGATCCCCCTGAGCAGTGTCGATATGCCATCCGCTTAGGAGCAGTATTCTACTGGTAGCTTGACTTATGAAGCATCATTAATATAACCCTTTCGTCCAATTCTGACCATTAAATGTGATTATGTGATATTTGAACCTAAGGTGATAGTTATGACATGATTAATATTAATATTGCTAGTCATCGGGTCATGTTCCCCTGAGAGAGACACATGTGGCGGGCTGGTGGGGTTGGCGCCAAGCCGATGATGCTACGTGCCACTGTGCCACATTTCTGGCTCTGTTGCTCAACATGGCCGAAGCTGGCAATCTCTCCACCACAGCATCGTCGTGAACCCTCACACCCCACGTTGACCTATCTCAACTTCCTATCCAATATCTCTGGCGCTGCAATTTGTGCGCGACAGGCTGGCTCCTCACCCTCCGGAGACACCCTCTACAATATTCCGCACTCCCCATTGTGCATATCCGTGAGGGTTTCTTCACCACCAGTCGCGTAGTATGGAGGCCGCATCAGCCCGGATGGCCGACCGACTCGGCAGCTGGGCGCAGCCCGGAACCACGCAGTTACAGCGATCTATATGTACGTATAAAGCTGGAGGATAGGCGGTGGAATGCGATTTGGGGTCGAAACTGATCCGAACCTATTGTAGTGGATGCATGCGATCCCCAGAACTTCGAGCCGCACCTAGCTCTGAATCTTGAGATATCGGATATGATCAATGCGAAAAAGGGCAATGCGTAAGGACCCCTCTTGTGTCGGACGCTATTGGCCAACCTGCGGATTTTATATTAGAGGCGTCGGATTTCTTGTTGCGATGTCTTGCTGATCGTTTAAAGGCCTCGAGAGGCAGCAGTCGCGATTGTTCGGTATATCAATCACCGAAACCCCAACGTCTCGATGCTAGCACTGAACGTATGGAGTCCCTCTTCTCTCCCACGGATGAGCTCGGACGGCTGACGGTTTCCTCTCTAGCTCCTCGACATCTGCGTGAAGAATTGCGGATATCCTTTCCATTTGCAGATCTCCACGAAAGACTTCCTTAATGAACTAGTCCGAAAATTCCCGGAGAAACCGCCCGTCCATCCCTCACGGTCCCAGCAAAAGATCTTGGAGCTCCTCGAAGAATGGCGATCGACGATTTGCCAAACGTCGCGATACAAGGAGGATCTCGGCTTCATCCGGGACATGCACCGCCTATTGAGCTACAAGGGGTATATATTCCCAGAGGTCCGGCGAGAAGATGCCGCGGTGCTGAATCCGAGCGACAACTTGCGGTCCGCCGAAGAAATGGAGGCCGAGGAACGGGCAGCGCAGTCGGCAAAGCTACAGGAACTGATTCGGAGAGGGACGCCTCAGGATTTGCAGGAGGCCAATCGGTTGATGAAAATCATGGCTGGATATGACACTCGGAATAAGACAGATTATAGGGCAAAGGCGGCGGAGGAGGTGGTGAAAGTGCAGCAAAAGGCCAAGCTACTCGAGGATATGCTCCAGGGCCATCAGAATGGGGATAAAATTACTGAGGGGGATGTGTTCGAAGTGAGTTAATTGCCCTACCCACCGCTAAGATTGCGCTGACCGGGTTATAGGAACTCGCAAATGCACTCATGAGTGCCCATCCGAAGATCCAGAAGATGTGTGAGGAAGAGTCGGATGACCACGAGGCGGTCGCAAAGCTACTAGAGATCAACGACAGCATCCACCGGACAATAGAGCGATATCGTCTGGTTAAGAAAGGCGACTTGGACGCTGCCAACAAGATACCCAGGGGAACATTGGGAACGAGCGGAGCGGGGGTGAAGAAAGGTCCAGACAATGAGCTCTCGTTGATTGATCTTGGCGGACCGGAAGAGAGCAATCCGCTGGAAGCTGAGGGTTCGAGTTCGGTTCCCGCACCTCCTCCAAAAGCAGGGAATGCGTTAGAAGATGATCTCCTTGGATTATCAATAGGAGAGAGTGAACCCTTTGGCCAATCCGGGGGCATTTCTCTCGGCGTATCAAACGGTTCTGGTAAGTATACCAGACATCAAAACCGCCATTACAAAAGCTAATGAACCACAGGCATGCCAGGACCCTCTACATCCGATACTACATCACAAACAGCAGCGCCCGTCACGAGTCCTCCTCCATCGTCTCAATATCAGCCGCCAAGACCTAACTACGATCCCTTCGGCCTTTCAGCCCCCTCAGCCCCTATCCAACCACCATCCATTACACCTGCCATATCCCAAGCGCACCAACAACCCCTAACCAAACCTGCCGACCCCTTCGCCATCCTCAACCAACCCTCCCACACCCCCCGCCAAAACTCCCCCTTCCAATTCCAACAATCCCTCAAATCCTCCTCGCCCGCCCCCGTCTCCACCGCCTCCAGCACGCTCCTCGACATCGCCGGAAGCGCCTCCGCACCCGTCCCTGCACCGAGCACGGCGACCGCCGACGACGAATGGGAGTTCTCCTCCGCCCTCCCCGACCAAGCGGCCGACATCACCGTGACCAACAGCTTCCTCAACATCACCTGGAACGTGCGCCGCGATCCGTCCGCGCCCGACGTGGTGCTCATCCAGAGCCGCATATCGAACAATGAGGATAAAGCGATAACGGGGTTGACGTTCCAGATAGCTGTGACGAAGGTAAGATACCCACCTCAACCAACCCCGATTCTCTTCTCCCTGTTTATATTATGTCCGCTTTTGATTGGACAACTAAAACTAATACACAAGCAGAGCTACACCCTCCAACTCGAGAACCAAACCTCCCGCTCGCTCGCACCGCACCAGCAGAATGGCATCACGCAGACGATCCGGCTGCACGGAGCAAAGCCGGGGCAAGCGGGCACGGTGCGCATGCGGTGGAAGGTATCATGCAACATTCTGGGCCAGACCAGGGAACAGACGGGCGAAGTGTCGAATCTTGGGATTTCATGAGGATAGCCACGGCACTCCACTCTTAGCGGGCAATTATAGGATCACCCTGGGACTTGGGGCGGGCGGGACGAGCGTTACGGGATGCTCCGGGGGTGGATTTGGCTTGCGGACGGTCGATGCAGGTATTCAGCCTTTGTAGAACTTGGCGGTGTGTGTAAGATCGTCGAGGGCGGATGCAGATCACCTTGATGTGCGTTAGGGACAACCTCCCAAAACGGGTCATTTTCCATGAACTATTCCAAGCGGAAGAAATTTGACATGTTTCCTGTCTAGCCAGCGTATTCATCCCAGTCGGTTCACGTGCGGTTGATATTGAACTACAGTGTATTTCGACGGCCAGTGCTGATCGCCATGGACCTCGACTTCGGAACCAGTGCCGTGTAGATCTTCATTCGAGTCATCAATACATGGCTAAACTTACTGCCTGGTAGTATTTACGAAGCTCAAGCAATCCAAGAACAATGTCATATATCTTGTTGACGGTAAGATTACCGCTGATCCAAAGGCTTAAAATACAACCGAGATCGGACCCTGAACACAGTCGCATATCGCAACGCCAGGAGCGCCTGCTAACCATCAAAGTTGCCCAAAGCCAAACCCATAAATAATCATGGCCACAACTTGACCAGAGACCGCCGTGTCCCATCGCTCGTGGTCCCTTTCTTCCTATCCCAGTGCCGACCGCCCACCTAGAGATTACACCCCCTTAATCGCCACCGTTCTCTCACTCATCAACTTATCCCCATTCCGCTCATGACTCTCCTTCTTGCAATCCTCCAACCCGGGACAACTATGACTCTCCAACTGCCGATGCTTACTACAGAAGCTCCCCTTACAGAACCCGCAGTCCCCGACGATCCGCTGCGCAACGGTGCGGCAGGCGCCGTCTTTCCCGGCCTTGTAGGCGCAGACGGGCCCCTTCTTCGCAGCCATGCCACCGAGAAGCGGGAGAGCGAGGTGCAGGGTGGCGTCAGTGCGGATGTGGTAGTCGTGGAGGGTGGCGGTGGGATTAGCGAGGTGTCGGCCGGCGAAGACGAGGCGAGGGGCCGTGGTGAGGTGGGTGGTGTTGGTGCGGAGGGAGAGGAGGGTGGTAAGGTGGGAGATGGTGGTGGTGGAGGGGAGGGTGATGGGGAAGGCTGGGAGGGAGTTAGTTAGGGATTTGGTGAGGTAAGGGAAGGGCCGGAGGGAGTAGAGCGGTACAATGACCCGGTGGTGAGGCCGTTGATGCCGAGAGCAGCTCTACGTTCTGGATTCCAGGTAGGGGATGGGGTAGGAGGTGGGCAACTCACTGTTTCCGGCTAGGTTCTTCACGAAGATCTGTATCGAGTCGTCCGGGAGTGATGATGTTGAGGATTGCGAGGAGATGGAGGAGATGCTGTTGGAGCGGCTGATGGGACGCATTTTGAATGACGGAGGTGGGAAGATGATGTGATGACTGGATCGCGAGATGTGTCCGTGCCGGTGTTGGCGTCCGGTAGTGGTAGCGGCGATGACGAAAGTGTTGGAGCCGTAGCCTGCTTGGGGCGATGCCGGGGAGTGTTACAGGGACGGATGGTATCACGGTAGCCGGTAGTGGATGTATCGGCACGGGGGTGTGGTCGTGATAGCGTTCAAAGGGACCAGGGTCTGGGATGATATGGTCAAGAGATGGTGTTGTAGATATTATGAACTTGGGAAAATGGAAGAAAGGAAAAGAGGAAGACGGTTCCAGGTGATCGTGGGCAGCTGGGGTTTAAAACGAAACCGGAGATGGCGAGCCAAAGGGATGATGTGGCAATGGGGGGAAAGAGGCGGAAAAGCGGTCGTGTGGACTTCGGTGGTTGCGCAGACTGCAGTGCAGATTAGGTTGCGAGACTAACGGTGAGATGGGCCGGATAGGATGGATGATCCTGGAATTCGATGGATTCTGACTTGAGATTGCGATGCCGTTGCCCGTTGGCGCTGCTTTGACGATGGCTTCTCCAGGGGCGGCTGGCTAAGAGGTTCGGCGGTTGATCTAATGGATGATGGAACAGGGTGTCAGGATAGGCTTTGTGTCTTGACTCTCGTGCCTCACGATTGTCTGAGACCACTAGATGCGGAGTTAGAAGTGGAGCGGCGTTAATAATGAAGCAGAGTCCAGAATTCGGTATTATTGCTGCAGCGGTAATACGGTACGGCCCTCAATAATGACTAGACCATAACCACTCAAAATTGCAACACATCCGTCGTGAATGGATGATATGGATGGTAAAAAGGAACCCTTCCTCATAAACCAATTGAATGGGCCCCGTAATCTTCTTCACTCTCATGTTTGGTTGAGGTACTTTTGGCCGGCCAATTCAGTTCACATTCACTAACTTTCGTCGTTTTTCTGTCAAGTTCCATGATCAATCAAGCTCCATGGTTTCACCACCCCAGCTTGGACGATTAAGCCTGGAGTGAATAGAGTGTGAATGTGGCATGTATGTGGCACAAACCGTTGGCTGTCCACTCTGCTACTTCTCATACTCCTGGACGAGTGGATACACGATGACCTTGGCTTCATCGGTATGATTGTGTGCCTCGCCTTGGGCTGCACGAATCACGATGTGGTCGTGGCATGAATGACTGGTATTTCGGTTCTGCCTCAGCCAGAACCTGCCCAAGTCATATTACCGTCACAGCGTTACTAGACGCTTTATCTTTGACGACGCATCACATTGAGTATGGCTTTGTACAAATTCAATGAATCTAGCTTTGCATACCCTATCTATTGAAATCGATCCGTTGATTCCGTATTACCTCTTAATACATCTCACCTTCCATGGATCCCACCTCTAACACCATCCACCCCAGGATTCCGCCATGCCCGGCCACCTGCATCCAGCCGATGGCCCAGATTTCCTAAAAGCCTCCCCGTCCGATCTTGTCCTCCTGCACGTCGCAGAGTTTCGTGCAGGCCGCACCACATGACACCAGACGCTGGGCTGATTTTCACGCGCTCCTGCACTTCAGGAACACGATGCACATTCGCCCCACCCTCGCCTGGGGTGGGAACGGCAGCTGTCTGCATGAGGAGCGCGCCCGGATGTCTGGTTCGTGGACTGGGGCTCGTGAGGTGCAGATGTCAGATGTGTGCATGGACGAGGTGTGTTGGCGTGCTGATATCGAACACCGAAGTAAGGGCATCGGTGTCAATAGAGGTGTTCGTTGAATGTTAGGGGTGAGATCTTACGATTCTAACAAAGCTAATTGAGTCTCCCAACCGAGTTACCGATTACGGCAATGGCGCAATTACACAATATCAGTTGATGTTGTGGCACCTGAGGATCGCCTCCCACGATCATGTACGACCTCGGTCTGATATTACGGTAGGTGGCATATCCGGAGAAGATTTTGCCTTTGTCAACATCGGACGGGGTTGCGAATGCTTCAGGTCCTAGTATCATTTCTAAGATCATCTAGTACATACATCCATCCACATGAGTTTGCATACTAGTATGGTTCTAGCCCACGGTATCAATGACTACCTAGTGCCTGCAGCCAAACTGGATGCCAATTACCTGCTCGGTAATGCGGCATCCAGCGGGATGTAGCATGCTTCGACATATCGCTCTTTGCATTCGAGTATTGCTTGTGCTGTATCCAGCCCACGCCGTACAACCCCATCTCGTCTCTGCTACCGATTGCTGGATACACGATGCATGTGGATACATAGTATGTTACATCGATTAGCAACCCGTCCACTTTTCTCCTCAATCACCGTTCCTGTCAGTTGACTGTTGAGGTCTCCACATATTATCCGTGATGGATTGATCAGGTCCAACTTGGTCTTTGGAGCTGCAAATCGTCCGACACTCCGGATCGCTATTCATGGTTCCAAACTTCCAATAGTTTCATGGACGGTGTTGGTGTGGGTCGTTGGTTGCGTTGATCATACCCTCACGCAGCGATTTGTGATAACCGCAGTTAGCGGGAGGATTGCTAATCATAGCAGCGGCCAGCAATCATTCATCAACATCGATGTTGCATTAATCAGATCGCTGTTAGGCACTCATCCCTAATATCCATGGAATGCTGGGAGAGGAGAGCACACCATTTTAACTGTGCTCACATATTTTATATCCTGCCTATTTGTACTTCTGAATGACCTTGGATGGGAAGTCTTAGTAGAATTGAAGGTTGATTCCATTCTACTTGATATTCACAGAAAGTCGGGTGCTCCAAACCTCCGAACCCATTGATAAATCTACCCTTGCTTCATTCTAAATTTCCATCCGACTCATCTGATTCGCTACAGTGCCTATGGATCCATTAGACTCTGATATGCAGTGTGCACGAAGTGCGTGAGGAGCATCTCTTAACCTTGGCCCGAACGGATACAGGAACCCAACATCAACATCAACATCATCTCAAGTCAGCGTAACCATGGAATTCAATTTCCTGCAGTGGATTAGCCAACGGAAACTATTAGCCGCTCCTATTGTTGTGTTCATTCTCCTTTTGACCTTGACCGAGTTGAATTCTCGCGACGCCCTCCATAAGACACCTATCTCCACAATGGGCGTCACTCACATCGTACTCTTTCAGTTCAAATCGACTGCCAGCGCCGAGGCGATCACCGATGTACGTGTCTATCCCGAAAGCCAAGGGACTAGAATCTTACGGAGTTGTGATCGTTCAGGTCTCTCGTGGATTTCTTGCGTTAAAAGACGGCTGCGTCCACCCAACGTCTCAGAAGCCGTATATCAAATCCGTTTCTGGTGGTATAGAAAATTCGACAGAAGGACTCCAGGTACGCCCGGTCTGCTCCGTAGTGTTTAGCCGTAGAAGCATTCCTATCAAGCTCTATTTCCATTCTGACAGGTTCATGTAGAATGGCATCACGCATGCATTTGTTGTAGAATTTGAGAGCGTCAAGGACAGAGATTACTACGTCAGTAATGATCCCGCCCATGGCAAATTCAAGGAGACGCTTGGGCAGGTTCTTGAAAAGGCGCAAGTCATTGATTTTACTGATGGGACATTTACTTAAGCTGTAATGGGTTGGACGTTATTCTCCTGCTGTCATGGTAGCATTATACTCTGGATTCCCCAATATTAAATTCATCTAGTTCGATTTCCTGACAAGTGGCACATTTCTAATCCGTGCCATAGGGTATCTTGTATATAGACACCATCCGCTGCCTGTTTCAGGTGTGTACTGTGTACCTGTTTTGGGCACTATCTACCACCCGTTTTGGGCACCCTCTGCCGCCTATTCAGCCCCCGACCACTTCTACCCTGGCACGACGAACGACTTGCGATTTACTTTTCTATTTCCTTAAATAAACTAGTCAGAGCGTAGGATTCCTACGTCGCGTCATTAGTGTAATTATGTTGAAAACGAAAAAGGGGTGAGATCCAAAGGGTTAGTTACTTAACTAACTAACGTAATCCACCAGCGAGTCGCCCAAACCACCGAGTCGCCCACTTCATCTCCGTAACAGCGATCATCACGATTTTTTCGCAATGTCTCAACAACAGAGCCCTCAATTACCTTCAAATGAAGCTAGAATGAACCTAGCCATCCAGACTATCGAACAAGACCAAGTTCAATCAATTCGAGAAGCTGCAAAAGCTTACAACGTCCCGTGGAGTACCTTACGTGACCGCCGCAACGGAATGACTGCACGAAGCGATTGTGTCCCGAATTCGAAAAAGCTCTCAAATATGGAAGAAAGGGTGATTAT